CTAATCTATCATCTTCAATAAAATCATCCAAAACATTCATTTATCATTTTTATTACTAAAAAAAACCCTAAATCTCCATCTAATATCTCATTTCTAATAAAATCCTCTCCAAACTTCCACTTAATCTCTTAAATTTAATAAAAACTTTAATCTACTATCTTCAATAAAATCATCCAAAACATTCATTTATCATTTTTATTAATAAAAAAACCCTAAATCTCTATCTAATATCTCATTTCCAATAAATATCTCTCTAAACTTCCTTCTAATCTCTTAAATTTAATAAAAACCCCCTCCTAATCTATCATCTTCAATAAATTCTTCCAAAATCTCATCTCTAATAAAAACTTCTTTAAACTTTCTTATCATCTTTAACAATTCTCCACTAACTCTCGGGCTTTTTTCTCCATTTTTCCTATAATTAAACGGCAATTCTCAATTTTTATTTCATTATTCTAGATTAAAAATCTACACCTCATTCTTCTACATCTTCTTCTATATTATATATAAACAATGGATATATGCACTTTTTCATTCTAATCTCTTTTTTCATTCTTTTTACAACATTCCCATAACAATCACTCCCAACAACATGATTTTTATCATTTCCGGAACTCTTATTTTCATTCCTTCATTCGGTTTCACTTCTTCCTCTTTCTCTTCCTCTTTTTGTGTTTCTGTTTCTTTACTTGAATCACTCGTACATCTCGTAGGTTTGCATTTTCGCATCGACGTCAATGTCACCGTTGATGTCACTGTAGATGTACTTGTCAACGTACTCGTATGCAACGATGTACTCGTCACCCATGTATCTGTCGTCTGAACTAATGTACATTCTTCCGTTACCTTCCCTCCATCTACCGATTCTGTCGTCGTTGCCGTCGTTGTCGTTGTCGTCGTCGTCGTCGTTGTTGTTGTCGTCGTCGTCGTTGTCGTTGCTGTCGTCGTCGTTGTCTGTGTCGCCGTTGATATCACCGTATGATGCGGTGTAACTTTTAATCCTTCTATTCCTTCACACAACTTGTCTATTTCTGTACAGACCGCATCACACTTCGGGCAATCCTTTCTAAACTCGCAGTCTCCTTTCAAACTTTTACATTTCTCTTTCAATTCTAAATACAATTCCAATGCTCTCGCCGTTGCAACAAATGCCTTCTTTTCTGGTTCTGATACTTCTCCACTTACAAATGTTCTCCGAACAAGTATAACATTACTCGTGTTTGTCGTTCCACTTGGTGTTGATCCTCCTGGTGCTGCTGGTGCTGCTGGTGGCCCTGCTGGTGGCCCTGCTGGTGACCCTGCTGGTGTTCCTCCTGATGGCCCTGCTGGCCCTGCTGGTGCTCCTGGTGTTCCTGGTGCTGCTGGTGCTCCTGGTGCTGCTGGTGCTCCTCCTGATGTTCCTGGTGTTCCTGGTGTTCCTGGTGTTCCTGGTGTTCCTGGTGCTCCTGGTGCTCCTGGTGCTGGTGGTGGTACTGGTAGTGGTGCCCCTCCTGATGTTGGTTGTGCTGGCGGTGCTAGTGTTGGTGCTGGTACTGGTACGCCTCCTGGTGTTGGTTGTGCTGGTGCTGGTGGCTGTACCGGTGGTCCCACTGGTTTAGGAACACTGCCATCTTGAGCCTTTGATCCTTCACCTTGTCTATCTTGTTCAGGTCTTGATAATACTAACTTAGCTTCCTTCGCAAATTTTTCTGATTCCTGTTTCACCTTTTCGTATTCATCTTTCTTCTTCTCTAATTCATCTTTCTCATTATCCAGTTTATTTTTTAGGGTTGGACATTTTTCTTTTACTTTTTTAACCAACTTTTTGCAAAGTTCTTCTTTCTTAGCATCTTCACATAGACTATTCAATGTTTGATTCCCTTCTTTTTTCCATTCAGTACAATGTTTTCCTAATGTTTCTTTACATTTAGTTTCATCGCTTAAACTACCTTTCAATTTATGCGTCAACTCATTCTCCAATTTTAACTTTTCAAAGAATGGCTTGCATTTCTCTTCCAGTTGTAAACAGACTCCATTCTTATTGGAATTTTTTTCTTTTTTCAACCTATCTGGACAATTTTCTATATATTGATGACAATATGGATCAAACAACGTGCAGAGTTCTTCAACCAATGTTTCATTTCTTTTTCCATTTTCAATTTTTTCTATAATTTTTCCAATGTCCATGTTATTTTTTAAAAAAAGACACTCATTTTCTGTTTGTTCTACCATAAAACTACATGTTTCTTCTCGTAAAGCACATGAAACACTAAAATCTTCTTTTCCTCTTCTAGATAATTCCTCACATTCTTTCTTTAATACTGCCGTACAATTTCCTTGAGTTCTTAATGCATCATCTCCTCTTTTTAATAATTTTTTTCTCAATTCTTCTGTAACTTTTAAATATTCACATCGTCTATTCAGTGTATCACATTTCTCATGATTCAAATATGAATCACTTTCAAGATCTTTGCACTTCTTCTTCAATTCTACACAATCTTCCTTTCTTGGAAAATCTCTTCTCAAATTTAAAACTACTTCTAATTCTTCCGATTGAAGAATTACATCATCTAAAAGTTCATAACATAGTTTAGTTGGTAGATGACACTTTGTAAAGTATCTTCTATCCTCCTTAAGTTTTGTATAATTACCTACTACCGATTTTTGACATTTTTCAAGATTCTCAGTAACCAATTCTAAATCACCAATAAGCCCTTTCAATCCTTCTTGAAAGTATCTATTCAACACCCTATCTTGTCCCTTTTTATAGCATGCTACTCTTACATTTTCACATGCTTTTCCAATTTTATTCGTACATACACCTTCTAAATGGAAACATTCCGATTCAAACTTTATACAATCTTCCCTACTAACCAATTTTGATACCTGTCCCCATGAAAAATAATCTGATTCTTTATCTTTTTCAAATTCCGTAGACAATCCTTTCAGGTAAAGTTCTAATTTAAAATTCGTACATCTATCTTCTACTTCTACTAATTCTTTGCATCTATCCTCTTTATCTTTATCTCCACATAATTCTTCTAATCCATAATCTAGGTGTTTAAAAGATTCACAATCTTCTAATGCTTTTTTGCATTTTTCTTTTGGACTATTTCCATTCCTTCCTTTGATCAACAATAATGCTAAATCTCGCAACGTCTTATATTTTGGTTTTCCAACAATAATTCCCTTAGCTTCTTCTTTTTTATAAAGATTTTCCACTTCAATCTTTTCCGGAAATCTTGGTTTTTCTTTAACCGGACTAAAATCTAATTTTGGTCCTTCATATTCAATCCCTTTTCCCTTACATTTATTCTTGACTTTATCACATTTTGTATCCTTACAACTTGATCCATAAAAATAACACTTTTCAAGATATTCTTGACATTTTTCCACTAATTCTTTATCTTCAAGTTCCTTCTGTAAAGGCTTACAATTATCTCCATGATTCTTTCTAAAGTATTCACACGTTTCATCTGGATTAAAACATGAAAACACTAATTCATCACTATATTCACTTAATCCTTGACAAATTTCTTTCATTTTTTTACATTCATTTGTATCATTAACCTTCCCTTCAAGAGCTCTTAAAAGAATTTCTTTTGCCACTCCTTGACGTCTCTGTCGATAACATCTATCTCTCAACTTAACGCACTTCTCTTCAAGATTACTTGGATCTGCTTCTTCTAATAATAGACATTTTTCTTCATATTTTCTACATTTTTCATCTGTTAGGTTATTCAATTCTTTTTCAACTTCTGTTTTAAAACTATTTAATTCTTTTTCAACTTTATCTTTCAGATCTCCACATTTTTTGTCTATATTTTCACAAAGTCCCTTAACTTTGACATCCACACTCTCCAATTTTCCATCTATTTTCTTCAATTCCTCACAATAGTGTTTGAGGTTTGCCTTGCATTTATTATCATCACTATAATCACTTTTCACAATTAAACCCAAAACCTGTTCCTCCTTAATCTCATCATTTCCTGCTGCTTGTCCTGCTGCTTGCCTCTTAACCGGCTGTGCCATCGCCGCCTCTTTCTGGGCGACTTCCTCTACCCATCGCTTGTCCCTGAGTAGCATATGACTGGGTGAATCAAATCTAAATCTTGAAATAATTCTTTCAAAATAACCATACATTTTAATTTTTTTATGATAAGCATACATTTCCTTAATCTTTTATGATAAGCTTGGACTTTACCCTATAAAGCAAAATTGCGGGGTAAAAAATTGTGAGGGTAAAATTGCGGGGTAAAATAATCAAAATTTCAATTCGCAATTCTTGATGCTTTATTAAAAATTTATACATCATTCTTCTACATCTTATATATTATATATAAACAATAGATATATGCAGACTTTCATTATTATGGCTTTTTTTATTCATTTTATAACATTCCTATAACCATCACTCCCAATAATATTATTTTTACTATCTCTGGAACTCTCATTTTCATTCCTTCATTCTGTTTCGCTTTTTCCTCTTTCTCTTCCTCTTTTTGTGTTTCTGTTTCTTTACTTGAATCACTCGTACATCTCGTAGGTTTGCATTTTCGCATCGACGTCAATGTCACCGTAGATGTCACTGTAGATGTACTTGTCAACGTACTTGTATGCAAACATGTACGCAACAACCATATCTCTGTTGTTTGAGAAAATGCACATTGTTCTGTTACTTTCCCTCCATGTATTGACTTTGTAGCTGTTGTAGTCGTTGTTATAGTCGTTGTTGTTGTCGTTGTAATCATTGTTGTAGTCGTTATCTGTATCGTCATTAATGTCACCGTATGATGCGGTGTAACTTTTAATCCTTTTATTCCTTCACACAACTTGTCTATTTCTGTACAGGCCGCTTCACACCCCGGACAATCCTTTCTAAACCCACAGTCTCCTTTCAAACCTTTACATTTCTCTTTCAATTCTAAATACAATTCCAATGTTCTCGCCGTTGCAACAAATGCCTTCTTTTCTGGTTCTGATACTTCTCCACTTACAAATGTTCTCCGAACAAGTATAACATTACTCGTGTTTGTCGTTCCACTTGGTGTTGATCCTCCTGGTGCTGCTGGTGCTGCTGGTGCTCCTCCTGGTGTTGGTTGTGCTGGTGCTGGTGGCTGTACCGGTGGTCCCACTGATTTAGGAGCATTGCCATCTTGCACCTTTGATCCTCCACCTTGTCCATCTTGTTCAGGTATTGATAATAGTAACTTAGCTTCCTTCGCAAATTTTTCTGATTCTTGTTTCACTTTTTCGTATTCATCTTTCTTCTTCTTTAATTCATCTTTCTCTTCATTCAGTTCATTTTCTAAGGTTGGACATTTTCTTTTTATTTTTTCAACCAACTTCTTGCAAACTTTTTCCTCGACATTCTTATTTTTATCAGTATTACAAAAACTATTGAATTTCTGATTCGCCTGATTTTTCTTCTCAGTACAATGTTTTCCTAATGTTTTTTTACATTTAGTTTTATCGCCTAAACTACCTTTCAATTCATGCATCAACTCATTCTCCAATTTCAACTTTTCAAAGAATGGTCTGCAATTCTCTTTCAGTTGTAAACAGACTCCTTTTTCATTCCCATTGTCTCCTTTTTTCAACTTATCTGGGCAATTTTCCATAAGTTCATCACAATATGGATCCCATAATATACAGATTTCTTCAACTAATGTTTCATTTCCATTTTTACTTTTATTTACAATATCATGTTTTTCTATATTGTTTTTAAAAGTACTGCAATGATTTTTAACTTCTGAAACCATAAATTTACATGTTTCTTCTGGCAAAGCACATGAAATATCAAATGTATTAGTCCCTCTTTTAAACAATCTATCACATTTTTCCTTCAAAGCTTTCATACAATTTTGAATATTCGCTAATGAATCACTTTTATCCTTTAAAAAAACATATTTTAGTTCTTTTGTAACTTTCAAATATTTACAACGCTCTTTTAATGTAACACACTTTGCATTATTTGAACCTAAATCCCCCGCAATACTTTCACAACCCTTTTTCAATTCAACACAGTCCTCTTCTTTAGGAAAATCCCGTGCTTGATCCAAAGCTTGTTCTAAGTCTTTGGATCGAGTAAAAATAATTTCTTCAAGTTCAAGACATATCTCTTTTGGTCGAAGGCATTTTAAAAAGTTCTCAATATTACTATTTACAAGTGTTACACACTTCTCCATTACTACTTTTTGACATATTTTAAGCTTGTCATCTTTCGATTTTAAATTGTATTGTTCTTCGACCAATTTACCTTCAATTAATTTAATAAATAGTTGTCTTTGTTGCTTTTTATTATTTGCAATTTTTACATTTTTACATACTTCAAGCAAATTGTTTCTGCATGATCTTTGAATATAAAAACAGTTTGTATCAAATTTTAAAAGTTCTTTATCACTAAATGATGTTGAAAGCTTATCCCAAAGGATATCTTGCCCTATTATATGATCTTGAAAATGTGTAGAAAATCCAGCTAGATAAAGCATTATTTTAAACTTTCTACATTTATTTGTTATTTTTGATATATCTCTGCATTTTTGTCTTCTGCTATTTTGACATAATTCCTTAAATTCAGGACTCAGAAATTTAAAAAAATCACAATTTCCGCTCAATACAATCCTGCATTTATTTCCTGAGAAACCGGTGGTTGTGCTAGACAAATAGATTAAGATGTTGTCCAGTGTTGCTTCCACATTTCCAATATATATTCCTTCATCTTTCATTTTTTTATAAAAATCTTCCAGTTCAATCTTTAATAACGTTGTTTCTGGCTCAATTGGATTAAAATCTTTTCCTGGAGGCTTATATGTAATATTCTTTTTCTCGCATAACACCTTTAATTCATTACACTTTTTTTTACATTTATTTTTGAGAAAATAACAGCTTTTGAGTTTTTTGTGACATTGTTCTTGCAATTCGTTATCATTAAGGTTAATATTTAAAGAATTGCAAAAATAATTAATGTATTTATTTAATTCTTCAAAAGATTCTTTAATTTTAAAACATTCAGAGATGAAATTAGTGCCTTGTTGAATCAATATTGGACATATTTCTTTCATTTTTTCTTTAAAATCATCATAATTAGCAATACTATTACCAACTGCATGAAGAATAAGCTCAAGTGTCAGTTTTAAATGCTTCCTTATATAATAATTATATTTTAATAAATAACAATATTCTAAAATATTTTTAGTTAAATTATGTAAAAACAAACATCTTGGCAAATATTTATCAAAATCTTCATAAGTTAAAGATTTTTGTAGAATTACATAAAGCTCATTAGAAATTTTGTCTAGATTTTCTTTAATATTTAGTTTTAGATCTTTGCATTTTTGCTCTTTATTATTATTATTACAAATCTCCTTAACATTACTATTCACTTTATTTAATTCTGGATCTATATCCTTTAATTCTTTGCAATATTCCTCAAGTTTTGCTTTGCATTTGTTTTCATCATCATAATTTTCTTTTAAAATAAAACCATAAATATCTTCTTCAATAAAACTTTTAAACGACGGATTTAGTGCATTTGTTTGAGAGTTTCTAATACTTAAGTCTACGCTTTGATTTCCATATGTAAGAGCTAAAAATAATTAAAAATGAAAATAATCTAAAATATAATTACCAATTAAATTTAATATTGCTATCAGTATAATTTTATTAATCATAGAAAAAAAGTATCTTCTATAGCTTTTGTGCCCTAAATATATAATATAAATATCCACAATATGCTTTTAAGTGAAATTTGTGAAATTTAATGGTTATTAAATGGTTATCAAAAAGATACAAAATTTTGTAATTTTGATAAACCCTAAAAAAAATATAGAAATCGTTAAAAATAAAAATCATTACAACTCTTGATTATAAATTTTAAATCTTTATTTTTCTTATTTTTTTCTATATTCTTTCTCATTTTATTCAATAATTTTTTATAAAATAATATATATATACATTTTGTTTTATTTATTAACTTTTGAATTTTTTTACAATTCATTCATATTTTTATCCCTTTTTTAATATTATACTATCATCCTTAAACTCGATATTTCCCTTATTTTTAGCATTCCTTCATTTAAATAATTAATTTTTAAACCTTTTTTTTTAATTGCTACATTCTTTTCAATATTTATTTATAATCAAACTCTTTTTTGATCTTCACTTTTAATCAAAAAATGCTTGGCTAATAATCTTTGACATGCACTTCTAGTTTCATTCTATATATTTTCCTGTCCATTTTTATTTATACTAGTTAAATTTTTCCAAAAAGTTTATCTCGTGGTTCATCTATTACCAATAATCATTGTATTTTGCAGGGCCGATACCAAAATGCAGCACAACTGCGCAAAAAAAACGTAAAAGCACAGTTTCTACAATTACATAAATCTAACAAAAATAGAAAAATAGTATCCAGTTACCAAGATAAATGTTAGGCAAAAGAGAAATGCTGGTCACAAATAGCAACTTTATCACAGCGTAATAAAAATTAACGGAAAGTCTAAGACTTTATCCTGGGCTTAATAATGATCTTGAGCTTAAGCCTAATCTATGTAGAATTTATCGTTATATAAATTACAATGAATTAAAATTATTAAAGAAAGACTTTGTTGAATGGCATTTTAAACTCATACAAGATGAACATGGCAGCTCAAGTTGTGTACTACTTTTTCTCCCATTGGTTAGATGATTTTTAAGTATATCAGCCATCCCCTTAATAAAGGTTAAGTTATTGTTTAAACTCTCGACTCGTTTTACACCGTTAAATCCAGATTTCTTAGCATTGGCAATATATTTAAGATCTAACTCTAAAAAATGGTTATATATGAAAATTTATAATAATACCATTAATTTACCAAACAATGTTTCAATATGATCACTAACAAATGAAATAGGTACCAAAATGATATTTTGCTTACCCATTCTCGTAAAGCTAGTTATTACATGATCTGTTTGAGGGCCTAACCATGTTGATGGTCCAACTTGAGATTGCCAAACGAGTCTATAAGGATTAGAAAAGTTCAATTTCTCCATAACAGCATAAACAGTTGCTGCGACTTCTAGTGGATATGGGTCTCCGCGATTTACAATACTAGAAAATAAATTAATAATATTTTTTGTTACTAACCATAAGATTACCTCATTGGTAAAGAATGTGCAGTAAATAATATAATAACATTATTCCTATCATTTTCTGGATATGTTTTTAATGTTTCTATAATATTATTTTTAAAAGCATTAATAAGTCCATCATGTGTTGGCCAACGATCTACGACACTCCAATTAATTTGATCGTGTATATTAAGTCTTTGAATCTGATTATATAACTCATTAAGACTAGACCCTGTAGTGGAACATGAATATTGCGGGTAAAGTGTAAATGCCACTGCATTAGTTATATTATTATTTAACATTTCCAATAACACTGATTCTGTTAAAGGAGCTGAGTATCGAAATGCAATATAAGGTTTATGAGGAGCTAATAATATCAGTATATTTTAATAAAATATATTCCTTTTTTTTTAATTTTTAAGATTTATAAAAAAACGTACCTGTTTTTGGGCATGTTTTATCAAGAATTTTGCAAACTTCCTCTGCCTGAAGTTTACTCCATCTATAAATTGGACTCTTCCCTCCAATCTTTTTATAATGATTTGATACTTTAGGTGTCCTTAATTTTGCAATTAATGATCCAAGCCATTTTTGCATTGATCCAAGTGGAATTAAATCACTATCCGTAAAAATTCGAAATAAAAAATTTTTAACTTCTGAAAGTTCTGATGGACCACCCATATTTAGAAAAACTATCCCCTAATTAATTTCGTTAGGTTAAAATATGGAAAAAAATAAAAGTTTGATAAGAATTTACCGTAGGCCCATTAGATTTTTTTGTTTCTGTTGTTAAATTCATAGAAGAAAGTAAGAAATTTGAAAATAATCTCTGGTTATATGGTAGATTTTTTAGTGTATTTCTTATAATTTTTGGGGAATTAATCATTTTTTATTCAATTTTTTTCAAATTTAAATATAAAATTTTAAATTGCGATAAATTTTTGATAATTTATTAGATGATAAAAAAATAATCATCAAATATAAAGATTATTACATTAAAATACTATTATGAAATTATAGAATAGAATGAAAAATATAATTTAGAAGAATAGTTTATTTTTTATATAATTTTTAAATTAGTGTTATTAACATTATTGAATCATGTATAAATAAGATATAACTTTTTATGCTAAATAAATATTATCCATTTCGATAGATATAAACTATTTTTTTGTTCTTTATATTGCATATTCGAGTTTACGAAGTTCTATATTATCATTTTGATCACTATTTTCATTAAATATACATGTATATTATATAATAAAAAGGTTTTTTATTAAGATAGTATTTTGAAAATATTAGGAATTTTTAAATATGTTAAATGTTTGACTTTTTTGTTATATTTTTAACTAAATTATAATAAATATTCTTTAAATTCTTTTTAACTAAGTAAAACAGAAAAATTTATTATTAGATAGAAAATGTTTAAATGAAATTATATTTAATTTTAATTTATATTTTATGTAATAAAAAATTATTAGATTTAATATAGAAAAATATATTATTTTTTCTCTATAAAAAAATCATAATAACATGATATAAATCATGAATTATGACTTCATTAAAAAAGAAAAATTTATATAAATAAAACGTATATTTATAATCCAATCTATTTATTTTTAAAAGTTGGAAAATTATATATTTGTAAATTTAAAATGCACGCGTAATATATTAATCTTTAGCAAATTTCTAATTTCCCTTAGTGCTTTCATTTTCGTATTGATTAGTTTCATGAATATCATCTTCATTGTCAGAAAGAGAATTGTCTTGATCCCATTTATTAAATCTTTTATTAATTTTATCAGCCAATGAACATGATATTGCCGAATACATAGGATTGGAATTCTCTTTACTATTAGAATTTAGTGATTGAGACTTCTTGTTAAATCTATTTGTTAATGAGTCTTGAGAAATATGTCTTGACTTTTTTAGCATTGCTAATTTTACTGCATTTTTTACATCATCAATTATTATTTCACTTTTCTCTAAAAATTCATTATCTTCAAATTTTATTCTTTTAGAAAGAGGCTCTGCATCAATTATTGCTTCAAGCTTTTGTTTTCGTTCTTCCAAAATTTCACGTTTCCGTATAGGAGCAGTTTCTAAATATTTAATCAATCTATAATATTAAAAAAAGTCAACTTTTAAAGAATTAAACATACGCTTTTTTTTCATTTATAGTCCGTATTCTCCTTCCATTTAGATCTCTACAACTTGATTTATTTTCCTCTTCACCACGTTTTTTTCGGCTACTCATTCGACCACCTGCAGCACGAAGTTGGGATCCAAATCCACCTTTTCCTCCAAAAACCTTTGGAACATATCTAAACATGCATACTTTAGCATTATTTGGATATTTATAGCGATCTAATAAAGATGCTAAAGTATCTTCAGGATAAACTAATTTTCCAGAAAGATGTGATAATAAATAATTTCCAGGAGGAAAAAGTGCTGACAAATAATTCTCAAGATCTTTTATAGTTGAGGTATACGGAAGATTGAACGATATTGTCTTAAATGGTGGAAAAGTTGATATGATACTATTAATCATTTTTATTTAGTATTTGGAATTTTTATCGTTAAAGGTAAAATTTAGAATATATATATAATGGAATATTTTAAATATTTATAGAATAAAATATAAAAATCAAATTAGTACAGGTTATATAATCTTAGCTTTTATGTTTTTGTTAATTTAGGCATGCAAAAATTATTGAAAGAAAATAATTTACTCTACGCTAAGTAAAGCAAGATTAATAGCTTTTGTAAGCTTTTTTAATACTTTTTTGTGAAGCAAAGTCTTATTCATTTGAGAAAATGTATTTGAAACAACTTTTGTAATAGCTGCTTTTGCAAGATTAGTTTCTTGATTATGCTCATCCCCTGTTAACGCGTCAAAATATGTTAAAAAAATAAGAAAATGTATTTAACTGTATTTATAAATATCAGAAGATCTAAGAGCTATTAAATTCTCAAGAGCCAATTGATACTCAGTCAAAATAAAAAGAAAAGATGAAATGTCATTCTTTTGTAATTATTAAAGTATAAAAAAAAAAAAAATACCTTCAGTGTTTCCGCATCACAGAGATATTTTGAATCATCCTCTAGTGTTAAAAAATCTCTGAGCAAAGTTTTAAATTTATGATCGTTAGCATTTCTATAAATTTATCCGTATTTAATACGCTATAAACAAAACACCTTTACCTATCTTCTCTAGCTTCTTCTATAGCACATCTCATTCTTTTAAGTGCATCAATTTGTAAAGAATTGAAGTTTTCTAGGTATATTTTGGCCGAAATTTTACGAGTAGATTGTGCTTCCTCTGTTATTAACAAAATTAGAATATTTTAACTATCTACCAGATATTTCAAATGCAGCATGTCTAACGATATTCAAATTAATAATAGAGTTTTTCTAAAAAATAATTAACTTTACGTTTCTTCGTGATCACTATTAGCATTTTCAGATAATAAAGATGGATATTTTTCCAATTCAATATGTCTTCTTTTTACTAAAAATAGTCCTTTAGAATGATTTTGATCCATTATGATATTTGAACATACCATAATCTCTTTTATCGCTTTGTATGCGTTTCTTCATAATTTTTATTGTCTCGGTAATAAGGCTATAGGAAAAATATATTTTTTTTTTAGATTTTAAAACATATAATTATACAAATAATAACAATTTTATTTATCATTTAAAAAACTATTATTTCTTGGAAATAATGGATATATAAATATAGCCAAGATTCCCAATTTTACAAGGAAATTCGATATTTGTTAACAAGAAAAAATGTTTAGTTTTATATGTTTTATAATATAATTAGAAGTTAGAAAGTTACTTTATTTTATATATGTTTTTGGTTAAGATCAATTTTGCTGTAAATATGGCTTTTTTTTATAATCAGTTATATATTAAAAATACATAAAATGCTGTGTTTTTCTGATATTTTGGAAGAGTAATTAAGTCTTATGTATGAAAATAATTATTTTCTTTTGATTATAATATTGAATTCTCCATATCTTTTTAAAAATTGAAAGATGCATTATCTTGAACGGCATATATATTTCGAGGTTAAGTTAAAACAAAATATAAAATATTAATCCATAAAGGATTGAATGGAACAAAATTTGAAGGAGATAGATTGTAAAGAAGGGATAAGAAACGAATATATATGGTTTACGATAATATTTAAAGAAGTTTATTGATCCAGAACTAATATCGCTAGGTGAATATCTCTGTTGTGATGATTAAATCGACTTCTTATTAGAGAATAATAGAAACTTTTATATTAAATATAGTCTGTACCGTTTGATCCTGTGCTATATAAAGGTATGTTAGTTGTTATTTTGTAGGTAAATATGAATAGGGATTTAATGAAGTTTAGTTTTCAAAATACGTCTAGTGTCGATTTAAAAAATAAGTGATTAAGAATGGAAGAATCTCTATCTGAAAGTCTTCAAAAACAGTCTGGATATAGAAGTAAAACCATTACATTAATGCTTTGTCCAGATTCCATTCTTCTTCCTATGTCAAACCGTACGAAAGAAATGCGAAAAATTATGGCACATAATTCAGTCTTTTTTTCTAATATTCTATCCAATTTGTCGAAAGATATTCGTGAAAATTTGGAAGCTCTATGGACAACGGTAGATAGGGATTGCATGGATGATCTTCAATGGTTACGAAATGTTAAGCAAATTTTATCTAAATTAGCTGAAGATGAATATTTTTGGAAAAAATGGTGTTATATTGTTGGTTGTGACGAAAATAATTTCCGTGATTACTACCTTAAAACATTGCAAAATAATAATAATAATAACACTTTAATTAGCAAAGAAAACATTAGTTCTACGTCTTTACATTCGGTTAAAACTAAATTTGTTGATGAAATCATACTTGAAAGGGAATAACATATTTAATAGTGTTAACCACTCAATAAAAAATAATGATACTTTATTAATGAATTTTGCTGATTTATATTATAATTGATTTGTTTAGGTTTTGTAAATAAATATTTTCAACATTTAATTAATTGGTATCCTACTTAAGTTTATTTCATATTTTTATAATATGTTAAAGAGCTTAAGTTAAAAAATATAGTTATATAAGGATTAAGCATGCTTTTTACAGCATGATTATTCGATCATGTTGATTTTTATTCGTATGTTATCAATAGGCATGGAAATTATTTGTGCTGTTGTTATTCCCTTTTTGCTATATTTATGTGTTTCAAATAGGAAATATGTTAATTAGAGATAGAAAATATAAATAATTGTTAAAAAATGTTAATTATTATGTTTGATAATTTAATTATATTGCTTGATAATGAAGCTCCTTGAAACTTAATGCATGTATCTCAGAAAAAATATAGTATATTTTCTAAAATATTTGTTGAGATATGACAGTCATACAATTTAATATTATTTTTATTTAAATTTTATATTTAATAAACATTGTATAACAAAAATAATTAAAATTTAGAAAAAATAATTTATAAACATGTTCAAATGACAATTAGTTGACAAATCTTTATATATTTTTTTTATTTGATATTTTTCAAGTCACGCAAAGTGTAAAAATTAATTTTTCAGTTTAGTATTTAAAAAAAAATTAAAAAGGTAAAAAATCTTTCAAGTATGTAAATGATTAAGGCGTCTAAATATGGAAAATTCTGAATAAATTTCTACTTAAGTAATGCAGTTTTTATAAACTTTTTAATGAAATATGAATGAATAATTTAATGAAATTAACATTAGACAATTTACTGACAAATTTGTTATAGGATTTAATTAATATCTGGAAAATGCTTATTCCTAAAAATAGCAGAAAGAAGGTATGTAGATGAAGGGTTATTTTATTTTTCTAATCAAATTAATATTAGATATATGAGATTTTGTTTAGAGGTATAAAAAATTAAGTAATAATAATTCTTGGTATAAATTTTTAGATGGAACTCTTGTTGCTAAAAAGGATTTCAATGCTTCTTCTTCAATAGAGCTTCCTGATATTCCTAATCTTCATGTTATTAAGGCATGTCAATCACTCACATCAAAAGGATTCCTAAAAACTCGATTTTCATGGCAATATTATTATTATACTCTCACAAATGAAGGGATTGATTATTTAAAAGAATGGTTGCATCTCCCAAATGAGATCGTACCTAATACACATAAAAGACAAACACGTCCACAAGTTTCTCGAGTATCTCGTGGTGGTGATAATACCTATAGGTCTTCAAAAAGCGATAAATATGAATATCGGCGTCGTGATCACGGAGAAAAAAAAGAAGGAAGTAAGGAATATATTTATATTTTGATGTTTTTGTTTATAAGATTAGTTACACCAGGGGATTTTGCACCAAGTTTTAGAGGTGGAATTGAACGAATGCAGCCTGTTTCTGTATAAATTGTATCCGCGATATATTTATGCATATACCTTAATAGACGTGCAAAAAATGCTGTACAGTGAGACAGTGTTTTTTCGAGAATGGCTTAAAATTGTTTTTGTAATTATTTGTAGTTTTTTATTGAATATTTTACTAGGGTAATAAATTTTATAAAATATATTAAATTGAAAAACAATATGTTTTATATTAATAAGAACACTAAAAACAAATATTAATTATTTTCATAGATTTTTTTTTCAGAAAGAGAAACTCTTAAAAAATTATCTTACTGTATGGTTATCTATGCAGTTGCTTCCTTTACTATTTTTTATTAATTATAAAAAATTGATTAGTCAATTTATCTTACAATATGTAATTATATCATTACGATCTGAAGCTTTTTTAAATCCAGGAAATACCATCTAAAAAGAAATAAATATTTTATATTAAATTATTTTAAAATACTTTTGTTCCTGGAATATATTTTTTTGGATTTTCTAGATATTCAAATAATGTATTTTCAGACCATACAATAGATTTTAGCTTATTAGCTTCAGTATATTGATAGCCTTCTGCTTGTCCTGTTTTTCGTCCAAAAACTCCATGACTAAAAACATGTTATAAAATAATTTATTTATTTTGTTATTACAGATTTGGTCCAACCTATTTAAAAAAATAAATTATTAAAGATAAAAAGATAATTATAAATTTATAAAAATGCTTACTTTATGCGGCCCGCCCTTTTCTACTGTATGGCATTGAGCACATCTAGTTTTAAATAGTTTGGCGCCTCTTTCAACTAAAAAAGATAAGCTAAAATCTTGAAAGGAAATAGCATTACTATCTCCTTTTGAAAAGCTCATAGTCTTTTCTTAAAAATTTATTGATATGTTAAAAATTAAATTTGTATAAAATCAAAATATTTTAAAAATTCGAAATTTTTAATATTTTCGTAACTTTGCATTTTTTTAAATGTATAAAAAATGATTAAAAAAATCATAAAATGAGTGTTATATTTATATGCAAAATTAGTTGATATGGATAAATAATATAAAATATAAGTAAAGATATTTATATACTAATTGTTGCAAAAATATAGTTAATTTAAAAAAATGTACAAATGAATGGTTCAAGATAATTATGTTTATAAATTTATTTTAATCCAAATCCTTCAGAATCAAAGATTGCTGTTATAAGAAAATTGCAAAGTTTTTCACGGGTTTCATAACGATAAATGCATAATTGATTAAAACTTATACAATATAGTAAAATTAAAAATATGAATTACATAAACTTAGATGTATGTGCAATAGAATATCTATTGCAATCATTTCCAAGAATAAAAATTTTAAATAAAAGATTAGTAGACCTGTAGCAAAAATAGGATTCGATCCTGTAACGAATGCAAGTAATCTTTTTTGCAAAGTTGGATCCACTTCTTTAAAAATAGACAAAAACCTAAAATATATCGATTGGTTTTTTATTTATCTTAAAACATTACCACTGTATAACTTTTTCTGAGTTAACTTCCGACGAATTCGAACTATCATATAAAGCAACTGCACGTAATTGATCAACATCAAGGCTTCGAGATCTTCGTATAAGGAGCTCTATTTCTTCTGACCTAAAAAGAAAAAGTGCATTTCTTCTACAAACATGATAAAATTCTCTTTTGAATGGCTCAAATTGTTTTGAAATAGATGTGTCCAAAATAAAACTGGTATATCTTTTAACATATTCTAATGAAATATTAAAACTATTCAATAAAAAGAGAAATAAGAGACCTTCTCTATTCAAATTTGTAACATTAATTTCTTCTTCATTTTTGCAAAGAGGTAACCGGCAAACATTTCAAAGTGCTTCATATTCTCCTACAAAATCTCTACAGAAGATATCTTCTACATTATCATCAAATGCTAATAGATATTGAAATCCTTCAATTAAACCAGGACGAAAGTTTTTTAAGTCATCTAACTCATAAAGAATATCTAATAATTTTTTATAGCATGCTAAAGGAAAATAAACATCAAGAATAGTAGAATTATAAATAGCAAGTCCAAGAATAACTCCAACAAGATAATATTGGACCAATGATTCAAAAGAGGTAGGATTAAACCAATAATAATTAACTTTTTCACTCCAAGTAAACATTTCTAAAATATTAATCATAATACTTTTATCTAAAATTATACTATAAAGAGGAGCAAATACTTTTCTACAGAGCAGTAAAAAACCATTTTTTCCTAAGCCCATCTATATCTATACCATTTTCGCCAATAAATTCAATTTTTAATCTTTTTTTAAGATCTATTTCATTATTACTGACTTGTCTAAGGTTATCATCAATAATACATTCTCTTCTTACACGAAGAATTAAATATGGAGTAATAGGCCATTTTTGAAAAATAGTAAAAAAAAGCATCTTTAGCTTTTATTTCTATTTGGCGTTTAGTATCATATTCCATAATATAGATTTTTGCACCCATTGAAAGTAAAAAAAGATATTGACAAAACTAAAACTTTAATAATTTTTATTCCCATGTATCAAAATCTGCAACTAAATCAATATAATCAACCTTGCTTATTTAATAGATGAAATAATAATATAATATTAAATACCATAGTATTATAAAATTCTGAAAGAAAAAAACTAGTTTTTTGATTATTAGATGTGACTATTAAAAAGTAAATAGAATAAAATAAAATAAAAAAGTATTACGCAGCAAAGTTATCATTCTAGCAGAAACTTTTATTCTTCAATCAGTATTGTAATCGTTTTGAGTATGACGCCTTTGCGTATATTTATAAAGTCTTCTGAAAATAAAGCTATTACAGAGTTGTATCTTTTTATATAAAATATTTGTATCATAGCTATAAAGCCAATTAATAATATAGCGATGAATTTCATTTGATAGGCTACTAATATAACTAAATGTGTGTTTGATAATATTATTAGATTCATCTCTATAAATACGTTGAAAAAGAAATGGATTTTCAAGGATAATAAGAAGAAATAAAATATCTGAAAGCTTTCTAAGTAGAAGTCCAATGCGCTTAAGAAAAATGTTAGTCGCTTTTAATACGGTTCGGATAAGATGACTTGAAAGAGCTGACAAAATATCATAAAAAGAATGAACTTGTGATAAATTTATAGAACTGTTTATTAAGGAAATGCCAGTTCCCTATATAATAAAATAAGTAATACAAATAACTAACATCCATAAATATATACAGTAGAAAAGAATACATTTAAAATTTTCCATGATGAAAATGTAGCGATAAGTAATATTTTCTAAAGGTTTCCAAGATGTTTCAAAATTTGTATAAGAGTTATTTTCACGAGTAGCTATCATATCCTTAAAAATGGTTAAAGAAAGAGGGATAACACTGAATTTTTGAGAAATAATATGTGGATGTATTTGAACGGGACGCAAATCATTAATGGATGAACAAATGATACTTAATAACATTAATAATAGCTAAATTAATATAAATACTTTTTACATTGAAAACAAACAATATTATTGGATAGCATAAACTTGAATCACAACAATTACATTATCCAATAATCTATAAATATTAATAATATAAATAAAGAATGACAAAATACCATAGTTGGTCCATGAAGAATTATAGGAACTAGTGTTGACATTTCGAGAAATTGTCTGCCTATATCAAGCGTAAATTCTGCTCGACCGTTCATGATGGTGGAGCAGTAAAATGTTATTTTTTCAGGTTAGTGTTTATGCGTAATTTGATCATTTGTATCCATAAAAGTAAAAAAGAATATCATTGCAGATCAATCTAACGTATAAGTTGCATATCTTTTCAAAACAATTAAATACGAGTGAATTTAACGAAATATATGATAATGGTTAAAGTGATGAGGTTTAAATTTAACGAAACAAAATTTACAAAAAAATGATTAAAAAAAAAGTTTTTATAAATAGTTATTTGCTAAATATATGGAATATATGAATATAGATGTCTAACTATTTTATATTTTTAGAATAAAATAATTATTTTTAAATATAAAATATTCACTCTTAAAATTAATGCGAATTATAGATATATATAATGATTTTTAAAAAATATAGTTATTATATTGATTATATATTTTAAATTTAATTTTTTATCAAATCTGTATTATTTTTTAAACAATTTTTTTTTGCATTTAAGTATGAAAATTATTAAAAAAAAAGTAAATCATAAAAAGAGATTCTTTTCAAATTAATATTTAGTATTAAATATTTCTACTAAAAAATTTTGTATTTAATTATAAAAAAGAATAATACTTATAGTAATTCTGTTATAAAAGAATATATTTTAAATTATAAATATATTTAATATTTTTTAAAATTTGAATATAAAAAGTTTTTATTTTAAGATATTAAAATATAAATAATTATATAAAATAGCTATTCGCTATATTTAATTAATATCACTAATAAAATTTTATAATAATAATATTTGATATAGCTATCAGTAGTATTGTTTTAAGAAATTATATAAAAATAGATATACTTATTAGAGAAAAAAATTATAAATAAAAATTCACATTAATATTTAAAAAATTATGGGTTCTGTTATATATATTCTCCTGCTTTTAACCTTAAATCTAATAAAAATAGTATTTATTTTTTAAAATTGAATTTTTTTCAACTCGATTGTTTCTATAGTAACATATGTTGACAATAATACATCTTATAGTCGTTAGAAAACTCTAAAAAATATTTTATAGATCTATAAACAAATATCTTTGTTTCTTTGGATTTGTGTATAGAGAATAAAATGTCCTTTTTTAATTTGTTAGTATTCTTTTCAAAAAAATGAAAAGAGCTGAGTTTTACAGAAATTCACGAACACGAACATTAACATTCAAACCTAAGAAAATTGAGGAAAACAAAAGACGATTCCTTTTGAAAGAATATACAAAGGAAACTCTTGGATCTGGTTCTTTAGCTCGAGTTGTCCGTCTCCCAGAAGGTGAGGATCTTAATGAATGGCTCGCATCCAATAGTTTGTAAAATTATTTTTTTTAATATTTTCTTATCGAATTAGCTGTTGATTTTTATAATCAAATAAATATGCTCTATGGAACAATAACTGAATTTTGTCTAAGTGAAACATGTCCAATGATGTCTGCAGGGTCACAGTAAGTTTGTCTTAAATTGGCATATTTGTTTATTTTAGATATGAATATTTATGGCAAGATTCTAATAAATACAAAAAACCAACAAAAATGAGTGCGCCAGAATATATAGAAACCTTACTTCAATGGGTTCTTTCTTTTATTGATGATGAATCGGTATTCCCGACAAAAAATGGTTTATTAAATTTATAATTAAGTATAAAATTAAAGATCACAGGTTTCCCCTTCCCCAAATGCTTTTCTTTAATAATTCGTCAAATTTACAAGCGCCTTTTTCGAGTATATGCACATATTTATTGTCATCATTTTTCTGCTATTGTAGCATTAGGAGAAGAAGCTCATTTAAATACTAGCTTTAAACATTTTATATTCTTTGTTAATGAGTTTAAGTAATGGTCCATTTTCAATATATTTAATAATATTTATGATGTTTTTAGCCTTATTGAAAAGAAAGAATATGCACCACTGCAAGAACTTGTCGATAGTTTTATTACCAATGAAAAATAACATCTTTTTAATTATAAATCATCATAGTATTTTAGAAACAATAAAGTTTGAAAAATTTAAAGAACATATTTTAGATTTAAGAAATTATTAAACTTGTAACCATTATATGTGTTATCTCCTTAAATGTAAAGATAAATAATTAATTTAAAATATTCGTAAAAATTTACTTCGAAATTATTGTAAATATGATATTTTAATATAATTATTTACATAAATCTAGACGCTGATTTAGTATTTTTTACATTTTTAATTCACGTTCAAATGCAGCTAATTCGTCATCTTCAAAACCATTATTTTCATGAATAATATCAATTACATTATTTTCATTATCATTCAAAAACTCCAGATCATCGTCCGATAGCAATAAATTCGAATTTAGATTATTTTTTATATCATCAGTTAATTGATCTTCAGATTTAATAGTGTTTTTTTGAAAAGAAAAAATTTCAGAATGAATTTCTATTTTAGCTTGGTCTGTACATTTTATATTTTGAACTTTCTCATCTGTATCTGATCTGGAATTATCTATTAAATTATTCCGAGTAATATTTGAAAATTCTTTAGTTTGTATTTTATCTTCGCTAGCTAATTCTTTACTTTTTTCCATTAGTTTAAATCTGGCAGCTTTCTCTTCTCTTATTTCCTCTAATGTTCGAACCCTAAATTCGACATTATCTTTCTCATGAGCTGTTGATAATCCACGCTTCTCTTGCTTTCTAGAATTATTAGTTTTAGAATTTTTAAGACTAGTTTTCTGTTGAAAAATATTTCTTTGAGCTTTAGGTCCAGTAGGTATAAGAGTGGAAGCAGCAGAATTCTGTAGAGCTTGAGAAGTTATTTTTATATTTTCCTTTAAAGGTGATTTTTCTTGTTTTTTCGGATGTGTTGGTGCTAATAATACAGATTCAGGTTTACGTTTTCTCTTATCTACTTCATCTTCATTAAATAGAGACTTTTTTTTCTCCGATTCCATAATTACAGGGAACTGAGATACATCTAATTGCTTTTCATCATTTTGTTTTATTTCTGAAGATGAAATATTTAATTCTGCTTTTTCAGAAAAATTTGAATCAACAGTAGTATTTTTTTGAGATTCTAAAATATCATTCTGAAAATTAGATAAAAGAAACTGTTTTCCAGAACCTAATGTACTTTATTAGATTCTTTTTGTCCCTTTTTATCTTTAAAAATACCAGGTTGATCATGATGCTTAAACGGACAAATTGCTTTTGTACATCCTGTAGGTGTTGTTTCCCAATAACAATAAGTCCCGCTAATATAACTTGTTAAATGACGGTCACCACACCCAATTTTAGTACATGTTTGTCGTTGTTGAAACTCTTTACATTGTACACGACTTTCGCGAGCTGCTATGCTATGTCTATAAATACATAAATTTCCTTTATTACAAGAACTGTTCATGAAAAACAGACAGTCTGCGCGACCGTCTGCATAAAATTCTTTCATCAATTATTTATCTTTATTTTTTATGATTAATAAAACAATATTTTTTATAAACTTCCGCTTAGCATTCGGATAAATTAGGATTAATAAAAAAAAGTAAAATTGTTATTAAAGAAACAATGAGCTTTAGACCTTTAAGGATCAAAGGAAATATTTCTAAAATTCTTGTATTATTCAGGGTTTAGAAATACATGAAAATTTCTTTTTAGAAATTAATTGATATTAGAAACAAGCATACGCAACAACAGAAACAATGCATTTTAAAGCACCTATTCAGTTATATGGTATTGATGGTATGATATGTTTAGTTGGAAAAATGAAAAAGAAAGGCTTATATTTTCAGGAACATATGCTACGGCTCTCTATAATGCAGCAAGTAAAAATATGTCACTTGAAAAAATAGAAAAATCGCTTAATTCTCTTTGTAACGTCATTGATAAAGATGTAAAACTTTCTTTAATTCTTAACAATCCGTCCCTTTCGTTAAAAGATCGATTAATAATTGCCGATGTTCTTTCAAAATTACTAGGAAATGATAAATTAATTTCCAATTTTTTACAAATAATTGCGGAAAAAAACCGTTTTAATTTTATAAAAAGTGTATCTAAAAAGTTTTCATATCTAATAACTACAAAAAGGGGAGAAATTGAAGTAGTTGTTACTAGTGCTTCTGTAAATATATCATTACTGTTTGTTTTATTAATTCGTAATTTAGTTACTTGATTCACATTCTTTGAAGCGTCTGGAAACAGCTATTTCAAAATCAAAATATGTTGGTCCTGAAAAAAAACTTATAATGATTAATAAAGTAATTAAGTGTCAAAATATTTAATATATTTTGCTTACTAGAACTAGATAAATAAAAATATTATTGGAGGTATTATTGTAGAGATTGGAAACTATACGATCGATTTAAGTGTAGCAGATAAAATTCTAAAGTTAAATAAAATTTTAACAGGTAATTATATTTTATATTTTTAAGAGTAAGATGTAATTTAATTAGATTCCATTTAAATCTGTTAATTTATTTTATATATAAGTATTAACAAACAGAAATAATGTTAAATATATTAAAGTATTTTTAATAAATTTTTTAAATTTTATTATAGTATTTTTTATATAAAAAGTTATAAGAATCTTTTTATTTTCGCCATTGTTTTATATTTATAGTATTTTAGATATTTTATTTATAAAAATTTAGTAAATTTTTATTTTTTGGTATTAAAATTAGATTTTGTAATTTTCTCAATTTTTATATGTAAGAATAAAAACTATAATAGCCTTAGATTGTTATCCCTTAAGGGATTTCGAAGTACTGTAGCTTTAATGTAGTAAAAATAATAATCTATTACCTTTTTATTATTTCCATTAATAATATATTTTAGAAAAATATATTTACAAGAATACATATACAGTATTTTCATTTTGTACTTTATGAATAACTAATAATAAACCAGAAATAGTGTTTTATATTATGTTTATTATTTTATATAACTCCTAATAATTATATATTAAATTTAAATTATTAAAAAATATTAAAAAATTATTTTTGAAAAAAAGACAATTAATGCAATTTTAAGATTTTTCTGTCCTATGCAACTTTCTTCTTCTCAACTTTCGTACTTGTATTCATCTTTATTTCAGGTTCCAACTATAAGACCAGATGCTAGAAAATCTACACAATTTCGCCCATTATTTGCACAAATAAATGTTCTTCCATTGACTTATGGATCTTCTTGTATAAAATGGGATGATACTCATGTTGTTGTGGGTATCAAAGCAGAAATAATTGATGCATTGGATTTGCAAACTTTACATGAGTGCAAAAAAGGTGGAAAAATATCTATAAATGTAGAAATGTAGATTCCTTTCTATATAGATTTAAGTTAATTTTATTAGATTTCCTGATGCATCTCAAGAAAATTGTGAAGATGATTCCATGTCAGCATTTCTTACTCAATCTCTACAACAGTTTTTATCTGGCATTAGACCTGAATGTCTTTTAGTAACATCAACTAAAGCCTGGAATATATTCATAGATGCTGTTGTTCGTATTTTGAAAATATTCTGATATATACTTATTTTTATAAAGGTTATTTCATCAAATAGTCATTCTCTTCCTGCCCTTTCATTGGCGATGTATCTTGCACTTCAAACAGCTAGATTACCTCATATTATTGCACATATTGCACCAGAGAATATGAAGTTTAGAGAAGATATTCAAAATATTGGGTCTGGAGAGTTTGAAGTTGATTATGATTTGAAAAATAGTGTACCTATACCTGATATTGAAAAAGTTGGTGTAGTTATTTTTGTTGGAAATGTTGGCGAAAATATTTTGTATGATTTAAGCGCTGATGAAATGGCTGTTGTAGAAGGATTACTTGCTGTAGGAGTTCTTCAAAACGGTCAAATTGCATATACTAGAAGAATTTGTATATCTGGTACTTATAAAAGATCCTGTTTAAAACATTCAATTATAAAAAATATGTTAAAAGGTGCTGCAATTATGGGAAAGGAATTAATTAGAAAGAGCAAAGAAGATATTATTAATCAAGCAAATAATAATCAGATAGGTTTTTTGTATTCTTTTTAACTAAATAACATCTAGCATTACAAGAAAAAATTAACGGATTAAATGTTCATAAAAATGTGTTTAAATTTAATAATATTAGATATTTCTTGTATTAATTAACATTAATATTGACAATATATCTTTCAGAATAAATTAGAAAAACTCAAATCCTTTTCTTTCATGTATAGTTTTCATATATTATTATTCTTTTATCTATAAGGAATTCTACTGAATTTTTATGTAGATATCACTTTCCATAACTAGTTTTTTCCTGCTAATGCTATTATAGGGTACCTGAAAAATCAGCATAAGATTTTTTTAAAAAAAAAAAAAAGATAAAAAATACTCTTTTTTTTCTTTTTTTCTTGAGGCATACATATTAAATGTACTTTTTATATATTAATATAGAATAAGGTCTGTATTTTTTATATACTTTTTTAACAGGGTTTTAAATAGTCATTAAAGCTGACGATAAGATTAAGGCATATTAGATAAAAAAAATAGAGAAAAAGAATAAGAATTATAAAAAAAGAGGGGGGAAGCGTTTAGGAAGTAGATCGGATTTGAATGGTTTTTTTGGCCTTTACATAAAGAAGCGGTGAAAAAGATGGAGATTTTAAGTAGTAGATTTGAAATTTTAAGTAATATTGGCGATGGGAGCTTTGGGAATGTTGTTTTAGCACGTAAAAAAGTATCCAATGATTCAGAACCGACACTGGTAAGTGAAGATATAAAATGTTTTTCTAGTGTGCATAAAATATAATGAGATTTTTTCAAATGCTTAAAAAAATCAGAAAAATTTAAAATCTAGAAAAACTTGGTGAATAAAATATGGAATTTATAAGAAAAATCTCTAAATGATAAAATTTTATTTAATATTAAATGAGGTTAATACGTTTAGGTTGCTATTAAAACCATGAAAAAGACGTTTCAAACATTTTCCGACTGCTTAAAACTTCGAGAAATACAGGTGTGAATATTTGTCTTTTAATCTATAGAATTATTAATTTCATATGTTAGTCTCTACGTACACTTCCTCCTCATCCGCATATAGTTCCTGTATATGATACTTTTCTCGATCCTACAACTAAACGTTTACACTTAGTTATGGAGCACATGGAAGGAAACTTATATCAGCTCATTAAATCCAGGAATAGTAAAAATTTTGATATTGAAACAATACAACATATATTGTATTTACCTTATATTATTTTTCTAAAGAATATTTTAACATAGATATCTAGATATCAAACTTTGTCTGCTCTAAAACATATTCATGATCACAATTTCTTTCATAGAGATATTAAGCCGGAAAATATTTTAGTTTCTACAATACCAAGTCAGAAATTATCTGAATTATCAATTTTTAATAATAAATTTTTAACATCTCCAACAAAAGGTGTTACTTATTTAATTAAACTTGGCGACTTCGGATTAGCTAGAGAAATTGCATCTCAATCGCCATACACATCATATGTTTCAACAAGATGGTATCGTGCTCCAGAAGTACTTCTTCGTGCAAATGAATATTCTGCACCTGTTGATATCTGGGCTTTTGGAGCAATGGCAGTTGAATTAGCTACTTTTCGGCCTTTATTTCCCGGAACAAATGAAATTGATCAAATATGGAGAATTTGCGAAGTTATAGGTAGTCCTGCTATATGGATTCATAATAACGATAACACGGAAATTGGAGGAGGGGAATGGAAAAAAGGGTTAAAGTTAGCAGAAAAACTCGGATTTTCTTTCCCGAAGGCATTTTTCTCCATTTTTTAAATAATAATAATGGTAACTAGATTCCACCGATGTCTTTAGAGGCTATTTTGTCTAATTCTTGGCCTTCATCATTTGCTTCTTTTATTAGGTGGACAATACAGTGGGATCCACTTCGAAGACCTAACTGTATTCAAAGTCTTGAACATCCTTTTTTCAATAAAGTTAATAATTCGATTAAAGTATCCACTATAAAAATGAATATAAAATCTGAACCAGTATCGTTTCAACTTATTGATAAAAAATTAAGTATCGATCAGCACAACTTTTATCTTAATAAGATAGAATCTCATACACATAAAAAACAAATTTCAAATGAAAAATGTTCAAATATTCATTCTATGCCTCAAAGACACTTGTCTTTTAATTTAAAATATTTATGGTTTCGTAAAAAGTATGAAGTAGTAGATTCAGGAGAATCTAAATATAATAAAGACATCCAAAATGATAATCATTCAGAAATTGGTGTAAATTCCAGGAAATTTCACTCTAAGCACCATTGGCGTAATCTGGTCTGGAAAAGTAAAATTACGAACTCGGATCTAGTAATAGAACCAATAGTTTCTGAGAAGAATGTTGAGGAATTAACGCAAATATCTGAAAAATCTTCATTACACAAAGAAAATGATGTATCCATTAAACCATTGGTTGTTAATGAAAATGGATCGGAATTAGATATTAAGAAAATAGGCCAACTTAATTCAACTATTTTGGGTATAGAAAGTTCAGCAGTAGATGTATTAGAGAAAAATATAGGATCCACTATGAGATTTTTTTCACATTTACGGAAAAAAAGCAAACAATTAGAAAATTCCAAATTTAAAGACCTATATAACTTAAAATCAACTGATTATTCTATAAGCAATGATCAAGATAGTTTGGCTCTTCATATATTTGAATCACCAGATAAAACTTTAAAAACTTCTAATTCGGAATTGAATAAAAAACATACTCAAGAAATTGTTCAGCCTTTCCAAGATGTATTTACATTCACTAAAGACTCTTATAGCAATATACTTCAGAACAAAATATCATGTCCTACTAATAATCGACATCAAATAATCAATGGATCTGCCTCATCTCAAATTGAAGATTTTAAATCTTTAAGTCCATCAAATTCTAATGTTTTATGTGGACATAAAAAAATTGAAGATAAATTTATAAAAAATTCTTTAAATTTATCATATAATGCTGCAAAAAAAGAACTAGATACTATTAGAGGGATAAAAAAAAATAAAAATTATCATATGTGTCATCCTTATGGTTTAAAGAATGAAAAGACTGAGCGACATATTTCAACTGATTTGAAAAGTAAATTGCTTTTAAGACGGGTTTCTCAACCATTTCATTCGTCTAGATTATATTTTAATTTCAATGTTATACACCATAAACCAATTTTATCCGCTTCAGATGAGAAATATCCTTTAAAATACGAAGATATAACTAAACAAAATATTTCAATAAGAAAAAAGAAACCATTGGTCGTTTATTAAGTCTAGTTTAAAATCAAGCATTCTTTAATCAAACAAACATATATTTTATTATAACGATTTTTTCATTGAAAATACCCCTTTGGCTTATACGTTTGAGATTCAAATGTATATATTTTATATTATAAAAACAATTTCGATATTACCTACTTAACATTAAATTGCTTTAATGTCATTATTCAATGGGACGTTTTTAACAGAGGAATTAAAAAAGCATCAGCTATCTTTTTAAAAAAAAAACGTGTTTTTTATTCTCTTAGGTTAATAACTTACTTTCTGTTAGATGTTTTTATTGTCTTTTTCTTAAAATGAAAAAAAAAATAGTAGAGTTTTTATTTTTTACTTAGTAATTCTAATAATGCTTTATACATTGCATATTAATGCTTTTTTAATGTATTATTGAATATATATTTCTAATTATAAAAATAATCTTTAGATTTCTCGAACGTAAATATAAAAAACAAAATGGTAAGAAATAATATATTGGAATATGAATAAGATGAAACAAGACTAAAATAAATAGGTTGAAAACGAAGATAATATATTTCAAGGGTTTCATGCTAAACAGGTAGATTTAACAAAAAATCTAAAAAATAAAGAAATATTTCAAAAACATTCATCACATTTAAAGTCAGATATACAAAGGCAAAGAAAAAAGCAACCATTAGAGAAATTTCGTATGTTTTTTCATAATTTAAACAAAATACTGTTATTTTTTTAATAAAAAATTAATATATAAAGATCAAGACCATACGATACCATATCTTCGTCAACAAATTCGAAGAATTCCAAGATCAGTTATAAATAGGCGGTGGACACAGATTTCAGAATCATCACTTATTCAGATTGTGGAAATTTTAAAAGATATTCAACGGTTTAAGGAATATATATTTATTATATTAAATTAAATGTTATAGATCTGTTATTATGAGTATTCGTCACAAAACACGAAGGATGGATGCTCAAAGAAATTTAAATATAATGATTAATAAGTAATATATATGTTTTTAGTTTTTATATTTTTAATTGCATTAGAATACGAGATCGTATTTCAAGATTGTTGGTTCCATCTTCAAAAGAACAATATAATTATGAGAAATTGAAAGAAAAAAATGTAATATTTTTATTTTTTATATTAGCGTTGATATTTTTCAGCAAGAATTAGAGTCTATTCTTATTTCAAATTTAGAACAAATATCACGATTAGAAAAAGCATTAAATCAAGAAAAATAGTTAGTCTGATCTTCCTCGAATATTATATATATTGACATTAAAAAGCTTACTTTCTAAAGAAGAGGCAAATTTTCGGGAATTGACGAAAAATGCACAATATGATGAAAAATCAAAAAAACAGATTAAAAGAGTATTTTATTGATATAGAATTCTTTTTTTAACCAATGTCTCTAGCTTCATCCTTTACTAAGATTGCAAGACGATCAAATAGAACCGAAGTTTTCATATACTCAAATTAATTTAAATGAAAATAATTCTTTAGCATTTGATGTTTGTATTATTATTTATAAAATTAAATCCTGATTATTTAGATATTGAGTGATAAGTCATTTATTACTTTGGAAAGGCAAATAAAACAGTATGTTAATAATATGAAATCAAGTTCTACTAGAGCGGGAAAAATTATGCAATTATCTCAAAAAGCTCAAGTTACTTTATTGAAAATTTTAACATCATATGATCACTTTCTATCGCGTAGGATTTCAATTGATACTTGTATTTAGTTGAAAATAATTGTTTATGTATTTTATCTGTATTTCTGATACTTTTTAAAAATATTGTAAAAAAATTATGTAAATTTAAAAACTAAGTTATTTAAATATATGCCAGTGTTTTTGTAGTTATAAATACAGTGAACATATTATATTATAAATTAATGATTTAAGAATTAGATTTATTTTATTTAGAATAATATTGAATATTCATAAATAGTTCTATCAGTAAAAATGAGGCTAAATTTAATCTTTTAATGATTAACATCTATTTTTTAAATAATTTTTATATAAGATGGAGCTAAAATAGTTACTTTTTATTAATATATAGTATTTATCTAAAGAAATTTTAAAGTCTAATTGGATAAAAAAGAATTTAAATATACATTATTTATAAAATAAATAAAAATTTATTTTCTAACTTACATAACTAAAAATAGCAGTAATTTTAAATGTTGGTTTTCTGAATAATCTATATATCATTAAATTATAGAAAAAATATCTTAAAATTTTTATTTTTTAAGTTTTGACATAATCGTAATGTTGTTATTATGAACTTCATTAGTTTGCACTTCTTCACGTTTTATAGTTTCTAGCATTTCTTTTACAGTACTTTTATCAAGGTCGTCTCTTTTAGTCAAAAGATCTTCTACATACCAAAAAGGAAGATCCCAATAATCATGTTTAAATGCCATATAATCTTGAAAAAATAATGTGCGAGTTGTAGATAATAAAGTCAGCATTCTCTCAATAACATTAAAATGATATTCTAATTCTTTAGGATTTATATATCGTGCAAATAATCCAAATGCTAATCGTACATCGTTTTTTATTTGTTCAATGCAATTAGGCATTTTAAACCTACAACCTTTATTTCGTACACATGATAAATATAAAACTAAAAATTCAGTTAAAAGATCTTCCACCAAAATTCCAAAAAGATTTTCATTAAGATGTGATCTACAATCATCGAGATATTCTTTATATGTATCCATGATTAAAGACATATGATTACCCCCATACCATACTGGTGTAAAAAAAAATAAAAATGCAGATTTAAGATCGTTGCAAATAAGTTTAAGAAGAGAGATTATACACTTATGAGAAAGATCAAGAAACCCATCTGTTGTTTTGCTAAGGCATTCTGATATTTCTAATTTGTATTTTTCAGAGACCCAGGGCAAAATACGTGCTGAAATGGCTTCAGTATAATCTGCACAACGTATTTGATCATTGGCTAATGCAATAATATATTCAACCAAGCCTCCAGGAATATCATTAGGTTGTTCAATTTGTTTTATAACTTCAGAATGCAAAAGATCCCCCCATGCTTCTCTATGTTGTTGAAGTATCTTAGAACATTCTAAAACAACACCAAGAAGTACTCTACTTTGATTACTCTCAGCAGCAACATCCATTTGCTGACTTATCATTTGGAACATTATTACAGCACCAGGCATGCCATATAAATTGTCAGTATCAACTTCTGGTTGTTCTTCTCTTCTAATAAAGCTATTAAATTCCTTCTTTGACAAGTTAGAAACCCATTCTTTCATTTTTTTAACAATCAATCTTAAATAATCATCAACAATTTCTGATTCTTTTCCATCTAAGAGTCTAGGAATTAATTTATCCCGAGTAACACCAAGTTCTTTATTCATTTTTAAATAATATTTCTTTACAAATTCCAACACTTTTAGAATAGTTTTTGCATCTGGTTCATCGTACATTATATTTTTTAAAATATCATAAATACCAGCATGATAAAAGTTAAGAAAAACTTCAAATATATTCCATTTAAGTGGGACAAGATTAGTAATTTCTTGGTTTACAAGATGTAAATCATCGAATATCCAAAAGATATTTTCCAAAATCCCTGAATAATCAAACTTAAATCTTTCTTGAAATTCCTTTAAATTTATATCAATAGAAATCTTTATTTCCTCAAAGAATCGTTCTTTATAGTTACGAAGAATACGAGGACTATCATGAATTGTTTTAAGCCTGCATGCTAATTCTCTATTATTTTCTTTTAATTTTTCAATTTCGGAAAATTCTCTATCAAGTCTATCCTCTGTATCAATAACTTTAGCCAAACGTATAACCAAATCGTGGTTTCCATTTCTCACAATTTTCAAAATATCTTGTGTAAGGATCCAAAGCATATTTTCAAATAATTTTGAAATAGAATTTAACCTAGAAAAATAACGTTCAAGTATTCTTTGAACATCCTGGCCAGCATTTCTACTTTGATACATTGCTTGATCTCTAAAATTTTGTAATTGGACAAGCTTATAATGAATATTTAAAAAGTTTTGCATTCTTAGTGTTTCATCTAATATAATTTAATATAAAAAAAATTATATTTTTAATAACCTTCTTCATCTTGCTTCATCATTGTATCTATTTTATCTAGTTCTTTTGGTATATTTCGTAGATTTTCAGTCATTTTTTGTACGTCATTAAAGTTCTTGTAAATTTTAGATGCCTAAAAATGTTATTTTATTTCCCTTTTTTCTTCAAATTAACATTATCTATTATAGAAAACTTTTCTATCATTCGAGATTCTGAGAATAATTTATCAATCTAAAACATAAAATATAATTCTTTCATAGAAAAATCTATCACCTTAAACATATTATCTTTTATAGAATACATGTGTTGTTGTGTAGAACTTAAAAATGCCAATCCTGACTAGATATTTCATTATTTATTAAAATTAACATAGTATTTTAATCCTACTCGAATAATAGATAATTGGTCTTTAATAATTGCCTTAATTTGAGCATCTACTGATGATTTTTTTCTAGAAAATTGCGTAATTAAATTGTCCAATTTGTACAAATCCTATTCATTTTAACGTTTTAATATTATGTTATATTTTAGTGCTCACATCAGGCTGTCTCAAAAGTTCTTCAATACTATATCTTTCTTAAAAAAATCAATATATTTATTGTATTTCCTACCATTTAATGGCTGAATCCAAAGGTTCTTCCATTTATTTAAAAAAAGTTTTAAAAAAAGGTCGATGTAATAAGAAAATAATGGGATATTTTAAAATAACACTTCAGAGTATTTTTATCTAATTAAATGTCTTAAATATTTAATAAAAAATGCAGGATCTTCTATTGGTTTGCCAAAAAATATTAAACGCACATTATTATCATTAGGTTTGCGTAAAAGATTATCAACGGTTTATCATAGCATTTCACCTGTAACAGCTGGAAAGATTTTAAAGGTTAAGGAGCTTGTTTCTGTTGAAGAAGTAGATAAACGTTTGACTTCTATTGAAATGAAAAGACTTAGACGTCCTGATAAAGGTTATTATGTAGAATCATAAATATATAATTATAAAGATTATTATGGATTAAATTATTTAAAAAGAAAGGCTATTGATATTTATAAAATACTTTGTGGGAGGCTTCCGCATATATTTTGTTTATTAAATGTTTTTTTTTTACTTTTTACAATAATTTTTATATTTTCAACTCTAGAAGTTATAGAGAAAAAATGAAATCTTTTAAAATTCAAAAGAGTAAAAAAGAGTCAGAGATAGCCTTCTTAAATGTGTGTTTATTCTTAATTATATATGTTATAATATAAAAATGCATTTTGAGGTTTAATGTTAATATTTTATTAACGTTAAATATTTTATAAATATAATCAAATTTTAAAAGATATATTTTAGGATTTTATAACTTGATTATGGAATCCCCATTTATCTTATTAAATTGCAGAAATATAAACAAGGAATGGAAATTGATATCAATTTATAAGGTAATGATATAGAATTTATTTTATTCTTATAAAAAGAATTATTGAAAACTTTACTATATTATTTGTATGCATGTTTAAAAGGAATGCAGTCTATTTATGATATTTAGTTTTTTATGTATAATTTCAGTATTATTCAAGTGTTCCTGGAAATTTTCCTAAAAACATTATTGAATTTTATAAATTTAAAATAATATACCCTCTTCTCTCTATTAAAAAATAATTAGGGAAGGGTAAATAGATGTCAATATAAGTTACCTGCGTGTCCCATTGCTGTTTCCATTCATTAGGACCTTTTTATGTTATTTATAATAAAAGATGAAAAAATATTTTATACACAAACTCTGATATGTAGACCAAAAATCTCTACAAAGAATAAAATTATCACTGTGTATATTAATACACTTATAATAATTAATATAATTTTGATAACAACGCTGATAATGATTATTTTTGTGTTCTTAAAAATAATATCTTACCTTTGTCTATTTTAGAGCACAAAAAGCGCATTTATGATTAACAAAGAAATTTAACAATTCAAAAAGTTATAGTACCTGATTCATATTAGGAAAATTGCTATCAAATCCTGCTGTTTTGAGTTGTTTAAGGCTATTGTTTTTTAGCTAAATTTTTAATTTTAATTAATTAATAATATACTTTAATTCTTCAGACATTTTTATTTTTAAAATTATTTATTAAATATTTTAGGTATTATTTTAATGATTTAAGAAATTGGCTTTTCTTTTATAGTTGTATATAATTAAAATTTTTTTAAAAAATATTAATATTGAATAAAAAAATAAAATTTAATTAACTTGAATAACATATTATATATCACTATTGATTAGTTTTATTTAAATTTTTAAGAAATAGTTTAAAAAAATAATTTTTTTGTCAAATTATAAAGTTTAAAATAAATTTATGAAATTTAATATAAAATTTTAAAAGTGTAGCTAATATATTTGTTAATATTAATTTGTTGATTAATATGAGATATACAATAAAGCATTATTTTTATTATTTATTGGAGTTTAATACTTTTAAATATTTATATATTTTAAATTTAACCATAGATGATTTTTTAATATTGTTATTAATGTTTTTTTTTCTCATTATAAAAACATTTAAGTGATTGAATTGTTTTATAATTAGATTTTATCTTTTGATTATATATTTATAATTTCGAATTGTTAATTTGATAGAGATAATTTTAAAGTTATTAAATTAAATTTTTAAAATTAATATTAAAAATAGAAATATATTTAATTAAAACCGTAGAAAGAATATAAATAACTAATATTATCTCTGAAAATATTTTAACAATACTTTTTTGTCTTTGTTTAATATATACAAATGTTTTAAAATAATTGATATCAGTTTTATAAGATTGTTTAGTTGTTGTTATTTATAAAATCATAAAACAGTTGGATAATTATACATTTAATAAATATTATCACAAAAAAAAATAATTAAGATATGTTAATATTTGATTTTTTTTCTTAAAAAATAAATATATAATATTAATAAAGTAATAATAAGCGCTCTATATAAAAGATTTGCGTTAATTACTTAATTTATATCAGGTGCTCTTGATATATAGTATATCTTACCCTTCGTTATCTTTTATAGGTTAAAAAAATCCAAGATAGAATTTAATTTCTATAGATTTATGCTTATCTAGTATTTTGGATCAATTTTATAGAAAGCAGAAGTTTATTGTCAATAATATTACATAAATAATAAAAGATATAAATAAAAGTTATTAAAGACAAGAATTATAAAGATAATATATATATATATTGAAATGTTTTTTATTTAAAAATAATATTACATATTTTTGAATATAGAATAAAAGATATGTTCTATAAATAGATATCTTAATATAAAAATATCTTTTAGCGAGACAAGAATAATTAATTCATCGAGATATTAAATAGAATATATTTATATTGAAACGCATTGACAATTGTTAAAAGTTGTGAAAATAGAAAAATAAATATTTTTGATGAAAATATATAAAAATCTTATTAGATTATTTTAAATGTGGTATGCTATATAATATATAGTAGTTTTGAAATTATAATATTTTTTTCCAATAAATTTATAAATGTTTATTCTATTATATTTATTCATGCTCTTATCAAATTATTTACTTTTACATGAGATGCTTTAAAAAAGGTGTATGATAATGTTATTGTTCTGATATTTCGTACTAGTGGATCTTTAACAAAATCCGGGTCAATGAAAAAAAAAACCTTTTAAATATTAACTAACATTCAATTTCATCTTTTATACATACTGGCATATCAACCGATTCGCCTGCATTCAATTTTTGCTCTTCCATTTATTAGATTCTTTTTTTTTAACGATTTTCATACCCTCATAGCAAAAGCATGCAATTTTTGAAAAATACGGTGCAGCCTGGAGCTAGTTACAGATATGCTTTATATATATACATAACCCGAACCTGTGCAGGAGCAACACTATATGTAGAAATCCCTAATTGTTTTTAAAATTAATTAGATTCATAATTATAAACATACCAATGATATCTTTATCACTTCTATTATGTGCGGTATAAAATGCTTTTAGTTTTAGAAAAATTCCACATTATCCTCTTAAAAACCTGTTACCTAATGCTGTCTTCCATTTAATATTAGAAGAATCATATTATTTAAATAAATCATTTACTTCTCCAGGTAAAACATATATTTCTTTTTGCAGAGGCACAAAATTCCATTCAAGGGAATCCGAAACATCTGCATTAAACGTAATCCTGATCCTTTCTGCATCATGTATAGGAATCATTCTATCTGGTGTAAATTTTGAACTTTCAATAATGGGAGTACCAGCTAAAGTATAAATCAGGTTTTTTTAAAAAAAATTACTAAATACCCCATCCCATTTTTTGACATATCATCCTATATAAAGGAACAGAAGCATAAGAAATACCAAAAATCCCTAATAAAACAGAACTTGTATAAAGTAAAACAGATTGATTGCGTATTCTGGATTGAATTCTTGGATCTGTATGTAAAGAACGAAAAAAATTAAAAACATTAGGAAATTCAAAATGCTTTCGTTGGCTTATATATTTTCTCCATTGAAAAAATATGTTTTTTTGAATCATTTATTTCTAAAGATATAAGATTTAAATTTTACGGCATTCTTTATCAGATTATTGTCTTTATTCAAATTCTTTTCAATAATCTCTGAAGCAATATTGGTATAAAATAGACATATAAAGAGTGTTATTTATGGATTATTTTCTTATTTATATTTTTTTAAAGTACAAATATCTTTTTTTTGATTAACAGACATGTTTTTATAAGATTCTTTATTAGATGTCTAAAATAGTTTAAAAGTTTGAAAATGCAAATAAGTGGTTTTTAAAATTTGAAGAGAAGGGATTTTCTGTAATTCTTTATTTTTTTTCTTTTTTTTGAAAGATGGCTAATAGGCATAGATTTTGGTTTAGAGCTGAATATGCTGTTAAAAGTCTTTCAATTAAATACTAGATAGGACTAGCAAGTTGTATGACTGCTTTCGTTACTGTAGTATTATATTTTAATATATAAAATATTGATATTTTATTAGCACCTCATGGATCTTATAAAAGTAAGAATGCAAACAAGTAAAAAAGGTTAACAGGATTAACTGGTAAAATCATGAATATTTTACGTCATGAAAGCAAAAAAGAATTATTTTAGAAATGAAATTGAATAATTTTGATAGTATTTAAAACTATGTATAATGGATTAACAACTAATATTTTACGTCAGGAAACATATTCTACAGTGCATTTTGGAATATATTATGAATTAAAAAGTACAGTTTCTGAAAGAATATGTATATATATTATTGTAATATATATATATATATATAGGGAAATCTCTTACATTTAGTACTCTTATTTGTATAGCAACAATATCAGAAGCGTATAAAACTTATTGAAATATCATCAATTTACGTTTAATAGTATTGGTGGAGTTATTAGTAATCCGATGGATATAATTAATGTATTTTCTAAATATAAACTTATTTTTTTTGAATAAGATAGATTCGTATGCAAAATGATAATTCATCATTATACAAAGAAGAAATTAAAAGAACATATTCCATGGATTATATATAATGTTTAAAGATGAGAGATTTTCTTTATTTCTAAAGGAATGCTTCCCAATACAATGAGAGCTATATTTGTGATAGCAAGTCAATTATCTAGTTATGATTAATTTAAAGAAATTTTAGAGAAATCTGGCTATTTCTCAAAAGGAGTTTTAAGAGATTTTTCGGTATATATAAATACATTTATTTTTTCTGATTTATTAAAGTCAGTAGTATTAGCTGGATTTGTTGTAACTACAATGTTCGTATAGAAACATAAATGATTTTATTCTAAAAAAATAGATGTTCTTCAATAGATGCGATGAAATAAAGAGTTGTGAATTCAGATAAATATAAAAACATGTTTGTCTTTAAAGAAATCGAAAAAGAAGGAATAAAATTTGTATCTAGAGGCTGGGTGCCATCTTTTATAAGATTGGGGCCTCATACAATTATTACTTTTGTAAATAAGCCCATCTAGTTTAAGATATAAAATAATATTTTATAGATTATTTTGGAAGAACATAAAAAACTCTGGTAAAGGTGTTGTATAAAAAAGGTTTTGGAATTATGAAAATTTGTAGAATTTCTTATTATTTAGATACATTATATATAATCTAGTTATATATAATATCTCCGATATTTCTTTTTTTTTAACATAAAATTATTTAATCCCATGTCGTTTTTTCCCATCCATTTAAAGTTTTGTTTGAAAGATGTATATCATCACCAAAACCTACTGCTCCAATGCCCATATTTTCCACCCCACCTCTTTGTAAATCTCTTACAATTGTAGCTAATTTTACCTGAAGGTATTTTATACCTTGAGATATAACCTCATTTGGAGGCAAAGATCCCACTGTCTAACGTTTTTCATTAAAATAAGAAACTTATTTTAACTGCCTACTTCAACTCCGAAATAAAATTTATTTGGCTCTGCCGTATAATCAAATGTTTTATCTCGTGGAGCTTCTTCCCAATCAGTATTTCTACTTTTTGGCCTATTTTTATTAATTATTTGAATGAAACAGTTTTTATACAGACCACTCCGCTTCTGAACTTTCTTCAAACCAATAGTCCGTATGCCGAAGCTTATTCCATGGGTCATATTCAAATGCAATAGCAGAAACTGGTGACCATTTTGCATGTTCTTTTGCAATTCCCTATTTATTTTTAACCTATCATAATACAATACTTTTTTCTAACCTTCTTTGCAATGCATTTAAGTTTCAATTCTTGTGCTTTTCTCAATTTACAAATCAAAATACCTTTTCCTTCAGGATCTATCATATATTATATATATATAACTTTGTATATTTTATTTTTTACCATCAATTACTGGAGTACCAATAGTAGCATTATTTTCAACAACAAGATCTCTTGAATACACATCCATAGTACCATCCCCTGTACATTTGGCATATAAAGTTAGTTGAACAGAGCATTTTCTACAATATTGATCACAATCACAATCCTTCAAAAATTAACCGTTTTTCTCATAAAAAACGTTTAAAAACTACTCTCGTATATACTAATTTATCATCTACATTCGATGAGTGTAATGGTATCATCCCTAATCTGTGTGTAATAAATTCATCTGCAAGAACCGATGTGTTCATTTCTATCTCTACCAAGTCAATAGCTAACGCATTTTAGCCTCTAAAAAAACGTTTCTTTGGCATTAAATATACCTATAGTAGGCACTTCTGCTAAAATAATTCGTCTAAGAGAGTTTGCAAATCTAAAATTATCTTAAACTTAAACTTAATATTTTTTAAATTTTATACGCAAGATCTACATTAGATAATACAAAATCAACACTGTGTTTCCCAAGACTTCTTATAGTTATTTGGGGCCCTTCACGAGTGTCCATTCGCTTTTATATGGTTTTCTTCATATGCTCAGATTTTTTAAGTGTTTTGACGGTTGATATTTACCCGATTTAACGTCAAAAAAAAAGTTAAAAAATCTAAGCATATGAATGATAGGAAATTCTCTAGAATTTTCAAAATATTTTTTTGATTTTGTTGAGAAGAAATAATAGGGTCTCTTGTACTTTTTTTTCTGAAAAAAAAGGATAAAATATAAAGTAATGAGAGAACGGTTTTTCTTTTCATTAGCAAGAATTTCAGCCATACAAATCTTGCGTTCAGCAGGGATTACTCGTGCAAAACCTGTTGTAACAGATAGTTTTACTGATATCTTTATTCGGTATATTCTTTTATTGGGCACAACAGCGAAACATTTTGCAGAAATTTCGGGTCGACCATTAGTTGAAATGGAAGATTTGCGTGCAGCGATGGAAAATATTGGTTTATTGGGAGTTTCCTCTACAGAAGATGATGTTGAACCGATAGAAATATTTTTGAATTGGTGTAAAGGAAGTTTTACAGCAGAACTTCGGCAACTGTCTGGTCAAGAATCTAAGCCTGGTAATTCAAGTATAGGTTGGCTAGATAGTAATTTTTCTACAAGTTTTATGATTTGCTTTTAATTAAATGACTAGAATTAATGCAGAAACATATTAAGGAAAAATTTCAAGGAACTGTTCTCGATAATAATGTAGAAACACCAGTTCCTAGATTAGCAGATCCTCGTATAATCAATTTATCGCCATTGCATGAGAAAATTGAAACAATGTTAAAGAAATAATATTACAAGTCTAAAAATTCATATTTAAGGTTTAAATAAGAATCTTATATATCGATTATAAAACATAATTTTTTGGCTAATTCTATTCCTACTGCAGAAACGCTTTCCACAATCATTTGCCTAACATTTTCTTGAGTTTTATAATATCTCGATTGGCTTACAGGCACAATTGTCATATCTTCGAAAACATGTATTTCTTCAAGATTGAGGTTTTGAATGTCCTTTTCCTTTAAAATACCTGGGACGTCATAATTAAGAAGACTATTTTTATACTTTTGTAAATGTTTTGTTGCTTTGTTTTCTAAAGTCTTGATATGTAATGAATCTATATAGGAAACATTGCATATAGGCGATAATATGTTTGGTGTTGGCTCTAAAGTATGAAATGAGATATATAATGACCCACCTAGTTTCCAATGCTCTAGATATCTTTTCAGTGGTATCCATTCATATGTTTCCTGAAATTGTTAGCAACATTTTTGATGTATTTTATTTTTATACAGGATCTAACAACTCACTTGGATGGTATTCTCCCTTATATTTCATTTTTTGATGGTTATGGATATAATATCCTAAATTCGATAAATTAATATTTATAACTCTTGTTTTTTACCCATATAATAAAACTGACATTTTCTTTCTCGTACTAAACATATTTCTTGACATGCACTTATTTTTCCTAGGCATAGATTTTGCATATTACTTTCATACATGAAATAGACACTAGAAATTCCTCCTGGTAAAATATCAATCACTCCCATAGCAATTAATTTTCCATCAAGTCTATAACATTGATGAAAAGTTCCACATCCTGTTTTTGAATCAAATTTTAAAGGCGTATCGCACAGAAATCGAATAAATCCTTTTTTTTTTATTCGATTCTCTGGTTCTTTGTGTATATATGTCTGGTAATTGACATATAATGCATATTTTTCATCTGTATATGTATTTGACTCAATCGTCACTTTAAATGTATGAGAAAATATAGACGTATTGTCCATCTTGTCCGTTTCTGTCTTGTGTATTATATCGAACAAATTCCATGATTGCTTTTCGGGTATTGTTTTATCCCAAATATATTCATACAATCGTTTAACTGCTCTTCGCTGATTTTTATTCGGTTTAAATTTTTGTGCATCCAGTCTACAGCATTTATTATTGTATAAATTATTCAATTATTTTCAACACACCTAATTGTATACAATTTACAGCATGATCGTTTACTATTTGGTTTATATATATAATGGCCAGAACGTCTTACTTTGTAAATAACTCTTTAAATTTCAAAAAAAAAATCTACCTCCATCCTCGATTTAATAACATTTCATATGTCTTGTTTGTATCAGAACATACGCCGATAAGAAATAAGAGCATCTTCTTGAGAGTATTTTTTTTTTGATTTCTCTACTCTAAAAATAATCTAATTAAATATAACATTTAATCTTATATTTAATTTTTTATTATTTTTCCTTGATATTTTTATTTCCCTTTTAATATTCTCTCATCTTGCTCTTTTATTAAAAACTTAACCTGGCATTTCATTGTATACGCCCATAATCCAACTGTTTCTAGTCCTTTTTCTGGGCTATAAACAACATCTTGTTTATGGTTTTCACCCTCTGAACCACAATATCCACAGTGATCACTGGAATAACCTAGAAATGTAACAAATTCTATGCTCATTTTTTAAGTTTTTTAAAATTTTCTTAAGATTTGTTATAAAATGCCTTAATTGACTCTAATTATTTCCTAAAACTTGATAAATGTTTTACTAATTTTTTAAGCGGAGGTTGTCAATTTTTAAAAGGTCCGGGATGAAAGTCACTTGACGTACCGAGGTCTATCGACGTCAAAAAAAGAGTGAACTGGTGAGAACGTATTTTTAGGGTATTTTAAGAGTGTTCTCAAACTAAACAATATAATCGGTTTGTGCTTGCTTGTACAAGCGTACGGGTTGCTTTTTTCCCAGAAAAAAACCGTTTTATATGGCCGATTTTCAAGGTGAAAGAACAAACGTGACACCGATTGTCACACCCGTTGAGAGATCCATGATTTCTAGAACAGATCGTACAAAAGAGCGATAGTAAGTGTTTATTTGCTTATTTGTCCTTGTTTTGTTTCTTAATATGTTTAGTGATGAAACAGGCGCAAGGTTTGCAATGAAATGATTATATCTTTTTAATTGAGATTTAGACTGGTTGCAGGGATTGTTCCTCTTTCTTCAGCTAAGACACATCCGGGATATCCGGAAAGAAAGTATATTTTGTGTATCAGTTCTACCAATAACAAACAATCATGGGTTTTACCAAAAGGTGGGTGGGAAATTGATGAGTTGATTGAAGAAGCAGCATTGCGTGAGGCTTGGGAAGAAGGTTTTTAAGTGTTCCTCTAGTTATTAAATTTTTACATAAACAGCTGGGATTGTTGGCAAAATTACCTGTTCGCTTGGAATGATGCATGATCCTCGTCCAGCAAAAACATTTCAAAGAGCAGTAAAATATGTAATGCAAGAAAATCATCCATATATGTTTCATGATTCGTGCATTCCTCCTCGTGCAGTGTTTCAATATTTTGAATTAGATGTTGAGCGTCTTGAAGATGAATACCCTGAGATGAACAAGCGTATACGTAAATGGATGACTTATTCGGAAGCAAAAGAAGCTTTAGCATGGCGATTGGAAATGGTTGAAGCATTGGAACGAAGCTCAATTCTTAAATTTTGAGCAACAATTTGTCTTATTAATATATTGATCCGTCTCAACATGTGTAAATACTGGCACCGGCGAAATAAGTTTTTTCCCTTTTAAATATATAAAAGCCTTTAGGCTTGATTTATATATAGACATATACAAATCTTCTAAGTGACTCCACTGATACATTTCAACTTATTTAGATGTTTTTCGCTTTTTTATATGCCGAAATCATATAGGTAATCCTTATTTATACACCATAAATAATCCAAGCTTTTGTTTGCATATGCTGGAATCGCATAAATGATTCTTGTTTTTTTTAAAAATAACAGCCATATATAAAAAAATTATATACAGACGGAAAATTTTATTTCGGACCCACAATTAGAAAAGGATCTTTTTTTATTATTTAGCTATACTTTCATAAGAATCACTAATCCTTATCTAAATTATTTTGATAGGACATGTGTCAGCAGAATATATGTTGGAAGTATTTGATATATAGCATGTTTTGTACTTGTTTCATAATTCGTTATCAAATCTGTTTGCTTTAATCTCCTAATTTAAGGGTTGTTTTTTATTATAAATGGCAAATTATTTTTGAAGCCATTCATCTATTGGATATATTTTGTTTTAAAACATGTTGAAAATGATTGAATTTAAGAAAATATTTGAATTAGACTATTTTTATAGCCTTCTTATATAAAGAATCTAAATGAACTAAATAGTTAATTGTATTGTTAATAAAAAATAAAAAATATCATCTATATGTTAAAAATTTTACTACTGAAAAAAATGTTTCAGATCTTTAAATAGCAGGTGAAAAGCTCATTCAAAATATATATTTACTTTTATTTTTTATATCATTTCCATTCAACAATTAGCTAATCTTTTTGTTTTTTTTTAATATATATAAATATTTAATTTTTAATTCTTTCAACATTAAACCTTGAAATGAAAAAAATTTTTAGTATTTTAATATTATCAGTTATCCAAACATATTCTTTCGTAAAAAAAGAGAAAGTTCATTAAAAAAATTATCTTGTAAAATTCTATAAAAATATTTAAAATTTAAAAATATTAAAACTTATTTTTTTTAATTTATCTTTTAAATTTCTAAACTTACCTCGCCCGAATTTTAAAGATCTTAATAAAATTCTAAAAAGGCTGAAGAATATGAAAATACAGAATTTTGTAATAAAAGCGAAGGACTTATGGCTGAAGATATAAGAATTCCTTTTTACCCTTTCTTTATTTTATTATCAAGCATATTACGGCTGTAAAAAAACATATTAAAATTTTATAATATTTAAAAATGTATTAAATATTAATAGACCTGAAGAAACTACTATGCTTGCTTCTATTTATTACCATAAATATTATCGATGGCTAGAAAAAGTAAATGAAGATAATTTATTACGTTTGTTGGATGATTATGTATGTTTTTGATATATTTTTGATGGACAGCTTATGATATAGACATTGGCTATTGCATCCCTTTCGCTTGCATCTAAGGCAACTGAACAGTTTAGACGTATGCGAGAATTCCTTATTCCTGCTTATTCGTAGTTATTGTTTTTTCTTTTTGATTTTTTAATATTTTTAGAATATTAAATCCAACTAAACCGAGGCTAACTTTTCCCTCAGAGATTTATGATTCTTTAAGAGATTCAATTGTCAATGCAGAACTTCTTCTATTAAGAATTGTCAAATTTGATCTGAGAATTATACTTCCTTTTTCATATCTAGAAAAAGCACTTAATCTAACTTTAACTACATGGGAAGCAGAAATTACCGAATCTACTCTTCATAGAGATGCATGTTTAATGAATACTGCTCTTGGACGCTATGCACGTTGTTGCATTATGGATGCGTATGTTTTAAATTTTTTTTTTATTTTAATTCTTTAAAAGCATGTCAGATTATCGACTTTCAACACTGTATGACCCACAAACATTATCAAGTGCTTGTTTATGGTATGTCCTTCGTGATTTTAAAATATTCCCAGAAGAAAAATTTATACCGTGGGTTATATCTGTTACAGGAAATACACAAATACGTGAAGATATTCAAGGTAAAAAATCATATATAATATCTTATCTGACATTTCAAAGATGCTGTTGATGACCTTATTCAATTAGATTTGAAACGTTGTGTACGAAGAGGAAGTTCTGATTTACAGATGAATATAAGTAAAAGGCAATATTATGATATACAGGACTAAATCCAAAACTATATTAGAAAAAGTTATAACAATTACCGCTAATGAGTAAAGGTGAAAAATAAGTTATTGAATAGTATATTTTTATTTTTTTTTACATACCGTTTTTTTTATAATCTTAAAAAACCAAAAAAAAGATTAATCATAATACCCGCGACAATTGCCATCTGCCTTCTTCGATAAAATATCTTGGGTTCCCAGACAAAAAACAATGTAATTATTCCCTATATAAAACCTGTTAATCTTTTTTTATTATTCTATCTATTAAAAAAATCTACCCCAATAAAACCAATGCTTGCCCCTAATATCATATCCTCATATGCTCCATCTAAAAATTAAAATTATTAGTTTGAATATTTCAAATTTATTATCAATTACTTACATCCTTCTTGTGTAATATTTTCCGATGTCGTTTGATTAATCCAATCTTCTTCTAATTGCCATGCCGGTTCTGTTTGTTCATCTTGAGAATCCCTCCCGTGAATCATCATAAATTGCTCTCGTAATAATCCAATTTCTCGTTCTGAAAATCCCACTTCTCGTAAACGATCAAATCCAAGAGGTAAAGGTGTAATAGATGAACCATAAGATACCTCCAAAAAATAAAAAACACGTTAGTCGTAAAGCAAGTACATCCCCATATTCACTCCATGGAAGATTTACCTCACGTTCTTCATCCTCATAAGATTCAATCTCATTCCCAATACTACAATGAAATATCACTTCTGAATGATCCACCCACTGTTTATTCAACACTTCCGATAAAACCCATTCATTCTTTAAAATCTTTCCGAGATATATGATCCGTAAAGACCGTTTTCGAAGCATCTCTGGCTCTAATTCTCTTAAACGCTCCTTAAGTTGCCGTATCGTTGTTTCTTCTTCCATACTCAATCTTATGTCGTCTTTTCCGTTTGAAAAGCGAACAATAATATGAATCTTCGTAATAGAAGGGTCTGTATCGCAGCTGATCGTCATTTCTTTGTTATTTATTCTTATTTATTGGGATTTTATAAGCCTTAATATTTTTTTGTAGTTGGTCGTTGTGACAATCGTGAGATTTTGATGACGGCCGCTTAAACGATATTTTAGGATTAAGGTTTATGGTTAAAAGGCTATGGAGCATGAATCAATCAATAATTTTGAACGTTATGAAGAAGATCTACGTATTGTTTTATCAGATATTCATAATTTAATTGGAGAAATTCGAAGTTATCATGATGGTAAATGAAAAAAAAAAAGTTTATATTTAGTGATTAACATGTTATTTAGAGCGTAGAAAAGTAGCTATTAGTGCAGTTGAAAGAGCTTTGGATGAGGCAAATGAGATTGTAGAATGATTTATTTTTTTTAGATTTTTTTTGGTTTTAAATATCTTTTAGATTGGTCAAATGGAGATTGAAGTTCTTCAAATTCCTTTATCATCACGTTTGCAAAAAAAAACAAAGATACAGAATAAGATTGCAGAAATAAACCGTATACGAAAAGAATTTGTTTGTTTTTATGCGTTTAGTAGAGTATTTATTGATATTATCAATTCCAGGAATCTTTTTATCGATATGAACAATATACTGAGCCATTTACATTGAATGAAGATTTAGAATCTCTTGATCAAAGAAATAGGCTTCTTAGTGGAACTCGAAAACTTGAAGAAAGTTCTGAAAGATTAAAAAATGCGCAACGCGTTGCAGATGAAACGAAAGAAATTGGAGCAAATATATTGAGAGATCTTGGATATCAAAGAGAGCAAATTGTTATGACAAAAAATACGGTATTTTTTTTCAATATATTAAAATGGATGGTTAATGTATGAATTAAGCTTGTTGAAGCGGATAGTTATGTTGATAAGTCCATGAGAACATTAAAAACAATGGCACGAAGGTAAAATTTGATATATTTAAATATGAAAAATGTATTACGGCTAATTTTAAAAGGGTGACGACAAATAAATTAATAACATATTTGATTATTTTTGTTTTGGTATTCCTTATATTTGCAATTATATGGTATATTATTTGTTGCATTTTATCCTTTTAATAGATATATTAGGAACAAATTGATTTAAATATAATTATTTTTGTATATAGGTTTTAAATCTTTTCTTTTCATATTTTTATGTTTAATAATTCATTTATACATCATTCAAAAAAATGATTAAATTAGATACAAAATAACCATTTTATTTTATAAAACGTTTGTCATGTGTGTGTACTACTTTTGCACTTTCCTTACCGTCCAAAAAAAGAACAACAGATTCCTCAATATCATGAACGTCGATTTCCTGTCTTCCATTAACTTTTGCCAAAATACTCGATGGTGTTAAAAGTTGAATTGCATATCTTAAACTAGATGTTACTCCTTTTTCGGTCAATTTTTCTAAAGCTGCATCTGTTATTTGAAGTTCTTCTGTTTTTGCACGAAGACGAATAATAATTTTGATTTCTTCTGATGTATAAGGAAGTGTACGAATGATCAAAAGCCGATCTAAAAGATCTATAGGGATTCCATGGGGAGAGACAATGTCTTCTGTTCCTCTTATTTAATATTAATTATTTCTAATTTTTTAATATGAATAAATTTTACTTAATTACACACATCCCACGATTTGATGCAAAGATTACGATTGGTGCAATTGTAGATTCAAGCGCACGATTTAAATATGTAAAACACTCAATATCAAGCATATGAACCTATAAAAATATTGATTAAAGTGCTAAAATGAATTATTTAAAAAACCTCATCAATAAATAATACGCCCGGAATTAGTTCAGCAATTCCTTGGTCAATATATTTATTCACTACTTTGTTAATTTCTTTCCTTAATTTATCCGTAATTTCTGTTCGTTTTTGTTTCATTATCTGCCCCATCATAGACATAATATCCTGTCCACCCTTCCATTTTTAATGAAAAATATACTTAATACTCTTTAGAATACCTGAGGTCGCACATTTGCTATATCTAAATCGTGTAAAGTTACATCTTGAACAATTTCTTTCTTCTTATGCACTTCCCCCTTTGGAATTGGAACATATTCTTCTGCTTCTAAATCAAATTCTGTAGCATATGTATCTGAACGTCCAACTCTCTAAAAATAAGTCTTTTTAGTTCAAAAAAAAAAAACACATTTTTTATAGGTAAATCTCTTACCTTAACTGCACCCGTATTTGCTTCAATATAAATTACATCCCCAACTGTTACTCGTTCCTTTTGAATGCTTTCGTAAATACTTGGATCAAGTTTAAGCTGTTTTGTGCCTTTAAATGTTTTAAGAGTAATAATAACATGTGCAATTGTTTTTCCATATCCTCCAAGAGGATTTTCAGCTTCTTCCGGCGTTATCTCTAATACTTCTCCTTCATAAACTTCTTTTGTTTCTTTAACACGTAAACCTATAATGAAACAATATAAGTAAACCTATTCAAAAATATAAAAAAGGATTACAAAAAACAATAAATTGCATTTAGTATTTGTATATTTCCAAACTTTATCCTTTTTCTGTATCCTTTTTTCTAAAAAAAAGAAATGATATGTCTATTAATCTCAAATGTATCTTTATAAATCCAAAGAGAAAATAGAAAATATATATATAATTCAACATATAGATGAAATGAGTTGGCGTTTCTTAAATAAATATTGATGTATTTTTTTCAAAAAAACAATCCTTAAAAAAAAATCTTACCAATTGATCGTCGAATATTTTCCATTAATACTTCTGTTTTTTTAATTTCATTTGAATACACCTCACTTGCTACCATTGGACAAAAAGGAACTCTTGATCCAAGTTCCTGTGCAATTGCAAGTGCTAATGCTGTTTTCCCCGTTCCTGAACCGCCTGCTAATAAAACACCTCGTCCTGCCATCTTTCGTAATTTAATTAAATCCACGACAAGTCCGCATGCCTTTTTATGCCCTTTTTTAGACTTATTTTCTATAATAATTGTTTTTCTCTCTTACTTGACGAGCTTGCTGTTGACCAACCCATCCAGAAGAAACTTGTTCAGCTGAACCATCTTCTTTAAGACCTAAATTTCGGATATGTGAATGGGCTGCAATACGATTCTCACGGGTAGAGGCTGTTTAAAATGCCTATTAGAAGAAAGATAGGAATTTAAATAATATTTTCCAACCTTTAATTGTCATAGTCCTTTTTAAAAAAAAAACTGCAAAAATCGAAAAAAATTACTAAAAATTAATTTTCTTTAAGCTTTTATTATTCATAACCCATCAACGTATATCATAACCAATATTTACAAAAGCGTATACAAACAAACATAATACACATATATATATATCTTATTTATACATTATTTTCGGAAATCTTATGTTTCATTTTAATTTTTAATCCTCTGCACTACTTGATTCGGTTTCAGAAGACGATTCCTCTGTACCAGAATTACTTGAAATATATTTACCTAGAAAATGATTAAGGTGCTGTTTATAATTAAGAATAAAATTCCTATAACTTACCATTCCCTTTATCTTCGAATCTTGATAATTGTCGTTCTAAATGTCTTATCTGGCGCAATTGCTCCGCCTCTGATAAAACAGTACGATTCTTTTTAGGAGCAATAGGCTTTGCTTTAGCAGGACCAATAGGTGTATTCGGAAGCTGATTAAGAATCACAAAATTCCAAAGTCGACTTTGAGTTCGAGGTGTCATTGAATCAATATCCAATTCGATTTCATCAGTTTGCTAAATAGCAATTAAGAAAAAAACTTATCAAAAAAAATAACTTACATCCTCCAATTCTGGCATAGATTCCTTCATAATACGCAAAACTGTATCAAGCTTACTACCAGTAAGAAGATTAATTTTTTGCGCTAATTCTGATCGCTGATCGAACGATAGAATACGCAGGCGTTCCTCGTTTCGATAACCCGACTTCCTTGAATTCCCTTTTTTCGATTTTCCTGACTTATTCTTCGTTTTAAGGCTAGCCCTTTTGTTTCTCATCGCATTCAATTGATCAGACATCATTGCAAGTTGTTTTTCCAATAATGCAATTCCTTCATTGTCATCTACATCGTCAGACTCTGTATCTGATTCATCTGATGAATATGAATGATGTTCTGTTGGCTTTTCTTGCCATTTTTTATCAAAAACCGCTTCAAGACGTTTGCCCATATTATATACAGGAGTCCCTACTGGATTAAATTTATAACAGTTCCTAAACATTTGCCGAATATCACTTTCGAACTCATCAGCCGTATTGTAAACATTATTTAATTTCCCCTGAATAGTCGACATATCCATAGGATGCTTAACAATCTTATAATAATCAGGAATATTTAATGCAACCGGATCTTTTGTAGAATTAATCTAGAAATACATATTATAGATAATAAATACATACCAACAGGACGATAAAAAGGAAAAGCGTAACTTTCATGTGTCTTTTTTTGTAATTCTCTAATAACATTCCTGCAAAATTGTAATTGTGCCGCATTTTTCCTTCGATGAGGCTTCGTTTCATTATAAGGTAGATCTCTGGGAGGTGGAGGATGAATTTCACGCCGAGGCCGATCTGTAACCATTGAATTACGATGAATCGCTGAATTTCCTCCTAATCCGGTATCCGATGATAATGATTTCTTTCTCACTTTCGATGGTTTAGGTGTTGGAACATAATCTACAGATGGCATTTGCAATATTTGCTTGCCAAAAATATTCTTTAAATTCTTTGCCATTATAGAAATCGGACTTTCTTCCCCGTTAAACGTAAAACAATTTGTAAAAACTAATTCAACATCTTTTTTGAATTCTTCCACGGTTTCATATTGTTTAGACGAAAGTTTTTTATCAATTGTACCAAAATCCATTGGATGAGTAATGATCGTTGGATAGCTCGGAATATTCAACTTTATAGGATCCACTGGTTGATTAAACGGTCGCGCATCCTTATTTCTTCGCAGCTGACGTAGCATTGATAATGCATATTTATATTGTTCTTTCGTCATTTCTACCTGTTCTACTTTTTCATAAAATGTATCTTCCGGATGTATACGCTTAGACAGCGCCTCTGACGCCCCAAAATGCGCTTGACAGGGTTCTAATGATTCTGGTTTTACCGCTTCCGCTTGTGTTTCCGTTGATTGTACTAATTCTTTGCTTGAATCTCCACTCGGAGAAAGATCTGATTTGACTTGTGGTGATACATTATTTGAATAAGGGGGTGTTAATGCTGTTTCCTCTACATCCTGACTCTCTACTGTTTTTTCTTTTGAAGATATGCTTTTTTCCGAATTTAACACTTGCCATGTCGATTGACTATCTGATTTTTCAAAATTTATTCCTAATAATGCTCCAGATGCTTGCTTTGTATTTTCTTCATTATTTGTTGTTGATATGGATAATTCCTTGACTGGCCATTTTGTATCGGATAGATCTTGACCCGTTGTATCTAGAATTTTTAAATCTACTGTGGCTGTTTGTGCACAAATTAAACCTTCAGGCATTTCTTGGACAGCCGTTTCTAAGAGAACATTTCTATTAAGTTAGTTCTTGCAATAAAAAAGTCTGCCCTTTTCCACATAATAAATTTCCATGTACATTATAAACTATATGCGCTGTATACGCGTTGGATACGCGTTGTATGCGTAGCATATATTAACATTTATTTTTAGGCCATATAATATACTTATTCCTTTTTATCGATTTATACTTACTTTACTTCCATCAAAAAGCCAATTTTACCCTCCAGTCACTTAACCATCCAATCCCGATCACCTGATCGACGGCCAATTTCCCTCAAAAAATAATAGACTTGGAAATCGACTTGGCGTTGACGTCATTATATGGCGATACGCTAAATGCTATGGTTAGGGCTAACCGGAGTCTCCCGTTTGGTATATGAATAGCCTTTTCCGGTAGTGTTACCGTGGTAACGTCCGTCCCGATATATCTCTTTAAACATAAAATGGGTAGAGTTGTATGGAATAAAAAAAAATAGAAAAATTATTTTTCCTATATAATCTGATGTATACTTGCTACTTTTGTGTCGAAAAATCTTATCAATTACTTAAAACCATTTATTCTTGTTAATCGAATATTATATCTTGTTTTTGTTTATCGTCTAATTTGAATACGCTTTTTGAAGTTTATTTGGAACACATGAGTGCCCCTTCGCATTCCTTAAGACCCTTGACTCGGTATATTTAGGGTACTTGCGTTGGAGACATTTATGTACCTTCTTAGACTTTTTGAAATGATGTAACGGATGTATATAATGAAGTCCTTTCTATTATCTTTTCAATCTCATCTTATATTTGTTCCATATCAAATTTAGTTTTTTTATGAAATGTATAATGTTAAATATTTGACTCAGTTATTTTGAAGAAAAAGATGTTTTTGCTGACAGTGTGAATATTTGTTTTAAGAAGTTAATTTTTCCTAATAATTCTTTAGAAAATAACTGTAGGGTTATAATTTGCTTGAAAAATATATTAAAAAGCGAGTTTTTTATAAGTGATCTTTTAGACATAAAGCATGTTTATTAGTTTACGGAAGACAAAAAAACGATAGGATTTGTCCATAATCGAGAAGCTTCATTGTGTTAGAAAAATAAAAAAAATACAGTAAAAGTTATCTACTTTTATATATTAAGTAGAAAAAGGGTGTATTTGATATATATTTGTTTCTTTTTTTATCATTTTTTTTATAGACTTTTATCTTATTTTTTAGACATTTTTTTCCTTTGCTCGAATATTGATTTATATATTTTTAGAGTCTATGATTGAGGTTTTTTTAGTTTTAGAATTAATAAAAATAATAATTTAAAGAAGAGTACGTTATATTTTGTGAGTTTTTTGAATCTATTTTTTTTTTTCTGATTTAAAATGGCTAAATTTGAGTAGAATATCAAATAATTGAAGATAAGAATTATTTGAATTATAAAACCATTAAAAGTAGTAGTTTTGAATTGGGTTGTTTTGTTTGCTATTATTTTATAAGTTTCTTACTTATCTTGTTTGAAAATGGTTCGAAAAAGTAGCAAATCTAAAAGGATTCGTCAAGTAGATACACGTACTCCGATTAATAAGATTTCATCAGTATTAATATCTGCATTTCATCCAAAGAAGAAGTTTTTTGCAGTGGCTATGAATGTCTTAGATGCACATAATATTTGTATTTTTGATGTTGTTAGTGGATTGCTTAAAACAAGCTTTTCATTGGATAAAGGATTAATATGTCGATCATTATCATGGGGAATTGAATTCGGCTATGATAACAAAACTACTTTGAAGAAGAGAAGAGCAGAGGATGGGGATACGTATAGTAATGAAAAAGACGTTCTTTATCTTTGTTTATCGAATGGAGAAATTTTTTTATTCTCAATTACTCTTAATAAAATTTATATGAAGCTTATGGGTGGTCATACACAAAGTGTAACTGGATTTGCTTTTTCCAATGACTTCAAAATAGGTTGGAGTTGTGGATTAGATGGAAAAATTGTAGAATGGGATTTGTTAACATCAAAAATATTAAAGTATTTTTTTGATATGTTTATTTTTTATTTTTAATAGAGGATAGTACATTTTCATTTGAGTTGTTGGATTCTCTTACAGCAATTATTTATTATAATTCTAAAATTATATGCGCGTCACATAATATTTACATATTAAATTTGCCATTATTGGATATCTCACAAACTTTTAATGCTCATATAACACATGTTGATTCATTATTAGTTTGTTCAGATTCTAATGGTTCTATATGCTGTTTTTCTGCATCAAAAGAAGATCGATTTATTAATATGTTTCTTCTTAATGTAGAAAAAAATGATGTTAGTGTTTTAGTTACAGAAGATAATGTTAAAACTTTATCATTCTCTACATTTTTTGATATGACTATTTTAGCAGTTTTAACAACATCTGGAATTGTAAATATATTTCATGATCTTTTTGACAAATCATTCATAGGTATTTTTAAACAGAAAAAGTCATTGATTCGACAACCAATTTCTAAAATAATTGCTTTTGACGAAAGTACTTCTACACAAATAGAAATTGTTGATATTGGTATTAAAGATGATAATATTATTATTGTGTTAGTAAATGGTGTTACATTTATATTTGAAACGGTTTCGTATTTGGATAATGATAAAAATTTTAAACAGGGTGAAATTCATGTTTTTCTTAAGAAATCAGATTTTTTAAAGATACATGTCAATGGAGTATCTGTAAGTTTAATTTTTGTATTGTTATTGAAATTGATTTTTTTATAGAAGCCAAATATTAAATCCTATAATGAATCAAATGCAGCTGTTATTGATGGTGATGATATGAGAAATTTGGATGATGATGAAACATCCCAAAGTTCTGAAGATATTCAATCAGAAAAAGATGTTTCAAAAGCTATTAATGTAAGGATTTAAGCTTTTATTTACTTCTATTGATGACTTAAAGGAACTTTCTCTTGCTGAAAAATTAGAGGAGCTTGAAATGAAATCATCGAAACCACCTGAAATTTCAGTAGAAGTTCCATCAGCTAAATCTTTGATATCATTACTTATGCAGGCGCTTCAAGTTAATGATAAAACTTTATTAGAGTCTTGTTTAAACTGTCAGGATTCTGAAACTGTTATGGCTACTATAAAGCGATTGGAATCTCCATTAGCTGTCCTATTATTGGAACGGATTGCAGAACGTCTTTCTAAACGACCATCAAGAGCTAGTTCTTTAAGCATATGGATTCGCTGGACAATTATTATTCATGGAGGATATCTTGTGACTGTATTATATAGGTTTATTATTTTTTTAAAATACTGATATGTTTAGTTGCCAAATCTTATGAAGACATTGTCTACTTTACAATTAACATTATTACGCCGTGCATCTGCATTACCTAGATTGTTGGCTCTTCATGGTCGATTAGATATGATAAATGCGCAGATTAAATTAAGAAAGGAATATGAACCACAAAATGAAGAATCAGAATCGGGAATTGAATATGTTGAGGGAGAGGATGATAGTGATGAAGATATGTTGGCTATTGACGATACTATGCATGTTAAAACTTTGAATAATAATAATGATAATGACGGAAATATTTATGAAATAGATGGTTCTGATTATGATACAATAGATGATAATAGCTTGAAAAATTCCAATTCACCAATTGACGAGTTATTGACTGAAGAAGTATCTGATGAATTATCGAGTAACGAGATATCAGGAGATGAAATTGGAGAAGATGAAATTGAAGATGAAGCCGGTGATGATGATTTAGAGGTCTTTGGGAGTGCATCAGATAGTGATTATGAAACAATCATTGAAAAAAAAACGTAAAACAAAAAATATGAATAAAATTATATTATTTATATATTTATGTATATTATAAAAAGTGGATAGCATTAAAAATTATATGTATTTATATTAAAATATTATATTTTTATTTTATTTCCTTAATTATCTAATATCATAATAGATTATATTAATGTTTTTAGGGAAAAATTTAAACAAGAAAATGGAATTTCCATGTTATTTATAAAAGTACTTATATTTTTTTTAGTTTTAGACTTCTAATATATATGAATTATTTATAATCGCAAATCTTCATAAACAAAAAATTGATTTTTAATTAATCCTATTTTCTTTATTTTATAAATATATATTAATTTCAATAAAAATATAGATATATATTTTTTGCTATTACAAAGTATTTTTTACTTAATATTTTCAAGACACCATATCGTAAAATCGCTCCAAATTATATATACAGAAAAAATTAAAATAAGCTTTTAAACAGTATTATGTCTTCTTCTGTAAGCCTCAGAAATATTATATTTTGCAATATTATTAAATTTTATTTTTTTCTTTTTTATAGACAAATAAACAATCTTCAAAAAATATATACTCTCATTTACGACGTATACCTTTAGAACTCTATCCACTTGGTAATATCGTATTATTTTTTGTTATTTCTGAAAATTTTTATAGCAGCTGTTCTTTTAGTAGGTTTTGGAGGTAAGCAATTATTGCTTTATATTTAAAAATCGGCAAAAGTTTTTTTTCTATAAACTTTTTTTCTTTTTAATATAATAACTAATTGTTTTTTTATTAGCGGCAACTTATCAGTTAGGAAATGTAAGTTTAAATCTTTTATATAATATTTATTTAAATTTTTTAGAAACTTTTTTTTGACCCAAGTGTAAGATATTTTCTTGGTTATTAAAAAATATTGTAATTATATTCTAGTTAAGACGATATCCAAGTAAAAAATCCGAGCATTAAAAACAGGCTTTTATTTTAATGATAAAGTGATAATCAATATTAAATATTTTAAAATTTCAAGTGATATTTTAAGAAAATATATACATTGTCTTTATACGGTTTCTTAGTAATTTTACAAGATTTTACTTTTTCTTAATTTCATAACGATAGATTTTTTTAAATGTTATAATATATATATAAAGATAATTCGTATCTTTTTCTTATAAAGGACGTGGGCCTACTGGTACGAAAGATGACTGTATAATTTCTTGTTTTTCCTCAACAATTTTCCGATCTTCTTTATTAATTTGGTATTGTTGAATCCATGCCTCTTGTTCCCAGACTTTAAAAAAAATATATTAATTTAATATTATAAAATCTAATCTTTTATTACCTGGAATCTTTGATCCAAGACCTTCTAATATTTTTCTTTCTGCTTTTGCTGTCGTTACATGTAAAATACGTCCCCATACTTCCGATTGATCCATATTATCTATTGCTTCTCGAGCATCTTCTATATGTTCAAATTCTACATAACCAAAGCCTTGATGTGGTTCCTCTATTCTTCTAAATTAACTCTTTTTTTCTTGATTCTAAAGAAAAAAAACCTGTTGTTTCATCTCGAGGAAGTTCAACTCCAACTATTTCACCAAACGGAATAAACATCTCATGTAACATACTTTCTGTTACTTCCGGTCCTAATCCAACTAATATATTAGGAAATTTTAATAATTAAATATGAAATAATTAATTTATTACCTACATGTAGTGTTGCTTGGTTTCGTTGTTCAGTTGACATTTATTTTTAAAAAAAATATCAATAATTTATGAAAAATAATAATATTTCTTAACTACTTTAAAAGTATTTCTTAATAGTTTTATTAACTTTTTAATATTTTTGTTAAAAATTCTTACTTTTTTTTAAAGTGCCGGGTTAGGTAAGTTAATTTTTTAACCGGTTGGAAAAGGCTTCGATAACAAGATATAAAAAAGTAATGTTATTTTTTATATAAAAAATAAGATATTAAGTCAATGTCTATTCAAGACGCGGAAGATTTACAAGATGCCTTACGAGGAACAGGTTTTTGCTTTTAAGCGGTTTTTTTATCAAGTTTTAACAAGATTTTAATGATTAGATAATGACCGTAAATTGGAAATGATTATGGGAATAAAGAGGTTTATTAAGCGTAATGATGTGAATGTAAGTGAAATTAAGAGGGTATTAAGAGAATATGAATGATTGTATGGGTTAGTTAGAAGCAGTGCCGTTATTATTTGATGGGTTAAGAATAGGGTTAATATCGACAAATCCATATGTTGTGATGAATTGCTTAACATGTACAAATCATTTGATTAAACGTGTTTCTCTTCAGGAAATATCACGTTTGAAAGGGCCAGGGGTGATGGTTTTGCCTTTATTGATTGAACGACTTGGGGATATAAAAGAAAAAGTGAAGGATGTTGCACAGAATGCGTTAATTGAATTATGGAAAGGAATACCAAGTGAAGTAGAACGAAGTATTAAAGATCTTGGATTTTCATCAAAAAATTGGAGGACGCGTGAACAAGTAATTTTAAGATAAAAAAATATATGAATTAATAAAATTAGTCACTTTATTGGTTAGCAAAAATATATGGATCTCAATCATCATTTTCTTTTCGAACGTTTACGCCATTTATGATTAAAATGTTGGAGGATGCAAATGATAGTGTTCGAGATGCAGCAAAAATTGTTATTATAGAATTATTTAAGTATGTTGATTAATTTTTTAAAAAAAAATTAATCTTTTTTTTATATATAGAAATTCACCAAATTATGCTAAGGCTGATTTAAAACGTGAACTTAATCAACAGAATATACGTAAAAAATTGGTTATATATATTCTTGATAATTTGCAACTCCAAGGAGATACAGATTTTGTTTCTTCTCGTGGATCAGAATGTGCGTATGATAATGATGGTGCAAGTATTTCAGCAAGAAAAGTAAAAAATGAAAGTATTGCTAGTTTGTCTAATTTGTCATCAAATTATATTTCAAATCTAAGTGGTGCTGAAATGGAGCAAATGGAGCCTTCTTGGGTATAACTATTTGAAATAGAAATATTGTAAAAGGTTTACTTTTCCATAGGTATATTCTGCAAAGGAACTTGAATCAGAAATTCAAGAAATGCTTCCTTCATTTGAAGGTAAGGAAACGGATTATAATTGGGTTGCTCGTGAAAAGCATATTATGCGTTTACGCTCACTTCTTCGTGGAAATGTTTATAAAGAATATTCTCCTATATTCCTGAACGGTTTTAAGACCCTTCTTGATGGAATAATTAAAGCGGTAACATTGAATTAGTATGGATTTTTTTTTAATACATTTTAGATAAGTTCTCTTCGAACAACATTGAGTCTTGCTGGGCTTCAATTTATTAAGGATGTTGCAATTGTTGTTGGACCCGCTATTGATCAGTTTGTTGAAATACTTCTTATTCATCTTATTCGAATTAGTGGATTAACGAAAAAAATCATTTCTCAAGCTGCTCAAATTACTGTTAGCATATTAATTGCTAATGTTTCTTATCATCCTAAAATTGTTCAGCAGCTTTTAACTGCATCCCAAGATAAAAATCCATCTACTAGGCAATATGCTACTGGATGGTTGCGTACTTTGCTTGAAGCTCATATTGATTCAAGAGCATATTTAGAAAATTCTGGAGGATTAGATATAATGGAAAAGGTTATAAGGAATGGGATTTCGGATGCAAATGCTGTTGTTCGTACAGGAATGAGAGATGTATTACGCTGTTTTTCTGAAATTTGGCCAGAACGAACACAAAGGTATTGTGTTTTTAAAAGGTATTGGAATATGAATTTAATTGAGTTAGCCTTGTATCAAGTTTAGATCCTGTGGTACGTAGACAGTTTGAAAAAGTTTTTCAGAATTCAAGTGTATTCTCAAAATCTATTGATAGTGTTAATAAGTGCCATAATTTATCACAAAATTATTCTCTTAATAAAGGGAAGAGTTTTAATAAGGAACCCCTGGTAAAATCAGGAAATATAGTTAATAGGAAGTCGGATGATACTTTTGGTGTGTCTCATGGATTATCAGGTCTTTCTTCAGGACCTATTCGTCATGGTCTTGGTCTTCCTCAGCGATATGGATATTCTTCTAAAAGTAATGTTAAAATATCTGAAAGTCCTAGTCAAGATCAGTTAACAGGCAATACATCAAATCAAACTCATACATCTCCTAGCCAATTGCGAAACGAAATGTCTCCTCCAAGACCAACTTTAGTGGCAAATTCATTATTTGGAAAGCCATTAATGACATCGTCACGTATTTCTCCTAGAAAATTAACAATTATTGAGCAGCTTGTGCATTCAGATTGGCATATTCGTGTAGATGGAATTATAACTGTTGCATGTTTATTGGCAAAAAAGACTCCACCTAATTATGATAATCAAAAACTTCCTATTCTTCCCCCAAATGATATATTAGCATCAACTTTTCAAAAACTTTTAAATGATTCTCAGCCAGAAGTCGTTAATCATTTAATGGCACCTGAGGTTATTGTTGAAATAGCGAAAATTATCCCTTTTGAAAATATTGTTCCAAGAATTCTTTTATTAAGTGAGATGGAAGATACTGAACGTGGTCATGATATTGCAAGAACATGTCTTCCTGCCGTAAAAAGAATGATTAGTGACGTTGATGCTGCCGAATTATTGTCAAAAGTACTTACAAGTATGGGAGTATCTGGTGTTGTACCTAGAAAGCTTTCTGCTGGTATATTTACTACATCTCAAAAACGGAAAATTATACATGGTGTTCTTTTGTGGATGAATGAATTGGTTGAACGCCATAATGAAAGTATAAAAAATAAAGAAGATGGGAATTCATATTTTAATGATGTTTCTAATTTTAAATTTTATGTAAATCGGCTTGTACCTATGATTAATAATACTAAGCCAACGTCTATAAATTATGGACCTTTAGCTACATTATTGAAGTCTCTTCAAACTACGAATGAAGAAGTTTTCAATAAAGTTTTACAAACTTTTGAAAAAGTAACAGTTAACGCTCTTAAAAATGCGTGGGGAATAGCTGTCGAGGAAGAACCTTTTGTACCTGAAGAAAAGGTTGCTCATATTGAAGATGTTCTTGGAGGTATACCTATAGTTGGAGATAGTAAATTAGATGGTAATGATATGGAACATTCTTCATCATCCATGGAATCTCATTCTATAAAATATTCTGACAATTATATAGATTCTTTTGAGGAAAATATAGGAGTACATAATAATTTTGAAGATATGACCATGATTCAAATACCTAAACTTCAAGTTAACATTTCGAATAATGGTGTGAATAAAGAGGTTCGATCTGTATCTTCTGACCCTTTCGTCTCTGTTGGTGTGAAACCTGCATTGATTATTGATGATGCTATTAAGACTTATGATTCTAAAACCTCTGGCGATAAGGTTGCTCAAGAGCAGCAAGCTAGTGAAGTGGGGCAAGAATTATTCCCTCAATCTTCTGAATTAGAACCAACATTGGATTTTGAAAATCAGGAGGATCAGGACATACCAATAGAAGATGATAGTTTCTCTGGAAATTCAAATCTATGGTTTCGAAAATATATGAAGAGTAAGATATTTATATTATATTTGATAATACTAATATATTAGAACAATTGCCTATTACACCACTTCCGAATACTGTAGAAGATAATATCAAGCTGCTAAAGAATCTTATCGAAAGGCTTGAGAATCACGATATGGATTCTTATGCATTTAGGAAATTAATATGTATTTCTAAAGAATATAGTCTTGAGACAAATTTAGAAAATTCAGATAATATTTCTGATAATTCTAAGAAAGATGATGTTTGGATGGCAGGAAGTCTATTCGATTCTTTAATAAAGGCTTTACTTGGTTTTATGAGGGAGGATGTTGTTTCAGAATTGAAAGTTCAAGCACTATTTCTTTTAAAATATCTTTTTGATCATCAATCGGTGTATTTTTATAATCATATATCTATCGTTTTTGATGTTCTTTTGAAATTTCGTTCCTATGATTCTAATAATAACCGTGTTACATGTGTGATAGAGGAAATGACATTTGATATAGTGTCTCACTTTGATCCGAAAATAGGAATTGAGTTATTTTTATCCTATTTAGAGCCTTATCTTTATAATCTTACTGATGGATCAAAGAAACATCTTCTAAAACAGTCGATTATTGTTATCTGCTTGTCATCTTTAGCAATTTTTATTAAGAAGTTGGAAAAAACATATTTAGATAAATATCTTGAAAAAATTCCATCCTTGGTTATTAAGGTATATTCAATTTAATCTGTATTCGTTTCTTATTGTTTATTATTTTTAGTCATTAAATGATGGAGATCCTGAAATTCGAAAAGAAAGTATAACAATATGTGTATCATTAAATAGCATTATTAAGGATTCTTCGGAAATATTTAATTTGTTGCAAGGACTTACTCCTGGTCAACAAAATTTATTGGCTTATTATTTTGCGAAAAGTTGTGGAAAAAATATATAATAAACTTGACATTATATATGTATTAGAAAAACTATTTGACAAATATATATAGTATGGCAGACAAATATCTTTAAATAAAAGGTTAAGCTTAATTAATTACGGTTTTGTTCTTTTAATCCTTTACTCCACTCGATTTGGTTTTAGTAAGTTTTAATTTATATATTTGTTTATTTACCAATAAAGAAGGGATCCATCCAGAAGGTTTATTATATCTCCATTCTTTTTCTACACTAGTCTTCCAAACCCAGAAAACAATAAGTGATATTCCTGCGATACAAATAGCTGTGTTTGATTTCCTATAAATATTAAAAAAATACAGGATATACAAATAATAAAATGAACCATTTTCTAGGTTGACACCACCATCCTATATATATTAAAAAATCAAAATATTAATTTTATTTTAAATATGACAATTTATTACCTCCAGAGGGTGACCTAAAATAAATAGTTAATATATTATTATGATATTTTAAAAAATATACCAAACATGTTTAGGGAAAAGCTGATGGTTTTCTACCTTAGTTTTTTAATTATTTTTTGAAAATATTTGCTTTAAGTTAAACATACCATTAGTAAATTAAATGTTAAATAATTTTTAAATCTTAACCGATAAAAAAATGTATAAAGAAATATTAATGAAAAGTAAAGGGTTTATTACTATCTTTTGTCAATTGAATATTCAGAGGAGATTAGGTAGGGCTGAATTTATTTTATTATTAGATATTGAAATGTTAATAATTTTAAAAAAACAGAGTCTACATTGCAAAAAAAGAAAATAAATGTTAATATGTCAGGAAATATGAATAAAAAAGAAGAGGATATTTTTAAACTTATGAATGAAGTCTCAGCTAAATTGTTTGCTCTTCATGCTCGATTAAAGTTAGGGCCTCAATTTCCTAATGTTACACTTGTTAAGACGTTTCTTGATTTTGGAGTTATAAATGGTTTAGGATCAGTTCCGAATAATCGGCATCTTTTTACACTTGGAACATGTATTACGGAGTATTTTGTATCAGAATATTTGATGGTTCGCTGGCCTCGTTTACCATATAAGATTATGAAAGCAACATTATGGGGATATTGTGGAACTAAAGCGTTAGCAAAAATTGGTTTAGAGTGGGGTCTTGAAACAAGTAATAAAGAAGTTAATGTTATTCCAAATTCTTCAAAAAATGAGCTTGATAGTGTTTTTTTTGAAGTTTTATCAGAAGCAAGAAATGGAAGACTTGTATTTAAAAGAAAGGGATTGCCACATGGTTATTCATCTTCTACTTATTATGAGCATTTGGAAAAAGTTGTTTCTAGAATGGTATTGTCAGTTATTGGAGGGATTTATTTGCATTGTGTAAGCTTGATATAAATGATATATATATATATTGTTAACTTCTCAGGGACTTACAACTGTTAAGAAGTTTGTTAATGATCATATAATCTCGAGATATCTTTCTATATCTTCTATGTTTTCTTTTGAGCAGCCTGGTAGAGAATTATCTGTACTATGTTCTCGTCAAAAATTGGATCCTCCTGTATCACGATTAATTGCTGAAACGGGTAGGCGTAGTAGTGCACCTTTATTTGTAGTAGGTGTATATTCTGGAAATGATAAGCTCGGAGAAGGCCATGGATCTAGTTTAAAAGAGGCTAAATATAGGGTATTTTATTTTAGCATTATTTTAGACAGCTAAAGTTATTATAGGCATCTGTTGATGCTCTTAAAGCATGGTATCTATACGAATCAAAAGGATTTGACTTTCCTAGCAAAACTCTTGAGAATAATAAAGAAATATATACTCCTGTGCATATAGATTATGGAGAGGTTATAGTGTGAAGCAATTATATAGGTTCAAATCTTTTATTTGATATATTGAGTTTTATATTTACCCTATTTTTTTCTTGATTAACCATTATATTCGGAGTTTTTGATTAGAATTAGTTTTAAGAAATATTCTGGGTTTGGGTTTGTAATATTAGATATGTTTACACGCTTTTATTATAAAGATGAAATCGGGTTGAGTTATTTGTTAAATTCAAAATAATAAGCAAAATAATATTCTAATTTTTAATTGAATAGGTTATGAATTAGTGTTAAATGATTAAAAGACTAAGTCTAATTGTTTTTGGATGATATATATAATAACATTGAAATACAATTCATTAAAAGTGTATTATGTTAAATATTTATCTAAAATTATTTTTATTAATATTTATTAACTATAAAATAGTATTGTTTATTATGATCTAATTTTTCAAAAAAAACTTATCAATTTATAGATCCTAGATATTTGTCATTATACTTTTTGGTATTATAAAAGTAAATATTAAATATTGTATTTAAATTTTAGATATTTATAAATAAAATCATTAAAAATTAAAAGTCGATAAATATAAAATAACCAATACATAATTGGTTTAGTCTTTTTCTTTTATTTCATTCTTGATTCTAGCTGCTTCTGATTCTTTTTTTTCGCGTTGATGATCCAAAATAAATCGTACTGTTCCTTTATCACCTATAATGCCTATTCTAAATGGAAGGGCTAAAAATTCTATATCAGCAATTGTATTTTTTAAAGATACTCCTGAAGGTTTGTGAAATTTATTGAGAGAAATTTGAATGATCATAAATTTGCTAACGTCTGTATCATGTCCTACGAGAGTAACATGTCGATGATGAATATATAAATCAAGAATATCATATAAAGCATCTATTAAAGATATAAATAAAAGAAAAAACTATAGAAGAAATATACTGACCAACAAGTGTTTCTTTCTTTACTAGTAGTTTTTCGTATGCATCTTCAAAGGGTTGTTCTAGTAATATTGATGCAAGAACTAGTGCCATTAAAGCAATACAGTGAGGAGGAAATTTAATAGGAGAAAATGTTTTGTATGAGTCAATAGTTATATCCCAAGCTTTTCGAGCTATTTCTTTAGAAACTTTTACCAATAAGTATTAAATCTAATTAAAAAAAAAACACTTTACGTTTTAAATGTCGTGCAAATTTAATGATATACGGTTGCGGGTGACGTCGTCGAAAGTCAAAACAAGACGTTTCTAAAATCATTCGTTCTAAACCAATAATTCGTCTTTTTTGTTCTTCTATTATCTTAAAATTGATCAGTTTTATATTCCTAATATATCTAAAAAAAATACATGACTTTCAAAAGATATATCTGGACCATTAGGATGCTTTATATTGTAACCTGCTATAAGAATATCTTTTATTTTTTTCGGCGTATCTTCTATTTTACATGCTACAAGTAAACATGTAGCTGCTGTATCCTTTTTTTCAAATAAATAATTTTTCTTAAAAAAACATAACCTACAATATATGAAAATTCTGAGATAGGATTAAATAAATGAAATCGGTGATAAATAATCATTGCTGTTCCAATCGTGCGTATAGGACTGTAGATTTTATTAACGTTCATGTTTATATAAAAAAACTGTAAATATTATACAATTTTAATGATTTTCCTACAAGATATATCCATCCACATGCCTGAAATCGAATTTGTGTTTCTTTACTCTCAGATAGTGATGATGATCGAGAACTAGATGATAAAGATGCAACTTGCTTTGTAGAAAAATATGGCCATGAAAGCTGAATAGCAACCGGATATTTATCTTCATTAAAAGGATATTTTGATGTATTTTTTGTAGAATCATTTATTTTTTTTTTACTCATAATTATTATCCTTAGTTTCTCTTATTTTTTTCTTTTAAAACAGAAATTTCCCTTAAAACACCTAAATCCCTTATAGAATATTCTTATTATTAGTCTTGTATTATTAATCTCTTCTTTTATTTATTTTATCATATAATCTTTTAAAAAATTATAGACAGCTCTAAAAAAATCAGGTAATATCGTAAGGCTTTAACTTATTTTTATGCAACTCTTAATATAATTTTTTAAAGAAAATACATAAATATTAAGGAATTTTAGTAAAGGCTTTAAAATATTATTAAAGATTTTCTACCTTGAATAATGTTTATATATTTATGGTCTGTTTTTTTTTCGTTTGTTTTTGCTGTTTTACAAAATAAACAAGAAGATTCAAAAAAAACATTACCAGTTGTTTTATGGCATGGTTTAGGAGATAGTTATAACTCTGCAGAAATTATGGAATTATCTGAAATTTTATCTGAAACATTAAATGTTTATGTACATTCTATATATCTTGATAAAAATCCATTAAGTGATAGAAATAATGGGTTTTTTGGTAATGTTAATGAACAGGTAAGGTTATTGATGTGTAATTGAGACAAAATTGTTTATGGATGAGTAAAGATTAAATTGGTAGCGGAGCAGTTATCAAATGATCCTAAATTAGCAGATGGATTTAATGCAATTGGCTTTAGTCAAGTAATAAATGTTTACTTAATGAAATATATAACTTATTATAGTAGGGAGGATTATTTTTGAGGTTTTTTATCCGGGGAATGTGTAAAAAAAATTAATTTTTCTTAGAGCGTATATTCAACGGTATAATACGCCACCTGTTTTTAATTTGATTACATTTGGCGCACCACATTATGGAATATCGAGTTTTTATTGTCCCTCTAATGTTTATGTTTGTAAAATACTGGATTATTTTATAAAACATAGCTTATTGTCTTATTGGGTCAAAGAAAATGTTATTGTTGCACAATATTATAGAGTAATTTCTCTATTTTAAAGTATTAAATTGATTTTTCTAGGACACTAGTGATATGAACGGATACCTTGAATATAATCCTTTTTTACCTGATATTAATAATGAAAAGGAAATTAAAAATGCTACATATGCTAAAAATCTTGGCTTATTGGATAGCTTTGTTATGGTTCAATTTGAAAATGATCATGTGATTATACCTAAAGGAAGTTCTGTAAAGACGTTTTTATTTATTTTATTATTGTTAATTTTGAAAAGCATTTTAATGATTATGACAAAATTGAGGAGAAAATTATTTATCTAAGAGAGACTGCATTGTATAAGGAAGATTGGCTAGGTCTTAAATATCTTGATGATAAGAAAGCACTTGTAGAGATGACGATTCCTGGAGAACATGTATGTATAACATTTTGAAGTTTTCCTTTTAATTAATTTATTTAGATGGAAATAGGTTATGAAACTTTTATTCACATTGTTAAAAAATATTTTGTAAATTCTACGAGATCTGAACACATAGTTCAATGGCAGACAAAAGATAATTTCTAAGGAAAATAGAACTTTAAAATATATATTTAACGATTAGTTTTTTTAGATACTTAATACAAATATTATTTGTATTGATATAGATTTTTTCAAATTAATCTGTTTCATGTGTTTTTATTGTAAATGATGATTTCTGTCTGTTATTTTATTTTTATAGTTTTGTTGCAGTTTTACGATGCTTTTTTGTATGCATATTTTGTGTAGATTGAACGTTATCTATATTTTCTTCTAATTTTAGGTTTTCTTCATTTAAGTCATTGGCTTTTCTTTTTTTATCATTAACTATTTTATCTATTTCTTTAACTTTATCGACATCTGCATCAAAAACGTTTTCGCAAAGCCATATAGGTAGAGCAATACTTTCACTTGTTTTAATATGAAAACCTCTAATTCCTTTCCATCCATTTTTTACAAACTTTTCTGCTAATGTATTTGTAATAATTTGAATGTTTTCCGCAATTTGTTCAGGTGTTTGACAAATTGCTCCACATTTTATACTCGTACATGTTCCTGGAGATAAATGAAGATATGTTGAAGAGTATGCTTTCTCTATCTCTTTAAAAAGATGTTCTGGTGTAGATTTTGTTGCCAAATCAATTGGAATAGGTTGTCGTTTCTTTTCATAAAATGCTTTTCCTAAAAGCTTTGGAAGTAATGAAATTACCCTACTGTCCGCTACAAAGAAATCATATGAATCCCTAAGTTCCCTTTTTTGTTGATATGATCTAAATTTTTTACGCAACTTAGAAATCCCAATTACTTTTGTAACTCGTTTATTTAATTTTGCCGATGTAACTAAATCTTTATAAACTCTTTGAGGATCCTTTACAATCATACAACATTCACTATCTCGATTAATTATAGGATGTTTTAACACTCTAAAGTTTTAAATATTAAAAAAAATATATAAAAGTTTATTAACTTACATTTTTGAAGGTTTAAGTTTTTTACTATTTGTAATGAATGTTTTTGTACTTAAAATAACCCATACAGGCAACGATGACCTTAGATCTTCTTTATCTAAGTTTAAAATATCCTGTTTTTTCTCTTTTTCCTTCTTTTTTTCTATTGATTGAACATGTTTTAAGAGTACTTTGCATGCTTTTTTTGCCTAAAAAAATAACAAAAATTTATGAATAATCATAAGAAATCTTAAAATATACCTTTGAATTTAATAATTCCATTTCTTTACCCATTTTTATAGTAGTTTTTACTGATAATTGATAAGATTAAACGGATTTTTTACCAGAATTTCTAATTTATTTATTGTAATGGTTAAAAATATATTAAAAAATAAGGGTTTATATTGTTTTTCTTAGGAATTTTCTAAAAGAAAAAGGGTTAAAATAAAGTTAAATGTTATGTATTTTTTTTGTTTTCTATTTATATTTGGAAAAAAAAAAATAAGATAATATTGATTTGTATAAAGTAAGCTTATTTGTTTTTAAATAGGGTTATTTAGTAGAAAAAAAGATGATAGATTTATTTAAGTTTGTTTTACATAGTATTCGTTCAAGAGTTTCATTTCCTAGAACAAGGTTTTATGATGAGAGAAATGGGGTTTCTTTGGATCTTGCGTATATTACAGATAGAATTATTGTTATGTCTGCTCCTACATTGTTATTTCCAAAAAGGATTTATAGAAATAATCTTAAAGATGTTCTTCGGTTTTTAGAACAAAGGCATTCTGAAAATTGGGTAATTTTTGAATTTTGTAAGGAAGGCACGGGATATTCAGATAAGGATTTTCTTTTTAAAGGTATTTTTTGCTAGTATTTGTTTTTTTAGTTTATTAATATTTTAGTTTTTCATTATCCTTTGTATGTTGGTTTTATATTGATATATTTACTTATTAAATATATAGTCCTGATCATGAACCTCCTCCTTTTAGAATTATACCAGAAATTGTGGATTCTATATCGAAATATATGAATGCTTCTGATGATAATGTGGTAGTATTTCATTGCAAAGCGGGAAAAGGACGGTCTGGTACAATTGCATGTTCCTATTTGATCTCAGAAGAAAAATTGACAGCAGAATCTGCTTTATCTAAATTTACGGAGGCTCGAATTCAAAAAGGACATGGTAATGGTATTACTATTTTATCTCAGAAACGCTATATTTTTTATGTTGAAAAATGGGTTTCAATGGGGAAAAAATATCAGGAATTAGATATTATAATTTCACAAATTGAAATTTTTACTGAGAACAAGAAAATTGGTTGTAAAATTTATGGATATAACGATGATAATAGAATTGACTGTCTTTATACTTTTTTACCTCCAGAAATAGTGATAAATAATTCTACAATGATTTTTACACCAACTATAAAGTTCATATCTAGGGAAGATATTTGTGTAGAAATTTATCATCAGTCTAGATTTAAAAAAAATGTTTTAAAAGCTCATTGCTGGTTTAATGTCTTTTTTGAAAGAGATGCTGGTCAAACCGAAGGGATCTTTTCAGTTGACTTTGAAAATTGTGATTATTTAAAAACCACTTGTAGAGATAAATCAAAATTATTTGACAAGTTTATTTTAAAATGGAAAATTTTTTAAATTACCTTATAATCAAGGGCTATAAATGATTTACATTCATTTATAAGAAGGCTTATTTTATATACTTATAAACTATATTTCTTTACAAAAGCAAATTAACACGACTTGTCGAAAAAATAAAAACATTAAAAAAATAGAAAATATAAGAAATTAGCTTTGATCTATCTAGATTAATTTTTCAGGATCTTTGATTTTTTTACTTTATTATAGGAAATTTTATGAGTTGTATGGAATATTTATAAAAGAAGTATTTTTGACTGTTGATTATGATATCGGATATATTAACATCTGATAATAAATATATTAAGGATTCATTGATTACAGAATCAATGAAAGAAGAGGAAATGAAGATGATTGGTAGTTCTATTGATGGGCCTCAGAAAGAACAAGTTGATATTTATTTTTATGGATGTTATGGATTGTAACTATGATAATAGGAAAAAATGGAGCCTAAAATAGTGATGGATGATAAAGGAATTGATAGACTTAAATTTCTTCTAGAGAAATCTAAGATTTATACATCTATTCTTAGTGAAAAATTGAAAAAACGAGTTAAGGATAATGAAATACAAAAGAAATTTATATCTTTAGAAAAAAAAGAGATCAAAAGTGAATTTTCTGATTTAGATTTATTAGATCATTCTGAAGTATCTGAAAAGAAAGAAAAAGATAAATTAGTTTCCAAAAAAAATAATGTTTCAGTAAAAAAAACAGCTAAGTCAAAACATGGTCATGGAAGTCGTATTACAGATTATTTTACTATGAAAGTTGCAGAAACGTTATGTGAACCCGAGGAAAGTTATCAATCCAAAGACGATTTTGATATTGCTGATAAGACGTTATCTTTGATTTCTCAACCGAAATTAGTTACTGGATGTGTTTTACGTGATTATCAGCTCGCTGGTGTAGAATGGTTGGCATCACTTTATGAAAATGGTTTAAATGGTATCCTTGCAGACGAAATGGGTTTAGGTAAAACGCTTCAAACTATTTCATTCTTAGCTTTTTTGCGTGAAAAAGGTACTTATGGGCCGTTCTTAATTGCTGCTCCTTTGTCAACCATTAGTAACTGGGTTTTTGAGTTTAGAAAGTAAGCATATGTTTACTAGATGAAATGTATTTATTTTTTTTAGATTTGCTCCCGAAATTCCCGTTCTTTTGTACCATGGATCTAAACAAGAACGTTCAAGCCTTCGAAAAAGTAAAATGGGAATGATGCATCCTGATTTTCCTATTGTTGTAACTTCATATGAAGTGATTATGAATGATAAGTTGTATTTGAAGCGTTACCAATGGAAATATATTGTAGTGGATGAAGGGCATCGTATTAAGAACCTAAATTGTAAATTGATACGGGAACTTAAAAGCTATGATTCTGCAAATCGATTGTTGTTAACTGGTACTCCTCTTCAAAATAATTTAACAGAGCTTTGGAGCTTGCTTAATTTCCTTTTGCCTGATATTTTTGATGATTTAGATTCTTTTCAGAGTTGGTTTGATTTTTCTGCATTTCAAGATAAAAAGGATGAAGAGACCTTATTGAAAAGTATGGATGTTGTATCTACTCTTCATTGTATTTTAAAACCATTTCTTCTTCGTCGTTTAAAAGCTGATGGTTTGCGTTAAATTATTTTCTTGCTAGAAATTAATATATTATTAGTGGAACAGTCTGTTTCAAAGAAGAGGGAATATATCCTTTATTCTCCTATGACAATTTATCAAAATGAACTTTATAATGCTATTTTGAATAAAGATGTTAGAAGTTTTTTGATGAAAAAGCATTCTAGTGGTTTTACTAGTGATGAGGTTTTAGGAGTAGATAATGAAGAGCAAAATATTCAAAGTTCTTGTGTTTCGAAATCTATTAAGATTAATAGACGTTCTGTTCCTCGAAGAAATCGGTCTAGGATTTCATATAGTGAATTAAGGGATGACGAATCTTCTGATAGCTTAGATAGATGGTTGTATAATGGAGATGAAAAAAAACATAAGTCCTTATATAAAGAAAATCTTGGTATTTATTTATTTATTTTTTATTCTTCTATTTTAATGATCCTAGAAAATAATGTTTCTCAGTTAAAATTGCAGAATCTCATTATGCAGTTAAGAAAAGTTTGCAATCATCCTGTAAGCATTTGTTTTTGTTTGGTATATATTTTTATTAATTATTAGTATATGATAGGTTTTCATACTTATTTTGATGCAGATAAGCTTTTGGTTGATGAAAATATTGTAAATATGTCTGGGAAAATGTTATTATTACAACGTCTTCTTCCTACTCTTTTTGAAGATAATCATAAAGTTTTAATTTTTAGTCAATTTACAAAAATGCTTGATATTATCGAGTTATGGGCAGTTAATATGCAAAACTGGGAAATATGTCGAATAGATGGTCTTACTAAGCAAAATGAAAGGGAAAGACAAATAGAGGATTTTTATGAAAATCCTAATATAAAATTATTTCTATTATCTACTAGAGCTGGTGGATTAGGTATCAATCTTACAGTAGCAGATACAGTAATTATTTTTGATTCAGATTGGAATCCACAGCAAGATCTTCAAGCTCAAGACCGAGTTCATCGTATTGGTCAGGATAAGGTAATTGATTTTCATTTGTTTATTCATATTAATTCATTGTTTAGCCTGTTATTGTATATCGTTTGGTTTCTGCAAATACTGTTGAGGAAAAAATATTGGAAAGAGCTAACTCAAAACGATGTCTTGAGAAGCTTGTTATTCAAAAAGGAAAATTTAAATCGCTTATGTCGATATCATCTAAAGATGATGAAGAGGAACTAACTTCAATGCTTTTATTTGAAGATGCGAAGAAAATTGTTGTAAAAGGGAAAGATGATGAAATTCTTTCTAATGAAGACTTGAAAAGTCTTTTAGATAGAAGTGACGATGCATATAAAATTTCAGAGAAGAGCACTTCATGTGTAAATTATCGAATTGTGAATTAAAAAAGTTATATAAAGTAACAATAAATCGATCATTTTCTATGATTATGAAAAAATGTTTATAATGTATTCATTTTAAATTATATTATTTGTTTAATGACCTTAATTCTCGTCTAAGCATGCTGTAAAAACTTTCGAATATTATTTTATCAATTCCTTTAATCCACAAAACTTTTAGAAGAATTGCATGTTCTGCATTAGTTTGTGGTACTATTTCTAAACGGAATTTGAAATTTACGTCTAGTGAATTTTCAGAGTTTTTTTTAGAAATTTGTCTTCTAGAAGATCTTGACCATAGATTTCCAGGAGTCTCTCCATTTCCAATATATTCATTGTTCCATGTAAAATTAATATTAAATTTTTTTATAATAGATGAAATTTTTTGTCTTAAATTCTCAATTGTAGTATCTAATTTAATAATTACCATTGTTAATGACGAACCTAAATGTCTTAGTGATTTTGTTAATGGTCGAACATAATGCTGGAAAAGATTAGTTATAGTTAATAATAAATATAAAAAAAACATTAGGTGCTCTCATATCCGTAAATGACCATCCTATAACCCAGCGACGTGTATTGCCCCCAACTGGTAGTTCATTTATAACATAGTTATTTATCTAATTTCTTTTAAAAATATATAATCATAAAAAAAATGATTGAAACTTGTATTTCTTTGAGATGCTCTATAATTTTCGTAACATTTGAAAGTTTTCCTAACATAGTAGTATACCAATTTACACGTTCTTTCAGAACACAACTTTCTTTCAGCATTCTTTTAACGAATGCAACTTCTCCTCCAGGAGTAACCATTTCTATTAATGAACCAGTACATGACTATAATTAATTATCAATTAATCATAATTCTGAAAAAAAGTACACTGAATGGTTCTTTTGATTTTAGTCGAGAAGATGTAAGTATTTCTTCTTCCGAACCATAAAATGGTGGATTACACATGCAAAAGTCTATCCTTTTAAATATGAGATATGTTTTCAATGTAAAATAATAATAAACTTTGATATATTTAATTCATCCAATGGTATTAAGGTTGAATATTTTGCTGTATCAACTATTTTTATCTGATTATCTAGACAATTTCTTTTAACATTCTCACGAGCAAGCTCTAATGAAAGCTCATCAATATCTATAAAAGATAAAAAAATGCTTTCCATATATTTAAATAAAAAATACCTGTTGCATAGAAAAACCAATTTGGTCTTTGAGAACAACATAAAAGAGGATATATACATACTGAACCTGTCCCTCTGAAAATTAATGACTTTTAAATAATTATAAGATTCTTACATATCAAATGCAACTACTTTTTTCTTTTCATCACAATTAACAAAATCAATTAATTCTTGGATCCATAAAATATATGCAAATCTTGTAATATTAATATATAGAGAGACTGAATATATTTAAAAAAAAAACCTGTTGGGTACCTGATCTTGATTATTATATTTTAACAAATCATATCACTTACAGGTGGACATAAGCGTTTTTCATGTAAAAAAATATCAATTTTAAAGTCATGTTTCAATAGACATTTTGTTACTTCTCTATTTAATAAAAGCTCATTAATAATAATCGTATATTTTTATTTTTCTAAAAACCTTAATGCAGCTGGATTTTTGAAATTCACATGAGATTGATTATCAAGACTAATCTTTATAAGATAAAAAAATCATGATATATTTTCTTACAAAGGTTTTAAAGATGGATATTTTTCTGCCAATTCTGAAAAATTAGGTGGATTATCAAGGTAGAAATTATGATATGTCATGAAGTAGATTTGAAATTGTACGACTTAAAAAATTAGATATATTAATATATTTACAGAATTCTGTTTAATAGATAATATTATAAATGATTTTAAATCCCTTTTTATATCTGATGATTATTTTTTTTAATATATAAATTTTATCAAAAATTGAATATATTAAAAATCTAATATTGAATATGGGTATTTAAATAGCATGAATAATTGTCTTATTAGGAAGCAGGATAATGAAGTTTCCCAAAAAAAAGTTGTCGAAAATGTGTTTTAGAAATGAAAATGTTTTATAAATCGTGAAATATGTGAAAATGAAGAAAAAGATTAATATGTGATAAAGATATTAGTGAATATGAGGAAAATAAATGAGAATAGATGAATTTATTCGGTAACTTCTTCAATTTCTTCAGATATAACCCTAACAATAATAAAAAAAATGTAATAATTTAAAAAAAGGAACTTACACTTCAATAATTTTCTTTATATACTTTTCTTTTTTTTCTTCTTTTGTATCTGTAACAATTCCAAGTTCTTTCTTTTCTTTTTCTAAATTACTAATTACTTTGCTTCTCCAGGCATTCCATTCTTCTAGCAATCGTCTGCGATGGGCAATAAGTTCTTTATTAGCAGTATTTTGTTCTTGTACATCTTCTTTTTCGAATGCACGAGAATACTCTTTTAAGTTTTTACGAATCTTTTTTTGTTGTTCTTTTGATAAGAGCGATGGAGGACGAGGGCGCCATAAAAGTTGTTTAAATCCTTCATTATGTTCTTCACGGAGTAATGAACCCTTAAAATCCCAAAGGCGATAACCATTTTCCATCTAAAAAGTTAAATATTAAAATTTATATAAATGATTAAAGATACTCTATGACGCCAAATTGAGACACTTGACGTTAAATATCTTCCTGAAGGATCCCATTCAATATCTGTTACACCATAATGTTCTGCTGTCCCCATGAGCTGCAAGTTGGCATTTAAATCTTTGTCTGTATCTTTTTTTTCACCCTCAAAATCTAAGTCCCAGAATTCAATGTCAAAATTAGTAGCATTTCCTAAAGTTGCAGCCACAATAAAGCGACCATTAGGTGCCCAATAAAGACTATTGCATGTTTTTTTAGTAAAAGTTCCTATATTTTTTAGCATACTTTAAGGATTTAAATTGTATTTACGAATCAATTTAAAATTTCCATTAGATCCTTTTGATTTTTCTGTGCAATAAAATGATAAGGAGTTCTTGACATTAATTAATGGTCCTTGGCAAAAATTAGAATCACTAGTTGTAATTAAAGCAAAACGATCTCCATTAGGTTCCCATGCGAAATTAATGACTACATCTTTAATTTCAATGACTTCAACAGGAATATTTTTTTCATGTATTCGAAATATTTCAAGATTTGTAAATGTAGACTTTTTTGTTTTTGTATGTCGATCTACTTTTACACATAAAAGATTTCCTTGCGATTGCCAGTGAAGTTTGCAATCAGAAACATTAAAAAGATTTTTTGTTCTGATTGTTTCTTTGGAAGGAATACTTAACAAACCAGTACGTGCAGGTTGGTTGTTAATTTCAGGAGTCCAATAACATAGTAAATACTCTTTGTTTCCTTTCTTATCTTCTAATTTTGAAGGAGACCATTCAAAATCAACTACTCCGTCTATCTTTATGTGTTTTTTTCCAACAAGTGTCATACTAGGTGTTTCGTAAACAGAAATATGTTGTCCGGGTGTTACCTTCGCAAAATATGAGCCATCTGAACTCCATTTATACATTGGCCATGTTATTTTTCGAGGTACTTCATCTGTATCAGTACCAGATGATATTGATGTATTAAACGACTTTAATAGTACTCCTGTTTTTATATCCCATATTATAATACTTTTTCCCTCATCTTCGGAACCAAAAGTAAGTCTCCCAGGATGATCTTCAGGATAACAGGGAATAGGCTCATTTGACCATGTTACAAGATATCTTTCACATGGGCTAAAATCTATAAGTTTAACTGAAGGATGAGGAAAACGTGCAATTTTTCCCCACGACTCTCCACCCCATAGCTGGATTCCAGGACGGTGAAAGGATGCTAGATATGTTCCAAGAGGTGACCAATGAATATAAGTTTCTGTCCAATTCTAGAAAATCTAAGAAACTTCGATATAGAATAAGGAAAATACTATTCTATGAATAATAGATTCTGGTGCTTCTGATTTCTGGTTCCAATAAATTCCAACATCGTCTCCTTTGTACATAACCCATTGATCTCTAGCTTTTGGATCAATAAGCCAGCTATAAAGATTTTTCTAAAAAAATAAGTATAATGTAAAAAAAAAAAAAAGAAGTTACATTCTCATAGGCTTTTTCTTCTAAAGTTTCCTTATATTCTTCATCAAATGCTAAGGCTGTTTCAACATCTGTAAATTTATTAATCAGAAACGTATGAGCCTTGTCTAATTTTTTCCCATTAAACGCCTTAATTGCTGCTTCTGCTTCTTTTTGAGTTTGATAACTCATAAAAAGATATCTTTTTAAAATATAAGATCTCTATTTTTAAATGAATATCTGATACCCTTTAGAAAAAAGTACCCCATTCCTTTCTTCCATTGGCATAAAAATTCTTTCTTCATTAATTTTTCCTACTGTAGAAAACTGTTTCTTTAAAATTTTAAGAAGCGCTTCCCTCTTTTCCTCTGGAACTTGAGGAATTCCATCTACAATAATTAACGGTCCAAAATCTTGTTTAAAAGGAATATGATATTTTGCTTCCAAGTCCGAAAAATCAATTTCATCATCAATAGATGACTCTAAATAATCTTTAGACTCTTCTTGATCTTCTAAATCCTCTTTTTTCTCATTATTGTTCAGATTCATCTCGTCTCTAATAGTTATATCACAATTAGGTGAAATTTGTTCTAAATTATCTCGTTTTTTTTTTAAATCTGACTGAAACACTTCCACCTTTTCTTCCATTTATTGTTATCTATTTAAATGATAAAATTCACTGCTTTTTGTGCAAAAGGAAACCTTTTTTGTCGAAGAGAAAGTTGTCTGCAGCTTGCTAGGTTCAGGTTTTAACTAGGGTTGGGTTAAGACTTACCTTCTCAACAAGTTTTTTTTTGAAGAAAAGGTTTTATTTGATTTAATTATATTATCTTTGATTTTGGTATTTTTTTTTTTTTTTTAGATTGTTGCTAAAGGTATTTTATAGAAACTTTAATATTTAAGTCTATATTGGAGTATTTCATATAAAAATGGATGCTAAACAACCAGTAAAATTGGCAAGAGTAACTAAGGTTATTGGCCGAACAGGAAGGTATAATATTTGTATTTAATATGGTAATGGGGCTGATAAAATTAGTCGTGGAGGTGTGACTCAAGTACGAGTTGAATTTATGGATGATACAACAAGAAGTATTATTCGTAATGTCAAAGTATTTTATATATACTATATAAGAAGGTAGATGGTTTAATAAAGATATAGGGCCCTGTTAGAGAAGATGATATATTGTGTTTACTTGAATCTGAAAGAGAAGCACGTCGATTAAGATAAATAAGCAGGGGATGGAGAGATGATTAGGAATTTTGTTTAATAAAAGTAAGGATGATGATATTTGTATTTATGTATTTTTTCTTCCAAAAAAATAAATTTTGATATTTTAAAAGCATCTTTCCGTAGCCTTTTGCAATTATTTAGTGATTATTTTGTTCCTGTTTGCGTGCGTTAGTGGATAGCCAATATCGTAAAAGCTGATCGCCATATTGCTGCATTTCTTTAAGTGGTATCATAAGTCTGAAATCATTCATTAATAAGAATTGTAGTTCAAGGTGATTAAGTTCTGATAGGGGCAATCCTCCGACCTTTATTATATAAAAATAATGTATATATTGTATAAAATGTATATATTACCTTTGCATAGCGAGAATTTGTGTAAAAGATATCGCTGAAAAATTTGGAAGCAACAGTAATACCAGCAATAATAAGACGATGAATGTTATAGCTATCGATAACAAAAATAGGTGTTGGTTCGTTTTTTGAAGAAAGTTTAGATAGTCTGCTATTAGATTGGCGACTCATACGATCAAAGTAAACAAGAAGACTAAGGAAAACTTCATTGGTTGCTGGACAGTATTTCAGAATACGAACAAGATAAGCATAAATAGATATAGATGGTATGTTTCTTGCGTGAAAAGAGAGTAAAAGAATTGAATTAGGTGACTGCGATGATGATAATCGATAATTACGAGTATGATGAAGATGATCATTAGACTGTGTAATTTTAAGAAGAAGAGATGAAAGCATTTGAAGAATATTTTGAATAGGATGATTAGCAATATCAAGATGATGAGTTATTCTTGGAAATGATGATGGTGAAATACTTGAAGATGCAATCGTAGCTTGTGATGAAACTGTTTCAACACTGCTAGGCTGTGCTATCATAGATGGATATTTTGAAACATAACGATGCATCTGAGTATTATTCGTCGAATTCGTGTTTCCACGTTGTTCCTCATTGTTTGTAAATGACGTTAAATGATTTGATTCTGTATGATGTAAAATATCTGCATTTATTGAATATCGTGTCATAAAATCGGTTGGCTTCACTGTCTTTTTTGAAAGCTTTGAACATATCTCCCTTTTATGACAGTCCCCATACGGATAACTCAATTTTGGAGATTCTGAATCAATAATTGTGGTCATATAATCGACCGCTCCTGTTTCTTCTAATAGTTATATTATCATTTTTCTTTCTTAAATAATGTTATTTCTTCTGAAAAAAAGTTTTTTTTCTTTTGCTTACATCTAGTATGATATTTTATTCATTTCACTTAGTCTTTATTCTTTTTTTATTAAGTTTTTTATCTCCCACCTCTTATTGGGAGCTTCGGATCAGTCCAACTCACCGAGAATCTATGATATATATATGTAAAAGATAGAAAATAAAAAATATGTGAAAATATGTATAAATTAAGTAGTAGTGTATATAGATAATATATTTTATATACATAAATATCCAAAAGAAAAAAAAAGATATAATTATATTGCATGTTTTTTCAGATAGATTATTTGAAAAATGATTGAGATATTTTTAAAAATGAATGAAAGAAGACAGTATTAAAAAATAAGGACCTTTTTCGGAATATGATTTCTTAAATATTTGGTATTTGATTATTTTCTTGTGAAAAAAAAAGGCGTTCGACACCGTCTTTTGTGATGACTGCCATACGAATGACCCCTCTAAAAATAAAAATAAATATAAGATGTATGTGGATAAATGATGTGTTACCCGCTGCTTCCATCTCTTTTTATAGCAAGAGATACAGCTATAATGATAAATATGAAAAAAGTTGTATATTAATGAATACCTTGTTTAAGAAATTCAATTCCTTCTTCTTTAGACATATCTGGAGTAAATGATTTATCGCAAAATCCATAAATGTACTAGAAAGTTCAATAAAAGAATTTAAAGAAAAAAGAAATTGATACACTTGATCCTGACCCGCCGATGGCTATGTTTTGTTGATGAATACTACCTCCTAATGGAATAGAATAGATGTCACCGCCTTTTTCGTCATCAAAACCAGCAACAATTAATCCTGCGGTAAGAATATCTTTATTTTGGTAGCAAATTTCTGCTGCTAGATTTGCTGCGATTTCTACGCTAGGAGGTTTATTATTTTGGATTCTACAAGGAGTTATTAGATAAAAAACATGTATTTTTTTTACGCGTAAAGAGATAAATGATGGCGTAATACATCAGAAATGGCTTGTGTATCTAAATGTAATAAGTGATATAATAGTAAAAAAAAAAAATTTACCCGCTGCTGAACCTGAACGACAACACCAAATTTTTCCATAAAGCTTTGTAAGTTTGTCTGATACTCTATTGACAATTGTTTGTCCCATTGTTGTACGAGAATCTGCTGCAATAATCACTCCATCTATAAATTTGATGGCTGCAATGGTTGTTCCTAATTGTATTTCTTCTTTCTAAATAAATTAGAAAATTCATTAATTCTGCTCTCATGCCTTTTGTTTATTTATATTGGTTCTGGGGTTTAACATAGTTTTTTAATATTTTGCTTCAATATTTAGAGTCTCGTAGAAAATAGTTTGATATATATTGGTTAAAAATAATATAAAATTTATGATATATTCAATTCTTTGATGTTTATAGTTTCTTTTCTAGATTTTTTGACTTTTGATTAGTTTATATTTATAATAAATTGATTTTTTTTAAATAAAAAGATATATAGATGTTTTACATATTACTTTGAGAGTATTGAGATAAGTTTTTAAATAACTTTTTTTATAGAAAAAATAAAAAATAATGTTGTTTGTGTATAAAATTATAAGTTTTTATTTAGTAGTTTAGGTTAATATAGGTAAATTGGTCTTGAAATAAGTGAGTTTTATGTTGATTAATGAAAAATTATAATTAATAATGAAAATTTAGAATAATATTTTGTTTTTGTAAATTTTATTATAGGAATTGTTTTCTTTTGATTTATTTTTATAAATTTAGAGTTCAGTGAGAATATAGTAAAACATTTAATCTCCAGTGTTTTAAAAAAAAAATATTATAAAAAATGGATTGCAATTTTTTTAGCAATATATTTAAATATTGAATGAATATGGTTGTTTTTTATGATTAAAAGATATTTTTTGTTAATTTTTTCTTTATATTATGATTAGATGAAAAAAATTGTCTATTTACATCCAATTTATTATTATAGATTAATAGATCTTTCTTATTCTTTAAGTATTTTTGAAATTTGAAAAAAAAAGTCTTTATCTAATTGATTTAAACATATGTGCTTATTTTTCAAATAGTATTGTAAAAATATTATTAATTACATTTAAATATAAATTTGAAGTTTTTTAATGTTTAAAATGATATATATATAGATAATAAACAATTATTTTATAATTTTAAACAAATTATAACTTTTGAAAAAAAAAATTAGTTTATTTTAGAGATTTTAATTAATATCTCCTATAAGATTCTTGAAATCTATTTTTTTTAATGAAGTATTTTCTCATGAATCAAATAAATCGATAGGTTTTCTTATAAAATTAGGTTATGTATATATAAATATGTTCAAAAGGTTATTTATATTAAAATGAATTTAATAAATATTGGCATTAGTGTTTTTATTGGCAGTAAGTTTTTTTTTAAAAAAAAATTGACTTATATATAGTTATCACTTTTACTGTTTTTTCTATTTATTATTTACAATTTCGTTTTATATATCTATCATGGGTTCCTATGGGGTCTCGTACCCGAGTAGAACGACCTGATGCTTATCAAATTCCTTATGAAGAGGTTACACTTTCTACACCAGATGGTATTTCACTTCATGCATATCTTTTAATTCATAACGATTCACGTCCTACTCTTATTTATTTTCATGCAAATGCAGGCAATATGGTTTTTTCTTTATCTTAAATGTTATTTCGTTTTTTATTTATTATCTAGGGACATCGTCTTCCCATTGTTAAACGTCTTTATTATGATGTACAATGTAATGTCTTGATTTTTTCTTATAGAGGGTTTTTCTTTTAATATTTGGATACTATGTTTATAATTTTAGATACGGTCATAGCACTGGATTTCCTTCAGAAAAAGGCATTAAAATTGATTCTTTAACAGTTCTTAATTATGTTCATCAACATCCAGTACTTTCAAAAACATCAATCATTGCATATGGACAATCCCTTGGTGGTGCAATTGCTATTCAGAGTGTTTCTGCGTGTCAGGATAAAGTTTATAATATCATAATTATTAAAAATAATTAATGTCCATATAGTATTCTGCATTAATTATCGAAAATACTTTTCTTTCTATTCCTAGGCTTATATTAGAGTATATTATACTCTTTTTTCAAAAATTCTGCTGATTTTTAGTACAATGCCTTATATGTATATAATTAAAGGATTATTTCATCAATATTGGTCTTCTGAAAAATTGATTTCCTCTATAACTGACATTCCAATTCTTTTTCTTTCAGGAAAAAAAGATGAAATAGTACCTTTCGATCATATGTATTCTCTTTATCAACTTTCTAGAACTAAAAAGATTCTTAAAATTTTTCAGGATGGTAAACATAATGACACTGTATTTTTCATTAGCTTTTTTATTCTTTTTTTTTATTATTTTTAGATCATTCAACCTGGCTATTTTGAAACTATCTCTTCATTTTTAAAACAAAATCATTTATATTAATTTTTTTATATAATACTATTTTACAATTTTTATGAGTTTATATAACTTCATTTTATGCATTTTTCTTCGAATTTAATACAAATCTATTATATACTTCTTATAAAGCTCGAAATCTTAACCTAATTTTTTATTTTATCATTTTAATATTTATAATTTTTATGCTACGGATAATATTTGTTTTAGAATTATAATATTAGATTTGAGACTAAGGAAAGACAAATAAGTGTAAAATGGATGAAGTCGCGCTTTCTCATGAGAAAAACGGTCGAAAGAGTGACCAGTTTGACTTAACTGGTTCTCATAGCCAACGTAAATTGGATAAGCTGGGATCAGCAAGTTTTATGTATGTATTATTGTAAGATTAAAAGGTCTTTTTAAGATATTTAGATCGTCTGTATCTAATCTTTTGAATACTATTATTGGTGATATATATTGTATTATATGTATTTTAACTGATATTTGTTAAGGTGCAGGAGTATTAGGTAAGAGTATTTTGGAGTAGGTAAATAGGGGTTGATGGGTTCATTAGCAATGCCTTATGCTTTGTCATCAACGGGTATTCTGGGTGGTATTATTATTCTTTTTATATCAGCTATAACAAGTGGACTTGGACTTTATTTTCTCGCAGGTTGTGCATTAAAATTGAAGCGTGGGGAGGCATCATTTCATAAAATAACAGACATTACGTTTCCTTCTGTCTCATTTCTTGTAATAAGTTCTTTTATAAGTGAAATAATGGTATTGATTTTTCTAGTTTGATGCAATAATTGCAGTTAAATGTTTTGGTGTAACTGTAACCTATTTAATTTTGATTGGAGATGTTATGCCGCAAGTTATACGGATGATCAAGTCAGACTTGTCGGATACATCTTTTTTAATTAGTAGGCATTTCTGGATCACAATATTTATGTATTTTTTACTAGTATTAATATTTATAACTAAAATGGTAGGGCTTTCATAACACCTTTTATGTTTCTTCGTCGTCTTGATTCTTTACGTTATATATCTATTGTTTCTCTTTTTTCTATCAGTTATTTGACAATAATTGTTATTAAATATTTTTTTCAAAGGAATGTTTGGAATTCTGATGTAGAGGTCCATTTTCTTAAAGGAAAAGGGATTAATGCTATTATATCTTCAGTATCTGTTTTTATATTTGCTTATAATTGTCATGAGAATGTATGATCTTTAAAAATTTTAATATTTGCTTATTTTTTTTAGATGTTTACTATTGTTAATGAAATTCGTGATAACAGTAGAAAAAATATTGCTAAAGTTATTTTTACTTCTATTGGGTTATCTTCAATTCTCTTTCTTCTATTAGCAATACTTGGATATCTTACTTTCGGTATTATTAATATATATTATGAATTTCGTTATCTAATATATCTTTTAGGTGTTCTTGTTCCGGAAAATATCATTTTAGGATGTTTGTCTCCTTGAAATTTATTTTTTCTTTTCTAAATGCAATAGATGAATATTCTGTTGCTACGACCATCGCAAGAGTTGCTGTCATTGTTGTTATTATGTTCTCATATCCTCTCCAAGGTTATCCGTGTCGAGTAAATTTGGATTATGCTTTATCTTGGAATCCTAAATCTCGCAGACCTATTAACAGGATTACATCTGAAATGAGGTTTTTTTTTTATCTATAAAATTTGTTAATATTATTAGTAATTTACGATTTAATATACTTACTTGCATGATTATTGTGTTTTCATACCTTCTTGCTATGACTATACGTTCTTTCGAAAGAGTTTTATCATATGTTGGATCTATAGGGTCAACAGCAACTTCCTTTATTCTTCCAGGGCTATATTATAGCAAACTAGTATACACTGAGGATATTTTATATAGCAAAGATGATCAGGATAATCGAGAAATCGAGAATAGGAGCAGTTTATTGAATAAATCAAGATTTTCAAAGGCATGGTATTCAAAAATGGCTGCTATATCATTGGCTGTTTTTGGTATTATTGTTGCATTAATCTCTTTTATATCAAATATACTTTATACTGTTCAAGGTCGTTGAAAGAGATACTGTATTATATTGAACAGATTATAAGAATGGCTTAGTTTCTCAAATATAATGATGTATAGTAGAAATAAGTTATATATTTAAAAATTCAAGATAAACCGTTGTGCCCAGTTAACTGAAGCATTATACATTGTAGTTTCAGCTGTTTTAAGATTATATATTAACCATATTATATTAAACCATTTGGTAGGTACGTTTCCGAATTTTTGATTTAAATTCATCTTCGTAACTTTCTACATTTGTTGATGGTTTCGCATTTGTATTGCATAGTTTCTCGCCTGAATTAGAATTTATTTCAACATATAAGCTACTAGATTTTTCTTCTACTGTGTTATTTTCCAATTCTTTAAATTCCAAATATTTAGGATTTTCAACAGAAACTATATTTGTATCAATTTCTGAAAGAGGTACTTTTCTTAATTGTTTAAGTATCTCTTCATGAGGTTTTGTGAGTTTCCATGAAGCTGGATATTCGTAATTGCATTTTTTCGGTGTTTTTCCTGTTAAAATTTCATTTTTTATGGATGTTGATAAAATTTTATTATGAGTGACAGTTATTTGAGAAATAATAGAGTCTTTATGAAAATCGTTTTCCGATTTTTGATTTTTGGTTAAATCGTTAACAAAATAGGAATGTACATCAATATCTTTTTTAATATCATTTACTTTTGTTTTTAATTTCTGATAGGAATTCTTAATATCATCAAATACAGAATCATTATTTTGTATATATGCATCATAATGAACAGAGTTTTGTGAATGCGCTATATTAAATATTAATATATAATGTTATTCATTTAAATGGTCACCTTTAGCGATAATGTTATCGAAAGTCTGTATTTGAGTATTTACGTCTTGTATTTGAGCATCGATTAGCTGTAGAATTTCTGAATAAATTGTTTGAGTATTGCCTTGAATAGCTGCTCCCTTTCCGTCGGAATTCTATAATTATTAATACTAGTTTTACTAATATATAAGTAATACTTTTGCTGATAATATGACATTGTTTTTAATGTCTTCTTTTGAGTTCATTAATTTTTTAACAAAAAGACCTTCTTTTGCAGACCAAATATCAATTTTTCTAGAAAAAGTAGAAGCCAGTTCATCAATATTTGTAGATATGTCATCTACACTTGACTGAGCATAATCAATTTGAGCAGTTTGTCGTTCGTTCTGTTTTTCAAAAAAACTATTAATAAGAGAAGATATATGAGTTAGCAATTCCATTTTCTCTTCCGAATTCTTTTTTTGTTCCTGGGATAATGATTTTTTAAAGTGATCAGATATTTGAAATATTTTATTTTTTATAGATTGAGATAATCCTAAAATCTCTGATTTTAAATTTTGAATTTCTGTTGTTTGTATAGTAATGTGCTTTTCAGTATCATCAAATACGGATTTCATATCATGTCCCAATTGGCTATATGAATTATGGATCTATGTTTTAATTATTATATAATCAAAAATATAAATATATGTATATTACCTGTTGTTGAAACTTTATCATTTCTCCAAAAACTTCCCCTGAAATTTTTTCTGTGGCTTTATTCAGATTTTTAAATCCATCTTTGATTCCTAATTTGATTTTTTCTTTAAGTTTCTTGATTTCTTCCAAAAAGTTATTTGTTTCATATTTTGCTGTACTTATTTCATTAGAAATCTCAGCATGTCTATTTTCAAAGTTCAAAAGCTGTTGATCTATAAATTGGAAATTATCGTCAATATGTTCTACTTCTTTTGTAACGAATTCTGTAATTTCATTTTCTAGTTTATTAGAATACTGAAATTGAAATAAATGATATTTGGTTATATTGTTATCGAGATCTTCCATAAATCTAGTTATATGGGATTTTGTTTCATCCCATAATATTTTATTTGAAGATTCAATGTCTGTCTTGCGTTCTAATGAAAAGTAAGTTTATTTAAATATATTATTAATAGCTAACCAATTTTTTCATGTAAACTATTAATATCGACAATTGTTTTTTTAAGAGTAGAATGAAGTTCATTTGCTATAATGTCAAGCTCCCATTCTGTAGTTTGATGAGCTTTCCTAAGAACAATTTCTTCATCTAAATGTTGCTTAGTATCTACAAGATCAACTTCTGTTTTTCTCAAGGCATTTTTTGTGTCTTCTAAGGTTTTCTTATTTCTATTAGATGCAATAATAATAATAATAATATGTTTACAGATGTTTTTTCTAAATCTTTTTTGGTTTGTATGAAAAGCTTCATGTTTTGCTCAAATTGTTCTCGAGTTGATTTTAATGATGACTCTAAAGCATCTATCTTTCGTTGCTGTTCTTCTACCAAAGCTTTATTAGATTGGTTTTCTTCTGTAAGTTCTTTATATGAGCTTTCTGCAAGATAAATGCCTGATTTTTGACGACATGCCTATAAGGTATTAAAAGAAATTGTAAATAGTTCTTAAAAAATCACATTTAAGTCATTTTTTAGTCTCTCTATATCTTGAATATATTCTTTAATAAGTGTTTTCTTTGTCATCATCTGATTAACTTGAGGTTTATTTTTGATACTTTTTGCTCGATTTGCATATTCTAATGTACTTATTGTTTCTTCCAAATTAATCTTTTCTGGACTTATAGTTGCAATAATGCATGTTTTAGTTTTCCCACCTAGTGAATCCTGTAAAAGACGTGTTAGTTTTGATTCGCTATAGCTTATTTAAATTAATGAACGTTAAATTAATAGTATTACCGATATGGAATATGTTGCGATTTGTCTACCAAGGAATTTATTACTCTTCCGAGTGTTAAAAGACTTTGATTTATCATTCCTGCTTCACGGGCGCGTTTATTTTCTGCGCCTGAACGCCCAATGTTTTCTGAACCAGCAAGATCTACTAAATTAAGTTTTCCCACTCTTAAAAGATCTTCACCAAATTCTGTGGTATCTTTAATATGCATAGTAATTGTAAAAATGGAATGTGAACGACTTGAAAGATCATTACATTTTGTTGCTGCAACTTGGCGTTTGTGGCTTCCCATTTGAAGTAAATTTATTCCATCTGATGAATTCGTGATAGGAATATCCTCCATACCACTTATCACTATTCCTTTTTTTACTGTATCTTCAAAAATTTTTACTTTTTTATCTTCAATTGATAACAAATCACGAAGCTCTTCGTTATAGAGTTCAATAAATGAACATTTAACCGAATATTCTGTGTTTTCTGTCTCAAGAATGCTAAATAAGCGATAAAGTGTTCTTGGTATTATTCCAGAAGTGTCTGAAAGGACACCATAATTATTAGACATATCACCCGTCATAGTATAGCTAAAAAATTAATTGTCTTAAGATAACTAAAAAATGCTTACGTTTTCCCCGTTCCAGTTTGTCCATACGCAAATATAGTGCAATTGTAACCATCTAAAACCTAATTGATCTTTAGATATGTATTAAATATAGAAATTTATAACTTCTCTAAGTATTGGAAGAACAACGTCATCAAATATCATTGCTTGATCCGCTTCTGGTCCAAAAACACGATCAAACGTATATGTTCTTGTATTCATTTGCGATAAAGGACTTGTTTGAACACATACTTCTCTCCCACGAGGACCTTCTGTTGAAACAATACTACAGCTATTTTCCCGTATTTCTCGTTTACTTCGTCCACGACATCTTACTACTACCTGAATATTTGTTTCTCCATTGTTTATTTCATTGCTATTTTCGTATGACTTTTTTTTCTTTGTTATAATAGGTGTTGGTTCTGAAGAATAGACATGCAATGTTTTTTTTTCAAGTGGTTTTTGATTTGGTGATGATGGTTCATTATTAGGAATCGAAGATGTGGAATTCGATAAAGATTGCATGGATAGAGAAGATCCTCTCTGAGTGATAGGTGGTCGTATTCTTCTTCCACTTATCATTTTTTTTATTTGTCTAAGAGATCCTTCGGTTCTAACATCTTCATTTAAAAATAAACACCGGTTGTCATGACAACATGTTCAAAAAAATATTTTTAAATTAGTTCTTTATTTTTGTATTACACATAATTCTTTCTTTGAAATTTGGAGTCTAGTAGTATTTTAATTTTAAATGATATTAAGACTAAAGCTTTAAAAGTATAGAATATATTATTGAATTTTTTTTTTGTATTTTTAAGAATTTCCATAATAAGCGATGGATACAGGAAATAGTTAATTGATTAGAATATATATTAGAATTAAATTTATTTATTTAAAGAGTGGTTTTTGATAATAAATTTAAAAAAAAAAAAAAAAAAAACCCTTTTTTTAAATTTATAATTATAAAAATAATTTATTTGATAAGTTAGATTTTTAATTATATATAAATGATATAAAATATTACCCTGAAATACTGTACGAAACATACAAAATATTAGATGAAATTAAATTTTAAAGAAATTAAATATTAAATTTCTTAAAGATATTTTCTCTAATATTAAAAGAAGATATTATGTTTTTTGATTTAGAATTTTTAAAAGGTTGTTTTTTTATTTGGATTATTTTAAAAAAATTAATAAATAATTTTTAAAATATACATTAAATAAGTTAAATTGTGTATATTTATAATGAATTGTTTCTGGATTTTTAATGTAATGTATATAATATTAGATTTTAATTTTTATTAGGATTTGATTTTTTCAAGATCTCGCGTATACAGGTTTCAGAAAATCTATTAAAATTAAATATTTAAATATTATATTTAAGACGTGTACTAGGATTTCTAGCAGTTTTAAAAAATATGGATGTTAAAGTTTCAAAGTTTATTGAAACATTGACAGATTGTTTTTCTATGTTTAATAAGAACTCAAAAAACGAGTTAAAAATCTTGCTATCTAGGTCTAGATTTATTTCTAATTTTCGCGCATATATTAATATATTAGAGAGGATGGTTTTAAATTTGGTGATTTGAGTGGTCTTTTGGATGATTTAGACTTTATAGATAAATTTTCTGAAGAAATAATTTCTGTAATTTATATGTTATTTGATATGGTGTTTTAAATATTTGTTTAGGATTTTGATCAATTGATCAACAGCTTTCAATGTTTTCTTATGAGAATTTATGAAGATAAGATGTTTTTAGACTTGGATTTTATTTTCTTGGAAACACTTGTTAGAACAGCATACAAAATCGATAATCATTATCTAAAATTAAAACTTTTTAGAATTGTTTTGGTATTTTATATTTTTTTATATTTCTTTATTTTTTTAAATGATATTAGATATGGTTATATAATCATCCTGGTTATTTTTAAATTTACTATACAATTGAATGTTAAAGATTTAAATAGATTCAAAAAATGATGCTCATTCAAATTTTATTATAAATCTTTTAAATACCTCGTGTGACTCTTTGGAAGATATTTGTTTAAGAAGAATGGTGAGTATTTTTTAAGCAAAAAAAAATGCTTAATATTTTAGGCATTAGCTATTGTTAATCGTTTAATTAAAAAAAATGTTAAAAATAAGAGAACAATCATGGATAAAAATCAGTTTTTTAATTTGTAATATTATTGTATATTAATTTACATTCTTATTAGTTATAGAAAGGAAATTGGGAGGTCTATTTTGGTTTCTGATGATTTTAAAATACAGGAGCTTTCTGCAGAGCTTGTTCATGAACTTTTGCCTCCAAGAAATTCTCCATTGGAATTTTACAATAGAAGATTTGATCTGTTTTTTTCTTTAAATAGTCTTTCTGAGGATTTAAAGGCTGAATTTTTTGAGATGCAGAATTCAGGATGGATATACTCTCCTAAGTGGTTAACATCTTTGAATATTGAGAGAAACTGTAGTTCCTCGTAATATTTTGTTTGATTTATTTTTAATTTTTTACTAATTATTACTAGACCTTTAACATTTGAATGCATTTATTTAAAATTTGGGGGAAATCTGTTTAATTCTCTTGACAATAATGGAACTTTATATGTGCATCTTTCTCATAACTTTATTACTAGTGTTATTATTGATTCAAAAAATCAGGAAAAATTATTAGATATAGCTTTAAAAAATATTGAAGAAATTCGCGAATCCGATAGTCATATTGTTTTAAGGTTAAAGGAGGATTTTGACAATGATTCTATTATAGGTGATGAATTTAGTTTTTTTGATTTAATAGAATTTTATTTTGATAATAAGCCTGAAACAGGCATAATAATTCAAGAAATAGTTGAAAGAATAAAGAGAAATATGAATTTAGGTTCTAAGATTAAGTGCAGTATGATAGAATGTCCTATTAGTTTGAGGTTTCAAGGAAATAATATTTGTCATTCAGATGATTTTTTCTCTCAACAACGAATAATTGACATAGATATGGATAAAAACATTAACATTGTTTCGGGAAATTCATTTCAGGAAAATAAATTTGGTGATTTTAAGCTTTCAGACGCTTATGAAGATACAGAGAATGTTAGTGATTATTTATAACCAAATTAATATTTATATTTTTTTAGAAAAAAATGCCTTCTGTTGATTTTAATGAGACTAAGGAAATGGAATATCAACAGTCTGATAGTTTTTGTCATTTAGCTAACAACAATTGTTCATCGATTACAAATTCTTTTCTTGAAAAGTCAAAAAAGACTGAAGAGAGACCTTTTTTAAGGGTTTCTACCCAAGTAAAGGACTTATTTTCTTTGGTTACTCTAGAAAACAGCGACAAAAATGTGTCGAAAGATATTAAATTGCCTAAAAAGATGAAGAAAAAGTCTGAAGGCTTAAAGGAATTAACAAATATTTTACCACCTTTCGATGAAATTTCAGAAGTAGATAAGAATACTGATTCTAGTATAAAACAAAAAAAGAATACTAATGAAAACATTAATATGGATATATATGATTTTCCTTTTGATAAGGTATCTCGTTTTAATAGGTCACAAATTACTAAGTCAAGATCTAAAAAAAAATATATGTTAAAGTCTAATTCTTCTGTTCATGCTCTTCAGAAAAAATGCAAAATTGAAAATAAATTACAAGAAACAAATAAAAGGTATTCTGATAAGGATTCAGTTAGGAATGATTATTCTTCTGCTACTGATTATGATATTATTCCTAACGACTTTTTAAGAAATAAAAATATAAAAAGACTCAAAAAAACTAATAAGACTGTTACTAAAAACACGTTGCGTTCGGACAAGATGTTTAATAATAAAGAATCTCTAATTAAAGAAAAATCGCCTCAATCTAATAAGTATTCTTTAAAACCATCTAAGGAAATTCCTAAGGATGTTAACAATGATTTGAGTAAGTTATCAGATTCTAGTAGTTTAAGTGAATTATCGAATTTCGATGATTCTAGTGAATTATCAGAACCTGATGATGCTATAATGGATTTAGTGTTAGAAAAAAATGCTTCAGATGAATTTAAAGTTCATCCTTCAAAATTTCAGGAAGATATTAAGGATAATTGTGAATCATTTCCAATTAAAATTTCTCAATTTGAAAAAGAAAAGGATTTTACTTTAACTAAAAAGTTATTCTATAAAAAAAATGATGGAATATCTAATGATGTTGAGAAAGATGATAAAATGAATATTGAGCTTATGGATGAATATTCTCAGTGTGGTTCTCAAATTATAGTATGGAGCAAAGATGGCCCTTTAAATAATAAATGTAAAACAGAAAATAATCATAAAAAGCTGGATAATTTGTCTGAAATAAAAGTATCTGAAAACAAATTTTTATGTAATTCTGAAATTGATGTTTCGAAACTATCTGTGGTAAATGAAAATATAAAAGATGTCGATAAGGTATGTGTTAAATTTTATTATCTATGTTTTCATTAAGATAAAATAGAAGTATTTATACCCTAAAGTAAAATATTTTGTTATTAAATATAGAAATCTTATCATTTTAGGACTTTATTGCAATTAATGAGAGTAAAATGAAGATTGAAAAGGATTTTAAAAATTGCATATATAATAATTTTTCATATGAAGTACCTAAGAACTTTGATGATGTTTTTGTTGCTACAAATAATTCTATGAATATTTATAAAAAAAATGATGTTTTCAACGAATATGGTAGGTTTTGTATTTTTATTAAAATAATTCATTATTCTAGTAAATCCTAATAATTTTTATAATATTTTGAATGGTTATGGTTTACTGTCTGGAATAAAAATTAATGATATTAAGGATTTTTCTGAAACTGACTTGGACATAGCATTCATTAATTCTGATTCTACACAGCAGCTTTTAGAACTTTCAAGTCAAGGCGATTATGATTCTCAGTTAAATAATTCTGATATAGAATGCAATGATGTTTATAGCAAATATTTCTATAAATCGAAATGGAAAAGAAAATTGCCTCAACATCATAAAAAAACTTTAAGTTTACTGATGGATATTGTTCAAATAATTATAAATAAGCTAGTAACCTATGAATTGAATATAAATGATTATATGGAAGACTTTAAGGGTAATATAAATAAAATTATAGATGCATTGAATATGGTTCGTTGTGATAAAAAGCTTAATATTGAGAATTATTTTTTTTTTCGGGATGGTTGCAATAAAAGATTTGTTAATCATTTGAATGGGGTTAAAAAACATAAAAAAGTATCAGAAAACATTAAAATAAATATAAAAAAAGGATATTTAGCTCGGAAAAATATGATTGATAATTTTTATAATAATATTTCAAATATTTATTAATTTTGAATTATATAGTTATTTTTATATTCGTTATATTTGTTTTATTATTCGTACTTGTTGAATAAATGAGGTTATATATAGCTTTTAGATACATTTTATTAGTCTAGTATATTGATATTTAGTTTAGCTTATCACATTCGTTAATTAAAGTAGATATATTAAAATCTTCTCCAGTATTAAATTTCTTTAGAAGTTCTAATCTGAGTTGGTTTTTTTTGATTACCTTCAGTTGCAGAAAAGAAAATTTCAATCTGAAATATTATTATTCTAAGGTCATTCATTGTTATTCCTCTATTTTTCTCAAGTTCTCCTTTCATTAACACTATATTTTTGTCTGAAGATAGGTCTGTATAATAAGATATAAATGTATGTGGTCTTGCAAACTCTCCTTTAGCTTTATATTCTAAAAGGGAAGTAATAAGTATGTATTTAGTAAAATCATTTACAAAGAACCATTGAAGAAAATGCATTTCTATACCCTGTGCATGATTTATAGGAAGAATAAACTAGATATATTATTAGGAAATTAGGCTTATAATTTAATTAACTACCATGTTGTATTTTTTTGCATTTTTTTCCATTATTTCAAATTTTTGAGAAGGTATTAATCCACAAAGGCTATGGTCATTTTGGGAATGACAAGCTTTCCAAATTAGTTCTATCTCTTTAACATTGTATGAACGTATTTTTTCTATATCAATATAAAATGATAATGTTTTAATTTGTTCTTTTTTTTCATTTTTCAATATTTTAGTATTAGATTGTGCTAAGTTTCTATTTTTTTGTACAAAATTTGATTCCAAAATTGTTTGTGTATTTTCTTTGTTTGATTTCATAGTATATTTTTTAAAAAGTTCCTCAATAGAAGAAAGATTTTCTCTTTAATTTTTTAACAAAAACTACTGAGAAAAAATATTTATTTACTTCCTCATTTTTTCTTCTAATTTATCTCTGTATTTATTTATGAATTTTTGAGGAATATTTTTAGCTTTAAATTGAAATTTTCTAAATTTATAAATGTTTTTTGGCAGTTTTTTTTTAGATAATGAAAGTATTTCAAAAAACATCTTTATTTTTTAAAAAAATTACTCCAACTTATTCTGTTTTCTCCTTTAAATGATATCTCATTTAATGTAAATGCAATATTTCATAAATAGTTTCTTAAGATTTTGATTTAATTTATAAAGATGTTCCTCGTAATTTTGTAATATAAAAAGATTCAATTTATATTTAAAAAAATATCATATTAAATCTTTCAGAAATAATAAAATTTAAATATTTGTGTATCTAATGAATCTTTATTTTTTTGTAATTTTTCTTATTTTGTTTTTTGTAATATTTTAAAAATGTTATTTTGAAAAATGTTCAAGAATCTTTTAAATAACCGTTTATAAAGATATAGAATTCATTATTATATTTTTTGTTTTTTAATAAATTATGTGCTATTTTTTTAATGTTTTTTTACTATTTTTGTGAATATATCTTTTACATATCATGAAACACTTATCAATTTGATCGATAAGCTTTAGCTTTTATATACGGTCTGTAGAATACGTGATATTTTAAAGTTTGAAAATGACGTATTAACAGATGCATATATAGGATGGGAATTTTGAAATTTTTAATTTTATGTAATAATAAATGTAATTAAGCTGTTTTTAAAGAGTTTTTTTGTGGTTCTGAAGAATCTGAATAGGAAAAAATGGAAAAATCGGAGATTAATAAAGATGAAGAAGAGTTTAAAAAACCTATTATTCACAAGCCTTTGCTTCATAGTATATTGTATTTTGTATTTTACAATACTATTCTGATTTTATTTAGTCGAATGTTCTTTAAAAGAAAAGGTTTAATTCTAGATATATTTTAGATGCGAGATTAAATATTTGAAAGAGCACGTGTAGATTTGATATGGCTTCTCATTATGTTCGTCGATTTCTTCTTGAAAATTTTTCTTCATTGACTTTAAATACTGAATTTCGTAATTTTGAAGATGAGCCGCTTTTAATGAAGCATATTGAGCAAATTAGAGGTAATTTTATTATTTTTTTTATTTTAAATGTAATATTTACTCTTCTTAGTTGTTGAAGTTTCAGGTATGAATGAATGTATGACATGTATGCGCACTAATGGTTTATAGGATCCAATAAAGAAATCCTTTATTTAGATGAGGTCGATCTTGATGTTCATATATACCAACTTAACAATAGTTTGCCTTTTACTAATAATTTTGATGACCAAGATTTGGAAGATGGACCAATGGCTATAGTGACTGAATTACCATCTTTATCTTTAGAAGGACTTTGGGATAAGTAGATATATCTTTTTAAAAAATAATTAGTCTAAAATATAGTCTGATATTCGAGGATAATATCAAAAATAATTTATTGCACTTTATTCATACTGTCATGCTTTTTTCTGACAAAGATGTTAACTTTAATATTGTTACATGGAATAGGTATTTAGATCAAACAGATGTTTTTTTATAACAATATTAGGCTAATTCTCTTGCATGGTCCTCCAGGAACAGGAAAAACATCTTTATGTAAGATATCTTGCAATATATTTTTATTAGCTAATAAAAATTAGGTAGAGCATTGGCACAAAAACTTTCAATTAGGCTTTCTAATAAATTTTCTCGAGGAAGAGTGCAATAAACATGTCTATACTTATAATGAATAAACTTATTTTAATTAGATTGTTGAAGTGAATTCTCATTCACTTTTTTCAAAATGGTTTTCGGAAAGTGGAAAATTAGTTGGTAAAATGTTTCAACAAATTCATGAAATGGTTGAAGATGAAGATTCATTTGTTTGTGTTCTTATAGGTAATATCTAAATTATTATTCGATTTTTTAATTCTTTAGATGAAGTGGAAAGTTTAACTGCTGCAAGAAAAGCTGCTGCATCTGGTCTTGAGCCATCTGATGGCCTAAGAGTAAGGATTTAATTTTATTATACTAATATATCCACTTATTTTATTCTTTTAGGTTGTCAATTCTCTTCTTACACAATTGGATAAATTAAAGCCTCATAAAAATGTCTTTATTTTAACTACGTCTAATTTGCTAGAAGCGATGGGTTATAATTTGACCATATATATATATGATCTGACATAAACTTAGATCCTGCTTTTGTGGATCGTATAGATATAAAACAATATGTTGGTGATCCAAATCCAGATGCTATTTTTGCAATTCTTCAGTCATGTATTAATGAATTAGGTCGAAAAGGGTTAATTGGGGATGGAGTATACTCAAAAAAGCATTATAATGTCTTATAATTTTATTATAGATACCGGTTCCTTCATTTACTGAAGCGTCTATAAGTTTATATTCTCAGCCAAATTCATATAGTTCTCGATTATATAGAATAGCTGTTGATTGCAAAGTAATATCTCTTTAGACACAATTGCTAGGAAATCGTTAATATTTTGATGTTAGGGATTATCAGGGAGGACCCTTCGTCGTCTTCCTGTTCTTGCTCATGCTAAATATCTTCAACGACCTTGTTGTACAATGGATGAAATGCTTTGTTCTTTAGAAAAAGTTGTGAAAGAAGAATTAGAATTTTCTATGAAAATATGTTAATATAGGAATGATATGTATTTATTAGATATTATAGATTTAAAAATATTTTTTATCAAAATTTTATTCTATCTAAAAATATTCGAAAAAATGGTAGGGTTAGAATTTGGATGATAAAGTATAGTAATCTTAATTATAGTCACGTATTTTTAGTGAACATGCGACTGAAGAGAGAGGAGAAAATGCTCGAATGGTAGGTTGTTTTTTTGATTTTTTTTTTTTGAGGTTAAAGTTTTGATAAAAATTTTAGTCAAGTTTTGTCGGTGCTATTGCAGGTAAAATTGATATAAATTACAATAGTTTTTTATAGTTCTTATTATTTTTAGTTGGTGATCTTGTAAAGAGTACTCTTGGACCCAAAGGAATGGTATTTTTCTTTAATATTTTTATATTTTTTTAATTATTGAAGGATAAAATTCTTCAGTCAGCTTCTACTGGTGAAATTATAGTTACTAATGATGGTGCGACTATTTTAAAGTCTATTGAGCTTGATAATGCTGCTGCTAAGGCTCTTGTAAATGTTTCTATGACTCAAGACAATGAAGTAGGTGATGGTACAACAAGTGTTACCGTCTTGGCAGCAGAGCTTTTGAGAGAAGCAGAAAGGCTTATTGATTCTAAAATACACCCACAGATAATTATAGATGGATATCGTATTGCTGCTACTACAGCGCTCAGTGCATTGTGTGAGTCTGCTGTTGATCATAAGTATATTTTTATATTTTATATAATTTATTTTTAAATATATTAGGGAAAATTATGAACTATTTAGGAGGGATTTGGAAGATATAGCTCGTACCACACTTAGTTCTAAGATTCTTGCTCAAGATCGAGATCATTTTTCAAAATTAGCTGTTGACGCTGTCCTTAGACTCAAAAGTACTAACCTTGAAAGCATTCAAATTATTAAGAAGTCTGGAGGGAGATTAAGAGATTCTTATTTGGATGATGGATTTATATTGGAGAAAAAAATTGGTGTTAATCAACCTAAAAGGCTTGAAAATGCTAAAATTCTTGTTTCAAATACTCGTAATATTAGCATATATCTTTTTTATTTGTGTCTAAGATCTATTAGCTATGGATACTGATAAAGTAAAAGTTTTTGGTGCACGGGTAAGGGTAGATGCTACTAGTAAACTTGCAGAGTTAGAAAGGGCTGAAAGAGTAAGAAAAAAATCTTAATACTTTATGTTTATTATTTTAGGAAAAAATGAAAGCGAAAGTTGAAAAAATAAAGGCACACGGGGTTAATTGTTTTGTAAATCGTCAACTTATTTATAATTGGCCTGAACAGTTATTTGCCGATGCTGGAATGATGTCTATTGAACATGCTGATTTTGATGGAATAGAAAGGCTTGCGCTTGTTACTGGTGGAGAAATAGCATCAACTTTTGATCATCCAGAATATGTCAAACTAGGAAGATGTGATTTAATTGAAGAAATTATTATTGGTGAAGATAGAGTAGATATATTAATATTATTAGAGTATATTAATATTTTTTAGATGATTAAATTTTCAGGAGTTGCTGTTGGAGAAGCGTGTACAATAGTCCTTAGGTAATTTTATTTAAGGATTGAATAGTATAGTTAATAGAAAATAGAGGTGCAACATCACAGCTTCTTGATGAGGCTGAAAGATCTCTTCATGATGCATTAGCAGTATTATCGCAAACTATGGGTGATTCTAAAGTTGTTTTGGGCGGAGGTTGCTCTGAAATTCTTATGGCAAAAGCAGTAGATGCTGCTGCGTCTAAGGAATCTGGAAAAAAAGCCTTTGCACTTGAGGCTTTTGGTCGAGCCCTTCGAATGATACCTACGATTCTTGCAAGTAATGCAGGACTTGATTCTAGTGAACTTATTTCTAAATTGCGTTCTGTTCATTATAAAGGTAATTGTTATAGATTTGTCATTTATTTATTTATTTATTTATATTAGGAATGACTTCATATGGTTTAGATTTGATTAACGGAGAAATAGCAGATATGAGGGATGCAGGGGTTGTTGAGAGCTACAAGTTGAAGCGATCTATTGTTTCAAATGCATCAGAAGTAGTGGAAATGCTTCTAAGGTTCTTTTATATATATTTATATAAAATTTTTGATATTTTTTTAGAGTTGACACAATTCTTAGGTCTACCCCTAGGCCAAGAACTCGTTAATTTATGTCTAAGTATTTGAATGTATTTAAGTTATTTTCTGTTTAACTTTTATTTATAGAATTTTTAAATTACTTTAAAAGTTTAAATTTTTTGATGTGTAATAAAATTAAAGATCAATGTTAATAATAGAGATGGTCATTAAGATATTTAATATTTTATTCTACTGTATATTAAATTTGAAAAAGTTACATATTAAATTAGAATAAAATTAATCTTAAATGTCTTGAAATTTATTTGTAATAAATGTTATAAATGTTTGTTAATATTGCAGATAGATAATGGATTTGTTGGTCTGCTTTTTTTCTGGAATTTTAAAACATATAAATGTTAACCATTTGCATATTATATGAAATAGAAATTCTTGACGTGTATAAAATTTAAAATATCATATAATAAATAGGATAGTTTTATTATCATTAACTTGGATATTAAATCTATAACTTATCGGATTGTATGGTAATTAAATTTTGTTTAAATTATTTTTAAATAAATAAATAAATAAAATGGTAATATTTGGATTGTTATAGGACATAAATTTTAATATTAGAATATTTTTCAAATATTATATTGCTATGATTTATTGGTTGTTGTTTTGAAATTTATATTTTTAAAACAAATATATAAGCATTTTATTTTTTGATTTAATGTGTACATTTTTAGAAAGTTTATCGATATGAAAAATTGAGTTTAGAAAAAAAGTATTTGGGAATTTATTTATTATAAACGTAGGTTGTTTTTTTTTGATATTTTTATTTTATTTCAAACCTTTTTTTATATTATTTTTATTGGATTTGTTTTAAAAGGGCTATGGAAAACTGAAGTTAATCGAGTTAAAAGTAGATATATTTTTTCTTTTTTTTTATTTTCACATTTCTATTTATAAAAACTTCTAAAGTAATGGACATTGTTTATGAAAATTTTTATGAGAAGTTTTTTAATTCTATTGAATGGCCGTCTAAATCACATTTAATTTCTAAAGATTTAAGTGGTTTGAGTTTTACAGATCTAGCACTTCTGGTTACTACAGACGGTGATCTTTATGGTATTAATAGAGATGATGGAGAGATTAATTGGATTATAAAGGGATTAAATTCCATAATAAAATCTGAGAGAAATTTAGTTAAAATAGATAATTTATCTGAGGATTATATACAACGTATTTCAAATAATGTTGATTTTTTTTGGTTTTTGGAGCCTGCCGGTGATGGTTCTATATATATATTTGATTTTAGGATAGGGATCCATGTATGCTTTTTAATTTTTGAACTTTCTAACTTTCAAAGAAATTTCCATTTAATATTAAACAGTTGATAAAGTTATCTCCTTATAGTTTTCCAGGAGATGATAAAGTTTATATTGGAAAAAAGGAAACTTCACTTTTTGTTGTTAATGTTAATACTGGAAAAATATATCAAAGTTTTGGTAGTGGTCATGAATATGATGATGCTTTTCATTGTTTTTCTAATGAAGTTTTTGGAGAAAGCTATGACAAACAGTGTAATTTTTCAGACTTTGATGATAAAAATGTTTTGAAAATAGGTCGTATAGGTAAATAAATATTTTATTATAGTATTATTTTATAACTGAATTTTATAGATTATATATTAAATGTATATTCTGGAAATAGATTACTTTGGAATGTTAGTTATAGTGAATGGGTTCCTAGTTTTATTAATGTTAACTTTGAAAATAAATATTTTTCAATGTTTGATGGTAAATATATATTATCAACACATAATGGGGCAGTATTTCAGCGTAATATTACAGGAACCACTTCTTCGATTATTTGGTCTAAGAAATTAGATAGTCCTGTTACTAAAGTTTTTGATATTTTATCTTTTACTCCCATTTCAATTTATCAGCAGTCTGAATTAGATAATCAGCACACATTTATAATGGTAGAACAGCCTACTGATTTTATATTTAAAATGTTTAATAGAACTTACAATCGTTATGTTTTTATTAATACTACTCAAATAGGTAATTGGTATGCCTTGTCGGAAGAAAAATTTCCATTAATAAAAGAGGCATCGTTGTCTCAATGGTATAATGCTACAATAAATTTTGGAAAACTGGGCATTTTGCCTCTACATAAGGATCTTATTGGTCTTCATAAAATTTCGTATGATGTAGCTCAGATTTTAACTATTGATTCTTCATTGGAACCATTAAAAATTGATTACTTTTTGGATAAGAGTTATAATCTTAAATATCGTTATATTTTTTACATTTTTTTTGTAATTGGCTTATTAATATATTTTTCATGGAGATGGGGATTTTACCAGTTTATATTATGGTTAAAAGTCAAGTTTTTTACATGTATAATATATGTAAAAAAAAAGAATATTCAACAATTTCTGGTCAATATTCTTACTATTTTTGGCAGGAAAAAGAATAAGGAGTATGAGAATGTATTTGAAAATTTCAATGAAATTGTATTAAATGATGATAATATTTTGTTTTCAAAAGATGAGAATTTGAAAATGTTACACTTAAAAAAGCGTAAAAAGACTGTTCGAAAAAATAAAAAATATAAAAAAGTGATAGAAAATATGAGTTGTGTCGATACAGCTGAAGAAATGTCTGAAAATGAGTACTTTAAAAATAAAATAGAATATCATAATAATAATTTAGAGAATTCGAGTTTAGATTTATTTGAATTTAAAGCATATGATTCAATTGAAAAAATAGAATTTCCTTTGGTTATAAACTCTTTAGAAATAACAAACAAGATTTTAGGTATAATTTTATTAAAAAACGCATTTTTATTTACTTATTATAGGATACGGAAGTCATGGCACAATAGTTTATGAAGGCTCTTTTGAAGGTCGTAAGGTTGCTGTAAAAAGGATATTATTAGATTTTTATGAGGTTGCTTTTCGTGAAATTACATTATTGCAGGAAAGCGATGGCCATCCAAATGTTATCCGTTATTATTGTAAACAGAAAAGTGATAAATTTTTATATATTGCTCTTGAGCTTTGTTCTGCTTCTCTTTATGATATTATTGAGCGTTCTCATGAATTTTCTTGGCTATTAATGTCAATGAATGTTTCTGATATTTTATATCAAATAGCTTCAGGAATACAGTATTTACATTCTTTAAAAATAATACATAGAGATATTAAGCCTCAGAATATTCTTGTGGCACCTTTATATGCAAATTCTGATAATAACAAAGATGGAGAGCAAGTAAATCGTGTTCGTATTATGATATCTGATTTTGGTTTATGTAAGAAATTAGAGTTTGATCAAAATAGTTTTAAAGTAACTACTTCACAATTGTCTGGTACCATTGGATGGAGAGCTCCTGAATTGTTTTATGAAAAAATGAATGTTGATAAATTTCAAGAAAATATATCAGATTTAGAAATAAAATCACTAAGTTCTTTTCAAAATCATAAGGTTGGTCGTGCAATAGATATATTTTCTATGGGATGTGTGTTTTATTATGTCTTAACAAATGGTATGCATCCTTTTGGAGAATATTATTTGAGAGAAGGAAATATTGTTAAAGGCACTGCAAATTACAGTCATTTAGATTTTCTTGGTAATGAAAGCTTTCTTGCGAAAGATCTTATATCAAAAATGTTGAATTTAGATCCAAAAAAGAGGTAATTTTTAAAAAAGTTAAATTGTTTATTGATAAAATAAGGCCTGATGCGGAATTTGTTGTAAAACATCCTTATTTTTGGTCATCTGAAAAAAAATTATCTTTTTTAATAGATACATCTGATAGATTTGAAACTGAAAGACGTCAATCACCTTCTGAATTATTACAGTTTTTAGAAAAAGATGTTCTTAAAATTATAGGAAGAAATTGGCTGAAAAAAATAAATAAACATATTTTAGAAAATCCTGGAAGGTTTCGGAAATATGATGGAACAAAACTTTTGGATCTTTTAAGAATATTAAGGAATAAAGTAGGTTAAGATAAAACATTTTGATGTTTATTATTAATTTTTAGAAAAATCATTACCAGAATCTTCCTCTTCACATTCAAGAAATTTTAGGACCGCCCCCTGACCTTTATTTATCGTACTTTATGACACGATTCCCTTATTTATTATTGCATTGTTATTATATTGTTAAACGTTTTTTAGATAAAGAGAATATGCATCAATTAGCTAGCTATTTTTAAATAATTAAATATAAAAGAATATTCTTGTTCATGAATTTTTCTTGATATTTTGGAGTTAATTATTTATAAACATTTAAAAGGTTTAAAATTAATTCTATGATTTTATTAATTTTATTAAACATGGTCGAAATATAATTTCGGTAATTCATTTTTGGTGAAATTGCTTTTTTTGAAAAAAGGATCCTGCAGTTTTTATATTTTTGATTATAATTTATAAAAAAACATTTTTAATATGAAAGTTGCTATTAGTTTTTGTATTAAATAATAATATTTATTTTACATAGAAAAAGAAAAGAAAAATTGAGATTATTTTTGATGTTCAAGCTAGATGGTAATTTGTGTTTTGGTAATATAAAAATTTATGTTTTTTCTAGGGAATATCTAACTGGATTTCATAAAAGAAAGCTTGAGCGGAAAAAAAAAGTGGAAGAATTCATGAAAAAGCAAGAAAAAAATAAAAGATTAAGAATTAACAAAAATGTATATATTTTTATGCGATTAAGTGCATAGTTTTGATTTAAGTTATATATAGGTTAAGGAAAAAAAGAATATTGGAATTCAGAAATATATTAAATCTGCTTCTTTGATAACACAAGGTTTGATTTTTATTGAGGTTTTTATTTAAATAATATGAATATGTGACTTTTTGAATTTAGAGAATGCTATCCAGAATCTTCAAGATTTTAATGTTCGGGATGAGAATAAGAATATTAATATTTGGCAAAATAAATATGATGATCAAAATTATACAACTGTTACTATTACTGAAGATTTAAGTTAAGAAAATAATTATTTAATGATGAGTGATATTTGTATGTTTTGTATTTTGAAAATAGCTATGTTTTATGTTTATACATTAAGTTTATGGAATTTTATTTATTTTTTTAAAAGAAAAAATTGAGTAAAAATTTAGATTTAATGAAAACAAATATATAATGGTGCATTATATCCAATAATTTTGATTATTAGATAACAAATATTTAAAATATAGTTTAAATTTATTAATAAATGTATAATGCAAAATATATTCATTTGAAAAAATTAGTATATTTTTTTATAGTTTCTTTATTTAAATTGATTTTGTTTTTTTACGGTTTTCTATAAATGATATGTCTAATAATATCTGGATTTTAATAAATATTTATAAATAAATTGTGATTCTTTGATACTTTCAGTGGAAAATCTATATTATATGATTTATTACTTGTATTTAAGATTATTATTATTGATATTTGATGTTTGAAATAAGATGAAACTTCATTTTGAATTTATTAGCAGAATTTCAAAATTATTTATAAATGTTTATTAAAACATTATTGAATCTATATTATTGTAGCGAATTTAATTATTTATATCTTCAAAATATTATTAATATATTAAAGTCCAGTTTTTAGTTTTGAAATTATTATTTTAATATAAATTTTGAATTATAATTCTTAGAATTTTTTTTATAATATTAAAAATGTTTAAAATATTAATAAAAAAATATAACTATTAATTTTTGCAATATCTTTTTACTAATTATAGTTTTATTTTAATATCTACTTAAAGTTTATTGAAAAAAAATTAATAATGTTGTATATCATATTTATGTTTGTGTAATTTTTAAATATGTTAGTGTTATTTTAAATACTAAAAACAATGATATGATTAGTTTGTTAATTGCATTTTTTTATAAAATTATATTATTTTAAAAAAAAATATTTAAAAAACTATTTTTAGACAAATCGACTCAAAGTTATTTTATTCAAAATGTTAGATTTTCTGATAGATAAACATATAAAATATATTTTATCCTTTAATGAGAGAAAATTGACTGAGTATTGGGAAACAGAGTCTAGAAAATTACAGAGTATAAATTGGGCAGTTAATACATTATTTGTTCTTGGTCGTAAGGATTTGATACCTCGAGATGATATTCTTGATTTTGTTATGTTATGCAAATATGAAGACGGTATTTAGATTATTATATATTTTATTTTATTTATATATTTTAAGACTCTATTGAGGCTTTTGGAGAAAGTTCATGTACAGATCCTCATCTTTTGAATACTTTTTATGCTGTTCAAGTTTTGGCTGTATGTGACGCTCTTGATAGAATAAATTTTGATAAAATAGCAAAATGTATTTTGAAAATTTACTTTGTATTACTTTTAAAATTTTATTTTAGATATTTCATCCCTTCAAGATCTAGAAACAGGTGCATTTAAAGGATATTTTTGGAATGAAATCGACACTAGGTTTTCGTATTCTGCAGTCTGCTGTTTGGGAATTATTGATCGTCTTGATGCTATTGATATTGAGAAAGTTGTTAAATGGATTCTTAAATGCCAAAACCTCGATGGTGGTTTTGGTCAAGTTCCAGGAGCTGAATCGCATGCAGGTCATGGTAGTATAATTAGGTATAGAAGTTTTTATTGAACTGAAGAAAATAGTACTTTCATGTATAGGAACACTTTCTGTGTTAAAAAGACTTGATGTAATAGATATCGATTTAATTGGTTTATGGTTATCAGAACGTCAGGTTTTGAATGGTGGTTTAAATGGTAGACCTGAAAAATTAGAAGACGTTATTTTTTTTTTTTTTTTTTATGAGTTAATTTTTTAGGTTTGTTATTCATGGTGGGTATTTTCCTCTCTTGTTATGATAAATAGATCGCATTGGATTAATAATGAATATTTGATAAATTTTATTCTTTCGTGTCAGGTTAATATTTATTATAGATATGTTTTTAAAATTAAAAGAGGAAAGGATTTTAAAAATGGGGGTATATCAGAAAGACCAAAAATGCAGCCGGATATGTTTCATACATGTTTTGCTATTCTTTCTTTATCTATTCTTAAATATCCAGGTCTTTTGGAAATAAACCCTGTTTATTTTTTGCCTGTAGAAGTTGTTCAAAAATTGAAAATGAACAAAACTTAATTGGATTTTTTGCAAGTAATTTTTATTTTATGTTTGACTTTTTATATGAAATAGTTGTTTTGATTTTATTATATTTTTATAATTTTATACTACAAAGATATTGTCTTGATACTAAAATTAGTTTTAAGATATTTTAAAATTTTAAAATATATGGATTTTATGATTTTATTGTAACTTTTATAATAAATTATATATTTAAATGTTTTAAATGATTTATTTTTTATCTATATTAAGATTTTTGATAAGTTATATAATTTTATTTCATTAATTATATATTATAAAATTAATTTTGTCACATTAATGAAATGATTTTTTAAAAAATTGAGTTAAAATAAAAATGTTTATTAAAATTTAGTATCCGAAGTTAATATTAAATTATTAGATCGTTTAGATTATTTTTTAATACGATTTTTAAGACATGTTTAAAAAAATTAAATTCCTAATATTTGAATTTATTAAATTTATATATTTTTAATATTAAAAAATATAATAATAAATAGTCTTAGTAGTTTAATGTTTTTTATATTAATAATTATAATGGTTTTTAATATTTAAAGTTTATAATTACATGTATATACATATATATTCTTGTTTAATATATTTTGGATATTATGATTCTATAAAACTTTAGAAAATATAATTAGATAGTATATTTATTTAGGAAATTTAGTTTATTTAGTTAGTTTTTTATATATGTTAATTTTTGATTAACTTTTAATAGATGATAAAAAATATGTTATATTATTTATAAAGTATTAATATTTTCAAAATTAAAAAAATCATATTGAAAGTATATAGTGCTGTAATTTAAATGCTTGGAAATATTAACAATAAAAAACTAAATGTATATGGCAATTTTATAAATTTTAAGAATACATGTATTTTGGAACTAATAATAAACTAAAATCCATGATTAAACTTTATTATGTTAATTAATGTAAATTATAAAATTATAAAATTATTCCAACTATATTATAGTGACAAATGTGTTTTAATATTGATAAGTATATGTTTTGACATTAATTAATGTAGTTTTTTTTTTCTAAACTTTAAAGAATTGCTTTTAATCATTACTAAAGCTATGAAGCTCATAACAACTGCAAAACATGTCAAAAGTAAGACAACTGGTATTCTAATAGCCCATTCTCTCGGAAGAAAAAAACTATGTAATGGATGATCTTAAAGAATAAATATATAGATAATATTTAATTGGAATTACCTTTGTTAACAAAAGGCTTTAAAATATTAGAATAATTTTTTTGATCATATTGATGTACGAAAGCAAGCCTACCATTATTAGAGTCCATATTGAATAATATATAAAAACAATAGATGCAATAAAAAGCATATTTAATCCTATATATTTACTAAATATATTTCTCTTAAATAATTAAGTTTATTTTCTTTGTATTTCCTGAGCTTACTAATTTCATTTTAAAGGTTTTTTTTGCTGAAAATATAAGTTTTAAAATCGGGATGTTCGAGAACGAATTACTTATAGTATAAAATTTTAGATGATATTTGGTGAAGATAGGGAACAAGACGTGTGTTATTAAGCTAGGTAAAATTTTTTAGAAGTGTTTGTTTTAAATCTAATTATTCTTAAGAAAAATATACTAAAAATATCAGAGTATATAATAAAATTTAAAAATCAGTTAAAAAAACGTCTTATAAATTATATTTACTCATATATATATATATATATATTTATGAGCTTAGTTGAAATATAGAGAAGTTTAAAGGATTATTGTTTAATTCTTGTATATTAATAACTTATCGAAATTTTAAAGAAATGCTTAAGAAAAAATTTATGTTTAATGAGTTTGTAAGTTTCATTCTATTCATATTTGTTTTTAATTCTATTTAGGAAATTTGTTTCATTTGTATGGAATCATTTACAGAATCATCTATACCATTATGTAATCATCGTATTTGTCAAAAATGTTCACTTCGCTTGCGAGCACTGTATAATAATATGAATTGTGCTTATTGTAAAGTATTTTTTTTTTTTTTGAGATATTATTTTATTGTATTATAGACATTTCAGCCTAATGTTATTTTTAGTAAGGGATTAATGAATTATAATGATTTCGAATTAGAAAAGTTATCATATAAAAATGATAAACTTGGGATATTTTTCGAATCTTCGCAATTAATGGAAAAGGTTCTATCTCTTTTAGATTTTAGTTGTCCTGAATTTGATTGCAATATTGTATGTAATGATTGGCAAGATTTAAAAAAACACGCTAAAAAAATTCATGAAAAATATTTATGGTATAATCTTTGATATTTATATATACGTATATTAATTTATTAGTGATCTTTGTGTTCAAAATAAAAAAGTATTTGTACATGAGCATATATTGTTTTCCAAGCATGATTTAGTAGCACATATTAAAAAAGGTGACTTTGGAAATAATAGGAATAAAACAGGTTTTAAAGGACATCCTGATTGTGGTTTTTGTAAAAGAAACTTTTATGATGACGATGATCTTTATAAACATTGTCAGGAGTTTCATGAACGATGTCATGTGTGCGATCAGATGGCTGGTCAATTAAAACATCAATATTATTTGAATTATGATTCTTTAGAGCAGCATTTTCGAAGAGATCATTATATATGTTTGGAAGTTGAATGTCTTGAAAAAAAATTTGTTGTTTTTGGTACAGAATTTGATCTTAAAGCACATCAATTAGAAGTACATAAAAATAATTTATCTTCAAAAGCCCTAAAGGGGGCTAGAAAGATTCCTATGTCTCTTATATTTGATTGTCCTAAGAATTTTAGGAATGCAAAAGGGAAAAATGTTGATACTTCAAATGAATTACAGAATTATAATGAGCATATGACAAGGGCTGAAAGAGCTTTAAAGAGACAAGAAGAAAATGCATTACGTAAATTAAAGGATTCTGGTACATTTTTAGGTGATACGGTATCAACTAATTCTTCTATTCAATCTATAGTTGCTGGGCCAAGTAATAGTCATTTATATAATTGTTCTGTGTTGGATAATTTAAAAGATGAGGAATTTCCTGAACTGGGTGGTAAGGTTTCTGTTAAACCAAGAGGGAAGATTATAATAATTATTATTAATTGGATTAATGATTTTTAGAATTATCTCTTTTAAATAAAAACAATCTTAATAACATATTTTTGTCTAGTTCTTTTAATTATGATTCTAAAATTGTTAGGTATTCTGTTTTATTTACAATAATGGTCATTTGCTGAATCTATTAGTCAATATTCTGTTGTATTGAATAATATATCGGGTTTGTTTAATGATGCTGAAAAAACTAAACACTTTTGGTTTGGCATTTCAGAATTTTCTAATTCTTCTATAACTGCTACTCAATTTGTGGAGTTTTTATGGTTTTTATTTAATGAGAGGCTAGAAGAAATAGGCAAAGTATTGTCTCAGATTGTTAATCTTATTCACAATGATGATAAGAAAAAAGAGCTTTTTATTGCATGGAATGATTGGAAAATTAAAGTATTAAATAATTAGTGACGATAATAATATATGCTCATTTTATTTTAGAATCAGACAGGAAAAACATCAACAAAAATAACAAATGGTTCATATATTGGTTTATTATATTTGTCTTTATTTAATTTTATTTCTGATCCTTTTTTTATTAGGCAGAAATAATTCCGAAACTTTCTTGGGAAGTTCTTATACAGTAAATTTTCCATCTCTTTGTAGTATTGAAAAAAAGCCTACTCAATGTTTTCATACAAAAAATATTTCCAAGTCTCGGAATGTTTGGGATTTTGTAGATAAAAAAAATATTGTAGCTGAAAAGGAAAAAACAGAATTAAAAATGAAAGGTAGAAAGAAAAATAAAAAAGGCACAGTTATTTTTCATGTAGGTTAGAATTTTAAATATAATTTTATTAATATGCTCAATTCTCTAAATACATTTATTTATGACAATGTTGAAGATAGGTTGTTACTTAAAATACTTGAATGTCATTGATTTAGGAAATCAAAATATGTCTATTTAATACTTGTAAATGAATTAATTGATCAATGCAATTTGATTTATGTATTAATATTAGGATGATCAACATTTTAGAAAAAGTAGTGTTTGAATTTTCATGATAAAATTGATACTATTTAAAATAATAATATAATAAATTTAGCACTAATTTTGTATTTTATTTTCTTTATTTTGGTTCTTAATTTCGATTTGTTTTTTTTTTGGAATTAGAATTTATTATATTTTGGTTTTTATTTCGTTTAATACGTTCTTTTCTTAATGATTTTGTTAAAATTCTCTGATCAAAATCCCTATTATTGTTGTTGTTGTTAATTTCAATAAGCCATTGATTCTTAAGATTTTTGTTTTTTCCTTTATAACCCCATTTAGGAACCCATTTTTTTTTATTTTTATCATATGTCATTTTTCCGTCTATTTTACTTTTAGACTTAATTCCTTTAGCTTTAGCAAATTTTTCCCATTTTGTTTCAGGTCTTGGTTTTGGTATCTGATAAATAATTAGCTTTAGATAGTGTTGGCTAAAATAAATACAGGTTTTTCTCTAGGTAATGATATGATTGGTTCTGGTAATTCAATAAAGGAACCATTAAGAGTAATAATTTTTGGTAATGAAAAAATTCTATTTACAAGAATTTGTATACTATCCCTTGAAAATGACATAATATATTCTTCTTTATTGTTTTTTAAAGAATATGTATCAAGTGAGTTGATATTAAAAGCTGATAAATTTCCAAGATCAAATTCTAAATGAATAGATTTTTTATTTGTAGTAGAACTTTATACTTAGAAAATGTAATGACTGCAATAAAATTTTACCTAGGTTCCATGTTTTGATGCATTTTTTAATTTAAAAAAAAAATTAAAGATTTAACGTAATAATTGATTGTATAAAAAATATCGGAAAGCTTTTGAATTCAATTATTTTTTTAACTATTATGTAAAGGAATAGATTATGCTATATAATTGGATCTTTTATATTATTGTGATTTTCTGAAAAATGAATTTTCAGTTTCATAATTATATTTTTAAATATTTCCAAAAGGCGTTTTTAAGAAGTATTCATGCTAATATAATAGTTTATTCTGATAAGAATAAATATCAAAAAAAAGGTAGTAATGATTCTTTAACTTTTATTTCTTATTTTCAAGGAATTATTTCTTTAAAAAAAAAAAAAAGTTTTTCTAAGAGTAATTTTAAAGCGAATGTTAAATTAAATGAATCTTTACCGAGGATTTTTACACCATTAAAACTTAAATTATCATTGGTTGATCAAAAACAATCTCATGATATTGGTATTGAGAGTTTGAATTTTTCTGTTATTGATAAGATGGACTTATGTGGGGGATTATTTAATTTTCCTTCGAATATTTTAGAGAAAATGAAAAATCTTGGAGTATTTCAGTTTGAACGTAAAATTGATCATTCAAAGGATCCTGTTGTTGTTTTAAGAGAGTCTTCTGTTTATATTGGTCGGAAACTGTTAGATGATAATATTTCAAGTAAGGATAGAAGAATAATTCTCATAGGGAATCAGGGTACGGGTAAAAGTTTTTGTTTGCTTCAAGCACAGTGTTTGGCATTTCAAAAAGGATGGGTTGTTTTGGCTATTCCTAGAGGTGATATTAAATATTATAAAATGGTTTTAGAGTAATTGTATTAAGGTATTGATATTGTTAATAATACTACTCCATTTTTTTATCATGAGAAAACGGGTTTATGGAGACAACCGGAATATACATCGTCTTTGTTAGATAAATTCCTAAAGGCTAATTTTGATATTTTAGATAAGGTAAAATATTTTAATATCTTATTATATATATTTTAATCTTAAAAGATCTTTTTGTCAAAAGAATATTATGCAGGAAATCATATTGTTCCTAAGTTTACACCTTTATCTAGGCTTCTTGAAATAGGAATTTTGAATTTATTAATATCTCATGATATTTTAGAAATATTTTTAAAAGAACTTAATATTGGAAACTGTCCTCCAGTTTTGTTTACTTTTGATAATATATCTGTTATATGTTCGCCTTCTCAGTATATATCTAGTGAATATAAAGCTATTCATCCTTGTGATTTGGCTCTTGTGAAAACATTTTATACTTATCTTAATGGAGAATTTTCTTTTGTATAAAAAATCTATTTACTTTTAAAAGATATGTTAATATGGTAAGGATCGGGGAGCTATAATATCATGTACTTCTAAATCATTTAATAACTCCGATAGAATATTAGAAGTCTCTTTAGGATTTTTAAAGAATAGAAGTTATGAAAATATTGACGAACGAATTATTTCGGCTGTTAATGGTGTTGAATATTATGTAATTGGGAATTACACTCCAATAGAAAGTAAGAATATACTCAAATATTATTTGATGGCAAATATTGTAGGAAAAAATATTGATAATAGCATTTCGAAGGAATTTATAAAGGAAATAATGTTGCTTAGTGGCTGTAATCCTCGTGAACTTTTTTGGAATTGTTTAAGGATGATATGAAAAATAATTGAAGGGGATGATTATTTGTAGATTGAGTTTTTATATTTCGTATTTTTTCAATTATAGAAAACTATCATTTATAATAATTATGCATTGGTATTTATGAAATCAGTTATATTTTTATTTTATTTATTGTATTCTCTGATGTTTTTGTTTCTTATTAAAATGATTTAAAAGTTTAGAATATTCTAACTTTAACGATCAAAAATAGTATATTCACGTTTTATATTTTGTACACTTATAAATGTTTTTTTGGTTATAAATTAGAATTTTTAAATGACAAAATAAAAGCTATTTACTAGTTAGAAAAATGATTTTAAATATTAAGTATAAATATTTATCTTAATAGAAAAATATTATTTTGGACTTCATTATGAATATTTATTGTCGAAAAGAGACATATAGTTAAATGAAAATGCAATTTGTATATTGTTTTTTATAAATCTTTTAAAACTGCTTGTTTAAAGGATTTAGCTGATCAGTAATTAAGTAATGAATAGTAATGATCATAATATTGGTAACACTTTATATAATGTATTTCTGTATGTTTTTTTTGTAACCTTTTATTGATTCTTAAATTGAGTAATGATTGATTAGTTTGTATTTTAAAATTAAAATTTGATATATTCTTTCGAAATGATATGGTTTTTTAAAAAAAGCTATTTTGTAAATTCAATATATTTGAGAAAAAGATAATGGAATAGGTGATGTTTTTAGGATATTAAATTTAAAATAGAGTTTTAATAGTAACACTTTTTCTAGAAAAAAGATCTGAAATATTATTGAAATCAATTAATGGATTATAATTTTTTAAGCAATTTTTAAGTATTAATATCCAAAATTTATACCATTGTTGCTGACAATACGACAATCTTATGATTATTTCATTAAATAATTCTGATGTATAGTGTAAAAAATCAGGCAGTTCTTTTTTTAATTGTGTATTAATAACATTATATATCTCTGCTGATTGAACTAATACTTTATTTGGCAGGATTCCTTTTTCTTTTAGAGTCTTTACATGGATGTAATCTAATATCTTAGTATTCCTTTTTTTTATTATAGAGTTAGGGATTTTATATAAATTTTTTAATAGTTTTAATGGTTTGAAAACAAAATATGCTAAATTTTTTTCCTAATTTATGTTAATAATAGTTAATATAATTAATTAAACATCTACCAATTCACAAAGTCCATCTTTAGATGCTTTATCGATAAGCGTTTTATATTCTTTCCATTTTTTTTGTATTTCACTAAATGATTTTTTTCCAGTGATCATGCAATTACTATATGCAAAAGCAAGGTTACTTTGATGTAGAAGATAGTTTGTTAATTCTTTGAACCAATTTTTAATCTTTCTTTTAAAAGTTGAAATTTGAATTTGTTGTCGTCGAAATTCTTCAAACAGTTTTTCGTAAAAGATATCATGATAAGTTTCAATTAATCCAACAGTTTGTTTAAGCTACTTATGTTAATTTTTTGTTTTTTAAATATTTTATTTTTTAATTGCCTTTTCTGTTTTTCGAGAAATCCCTTTAACTATTACATGACGTATCTAAATAATATTAGTTTCTTTTTTCATAGAATTTAATATCTAACACTATTATCTGTTCTTCCAGAAATTACGTGTTTTACCATATCTTTACATCTTTTGATTTCATTTATTCTATCTATTACAAGAGTTATTTCTTTATTAGCGTGATTTAATAACATAATATCAGGATGATTTGGTGATGTAGTATCAAGAATTTGCTAATTTTCATTAATATAAAAAGAAAAAATCTGGTATTATATACTATTAAAAGTAATGGGTATTTAAGTATTCTTTGGACAGGTTTTATTAGAAGGCTTGCTAAATCCCATGCATTAGTTTGTTCTTTACTGATTTTCTTACATTCCTAGAGAAGAATATTATTTATATACCAATTATTAATATTAATTTACTTCTAGCCATTTTTGAATACTGAGATTTTTTTCTAATTTTTGAAGTCTTTCTGAACTTATGTCATGATTTATACAATATACTGAATAAATTTTCTCGATTTGTGGAATCTATTGGTTGTTTTATATTTTTGTCAACAGTTAAGTAGAATTTTACCATTTGGCTAAAAGCTTTGCCAATCCATGTGTCAGATAATTTATTAAATAAGATTTTCGAATGTTTTAAATCGGTATTTGATTCGAAGTTAGTTTCTAAAATATTTTTTCCTGCAGTTCTTAAAAGTTTGCTAAATTTATTTGTGAATTGCCATATGTCGTAAATGTTACAAAAGATAATTTTCATGTCTTCCTGTGATAATACGGAATACTCTATTGCTTTTCTTTTATAAATCTTTGTTTAAAAATAAATACTGGAAAATATATTAAAAAAAAAATACTGACTTTCTCTATAACGAAAAGATCATTCTTATAGTTTTCTTCTGTTACTATAAGTTCTATTATTATTTTTTTTTTTTTAAAAAGCATTTTCATTTCATTTTCATTAATTTCCATGTTAAACGTGTCATGAAGATACATTGTTTTTGTCGATGAAGAATCAATAGTAATAGGTAAAAATGACAATGATGTTTCGGACATAGCTCTCTTGTTTATTGTTTTCCTTGTTTTTTTCTTTACGACTCTTTTTTGTTAATTATATTTATTATTAATATTGTTGGTTATTGTTGACCTTTGAAAAATCGAGTAGAAAGTTTTTGTGATAACTTTATGTTTATAAAGAACTTTTATTGTATTAAAGTTGAAATTCTTCTTTTTTAAAAATCGATGAAGTTGAAATTATTTATTTAAAGATTCTTTGTTTAATAGCTTTGATTAATTTTAAAATGAAAATTGAATATAAACAAGAATATTTTTGTTAATATTTTTTAAAAAAAAATATAGTATTTTGTTTTAATATAGAGGTATTTTTTGATTTTTTTTGAAAGATCTCTAGTGTTATGATATTTAAGGAGGTTTTGTTTTTAATGTCAATTATGTCAATAAATTAAAAACGAATTGTATATTAAAATCTAGTTTGATTTAGTAAAATTATTAGGTATAAATGGATTATCCACGATTTCATATGAACTAAATATTTCTTGAAATATTTTATATTTTGTTACATTTTTTAGTTGATTTAGATTTTCTACGATTTTTTTAAAAGCTATATTTTTTTTAATGTTAAATGTTTTGTTATTGTTTTGGAAATATATATATATTAATAATTTATTTATTAAATAATTTTTAAAGATGTTTTAAATATTAAGATATTTGAATAATCATATTTTGTATGAAATTTTTGTTTTGTAATTATTAAATGACAATATGTTTTTATATGTTTAAAATAAACATGATTTTCTGAAATTACGTTAAAAGTACTATAGAATATTAATTTGACGCTCTTTGAATTCGAAATTATCTAGAAAAGTTGCAATTATTTCAAAAGACATTTTAAATTTAAGTCAACATCGAAGTTTTTAAATTTTAGTTGTTTACTAAATTATACGTAATAAAATAAATTTAAATCTACTAACTTATATTTTATGTGTATTTCTATAGATTGTATTTTTAAAAACAATATATATAGTATATATGTTATAAAAAATATTTAATAATTAATGTTTAAAAAAAATGCGATAATTAGAGTTTATTTTTAAAACCCAATTTTTTGTTAAGTTTAATTAGGAAAAATATATTATTTTATAGAAATATTATTTAGTTAATATTATTTTTTATGGAAATAATATATAGTTAAATGCGAGAAAGTTATACACTATTACTGACTCCTTTATTATTAAGAGGGTATAAATAATGAATAATTTAATAAATTTATATAAAATTATTGAGGTCTATGTAACATTATAAATTACTTATAATTTGTTATTTTTATTGTTTATCATATGATTTTAATATAAAAATATGCTTAAATAGTGTAGAATACATATAAAAATTGCGTATTTATGAGAATTATATTATAGATTTTTTTTACTGTTAAAATAAATCTGATGATATTAATAATCAAGTATTCTGATATAAAATTACTTGTATTAAAAACCTCGGAAAAAAATATATTTAATGATACCAGCAATATTAATAAATGATGGCTAATGTACGGAATTGAATGCCATTTAAAAAAAAAAAAACGCTGTTACGATTTTAGAAAAAAATATTTAGGAATTTTTACAATGTTTTTAGCTTTCGTTATATTTTAGAAATATAAATTGTTATCAATCTGAAATATGTATTTAAATTACTATCTTTTCATTATTATTATTTTGAATTGATATTAGAAATGCCTTGTATGTACCCGAGATTTATAATAGATATGTAAATTGCTAAATTTAATATACAGTTATAAATATTATTTATATGAATATTTTAAAAAAAAAAATGCTGAATTTTTAATAAATATATGAAATCTCTACTGAATATATCAGTAATTTGAAATAACCTGTAGTTAATAAAATAAATTCTATTTATTTATTGACGAGTTTTTTTTTTTGTATGCCGTGTAATTATACATGATATACACTTGAAGTAATATTTTAAAAATATAATTTGATTATGAATGTTATAGTAAAATAATCTGATAAAATACATACCTCTAAATTCGCAAACACATTCACGATTGTGGTTTATTTATAATTTAATAGTGAGAATCTGAAATTATTATGTATATTATATTTAAAGTCCTTTGTATATAGTAAAAAATTCCCATTATCCCCAAATTTCTGATTCATGCTATTAAATAATTTTATAAAAACTAATACTTAATATAAAAAATGAATACACTGTTTTGTATGTATATTGTATATTTTTATATTTAAAAAATGAAATTTATATGCTAAATCTTTTATAGTTAAATAGCAGTTAGAAATTATGAAATACGGTTAAAAACATATTCTTTTGAATCTAGATTCCATTCTTAATGCATGCAAATTTTAGAAAATACATATATATATTAATTTAATTTTTTATAATTTTCATCATATGAATATATTTTATAAAACAAATATATTAAATTCTCTTTATTTTGTTTAAATATAAATATTTGTAAATATTTTTATGTATATATAATATGTATTAAAATTAATATTATATAGTATTTTTGATATAAAATCGGACACTTGTTTATTTTGTTTTAATATAAATTAGTTTATATAAAAACGGATTAAGATTAAGCTGATTTTGGAAAAATTATAAAAAAAGTTTACGGAAATGTGACATAATTTAATAAAAATAAAAATTAGTAATATAAAAATTTTCATCATCTATTAGTAAAATATAAAGTAATTAAGAATTAAGGGACACCTTCCCGTTACCTTTAAAAATTGAGTACAAATAAATAAACTTTTTTTTATAATGGGTTTTTTATTTGTTACGTTTTTATTTGCTATATTAACTCTAATAAATGGTATGGGTCTTTATTTAGTGCTTGTGCGTAGAGTAACGTATTTCAAGCTTATAAAGTTTTGCTTCCTAAACCCGGTGACAAATGGGAGCCTGGTTTACATCAAGTTACATGGGAAGCTGTGGAGTATAAATCTTGAATTTATAATAGTACATTTGATAATGTAAAGTAGTGATACTAGCACGGTTAATGTGTATCTTCATAGAAATAATGATAACCCTCCTTTTTATCTTTTACTAGCTGCAAAGGTTCCTTTAAAAGATGGAAAGGCGGATGTTCCTATACCTTACAATGTTATTCCTGGGTGAGTATTTTTTAATATAAAGGTTTTTTCTAACTACCAAAGTTCTGAATATACGGTGATTTAGTGTGATATTATTTTTTATGTCTAATTTAATAGATTTTACTTACTTCACTAAATCCATATGATGTATACACTTCTAGTGGGGGATTTGAAATTACGGAGGCGAAGGATGGTTTGAAAGGTGTATGTGTTGATTATCTTAAGGATGATGGTTCTTCTACAATTGGTCCTATACCTGGTGATACTAGACCCGTTACCACATCACTTCTGCCGCCATCACCAACACCACCATCACCGGCGCCACCTGCACCAACACCGGCGCCACCTGCACCAACACCACCATCACCGGAGCCGCCTGCACCGGCGCCTCCTGAGGGTGAGGTTGAAAATTGTGATGAATGTGACGAATGTGAGGAGTGTGGCGAATGTGAGCCAGGTGAAGGATGTGATTGTGATGCTGATGATCATGGCGATGACGACTATGATAAAGATGAAGATCATGGTCATTCCCATGATGACGATGACGATGACGACGACGATCATGAGAATGACCATGATGATGACGACGACGACGACGATCATGGTCATTCCCATGATGATGACGACGATGGCCACGATCATGGTGAAGATAAGAATAAATTAGCTAATATTGGTTCTACAAATATAGTTACTAGATTTTGGTTAACAATGATGGCTACTATTTCTACCATATTATTTCTGTGAAAATAATATGATGTAATGTTGATTTTGAAAATAGCATAATACATGTAAAAATAATTTAGAAATGTTTTTACATTTAAAGGTTTACTATATTTTATTTTATGCTTGGGAAAAAATATTTTATATTAGTCATGAATCTTAAACTATATCTCTACTTAGAATTGTAATATATTAATCGAGCTTTTACTTTTATTTGTTATTCTATATTTTTAAAGATGTTCTGCGTTTTTATAGTCTGGTTTTAAAATGCAATATAATATATATCTTATAAATTTTAATAAGAATTATTCTGCCGTTTTGTGTTGATATATAAATATGAATCTAATTGTATCATACACTTGTTCGGCGGGGTAAAGTGTTATATAAGATATAATTTTTTAAATTATATCCTTCATATTAATATTATTTTTTAAGTATTATGATATCTATGCAAGTATAGTTTATATGCATGATATTGCTTAAGATATATGTTTTAATATATATACGTTAAACATAGAATTATGTATTATTGTTGTTTTGTATCAATATGGAAACATTAAATAACATAAAATCATTTCGAAAAAATATAATTAAATCTATGATATTTATTTTATTTTAAAAATGAAATATAAAAAAAATGATTTAATTATTTAAGATTTTATTTGCTTTATCTGTTAACAAAAATATGTTAATTATAATTATTTTAATGAATATATAATATTTATATTTATAAATTTATTTGTATATTATTATAGTAGCAATGAAAATATGTTTAACTGGATTTTAAATAAATATTAATATTAACAATTTAAATTTATAATGTAAATATATATATAATATTTATTAATAACTATTAATCTATTTTATATATATATTAAACATATGATTTTTGATATTATTAATGTGATATAAAATACTAGTATATTTTTTTACAAAAAAAAAAAATAAGTAGGAATAATATAGTCAATAATTAATAACATATCTATCTTGATCATATAATTATATAATTTAAAATATAATATCCAATTTATCAAATTTTACTTAAATTACTATTCAAATATTGTTATGAATTATTCATATATTTTTTTTTCTTTCATTATATATATTCTATAAATAGTAAAATTTATCAATTATTAAAAATTATATTTTAATTAAAAGTTATTTAACTTTATAATATCTACCATATATTAAGTATTTGAAACATATATTTTTTATTATTTTTCTAATACAAAAAAATATAAAGGTTAAGCTATATCATAATATATGAAAGAATAAATCGTATCATAAAACAATTTTAAAAATTAAAATATATAAATATATCTAAACATGATTATGTATATCAAAGAATAAAAGCAATATAATATATATATTAAACACAATGTATCATGAAAAAATCACTATTATCCAATTTTATTCAACTATACATTTTTAATCAATTGATATCATTTGTATTAGAAAAATCAAAATTATTTTCATTCTATCCAGTAATAAAAATTAATTTACTACCATCCAATCTTAACTGCCATACACCCAAATCTTGATATTCTTTTATACAATCAACAAGCTGATTTTCAGTAAATCCCTTTGCTAAGACTCTTTCTCTAATAATTTTCATATTCCATTCATCTACAAATTCATATCCATCACCATTAGCCAAATCTCGAATAATCTTATAAATTTTTGAAGTAATATCGGAATCATAATCATGCTTTTCATACAATGTTAATTTCGATACTTCTATTAACCTAAGCGCTTCATCTACATCACCAATTTCAACTATATCACTAAACCTTATTCGTGCCAAAGCCTTTTATAAATCAATACTAATAAATAATTCATTATAAAATACAATTTACCTGTGACATACGCAATATCCCTAATAAAGTCCGTGGAGATGTATGTGTAAATTGCCTGCTACACATTAATATAATTATATAACACAAAAAATGTTACCTTTTCATTGCATTATCATTCTTCTGTTTTTGACGCATTTGAACATATGAACCTACTATATAGTCAGATACTGACTTTGAAATTACAGGTCTTTTAAGTCGCGATTGAGATATATAACTACGTATTGTTACAGGATCTAAAGGCTGAAAAGTTATATCAGGATGTCGATTATTCATATGAACAAAAGAAACGTGTCGAGCTAACCGTTCATCTTCATCTTTAGCAGGTGTATCCAAGATAAGAAATAAAATATCAAATCTAGAAAGTAAAGCAGCTGGTAAATTAATATTATCTGCAGGAGAAATTCTAGGATTATATCTTCCATATAAAGGATTAGCTGCAGCTAAAATAGATGTCCTAGCATTAAGTGTAGTAACAATTCCTGCTTTGCTAATAGATATAGTTTGTTGCTCCATTACTTCATGAATTGCAGTCCTATCAGTCTCATCCATCTTATCAAATTCGTCAATACAACATATACCATTATCAGCTAAAACAAGAGCACCACCCTCTAAAACCATTTCATCAGTAACTGGATCTCGCATTACAGTAGCAGTTAAGCCTACACCAGAAGACCCACGTCCGGTAGTATATATACCCCTTGGTGCAACTTTTGACATATATTTTAAGAGCTGAGACTTTGCAACACCAGGATCACCCATAAGACATATATTAATATCACCCCGAATTTTCATTCCATCATACATCTCTTTAGTAACACCTCCAACCAACATTAAAAGAAGAGCTTTTTTAACATCATCATGACCATAAATTTCAGGAGCAATGCTTTTGGAAAGTTGTTCATAAACATTACCAGAAGTACTAAGTTTTTCAATCTGTCTTACCATTTCAGGAGTATTTTCTATGATATCGTATTGTTTTTTCAATTTAACAACATATTGACACTCAAGATAAGTATCTGTAAGCAATCCAGCACGTATTGCTTTAAATCCAAGAAACGGCATAGGCAAGAATATACCAGAAACGTCCATAATATCACCTGGATTTATAGATCTAGTAATAGAACCATATAAATGTATAACCAAAGTTCGTGGAATATGACCCACCGATACTTGATTTGTCAATTCTTGTATCCTGGCCTCTTGAAATGGTATGAACTTTGATGCTCTACTAGACATAAAAAGCTGTCCTTTTGAATTATTCTTTCTGCATTCTTCACTTATACATTGTATCATAGGAGTGAAGTGTTTAGTTTTAATTTCTTGAAAAATTTCGCAGCCACAATGATCACAAGTATATGCATTCACTTGCAAAGAGGGTTTAACGTCAGAAACTCTTATAATTATTCCCCGAACAGTAACCAAATGTCCTAAATGTAGACTCTTAAGTTCCTTAACAGTATATATTTTTATATTCCCTTTCTCATATATATCTACAGGTTTAAAATATAAACTAAACCTTCTAGTTAATTGAGGAGGAAATAAATTATCTGAGCCATTATTTTGATTAACTTCATTACGTTGCAATCGTTGTTGCATTATTATATCCATAACATCATCAGAATAAGAAATGTCGACAGTGGGAACAGGCATTACATTATCTATAGCTCTATAAAAAATATCATTATATCGTTTTGTATTATTCATAATATTATTAACAAGATCTTTATTGTTTGTGTCATACTGAAACAATAATTATTAGCCTATATTTATAGAAAATGAAATAAACTTACAGCTTCAAGATCTTTTAAATCAATAGTAATACTATCTTTAGTCCTGTTCGCAATTGCTTGCTAAATAATGTTATATATAATAATACATAAAACAATAATATACTAATTCTTTCATATATTTTGAACCAAAATCCTCACAATGTAATGTATCCCTATTTACACTGGAATCATCATCAATATCATTTACAATTTTAGATGATTCAATAAAATTTAGTAAAAAATCCTGAATCCGTTCTTTATAAATTAATCAAATAATAAAAATAGAAAGAAAAAAGCACCTTGTATTTTAAGGTAATCAACATTTATATTAACAGTAGGCAATGCATTTCTAAAACTCATTTATTCTTAAAATTATATTTTTTTTCAAAAATAACTGAACATTTATCTAATTATGAAATTATTATCGATGCTGCTTAAATTAATAAGAAATTAGTTAAAATCGCATATTTTCTAATAATACAAAAAATAATTTATTTCATTACATAGTTTTCTTAATATAAATTAAATTCAAAAAAATATATAGAAACCAGTAATTTATTTTTTTAAAAAAATAAATTCTATTATAAAATTAATTATTTTTTTCATATAGAACTGTTTATTTCTAGTAAGATCAAATATTATTTTAAATTTATATTTTATTGAACATTTATTTGCATTTCTAGTTTTGATAACCAAATATCCAAAAAATATTAAAATAAATCAATATTTATTTTTTTAAAACATAACTTAAAATTTATATCTATAAAAGAAAATTAAGAATCAAATTATTAAATCTTAAATGATATTCACATTTAGTTATAAAAAAATGATAATTATCGAAATTGGATAATTTTCATTTTTATTAAAACTTAAAAAAAATTATCTCAACTTTCAAAAATATATAAAATTTAAAACTATAAAACTGGATGTCTAAATTATAACATCTAACCTAAACTATTTAAAACCTCGAAAAAAATTAATATTAAACATTCTAATTGCAAAAGTACATCAAAACACATTTACAAAATATATCATTAAAATCATAACATGTTTATAAATATAACTACATCATTTTATTTTAAAAATCATTATAGTACAGTTATATTAAGAATTTTAGGCGCAGTATCAATAGGAGTAGGCCTATTATGTCTATCAACCTTAATAGATTCAATAGCATGAACAACGTCTAATCCAGAGTATGCTCTTCCAAATATTGTATGTTTCGAATCAAGCCATGGAGTACACTCAGTAGTAATAAAAAACTGAGAACCATTGGTATTTGGACCAGCATTTGCCATAGATACCTAAAGAAAATTAAATATATATTAATAACTTAAATAGAAATACTGTATATGGATGGTCATGTTTTAATTCTAATGATATTTCATCTTCAAATTCTACACCCCAAATACTTTTACCACCAGTTCCATCACCCAAAGGATCGCCACACTATTATTATCATCATTATTAAGTATTTTAAGTAAATAAAATGTCTACCTGTATCATAAATTTTTTAATTATACGATGGAATATAGTATTATCATAATAGCCATTTTTTGAATGTGTAACGAAATTCTCCACAGCTTTTGGGGCTATTTCTGGAAATAGTCTAATACATATATCACCAAGAGTAGTGTGTATAACAGCAGATGTTCCAGTAGAAGTAGAAAGACGCATTTCCGTACTTACATTATCACCTTTAATTGGTTTTTCATTAAAAATATCTCTTTCGGACGTTAAGTCACTATTTATTATAAAATGTCAATAAATCATATACTAATATCATTCTTTACCTTTCATAGGATTTTGTAAACATAAAAAAACGAGGTTTTTTATAAGCAGAACAAAACAAAATGGGATCTATATTTTTAGATTCAGCCACTAATGGATTTTCGGATGCAATCATAGCAAGAGTAGTTCTTTTTGTCTTTCTAGGTGCACCCTGATACAAAGAAAGATTAATAAATCTTAATGATTCATCTTTCCCAATTAAACGCACACAGCAATTTGTATAAATATTTACAACTAAAATAATTAGAAAAAAATATTAAAATATAAATAATACTCGCATTTTATACCAAGGAGAGTAGGATAAATAATAAAATTACTAGATTCATCAAAAACAGTATTTAAAGTTGATCTATAAAATTTATCATTTATTAATTCTCTTTCTATAGAAACACGCCGTCCAAATTCTATATCATCCAATTTATAGATATTTTTATCAGACTAAAAATCAATATATTTTTATAAAATCATCCACTTTACCTGTTGCAATTTATTAAACATATCCAAACTTTCATCATACTTCCTTATAATTTTACCAGTTTTAAAATTAAATATTATTATTTGTTGATCTGGAAACGAAATAGTGGAAAATTTCTGGCCATCAGGAGAAATAGTAATAGAAGTAGGCATTGATTTTAACTATAATAACATCAAAAATACATCAAAAAATGCATATTCATATATATAAATACTCTTTTAAATTCATACAAATCTGTATCACTCTTAAATTCGAATATATTTTTCGGTTTTTTATACTGACTATCTGGTTCCCAATATTCAATCATTCCACTTTCATCAACACTTATAGCACAATTATATACAGAATTAAAAGATATAATGCTGACAGGTTTTGTGTGAAGACTATTTATAACATAAATACAACTAGAATCGCCTTTCCCATCATATATATTAATAATAGAAGAAGAAGAATCTGATCTAAAAAATTGTTACATAAAAAAACATAATTAACAAACTTACACAGCTAAAAATGCAATAGCATGCTTTTTAGAATAGACCCAGCACAATGTTAAAGGAGTATATCCTAAAGTAATTTCATTAATCATATCTTTCAGTTAATTATTTTATTGAAAAATGATAAATAAAAATACCAAAATTTGCAATATCGAATATTTTTAAAGATTTATCAGAACTAACACTTGAAAATAAAGAACCATCAGTGGAAACACTGGTAGAAATGACAGGTCCAAGATGTGCTTTATAATGCTTTACAAATTCTATTCCAGAAATCTGTTTTTTCCAAAATTTAAGATGACCATCTATTGATGTAGTAATTATAAAATCATATTTAGAGGAAACACAAATAGAGTGTATATTATCTCTATGCATAAATGATTTCGTATATTTTTTACTTTCTGGTAATGTTGATAGATATTTTTCTTGATAATCCATGGCTATTTCACATTAATTATTTTACAAAAATAAACATTTATTTACCTCTTTTTCTTTTTCCCAAAGATGTATGAATTATTATAGGAGCAGGACCAACGTCATTTTCTGCTAAATCTAATTTAAAAATGTTTAAAATATATGTTAAAAAATACCATTACTTATTTGATCTTCTAAAATATTATTCGGAGAAACATAACTATCAGTAGCCATAGATTTATCAGCTTTTTTTTTTTTACATTTATTAATTATAATATATTTATTTTATATTTTAACTATATTAACATAAATTATCTTTTTTAAAAATATACATGTTAAATCTAAAATAAATATTAAAATATTAATAAAAAGTTAAATATTAATAACTTATAAATACAATACACTATTTAACTTAGATAGAATACATTATAATTAATTATTTTTTTTTTTCTAAATCAGCTCCTAAATATTAACTTTTTTAAAATACATTTTTTAATGATTTCTTTATGAAAACTTAATCATCTTAAATACTTAATCTTAATATGAATAAAATTACTGATATATATTTTTTTTTTACTAATCAATATTTTAATACAAATTTATATATTTATATGTCTTATTTCTTTAAAAATAAAATATAATTCCATAACTCAATCATTTACTTCAAATATTCATAAGTATTACAAAAATAATCAAAACTCTTAATTAAAATCATTAGTTTTTAATCAGTTTAAAATATCTTTAACACCTAAAATATGACTAAAATACTTTTCAAAACAAAATATAACATATTTAAAACTCAATAAACAAAAGCCTCAAATAATTCTAAATTTTGAAAAGATATAATTTTTGAAAGTACTTTGAAATCACGACTTTTTTGGGCATAAATTAAATATAAATTTAATTTATATAAAACATCAGGATAAAAAGTTTGTTTCTTTTGAAATATTCTCCAAAAAGCATGATGTGCAAGCCTTACTATGTTTAAAAAACTTTTATGATACAAATATAGTTACCATTTTACATGACCAGGATTAACAGAGCATTTAGCATGCAAAGTGGTTAATTCCCTACTTTTAATATATGATAACATAAAATTTGAACATTCTTCAATAAATACTAGCTCATATTAGTTATTACATAATTTGAAAATTATTAGAAAGAACTCAATATTCTATTTTGACCTGGCTTTTGCCCTTTCATTGCTTTAATATATCTGTGCATTTTCATGGCACAAAAAATAAATGAACTATATATATTTAATAAAACAGTATAATAAGAATTAAGATCAGTATCTATGAATAATGGATGAGCATTTAATTTCAACGACCTATATCATAAATAGACCAAATAACAATTCATATTTTTACCTACTGAAATGATTTAATTAATATGGCATTTCCAGGATTATGGGAATACTCTATTGTTAATGTATCATCAATATCTAACAATACATCAATAAGAGTATGATATAGTGATAACATCACCTCTTCCGGATAACCTAGAATAATCTTTTTTAACATCAAGAGTTTCTATATTTATTAAATTTCCACAATATGGAAATTCACGGGATCCTAATAAGCGATTTACTTTGAACCCGTCTAGACTTACTTCAAAGTTTACAAGACTTTTATCCGGATTAACATAACAATTATATTGAGGATACCCTACATTTTTTTTTCAAAAAAAAAAAAAAAAAGGATCAATTACCTCTATGCATACACTCCAGAAATCTCTTAGCAATAGTTTTATCTAAAGATATTAAAAGAAAATCATCAACAAGCCTTAATAAAATCTAATAATTATTAAATACATAAATGAAATACAAAACTATATACGGTATCCGGCTGTTGAATAAATTTTAAGCAATTTTTTTCTAAATTTCCATAGAAATATGCACAAAGCATCGTAGACAAAATCGATCCTTGAGGAATTCCTTTTAATTGTTTATAAAATTTCTTTCCTATCTAAAAAATAACTATTATAAAAAGAAATATTAGAATCCTAACTTTAATTAAATTCCCCTTAACATGTTTACGTAAAAGTTTAATTATATCATCTTTATCTTTAAACGAATGAACAACTTGATCAACAATAATAGAATGACGATATATATGACTAATATCATCCGCGAACTTTTTAAAATGACATAAATCATCTAATAGAGATATAAAACACTTAAAATACAATATTATTATTACCTGAAGAACCAGCTCTTGAAATAAATTTTTTACTAAATTTCCCAAGGTTTGGTGTAATTAGGACAAATCTTCTTAAAATATATTCATCTTCTTGCAATGTATCAATAACCAATTCTAGAACCTTATCCTGATCAATAGTATCAAAACAATTTTTAACGTCGACTTTTACAAAATAAAGCTTTTTCCTAAAATTTATAAATATATTAATAATATATATTTATATTTATACTTCTGCAAGCAATTGTTATTAATATATTTTTTAAACATTTTAATATTTTTATAAATATCATTAATTGAAAATAAAGATGATCCCAAACAATTAGGACTTCTTTCCTAATAATACTTAGCAATAATTAACATCCAAAGTTCCTACTTTTTCAAATGTTAATACATAAAATACAGTATTTACCATAGAATTAATACTTGGCATTGAAATAATTTTTTTATATCGCTTATTTCCAATAACCAACCTTTCCTAAAATAATCATAATTATACAAATTATAAGGAATAATCTACCATTCTAATCTGTTTTCTTCTTAAATTCACTATAGGTCTTACTCCAATCTCTTTTGGAAGAAGCCGTATATATGAATATCCTAAATAAAAATCGCTACTAACTTCTTTTAAGTTTATCTTATCATATAAGAAAACAATTAATTCATAATAATTAACAGCAATTATTACCGAAGATGAATCATCAAACATCAAAGATTTAATACGATATAAATGAGGTTCTGATAGACTTTTCCATACATCGTGTCTAAAATACAAAATTTTATTCCGATAAACACTACTTTCAGTAACATAAAAGTGAGAACGAATCAAAGGAATTAGAAGGGAATCAAATGTCCAATATATAAGCTCAGAAAATATGCTAACTCTTTTCTGAAAATCCGATAAAGACATACGACAATTATTACTTTTTTCAAGCCAAGAAACCGTTTTAATCTTTTAAAGACTAATAAAAGCAAAAATATTAAAATATTATACCTTCAAACAATGCATCAAATCATGAAGAGATATGGATTCAAATCTTCGCATTCGAACAAACATATTTATACCTATATTAAATCATTTAAGAACACTAATATTCTAAAGAAAATTATAACTATTGAGAATATTTTCAAAATTACAATCAGAACCATAAAATTCTTTTGGAATTATTCGCTTTATTACAGCTCTTAAAAAACACGAAACCTAAAAAATATTAAAAAATATCAATATAATAAAAAACAAACATGAGAATAAGGAGTTGCAAACTTAATAAAATTAATGTTCATTTGATCATCTTTCTCGTTAAAGTTACTATCCAATGTTTTTAAGGAGAAAGAATTAAACTCTATAAAAGATTGTTTTAATTTATGAAAGACATAATAATTACCAGTATAATTCCACTTAGTTGTTAAAATATTCAAATTAGAACATACCTAAAAAATATTAAACAATATTTCTAGAAATATTCTATTAACTTTAATGGGGCAATAATGATCTAACATAGTTTTATAAAAACATAATTTATGTCGTTTTTGTAAAATTGGAATAATTTTTAAGAATTTTCTTAATCTTCTAGGAATCGATATCTTTTTATTTCCATCACGAAGTAAACCATAAACCTCTTCTTTTATTGTATAATCTTTTGAAGATTGAATAATATCCTTTCTATCAGCAATAGATGTAAAAATATTATGTAAACGAAATTGACGCGGAAAAATATGAATTAAAAGAGAAATAGAGTGAAATAAATTGGCCGGATCATTATAACGACTTAATAAATCTAAATATAATTTATTTTTTTTTTAAAAAATAGCAACTCAATACGAATACGAGGAAACCCAAACAAAATTTTGTTATGTGAATTATATACTGGTCGAGCATAAAATATCCTGGAACGTATTATCATAATCTCGTTATATGAACGTCTATTAATTAAAAAAAATCAGTATTTTTAAGAGTTCATACTTAAATTCCTGTATATTAACCCAAGAATCTTCTCGTGGAACCATATTTTTCAGCGTAATCCCATTTAATTTGTTTGTTTCAAAAAATTGTTTAGAATTCTCATTCTGCATAGAAAAAGAAGCAGTTCTAAAAAATTAAAAATTAAAAATTAAAAATATTTTTAATAAATATACTTAGGTTTTTTAACACATTTTTTCCCAAAAAAAGAGCAACTTCTTTTAAAATTCGTAAGAGAACTAACTTCATGTAATGGAGTTCCTCATATATTAAAAAAACAAAATAAAATTAAGAAAAACAACTTACCACAAAACTGAAAGTAATTGTCTTGAGGTAATGCCATAAACATACTTGTTTCAAGTAAGAGATCAACCATAAATCTATCACCAACACTTTCATTTTTAACATTAATTCAATTAAGATATATATATAATTTTACAATTGCAAAAGTGTTTCCCAAATATCTGATCTAAGAAACGTAACATGATTATTCGGAAAATAATTTACAATGGCATCTCCAAATGCACCCGCAGTAGCAGTTTGTATAGTATCGCTCCCCTTATCCTAATTAACAGAAGAAAAAAACTACATAAACAAACTCTTCTATAGCCCTGAGAAATAATATTTGTAGGCTTGCCTCGAGATCTTATAAAAATCCTTCGAATAACGGAATTAACAATCTAAATATATTAGATAAAAACAAACATTTCCAAAAATACTTCTGTTTGAGATGATACTATTGTAATAATAGTAGGCTCAAGAGGTGCCATTTTATGTATATCATTAAAACACACAATGCAATTATCTAAAAGTGAAGATAATTTCGACAAATTTTCTATTTTCTTTAACCATTCTTGATCATAATTTTTAAAACGATATCTTAAAACATCACGTAATGATAAAATATATTGATAAAATTGACCAAGAAGGCGTAAAGAAACAGATTTTGTAATATCCATTTAACAGAGCTATTTTACATTAAAATAATATAAATATAATTTTCTAATTTCACGATAAATACCTAAATATATTAGTATTCGAATATATTTATCTTTCATATTAGACTTAAAAAATCAAAATATAAACATCTAATAACTCTAAGTTTTATTGTAAGTAAATCTTAAATATATGTAAATAATAATAAAAAGTAACTGCTATACTATTAATACTTTATTAAAAATATAGAAATCTTTTATAAATTTCTAAAATATATTTAGCATAAAACTATATATTCGAAATATTAAGCTAAAATATTTTATACAATATAAATTTTTAAAGATAAATATAATATAAAAAAATACCGATAACGTCATATAAAACAATTCAAAGCATAAGAATATATTTAGTATAAATTTTTACTAGAAAACCTAACAAAAAGTACATCATTACCTTAATATTTTTTTTCATAAAGATTTAGTAAATAAATTCATTATAATTCTTAGATTTTTTTCAAAAATAATATATTTTTAAAAGATTAAATCACATTTTAGAAATTTATAATTATCTTAATATTTTATAGCATTATAATCTTACAAAATATATTAATTTAATATTTTTAATAAACAAAACGCTATTAAAAAAACTTCATAATGAATAAATATAATATAATAATAATGCATAATATATTCAACTACATGTAAAATTATCATTTTTTTAAAAAAGTATCTAAAAAATTTTTAAATATAAATTTATATAAAATTATTTATAAAATTAGTCAATTTTATAAAAATCTCAACAATTTGCAAAGTTAAATATCAATTTAGAAATATTTCATTCAATATGCCAAATATTATATATTAAATCACAATTTACAATTTTATTGTAACAATATTTCCACTTTTTAAACAATTTGATTATATGTTAATATATTTCAATAAAATAAAAATAAAAAACAAATTGTTTTTTTTATTATACAAACTATATATCAATTTCTATTTTACATTTGAAATTTTACTACTCTATATCTATAATTAGCTAACTATTAAATAATTTCTATTACATAATATTCCATTAAGTTTTAAAACAAAAATTATACAAATATTAATTAAAAAGATCAGGAACTCAAAATAACGTCTTTATTATAAAAATATCATTTTAATAAAAAATATTTATCATTCAATATTTTAAATTTTATAAATTTATCCTAATAGAATATAATAAAATATTTGATATTTTTTTAACATTCATTATTAAATTATATAATTGTTATAATTATATATTAAATATAGTCAAATATTTAATCATTTTCCAATTTTTTCCAATTTTATATTTGCAATAAATAAAAAAAATAACATCAAATACTCTTACAATATCTCAAAAATAAGTTTCTAAAAATTTCAATATAACTTTAAATAAAAATCAAATATAGATATTTCCTTAAACAGTAACATTCATAACTTCATCAATATCTTCTAAAAATAACAAATGTTATTACACATTCTTATATATATACAATTAAAAATAAAACAAAAATCTAAATATATTATTTTTTTGACTTCAAAATTTTACTAATCACTGATTTTAGAATTATAGCAGACTTTTCAATTTCTTTTTTGGACAAACCAACATTTATACAAACACGAATACTTGGATCAAATTTCCAAATCTCTTGAGAACTAATTTTCTTAACACGTGTAATAAGTATACCACTATTAAGAGACTAGTAATATTTTTAGTTTTTAGAACAGTTTTTTTTTAAATACTTTACCTCGTCTACAATTTCTTGAAGAATTCTTTCTATTTCGTCAAAAGACCAGCTATATTTATTTGAAATTTCTTTTTTTATACGAAAAATAATTATAGGACTATCTCTATGACTACTTATATCTATAAATTCACTCATCTCAATTATTGATCGAAATACATTAGAATTATCTCTTAAGGTAGTAAAATAGTCAACAGAAGATGATTGTTGAAGCATAAGTATTGCCTGAGAAGCAATTACAACAAGTGATGCAGGCAATGCAGCAGAAAAAACATAAGAAACCCCTGTTATTCTCTATTTAATAATATTAAAATTCCAAATAATAAAGTCAGAAAACATGAGAATAAATAAAACATACCTGATGCTCTATAATTTCCGAAGCACCTGCGCAAAATCCACCACCACTACAAAGAGACGTACTTAAGGATCCAACTATAATATCAACATCCTGAGGATCACATCCATAATATTCGATTACTCCACGTCCACATCTGCCTAATGTACCAAATGACCATGATTCATCAAGTATTAATCGATATTTATATTTTTTTTTAAGCTCAATCTAATTTAAATTTAAAAACTATTCAACAATAATTCAATATTTTACAATTTTTGTAAGATTGCAAATATCACCAAAATTTTCACTTAATCCCTCGATAATAATAAATCTTCGTGTAAGAGGCTTACGTGATACCATTTGATCAATACGAATGTCTTCTAGAACATTTTCAAGAGAAGAAATATCATTATGATCAAACCATCGTATAGTAGAACGAGATATTTGAATCCCTTTCTGAATTGCAAAATTCACACCACGGTCACTATCATATGAGAAATAAATGCAAACAAATAGTTAGAAAATTACACAACTAAAATGTCACCACGTTTAGAAAATGCAGGAATAACAGAAGAAATAGTAGAATATGTTTGAGAGTAAAGAATTGCAGATTCAGTTCCTAGAAAATTTGCAAGTACTTGTTCTAAAACCATCTGTACATCTAATAAATTAGATATATGTTTTTTGGAAAAAATATAAAATAATTTTTGGAAAAAATATAAAATAATTTTTGGAAAAAATATAAAATTACTTTTTTCTTTTAATATTCTAACCTTGAGTTCCATAGAATCCCGGAGGACCACATGGCCCAACACCATATTTTCGTAACGCTTCAATTGCCTTCTTTTGTAATAAACCAGAAGAAATAAAATCCAAAAAATTATAAGATGAAAGATGAATTATTGTTCTTGTAGGAGATGACGAAAGTCTAACTTTAGAATCGACACTACTATAAATCATCAATAAGCATTATAAATACAAATAAATTAATATTAACTCAAAAACATACCCAATTATAACGGGAACTTTTTCTATTTCTAGTTCTTCTACCTCTGTTGGGTTAGAAACAAGACTTTCAGGAACCCATTCATCTACTAGATCATCAATTTCCTAAAAAAGTTAAAAAAATAAGACTTTATTGCAAATCACCTTTTCAGAAAGTTTTACATAATTATTCTTTTCAGGGCTATATCTAGTCGAAAAAATATATCTTATAACAAAGAAAATAAGAAGAAGCTCAATTACAGAACGAACAGGATCATTTTGATATGAAGATTTTATATAACGACAAACAACAGGATATCCAGGAATTTCCCTAACGCTCAAAATAAGGCCATCAAAATATAGCATAAGAAATTCAGTGAAAATAATTTCAGTGAAAATCTGAAATCTAATAAATTTTTAAGAAATAAATACTAAAATTTCTTAAAAAATATATATTATCAAAAGCTTAGGAACACCTACAAAAGCCTATAAGAACTCAAAAAGAAATCTAACTCTCAGCCACTTTATTCAATAGTTATTTCTATGATTTTAAATCTAAATGAACTTTTGAAATTTTATGATTTTTTTTTACGATAAAAAATCTAATTTTAAAAACAAAATGGATTCTGAAATAAAATATTTAAAAAAAAAGATAAAGGAACTTAAATTAGAACTTTCTAATAAAGAAAAAGTATTAAAGCAAAATATAAATAATAAAAAATACAATGGGTTATATCTTGAAGAATTTAAAAGATATGGCCGACAAATAATTATACCAGAAATAGGAATAGAAGGTGATTATAATTAAATATATATTTTTTAAATCTAACACTAATAGGTCAAAAGACCCTAAAAGCAGCAAAAGTATTAGTTATAGGGGCTGGAGGCTTGGGTTGTCCTGCTTTAACTTATTTAACAGGAGCAGGAATTGGTAAAACATATATTTTTTATAAAATATTAGAAACCTAATTAGTTATTAAGGGACTATTGGAATAGTTGATGGAGATTGTGTCGACATATCAAATTGTCATAGACAAATATTGCATACATCGTCTAAATTAGGGCAAAAAAAAGTCAATTCTGCTATTGAATATTTAGAAGAGTAAACGAATATATATACATACGTACAATAGAGTTTACTGTCTATAGCCTAAATCCTTTTGTAAAATTTGTTAATTATTCTACACATATTTCTCCATCTTCAGCAATAGATATCATTAAACCATATGATATCATTCTTGATTGTACAGATAATCAATCAATACGTTATCTTATATCAGATACATGTGTTCTTTTAAAAAAGCCTTTAGTTAGTGCCAGTGCTATAAGAACAGAAGGTCAACTTTGTATTTATGGATTTCGAGGAAGCTGCTGTTACAGATGTCTTTTTCCTACACCATCGCCAAAAGAAACGGATCAAACGTGCGAGGGAAATGGTATACTAGGAATGGTTGTTGGAGTAATGGGAACATTGCAAGCATTAGAAGTAATAAAAATTTTGTTATCACAACAGCTATTATCCGAATATAACAACATAGAAACAAATAATTATGTATCCTACATGACTATATTTTCAGCATTTTCGGTTCCTCAATTCAAGTTTATTAAACTTCGTCCGAGAAAAAGCTCATGTCCAAGCTGTGGAGATAAACCTTTAATTACAAAAAATATAATTGAAGAAGGATCTTATTACAATTTAAATACTATATGCAAAGAAGAAATTTTAGAAAAGGAGCAGAGAATTACTGCGCAGGGAAGTATTACACAATTTATATTACAAATACTCATTTTTCTTAGGAATTAGATTCTATATTTCAATCTAAAAAAAGATCTCAAATTATATTAATTGATGTTAGAGATGAAACACAATTTAAAACATGTTCCATACCATTCTCTATAAGTAGTCTAAATAGCTAATTTTCCTATTTATTTACATACAATAGATATTCCATTAGCTGATTTGTATAACCTTCCATGCCTTCCTATCGATAAAAATAAACAAATATATGTCATATGCAAATCAGGAAATAATTCTCAACTTGCAGTGAAACTACTTTATGAAAGATTTGATATTTCGAATGTTAAAGATGTTATTGGAGGATTAAAATCATGGAGTACTATAAACAAAGAATTTCCAATATATTAAATAAAATAATATATAACAATGATAAATATATAAAAAATCAAACAATAGAAACATTATATTGTCCTATTTATTCAATTGGCGCCTTTTTTCTATAAGCTCTACAATCCCTTAACCATCTTCTATAATCCTGTCAAAATTAGATTATATAATATAATAGAAAGAAAAAAACAGATAGTGAACCAATCTTTTCTCCATAATAATCAGGAACTGGATTATTTATAGACTGATATCTAGGATCTACTCTATTTTTTTGAATGTGCAAAAAAAAGTCACGCTCTTTCTACAAATTTATCAGAAAAAATGAACAAAACATAATATCATTACCTCTTGAACTAATTTATTCCTTTTAAAATGAAAACTTTTCCATAATGCAATGCCTATAGGTCGACCAAGTAACCAGCCAGCTCCTCCAGAAGCTAATGTCGCTAATAAATATACTACAAAAGGATCTATTCCAAAAATTGTCTGTGTAGGATCTACTTGAATTGTAGCAAAATAAAAATATCCTAAGGAAAGACCAACAAGAGATGAAGGAATAGAAGCAATCAAGCCAGATCGTAAATTTTGACGACGTAAATATAAAAATCTAAAATAAATAAAAAATAATTAAAAAATACTAATAAAAATATACTCATTCCATGATAATGAATCCTGTGAATCTCTTGGAAACATATCTACTTTAGAATTCGTTATAGACGATTTAAATCGTATAAACAATAATCGAAATCCAGAAACTCGAGTTGACTGAAAACCAGTCCATTCCGTAACAATCAAACATCTCATCATTCAAAATTTCGTTTAAGAAAAACAAAAACTATTTAGAAACAAAAATTATCTTTAAAAAAAGTCCTATATAATTTATTAAACTGCATGAAAAAATATACTCGATATGATTAATTGTCGAAACATGGTTTATAAAATAACTTTAAATATTATATTCTAATTTCTTAATAGTCAAAAATAAACAAACATAAACAATATTCAAAAAAAAGTAATCAAAAATTAAATAAATATTTAAAAAATAAAAGCGAAATAAATATTACTGTTAATAATTTATCTCAAAATATACTTAAAAAAAAAGATAAAACTATATCAAAAAATCAAAAACTTAAAACACGACATAAAAAATGGATATTGAGTAATACAATAAGCTTTGTTTCAAAATAATTCTGATATAGGAAATATAGGATTTCAACAAAAATCAATATTAAAAGTTCATCTTTTCATAAAAGACTAAACAAAAAAAAAACCTCAACTTTTGTCAAACACTACAGAAATATTTAACTCCTTACCAAAGATAATTAAGGAAACAGGGAGAAAAATATTAAGGAAATCAAAGAAACAAGTAAAAGAAATTCAAAAACAGGAAACAATAAGATTTAATGCAATACTTAATTACCTGAATTTTCAAAAAGATCCATGAGAAAGTATTAAAAAACATATAAAAGAATCACTTGAAGAAAGAAGGTATTCTAATAAAATATTAACTTGAAACAAGAATTATAAATCAATTTAAATTTGCATATAAAAAACATAAAAGGACCCTTTTAGATTCAATATATATATATATATACTGCATTTCTTCAAAAAACTTTAGCATATAAGATTAAAATCCTGATTAATTTCTATTATAATATTTTAAAAACACAAAAGATAATTTTAAAAAATATTTTTTATATGATCTTAAATAATTATATATATTTCCATCTAAAAGTGCCCGAACAATATTTCTGTTTATAATTCCAGCCAGAGTTTCACAATATTATGTATAAATTAGATATATTAATCTTTAAAAAACACTGAGATATTAAAATTAAACTTTATTTAAGTTAAACATAAAAACAAACTAAAAGATAATTCCTGAAAAAAATCAATATAAATCAATATTTATAAAATTAAGACTGAAACGTTTTCATTATAATTTTATAAGAGATTAAACATCAAAATTCGACTAATTCAACAAAAACATATCCTATAATAATAAAAATAAATAATATATATATCTTAAATATTTAATTTAAAATCTAATATCTATGTTATATTTATATAATTCATTTTAAATATCTTATGTATACACTATCTCTAATCATATAATCATTGGATTTATGAAGAATTAATCATTTTTTGTACTTAAATTTTTTATTAATTTACGGAATCAATTAAGCCATTATTAAAATAATATATAAATATGGTAATTTTTGTTTGAGAATGCTTAAATATTTAATTCATATAATTTCTTTTATTAAATTATATTATCTGTACATTAAAAAAGTATATTTTTGATACAAAAAATATTTAAATTTATAAATTTAAAGAAATCCACTAAATAATTTAAAAAGAATTAATATAAAAAAATTGTAATAATAAAAATAGCTATAAAAAATATATCTAATCATTCTAATATATTTAATGAAGAAAATAAAAATAAAAATATTAAAAAATCTAATTTCAAACTTATAAAGTTAATTCATATTTTTAATAAAACATATAAAATTTTAATACTATAAAATATCAAAATAACTCGAGTCATTTTTAAACATCAAGGATATTTTTAATAAATAAAAATTATCTTTATTAAATCTAGTCATGTATTTATTTTATTATATTAGTATCACTTAATCATTCAGTAATCAATATCTATTACAAAATTAATGCTTTTATCAAAATTATAATATCTTTTATAAAAATACTTTTTAAAAATTTAATTATATTTCAATTTTATTCCCAAAAAAGCATAATCCCAAAAAGTATTAAAGCAAATTCAATATTTAAAAATATATACCTATATCTTAAAATGGTTGCCCAAAAAATACTTGATTTTTTTTCTAAAAAATATAAATACTAATATAAATCTATACATAGAAACCTTTAAGTAATTTTACTCCATTTAAAATGAAATTATTTAGCATAAAAAAGCAATTAATTATTTTCTAATAACATATTTAATAATCAAAAAAAAACAGAAACAAGATTTACAATAATTCTTAACTGTTTTTTTTAATTAAAAATCTATTAAAAATTTTTTATAAAAATATAAAAAAATAACAAAAATATCATTTGAAATACTTATATTAGAATTTTTGTAAAATATACAAATTATTAATATCATTATTTCAATAAATCTATAAAACTATAATTTTTATGAAGATCGCAATTTCAAAATATCATCATAAAGATCTAACATAGTAGATACAGACCATGATTGAGTATAATTGCTATCAATGCAAAACTATTTTTTTCAGAACAATATAAAACCAAAATTTTAATACCTCACCGCTTTTATTAGTTAATTCATCCAAACCCGCCCATGGATTTTCTTGAATCCTTTTCATCAATATAGCCAAACGATCATGAATATAATAACAAGTTGTAATTTTATTTTTTATAGAATAGTAATAAAATGTATTAAAATAAAGAAATGCCCTCAAAAAATATCCAGTACACCATACCCATTCTGGTCCCTGATGATAGTTTCTACCTTTAGATGTTGCAAAATCATCACTATCATAAAAATTTATATAATATGGATGATAATCTTTATCAGAAGGATCTAAAGTTGACATTCCCATAGGTCCACGAATTACACTATCTGCTATTTCAATAGTTTTAAAAGCATGTCCAGGAACAAAAAGCTCAGGCGCTACGACCATTGCAACAGCAAAATTAGGCCTAAGTTGATAATCCTCATATTCTTTACTACTATGATAAAGATCTTTATAAATCCCTCTCCTATTAATCATTGAAGTATTAAGATCATATTTAAAATCTTCTTGAGGATCTAAATCATTAGATAAAAAAATATAAGAAAAAGAAATACCAAGTGGTATATAATAGCAAAATTCAAAATTCTCCTGAATTTTTTTTTCCCATTCTTCAAAAGTTACATTTTTAGAGTAGCCATTTTCTTTTTTACATCAACAATACACAATATAAAAACAATCCTATTTACCTTGAATAACAACACAATCCCATAGATATATATTTTTTTTTCGAAGTTCATTTATCCATCTTAGTGTACTTTTAAGCATTCCAGATATTTCTATAGCAGCGCCATCTCTTGGAGTCCCAGGTACACCTTTATTTCCAGCTCTAAGGCTTTCCCCCATTTTATCCATCCTAAACTCTTAGAGATTTAAAAATTATTATAATGATTTTACCATGTTCCACAATTATATTGAGAACCTCCAAATATTAATCCTGTTTTCCAATCAACATAAATATCAATATTAAAACCTTTGTCAGTCATTTGCATATCTAAGTCCATTCCAGCATTTGCTTCTCTGAAATGAAGACCTGAAGCATGCCGTTGCATTATTTCATGAACAATTTCTAAAATACTTGACTCATAAGAATATGCTCTATAATCATCTAATTCAACATAAGAATCATCCATAGGAAACCTCCTTTTAACACGTTCATACAATATTTGTATACCATTAGGAACTAATTTAGTATATTCTTGAATTGCCTGTAAAAAAAACCAAACAGAATCGCGAGAATTATAACGTGGTCTTTTCAGAGAATCAAGAAGATTCGGAATCATTCCATGTCTCAAAACAGATGCAAATGCAAGAATATGTCTTTTTGCATCATCAAACCTTCCTGTTACAAGAAAAAGACCTCGAAGAGAAATAAAAATATCTCGACCCCAACAACGTTTCCAATCACAAGAAAAATGTGGCAAGCCAGCAGCAACACATGGAGTATTTACAAAAGGATCAAGAGAAGCTGACTTAACAATACCTTGCAATTGTACAGAACAAAGTGCTAAAGATTTAATAAAAGAATGCCCATTTTGAACATGTAATGACATAAGACTAATTGCCCTATTTCGTGCAGCCATTGATACCAAATAGACAATCGTAATAAAATAACGTGGTAATAGAAAACTAGGAACTTTCTTAATTCTAGAAAAACGTTTCTGAAGCCAAATTGCAGGTAACTGAAGTCGACTCAATATATTTCCCATTTTATACAATCTTTGAACTACATAATCTAAAGCCCACTGACCCTGACGAAGATGTTTACAAAGAGGATGATCTAAATTATTATTTTGAATAATTTCCTTAAAAAGAGCCATCCATCCTTCAAATCCACAATAAACCAAATTTCCAAAGCCTGGAATATTATAAGTTCCATTATTAATAGTATCATATTCCTCTTGATTACATCTATACATAACAGCATTTAAATCTATTAAATCAAGATTCTCCATAGCTTTGTAAGCATCACTACAAATAAAATCATCTAATTTTTCATCAACATTTTCAACCCAAGTCTTTAATAAAAAAATGCTCCCAGGAGGAAACTCTTTAGGCGTTTCGACACAGGTAAAAATTCCTTCTAAATCTTCTTTCACAGTAATTATAGGACTATCTAACTCAATAATAGTAGAAAAAAATCCTTTTATAAAATTAGGGTCCTCTAAATTTTCGGATGAGTCTACAGTCAATGATAATGAAAAAATAACATCAGCTTTTGTTCCTCTTAATATAATAGGTTCCATTTTATCATTTTCATGATGACTGAAAAATGCAGTATGAGCTAATAAAAAATATCCATGATAATTTTTTGGATTAACAGTATGCACTGTGATATAATTGCCTTCATTATAAACATACATTTCTTCGAAGCTTTCTTTACCCATCTCAACATGAATTCTATTTAAAACAGCTTTCACATCTCCTATACCAAGAGTATTCTCCAGAGAATAATAATATTTTCGAGTTTCCTCAGCTATATTAATATAATGAGGAACAATTTCATCATAGCCCATAACACTCCCTATAGAACAATTACACATTGCGACCAAAGCAGCATTTGGCAAAGTATCTTGTGCTATTCTTTTTTGAGAAGGCATCTCATTATCATGAGTACAATCCATAAATAGAGAATGAATCTGTGAGCCTTGAACATAAATAATATTTGAAGTTTTATCACCCTTCCCAGTTTTTTCCAAAAAAGAATATTTCGAAGAAATACTATCCAAAGAACCTATTGGCTTACCACTATGCTTATATATAAGACTAATTTTTCTAAATAATAACATAATATAAATATAAAAATCTAACCTCGATAATTCATTAGGACTCCATGCTTGCATTGCCTCCCTAATAAGACTGCTTATACCCAATTTCTGCATATAAACGATATCCATTTCTTCACTTCCTGTAAATAATTCTGCTGCAATATATAAATCACTCCGTACTTCTCTGGCCTTATCTAAAAGATATACTCCAACATGCAAAGGAGTAGAATGACAATTATCTATACGAAATCCATTAAATAATTTTGCAAGAATCTGAGTATATTTTGTCATATGATCCCATAAATATGGATTATCAGTCTAGAACAAGTAAATAATATCTTAAAAATTAAAGAAAACTTACTGGCTTTTCTCCATATCTTAATTTAACGCAATCTTCCCAAACAATTACTTGACGCAAAAGATAAGCTTTACTTTTCTGACTAGCAAAATCATTAAAGCTTGCATTCCAAACCCATCCATTGTTTACTAAGCATAAATTTCTGTCATGATGAAATAAAGAGTCATCATTTTTCTTAATACGAGAAAAATAAGTCTCTACAAGAGGTCTTTTCTGAGAAATTTCCCCTTGCTTTGGACCATTTTCATCTAATCTTAAATATTTCAAACGATTATATATTTGATCAATAATTATTTCTTTATCAGAATTATATTCAGTATAGTATTCTAAATTAAATTCATCCAATATTTTAGTTAATTCTTCTACCAATATTTGTTCTTCTACATCATCTCCAAATAGCTTACAAAGTATAGCAGCGCCAATTTCTGGAATAAGACGCTTAGAAAACCTCTCTCCAAGAACATTATAATTTGTTATTGCAGAAACACTAATAAAGACATTAACTTTTTCTTTTAATGACCAATTAATATCAATACTAAATCTGCTATCCAATTTAGCAATTCTTTTTTGTTTATAAGAGTCTAAAGTATCCTTTATAGATTTTTCAACATCTATAACATAAAATTCCCATAATTTTAATTTTTCTAATACACAAATTTTAACTCCATGGATAATTTTTAATAAATCATCAATATTATTAGGATTAGTAGGATACCCAAGTTTTCCAAGATTTTCAGAAAATTCAAGAAGGGAAGTATCTAATTCATATGCAGAAATAAGATGCGGAGAATTATGTAAGTTGTACCCTTTTAAAAATTAATTTAAATTTAATTGTATATTAGAAAATTACCAGCTTCAGGATGGTCTTGTAACCATTTAGAATCACATGATGTATGATTCCAAACAATATCTGTCATAGATAAAAGACCCCATTCTGCTTCCATTTTTCTTAAATATTTTTTTATAATATCATTTTTCTGATTAGATATTAATTTTATATCAAAAAGATTATCCGAAAATTCAAGCTGATTATAAATACTGTAAGGACTATTACTTTTCCCTAAAGATTGCAAAGGTGTAAAATGAATCATATTATACCCTTTTTTTTTTCCAATATAAAACATAAATTTATCCCATTCTGAAATAGGCCCCATCCATTTAGAAACAACACTTTGTATTACAAGAGAATTCAAAGGAATGCATACATCATTAATCTTTAATACAGGCGATACAGTAAAACAAAATTCATCAGTGGATTTTCGAACAAAATTATCAGATTTTTTTGACTCCCAAGGTGGCAATTGAGAATATTCTATTTTATAAGAGAACGAACCAGCTGTATGAATTAAAATATCAACTTTTGTAGTAGAATTAAAATTAATATCCAATCTTTAAAACGTTATTAAATATGTGCAAAATTCAATAACAAATATTAATATACTTACGGAACTTCATAACATTTATCCCTAATAAACTTTGCACCCTTTGGAGGAAAATTATGCTTTAATACGCTTTCATAATATATAGAACTAATTTCATCCGTTTCAAAACGAAGATAATATGGAACAAAAGGGGGAGGAAGACAAATATACTATTTAAATTGAAAAATTAGCATATTTTCAAAAACATATGAAACTCCATTAAATACTTTTCCAGAGATTAAAGGAAATCCCGTACTAGATAATTTAACACTATAAATTTGTGTTCTAGTCATAACGCCTTCAAGTAATTAAATACTAAATCTTCGATAATTTTATATTAAATCTGACAATAAAAATGATTTTAAATGAACGAAAAACATGATGCAAATGATATTTTTACATTTTTTCTATTAAGAATTAAAAATTTATTAGAACAATATATCTTCTAATATTTAAAATATATAAGAAAATGACAAATATACATACATAGATACATAAATATATGTAATGTATAATTAACCTAAGAATACGTTATTATCTATTATGGTCGATTGTATACAATTTTTCTAAAGAGTATAAATAATAATAAAACAATAATAACAACATATATACCTTGTTTTAAGAGGTGCCCATTTAAATCGTTTAACCCATAAATTCAATGCAAACAAAGTACTTAAAATAATCAATGTTTGAAAACCCATACGTTTACGATCGTCATGTTCAGGTTCTGCTGCCCAATTTAAAAAAGACACTACGTCTTTTGCCATTTGAGAAGTTGTTGCAGGTGTACCATCATCATATTCAATCCTGTTTTACATTAACGCAACAATTCTTTCCAAGATATTTATATATTTACAAGCCGTCAAAAAGAGTTCTTGCCATAGCAATCTGACCATTAGGAAAATAAGGATTATAATTCATGCCATCAGAAAGAACAACACCAGCAGGTGGGTCCATATATCCTGTAAGAAGAGAAAAAATATAATCACAACCTCCATGGCGAGCTTTAACAATAAGAGAAAGGTCAGGAGGATATGCACCAGCATTTGCGGCACGAGCAGCCTCTTCCTAATAACAAACAGCTTAAATTCAGACATATTATAAAAGAATAAAAACAAACATTAGGATACGGGCTTGGCATATAATCAAATAGTTTTCCTATAATTTGTTTTAAGCATGAAACTATTCAATGGTATCATATACCTGGACGCATAAACATATTACCATTATCATCTGGACCATCTTCATATTCATGTTCTTCAGCCATAGCTTTTACTTCATCAACAGTATGTGTAACACCAACAAGGTTCCTCCAAGCAACAAGACTTAGTGAATGACATGCAGAACATACTTCCTTATAAACCTGATACCCTCTACGAAGACTAAAAATAATTAGCTTATATTCCTGACAAAACACAAAGATAAAGTAATATTTTTATGGTTATAAATCACATCATAGATCGCGAATAAAAGCATATATAAAACGAGGATATCAATAAAAAGGAAATACCTTTTATGATCATAAGAGGACAAAAAACCTTTATGCGGCCAAGGATATTTCGGTGGATGTAGACCATGTTCTTCGGGAGTCATTGCTTTAATAGGATTACCATAAATATAATAATAAAGAAAAGCGGATGATAAAGAGGTGAACGTAGACAACGTTAGCACTACTGTTTGAGATCCAGTCTATAAAACAATTATTAGCATCTATATTCAAGAATTGAAAAAATACAAAAACAAAATTAAAGTTATTCTAATAAACAATATCGTTTATTTTACACATAAAAGCGCCTCAAAATATAAAAAAGAAAAGCAATCTTCCTATTAAAACACTTACCTGACCAATTTTTGCTTTATAACTATAAAAAAACTTCCTTGAAAAATTAAACCACATTTTAGATGAAAATTAATTTTTTCTTTATTTTATAGAAAAATAAATGAAGCAATAACGCTTCCAAATACTTTTTGTAAACAATTTCTAAAACAAAAATAACTTGAATTTTTAACCTTAAGGCTTTTTTTAAACTCGTAGATTCAAACAAGAAATAAAAATATAAAAAATCAATAATATCAATTATATTTACAAAAAAATTACAAAACCATCCCTCATTTTTTTCAAAAAAAACCATAAAAGTTATAAAATATCTTTTTTCTTTAATTTATATATTTTTTACCTATAAGTTAAACCTTTTTATCAAAATAACTCAAATATTTATAATAAAAAAATAATATACTCCAAAAATGAAATCATAATATTTATAATTATACTATTAAATTTTCTCCTATAAAATTTCCAAATAAAAATATCTAAATTATTTATATTTCATACAAATCAAACATAAGCTTATCTAATATATATATATAATATAAACTTACATGTTCCCATCCAACATCCTGCAGTTTCTTACTCTTTAAAAGGACATCAGCTTCCATATTTCGAGCATATTCATCTAACAAAAATTTTACCCTGTTATCTACAGTCCCAATAATACGTAAAGCTAAAAGCGCAGCATTAGTACTATTTCCTATGGCCACAGTAGCAACAGGAATACCCCGCTAAATCTAATTATACAAGATTCTTTTATTATAAGAAAAATATACCGGCATCTGAACAATAGAATAAAGAGAATCCACGCCATTCAATGCACTTCCTTTAATTGGAACTCCAATTACAGGGAGTGTTGTCATACTAGCAACCATTCCAGGCAAATGAGCAGCTCCTCCTGCACCAGCAATAATAACTTTATAGCCATTAAAAGCAGCATTACAAGAAAATTCCATAAGCTTTCTAGGTGTTCTATGTGCAGATACAATATCAGGACCCATTATAGGGACATCAAATTTCTTAAAAATTTCAATTGCAGATTTCATTATTGGTAAATCAGAGTCAGATCCCATAATAATTGCTACTAAAGGCTTTCTGAAAGAAAATAACTCCTTAGTTAATAAACAAGATGAGGAAGATATCTCGGAAAACGGAAAAATCTTGTAAAGTTTATTTTCTGCTTCAGACATAGATGCAGCAACAATAGTAATATGACCCATTTTTCTACCTTTTCGTGGCTCTTTTTTCCCATATAAATGAATTATAGAACCTTCAACTTTAAGAGCTCTTTTGCAAATTTCCATGTATTCTATTTTTGAGCCATTTGCAATTAAATTAAGCATAATAGCAGATGTTTCAGGAGTTGAAAATATAAAAGAATCTTTGGAAAATGGGAGATTCAAAATAGACCTAATATGTGACTCATATTGGGAAGTAGGACATGCATCTATAGTATAATGACCCGAATTATGAGGTCGAGGTGCAATCTCATTAATTATAATATCACCTAAATAAGATTAATAACTGCAAATAAATAAATAAACATCAAAACCGCTTTCAGTCAAAAACATTTCCACACCAAAAACACCAGCCCCAGAAAAACATTGAACACATTTTTCTGCAATTCTCTTTGCATTTTCAGAAACGCTAGAAGGGACCCTAGCAGGAGCATAAACAAAACGACATATATTATCAGATTGAACAGTTTCTACAACGGGGTACGAACCAATTACTCCATCCTCATTCCTCACAACAATAACTGCTAATTCCTTTTCAAAAGAAACCCATCTTTCTGCATAAAGAGATACCTTTTCAAAAGCTGCTAATGAAGAATTACATGATTCTAAACAATCAACTTTATAATTTCCACGACCATCATAGGCCATAGTTCGTGCTTTTAACATGAAAGGGTAGCCTAATTTTTCTCCAGCCAACCTAATATCTTCAAGTGTACTATTAACAGCAATATTTTCAACCACTGGATTTCCATATTTTATAAGATGAAGCTTTTGAAGATATTTATCCTGAATAATTTTTATAGTGGTAAATGACGGATACACCTTTACTCTTCCTTCTAAAGAGATATTTTCTAAAGCTTTAACATTAACGTGCTCAATTTCAATTGTAAGAACATCGCATTTATTTGCAAGAGACATGATACTATCAAAATCTGAAAAACTTCCATTTATATGTTTCTTCGAAGAATTTATCTGTTTTGCAGGGGAATCAACATCAGGATCAAGAACTATTGTCTCAATATTTAATCGCTGTGCAGCCTCAACAAGCATTCGTCCAAGCTGTCCACCGCCTATTTCTCATGTTAATAGTATATATTAATGACATAAGTCCTGATAAATACCAAGAATCCCAATTATTCTACCATCCATCTTTTTATTTTATATAAAATATTAAATAATTAACCAAAAAATATATTTTATATAATAAAATAATGGCTTATATAAAAGATACTAAAGTTTAAATTAAAGCTTTTATAACGAAATACAATCTATATTAATCTAAATCGAATAACACATAAAACTGTCACCATATAGACGAACTATACTTTTCATTATTACACTCCTGTATAGCAGATAAAATGGATAGATATTTTTTCTACCATGATGTATATTTTTTTCTCCAAAGATAGTAGAAAAAAACTATTCTAATCAAAACAACATGGATAAATATACTAAAAGGGATTTTTTTATGAATACTTATTCATTATTATATTTTTCCTTTAACTATACCCTAATTATTGTAAATTAATCCAGTTTAATATTAATATATGTAACACAAAATCAAATAACATAATATGCTATCAAACATTTTAAATCTACAGATATTTACAATCATCTTAAACAAATATAATGTATATATTATCCGTGCTATAAAATTCTAAAAAAAGCTAAATCGTTTATAGTTTGAAAACATAAATTATTTTTAAATATTTTTTAAGAATCTTATTCAAATATATAAAATTTTATAAACATATCTTAAAAATGTATTATTTTTATATCCATAAATAGACGTTATCTTTTGTCTGAATTCCATATCTACAATGTATATCCCTTAAATTATTAAATATTCCAAAATAATAAACATTATCAACTTTTATAGCCCATTTTATCTACTTAATATAAGTATGTTTAAGATCTAGGAATATAAACTAATAAAAAAGCTAAGACCGATCTACAAGTTAACTACGTTTTAATTAGAAATATATTTTTTTATTAAAATATACAAAATATAAAACTCAAAAATAGCCAATAGTCTAAAATGTATAACATTTTATGATTCGAAATAAATTTAACAAATGACAAAAAAGAGAAAGTCTTCAAAAGAGTCCAAAATAGTACCTCAACAGGAACTTTATGCTCGCATTTCATTTCTATATCAAGCAGCAAATGTTTATACATCTCACTCTATTCTCAATCAAAATACATATGTTGATAAAGACATTCAGTCAAAATTAGCTCTATCTAGATTTTACATCAATACTGCTAAAAAAATAGCACGAAAAGCCGTCCTAAAAATGTAACATCTCTTTATTTTACAATACATATTATTAATAAATTAGAAACTCATCAATAAAGCGTACACTTTGTCGGCGCTGTGATACAATTCTTTTACCCGCCATTACTTCATCCATAAGAATAGAAAATCTATCAAAAAATAATAAAGAAGAAGCAGACACAATGATTATTACATGCAATTTCTGTAATACACAAAAAAGATATCCTACATTGAAAGACAATTACAGATTTAATTAACTATATCCAACAGAATTTATCAATAAAAATAAACATTTACTTAAAACAACAATTTATTATAACATTATATACAATAATAAAGCAAAACAATGTTTTATTCATCAGAATAAATACAAAATACTTCATTAATATAAAATCCCTAATTAAAAGTAATGATTTAATTTGATTCCATGTTCTGAGTATTTTCTTCCCCAAAAACCTTACTAGCAGATATAAACCTGAAACCAAGTGAATTTTTAGAAACAATTACCAAGAAAGTTATTGTCGATGCTTACATAGATCCCTGTAGTCCTCCTAATCTTCTTACCGCGTCTGCCTGAATTGCTGTCACTCTAAAATGATTCTCCAAATCAGAAAGATGCGCATGAAGCTGTGCAAGCTGAGAATTAAGATGAGAAAGCTGTCGAGACTTAATTTGAGCAGGCGTTGTTGATTGGCGATACATTCTATCACAATTTAAAACACCTCTTCAAGAACTATTCCCTTAGCTAAATTCTTTCTATGCTTTAATTTTATTAATTTTTTTCCATAAATTTCAAAAAGTAAACTATTTAACAATTGAAAAACAAGCTTTTTAAATAAACAAAAATACATAAAACAATCAAGACTTTTAGAAAAAATAAAATAGAACTTTTTATATATCATGACAACATATAAATATATAAATACTGACAAAAATGTATATTTCTATATTTTTTAAGTATCAAACTCATTATTCTAATTCTTAAAATTTTTATATATTACTAATCATAACCCTTATTATTAACAAAATACCTTAATTTATCTTAACTGATTTTTTAATCTAAATTTTTCTAATTACAAAATTCGATACCTTTAATACAATTTCAATATACAATTATATATAATATTTATTTTATTAATGTTATTAAAATATCTACAATATGACATACCAGTCGTTAAAATTCTTTATAAAATTACCCTCACAATTCTCTTTATGTAAGAAACTCAATATTAAATATAAAAATTCTAGGCAATTTAGTTTATCTAAACAAACATATGTAATTACGAATTCTTTCTTAACAAAATCTTATATTTAAACCTTAGGAAAAATTTAGAATAGAAAAAGATGCATTCGGAGAGTTACAGGTATTAATTACATCTATTTTATAAAAATAAGTCAAATATCTTAAGGTTCCCATAAATTGCTATTGGGGAGCACAAACACAAAGGTATTTTGTTTTAGATTTAGTTTAATTTTTTAATATTTTTTTAGATCTTTACAAAATTTTAATATTGGAGGACCAACAGAAAAACTCCCATTACCTCTTATTAAAGCTTTTGGTATTTTAAAAAAAGCCGCAGCAATAGTAAATATAGATTATGGTCTTGACGAAAAAATCGGAAAAGCTATTCAACAAGCAGCAGATGAGGTTATTTCAGGAAAATTGTTAGACCATTTCCCTCTTGTAATCTGGCAAACCGGATCAGGCACTCAGTCAAATATGAAGTATATATTATTATTTATTATTATTAAAAATGCAAAAATTAACCAACATAGTGCTAATGAGGTAATTTCAAATCGTGCTATAGAAATCCTTGGTGGAAAGTTAGGTTCAAAAGATCCGGTTCATCCAAATGATCATGTGAACATGTCTCAATCATCAAATGACACGTATCACCCATTTTCCATTCCATTTTCTTATTGTTTCTTAGATTTCCTACAGTAATGCATATTGCCGCTGTAACAGAAATTACACAGAACTTAATACCATCTCTTCAGTATTTACATGACGCTCTTCTTGAAAAAGAAAAATCATTTGTTGGAATCATTAAAATAGGGCGTACTCATTTACAAGATGCTACACCTCTTACTCTGGCACAGGAGTTCAGTGGTTATGTAACTCAGGTTAAATATGGGATTGAAAGGATAAATAACACTTTAATTGGACTACGGAAACTTGCACAAGGCGGAACAGCTGTTGGAACGGTAAAATCGTAAAAAATATAACAATTAAGTTTAATATATTAAGGGTCTTAATACAAAAATAGGTTTCGATATTAAAATAGCTGAACAAATATCGAAACTTGTAGGGGAAAAATTTGAAACTGCAGAAAATAAGGTAAACATAAGTAGTATATTTAATATAATCATACAAAGATCTTTATAGTTTGAAGCCCTTGCTGCTCATGATGCTATAGTAGAAACAAGCGGTTCCCTTAATACAGTAGCTTGTAGTTTAATGAAAATTGCCAATGATATACGTTATCTTTCCAGTGGTCCTCGATGCGGATTAGGAGAATTATCATTACCTGAAAATGAGCCAGGAAGCTCAATTATGTATAATACTAACATATTTTATTTATTTATTTATAAAAATTAGGCCTGGAAAAGTTAACCCAACACAAAATGAAGCTTTAACAATGGTATGTGCCCAAGTTATGGGAAATCACACTGCAATTTCTATTGGTGGTGCTAGTGGCCAATTCGAAGTTTGTTATCGATAACGTAATTTATTCTATTTTCTCATAATTCCTTAGCTTAATGTATTTAAACCAATGCTTATCGCAAATCTCTTACAAAGTACTCGTCTTCTTTCGGATGCATCCCGCTCTTTTGCAAAAAATTGTGTTATTGGTATTAAAGCTAACGAATCTCGTATCAGTGAACTTATGAACAAATCATTAATGCTGGTTACAGCACTTAATCCTCATATAGGATATGATAAGGCCGCTCTCATAGCAAAAACTGCACACAAAGAGGGAAAAACTCTTAAAGAAACTGCCCTTAAACTCGGGCTTTTAACAGAGCAACAAGTATATTTTATTTTATTTCAATTTTTATTTATTTTCTTTAGTTTGAAAAATGGGTAGATCCTCACAAAATGATAGGACCATCATAAACTATTAGTATATAATTTAGACATGTAATATTTATAAACAAATATTTAAATATTATCATCAATTGTTATTAAATACAATCACCTAACCCTAACACATCTACCCTGAAATTTAAGATTTCATTTTTATCTTTTTTCTAAATACCGATTTCATCCATACTACTCAAAAAAAAAATCAAGAATTTACAAATATCAGAAAAATTTTCATAAGAAGCAGTATTCAACCGATAATTATTGAAGAAATTTTATATAGAAATATGGCATCCAATGACGATTTGATTGATTACGAAGAAGAAGAATTAACACCGCATACAAGTGTTGCCACGGTAATAGGTGCAGGAGGAACTGTAAATGGTGATAAAAAAAGCGAAAAGAAAGGGTCGTATGTTGGAATTCATTCTACGGGTTTGTTTTTCTGTTATTTCAATATTTATTTAGTAGCTTACTTTCTTTTTCTTTAAGGATTTCGTGATTTCTTATTAAAACCCGAACTTCTTCGTGCTATTATTGATTGTGGTTTTGAACATCCCTCTGAGGGTCAGTAATCAATTTTTCCCCACAGACGATGGCTAGTTTCATCGTTTTTCGAAATAAAATGGTCGCTTATATTTGTTTCGTTTTCCAGTTCAGCAAGTATGTATTCCTCAATCTATTCTTGGCATGGATATTATATGCCAAGCAAAATCCGGAATGGGTAAAACAGCTGTTTTTGTACTCGCGACACTTCAGCAAATCGAACCAGTTGACGGTGAAGTATCGGTTCTTGTTCAATGTCACACTAGAGAACTCGCTTTTCAAATTAAAAACGAATATGCACGATTTAGCAAATACATGCCAGATGTTCGTACTTGTGTCTTCTATGGAGGAACGCCTGTTCGTAATGATATCGAACTCCTTAAAAATAAAGAAAAATGCCCTCATATTATCGTTGCAACACCTGGTCGATTAAATGCTCTTGTCAGAGATAAAGCTCTTCGAGTAGGATCCGTGAAGCATTTTGTTCTTGATGAATGCGACAAAATGTTGGAAGCAATAGGCAAATATTACTTTTATTATATTTAACATCTTAATAATATATTATAAGATATGAGGCGCGATATTCAGGAAGTGTTCCGTGCTACTCCTCACCAGAAACAGGTTATGATGTTTAGCGCTACATTGAACAACGAAATACGGCCTATCTGTAAAAAATTTATGCAGAATGTTATTTTTTCTTAATCTATTTTCAATTATTAATTTAAAAATATAGCCTTTAGAAATATATGTCGACGATGAAACTAAGCTAACATTGCACGGTCTTCAACAACATTATGTAAAACTTGAAGAATCCGCAAAGAACCGGAAATTAAACGATTTACTTGACATATTAGAATTTAATCAAGTTGTTATTTTTGTCAAATCAATTCAACGAGCTTCCGAATTGGATCGACTATTACGAGAATGTAATTTCCCTAGTATTTGTATTCATGGTGGTCTTCCTCAAGAAGATCGGTATACTTTACTTTATAATATAATACCGAATGTCTAAATTCGCTTTGTAGAATTGCGAGATACAAATCATTTAAAGATTTTAACAAAAGAATTTGCGTCGCTACTGATGTTTTTGGACGTGGCATAGATATCGAGCGTGTAAACGTAGTATTCAATTATGACACTCCCGCAGATGCAGATACATATTTGCATAGAGTTGGGCGAGCTGGAAGATTTGGTACACGTGGCCTTAGTAAGAATTCTGTAGTTATCGATATATTTATTTAATTATTGAAGGCATTACTTTTGTAAGTAGTAGTACGGATGCCGAAATTCTTGATAAAATTCAAGAAAGGTTTGAGGTAAATATTACAGAACTACCGGAACATATCGATGTTTCATCATACATGAACTCATGATGCTATTATGTTCTTGTGATACTGGAATCATTAATTAATTAACCCAGAATAATTATATTTTTTACTATTTTAGAATTCAATATTATTTTAGTATTTAACTATATATTTCCGAATTTTAAATATATTAGCGTTAAAACTGATCAATCTATACTAGAAGCAAAATATAATCCACTATTTTCAAAATATCCTATAGTATACCTAAAATTTAGATTTCTAATTTCATATAGTTTAGAAAATAATACATTGATTCATATTTTCTATAAAATCCGCAAAATTCCTTAAATCTTTAATTTAAAGCAAAACCTTATAGTTAAACTTTTTAAATCCATTTTACAATACATTTATATGGCATATCTCAACCTATATACATCAAGCAATCCATCATATTAATTCTTAAATAATATAATAAGAATCATTATTCAAATATTTATTTTAAAACACAGTCAGAGAAATCGAGAACATGTTTGTTTTCTAATATTAACTCAAATTCCTTTACCAATTGTTGAAATGATGAATTTATTCCTATTATACATTTAAAAAATCATCTTAACAACTATTAAATACCTTTTTCCAAAAAAAATCGCACAACACTGCCATTCCCCTCTTTTAATACTTGAACATGAAACTTTATTGCCTTAAGTTTCATGGCTATACATTGTAAATAAAATCCAAAAAAGAAAATCAAAAATAATACCATTGCAATTAGAAATATTAGCATAAACAATATACGATTGAATATCCTCCCGAACGTTTGTAATACCAATACCAAGATATTCCCATCTTCTTAAAGTATTAACAATTTCCTGATACAAATGCTCAAAAGGTAATATAGTTTTTAACAATTTTACAGATGGCTTAATATTAAGGACTTTCGCAAAAAAAGACTGATGAATTTCGGAATCAACAATCTTTTGATTGGAAATCTTATTCTCTAAAATATATTAATAATAAAATTTGTGAAAAAAAGAATTCACCTTTGTGGCCTTTACTTCTTGAAATTCTTCTAAATATAGCTGTTGGATAAACCATACGCAAAGAACTAATACCGGACCCACGTTTTTCCCAGAAAAATATCGATTTCTTATTTTTATTTCGTGTTACATCACTTGAATCTGTAGGAGCACTGACCGCTCTTCTTTCATCAAATAATTTATATTTTCCTGTTATGAATTCCGGAAGACTTGAAACTCTCAATTTTGGCTGATTTTTAACAATAAAATATTTAAAGTGACCTATATCTTCAGATGAATTTAAATCATTTGACCTATGATTTTTCTTCAAATCTGTAGATTCAGGATTTTCTTCATAAATTTTAGGAGCCATTTTATCATTCCCAAATTCCTTCGAAATTACACTAGAAGGATGTATATGAAATAACTGAAAATCTTGTTTAAGCGATGGTATTTTAGGAACATGAGAGAGACTATTCTTCCAATCAATATTCGATATCACTGACTGATTAAAAGCAGTCTCACACTCAGCAGCAAACTCTTCGAAAAGCGAACTAGGATCACTAGCATCACTACCGTTTTGAATAGAAACATTTTTATGTTCAAAACAAACAGAGTTCTTTTTTTTTTTCACATAAGTAAAATCAACACCCCGCTTATGAGGCATGTTAACAACGATATTAGATCCCTTATGAATATTCTTTTTAGAACTTGAAACAGAAGATTTAGAGTATTGAGATGAAGACCTCTTTAAGTGTTTATAAAGCGATAATGACTTTTGATCATATAATGGCAACTTAGAAATATAAGAAACAGAAGATTTTCGAGAATCTACTGAGTCCAAATAATTTTTATAATAATACATACGATCTTCTCTATATTTTAATAAAAGATAATAAAAAGTCTTTTCAGGATTTTGTCTAAAAACCTTTTTTAATATAAAATAAAAATAATAAAATAAAACATACTCTTTACTTAATAATTTATTTATAATAACTTCTTTACTAACATCACGCCACAAAATTTGCAAATTTTTTAAAATTTCAACATCAATCTCACTTCTTTTTCGAACAGGATACCTCAATTCATCAAGCGTTGGTGATTTAGGAATATCCTGAAAATTATCAAGATGTCGATATTTTAATAAAAACGGATGATTCAAAATATCAGCCATTTTAATTCGAGTATGAGGATTAACATCAAGCATCCTGCGAATCAGATCCTTTCCTTCTAGAGATATTCTAGAAGGCATAACAAAGTGCCCTGCTTTAACTTTAAGAAGCAAATGACGAACATTTTCATCATCAAAAGGAAGATGTCCTGTAAGTAGTGCAAAAAGAATAATTCCACATGACCAAATATCTGATGGCGCTCCATGATAAATTTTACCAGCTACAATTTCCGGAGACGCATAATGAGGCGATCCACATGATGTTTCAAGCATACGATCAAGTGGCTGCAAGGCTGCCATTCCAAAATCCGCAATTTTTATATTACGATGCTTATCAAGCAATAAATTCTCAGGTTTTAAATCACGATGGCTAAAGAATCCTATTAAAAAAATAGCCTTCTAATCATCACATCATACCAAATATTAAATCGATGACAATAATCAACACCCGCAATAATTTGACAAAAATATCCTACCGCTTCACTTTCATCAAGTTTACCTTTTTGTACAAGATAATCAAACAATTCTCCTCCCTCAATATATTCAAGAATAAGATAAAGTTCATGTCTATTCTCCCATACATCATACAAGCGCATCACATTTGGATGATCAATTAACTTCATAATAACAATTTCTCTCTCAATTCCATGCAAAACATTAGACTTTCCTCTTCCTTTCTCTGCCTTCGATCTTTCAACACATATTGTTTTAGGCACAATCTTAACCGCTGCCAGCTGACCCGTAATAGAATGTTTTGCAAGACGAACACGGCCTAAATATGAATCTCTATTTAATACAAATATAAACCTATTTCAAAAAACCTACCTGTGCTACCTCGCCCAAGTGTTTTCCCTAATTTCCATGGTCCAATGTGTGTTCGACGCTCTTTTTCCTTAACATCTGATTTCTTTACTTCTAATCCTTTTCCATAACTCATTTTTTTGACCCTAACCATACAGAAAATATATATTTATATACTCTCTTGTTTTACTCTTAATAAAGACGGAACCTTTTCTACTTCTCATCTCTAGCACTACCCTATTATCACTCAGCGGATTCCCTTCCAGCTTGGAATGTGATATAAGACTAATTAAAAATATGGGTCTTTTTTTTTTTTTTAAAAAAGACTAAATAAATAAACAAACATAAAGAAATTTTATTGGAACAAACAAGCAATAAATCATATAAAAGTTTTTATTAAGTTTTATCTTAATTTTTAAATAGAAAAAAACAAGAAAAAATACTTGGAGATAAAATAAAAATACAATTCGGGTAAAGCGCATCGAAGAAAAATAAGGGTTAAAGTTAAAAATTTGTATTTGAAACCATGTTAGTTTCTTGATATAATTACTATGGATATCCTATTAAATATATATATTTTTAATTAATAATATATTTATAAAATTTGTGATTGAGTATAACATAATTTTTATATCGTTAAAAATATTGAAAGATTAAGAGTAAAGTTCAAAATAATTATGTAGAAGAGTTGTCATTTGAAGATTTATCCAATACATCCTTTAACTAAAATATGTCTTTTGAGAGCGTCCTTACGTGAAAAAGATTTTTCACAACTTGGACAGGGGAAAGGCTTAACAGCCAAATGAATTCTTTTGTGTCTAATGTAGAAATAAATATAAAAATATATTGAATGTATTTTAAAAGAAAAAAATACCTTTTTAAATCATGATTCCTATTAAAACTTTGAAAACATTGATCACATTTAAATGGCCGATTAGAAAAAGAGTTACCAGTTTTAATAGAGCGTGCAGATGGTAAATATTCAGCAGATTTTGATTGTTTTGAAGGAGGAAAAGAATGGTTTCGTGATAAAAATTGTGTATAAGATTGTGATGTAATATCATTTCCAGAAGTTAGATCAGAAAAAACAGGTTGATTATTTATATAATAGTTAGAATATTCACCAGAACTATATGAAATAGAACCCATAGGAGGATAAGTATTATGCAGAGATGGGAATTGTAAATAAGAATGATAATTAGCTAAATTATTATCATGAAGTTGATAAAGAGGCGATGTACTAAATGGAAGTGAGGGAAATTTATCGGCTGGTTGTGGTTGCCTATTCATCCCAAAAGAAGAATCCAAATTTCTTTGAGAAAGATATGACGAATAAACAGATAATGGAAAGTGTGTTGTAGCCTGTGGCGAATAAGAATGTTCAAAACGAGTGTTCAATGGTGAAAGTAATTGTTGTTGAAAAACTAAATAAGGATGCTGCTGAAAAACATGTGAGTCAGATCTAGATCCAGTTTGTAGAGGTGCTACAGGCCAATATCCAACTAAATTAGGTATACCAGAATTTGATGAAGATAAACTTTGAGAATCGCACATTTCTTCCGACTGCAATCTTGTTATAAAAGAATTCCCATGCTGCGAAAAAAAATGAGAAGGAGAAAAAGGTCTTTGAATATCAAAAAGTTTAGATGAATGATCCAATTGTTGTCCTTGTGAACTAGAAGTTTGATCAATAAGTTTAGATGACTCTACTCCATCTTTTATTATGCTAGAAATATTGGGTGATGATTGTAAGGACCGAATTTCGCTGCATACTTTTCCATCATCTTGAGGCAACGAAACATGAAAAAGTGTTTTCGAGCCTTTTGGAGACCGAATAAGATTCATAAAAACAAATATCCAAAATAAAATAAGAACGACTGTTGTAAATTCTAACTACTTAATTATCAAAAATCCTGCATAAAAACTCAAAAAAATATAATAAAAGAATTCAAAGGGTTTTATCGAAAAAAAATCCAAAAACAAAAATAACACCAAAAAATTCACAGATACTTAATAATCTAATAATATATATCTGTCATTAACATTTTAAATCACTATAAATCAATCTAAAAATATTTTCAAACCTTTCCAAAAAAGATTACAATATACAAATATCTTTATATGTGATTAAATATCTAATCTGTCCTTCTGAAGCCTCTTAATTCTACCTTGTTTATTTATTCTTAAATATAAAGCTCTTTTGTTAGTAAATTTAAGTTAAAAATCTCCAATAGAGCAAGATAAAATATAAAGTCAAAATTCAGGAATCTTCATATTAACTTTTAAACATATACTCTTATTGATAAATAATACTAAGTATTCAATAAAACACATAATTTTAAGAAAATTATCTGGTCCTTTATTCCATTAAATTATATGTTTGTTTTATCAAAGTAACATTAACAATCATAGACATATAAATAACTTAATCATCAATGTTAAATATAGGACTTATTCCCTTTATAGCTATTTTATTACTAGATAAATAAAAAACACCCCGCTATACAAATTAATTTTTGGTATTTAATTTGTTCTTTTTATTAACGTCTTTCATAGGCTAATAAAATAACCAATTAAGTGAAACAAACTCTTTCGCCCGCTTTTTAACCCTTATCAAGCTTTTGACTAATTATGTTTTAAGAAAAGAAATCCATTTCTATTTTAACACTTGAACTATTTTTTACTTTATAGATTGTGCTTTTTGGTTACTAATAAAGAATACGAACATTAAATTACTTGATGAGACACGGAAATAATTAAACTAAGAAAAAAAGGTTATTAGACAAGAACCTAAAAAAATATTATGGACACGTCTTTGTCCGCAATACATTTTATGAAATTTTACCAGAGAATGCTCGACATGTATAAATGAAAGCACATTTTATTAAAAATAATATAATAAATAATTTGTTAATATAAGTATATAATTAAACTTGCATATTTATATTATGAAAAAATATTCTAAATAACTAAGGATATTATGATTTAAAAATAATATATGTATTTTTTAGTAAGATTTAGTTTATAAAATAATAATGATAAACTATTTTATTTGTAAAGAATTATAAAAGATAAAATTAAGGAAAATACACTATTTTACCTTTGAAAAACAAAATAATTTTAGTAACATCTTAGTATGTGCAATGTTCCCACGTTTTTTTTTTTCTAAATCTTCGTTTTTCAGAACACGTAATAAAAAATATTAAAATTTAAATAAATTATAAAAATAAATAAATGAGATTTATAAAGGCAACTTTAAAATGAACTATGTATCTAAAATCTATTTTTATGTTTAATATTTTAATATATAATTAAATTCTTTTTATTTCTAAATTTCTATATTTTACAATGTCAAAAAAAATACTTGATAGGGATTTTCTTATATTTAAATAATTTTAATGCATAATATAACAAAATAAATCATTAAATATACTATATTTTAAAAAATACATGTTATTAACAATAAAAACTCTCAAAAAATAAAAGAAATCTAAAATTTATAGTTAAATTTATAGAATTCAAAATCTCCTTTTTATAAAAATAAATATTAATATTATTTACAGAAAAAAATCAACACTCTAAAATCATTTTAGAACATTAATTTTAAAAACATAAACTGCATTATAAATATTTTTAACCATTTTAAATATCAAATATCTTTAGAATAATTATAAATATAATCATAGGCATATGAAATGTTTATAATATTAAAAAAATAAAACCTATTTATATCTCTATATTTTAATTTAAAAATAAATATAAGTAATCTATTTTATATTGTTTTATATAAACTACACGATATTCATCTATATTACTATTTAATATAAAAAGTAAATACAAAACATATATATTAAATTAAATGATTATTATTTATAAATAAAAGAAAAAACCTGACTCTAATATTTTAAAATGAAAACTGTTAAACTCAATAAAGATTCATTAGCAGGACTTGTTCATCATATTTTCTAAAAAAAAACATATATTAATTATAATTATAGTCATTTTCTATTCTTTCAGATCTTTTATTAGATATTATCTTTGAAATAGCAGTTTCCACACATAAAAGAGAAGTTTTTTCTAAACGCAAATGTCTACGCTGCAATAAATTCTGTCATTTTTATTCAATAAATTCAGGAAGTGATATTTTTGGAAAGCCATATCAAACACCAGTAACAGCACCTTATTATTCATGTACTATTTGCAGTAGAGAAATAGCAGCAGGTCGCTATGTACCACATCTTGAAAAATGTCTTGGTAGTGGTCGCTTAAGTAATCGATTAGCGCATCAAAAGTACTATATATATTTTTAAAAAATATATTATAATTTTTGTTTAGAACAAATGGCTATGGAACTTCTATATCGTCTTGTACAAATAACGTAGAAAATGATATTTCTTCTGAAGATGAAACACAACATAGAAAAAAGAGACGGAGACCTACAAATGGATCTACAAAGGTATGTCTATATATAATATACTATTTTCATATATATCATATGAATATTTATGAATCATATATTAATAATGGAACAAATTGACCTTTTTACAGTATGGATCAACGAAATCGCATTTAAAATTGAAAAAACCATTAATTACATCAAATAATTCAGATGTTGATCTACAAGCATAAACATGATTACGAATATATACAGGATATTAACAACTAAATAACATTAAGGTTTAAAACATTCAATTTTTTACAAAATATACGAATTCGAAACTTATAGAACCTATTAATTAAAATATAAATAAAAAAACGCTTTTTTAAAAATATGTAATAGATATTTTTCAAGAATTTATTGTCTTTTATGATATACGACCCATTCAAAATACTCTATTATACAGCTTTACCTAATCCTTTATTTTCCAGTACTACCGAAACCACCTGCTCCTCGCATAGTTTCATCTAGACATTCAACAGCCACAACATCAGGAATAGATATTTTTTCAAGAATCAATTGTGCAATACGATCGCCATATTTTACTATATTCAAAAATCAACAGAATGTAAAATAGGTTAAAAAATTTACTTTCAAAATCAACATCTCCATGATTAAACAAAAGAACTTTTACTTGGCCACGATAATCTGGATCAATTACACCTGCACCCGTATCTATAGATGCATTTAACGCTATTAAATAATTTAAAATAATTTTTAGGTGAAGAAAAATATATCATACCTAATCCAGAGCGTGGTGCAATTCTTCCATAAGTACCACTTGGGACAGCTATTGCAATATCTGTACTTATCAGCGCCTTTCCACGCGCAGGAACTATTGTATGACTGACACTCCACAAATAAGTTATTTTCTTATTTGAATTCATTCTTTACCTATAAATATCATATCCAGCAGCAAACTGACTTGCCCTAGTAGGAACAATTGCACGATCACTTAGTTTCTGAACAAGTAGTATATCGCCTTTAGTGTTTATATCGGTCATTACTATTTTTTTCGTTTCTTAAGTCTAGTATTTTTCGAAAAAAAAACGAGTATAAATTTTTATATATTTATTTGATTAAAATATTGTCTCAAAATATTTAATAAATGTCACCAAATGATTTTTTCATCTTTAATACCTATAAATTCCCATTCTCAATTTATCTAAACATCTCTCAAAACATAGTCATTAATATTCTAAATCATACTTTAAGTAAAAAATTTCCAATACAACATATACAAATTTAAATAAAATGAAATAATGGAACAATCATGTTTTACTCATCTCTGTCATCTTGCACTTTGGATATTCCTGATTTTAATATATAACCCAATTCTTTAGGATAATTTTTAACAATTGTAGATTCAGTTGTTATAAATACAGGTTTATATGTTCTATCACAACAAGGATGTGTCCGTTTAGTACTCAAAGACGAAAATTCACTTTTTTCCTTTTCAACATTTTCCTCATTCTCTTCCTCATCATCAGTTTTTGCTGATGTCATAATAACTTTTCCAGATGAATCAATAGTCATTACTCTTTTCTTAGGAGTATTCATAGCAGCCAGTGCTTTTCGTTGTTTTTCAAGCATTAAATAACGCTCTGAAGAACTTATCCAACGATCATATGGATCAAAATCTGCAGCTTCATCTTTATTTTTTTAAATATTTAACATAAAAAACAACAATACTACCTATTATCTTATTGAATATATCAGATCTATCCAATTCAAGTAATTTATTTTTATCATTTTCTGCATCTTGTGCTTTCTTTTCATATTCCTCTAAATTTATACTATTACTTCCTCGATAACACGTAGAATAAAACTGCTTGGTATTTTTAGCAACAGTTTCCTTTTTTGAATTATTTAAAATATGAGTTCTTTCCATACGAAGCTGCTTAATTAAATCCATTCGTTGTTCTCGCAATAAAAGAGGTGTACCACAAAAACTACTATTTTAAATCAAATCTTTACTTATATATGCAGAACACTTTATACCATGAATTTATGCCTTCAACAATACAAATAATCTTTCCACAAACTAAACAATTTGGTATTAATTGATTTAACGGATGTTTTCGTGCTGAATCAAATTGTAATCCATATGTAATAATAAAAAGTACTAAGTATACCTTGACAAGAGCATTTCTTTCCACCTTGAAACTTCATATCCTTCAATTCTAAATTTTTTAAAGCAGAATTAATCTCTGCAAGAGAATTCAATTTTAAATGTGATGATTTTTGCATTTTCATCCCAAGTTCTGATGTTAAAGTCCCTAAACTTTGTTTTTTTTGAGAATGAGGAAAAACCTTAGTAGATAAATTCAATGCCGAAGAATCAACCAGTGATTCCGCTTGTATTTCTAAAGAACACGTAGATACATTTGATAAATCCTTTGATATAGAAGATATATTTTTCCAAGCTTTTTTAGACGATTTCCTAAGATAATTACATAAAAAAACATCAAAGATAATACGCACGGAAAAGACAGTTTTATTTCATCTTTTTTAAGCTTCGAATACCCTTTTTCTTGTTTTTCCCTAGCCATTCCCTCCTAAACTTATAAAAACTCTACTTATTCTCCATTTTTAACTATTAAACCTCAAAATATGATTCTTTTGCTGAGCCAAAACGTCTTTTAATAAATTCATGCACAAAATCATCAGTAGATGACGATTTTCCAAGAAGGTCCTATCCATTATTTATTTCATAGACTCTAACACAAAAAAATATACATTAAAATGCGCAATAACTGCTTCAGGTGAAGAAAGGTCCATTGTATAATTGACAAGCTCTTTAAGAGAATGATAATCAAAAGGCAGCATTGCCTCGAGCATGGTCCATAACCAATGTTTTGTTGAATTCATAATATTAATATGATCAAAATCGAATAACTAATAAAAATAGATATACAAGAAATAAATATGGCCAATATTATTTAATCTAAACATAAATTATATAAAAATAGAAGAATCAAATAATAATAAAGAAATATATGCATCAGTATATAATGTGATATATGATTTGATATAATTTAAAATATTAATGTATATAAGACTACATGATTAGATAAAAAGCTTGATCTATGAATATTTAACAACACATTAAAGCCAATCATTACAAATTATATGATTACTATATTCAATAAATCATTAGTCATTATATAAGTTTATAGAGAATTATATACGCTATAAATTTACGTTTAACATTTGTCTAAATTTCATTGAAAAAATTATTCAAAATAAAGTCTTTCTAAACACTCTAGAATCATGTTTGGAACATGTGAAGAACTTCTTGCACGAATTCTTGCGAAACATCAGGTTCAAGGAATTCTTATATTAGAAAGAGCAAGTGATAATATCATTCATACAACATTTAATGATGAAATATCTACATCATATGCTAAATCTATCAAATCTATGTTCTTATCAGCTGAAACATTAACAAATAGTACAAAATCTAATGTAAAGCTTCATATTTTTATGAAAATTATATTTAACAAGTATAGAATACACTTCAATTCATACGGATAAAGACACAAATAAATGAATTCATGATCGTTCCAGGTAAAGGATAAGCAGGTAAAAAATTGTTATTTATATTTTGTAGGACCAGATTATTTTCTTGTTGTTATAGTATCAAATTAATAAATGATCTACAAACACTATAATATATCAAAATTCAATAAACGCTATAAAATCTATTACAAAATTATTATTTGTTATAATTATTTTGGGTTTTTGGAATTTTCTATAAATCACTGATATATTAAATAAATGTCATAAAACAGTTATTAAACAATACACGACTACAATTCAGATCTCCTATATATAAAAAAGACATGTATAATGTATGAAGTAGCAGAAATGGTGTAAAAATTAATATTATAGGATTATTGAAGTATTTTTTACTTTCAAAAACAATCAACATACTTATTTCATCATTTACAACAAAAAATAAATACTTTTCACAAAGAAACATCCCCAGACACGTATTTTTTGATGTTATTTATCTCACAACTCAAATTATTCCTAAATCAATTGCTTTTATTATTTTTTTTTGAATCAACCATCATTATATTCAGTACACTTCATTTCAAGTAAAATAAAAACATAAAGAAAAACAACATCTAGCAAACAATATCTATCACATATTTTTCTATATTTTTTAAACATTCTAATCTTTCAAAAACAAATTTAAACCTCTTTTACTATACAAAAATAAAAAGTTACTATCCATACAATCTACAGGAAAAACTACATAAATTGCAAATCGAATAGATTTTTCATTTATTTATTCACCAAATTTCTAATTTATTAAAATAGTTTCGATCTAATAATGTTATAAAAATGGCAGAAAATACACAACTTTCGTTTCCTCCAGAGTATGTTTTTTTTATAACGAGAAAGATTTAAACATAACTTTCTAGAGTCTATAAAAAAATTAATTATCGACAATATTTTAAACACTTTCTTTCATCTTCTTTACGCCCAGATGGAAGGTCATTTTTTCAATTTCGTTCTACTTCAATAAATACAGGAAGCCTTACTAATACTAATGGATCATCTATTGCAAGGATGGGAGATACCATTTTTGTCTGCGGAATTCAAGCAGAAATAGCAAAACCATCAATCAAACATCCTATAGAAGGATGGATAGGTTTTTTCCAAGTATAAATAAATAATGCTTATTCCTTAGTTCCTCATATAATATTATCACCCATTTGTTCTGAAAAGTATAGATCAGGTCATAATCATGTAGCTCAAGCTATATCACAAAAGATTGTGTCTCTTATACAAGCGTCAATTTTTAATGATTATTTTCTATAAATAATTACTTAAAGTTATTAGGTCTAATATGTTACCATTATCATCTTTATTAATATCCAAAAATAAAGCTGTATGGATTTTATACGCAGATTTAATTTGCTTAAATTATGATGGAAATGCTATGGATGTTGCTTGGATAGCATTAATGAGTGCTCTGGAAACAACAAAACTACCTATAGCAAAATGGAATGAAGACACAGAACGTGTCATATGCGAAAAAAAGTACAAAAATCTTGAATTAAATCAAAGACTTTTTTCAATGTCTTTCGGAGTTTTTGATGGGTATAACTTGACTTCTCTTTTATAAATTTTCTTAAGATACAGAAAATATATTCTATCAGATTTATGTGATGACGAAGAGAATTTAATCCCAGAAACAATCAATATAGTGATTGGTAATAACAGACAATTGTTTAACATTAATAAAACTGGAGGAACTTCAATGACGCAAGAAATGATTTTATCATGTATAGAACTAGCTAAAAAAAGATATGATGAACTATATGATTTAATCAATGAATCTAAATAATATATATTCCATGAAATAGTATTATAATTATATTTAAAATAATCCTAAAATTTAAAAATCAAACCATCTCTTTAGCTAACTTTATATTTCTAATTAATTCGACATATTTTTGCATATCAGAACTGCTCTCTTGTACAATCCAATCACCATTACAAATACATAATATTCTCATATTATTACTATACTGCAAAGATGATAATAATTTCGGAGTAATTAAAAAACACCTTTTATTATCAATCAATTAATATTTTTTTATATATTAAATTTACTGTGAAGTATTTTTTTTACTCATAGCATCTACTAACTTTGCATGGACCAATCTTTCGTTTTTTTGATCCATACCTTGATTAATCTCATCAACTACTCGAAATGGCACCTTAGATATACTTTGCATAGCAATTAAATAAAAAATAGTTGAGACTGATCTTTCTCCTCCTGATTGCCTTTGAGCCGTCAACAATTGGAGATTTTCGTTGTCTCTAATATCAATTAGAGCATAATAGTATTTTATTTATAACAATTATACCTAAATTTCACTAAAATTTCAATACGCCATTTATCAAATTCATCACTTTTACCAATACGAACTTCTCCAACACATCCTATATATTCAAATGCTTCAGAAAAACTACAATTGATCTTAGAAATTATATTATCTAGTCTTGGTTCCCATATTCTTCTCAAATCATTTATATCTGATTCTACTTTTTGTAATCGTGATTCATATTCCTTAATTCTTTCGTTAAGGAGTTTAATATCATGTTCTCTTTTTTCAAATTGTGAAATAACATTAGGATTTGTCTGATATATAAATTCAAGTTTCATTTTCTCGAAATTTATCTGTTCATTAAGTGATTCTTCAGTCATATCTTGTTCCATTTGCTATAAATTAAATACATATCATAAATAATATATACATATATATGTACTTACATTTTCTATTTCCTTTCGTGTCTCTTCATCCACCTTTTCAAGATTTTTTTGTGCTATTTCTAATTTATCAGCAGCAATAATTTTTAAATTTTGAGTTGTTTGTTTTACTAAAAAAAATCAACATAACCATATATTAATTTTAAAATATACACTCTTCATAGGATTTCTTAATATCATCTATTTTTGTAACTATTTCACTATTTTTTTCAAGAACATCAACATAGTTTGCATTTGCTTGGATTTCACGAATGCTTGCACATACCATATCTTTTGTCGTCTGAAAAGCATCCAATATTAAATCCTAATAACATCAATTGAAATAGTAAATTATGAAATATATTTGCCTTAAGCTTAATTGCAGAAACTGAATGTTGTCCTACTATTTCATCCATTTTCTCTTTTAATTTTTTAATATTATCAGCATATTGATTAGGAAAAGATTCCAAAGAATATAATGTTTCTTTAGTTTTCTCAAGTCTAATAACTTGACGATCCCATTCTTTAATTTCTTTTTCCATATCCTCTTTTTTTTTTAGTAAATTATTCTAAATAAATTAATATTATAAAAACCCTGTAAATTGATACTTTTCTATTTATCTCATCATTAAATCTAATTTTTATACTCTCTTCAGTTTTTCTTAATTCTTGAATTGAATCTTCATCTTTTTTAATAACTAACTCTAAATCTATTATCTGTTGTTGCAATATTTTTTTTGTCTCAGCATTTACTGTAAAATTATTTAAAAAAATTTTAAAAATAAATAGATCAGACCTGTCGTCTTAAATCTTTGCGCTTTTGTTACCAACTTAGTAACAGTAGAAACATCTTTCCTACCATACTTTGACTTCCTCATAGTATAATGAGTTTTTCCTGATATAAAAACAGGAAATATCAATTGATTTACTGAATTAACACATCGGGAGAGCTTTCTGTAGCACTCATCACTTATTTCATTAATGCTAACAGGCTAAAAATAATAAATGAAAGTTTTACAGCAATATAAATAACTTACAATTCTGTGAATATTAGCAATATGACATAGGGTATTTAATACAGGAGAAGGCCCATCCAAAAAGTCTAAAAGGTAGCCATCCATACCAAAATTTTGTTTAAGCTATTATTGTAAAACAAAATTTAATAACATTACTACTAATTACTTCGCTAGAAATATATGGTTGTTTTTGCATATCCAAACTTGGCGAACTTGTATTAGAAAACTCTGCAGTATGTAATCTTAACTCACGACCACATCCTTCTTTTGAATCAACTAATATACGATTAAATAATAAATAATCATCCCTATTTAAAAAAGTAAATGCCTTTTATTAATATAATTTTTAAAATTCAAACATATTTACCATATAAGTATTTTTTTGGAAACAAGCTTCTAAAAAATCAGCATACTTAAGATCTCTAACACTAATTTCCAAATAGACAGGTTCATAAACATGATCTTTAAACTTATTTCTATTATTAGATAGCCAAATTACAGCATCAAAAACATCACGATCATTCTGTTTTAACCATTGAAGCCTTTGTTCTCTAACATTATCAAGATCATCTAACCTAAAATTATAAGAAAATCTTATTAGTATGCTTAATAATATATACTTATTTTGAACTTGTTTCAAAGCAACTTTAGATTCTTTAACTCGATTCATATGCTCTCCAATAATTATATTCAAATCCTGTAGCTCTTTTCTAACCATTTTTAAATGACCATTAACTTCATTCTAGAAGATAAGCTTGCTTTAAGTCTAAAAATCTATTTTACCAATTTATCTAAAATATCATCCATATAATTTTCCGAAGGCTTGTCACTAATACGAGACTCCATATAAGCAATTGTTTCTTTAAGTTCTTTAATTTTCTGATCCCGCTCTTTTTCTTTTCTTTTCTCAGCTCTAATTTCACTACAAATCTCTTTGATAGAATTATCCTAAATTACAATTAATTTTTTAATATATGTATAAATAAATCACATATATTACATATTCCTCAAAAGACAAAATCAAAGAATCTAACGCACTTTTTTGATAATTTAAAGAATTCCTTATTTCATTATTTTCTGCTACATATTGATTCACTGTAGCCTCTATTTGCGTTTTTTTTCGGAAAAAAGGATCATATTCCTTAAGAATTTTATCCAATTCAGTCTTTTTTTCATTCCTTAAACCTTTAAAATCATAAAATGCTTTTCTAGCCTGAGAGTATTGTACAAAAGGAATTTTAAATTTCAGAATTTCAATTGTTTTTAAAATAACCTCTCTTTCATGAAAACGCTCTACATCACGACGAGCGATAGCCTGCCTTTCATTCAAGTTCTCTAATTGAGATTGATCCATAATTTTTGCCTATCAATTTTAATTCCATAAAGCATTAACAAATATTTTACAAACACTTAAATCATTTTTTTGAGAAGCCCTTAAGCTAATCAATTTTTCATGCTGAAGTAACATCTCTGTATCACCAACTGCCCTTTCTGTTTCTCTAAGCAACTTTTCTGGTGTCAATTGCGCAAATTCACAAACTTTATCTTGTGGAAGAAAATGACTAAAAATATCAACAAATAACACTCTTATAAACATTTTTATCACCATAAATTATCAACTTGTATATTAAGCTCATTCATCTTCTCTCTAACATATTTAAGGCTTGATGATACACCTTATCTATCATTTAACAGATAAATTATCTTTTATTTTATTAATTTACCATTCAATTCCCATGTACTCGTATTATCAATATGAATTACCCTAGAAACAATAGTATTTGGCTCATCATCAGATCCTTTTAATTCAATCTCAATATGTGCCATTTCGGATCCAAATTTAATATATTCATTAACATCTTTTGCACGCCCAAGAAACTACATATATTCAATAGGATTTTAAAACAAAAATAAATATACACTCGTATTCCATCCAAGTCCCATACAAATAGCGCAAACAAAAGTACTTTTACCGCTCCCATTAGGTCCAATGATCATATTAAGATTAGGTCCCGGATAAAACTCAATTAAATCATAAGTTACAAAATTTTCTAAACGTAAACGAACAATAGATCCTTTCAGAAATCCACTATAAAATCAGGAAGGCAATTTATATATAGCTTAAAAAACCTCTGATCAGACGTATTCATACATTGAATTTTTTGTCGCTTAACCATATTTAAAAAATTGAATTAAAATTCATAAACACAACAATATTTGACAGAAATATCATAGATTTTAATAGGTTTCTAAATCAAATTATCTATAGTTTTTAATAAGAAAATTATAAAATTTTAATAAAGTTTATAAAATCGATCATATATTGAGATAATATATATATTTATAAAAACAAAGTTCCAATTAAATATTAGTAGAATTAACAAAGCTTTAAAATATATAAAAAATATTTTTAATCAACAAATTCCCATTTAGCAATATTGACAGTACTAGAACCGACGTTTCTTATTATACAGTATTTTTCTTTATCATCAAGTAAGGTTTTTGATATTTTATGTAACGCAAAACACCCAATAGCAGTCATTTTCCCTCTTTTTAAGTTAAAATTACCAGATGTTACAAAACCAAGAAGATTATCAGATGATGGACAGAGAGGATACTAAAGATAAAATATTAATGTAAAGTATAATAATAATAATAATACATTTTCATCACCATACGGTACTATTTCTTTCAAAAAACGATTCCAAATTTCCTTTTCTTCAACAGGAATAGAATAAACTCTAGCACAAGAATCAGGACAACCCCTTCGTAACATAGTAATCTTGACAATAAAAACCAATTTCATAGATTTATATAGACTTGTATCAAATTTAGATTTTACATCAACGCCAGAAATTAAATGTAGATCCATATGCAACAATTTATGTTCATTTTCAGGATTATCAGAATTATTTTTGCAAAAATTTAAAAATAAATAACTCCAATCACAAATGAATGGATTTCCAAGTTCACCTTTCCCATCCTTTGTAACTACAGAAGACCATGATATTCTTTTTGCAGGAGGCCTTTTCTTCCATTCAAATTCTCTATATTCAGCTTCAATTTTTTCATTTTCATCACCAGCTAATGTTCCATGATAATCTGATGGAAAATAAGGAATTCCTTCTTCAAACTCTAATTGATGCTTTTCCTGCATTCCACCGAAACGAACCCTCGGAATATGCATTAAAGAGTGCCAAAGATGCGTTATCCAATTCCATGGTGCAAGTACTGTCCAACAAATTTCACAACGAAAAAGCAAAATAGGTATATCATAAGGCACAGAAGATTCAGAAGATTCAGAACGAAGGTGATTTATACGTTGTTGAGAAAGCTGATTTCTTTGACATCTCATGCGAGCTTCAGTGTCAAATAATCGAGAAGAAGGTATTAAATCATCTTTCCAAGATTTAATCAATACACTAGAAAAACCTTTATCTTCATTTATAATCCTAGGAGGAAACCTATTTATTAGACAAATCAAAATATATAAGAAAACATACGTTAATCGAGGATCTCTAATATCAAGAGGAATAACTATACCTATAGGAAGTGATTTAATTTGTGATACATATTTTATTTCTGACCAAATCTAGAAAATTCAATAATTTTTAAAATAAGCACAATGCATACTTGAGATGTTGTATCTGACATTTTAACATCAAACAAACATTGCAAAGCCAACGTTGACGCAGGTCCATGAATATCTATACCACCAATATCAAACCTGCAATCTTCAACCTTAACATTCTCCAAATATGAAGCTTCTTTCATCTGAATATATACTTGTTTAAAAGCTACTGGATGAAACCTAATCATCACACATTGAGAGTCTCCGATCTTTTGCCATAAAAAAATAGCAGGACAAATAAGGGAAAGAAAGTTAGAATCTTTTTGATATATCATAGTTTGACAGAATCGAGTGCCCCTTGTATATCTTCCTCTGGTAACTCCAGAATCACTTGCTGTAAACTGTTGTAAAACACGTTTTAAATTCTCAATTTCACCCCATAAACATATTGTACAAAAATAACTTGTATCAAATGCTACAGCACCACTTGTATTAGCAAACTTATGTGTTGGACGATATGATTTTTCAGTAGGCGTTTTTGCTATAGAATAAGACCATTTTGTCAACATTTTAGCACGTTTAACATGCCATAAATGTGTTGGAAGCCATGTTTTATCTTTTTGTCTTTTATAAAATTTTCCCTTCACCTTTTTTACCTTTAAAAAATCATCTTTACTTTCATCTAATTCATCTTTTGACTCTTCAGATACTGAAACATTTCTAACTCCAAATTTTTTCAATTTATGAACCGTTAAAAGACGCATCCTTTTTTTCCCCTTAATACCCTTCTTTTTTAATGTGTTTTTATTCTTCATCTTACAAATATTAGAGCAAAAAATTCCCAAAAAAAATGCTATACTTCATTTTTTGCTCTAATACGTAAATATTTTGGAACTCTTTTAAAATCATGAGATGCTGATCTTCTTCTTAAAAACCTAGGCAAACTTTGAAAAGCTCTTTGTGCTGATAACTGACTAGAAATATCAACATTTAAGAAACATATCTTTCATTAACCACCGTGAACATCTCATTGCCTCAAAAAGTGATCGAATTTCAAACTTTCTTGAATTCACAAGTGACTTAACATCAATACAACCTTCTCTAATTGCTATTTAATCCAATTCTTAGTCATTTTTCTGCTTTTACTCAATACAAACCCGGAGAATCTGATTCAACCATAATCATCCGTAAATCAGGATTTTTTACTCTTTTTTTAACTGATACCACATCTTCCGAGTTTTCCTTACGGTTTTTATTAAGAATATCTTCTTTATTCATTTAAAATATTATATTTTTTAGTTATTTCATAGATATTTTTTGCCTAATAAGCCTTTAATATCCGTAGATTACAGCCCAGCTTATAAAATTTTAAAAATTAAATGGAACAACATATTTTAACATTCCCTCCAAAAGAATTAACAAAATACTCATTTTTGGAAACATACGGCCTTCTTTATTCTGTATATACAGACCTACTTTTATCTCAATTCTGGTTAAAGTTAAAAATTCATTGTTTACCATCTAATCGCTCAATTATTGAAGGAATCTCACCTCAAAACCACAAAACTTTATATGTTTATCCATGTTCATATAAGGAAAATGTTTCTATAGAAAAATTAAATAAATTATATCAAGAATTTCGAAATATACGTAATGAGGATGAACCTTTATTACTAGGAATTGTAAGCTCAGATAGCACAATTGTTTATTATAAAATGAATGAGGGCCTAGTCAAACCAAGGAGAAATGATGAAGATTAATTTAAAAAGTGGCATATTTTATTGAATTATTTGATGATTAATAGAAAAAAACATTTCTCATTGTAACAGCAATGCTTTTGAAAAAGAATATATAGTTGCTAAATATAATAAATCATTTATTAGAGATTGAAATGTATAATCTCACTGTTTCAGCACCTATTTTTCAAGAATTGTATATATGTAATAATGTTCAATAAATTTATGAAAAGGAAAGATTAACGATAAATGAATAGAAATATATTATTAATTTATATACCATCAAAAACGATTAAATTATCGCTTCTAGCACATGCTATAAATATTTCAGCTATAAACCAAGCATACCTGATGAAATATTACTCACTTCCAGAAGGAACTTCATAACCTCCACTTATGCAACAATTTTTTAGTTTACTTTTTGAACCAATAACACTATTAACACAAACTATGCACCCATCTAACCTTACACTAGAAAACTTTAATAAAAAACCAAAAAAAAAAATACTAACCCATCTTCAATCTTAACATTATTCATAATAATACTATTAACCACAGTCACGGACTTTCCTAAAATACAATTGGGGCCAATAACACTTTTTTTTACATTACATCGCTCATCAATTTTCGTATTTTCTCCAACTAAAGAATCCGCCCCAATAATGACTTTTTGGGCCATTTTTGCAGTTATACATACTCGAGGTTCTATAGATATTTTTGATAACTATAAACATATTAATATCATATTTCTTTTTCTAAAAAGAAAAAAACATTTCTGTTAAGATCTGTATATGCCTGAATCGTATTTGAACGCAAGCAATATCGATTTTCAGGAAGCAAATATGAAATTACTCTAACAGGCTTCTCATCCAAAGTATCAGATACAAGATTATATCCATAACTACGTGAAGAAACTAAATAAGATAAATAAATATATCTAAAACGTTTTCTCTATTATTTTCATACGTTCTTTAATGTTATATCGTTTCAATAAAAGAGATTGATACTGGAATTTAACGAGCAATGGAATTAAATCTTCTTGTATAGAAGATATACGCTCATTTTGAACAATAAGATCCAATACCCATCGTTTAAAAATATAAAGATGAGAATCTCTCAACGTACTCGTAACATAAATTCGTGGATATCTCTAAGAGTTAAATTGATAATTTTTTTGAAAAAAAATTATTTACTTCCAAAGCATAGACATTCTAACAATAAATTCTTCATTCATTTCACTCGCTGATTTTACAAAAACCAATGAATTATCTGGCTTATTGATACCAAAAAACATTTTCCGATCTACTTTTTTTTATTCTATAAATCTATTAAATTGAAAAAGATACCTGAATCTTTAGATATAAGAAAGCTTCCATCCTTTGAAATATCATACAATAAAAATGTAACTGTAGGTGTATGAATTCTATGAAAGTCCAGAATTTCATGTGGAGGAAGATTCATTATTAAATCACAACTCAATATAATAAAATCATTCTATATATATATTAAAATCATTCAATTCATCTCATCATACTTTTATCTTATCATGGACTTTTCTTATAAGATCTGCCGTTCCCAAAACATCATCTACACCACTCAAAGCATAAACCTGGATCCTAATATATCCATCATAAACATTTTTCAAATATGACGAAAGACATGATTCCACTTGAGTTTGGCAAATAACCATTATACCTATTTCTTTTTCAAAACAAAAATAACCTTATCCACAAATATATACTTAAAAATCCTGCTTCCTCGCACCACTTTAAGACATACCAGATCATTGGTTTATTTGCAATTGGCAACAATGCCTTAGGAAGATTATTGGCTTCAGTTAATGGATATAAACTGTAAAAAAAAAGAAAAAACTCCAAAAAAAACAATATACTACTTACCCTGTGCCAAATCCTGCAAGAATAATTGCCTGAAACCCACATGGACCTGTTGTTTGGCGACTTTTTATCTGAGTCGTCATAAGTGTAATCAACTTAAGCACCGTATCGAAAAAAAAAGCAGCAACCTTAACGACAGAGAAATGAAAGAATCATAAAAAAAGAGATTAAAGGATTTTTAGAGGGAAATAAGCAGAAAAACCGTAAATTTCTTAAAAAAAAAGAATAATTGGTGAATTAAGAAAGATGTCTCTAAAAAGAACGGGAGAAAAAGACGGAATTTTCATGGATTCAGCTTCTATTTTTGAATTTACAAATTTAGGAGCAGGAAATGAAGTAGGACGCTCATGCCATATAATACAGTTTAGGGGAAAAACAATTATGGTGGATTATTTCGAAAATTTGGAGAAAAAAGGTTAATTTATTGTTTAGCTTGATGCAGGCGTTCATCCTGCATATAATGGGCTTTCAGCACTTCCATTTTACGATGAAATTGATCTTAGCACGGTGGATATTCTACTTATTAGCCAGTTAGGAGAATATATTATTTTTTAGACGATCTGATGGTTGTAGTTTTCATGTGGATCATATTGCATCACTTCCATATGTAATAACCAAAGTATAAATGCTAATAATGATGTGAAACATTACTAAGTATGAAGACAAATTTCAAAGGAAGAGTATTTATGACGCATCCTACAAAAGCTATTTATAAATGGTTACTTACGGATTTTTTGAGAGTTAGGTAGATTATATTAGTAAAAAAAAGAGTGAAATAATTGATAAAATTAGTAATACAACATCGGAAGAGCATTTATATGAGGAAAAAGATTTAATAAAATCATTTGAGAAGATAGAAGTAGTTGATTATCATTCAACAATTGATGTGAATGGGGTTAAATTCACACCATATCATGCAGGACATGTACTTGGTGCAGCAATGTTTTTTATAGAAATAGCAGGCATTAAAGTAGGTATTTGAAGGATAGTTATAATATTTACTAATAATAATAGATACTTTTTACAGGTGACTATTCAAGGGAAGAAGATAGACATCTTATACCAGCGGAACTTCCTCCAATACAGCCTGATATATTAATAACAGAATCAACATATGGAACTGCATCTCATCAGCCAGTATCTGAAAAAGAATCACGATTAACCAGTATATATATTATTTTAAATATCAAAAACTGATCGATTTAGATATAATCCATTCGATTATTCGTAGAGGAGGAAGAGTTTTGATACCGGTATTTGCACTTGGAAGAACTCAAGAATTGATGTTAATTATCGATGAATATTGGCATAATCATCCTGAACTTCATTCTATTCCTGTTTATTATGCGTGTAGTTTAGCTAAAAAATGCATGACAGTGTATCAGACATATATTAACACAATGAACAATAAAATTAGAAAAGCATTTGAAGAAAGGAATCCTTTTATATTTAGATATATTAGCAGTCTAAAATCATTAGACCGGTTTGAAGATATTGGACCCTGTGTTATGCTCGCATCTCCTGGGATGTTACAGGTATGAACTTAAAATGGGTTTAGTTAATCATAACACATTGGATAGAATGGTGTTTCTAGAACACTTCTAGAAAAATGGTGTCCCGACCCAAAAAATGGTTTAATTATCGCAGGATACTGTGTAGAAGGAACTATGGCAAAAGTATGCATAAAAACTATAAAATGTTAATTATATTAACAATTTTAGCATATACTAAATGAACCTTCAGAAATTATTTCACTTACTGGCCAAAAAATCCCTAGGAGAATGACAGTCGAAGAAATATCTTTTGAAGCTCATGTCGATTATATACAAAATAGTCAATTTATCGACCTTGTAAACGCAAATCATATTGTAAATTTTGACTTTCATTGTGTTATTTTTTAATAAAAAATTAGATTTTGGTACATGGAGAACAAAACAATATGGGTCGACTAAAAAGTGCATTATTAAGCAAATATTCTCATAGAAAAAATGAAGTTCATGTCTATAACCCCAAAAACTGCGAAACATTAAAACTCACATTTAAAGGAGATAAAATAGCAAGAGTATCACAAAGCATTTATATCTATATTCTTATATATTTTAGACAATAGGCCATATTGCAGAAACTCCTCCAGAAAACAATCGTGTTATTAGTGGAATAATGGTTCAAAAAGACTTTCAAATAAATATTATGTCATCAGAAGATTTAAAAGAATTTGGCGGACTTACAACAAGCATTATTATGCAACGTCAAACCCTTTCTTTTCACGCAAATATTGATGTTTTACATTATCATCTTGAACAAATGTTTGGAACAATCGAAGAGGAAATAGATGATAATAATAATAGAGTATTTAAGGTAATTTTTTCCCTTATCTATCTATTTCTAATATATTAGATTATGAACATAATATCAATAAAATGTCTTCAAAAAAACATCCTTTCATTAGAATGGATAGGAAATGCACTAAACGATACAATTGCTGATACTGTTCTTGCAATTATTCTTTCAGCAGAAAGCAATCCTTCTTCTATAAAAAGTAACTTTCCAATATTATATAAAAAAAATAATAATATAAATTATAGCAACTTCAGATTCCAATAATCACTGCTTACACTCCAATTTTGATTACAAAGAAAAAAAAAATAGGATAGAAATGTTTCTAAAATCTCAATTTGGCCAGGCTCTTGTTATTAGTAACGATATTTTCGAAATTCATATTGATAATCATATCGCAAAAATTAATTTAGAAACATTCAATGTAGAATGCACATATGAACCTTTACGAAGTAGAGTTTCACATGTTCTTGGTGGTGCAATTGCAACTATTACTCCATTTTCAGATTCTTAAAGATAGATATAAAAATATGTAATATAAAAAGACTCAACTCTTAATATTTATAAAAAATTAAATCTTTAAAAAGAAAAAAAACATATCTTATAATCATTGCCAATAAGATTAAAAATATCTTTTTTTTTTTTTTATATTTCTTATATCTATTATCAATTTTTTTCTAAGTCGATCTACAATAATCATTCAGTACTATAAAACTTAAAAAACAGATTTTAAATATTTAAAAGAAATTAAGAAAATTGAAGAGAATTAATATATTTCAATGGCAGGAAAAGTCAATGAAAAAGTTGGTTTTAGGGTTGATCAGATCCAAAAAGAAGTCAAAAAAGAAACACAAGTATATATATATAAACCAAAAGAAAAGACAAGAAAAATTAATGTATTTTTAGGACAAATTTTTACGTAAAAATGAAAAAAAAGAACATTTTTAGGAGATTAATATAAATAATAGCACTTGTTAAGACATCAGATGAACTTTTAGAACGATATAAAGATGAATCACCATCATTAATTCTTCATATGTATCCTACACATTTTAGATTTGAACAACAGGCAAATAAAAGATCTTTATGAATATATATGATTGTTTTTAACATAAAAAGGACGGGGTGTTTCTATATAATAGTCCTATGAAAGTATAAAATTAAAGAAAATAAATTAAGAATTTTAATTATAGAAAGATAATTTTGGAATATATTAGGATGGAAACGATCCCTCCAGACTGTGTTGAGATTTTTAGAGATACCAGAACTCGTTTTTATGAAGGCAACTTTAATATTAAATATAAAAATTATTTTAATGAATTAAAAGGCTGTTTAATTGTGCAAATACGGGATCATAGACAAAGTACAAACGAGAATTCACATTCCAATGAAAACAAAGATACAAAAGTCGTGAATGAACATGTGATTCCTTCAAAATCACCTCCTAGGAGCTTTTCGACAATAAATGTTACAGAAAAAGTTTATTATACAGTCTTAAAACCATCATCAGAAACAATATGGGCAGAAATGTGCCTTTTTAGTGAATCAACCGGCGGAAAATTCAACGATGAAATGGCCATAGAATTTGAGTCACAAATATTGGTAAATAATTCAAGTTTTTATTTATTATTTTTTATTAAAATATCACTAGATAGCAACTACACCTGTTCTTTACCTACAACCGGCAACAAATCCTATGGTTATGAGGAGAATATTTTCGGAATTATGTGAACTTGTACCTCCAATTATGAAAAAAAGAAAACAAAGCCCTGCTGAAAAAATCGATGAAATGAAAAAAGCAGAAGAACAACTTATGTTAATTATGGATGAAAAACAAGGAAAAAGCTTTCAACCTAGGTATATCATACAATATTATTTTCCAATTTACTATAATTTTAGCTTTACACGCCTTGCTTTTATTGAAAAATTTCGCAATAAAAGATCACGAACTTATCGCAATTTTAACTTTTCTCGGATTTATCAAAGACAAAATCCTCAGATTTCTGTCCCTAACGTTCTTAACAATGATCCATCTATGCAAAAATTACATCAAAGAAATACTGTAGTATCATCTGTTGCTAATCCTGCTTCAATTAAACCTATGTTAAAAGTGCAACCTACAAATATATACACAAAAGAACAACAAAATATGCTAAGAGCACAAAAGACAATGCTTCAGATTCGAACAATGCAACTTAAACAATCTGGAATGCCTATTCATCAAATTAATGAAATTATTCAACAACAAGCTGCACAAATGGGTATTAATATACAAGAAATGTCTCTACCCACAAAAGGTATCATTACTTTTAAAAAATTTAAATTCATAACTAAGAATCATACAAGGAATTCATGTACAATTATAGTCCATATGTATATTTTTTCCTCTCTATATATACTTGACATTTTCTCCATCGGGATCAATAACAAATATTAATTTTTTTTTTTAAGAATGACTTTATAAAACTCAATAACAGCTCATTAAACTTAGAAATATATCAAACAAGTGTGCTATACTTTTTTTTTCTTTTGAAAATGACATCAATACTTGCACAATATCAAACAGATATTTCCTCACTTCACGAAGAGTGTAAAATCCTATTTTTTTTAAAAATATATTTAATATAATAAATAGTGAAAAAGCTCAAATCAAAGAGGAATGATCTATTATTAAAGATGCTTGAAGAGCGCCCTGTTCATGAATATACTTCTGCAAAGGCACCTCAAGATTTAAAGCCGATCGAAAGTCAATGGAATATTGAAAAAATATACAGATTGTCAGGAATTACATTCTTCATCCCATCTAACCCAGAAAAATATTTCCATTTAAAAAAAAAGTTGTTATATAAACTCATAGGAGCTAGAATTGATATTTTTCATAAAGGTAATTTTTATAAAGATAAATAATGAATCATAACATAAATAATTATAGGTTTTATTTTAAACTTAAATCTTGGCATATCTAAGATATCTTTAGGTGTATTTCTAGAGCCTCACTATTTAATCTTTCGCGTAAATACTATATTATCGTTATATAAACATACCATACCTAACTTTATTAATATTGATTTACTTGTAAAGAAATGGTTAAATAAGGATATCAACGTAAATTATATATTTATTAAAAGTTAATAATGATATATTTTCTAGATATTTCTTGCTTTAATACGCAAACAACTTCTTTATCATACAATCCGTTCGTCTCATATTCGTGAATTAGAAACTATCTTTTCAGACTTTACAATATTATGTGATCCTTCTGCTACATTGGTACAAATAAAAAATCAGTAAAATTATCTAGTATTTTAAAATTAATCCCATTAATTATTTTTTCATAGAAAATATACTATAAATATTAAGTATGGGGATACAAATATTGAGAAAACTATCATTATAAATTCAAAAGGAGATAGAGAAATAGAACTCGAAAAAAAAATATTTGACAATAATCTTATTACTATTCATCATTTCTTAAAATAATTACATTATATTATCATCTTAATTATACATAAAAATTCATTGATTTCATATCTATTTATTTTTACTTATTTCTTTCTTAATATTTAATCAATATTTCATATATTTATTCAATATTTTTTCTTATAAGCTGAGATAAATATTTGTTGATTATTTCTTGATAATCGACGTGAACCTACAAAAAACATTAAGTAAAATACTGTAAAATAAGAAGAAAATAGCCTTAGAAAAGGCATTTTTTCAATAAGTGAATAGACAATCTGTGCAACAAACAGATCTCTTATCTTTTTTATAATTTGAACGGTGAATCAAGGACATTTATTGATTAAAATCTGGCTGTTTGGTGTATTAGAATATTTTTTGGTTAAAGAAAAAAAAAAGATGCTTACAAAGATCTTTTTTATGTTACTACTATGTATTTCATCAGTTTTTGCATTTCAGAATCATATTGCATTGGTCGATAATATTTTTTATTCAAAAAACTATGAATCATGTTCAGATCATTCATTAATTGAAATTTCATATTTTTCAGGAAAATATCATCATAGAGAACGATTAATGGAATTCGAAATGTCAGGGAAAAGTTCTGTAAATGATAAGATAATGAGTATACTTAATTTTTATCCAAAAGTTAAGCTTAAAAAAACAGTAACATTTTTGTTTACAGTGCATGAAAAAATACATATAAATCAAACTTATGACCCATGTGTTATTAAAATTCCGGGACTATGTTCTATATCTTCAACACCATATTTTTTAACCAAAGGAGTATTACCTCTTTCAGCTGAAAAAACAAATGTTTCAGGTTTTAATCTGATTAACTTTACTTAAAATGATTAAAGGCACTAGAGTTTTTTTTCAATATTCCAGATTTTGAAGGAAAAGTGTATTTCTACTTTCATTCGACAGTGACAGGGGAAGAAATAGGTTGTTTAAAAACAAGTATTGTAAATAAGCAATCATTTCGCAATAATATTATAACGTGGATATGTCTTGGATTTTTCGGACTATCTGCTTTCATTTCTTTTATGGCATTTTCTTCACAATCTAGCTTTTCATATGCTTTACTAGCAGCTTCTCATTCTATTCCTGGACTATTAGCATTTTGGAGCTATTTTCAATTTCTAGCGAGCATCACAATGGAAAATGTAATATATCCAACTTCTTTAATAGCATGGGCTTCCAATTTTTCATTTTCTCTTGGTCTTATTAAATTTTTTCAAGAACTTATATATCTCTTTAATAAATTTTCAGAAAAGCATATACATCTCACTTTAGGAAATGTTAAAGAAAAACAAAATAACAATAAATTTGTATTATCAAACTCTTATCAAGGTATTCAAGGACAACTTAATTATTTAAAAATAGCTAACACTAATGCGTTTATAACATCAATTACTTGTTTTGTTTCAGCCGTTTTAGGGTTTCTTGTCATTTCTACAATTGCATGTCTTATTACAAGGATTATTAGACGAAATGAAATTTTTATTCGAAGAAACTGGATAAATTTTAATCTTTGGTCAATTTTAAGATTGGTTAATTTCATAAATACTATAAAAATGTACTTACTTTTCTAGCTTGTTATCAATATTTTTGGAATATCATTTATTTCTATTTATCAACTAGCACTACATGATACTTATCAGCCTAAAATACTCTCTACACTTTCACTACTCGTATTTGTGGTACCAATATTAATTCTAAGCTCGTTGCATTTCTTTCGCAGTCATTTCAGAAAATTAGATTCAGAAATGACTGCTAAATACTGGGGATGGCTTATTGTTGAATATAATTCTAAGAGACAACATTTTTATCTTGTTTTTTTCATTTATTCCCTATGTAAAGCATTTCTTTTAGGACTTTTCAACTTCCCATCTAAAGCACAAACAATTTCACTTTCTGCAGTCGAATTATTGTATTTGTTAAGCATATTAATATTATTTCCTTTCGAATCTATTAGAGCTTATACTCTTGAATTACTTCTTGGAGCAATTAAAACATCATGTTTAGGAATCATTATCACATTTTCCTTTAATATATCGGTATTTGTCTATTTATTATTTATATTATCTTAGATCTATATTTAGGAATTATCACGAGCATTATTAGGCATGACAATTATAATGATATCTACTATAGGTTTATTGACTTTATTCATTTTTACTCTATGGAATTTTATTATTGTTTTTCTTCTAGCTACTTATAAAGATCATATTAATTATGATTCTTTTGAAACAAACACCTTGTCTGATAGAATTCACAATTATAAACAAAAAATCTTTAAACATAAGAAATTTGGAAAAGTTTTCGGTTATGATCAATATCTTTATCCACAAAAGAAATATTATACATATTCTTCACAAAGTTCCGACTCTACTCTTCATAACTCTGAAAAATACTATATTAAACAATATCCCAAATAACACTACATATTTTTTCAAACAATATTAGAGGTAATATAAACGTTGTATAACATCGTATTATATACCATCTCAACTCTTCCATTTATTATGCATTTCAAAAAAATTTAAAACATTATCCTTAAAAAAAACTTAATACATCCGATATGGAGTTCTATGTGTTTCTATGACTTATGTAATTTTAATGTATTCTATGTATTAGTTCTTATAAGGCTGTTATATATTAATCTTAATATTAATATTTTCTATCATACCGGTAGCCAAGTTAACATCATAAATTTGAGAAAATGGAAAATTCAACAAAAAGGCAATAAAAACATTTTTTTTAATAATTTTCTAATATTTTATAGAAGAATTGACTTAGGTTTATATATATTCTTTTTTGAAGCATTTTTTTTTGATAAAAACCAGTAGATTTAACAGAAAATAATTTAGGTGTTTTTAGGATGCTTCATCAAGTGATATTTCCAATCACTTATGACGAGAGGTTCTATGAAGAAAGCTTAAAAATGGGAGAACTGGTTAAATTGGCTTATTTTAATGATATATGTGTTGGTTGTATTCGATGTCAATTAGAAAATAAAAAACTATATCTTATGACGCTTGGAGTTTTAGCAGCATATCGAGGACTTGGTATAGGTATTTTATTGCTAAATTATATTATATTCTTTATCTTAAATTGAAAAGGACAAAAACTTTTAAATCATATTTTAGAACAAGCAAAAAAACTAAATATAGAAACTATTTATTTACATGTATGGACAGAAAACAAAGAAGCCATTGAATGGTATACAAAGAGAGAATTTCATATTTTAGAAACATTATCAAATTATTATACAAAAATTCATCCGGGAACAGCCTATGTTTTAGTAAGAAACATTGTAGATAATTAATTCATAGCGAAATTATCAAACATTGTCGTTGTTCCTATCTAATTCTTTCTATTCTAGATACATTTTTATTGAATATGCCCTTATTTGAAAGCAAAAAATAAGATGGAGTTTCTTCATTGATAACTAATTATACAAAGCACAATACATATTGAATTTACATAACAATATATATCAAAATCTTTCAAAACGATCCATAAAAGAATTTTTTAATAATGATTATAAGCTATAGAAAGGAATGACCCTAAATAATAATTTAAAGAAAGGATCTTTTTTTCAAATAGCCCTGAAATTATGGATAAAAAAAACATTACCAAAAAATCAATATTATAAATACATTAGAAATATGATATCCATAATTAATAATTTACATAGATTAAGATATAAATAAAGGAAAAAAAATAAAAAAATTCAATCTTTGGTGAAAACATAAATAATAATAATACTATCACTCAAAAATATATAAATAAAAATCAATGTTAATTTATAGGAAAATAAGATCAAATATGGATTTAAAAATATTATGCAAAATTATTTGCATACTTTATACCAAAAATTTCATAAAATCTAATATATAACAGGTTAAATTTTTAACAAAAAATGTGAATAAATACAACATTTTATTATGTTATAACATCTGCATTTTCAAAATTTAACAAATTAGTCAATATGAAACACATTTATCATTTTTTGTGTTAAAGTGGAAATTTAAAAAAACAAAAAAATACATTTATAGAAAACACAATTATTATTAACAATAACTATTTTATTGAGATGTTACAAGGCGTTATTCTTAAATTTTTAAATAGAACTTGCTTCATTTAAAGGTAAAAACCAAAAAGCAATGAAAACAAATAAAAGACTATATACAAACATATGAAAAATATGCGGCGTATTTCATAAACATTTCTATTTTGAATATCTTTATAAAAATGAAGAATATTAATTTAAGACAAATACGCTACTTGAACATAACCAAGGAAGCAGGGAAACTCTATTAAATTACAATAATGAATTAATTAAAATTTCATATAATATTTTTATCATCAATTGGATATAGTGACATTCTTTCGTAAAAAGGGACTTGGGAGCTCATCTCCATCTTCCCAAACATTTTTTTTCCACATTTCCATGACAGTTGGTCGTGGATTTCGAAGATTTCCAATAGTTTCAGTATTTATTTCAGCTCTTAATAGCCCTTGACTATGAAGTGGGGAATCAAGAGTTTTCCTGTGACTTGGAGAAACTCTTAATCGATTAGGAGTAACAGGAGTTTTATTTGAAGTAGTATTGGATAACTTTGACGTGTTTTCCTGCAGTGGCTGACGAATAGGTATACTCGATATTGTTATTTGTCTTCTTTCTCCCGGAGAAAAATGAGTCGGTGATAATTTAGATAAATTATTATCAATAGTTACATGACGTTTATCTTTAACAGAAGATGAGCAATGAAGAGATGCAATTGTATGTGTGGACAATACTGTAGATGGTCTACCCGTAGTTCGTTCTCCAGAATGTCCCAATTCTTGTGTTTTAGAATAAAGTCGATCAATTTCCGTCTGTGATCGACAAACATGGGCCTGTATAGCCTTTCCTAGATTTATTTCTTTTTCATATAATATTCTTTCCTTATTTTTAAGCTCTTCTTCTTTCGCCAAAACACTTGCTTCTCTCTTTAACAAGTTATTTTCTCTAACCTTCAATTCTCTACGACTACATATAAATATTAATATAAATTATCAAATAAATGGGTTCCTCACAGTTCTAAAATTTCCAATTCTTTACGGTATGCCCGAAACATATCAATCATTAATAAATCAGAAGCCATTGGCCTTCTTTTTGGATCAACAGCAAGACACCATCTTATTGTATCTCTAAGAGTCATAGAATATAAGCCAGGAATTGGAGGAAATATTCCTCTTCGTATCTTGTGATTTAATTCAGGTTGAGTCATTGCTCTAAAAGGCGGCAATTTCGTACACATTTCATACATTGTGCATCCAAGTGCCCAAATATCAGATTTTGCAGTATATGGTTCATGATTAATAATTTCTGGAGACATATAGTAAGGAGTTCCAACATATGTTTGCGCAAAAGTTCTAGATGGATCATCTAAAATCCTTGAAAGTCCAAAATCACCCAATTTAACATAAATTTCACCATCACGAAAAACTATTAAACATATCAAAAAACTAAATATACATATTTATATATTAATATTACTATTATCCGGTTTAATATCACGATGAAGTACAACAACTGATGATGGCGGTGATGGAGGAGACGAAACTAAAATATCCGACGATGGTGCATCCATCCCAAAATGACATCGATATAAAGCCAATGTCAACTGAACAAAAATACTCCATAAAATATTCTCAGGTATTATTGAACTAATATAATCTCAATACATTTATACCACTTCTTTTTTATTACTTTTCTTGTTGACATTCTTTAATAAGGCTTCCCAAATCTCCATTCCCGCAAAATTCCATATATAAATGGATCGTATGATTTGCACGATCAATACTTCTTCCAAAATATCGTACAATATGTGGATGTCGTAGATTCGAAAGAATATGCACTTCTGAAGCTAACTGCTTCCGTTCTCTCTCTTCCATCTTCTTATAGTGGATCTCCTTTCGTGCAAAAACCTATTCATCTATAAGTTTCTCTTATATTCTTTCTTTTTAAACAACCATTCCATCTGATCTTCTTCTAACCTTTTTTTCATCAAAACTTATCAAAAAAAATCCTGGAAAAAACTACCTTACGAATTAAACCAAAAGATCCATGCCCAATAACCTCAAGCAGGTCATAATCCAAGTCATTGACCCCTTCTGAGCTCTCCATAACCCTCAACTACTAGAAGGTTTTTTAAAGCTGAAGTTAAGCCAAGAGATGTTTATCAAGCAGAAGTTGCCATGGCAACCAAAGTACTAAGATATCGGACGTCAAGAAAATGTCTTAAGAAAAACAAGACAGAAAAAGCCACAAAAAGGCCCATTTTTAGTGAAAAAACCTTAAAAAACATAAGAAAAACAATATTCTAAAAAGTTTTATAGAAAAAATTAAAATGTTTTCTAACGAAACGATTTCAACACCTTTAAATAATGGGTCACCATTGAGTATTCCATCAACAATATCTAGTATTGAGCCTCTTGGATCACCAGCTATTAAGAGTCAAAATATATCATTATTAAATGGTCATTTTCGTTCGCCAAGTTTACAAGAAATTTATCTTTCTCGAAATAATACACCAGATTTATCGATTGGAAAGAGAAAATATGTACCATCTCATCTTTCTCAGCTTCCATACAGAGTATGAATATATATATATATTGGGATGTTTGTAATATAATTATTATTTATATAGAAATCATATACACCAGACCGTTCTAGTCCGTTGGTAAGTCAGCCGTCATTTACAGCAAGACCGTCTACGTTTGTATTAAAGGAATTTATACGAAAATACTAAAATATTTTAAGATCGAATATACGGAAAACATCAACATCACCACCTAATTGGTTTGGTGGGCCTAGTTTTGGAACACCAAAGTTTTTGAATAATTAGTATTTTTTTAAATTAATCTTTATTAGATCGAATTCAAGAAGGGGAAAAGCAGGCCATAAGATTCAGGAAGAAGAAGCACCACCTGTTGAATCGCTTTATGATGTGGAAGGAAATATTATTCGGGATATAGAACCCAATGAAGTTTCAGAAAATAGTAAGTCTTAATATGATAAAAAAAATGAAATGTAGTAAATAATTTAGAATTTAATTCAACACCGGAATCAATTAGAGCTAAAGAACTACCCAAATCTTCTATACCAACAGCAGTAATTTTGTTTGGGTTTCCGGCAACATTAACATCTCATGTTATTTCTCATTTTTCAAGATATGGAGAGATTTTGGATCATTCTTCTACAGAAAATCCAATATCAACAGGCAGCAATTGGCTTAAAATAACTTATGCTGACGAAGAATCGGCAAGCAAAGCAGTCTCATCAAATGGAACCATTATAGGTGGAACATATATGGTAGGGTGTATATTTGCACCAGTCGAAGAGCCAAATACCAAAACAGACAAAGATATGGACATGACAATGGACCTAGATGCTAAGACGCCGTCATCTCATTGTTCGATTAATCCGAGACATTCAATAACACATATATCACATCAAGAATCCCCTAATATTGTACTTAGAACATCATCGAATACATATAAAAGTAATTCATGCAATGGTCGACGAATAGAGGTACTGGGTTCAGAAGGAATATTTAAAGAAACACCAGATAAGACTTATTCATGGATAACTTGGTCATCTATCAATAAGCCAACTACACAAGAACATCAACAAACAGAAAATAAAAGTCAGTGGACTAAAAAATTAGTACGTGGCATTATGGAATTACTTTTCGGTTTTTAGACATTTCTAATGAGATTTTCATTAAATTATTAGAAATGCACAATTCATTTATTAAAAATAACTATACTATAATCATTTTCTTTCTATTCAATATCATATAAGGTAATGCCTTATTTATATATACTCGTAATATGTTATTAAATAATTCATTAAAATTCAAACCCTTCTACAATTTATGCAAACGCATCTCGCCTCATATTATCTTGTGCAGAAAATGATCGTTTACAATCTTTTACTGAACATGTAAATGGCCACTCAGCCGTATGATTATAAATGTATATTTTAAAGTGCTAGTCCGAAAAAAAATGGCTGTTGTAAAGAATCACTTGGTACACAAAGCAATCCATGTGTATTTAAAAAGCACATTAATGGCAAATGATTTGATTTCTATTCATTAGAACTAGACAAAGATAAAATCGGTAGCAATGTCATTTTTTCTTTAACTTTCAATGACTTGGCCGATTTTAGTTCAAGTAAATATAAGAATAGAGCTATAAAAAATATTAACTAAAACATTCCGATCTACATTTCGAAAACTCTAGAAACTATAATACATTTTTAATCTTTCTGTTAATTTTTTTTATTTCACTCTAAAAAAAAAACTAAAGTAACTTAAAATATAATTATTAGAAAGTATTTAGTAAAATAGATAAAAAAGATTCATATAAAAGGTATATTACATGTTAATATATTATTATTGTACTGTAAAAGATTATTTTCAAAGGACTTTAATGTTTTATTTAAATACTTTTAAATAAATATAAAAAATATAATGAAAAGATTAAAAACGAGCTTTAAAAGGTTTGTTTAAAAATGATTTAAAATATTTTAAAATGTCTAGAAATACTTAGAAATATTTGGAAATGTTTTAAAATTGAATTATTTTTAAACAGATTTATTAAGTTAAACCCACTATTTTTAAGAATTTATCAATATTTAATTAAATGGAGAAAAAAACGTTACAGTATCATAATTTTAATATAAAAATATGCCTAAAGAAAAAAATTATAATCCAGCACAGGAATTTCATAAAAAAAGAAAAAGAGATCACATAAAAAAAGTATATTTCTATATAATTTTTATTTTTCTTCTAATTTTTTAGGCAAAAGCAGAAAAACAAAAGCTTCAATATGAAAAACTAGCAAGAAGAGATGTTAACAAGATCGAGACACAAATTCAAGAGTTCAAAAGACTTGGTATTTTTAATTATTGGATTTTGTTTGAAATATTTAATTTAATAATGTATATTAGAGATGAAAGGTCAATTAAGTGCTCTAGATCAATCAGTAAATGATAATTTATATTTCTATGAAAAGAAGATTAATAAGAGAGTTTAGAATCTTAAAATACTTGAATCAGACCTTAAAAGAATCAAAAAGGCTAGAAAATATATAGGACCTATTATAGAGAGTGAAAAAACAAAAGCAAGAGAAGCAAAAGAAGAAAAACAACAACAAAAAATACCAAAAAACCCGGAAAAAAGTATTTATTATGATCCTATTTATAATCCATATGGTGTTCCTCCTCCAGGAATGCCTTATAAAGAATGGAGTGATATAGAAGATGATGAGACATCATCCAATGGTATATTATTAATGAATTTATAATTGGAAAATCTAAAATTGATTAGAACCATCAACGCCAGAATCTGTTTCAATCATTCCTATGCCAAAAGGATCGCCTCCACCATCTTCATATCTAGATAAAAGAAAAAAGAAGCATCAGCTAGAACGTTTCAAACATCCAAAAACCTTAAATGAAAAGACAAACACTTTACATTCTTCTCATCTTGAAAAGCAATTTAAAAATGACAATTCTATCGAAGGATCTTCTCAACCTACTTCTACACCCACTATTGTTTACAGTGCAGATTGTATACTACGAGATTTAAGAAAAGAATCAACAACATTTGTTCCTACTGCTGTTCGTCAAAGGAAAATCCCACAACATCCTTCATTAAAAAAAAATATTATACCTAAACCTGCTTTTAAACAAAATCCTGTTTTTAAACCAAAACCAAATATTCATATCAATGCTGCACCTGATATTCTAGATGATATATAAAGCAAAATCATTATAATAGTACATAACATAAAATGGATATTTTAATATTTAATTAAAATAACCTTCTATAAAAACAAAATTAATGAAACAACTCATTAAAATTAACAATAAAAAATCTAAGAAAAATCTCTTAAATTTATCAAAACATTTTTATATTCATATAATTCAACTTTTCTTATGAACTCTTTTATAGAAAAAATATCACGAAAAGAATTCTATTAACAAACTTTATATAATTTAGTCATCAATGGATCCAATATTTCTTTATTCTAATACATTTTATCCATCTCTAATATCTTAGATTATCTTATCTATTTTGCTTTTCAGGAATCACGTGATAATAATCGCGTCTCGAAAGGCGCGTCTGAAACGGAGAAAGGCAAGTGCAACAAGACAAAAGGTCTTGGCAAGAAAAAGGGTATTTTTAACGGTTAAAAAGTGAGGATTAGAGGGGAATAAGAGAATCTTAGCTCCGTAGAAGAATATCCAGAAGGATTTATTAACAGAGGTTTTTTTTAGGTTAAAATTGAACAGTTAATGCTAATTCTTAATTACAGATTGTTTCTCTTATTATTTATTTTTAAGAAAACGATCAGAAAAAGAATAAAATATTATTCCATAGTGAACAATAACATAAGAGACGTTCTTTTAAAGTTTTTTATTATGACAATTGAAGCGTTAATTAACATATAACAGTTTCACAATTTATAGTGAAAAAATAAAGTATATAAATAGGAAGAAATAAGTTAAAGAGTCATAATAAAGTTAGAAGAATAAAAAAGAGAGAGTGTTGTAACAATTCAGATATAAAACGGGGCATATTTACGACTTATAAAACAAAAGTGGGAAATCTAAACAAATATATTAATCATTAAAAAAATTGATTTAAAAGGAGGATTTAGAAACCTAAAATTTAATTAATAATATAATAGTTATTCAAAATGGAACAATTAGGGCAAAGTATACAACCAGTAGAAACAGATGGTTATAGATCATCAGAAGGAACTATGAATAAAGTATCTAGTATATCTAACTCTCCTATCCATATTTTATCTGGTAAGTATAAAATATTATGGCATTTTTAAAATATAAATACTAATATATTGTTTATAGTCGGAAGTAATGCCATTTCTGCATTTTTCTCCTGGAGGCTTCAATCTAGCAATGCTTGCAAAGTTACACTTGTTTGGCGTAATCATTTCGATGCAGTATCCTCTTACGGTATTTCTTTTAGGTTTGTATTTATATTTTTATGTTATTTTATAATTTATATATAGATCCAATATATATGATTCAGAACGATTCAAACCTCATCGAGGTAAACAAATATTTTTCTCTATTGCTCTATTTATTATTAATATTAATTACTTAGTTGTTCAAACAATTGAGGAAGCTAAAACTCCTCACTGTCCATTTGACTATATTTTTGTATGTATTAAAGCTCTTCCGGATATATATGATATAGCGACTATTATCGAGCCAGTTGTTACATCCTCACATACCTGCATTATCATTAATACCACTAATGCTATTGGCATTGAAAATCAACTTATAGAACGGTTCCCCAAGAATCTTGTTCTTTCTCTTGTTTCAGAAGCTACTTTCACTCAGTTAAATGTAGCTGATTATGAGCATTCTGGATCTAAAAATGTTTGGATAGGTTTCATACAACCAAATTTAATACTTCCAGAGGAAACCCAACGAGATATGATAGAATCTTTAACATTAACGTTGGAAGCAGGGAATGTCAATTGCCGCTCTTCATCTAATATTCTTCAACAACAGTGGGAGAAAATGATTGGGTATTTATTTTTATCATTATTTTTTTCATATATTAATTATTATTATGGTAGACCTATCTCATTTCATCCTATTAGTGTGCTTTTTGATGAACCTAGTCATTCTGTTCTTTTAGAAAACCAAAATGCTAAAAAATTAATATCCAATTTATTTGACGAACTTTTACAAATAGCGGAGGCACAAAATTGTAGTTTCGATACAGTGTTTAAATCTAAAGTCATGAATACCATGACAAGTGATACAACTCAGTCTGTAATGTACCAAGACTATATTGCTCGGCGTCCAATGGAAATTCAAGTTTTTCTTACAAATCCTCTTGAAATTGCAAATAAATACAACATCATTGTTCCTAGATTAGAAACAATTCATGCTCTAATGCATAATTTAAATAATCGTAATCATCTTCATAGACAATCGCCATCTGCATCAGCTATCTTACCTCGACAGTTATCACCAAAATCTTTAGCTAAAGAACAACGCAAGCATCATCTAATTCATGAGCCAAATGGATATAACATTTCATCAGGAGATCGACATTATAGACGTGGTTCTCCACGGCAATTGATTAGACATGATTCCCTTGAAGGGCTTGAAGAATTTGCAGATATTGCTATGTATGGAGATATGATACATGTTTCCAATACAGAGGATGCTGATGCAATAGATCATCAAGATCATAATTGTATTAATAATATTGATGAATCATATAATCATATTCAAGGTCGAAGAAAAGGCACAACATATGATTCTATGTCACTAAAAGAAAAGGAACTAGCATTATTTAAACGTGAAAAACTATTGCGTGAAAAAGAGGTATTAGAACATAAAAAGAATATGGCACGGTTTCCTAGAAGTCATGCTAGTGATGGATATAGTACACGTTCATATGGCTATGATGATGATGATGATTATACAGATTATCACATTTCCTCGAACGTTCCAGCAAATATTCCACCAATGAATTCAGATAATTTTGATATGATGAGCATGACTTTTCGACGTCATAGAAAAAATACGAACAAAGTATCAACTAGTAATATGCGAAATACTTTTGAGAATAAAAATGACATGTACAATGATTATGCCACATGGGAGTGGCGTCAACGTTCACATTCACGATCTCAACCATACAATACAATGGATGTTAGTTTAATAGGAACATGTGACCATATACAAAATAGTCTTATGTTGGGTTATTCTTCAAATCGATATGGAACAGTCGATTCGAAAACATTAGTCAATTCTCGCACAAATTCCCTAACTACAGCTAAATCAGATGAAATGCGTGACTCTAGTACATATGGACCACCTCAGAGTAATCGTTCTACAATACATCATTCCACAGTTAATGGTGCGCCTTTAACACGTCATGCACATCATATGAGCCATCAATATTTATCGACTATGAACCCTGGGAATATACCGCCAGGCGTACCTCAACGAACACCTTCAGCACCATTAACATCTGCGCGACACATGCCCTCTCGAAGTATGATTATACATTCTCATCCATCACATGGTCCTATGAAAAATGGTATGAATATGAATCCTCATAGAAGTTTAACAGGAAGTGCAAGCGCAAGTACAGCGAGCAATGGAAACGGTTGCGCATCAGGAAGTGGTAGTGGACATAGTAGTACAAGTTCTTTTGAAAGAGGTCCAATGATTTAGACTACCAATTCTTTTATAACAAGAATACCCACTATAAAAGATGAAATGACAATGTTTTATTTCATAAGTTTCTTGGTTCTTTATCCAGGCTACATTATGTCACATTAATTTCTAATCGATCTATTACTTTTCTGAATAAATATAAATCTGCAATTTATTACATAACAGTTAAAAATTTTTATTATTTGCATAATTATTATTGGATCTAGGAAATCATCCAAGTTCATATTTAACTAGAAGCTGCCTTTTGTCTATTTTAATGTAACTAATTTGATTTTTTAAAGGTCTTTTTTTCTGTATACATTTTCTAAATCAATCTTCAATACAAATTCATCTATTTCTTCTTAAATTAGCTATTAGCCCAGATCTATTCAATATTTAGGGAGTAATAAATATATTTATCAATTCTTAATCACTACTCATCTATTTCTTGATCTTATAAATAATTTAAAAGGAAATAATATATTAGTTTTTAAATTTAATCTAAAGGGCTTTAATATTCTCTAAAACAAGTAAATAAAGGATATTTCTATATTTATTTGGTACAAATTTTATATGGAGATTTAAATATAAGATTTTTAATGATCGAAGTCATCTCTCTTGGAGAACCTCCAAAAAAATATCAATAAAAAAGCAAAAAAAAAAATACATAAAAAACACAAAATCAGCACTATAAATGACGGGAAATGTCGTTCTTGAAACATCTATGGTTATTTTAATATTTTTTCTTAAAAAATTAAAGTATTTAGGGCCCAATCACTATAGAACTTTATTATAATCATGCACCAAAGGTATATTATATTGCTTTATAGAAACATATTCATGCTTTAGACATGCAAAAACTTTTATGAATTGGTTTTTTTTTTTTTTAAAACTATATATTTTTCATTTAAATAACATAAATAGTCAAGACGTGGATATTATAATAATATAATAGCAAGCAATCCCTTAATTTTCAGTAAGAGAAACTTAAATAACTATGAATAGTTCCATCGTGTTATTCCTGTTTGAAAAAAAGTCTTTAAATTTATATTTAATAATACTAGGATTTTATTATACAAGGAGGAGATCCGTATGTTATATTAAGTTATTTAAGTAAAATTAATTAGTCAAAGGACAGGAACAGGTAGAGGGGGATCATCAATATACGGGTAATCTTTTAATGAATACATCGATGTATTTTTATTTTATCAGAGATAAATTTGAAGATGAAATACACCCAGATCTTAAACATACGGGTGCAGGAGTAATATCTATGGTTGATTAGATTTATAATTGTCTAAATATATATATTTATTTTTAATTTAGGCAAATTCAGGCCCAGGAACAAATGGATCTCAAGTAAATTTTTTATCAAAATTATCTAAGTTAATAATAAAAGTTTTTCATTACACTCGCAGCAACACCTTGGTTAGATGGAAAACATACCATTTTTGGGCGGGTAAAGCAAGGAATGAAAGTAGTTCAACGAATAGGTCTTGTCAAAACAGTATATAAGACACTTTTATTTCTTTTAACTAATAAATTTGAGGATTCAAATGATAGACCAGAAGAAGATATAAAAATTAGAAGAGCTATAGTTACAGATCTATAATCTAAAATTTTTTAAAAATTCAAAATAAAATTAATTACATTTAATTTCATTTAACACTAATACCTATTTCATTAATAAGAAACGTTTATTTAATCAAAATAAAATCAAATACTAATTCTATAATAAATAGAATAAAAAGTCGTAAAAATAGCAGAAAAGATAAACTATTTTATCAATAAAATATATTTAAAAACCCATCAGGTTTCAAGTATAACATAAAACTATATAGAATTTAAGATACAAATATCTAATATATTAAGCCATAAAATCACCAAATTCTCAAAAACATAAACCACAATTTAATTTTCAAATAAAAACCCACAAACATCTAATTCCATTGATATGATTGCCTTACCCTTTAAAATAAAATACGATTCCACGTCTAAGGATTAATCAATATAAATCAGCCATACAAAAACATCAATAAAATTAAAAATCCAACTCAATCTTCATGAACAAGTTCCAATTTAAAAGCAATTATTCCTATAATAATATTTTTTAAAATCTAATATCCTCAAATTCAAATAAAGTAAATCATTCAACATAAACATTAAAATAATTATCACCCGAAATACACACATAAAGCACTCATCAATGACTATTTATTTAGTATATTAAAAACTCAATAAGTATAATTTATGAAAATTCTTTATTCAATTAATGTAATCCAGCAAACAGTTCTATTATCATTCTTATAAAGGCATGCTACCAAGATCATTGAGAAATCTATAACTTAAATACGAGACGAAACGAAAGCTGAATGTAATGTAGTGGATAAAACTGAAGACTGATATTCTAGCAATTTTGAATTAATATATGACATCTCAATTTTTGCAATATCTGATAAAGAACATGTATCCTTCCCTGATAACTGCAAATCATCTATTTTAAACCCATTATACATTAAAAAAGATAATATCTACAGATATTAAAAATGCAGCAGAATAATAAAAATACCTCCGTTGTATGCAGATGATCTACTTTAAAACAACTTACAGCCTTCAAGTCCAAATTCATCAAAGAAATCCTATTGGTTTCAAAATTACAAGATAAACCAGCCATTTTAAATATTTCAAATTTCTGTTTTTCAGTAAAACATGTATTTGTCGTCCCGGCATGAACCAAACGTTCAAGAAGACGAAAATTCAATTCAATTAAACGCCCTTTTTTGAAATGACCTTTTAAAATTTCAATAAGAGCTAAGCCTATCAAATATAAAGTCAAAAAAAAACAAATTACTACTTATTAAAGAAGAATGCAATAAATCTCTTTGAGAAACAGTATAAAAATCACCCTTATGCCATGGGAACTAACATAATTATAAAAATCATAAAAAAAGGGAAATCAACTTTTGCAAGAATGCTAATAAAGTCTTCAAATGGCCTTTGAGGGCATTTACGACTATATGGACTCTAACAACAATCAATACTATTTTAATTTCAAATATAAAACCCACTCTGTATGTTTTCACATGATTAATTAACGAATTCAACTCTTCTCTAGTTACAATTTCCGCCTTAGGAACAGAAAATTGTCTTATCGACTTTAAATTTTCATCTACGTAAGGATTAACACCCTTCCACTCACCCTTCCACTTTGGAAATATCCGATTCATAAGCTCCTCTTGAGTTGCAATTTCCAAAATAACATTTCTAGATCCCAAAAGTTTACCAGAACGACGTTCTGCCAATCGTTGTGCATCATTTCTTGATGATAACTCTACATAACATTCGCTTTGAGTTTTCGCAGACATCCTTTATGGTATATTAGTCATTTAAAGAAAAAAGAATGCATTACCTATCCATAATAAAATGAATAGACTGAGAATGAACATTATAAGGAGCAATTCTCGCATTTTTCCCAAGAAATTCATGAATAGACTCTATAGAAAGATCCCAAGGAATCTGTAAACATATTAACAAACAATTTAAAAATATATTAAAGTTAAACATTAGAAATTTTTAAACATGTCCAATCTTGAGGAGTAACTAAAGTACTTATATCAGAAAAAGGATTTTCTAATACTAAAGAATCCTTTAAAAGACAATCAACTGTAGAATTTAATGATTCAGAGCTTTTATCAGAAAAAACAGTATGTCTTGACTGTTTCACTTCAAAAGAATTTAAAAGAGAGCTAGCTTTCGGAAAACCAAATTCAGATACTGACTGAAGCTTACTAGACAACAAAGTAGATTCTAAAGAAGACTTCCTGGTAAAATTTGTAATTTCCTAATTAGTTATCAACCATTCTCTAATATTACAAAAGCACAAAAACATGCCTTATGGCATATAAAGCAAATATATAAATTTATGGGGACATTGCTGATCAAGCTAGAAAGACATCTTTGACAAATCCTAATAACGTAAATAAGTATTTCAATGAAAAAAAAGAATCAATCAACTTATGCCCGCACGGTGTCAAAACAAATTCAGCATTATCAGTATTACATTCATTACACGATTTTTTATAAGGAATAGTCATATTAGACATATAAGAACTATTACCGAAAATCGACTTCTCTGCTTTTAAGCTAGATGAAGATTCTTGTGTATATGGAAATGTTTCAAATGATTTAATAGTCGCTTCATTTTTAATATTTAAAGCATCAAGATGTTCTGAAAGATCTTTAGGGCTACACTCTTCTAAAATCCAGCAAGCAGGTTTAACTGATGTAGAAGACTTAAATTGCTTAGTATTTGCTGTTTTAGGAGGTTTAATAATTGGTTGAGAATAAAAGCAAGAATCTGGTGAAAGCACCTCATCACATCCATCCATAAGCTTACAATCATCTGTCTCAGGCACTGGTTTAACTAATATATTCATTGATTTAGGAATATTAGCCGATTGTACCACATAATTAGATTTCGGCTGTAAAACACTTCTAGATATTCCTACATTATCAAATCCTGAAAACCGACTACTCAATGCATCTAAAACATAAGCATTTTCACCTTATCTAATCATTAATAAATATATACCATGTTTATAAAGCTCTGTAAAAACAAAATTTTCTTTATCAATCTCATTTGAACTTTCTAATACCTTATATGCGCGCAAAAAATCACCTGATATCTCTTTTTTTGCATCTGGACATAAAGACGAATCATGGGAATATCCTGAAGGGCCCATTTATATGGTTTTTTTGTCTTTAAAATGCTTATTTCTTGGATAACATTTTCTAGAAAACTCAAGACGTTACGAGGAGTCCTTAAGAACGCGTATCGTGTAGCTTATATTTATGAAATAGTAGATAAAAAAAATATACAAAAGAGAAGAAGTTTTCAAAAGAAAAAATAGAAAATTATTGAATTAAAAGGGTTTTATATTTATAAAATTGAATAAATCAAAATATGAAGATAATCCTAATATATAGAGGGTAAAAACCTAACGAGGGATGGGGTTTAAACAAAGGAAGACAGGGTATAACCCTAATAAAGGAAGAACTAAACTCTGACAAAGACAGGGTACTACCCTACTATACAAAAAGACAAGAAAAAAGATAAATTGAAATGAAAATATCAAAGAGTAATCAACAATGATCATTTAATACATGTAAAAAAAGTAGAGATCCAAATGCCTAGATCAATATAATATTAAAACAAATAGAAATATTTATTGAAATTCAAAATTAAAGACTAATTTATTTAATCTTGGGCATCGAATACTTCTACAAGATCGGGGATATAGTCATCATCTTCATTAGGATCACCTGTTTTAGTTTTATGCAAATTAGTATAATTTCCAGTTAATTTTCTAAGAGATGCTAAAGAATCACGGCCTAACTGATTCAAAATGCCAGGAACAAGATCAGTCAACTCTTTATCTTCAGAGAGACCAGAAATTACAAACATATTTGAAGGAATAGATGCCAAAACTAGGACAAATTAATGATTAATTAATTTTTTAAAAACCTAACCTTTTGGTGCAGAAAAATGAGTTACGATTCCATCCGTTTTAAAAAAATTAGCCTCAGTAACACCACCGACAGGTTGTACATTCAATTTTTTTAAACTTGACTGCAGCTTCTTATCGTCGCCCGAACTCCTATGTACGACTTTTTTTTTACGACGAGGAGTCCCTTTTACATTTTAGAAACACCATCAGATAAAAATATTCCCTAAATATTAACCTTTTCCTCCAATTCTAACATTTGTTTGCAATTTCGACAACTTAGAATTATCCATTATTTTTTTACTCAAACTATTCATTAAAAATAATAATATCAAACAGAAACCACATACTAAAAAAATGAACAGAACCTTTCCCTTGAACAGAAATATTCAATTTATTCTTTAATATTTTATTAGAATCACTTTGTTTTTTATAAGGTCGTCTTCAAAAGCCGCCAATTATCGAAAAATGACTATGTAGGAAAAACCTTCAAAAATAAGGAATGATAAAAATATATAAATTCGTAATCTATTCATATTATTCTACAAAAGACATTCTATATATTTTATAAATATAACCAGAGCAAGAGATATTAACATGAGATTTAGTAAAAAAGACAATTGTTTAATAAAAAATAAAAATAAAAATTAATCCATTAATCATCCCAATCATCATCTTCTGACTCATCATCATCTGTAGAATTATGAAATAATAAAAACAGAATAGAAATACATACCACTTAAAGTAACTTTTCCTTTGCGATGATTTAAAACAGCAACCAAAGCATCCTCTAAATTAATATGTCCTCCAGCGCCATTTGTAGAACGAGATATTCCATTAAAGCAACTTGAAGAAGATCTTGAGGATGAAGCAGGCTCCACCTTAAACCATTAATAAAACGAAGCATTTTTTCATAAAAAATACCTTTCTTAGCATAGAAACACCACCACTTGATCTAATACTAGCTAATAAATTAGAACGATCAACACTTGAAATATATTCAGATGGCAGATCTAAAGTCTGATCTATCGATGCTATATTATGAGAAGAAGTAGCCTTTTCATCAGATGAGTGAGAAACAGAAAAAGCAATACTCTTATTCGAAGAACCCAATGATGCTGATTTAGAGTCTGAAGATACGGAAGTCAGAATTGACAATGGTGGCGGAGGAGGTGGAGGAGGAGGTGGAGGAGGAGGTGGGGGAGGAGCAAAAGCAGAAATTGATAAAGAACCTGATGAACCATCAGAAGTAAAAGTCTTGTTAGGTAATCGAAGCTGAGAAACAGAATTTCTAGATGATGAAGAAAACGCTGGATTATCGGAAGTGATATCTTTATCCTTATTTGAAAATAAAAAGGAAGCATCTGATTTAGAAGCGGGAGTAGACGATACTGTAGGATCTGAGTTCAAATCAGCTGAATTATTTGAGCATGATAGTCCAGAAGAAGATGATGGACATGATTTACGAGTGGAGTTTTCATGAGAAAATGCCTTTTTAGCTTCTGATTCTAGTAAAACATCATTTTCTGTTGAATTAACTAATTCAGGTAAAGCATTTGTGTTAACAATAGAAACGTGTAAAGATTTATGCTGATTAACAACAGAATTTCTCAAAGGTGGAGGACTAGGTGGTGCAGATGTTGATTCTAAAGATCGACTCGTTTCCGACATAAAAACATGAGATTTACGTGGAGGAGGAGGTGGTACTCTTTTTAAAGATAATGGTGATTTCTTATTAATATCAGTTTTAGAAGAGGGAGTTGGTGACGTCGGTGGTGGTGGTAATGGAGGCGGTGGAGGCAAACGAGGTCTCTTAATAGATTCTTGTAAAACAGAGGTATTTGTTTGTGAAGATTCAGGTACTTGTTTAACATTTCCTAATCCTCCATTCCTTACAACATATTCCCGAATAAAATCCTTATTTTCTTCAATTTGTTCATATGAAAATCCAAATTGTCCTAAATCATCAAAAAGTTTCTTCCATGAAGGATCTATATTTTCCGTAGTAAAACCCCTTTCAGAATCCCATCCAATATGACTAACATGTCTTATACATTAATATATTGAACTACAACTACTTTCTTCATACTTAAAATGAGACGGCGCCCCAATTTTTGATTTATCTATATATTTCTTTTTTGTATTCATCTTTAACCCTCCCGCCATAGGCACATTTTTATGAGAACTAACTAAACCCATATCAATCTCTATTTCCAAGAAGAAACCATTAAATTACTACTAAGACGACCATTTACACGACGATAAAAAGCTGAAGCTTCATTTACATCTGCAAATGATAACCCCGCCATACATTTCTAAACCCTTTCTGTCAGAAAAAGACATAACCGCATCCATTCCTATCATCCATACCTCCAATTCAAATGAATGAAAGAATGTCCTATCTTGATGATATTGAAAATTTTCATATAATTCTTGATCCCATATAATACCACGGTTTGAATTCTATTTTTCCTCAATATATTTTTCTCAAAAGTACCCATACATACTGAAATATCTACCATCTTTAAGAACAACGTATTTCCAATCATATCATGTGCAAAAACAATTGCTCCACTGATTCCTGTAAATCTCCATTCATTAGGATTTGGATGTGCAACATAAAGCCGAGCAACCGCTGCTGTAATAATCTTATTTGTAGGCTTAGGAATGCATTTCTTAATTATCTGTTTATCCTCTGATGTTAATGTAGAAACATTTGGCATTTCTAAAGGCCTTTAATACAAATATTTTTTATTGGCAGTTCAAACGAGTAAGAATCAAAATATTTCTATATAATGAACCAAAAGATTATATTCAATGTATTTATTTATATTAGAAAGTGAATAAAAAATCTATAATAAAAAAATATCTTATATAAATTGTATTTTTTCAAAGATTTATTCAAAGAGTAATTGTCATTTTAAGTTAATCTATAAAAAAAGTATAAAAAATGAATAAAAAAAGGCTAAAAATATATGATAATCTATATAACTTTAACTATAATTCAAAGTTCAATATAATAGCCAACATATTACCATGCCTATTTAAGTATATTTCCAAGCCATACAGAAAAATCCTTAAGTTCATGTTCATTTACACTATGTTGCAATCCATCATAAGCCTTCCAATTAACATTTAATTTTAATTGTTCTGCTAAAATTCTGGCACTTTCTTGACCATATTCAAATTTAACAATAGGATCATTCTAAATAAAAAATTCAACTTATTTAATTCATTACTTAAAAATAAACCTTTCCATGGCCCATAAAAATTGGTATATTTAAATTACATTCCGTAAGCATCTTCCACACATTAATCTTAAAAATAACAAATACCCACATACCAAGTGGATCTTTTTCCTTAAAGGCAAATACCCTGAAAATCCAACAATCCCTCCCAATTTTTTTTCACATGTTAATCCAGACTTTAAATATTAATTTCAAAAACCAATCCAAATATATTACCAAAAGCCCAATAACACATCCTTTTATTAAAAATAATCATTTTTAATCCTTTTTTTTCTATATTTTCTCTTACCCTGAGAAAACCCTCCTACAACAATCCGTTCACTTTTTATTCCTAATTTTACCTCTTCCATTACCAATCTTTGTATTTCTTTACAACTTTTTAACATATTCTCTTCATCTTCTTCATCTATCTCATCCAAAGACGTAACATCGTACCAACTTGGCATCTTCATCCCAAAGTTCAACATTACGGGTCTTATAGGTCTATAAAAGATCTATTCCAATGTCTTTTAAATACAAATAACTCAACGCATTAGGAAAAACCCATTTTACATGAGAAAATAACCCAGAAGAACCCAATTTTTCCCCAAGAAATTTCCAACCTTCTCCAGAATCTCCTAAACCATGTGCAAAAATAACAGTAGCTGTATGTTTTGCTCGTGAAGGGATAATAAACGCAGGAAAAGACATTTCTTGATATCGTCAGCTACAAAGCTCGAACGTCACAAAAATTGAAAATCAACAGGTTCTAGAGTTTAAGTAGAAATGTCATCATATTTACAGCAATATCCCTCTTCTCCGACATATTCTATGTCTTCTACAGCTCAGATTGCACCTACAGTTGCTTCATTATGTTATTCATCAGCACCACCGCTGCCCAAAACAATCATTACGAAGAACGATATCTCAACATCCATTGAAGGTAAAAGGTTTTTTAGGGATTTGAAGGGTTGTTATTAAAAGGAAATAGCATATCAAGAGCTTCTTTATGCAGCAAAGATATATAGGAATAGTTTGGTACAATTATCTAAGACAGCGTCATCATTTGGAACGGCATTAGAAAAATGTGCGAGATGCAAAGGGGTAGGAGAAGAAGAGATGTCAGGATTTATGTTAGCAGGAGGTCTTCAGTATCTTATAGCGAATCATCAGCAAATTTTGAGCGAAACATTATATAGAAGGTTTGAAATTCCATTAATGGAGGAGTTGGATACGTTTCGAGCAATTACACAAGAAAGAGATGATACATATCAAAGAATGATGATGGAAAAGAATAAGAAGATTCAGGAGAGGGAAGCAGAACATTTAAGAGTGGGTCGAAAGAAACAACGAGGTAAGAAAAGGAATTATATTGGAAAAAAAATGGAATTATATAGACTTGGCAACGTTTAGACAAGCGTTAGTTGATCTTTCGAAGCTTGCAGATGATTTAGAGCGTTTAAAATCAGAACATTATAATGGAGCGCTAGATACAATTCATGAAACATGGTCAAGAGTTTTAGACCATACAGCATTAATTGTTAGAGCAGAAGTAGATATCTATGAAGGTATAGCAAGAAAAGGATGGAGTGGTGGTGGTCTTGAAGAGATTATGGCACGATGTGAAGACCCATTTAATATAGGACATGGAGAAATATCAACGACTCAAGGTGGGCATGGAGAAATTTTCAGGTATAATGAAATAATTATTCAATAACGAAATCTAAAACTTACTTAAAGTATTCTTCCATCCCATTCTATTTTGACATCACCACAATCTCCTATCTTCAATGAAGGTAAACTCATTGGACAATATAAATCATTAACAAGAACCTTTTCAAATGAGGAAGAATTTGATGATTATAACGATGAAGACTCAAAAAGTATATTTTCATCTGATATTACAAAGTATAAACCAATAATGGATGATGAGACATCTCGTTATGAAGACAAAAATACAGAAATTATCAATTTATCTTCTAGTAATCTACTCGATATCAATCAAAAAATTCAACCAATTGATATCGATATATTAAATAATGAGAATGGATATTACAATTCAAACGGGGATGAGCTCAAAAACGGGTTTTGTACAGAAACTAATGATAATAACCCATCCGATATCCATTCTACCTGAATTTACTAACCACTCTGAAACATTTATATGTTCTTAGCATTTCAATATATAACTTGGATAGGGATTTTTATTTTTTAAGGGCAATACAAAAATAATTCAATTAATTGTAGCATGTGCTCAAATAAATTATTGTTCCTCATTATTAGGGTTCAAACTTAACATTTATTGGATTCATAGCATATAAAAATAAATTTAATGTATGTAACGAAATAAAAATTAACTTTAATATTTCAATCATTTCACTCTAAAACATTTTCTCAACTTCTTTTCAATACAACATATTGCATTTCTTTCATTTAGAACCTGCTCGTTCTAACCCTTGTCGATAACTATCTATATTACTTCCATCCCAAAAATATAAACAAATATTTACAAATAAATCCGCAACAATTGAACACTTCCTTTAAAAATAAACTCTAAAAAACTTTCTCAGAATTCTTTTCGTTACCTGTAATTGCAAGAAAAAGATTTACTGTTGCCAACCTAAAAACCATTTATTTCTTAATATATTACTTTAAACTACTAACAGATAATTTTTTGGCTTAATAACCATACTCCACCGTGTCCATATAGACCCTGTTAATGTCAAAGCTACCTCGTAAATTACACCTTCATATTAATCTTATTTATACCCATATTTTGTGAAACAGAAAGTTTATCCGATGATCGTTTTAAATCCCCAATACCTGCCAAAACCAACCCCCACTTAAAACTACTTAATAATAATCAAAATTCCTAGTATTCTTAATACCTTCATTGTAGGCGCCCCTAGTTATTATTAACATTTTTTCATAAAATCAAAAACTCACAAAAATGAACAGTTTTCAGTCCTGATGGATGGTTCAAAAGATAAATAAACTTATTTCTAGCTGTAGAAACAAAAGAAGCCATTTTTAAGTGAAAATAAGGTTATTTCTATCACAAAAAATCACTTATTTATTCTCTAAATTTTTATGAGATCTGATAAATCACGTGAGCTCAGAATTTTGAGCTACAAACTTATACTTTTTAACCTCATAAAAAGAAGGAAAAAATTAGGCAGCTTAAATGAGGGAAAATGGGTCGATATGTGCTTCCGAAACATATTAAAGAGGTACTTTATGAGGTATATTAAGAGTTATCTAATTTTTTTAAAAAGTTGCGATTTCATTTATGTCAAATAAGTGAAGAAAGTAAAAATACAAGGTGTGTCATTTTTTTTGAAGGGGGAAAAAAAGTAAATATAGTAGATTATTCATTAGAAAAGCATATCCAATATTGAAAAAGAATAATCCATATATTCCAGTTCTAATTCGAGAAGCATTGGGTGTTTCGCCGATGTTATGGGTTCGATATGGTATAATTGTATATTTATGTAATTTTTTAACACAAAAAAGAGTATGGAAAAGAAGAAAATCTTTCATTAGAGGGATTATCAGTGAAGGAATGCAAAGAACGAGTAAATTCGCTTTTGTTTGGTACTTAGAATAGAGAAAACATGAAATATAGAGATAAAAGATTAAAAAGTTTTTAGTATTTAAAAATAGAAACATTAGACTAATAAATAAATATATGTATAATACATTTTTAGAAAAACATTAATAATGATTATATACACAAAAGTAAGGAATTATGGTATAGTGCAATCAAGCATTTCAGCTAATTGCCAATGATTATAAATTTTGTCAGGCATTTTTAAATTGCAGCCAAACTTTTTTAATTCATAAAGTCGGTCTATTGCTCTTATAAATCCTTTTCCTAATTATATTAGACGATAAATATTTAATAATATGAATAGAAGTTACTGGAAGCTCGTTTATACCATATTTTTGCTTCTGCACGATTACTTTTTACACCAATTCCAATTTCAAGATAATAACCAATAACATACTCAGCCTTGGTTAAACCTAAAACACCTCTTTAATAAAATATAAATTGTTATAGATAACTTAAACCTTTTTCCGCCGCCTTTCTAGCCCAAAGATACGCTTCTTTGTCAGATTGCTCCAAAATTCCAGGTGCTCCAGTCAAATACCATCCACTTAAACCTAATTCAGCATCTGGATTTCCTTTTTCTGCAGCAGATAAATAACTAAATGAATTAGTAACAAAAAGTAAAAAATAACAAATAGTTATACTATGTAATGCTTTTTTTTGGATCAATTTCACAACCCAAAATACCATGCTCGTAAGCATATCCCAATCGAACTTGAGATGGAGGGTACATCAATTGTGCAGCTCTCATATATAATTCGAAGGAATATTCTTCATTCCGCATAACAACACCTACAATTTGTTTAAAATGCAGTTAATTTTTTAAATTCAAATACCTCCATTATCCTCTTTTTCATATAAAATTGCCTATCAAAAGTTAAATACTAAAAAAATATGTATAATTCAAAACCAATTCATGAAGAGCATGAGGATTTTCCTCATCAGCTAATTCAGAAGCCTTTTTTAGCCAAAAAATTGCTTTCCTTGGATTTTTAACTTGTTTAAGTAACCCATTTAACAATATTATACCTTAATTGTTAATAAAATGATTTATAAACTAAAAAAATTACCAATTTTGTACATTGCTGTAACATTTCCAAGGGAAGCAGCCCTTTGATAATATTGTACTGCCCTTTCTTGATTCTTCTTAACCCCCATCCCAATTTCTAAACATACAGCAGTTCTATAAATACTCTGAGGATGTTTATATTTAGATGCAGAGTAGTATAACATATATGCTTGCTTATGATCAACAGATAATCCCAAGGTACCATCTCCATAACAACTAGCAAGAAAAAACATAGCCTCAGGATAAGGAGGATCCTATTTATATTAAAAATATTCAGATATATATATCTGGTTTACAGAATTCACTAATTCCCTTACAATAGAATATGCATCTGATAGATACTTTTCCCTATTCTTTTTGATAAATTTTTTATCTTTCAAAGTATCATTAGAAAGTTCAGAAGCAACCTGAATCAATTTTTTGGCATATTTCAATCGAGTCTGGGGATCATCAGCAGAATATACATTATTTTTTAAATGTTTTAAATGAGAAGACGACATTTTTTTATCAGTCTCTTTATTCAACATTTGGCTGGAAATCTTAGATTCTATATAATAATTAAATTTGTAGACAAAATTTAACAATATACCATAACTTGAGTCCTGAAAAGTATCTAAAGATTTTTCCCTAGTTCTTTGAAACATATTAGCATCACTAGATAATGAATACTCTGAAAAAATAGGCAATGTTCCTTGTTTTAATTCTTTAGTATCTAATTAATCAGTATTGAAAAAAAAAGACAAAATACTAACCATCTATAAAATCAAAAGGCTTTCTTTTATCTGAATTATTGTTTCCATATGTCATATAACTTTTATCATTGCTTAAATCATTAATTTCTAACTTTTCTTGAGGTAAAAATAATTTAAATTCATTGCAATTCGCTGAAACCATATTAAAAACTTTAATATCATTGAAACAAAAGATATACCATTAGATGAAACTTCCATATCATTCGTATGAAAAGTCTCTAATTCAGTATCAAAATTTTTAAATGATTTTTTATTAATAGTATCTAATGGCCAATTCATATCATTATTTTCTTCATATAACATAGAATTTTTTGTATTTACAGTATCTGAAAAAGCACTTTTATCATTCCCTGATTTTTTTTTAGACAAAAAACTCTTAGAACGTAAGAATGATTTTTTAGCTAATTTAATTAAGACAGAAAAGAAAAATTCTTATAAACGTACATTTTTCTTTATGTTTTTGAGCATTTTCCTTATCAGATCCATGGTTGCAATTATTTTGTAAACCGTCAAAACTATTTTTACGTTTTTTTTGTTTTTTTTGATAATCAGTTGCCAAATTATCAGTTATCAAGTCACCTTTTTTAGAATTTTTATACATTTCATCAGACTTTTTATCAGTCCTATATTGAAGTTTATCATTATCCATATCGATAAGGTCAATATCATTCGATATATATAAATTATCTGTAACAGAATGAGGTGCCAATTTATTTATATTATTAATGCTTCTAGATAATATTACTCTTGGACTTTCAATACCTTTATCTTCATATTCAGATGAAAACGAATCATCACAAAATAGAGAAATAGAATCATTATTTGTTTCTTGACTCAATAATTTAATACCATGTATAGATCCTTTCATAAAGCCCATGGGAATAGAAAAATTTGTAGAATTTTCCTTATAATGAAAAGGCTTTATTGAGTTCCGAGGACCATACTTATAGGATAAATTATTTTGCCATTTAAATTGAGAACCTATATTTGGCATGCTTGCATTGCGGCTTCTCATAGGGATTCCCCATGGCATATCATTAGGCTCAGCCAAAGGATATCGGTGATGTGATACATCTCTACCACATAGAGTAATTTGTTCTGTATATGAAGGCCTTCTATTCAAATATTCTGCTGAACCAAAATGTCTTGGATTAATATGATAATATGGTAAATGTGCATCTGAAAGCCCCCACAATCGTTTATTGTTTTCACTATATGACCTTTTATTATATACATCCTGAAAATTAACAGAATTTGGATATCTTCCATCCCATTGCAAAGAATCATTAATCGTATTATTTCTATGTAATTTCTTTACAGGATGACCATTTTTTTCTACAAATTCCGGAACTTTGATTTGATAATTATTGTAATATAATTGTGTTTCTCCAAAATATCTATCATTATTCGGCACAGACACCACTTGGACATAATTTGCATAATCTTTTTGAGTCTTTCCATATCTCATACTATACGTCTCATCATTCAAGGTTTTACTTTTACAAAACATTTCGTCTTCACAATATACTCCTTCACGTCCTTCTCCACAATTATTTATAACCATTTTATGAGACAAATTCCCATAACTCTTATGTTTACGAATCCCATCAATATGTTTATCTCGTTTTACTTGATAATCATACATCTATACAGAAAATCTCCATAAAAAATGTTATTCAATTCCCTTAAAAACGAAATACTCACTCAATTTACTCTAACACCTTTCATTTAATCACTTGTTTGTCTCTATTTTGAAAATTTTGGTTTATTTCATAAACATCGACGTCTAGCCACAATTGATCTTGTCTTATCGGCCGATGCTAGGAAAAATGTCAGCTAAGCGATGGATAATAGCAGGGTTTTGTAGTTCAGCTATTATTGGAATAGGATATGCACTTATGACTTATACAACACCAAATGAAAAAGAATTTTATAATGTTTATATATTTTTTTTAAATTTTTTTTAACAGTTATAGAGTCTTTCACCAGCACTAAAATTAATATATGATAAAAATATTGAAAAAAAATATTCAGATGAAATGATTGAATATATAAAGAAGAATAGATATTCAGGAAAGTCTGGTATGTTGAACTATAATAGTATTTTTAATAAGAATATAATAATATAAAGTTTGAAAAAAAATAAACCATAAAAACCCATTAATAAGAAATAAATGTAATAGAGAATAAAATAGAAAGATAATAAATAGAATTGAAATGATTAACCTATATTTGAAAGACGCTTTAAATTATATTCAATGCCATGTGATCGTTTACGAAGATGATGTGCAAGTTCATGTGAATCAGAAGTAGATGAAGGTACCCTAACATGAGAAAGGGTTTGTTTTCGAGAGAAATCGGAATGGTCATTGTGAAAAGAATATTCGTCACTATTAGCTAAAAGATCAAGACTAAAATTTTTAACTTTTTGTAATTCAGTTTCCAAAAATGTACTTCGATTTTGAAGTTCTTCAACTTGTTCAAAAACAGCAACTGTAAAACTTTTAAGCTAAAATCTATATAAACAAAAAAAAGAAAAAAGAATATTATAATATACTTTATTAATTTCATTCTGTATTTCCATATCAATAGAGGAACCAAAAATACCATTAACCGATTGAATAGATCGTGATTTTTTTGGACCAAGCTGATATCTAGATACATTTTAATTCCTTTTAACATTTCAAAAACAAATAAAATAGTACATACGATATAATATTATCAAGATTAAATGTAAACATATCACTAATCCCCATTAATTATACCAAATCTCCCTCAAACCAAAAACTCTCATTACCGAATATCGTCCAACCGTCTCGGTGTCGATTTATAAATACGACCCAAATTTCCTTTACAATGCTTACATGATATTTCTGTAAAATTACTGAAAAAAAACATTTTTAATAAAATACATATATCATCTCATTCTTACCCATGAGGTGTACATTCCTCTACTTCCGATTCTATGATACTATCTTCTGGAACTTCTTACCATCTTTTAACATTTTATTTCTTAAAATCCTTTAAACGTACCAGATAATGTAATTGTATTATTTTCTCTATGTGATATAGACCATGCATATGAATCACCAACTACTGATCTACAATTCACGCATTGAAATACTGTTGGCGATTCCTCTGTTATTTCTGCCATTATCTATTCCTCTTTTCTATTTTTTCCTTCCAATTCATCCAATTATCAGAAAATTTCCATTTAAAAACTTATATAGAGATATATAAGTAAAAAAAGACTATTAAAACTATGTATAGTCAGAATTAGTCATATATTATCACATTTAACCCATTCACCTGCCCTTATAAAGCGTTGATATAATGTGGTATATCCCGAGCTCAACAGTACGTTGTCATAGCAACCTATAAAATTTTTAACCTCACGATAGATTTATAAAAGAAAAAGACAGAGAAAAAGTAAGTAATAAATAGATATAAAAACAGTTTTTCTAGAGGTTTATATAGAGAACAACATCTTTAATATTTTTTAATTTAAAAGTCTTTTTTTTTCAGAAAAAAAAGCGAGAAATTAGGCTAAATATTTAGTCTATTTGTCAAAATTTTTGAATAATAATTTTATAAAATGAGTTAAATATTAGAGAATATAACTAATTTGTGTTTAGAAAATGAAGATTGAAGTGGATTCTTTTGGAGGGAATAAGATCTATCCAGGCAAAGGAAAGGTAAAAGTTATAACGAAAAAAAATCAAATCAACTTATAAAATAGATTTATGTAAGAGGAGACAATAAAGTATTTCGGTTCTTTTGCAGAAAGACAGGATCGTTGTTTATTCAACGGAAAAATCCTAGGAAAATTACATGGACAATTCTTTATCGACGAATGCATAAAAAAGGTATTACAGAGGAAGTAGCAAAAAAAAGAACACGACGTACTCTGAAATTTCAGCGAGCCATTGTAGGGGCAAGTCTTGAAGTGATAAGGGAGAAGCAAAATCAACGAGAAGAAGTCCGTATGGAAGCAAGACGAAAGGCAATAAAAGATGGAAAAGAGAAAAAGCAAGCACAAGAGTATGAATGTTTTCTTGGGTTTAGAATGAGCTAACTCTATTATATAGGAATTTGAAAAGAGCCAATAAGGCCAAGCTTGCAATAAATGCTCGTGGATCAGTTGTATCGAAGGTTTCTAAACAACAAGCAAAAGGTGCTAGATTAAAAATTTTATCTACAACCCGTTGAGATTATCTTTTTATAAACTTATAAACATATGTATATTAGGAACTTTATTTATTTGTCTATAATGACATACATTTTTAAATAATTTTTCTAAATAGTAGTTACAAAATAAACATTTATTTCTAATTTTGTATATTTTTAAAGCATTGATATAACTATCTTTGCAAAGATTTCATTTCAATAAAATTCCTTTATCTAGTCTTGGTTAAAAATCCCCCCTGTTAAGACAGACTATGGAATCAATCAGAATTTTGAATTCAAAAGATTTATGCATTATACAAATTCTCTAATTAAAAAACATCTATAAATAAAACATACATTTTCAGATGGAAATGACATTATAATAATGCAAATGTAAGTAATATTTCTTAACGTTTATAAAAAGTAAATAACAATGACGTTTTCTCTTTTATTTAAAATTTAAAGACGAAAAAATCATCCATTTACAATATCGATGTCATATTTGTTATAAAGAAAAACATAATTTAGCCTATTATTATTCCATTTAATATCAATTTTTAATTTTTGCATATAAACGTGTCCATTCCTTAGCAGTAGCATCAAATGTTTCACGACTACATAAAAATTCTTGTCCTATAGACTGATCTAATGGATCATCTGGATTAGGTGTTGATAAAAGAGCTTGAATAGATAATAACACCGTTCGTATTTGTAAAGCGGGTGACCATGCATCTAACACATTAATTTTAAAATATATTTCAAAAAATACCCTTCCATAATTACTCTTCAAAATATCCATACATATTCTTCCAAGTCTATCAATATTTGGATGATAAATCTTTGTTAAAAAACGAACTTTAGGTGCTACCATAGGATACTCTAAAAATACTCAGAATTAGCCATTTTCACTTATTTTTTCAATAAGAACCCTCTGGAAGAAACAATTCTAAACAAAATATTCCATTTTCATAGGCAGATTGCTCCGGACCTTGGATCTTTATTTTAAAATACCTTAAATTCTCTTGACATGGTTCTGCAACAATTCCTGGAGGTGGATCTGCAATCAGCCGTTCCTAGACGTATCATTAAGTTATATCCTCTTATTTTTTAATATCTTACAGTTTCTTTTAATATTCTCTTAGGCAAACTCATTTTACCACGTCCTTTCCATACGACTTGACGTCAAGATTGATAAGAAAAAAAATAAGTTAAGAATGAAGGTTAAACTAAGCTAAAAACTAATATCAAGATTTTTAAGGTAAAAATATATTTTTAAGGGATTATATATATTAAAATTTGAATGAGACTTAAAGGCATTTATAAAGGGCTATTAAGAAAAAAAAAATAAAGAAAAAATGAAGGCAATAAATAGCCCTACACTTGATAAACAGATGTCTATAGAGGTAGACGAACCAGTAGGGTCTATGTAAGTGTTTTTTTTTAGTGTTTTAGCTGAATAATTGAAAAAAGGTCTATTTCAGCATGTGGTAGAGATGTGATATTAGGATCGTTAGTTTTGAATGATTTTTTAAGTGAAAAATTGATTTTTTTAGACGAAAAGGACTGTTAATTATTGATATTGATAATCCATATGATCCACCTCGGTTTCTTCCTCATCTTACTACATGGGAAGTTGCAGATGTACAATCATCTCCTCGTATATATATTTTTAAATTTTCAAATAGAATTTAACATGTATAGATGCATCTCGTTCATTTTGGATAGCATCAACAGTATTTAATATATATTATATACAAATATATCTTTTAACTAAAATTAAGTCCAACCAAAAGACTATTGTATGGAATCTTTTATTACCATCTCGAAATGCTATAGAGTTTGTTCTTCATAGTCATTCTCGTGCAATTACAGACATTAACTGGAGCACGCATCATCCAGATATATTAGCTACATGTTCTATAGATTCATATATTCATTGTTGGGATCTTCGAGATACAAAAAAACCGATTAATAGTTATTGTGATTGGACAGCAGGATCAACGCAAGTTAAATGGAATAATCAAAATCAACATATTTTGGCATCGTCCCATGGACAATTTTTAAGAATATGGGATGATAGAGTATAAATAAATTCCCATTAAAATATATTTAACATTTTAAAAGTATGGAGCACAACCATTCAAATCCATCCGAGTTTGCGAGTATTCGACAAAAATATATGGGATAGACTTTAATAGGACGAAGGAAACAAAAATAATTACATGTTCTTTAGATAAATCCGTTTGTTTTTGGGATTATGAAAAAAATGAAAATATACCAGAAAGAATAATACGAACAAATACACCTGTTTGGAGAGCTCGCCATACACCATTTGGTTGGGGTATTATTACAATGCCTCAACGTGATGATAATTCGTTATATTTATGGGATATACAGGATGAAAACAGTGCTCCTGTAGAACCATCGGCTAAATTCGAAGGGCATACAGATATAGTTAAAGAATTCGTTTGGAGATATAGTGAAACAGATGACATTTCTAAAGGTTTTTATATTTGTTAACTTTTATAATTTAATCTTAATTCAAATTTAGATACTAGACGATTTCAACTTATAACATGGTCTAAAGACCATCATTTACGACTATGGCCAATATCTAATGAAATATTAAAGGTAATTTTTTTTTAATCATTTTTTGTCTAAAAATGTAGTCTACTGGACATAACCCAGAAAAACCAGTAAGGTTCAGAATGACTCATTTAGGCACAGAATACAAAACTTATCGTCACGAGCCTTTTATAGACCAAAAAGATACATCATCTCTGCATATACCAATATCTCCTCAAACCAAATCTACTTTGAGGAGTTCCATCAATAACAAGACAAATACACTATTTAATAGGTATAAAACAGTAACGGGAAATCATATACACGGAGAGTATATGACAAAATCTATAAGATCATTTAAAGGAGTTCAACCTTTAGCATGGATGAGAGGAGTTCATATAGAACGATCAATTAACAGCAATTCAGCTATAACTTGGAATATTCCTGAAAATTTAGGAGAAGAACTTTCATGGATAGGTCAAAAATTTCCAAAAGTTAATTTTGAAGAAGTAATAAACAATATAATAAAGAATAAAACTAAGTATATAGATAAATGTTGCAGGACGTAAATGTACATTAACACTTAATGGACCATGGGGTATCGATAATACCATGATATTTATTAGACTTCTTGTTCAGTTTCCTTTTAATTATCCTAATAGCGCAACACCTGATTTTGAGCTTGAAAAAACTTTATCTTTATCAGAAGAAAATTATATAGAAATCAAACAATCTTTAAATAAAATTTCAGAAAGCTATCTTAAGAAAAAAACCCCATGTCTAGAGATTTGTATTCGTTACCTTTTAGGAGAGAGTGTATTAAGTGGAAAATGGATATCAGATAGTGAAGGGGATTCTTCAAGTGATGATGATCAAATGTTTTCTTTATCTGGCTCTATTTTCTTAGAAAAGAATGTAAACAATATTGTAGTTCCTACTCCTCGAAAATGTGCAGCAACATTTTGTTTTGGTAAATTTTAATGTCCCATATTAATCTCTAACATTATTAATAAGGAAAACTTGTATGTTTTTTTCAAAAAAAAAATGAATCAATCAATAGAATAATCTCAATTTTTTCTGAAAAAGAAAACAAAACGTTTGAATCACCTAATCATTACTTTGAATCTTTTGGTAATATTGAGAGTTTTATTAACAATAAAATTGGAATAAGTTCAGAAGACCTATTATTGAAATATAACTCTTTAAATTTAGACGAAGAAACTCAAACTAACACTTCTCTTTGGAGATCAAGAGTAAAAAAAATCACTTTTTATATTAATGTATTAATGTACCATAGTCATTTAAAAGAAAAAATTTAAAATTCTATTCATATAATAACCAAAATGAACGCTATTTTAACCGGAGGGCATCAAATATACGCTCAGAAGATTATCATGGAAATATTCTTATTCAAAATATTAGTTATCTTGAACCCATTAAAGAAACTTTAGCAAGAAGTTACAAAATTTGTGGACCTTCTTTAGAAGTTTGTGAACATAATGCAAAAATTGCTTTAAAATATGATCTTTTAGAGCTTTATGAAGTATGGACTCTTATAAAAATGATAATATCTGGTGTAGAATTGAGAACATATACAAATCTATTTACAAATAAAGACAAAACAGACACAAATTTAAAATTATTCATTTATAAGAAAGAACAGGAAATTTCCAATTTTAGAAAACCAATGCAAAAAGAGCCTTCAGTATATAATAAAATTCGTTGGGATAATCATCCTTTTGGACAATGGTTAATTGATCAGATGTGAGTATATTTATAAATCTATAAAATATTATTGATAATATTTAGTTTTTCATATTATGAAAGCCTAAGAGACGTCCAAACGTTAGCCATGTTATCTTGTGTGCTTGATTCTGTAGAATCAAGTATTTTCCAGACTTCTGTTGCTGTAAATTATACACATACATATATACATACGTATATCTATATGCTAATTCATATTAGGATACAGATTTAAATGAAAAGATATATAGTTCTTCAATCCCTCAGAATTCGCATAAGATTTCCAATAAAAATAATAACTTACATAATAACGTAACATCTATTCTTGAAAAATGCTATAATCATGATTCATTCTTTGAAAATACACGAATTTCACAAAAACACTTTTTTGATCATTATTTAACATATATAAAACGTAATGATTCTAGTGATCATGAAACTATTCCATTTGAGATAACACTCCCTATCTCTACAGAGGATCGTAAAAGCGAACATTCTCAATTACATATTAATCAAAATCATTCTTTATCAGTAAAGATGTTTAATTACCAACAGTTAGATGACGAATTGATACCATTTTCATTTTTCAGTGAAGAAAGAAGGCATCTAAAAAAATTCTATAGAATAAATTATGCAGAATTCCTTTTTAGATGGAAATTATATAAAAAACGTGCCGAAATTTTAAAATTTAATTCAAGATCTAATAATAATGAAACGTTTTTTACTACCAAAAAAGATACTTTTGTTTCTGATAATAAATCAGGTAATTAATTTTTCTTTTTCAAAAACTTAGACATTAACTTATATAAATCTTATAGTAGATTGTATTAAATGTTCTTCAGATCAATCTTCATTAGATAAAAACTATATTATTTGTAAACAAGCTATTTTTTTTTCTAATTGCATATTTTGTGAAGTGTATGTAAAAGGTAATATATAATATTGTTAAAAAATTTTATTAATTCATTCAAGGCTTAGTATCTGGCTGTATAATTTGTTCTCATGGAGGACATGCAAAATGTATGAAGAATTGGTTTATGCAAACAAAGGAATGTCCTACAGGCTGTGGATGTGAATGTCTTCTATGGACTATTTCAAAAGAAGAATCTCATGATATAAATCTCCAAAACTTTCAGCAATCAGAAAATTTTCCAAAAGAAAATGACATAAAAGAAATATGGTGTAAACCACACAATATTACTATATTTAAAAGCAAAAAACTACAAAGCAGACATATTGATTGATTATTTTTAAATATATAAAAAATTAATTTATAAAAAAATGAAAAAGACTAATTAAAATCAAATATGTATAATAATTATTTTATAGACATCTATAATAATAATATACCCCTAATTTTTATTAAAAATTTAAAGGTTTCCATCAAATTTTATATCAAAAAAATAACTAAAATAAAATAAATCAATAGTCATTATTTATATTATAAAAAATCAATATAATTTTTAAATTTCAATCATAAAAAGTTAAACATATATGTATTTATTTTTGAATTGCAAAAAAACACTTATAAAGTTATTAAATAAAGAATCAAAATAATTATTAAACCTATAAAATCAGGAGTCTAATAGCATTCTACTAAATAAAAATAAATATTATAAATTTAAACAATAAAAGAGAACCAATTTTTAATATAAATTAACATTTTAGTATAAACTAAATCATAAAAATACAAAATTGCAATATTTAGATAATAATATAAATTCATAAAACTTTTTATATAAATAATTCAATACCTATATATACTACTATGAAATGCCATTAAAAAGTAATATATAATTATAATACAATTAGTAATAATTAAACCATATTCACTTCTTTTTAATTTTAGGTCTACGTATAAAAATATCACAATCTAAACGTCTTTTATGAATTAGAAGAGAAACATCAGGTTTCTTTTCTGAAGGTATCTACATCAAAAATTAATAATATATTCAATTTAAACATATCACTTTTTACTAAGAAATTTGAATCAGATCCAGCCTTTTTATCAACTCTTTCTTCAGATACTTGAAAATTTTCAGAAATGATATTATTATTATTTTTCAAACATGAAGTATTTTCAATCAATTCCAATCGAAAATTTTGAATACCAGTATTTTCCCCAAATGAATCAACTTTATAATTTACCTTTTCATCAGATTTTATATCAAAATTACAAAAATCAGCATCTTTTTTTTCTTTTAAAATTTTAAAGATATCATCAAACTAAAATAGATTAAGAATAAAACATAGAAAGCATTAAATTTACCTTAGTAAGCAAGCCTCTTTCTTTAGAGTCTTTAATAAGAGAATACCAATAAGAATGACAAGAAAGTGCCTTAACATTGCCCAATATTATCAAAGAAGATCTAGCCCTAGTTAAACTTACATTCATTCGTCTAATATCTGAAAGAAATCCAATTCCTTTTGCTATTAAAAAATGTAAGCACTCCCAAAATAATATTTAATGAAAGTATTACTGGAAGTCCTAACACATGATAATATAATAATATCTTTTTCTTGACCTTGAAATCCATCCTAACAAAATTAACATTTTTTTCTAATTTTCATAAATCATACAACAGTATTAAAATCAACATTCTCAAAAATAAGATTACCATATTTTTTTATGAACAACTCTTTAATTTTACTAAGTTGTTGTTTGTAAGGAGTAATAATCCCAAAAGAACCATTAAACTAAAAAAATAAACATAATAAATCCTAAAAAAACAATACTAACATTCACAGAAGGAAATTTCTGTGTAATAGCTTCATAAATTAACAATGCAGCACGTGCTTCCATAAGATTAAAGGGAGAACAAGAAACTTCGTCTTCATATCCATGAATATCAAAAAAGCGATAAGGACCAAAGAGATTTATTTGATGCCAAGGCCTTTTTGCCTTTTCTCTCATATTTTCACCTAGCTTTATCAAAAAAAATAAACTAACAAAAACATATAGAATTACCATCAAATAATTTGTTTGAATAAAAAATCTTACTTGGAAATTGACTAATACATGGATGCATACGATATTGTATGCTATAATAGTTATATAACATTTAAAATTATTGTCAGACAAACCTCAGCATATGAACTGAAGAAGGACAATTTTTTTGCATTCTTACAAAAAGACTTTGTTCATATAAATAATTTGCAGCCACTTGAGAAAATACAGTAGGAGGTAATTGGTTAGGATCTAAAAATTACTTCTAAATAAAACGAAATTAAAAAAATATCTAACCTCCTACAAGAACACAACGCCTGCATCCATATTTCAATGGTATTATTGTACTAAGCTCTATACATTGTGCAGCCTCATCAATAATAACAGTGGGAAAATCAAAGGCCAAATTCCCAAGAAGTTCATAACCACTTGCACTAAGTGTAGTGCAAATTACATTTGCACTTTTAAGAATATCAATTTGAACGTCATGTCGTATAATATCCAATGATTTGCCAGTACCATTCAGCGGATCCCTTAATTCATCAAGCTGTTGACCTAAATTATTCTTTTGAAAATTTAAAGATTTTAACTCAATTTCCATCTTTTTTTTTTCTTGTTCAGTTACCTGGTTCTCTAATTGCATAAATAAAAAATCCCGTCGTTTCAAAATTTCATTTAATTGTTCTCTTAATGTTTTCTGATTTACATTTTGATTGCCATGCTCGAGTTTTATATTGGATTTTGAAAGTTCCATTTCCACAAGATTATCTAAAGTAACATCTTTAACATTAAAATTAACAGCAGTATTTGATCCAACACGAACAATCTTAGGATAATATTTAATTCCCTTTGAATCAGGAAGCCCTTGCTTAAGACGTAGAACAATTTCATCAACAGCCGCATTACTAGGAGCGCATACAAGTATTCTTGAAGATATTGAATTATTCTCATGAGTTTCTCCAGAACAAAATCTATTTTTCGATTGAGAAAGAAAAGCATTAATCATACCCAAAATTGTCTTTGTTTTCCCTATTATTATTAAATATTGTACAATCTAAAACACAAAATTTACCAGTTCCTGGAGGTCTTAAAAATCAAATTAATTATACTATAATAAACATACATAATAAAAAACTTACCCTTGTATAAGATAAAATCCAGTAGATTTTGTTACACCAACAATAGCTTCCGCTTGAGGTTCATTTACATCATAAGTAGTCATTGCATGTTGAATTTCAGCAGAAGAGACTAGAGGAAATGGCTGGGACCTAGCGTTAATAATACTATCACAAAGCTCCAAATATTCTATAAATATCAAAAAAAAATCACTATATTTCAAATACATACCTAGACTTTTTAAAGCAGAATATTCTCTCTGAATTGTAACTAAGCTAAATATATTGTAAATAAAAAATATAACAATACAGATAACATACCTAAATAGTTTAAGCCCATAAAGCTCATTACTTGGATAAAAAAGTGCAGTTATTTTGTTTAAAGGACATGTTCTTAAGATAAGCTCAACAGAATTCTTTTTTTTTGAAATCGTTTGAACTCTTGCTAAGCATGACTTAGCATTAAATTCTGTAAATGGATTTGATACGTCTGAAATAACCAAAATATCGGAATCCAAAATAACAAGTGAATTAAATATTTCATAAGAAATAAAAACATAAAGGTCTATAAATTCATCAACAGAGATCCTATTTATTATTTTTATTTTAAATGTTTCATCTGTATTCTCTTCTTTGGCTTTAATAATTTGTTGCCAACATTCTAACAGCAATAATGGTTCAAAAGTATCCAGATAAGCCTGTGGTGTTTGGAATTTATTATCAACCTCCAAATATGTCTGTTTAATAGCACAGGGAGGAATTTCTCCATTATAGCTTACATTCCATTGTAAAACTTGTTTATGCAATGGCGACAATGAAGGAAATAACTTCATTTTTAAAGTATTAACTTTTTGTTTCTGTAATTTCTGTTTAGAAAATAAACTACTGCCTACAATATCATGATCCAATCTTTGAACAGACTTACGTTTTATTTGACGAATTTTCGGAGAAATTTTACCTTTCATCAAAGGTAGATTATCAATGTTACTATTTCCGGATTCTGTATCAGACGAAACTAATTCTTCTAAATCCCGATCTTTAAGATCATCCGAGTGTGCTTCAGATCTAAAAAGCTTTGAACCTAAAGTATTTGTACTAGTTTTAATAGATTTTCTCAACTCCCTATTTATTTTCTTATCTCTTAATAGGTCTAAACGAAATTGTCTTATTGAACTAGATTTAAAACCCAATCTATGAGAATTTAAAGATTTATTTTTAGAATAACCCAAATTCTTCAGATTATATTTATTTAGATTATTTCCTGATTCATGAGAAGGCAATACAGCTTTAGAATTGAGTACTTCCATAACCATTTTTGTTTGTACTTTTGATTTTGTTTCTGAAGCAAAATTTGATAAACTTCCTAATTCAAGAGATTCAGAACGACTAATATCAGATGTTTTTCTCTCTACATCGCCAACGCAAATCTTAGAATTATTACCAAGCAACTTTTGCGATAAAATAGACGACTCATAAACCTTTACATCATTAAACTTATCCAACATCAATTCAAACTCCTGAAGTGCAGAACACAATTTTATCTTTTGCTCATTAGTAAGACTAGTTTTATAGCTCTTTTTCTCAAGAAAATCCCTAAGAATAGCCAATACACTTTCTTCTACAACTATATTCCCAACTTTTAAGCGAAAAAGCAAAAGACAAATAAAATCAACAGTGGAAATTAAAAGCTCTTTATCACTCAAGCGAAGCCATCTAAACGAATATTTAAGACAATCTTGTATCTGAAAAAACAATTTATGAAAAGTATGAAAAGACTCTTCCGAATCACCATTATCTAATAAAATAATCGAATCATAGACTTTAGAGTAAATTACCATATTACTAACCATTTTCAACACATCTCTTATGAAAACAACCATAGAATCTTTTGGAAAATCATTGGCCCATGACAAAGAAAATAAAAATGACATTTTTAAAAACGTCCAAAACTGACTCCATAACAATATTATAACAGGGCGGTAGTCTTTTGATTTATATTGATCCAATAATAAAAGACCATTTTCAGAAGAACACAATATATCAAGAACTATAACGAATGCCTTTATTAATTTAGAAGCAACAGAAAAAGATTGGATATTTTCAAAATTGTCAACAGCATTTATTAACCCCACTAATGTAGAAACAAAATTATGAGATAAATCAAACCGAAAAATTTCATATTGATCAATACAATCATATGCTTGTTTAATTATATTAGATGACAACTGACCTATTTCTATAACTGGAGAAAACAATAATGATATAATAGAATGATTAATCTCGGGAACCTGCAACATTGTTTTAAATATATCAGAACCCATTCCGTCAAATTTACAGAATAACTGAGTCGCTTTTAAAATCAATTCCATCGCTATCTTATTAAAATAAACAAATTTTTCAGACTCCTGTATTATTTCAATGCAAGACAATGAAGAAAGAGATTGAAATATCTGAGACATAATATCTAAATCACAATCTCTAATATTCTGAATTAAAATATCCCATATCCTTCCCAAAGTATAATTAGTAATAGTCATAACAGAATCATCGAATTTTTCACTCTTTTTCATCATATTGGAAAACTCCTGTTGCAAAATCTTACAGTCCACTTTTAAAACAAATCCTATCAATCGACAAGCCTCAGACTTTAAAAAATCATTTGTTTGTGTAGAAAAAAGAGACTCCTCAACAATTCCTAAGTATTTTTCAAAAACTTTTTTATTTTCTTGAATTAATATCAAATATGCATCAAAATCCATAAAACCACTCTTTAATAAAATTTCAAACTCCATACTCAAAATCTGATACGCAAGAATCTTACAATTATCTCTATTTTCCTTTGAATAGTCATCTTGTTGAAAATACTCGAGAAAATAAAGCATAAATCTGGAACATGAATGATGTCTATTCGAATCTTGTAAACTATTAATGAATGGCTTTACCCAGATAAAAGGTAAGACAAAAGACATATATGAGCTCTCATTCATCTGACTATTACTCATATCCAAAGTCTTAATCAATTTATGTATATAATTATTTTGACATATAGTATCAATAGCATTTAGAGGATTACAATACATTGCTTGTTCCCAAAATGTTGATCCAAGAACATCTAAAAGCGTAAAAAACGCATTCAAAATATCCAAAATTATAGGCGTATTTTCAGAAAATCGAGAACATGTAAGACCAACAATATCCCATCCTTGACTGTAAAGATCTGCAATTATAGACTCTTTTTCAGTATAATGAAATAAAATCGATACGCCCTTCCAGAATATTGACATTGATGTCTTAAACATTGCATTATTTGTTTTCAAATAATTATCCATAGCAATAGTAAAAGGCTTTTTTGCAATCGACGTAAATTCGAACAAATTTAATTTCCTTGAAAGTTTTTTCAATGAAATTTCAGCCCATGAATAAAAATCTTGAAACTTTTCATCAAAAAGAAAATAAACCATTGCAGGAACAACTTCATCATAAATACGTAAAAATTTATTTTTCTTTTGAATAGCCAAAAAAATATCTTTAAATTTATTCTTCAATTCCTCTTTTTCAAGCAATTCAACATCCCACATACACTCATATATAACAAGAAATTTTCGAAAATTCATAGTTATTTCATTTTTTTCTAATAAAATCTCATTCGACAATTCACTTAATGTTTCATATATTCGTTCATAGTCAAATTCTCTCAAATGCTCAATATATTTATGAATACTCATATCTAAATCACTTTAATTTGTCAATACTATAAACTACATATATTCCATCATTACTATTCATGCCCTTCATAGGATGTTTCAATCTCATCTTTCAAAATATGATAATGCTTAATACATGAATAACATCTTCCAAGTTGAACTCTAATCTTCGTCTTTAACCACAATAAAGCATCACTCTTTGAAAACATAAACAACTGTAACGATTCCTTAATTAATGCATCCAATTTATTAGTACAAAACCAATGTTCATCTTCACCAAGTCCTCCAAGATATTTTAAAGATTCTTGAAATGCCTTTTGTTGAATACTTGTATCTTCTAGATTTTTATAACTTTCTTCAATTAATTCCTGAACCCTTAATAAACCCGCTTCATCAATAGACATATCTTATTCATTTAATCGTAAACATACAAAAACCTAACTTAATCTTACCAGAATCCTTAATCTTTTAATATTTTGATTTTTTCAACGCTGCTAAAGCATTCTCGTCTTTTTTAAATCCAACTAATATCGCGTACGGTTTCCGTATAAAAACTGCATATACTCCATCAAATACATATAAATTAATTAAATATCAGAAACCTTATTAAATTTTATTCATATTATCCCTTCCTTTTCTCAATCCCTTAAAATCTATTCTATTCATGCGCTTTGTATGCGCTTTGTATGCGCTTTGTATGCGCTTTGTATGCGTTTTATATGCGTTTTATATGTGCTCTTAACTATAAAACACCCATGTCTAGATATCTCTAATATTCTTATTTATCTTTTTTTTTTTTACAAATAATGATGTATGCAACCATAATATAAGGCAAGATATACATAGATTTTCATATTTAATTCTTTAAATTCCCATATGAGAACTAAAAAATAGGGTTCTCATAGCAAAAAACATCAAAAACATAACAAAAAGATTAATTTATTAAAAATGAAGAGATTAAATGATACTGATGATTATCGTAAATTGTATGGCATTGTTGTATGCGTATGCTTATTTTTTAGGGTTTTAATCCACGAGAAATAAGAAATTGAAAAAAAAAAGCCTTTCGAATTATTAATTTTTCAGATAATTTAACATCAAAAAAATAAAAAAGTATTTGAAAAAACAAAAATGGCTGTTAAGTAGAGTTAAACTAGAGAGAAAAAAGACATTAATTTTAATATGTAGGCCCGAAGAAAATACACCTCTTTCAGAAGTTCAAGGAGAAATAGATTCCAATTGGGATGAAGTAAAACAAGATATTTTTCAAAAAAAAAAATTAATGAATGTTTTTAGGTTGTTGATAATTTTGACAATATGGACCTGAAACCGGAACTGTTGAGAGGTATTTATGCTTATGGGTGAATATACATTATGTTATTTTTGATAAAAATTATTTTTTTTAATACTTTTTTTAGTTTTGAACGTCCCTCTGCTATTCAACAAAGAGCTATTTTACCAGTTATTAAAGGTGCGTAGGAGTAATTGAAAGTAAATAAAAAAGGACAGAATGGTTGATTAACATAAAGATCATGATGTAATTGCACAAGCACAATCTGGGACGGGGAAAACAGCAACTTTTTCAATTTCCGTATTACAAAAAATAGATATTAGTTTAAAGCAATGTCAGGCACTTATTCTTGCACCTACTCGTGAGCTTGCACAGCAGATTCAAAAAGTAGTTATTGCTATAGGAGACTTTTTACAAGTAGAGGTTGCATTTTTAGGATTTATTAAAAAAAAAACTAATATTATACAAGTGTCATGCTTGTATTGGAGGAACAAATATAAAGGATGACATGCAAATACTTCAGTCTGGAGTACATGTTGTTGTCGGAACTCCAGGAAGAGTTCATGATATGATTCAACGTAGAGCTTTAAGAACTGATTCTATAAAAATTTTTGTTATGGATGAAGCAGACGAAATGCTTTCAGTAATACTTCAAAGTATAGAAATTAGCATTTGCTAATAGGAACAGAGAGGTTTCAAGGATCAAATGTATGATATTTTTCAACTTTTGCCACAGTCGACACAAGTCGTCCTTTTATCAGCTACAATGCCTCAAGATGTACTTGAAGTTACTACAAAATTTATGCGTGATCCAATTCGTATTCTTGTTAAAAAGGATGAACTTACATTGGAAGGTATTAAACAATTTTATATAGCAGTTGAAAGAGAGGATTGGAAACTAGACACTTTATGTGATTTATATGAAACAGTTACAATCACACAGGCTGTTATCTTTTGCAATACTAGAAGAAAAGTAGACTGGCTAACTGAAAAACTTACTTCACGTGATTTTACAGTATCTGCTATGCATGGAGACATGCAACAATCTGAACGAGAAATTCTTATGAAGGAATTCCGAAGTGGCTCCTCTCGTATTTTGGTAAAATATTCTCTTAAAAAAATGATGTTATACTTATTTATATTAGATTGCTACAGATCTTCTTGCTAGAGGAATTGATGTCCAGCAAAGTATTCTTGTTATTATATTTTCAACTATTTTACTAAAAATTTTAGTTTCATTGGTCATTAATTATGATTTACCGTCCAACCGTGAAAACTATATTCATAGAATCGGACGAGGTGGAAGATTTGGTCGTAAAGGTGTAGCTATTAATTTTGTTACATCTGAAGATGTAAGAATGATGCGAGATATTGAACAATTTTATAGTACACAGGTAATTCCTCCATTTTTTACCTATTTATAACTTACATATCGATAAAGATCGAGGAAATGCCCATGAATGTTGCGGATTTAATCTAAATTTATCAAGTTACATAATTTCGTATCTAGCAAAACTTCGTATTCAAGATAAATTATTTATAATATGTAATTATTTACTTTTTTTAAAATGTTTAAAGACTCTTTTTGTTAAATATTTAACAGATTCATAAAATTACCTTATAAACCATTATGTTTAATCTCCAGCCATCGATATATATTAAAAATCATATTTATATTATTATAAATATCTAGCTTTTAAAAATAAGAAGTAGCTTCTATTATGGCATGAAAGATGTCAGAAACTTCTGAATATGAGATATCAGATGAAGAATGTTTAAAATTTATATTAGAAACAACAGAAGCAGCGTTTAACGAACAAGAAAGAAAAACGAATAATATTAATTTAACAAATGTCAGTATTTTATTATGAATTTTATATTAAAAATAAACGGATTTGTAGAAGGATGTTGTAAATAAAAGAGAGAATCCTAATTTACAAGAGGAATCTATTCAAGCTACATTATTTGGAAAAGTTATTCCAAAAAAACCAAAAGATTCCTTAGTTAAAACAATAGAGGAAGTACCAACACATCATGAAATAGACAAAGAATCAATTAAGACTTGGATTTATCCAACAAATATGAAAGAAAGAGACTATCAATTTAATATTGTTCAAAAAGCACTTTATCAAAATATTCTCGTATCTCTTCCAACAGGACTTGGAAAAACCTTTATTGCGGCAGTGGTTATGTTTAATTATTATAGGTGGTTTCCGAAGAGTAAAATTATATTCGTTGCACCAACAAAACCTTTAGTTTCTCAACAAATTCAAGCGTGTTATAACATATGTGGAATACCTCCAGAAGATACAATTGAATTAAGTGGAAATGTAAAGCAAACAATAAGATCATTTGCCTGGAAAGAAAAAAGAGTGTTTTTTATGACACCTCAGGCCTTGCAAAATGATTTGGAGGCGAAAATTTGCAATAAAAAATCAATTGTTTGTTTAGTTATTGATGAAGCACATAGGGCTATAGGAAATTATGCATACTGCAATGTCGTTCGTATGATTCGCTCAAAAAATAAAAGCTTTAGGATTTTGGCGTTAACAGCAACTCCAGGAACAGATATCGATTCAGTACAAGAAGTTATCAATTCTTTATATATTTCTCATATTGAGTTACGAACTGAAGATTCTATCGATATTCAAAAATATCTTCATAATAGGACACTAGAAACTATATTAGTACCTCTTTCTCAAGAGTTAATAACAGTTCGTGATTTATATGGTAACATTATAAAACCATTTCTACAGCAATTAAATTCAATAAACGCATATCATGTTCATGATCCTGGGGAATTAACAACTTTTAGTCTTATACAAGCTCAAAAATCTTTTATGAAAACTCCATCTATGATAAATGCACCATCTAATAAAAAAGGAGAATTTTTTACACTTTTTTCCTTTTTATCATCCTTGGCATATCCTATGTCTTTACTAATTTGTCATGGATTGAATCCATTCTACAAAAAGCTCAAAGAATTAGTGGATGGACCAACATTAAAAAAACATAGAAAATGCCTTGAAAGTGACGAAAAATTTAGACAAATTATATCTTTAATCGAAAAGTTAAGATCAATGCCCACATATATTGGACATCCAAAACTGGAAAAATTACGTTCTCTTGTATTAAATCATTTTGTCAATGCAAATGATAAAAATGAAGAAACACAAGCAATGATATTTGTAGAATATAGATCAAGTGCAGAAGATATCATGAAGGTTCTAGAAGAACATTATCCATTAGTAAAAGCAGAGTTATTTATTGGTCAATCATCTAGTAAATTGTCATCAGGAATGACCCAAAAAGAACAAATTTCTATTATTGAAAAATTCAAAGCCAAAAATTTCAATACTTTAATTGCTACATCAATAGGGGAGGAAGGACTTGACATTGGTGAGGTTGATTTAATTATTTGTTATGATTCATCATCATCTTCAACTCGTTTATTGCAACGTATGGGAAGAACAGGACGTAAACGACAAGGTCATATATATATCTTACTTACTTCTGGAAGAGAAGAAAGAAATTATTTTCGTGCTAGAGATTCGTATAAAGCAATTCAAAGGGTTATTACACATGGAAATATATTAAAATTACATGAAAAAATGTCACCCAGAATAATACCCAAATTTGAAAATCCAAAATGCCATAAACAAGAGCTAATAATAGATAAAAGTATTATTTCAAGTGACATGAGCAACGAATTTATAAAAAAATATCAATCAAAACACCAAAAAAAAAAAACAGTTCTTACATGCAAAAATCAATTTATTACAGCATCTACTTTACATAAACAAATGGCCGAAGATGATAAAGAATCTAATGAAACAGTAAATACTGTGTCATCATATGATTTTATTGAACATTCGAATTCAGAACAAAAAGAATATTTTGATCATGATATTAAAACAATTGAAAACCAGCCATTACTCTCAAAAGATATTGCATTATTTCCTGTATCAGTACCAAAAGACAAGCTCAGTTCTGTCTGTTATGTATCTCATAGTAAACTATGTCAACGACTAATTCAAACTATGCAAAAAATCAATTCTATCAAAACATGTAAAACTGTATTAGACAACTTTATAAACAATAATCGAATTAACTCTTTCAATTTTAGAAATATTTTAGTAAAGAGAACAAGAAATTATGGACTATTAGGAAAAAATATCAACCAATCTCAATGTTTAAAACTTAATGATTTTTCTAAGCAAGAATCTTTAAAAAGTAATGGATTAAAAGAAATTCAAAAAGAATATTTAGTTACAAACAATTCATTATTATCTAACAGCGAAACAGAACCAACTTATTCTAACAAATTTAAACGGCGTAAAATCTAATTGATAATAATGAAAAAGACGATCTCGATTTGCCAGATATTTCCAATGTATTATATCCCTTAAATGAAAAGCATAAGAAAGGAACAGTATTCGATAAATACAAATAATTCAGTATTATATGATGTATAATTTAATATCATTTAGACTTTTAAAAATTTTAAATAATATATTAAAAATATCGGTTAAGTTTTATCAAACTTTTAATTAAATGATAAATCAGAATAAATTTCCAGAAATTTCAGAAAAGGATCTTATTAGTTTTCATGAGAATCATTTTAATAGTGAATCATTAGGAATTTTCAGTTCTTTTTTAGAAAAAGATGAAAAAAATATATTTAATAATGCAAATTCTTTAGGATTTCATACATATGCAGACGGCAATATTAGGACTTTAAATGAAGAGGATATAGCATATTTCAAATGGTCCGAATCATTTAAATCAAGTTCATTATTAACATATTTTTTCATGGCTAAATTTTTCTTTTAGAAGCAGAACATACAACTTATTTTGTTTCAAATAAAAACAAAACAGAATCACTTGAAAATGAAGAAATGAAAGAAGAACTAAAGGCACATGTACCTTCATATTCAAAGCTCGTTAGAAATGATGACGAACTTTTCCTAAGATATGGAGAAAAATATGAGCTGATTAAAAAAGCAGAAGATGCACTTGATACTTATTATTATGAACTTTCACGGAAAAACACTAATTATGAAACAGACGAAAATAAAATAAAAGTAAATTATTGGCCAGCTACGCCTATTCGTATTTAAAGAATTTTTGCTCTTTCGGATACCTGTCTATGATGAAATCATATATCGTCATCCTTGTTCGGAACTTAATAGCTTTTCTATAGCAGTAAGATCATGATGAATCTCTAAACATTGATTTCTGAGATGAATATTAAACCAGAAAAACTACCGTTTCTTTAAAAATCTTCCTCAATATATAAACCATAATCCCTTTTCAGCAAATACTTATCAAAACAAAAATATTTTAAAATAAGTCATTTAAAAAATTCATAATTTTTCATATTTAAATTTAGATTTAAGAAAAATAAAACAAATAAATAAAATCAATAAAATAAAACTAATACTAAAATGGTTTCTAATTTCCAATGCTTACAAAATTTATTTATGATTCATCTATTTTTTATACAATTCTAGCTATTCTGCCCCATTATCATCAAATATAGTAAAATCATCTGAAATAATATCTGATGAATTTTCTTTTATATTTAAAATAAAAAGTTGTAAAAGAAAAATAATAAAATCAAAAAAACATGGTTTGAATTTACAATGATGACCTACACTTTCAACATTTCAATTACAAAAACACAAAAACCAAACCTTCCCCAACAAAATCAATAAATATTCCTCCATGTAAATATCCATATTGACCTTCTGCTGCATCTGGAAGCATCCATAACAAATGACATAATAAACATAGGGAAAATGATCCAATTACTGCGTAAAAAAAAACCAAACGAGGTATAACAGAAATATATACAATTTTATGGGTATATATATTCTTTTTTCCAATAATTAACAAATATAAACAATCTTAATCATTCTACATACCAATTGTATGATTGAACGGAGTAAAAGACGGAAAAAACTAATACTAAAAACATTAATATTTTTAAATATATTTAAAACTTACTCCATAAAATAAATACATACAATATGACAATAAACTAAAACATCTAATGAACGTATCAAATGGTTTTTAAACCGTTCATTTATTTTACTAGATCTATCTTGAAAAAAGGCTTGAGACAAAACCCTTGTTTCCATCCAGTTTTCATCCATCAAAAACTATCAAAATAATCAATATATTTTATGTTTTATTGTTAATTTTCCATTTAACTTTCTCGTTAACACTAAAAATTAACGTTTTTTATAAAATATTAAGAAAAAAGTTAAAAAAAGTCTAAATTTCTTAACAATTCTTAAGAAACTATTATATTTTCTTAAAAATCTTAATAATTTTCTTAAAAATTAACTTTTTGAACTCAATATGTCTATATTTAAACAAAAACATAGAGATAAAGAAATAGATAAAGTATAATGATATGAAAAGATCTATATGTTTCTAAAAATCCCAGGATAAGATGATACCATGGGTCGAAAAATAGTATTATTATTATTATATATTAAAAGAAGCTGAATGGAAATTAGTCGACCACAAACTCTTGACGAGGTTACATCTCAAGATCATACAATCAAAGTGCTTAAAAAGACATTGCACTCGATGAATGTATAATTTAAAGTTTTAATATTTTAATAGTTAATTATGAATCAGCTACCTCATTTGTTATTTTATGGATCTCCAGGAACAGGAAAAACAAGTACTATTCTTGCGCTTGCAAAAGAACTCTTTGGGTTATTTTTTTATAGAAAGAAAGAAATAAATATAATATTTTTATAGTTCAGAGTTAATAAAATCTCGAGTTTTAGAATTAAACGCATCAGATGAACGAGGTATATCTATTATTCGAGAGAAAGTCAAGAACTTTGCACGAATTGCTATTCCCGATGGCTCTAGGTATTTAAAAATGAACATTATAACAAAAAATTTATTTTGAAAGTGAATACCCTTATCCTCCATATAAAATTATTATTTTAGATGAAGCAGATTCTATGACTCAAGATGCACAAGCAGCCTTACGACGAACAATGGAAACATATTCCAGAATTACTAGATTTTGTTTAATTTGTAATTATATAACTCGGTGGGTAAAATAATTATTATATATTTATTTTACCATTTGAAGGATTATAGGACCTTTAGCATCCAGATGTTCAAAATTTCAATTTAAACCACTTAGTTTTGATAATGCAAAAACTAAATTAGAATATATAGCTAGTTGTGAAAATGTTAGATACGATGAAGGAGTAATTGAAAAACTGATAGAGTTGTCAAATGGTGATTTGCGAAAGGCGATTACATTTCTTCAATCAGCAACACGTTTAGTTAATTTAGATTCTAATACAAACAAATCATTAGATAAAAATATTGAAAGTATTTCATTAGAATTAATTACAGACATTTCAGGGACTGTTCCTGATCATATTATTGATAATTTGCTTTCTATATGTTTTTCATCCAAGAAAACCGAATTATTATATAATTCAATTGATCAATATGTTTCAGAAATAATTTCAGATGGCTATAGTGCAAATCAGTTGTTATCTCAGGTTTGTAATCCTCTTTTTTAAGTACTTTTATCATTCTTCGAAGCTACACGATTCTATTGTTTCTAATGAACTCATTTCTAACACACAGAAAAATGCAATGATTCAAATTATGGGCGAAACTGATATGCGTTTAATTGACGGAGGCAGCGAACACTTAAATCTATTAAATTTAGCAGTACAAATATCAAAAATTTATACGAAAAACTTACATACATAATTTTTATCATATTATATTAATTATTACAAGCATATCAATCGTGCAAAATATTCTACATATTTAACATTTTAAAGAACAATAATACTACTATTCCTAACTAATGGATCACCTTTCAAATAATCCGGCTCTTAAACAATTACCTTTATTTCCAAAATTTCGATTGTTACCTAATTCAAATGATTAACAATTCGAATAGTCTTTAGAAAATATTATACATAAAATTTAAAATTTAGAAACACTGTCAATGCAATTGAAATATTCAAGAAACATTGGAATAATATTTATCTTTTTAAAAACTTTTATTTTTCATCTTCATTTTATTGATTTCTTTTTTTTTTTTCAATCAAGAAAACATAGAAAACAATAATTATTCACATCAGTACATCTCATACATTATTTTAGTCTCATCTAATAGATACTTTATCTTTTTTATCAATTTTTTTCACATTCATTTCATACAATTCAAAGAACACATGTCAACATATTCATTTTATATTTCAAATAACATATCTTCTTATGGACACTACTTAATTAACCTTTATACACCTCTAAACTGATAGATAGGACATTCTCTATAGTGTTCGATTGATCAACGACCGACAAACGACCAATATTTAAAATGTCAGAAAGAGGACCTCCAAGAATCAAAAATAAGGCACCAGCACCAATCCAGATTACAGGTAAATTAAAGACTAATCCTTATAAGTAGATATCTTAGTTTTTCTTAGCGGAGCAATTACTTCGTGAAGCTTTTGAACGACAAGAACCAGCACTTCCGGCACCAAAACAACGTTTAACAGATCTTGAAGAGCTTCATGAGCTGCAAGGAAGGAAAAGAAAGGAATTTGAAGATGCTATACGTAGGAATAGACTTGCTACAGGCCAGTGGGTTCGTTATGCACAATGGGAATTAGAACAGAAAGAATTTGCAAGGTTAAAAAAATCAATAAAATTTAAAAAAATTAAAGCTGGACTAAATTTAGAGCACGATCTATATTTGAAAGAGCTCTAGATGTAGATGCAACAAATATTCCGCTATGGCTTCATTATTTAGAAAGTGAAATCAAGCACCGAAATGTATTTTATTGCTTAGTCAACTATAAAGAAGATTAAAATACCTTAGATCAATCATGCACGCAATCTTTTTGATAGAGTGGTAACATTAATGCCTAGAGTGGATAAATTTTGGTTCAAGTATGATCACAGAGATAATTTCTTTATTTTTTATATTTTTGGGTTAACTATTACTATAGATATCTATATATGGAAGAAACACTTGGAAATATATCTGGAACTCGTCAGATTTTTGAAAGATGGATGTCATGGGAACCAGGTTAATTAAACTTTGTATTTTTAAAGGAAAATCTAATTTTTATAAGACGAAGCAGCTTGGCATGCGTATATACGATTAGAAGAAAGATATAATGAAATACCGCGCGCAAGAGCGATCTTTGAAAGGTTTATAGCTTTATATCCAGAACCAAAAAACTGGATTAAATGGGCACATTTTGAACAAGAATATGGAACACCAGGTTTTTCTATATTTTACATATTATAATAAATATTGTATTTTAATATATATATTAGATCAAGTTCGTGAGGTCTTTACAACTGCTATTGATACATTAGGAGAAGAGTTTATGGATGAAAAAGTTTTTATTGCATATGGAAAATTCGAAACAAAATTAAAAGAATATGAACGTGCTAGAGTCATTTATAGATATGCACTTGATCGGTTACCAAGAAGCAAGAGTGAGGCATTATACAATGCGTATAGTTCATTTGAAAAAGTATAAATATTATATTTATATCATATTAATTCTTTCTAGCAATTTGGAGATAAAGAAGGAATCGAAGATACTATATTGGCCAAACGGAGAGTTTTATATGAAGAACAAATAAAAGAAAACCCAAAGGTATATTATTTCCTTATGTTTATATATTTGGAACTAATGATTTATAAGAATTACGATGCATGGTTTGATTATATAAATCTTGAGGAGTCATCAGGTGATTCAGAAAAAATTCGAAACATTTATGAAAGAGCAATAGCCCATGTCCCTCCATCGTATCAGAAAAAGCATTGGAGAAGATATATATATATTTGGATATTTTATGCACTTTATGAGGAATTAGAAACAAAAGTCTATACTATTAAAAATTTCTATTATGATATTAATAATATTAGGATTATGAACGTTCTAGACAAGTTTATAAAGAATGCTTAAAACTTATTCCACATAAAATTTTTACTTTTTCTAAGATATGGGTGTTATACGCTAAATTTGAAATAAGACAATTGAATTTATCTGTAGCTAGAAAATATTTAGGTATGGCTATTGGAATGTGTCCTAAAAACAAGCTTTTTAAGGAATACATTGAACTTGAACTTCAGGTAAATCATCAATTTATTTTTTATCAATTCTAAAAAATATTAGTTAAGGGAATTTGATCGTTGTAGAACTCTTTACGAGAAATTTATAGAATATGATCCATATAATTGTTATGCATGGATTAAATATGCGGAATTAGAACATATGCTTGAAGATTACGCCCGTGTACGGGCAATTTTTGAATTAGCAATTGAAGAACAACATAATTTGGATATGCCGGAACTTTTATGGAAAGCTTATATTGATTTTGAATTCGAAGAAGGGGAATATGATAGAACTAGAATACTTTATGAAAGACTATTAGAAAAAACACAACACGTAAAAGTTTGGATAAGTTTTGCTCATTTTGAATTTTCTGTGCCTGATGATTCTGATGATAATTCGGAATATTCAAAAGAAAGAGCAAGGAATGTTTTCCGAAGAGCTTATAAAAGCCTTAAAGAACAGAATTTAAAAGAAGAAGTAAAAACATATAATATTTATTTCCAAATTAATTTACTTTTAGCGTGTAATTTTATTGGAAGCCTGGAAACAATTTGAAATTTCTAATGGTGATGAGAAATCTCTTAAAATAGTTGAAGATCAAATGCCACAAGTAGCTAAGAGTAGACGGAAACTGGACGACGGATCATATGAAGAGGTAAAAATACTTTTGTTGTATTATAAATATTTAACATTCTATAGTATTACGATTATATCTTCCCTACTGATGAAGATAAGAGAAATTTCAAATTATTAGCAATGGCTCAAAAATGGGCAGCAGAAAACAAGAAAAAGCAAAATTCTACATTAGAAAATTCAACATAAAACTAATACATATCCCATTCATAAAAACAATGTCAAAACTATTTCTATAATAATATATTTCGAAATATTCAAAGTAATTTTAAAATGTACCATAGTTCTTATTAGATGCAATATACTAATACAAAAATAAAATTTATTAATTTAAAATAAAAATTTATTTTTAGAAAATAAAGCCCCAAAGCTAATCAGTACGCCGAGTCGTACGTTTTTTAGATGTAACTTGTTCTGAAGAATCACGAGCACCATCAGACAAGTCATCCTTCAAAGTCTCATCAGATTTTGAATGATCATCTTCCACTTTCTCCGACCCAGCTGAAGTATGTCCTGACTAAATAACAAGTTAATTCAAAAGTAAAATATGATACCAAAACTTACAGAAACCAAAGTAACCAGCCCAAACAAAAGAGCTATAAAAGTAACGAATACAACTCCTATGGTAGATGCTGTTCCTGGCATCTGTTTAAAAGCCGAAACAGGACTAGTTTTTACTAAATCAACGAACGTAGTAACCTTTTTTACTGCAACATCGAAATATGACTCTTTTGCAACATCATCTAATACTACTTCTGGCTCAGGAGTGATGCCTTTTTCTTGCTTCCTCTCATACTCATATTTCACTTGAAAGGTAGTTTTGGCAAACTGTTCAGCCTCTTCTACGGAATGTCCGATATAAATATTATCAAACAAAATATCACTTTGCATTGTCCATAGCTCAAAACCAACTCCAATAATTGTTTCAAAATTAGAGGGAGAATTATCTTCAAAATATGCAGGATTAGGAATATTACGTGGTTTCCTTAAATAATTTAAAAAGTATTTTCATTGAAAAGGAAAAATACAAACCATTCACCAACATATTTAGGATTATCAATAAGAGGAGGTTTCCATTCTAGAAACATTAATATTATAACGAAAAAAATAAGATTCAACTAAACATACTTCCTTTATATTTAGGATTCCGAATCATTGGCATATAAGGACCGCATCCAGATGCTTCTTTACATAAAGGATTTGGTATCAAAGGCGCCTAAAAATGATATCAATAATATTTAAATTATTTCGAGAAAAAAATTACAGTAAATTCTCCATCTTCTTCTTCATTCCATTCTTCAGGAGGTTTAGCATCTAAAAATAATAAACATAATAAAAAAATATAATTCCTATACTAACCTGGATCCGGAACCATCAATGGCTCATTTTCAAGCCAATCAGCTGGCTTTACAGCATTTACATCGAGAATCTCAAAAGGTTCATCTTCATCCCAATCGTCCGGCTTTTTTGCATTTGGATCAGCAATTTTAGCCTGATCAACCCAGTCTTCCGGCTTCTTATCAAGAGGATCAACAATAAACTTATTCGGATTTACTGGAGGTTCAAAATCAGTCAACAAATTCCCACTTTTAGAAACTTTATTGTTAATACGAACTTCATATGACTGATCAGGCCTAACTATCAATGTGTAAAGCGTTGTAAACTTAGAATCATCGATAACAGGTGGTGATTTAAGATGTTTTTCTTCATATTTACCCGTAATTGGATTTTTATGTCGAAAAATAAAATGCACCTTATTCGTCGCTCCACATTTATCCGGTCCAAACATCTAAAAACGTTATTAGATTTTTAACCAATTTCATTTTATTTTTTTATACAATTGTATAGGGCGTTTTATCGCTAAATTCCTTATAACGAATATCTTCATTCGATTCGGTTATAAGTTTCAAATATGCTCCCCCGCATTCTAATCTATTTTGAAGCATAACTTCGTACTGAACTACTAACGTCTTCCCTTTATTATTTATTGGTTTATCAAATTTTGCCGAAATAGCATGATGAGCCGCCACAGTCTTAAGTACCAAACCCTTATCACCAATAATTCCTTTATATACAAGAGGTTCTTCAACTCTCCATTCCCCAACATAAAAAAACGTATCATTTCCATCTGTATGCCTAAGTGCGGAAGATACTATCCATCTTTCTTTCCAATCTTCCGTAAACTGCTCTACAAAGCCCGCATTTTTGAGATAAACTACCTTATATACATCAATTCAACAAAATACCACTTTTACAACGCATACATACCTCAAAAGTAGGCTGTTTTTCAGATAATCCTTCATTTTTTATTGATGCATATACTCCAACATTTTTACTGAATCTTGCAATACCAGAAATCACCAATAAAATACATAATCTTAATAACCCAACCATAGCCAAAAATTTCCTTTTTTACTTAATTCTAGCCTTTTTTCTTTATTCAAATGAATCCTTACTTATTAAAAAAACTGATTTTTAATCAATAATCTACTTCTCAAATTCTACTCATACATACCAATCCAAAGTATTGAAAACAAAAATAAAATACAAGAAAGGCTTTTTATCAGCAAAATAAGAGAAATCGTCTCAAAAAAAAGTACGTTAAATATTTTTTTCAGCGTACCTTTTATTCTCTTATAAAAATCGGACATTTTCTTTATGGAACACCCGGGTGTTCCATTTATATGAGATATCAAAAGCCTATATTCTTTTGGATAATTCTAAGGATTTTTGGTTTCGTTTCCAGAAAGAAACAAGCTATTTGAAAGGGTTAGATGAAATGTAAAGAGATGTAAAAAACAAACAGCTTTTGCAGTCAATTCGGGTAAATCTTCATGAATAAAATGACCAGTGTTTTGAAAAGTGAGTAATTGAAACTTTCCTTGCATTTGAGCAATCATCAATGTTTTGTCAAGTCTATCTTTGCTTGAAAGAATAAGTAATTTTGCAGATGGAATAGCTAAAAAGCAATCGGATAGTCCATTCAGCCATCCTTTGTTTATATTAATAGAAAAAAAAAGAAATAAAATGTTTACCGTGCCAAAAGGGTTCAGTTTCATTTAAATCAACTCTCCAAATCCATTTGTTTTTACCAGTATTTAAAGATATTTGTCTTTTAAAGAGCAAAGGTATAGAAACCTTAGCAGATTGTTCATTTTTTAGAATCTTGTTTTTCAAACTAAAAAAAACATTAAAACAATATAAAAAAAAACAACATACTGCCAATCAATTCCTTCTCGTATGGAACTAAAGAATTTTGGTCTCTTTAAAAGATGATACATCATTGTCGAAAAAGAATTAATAGCCGAACCTAATAAATAAACAACAAATTAAACAGCATGAATATCTAAATCAATACCTTCTACTATATCTAAAACTGCACAACCCAAAATATTCGGTAACAACTGGTTTTTTGCCACATGAGTAAGAACAGCACCTCCTATGCTTTTTTAAACATAAGAAAAAACTCAATATCTTAAACATATATTCAATCAATACCTATGACCAACTAAAACAATCTCCGATATATCATCCCATCCGAAATTCTGGCAAACAAGTTCTACCATTTTAACAAAATCCTTAGATAACTCTTCTAATCGAAGATCCAATAGACCATTTTGCAATACCTCATCTGATATTCCATGTCCACGAACATCAAATGACAATACTCCACAAGCTCCATTAGTTATTTTAGTGATTTCTTTAGCTAGACATGCAAAACTCAACCCACACGATCCTGCTCCATGATGCATTATAAAAAAACTCATTCCTGTCCCTTCCTTTGTTTCTGATAATTTAGGAACTGTCAAATACACCTGAAAAGGGCCAATCTTCAAAGATTTCTCAAAATATCCTGACCATAAAGTGTTAAAATCCTCACAACCCATCTTATCAACAAATTCATTCCCTTCAGATTCCAGATCTTTTACATCAAAACGTCTCATTCTCATATTTTCATTATAAAGTTTACAAACACTTTCAGAATCTATATCTGTCTTAGATTCATTCAAATCCACATCTTCAAATTCTGTTTTAACAAAAAGTGTAGGAGAAATTAATTTCTCTTTAATTACTTGTCTGTGCAAAGCAGACATCCTTCAACCTAGATAATTCTCTAACAAAATATCTACAATATTGACCTTATAACTTTCTTAAGAACATGCAATCTATTACAAACATTCAACAGACAATTTATGACGTTCGAATATATCGTTCTTAACTCCGTTGTATACTTAAAATAACCTAAATATCTAATCAATTCAGACAGACCCTTTCAAACAAAAATATTCATAATACTGTTTTATTATATAAAAAAATAAAATAAAATAAAATAAACTATTTAAAAATATTTTTATATAATTTTATATAGTTTTATCAATAAAAATAAAATACTTTTTTAAAAAAGACTTTAATTTATTTAAAAAAATCTTTTATCACTTTTATTGATGTTTTTTAGATATAATTTCACTTTTTTCTCTCATCTGACTATCTTTTTCTTCAATTAGTGCTAATATAATATATCCGATTAAAACAATATTTGTCATCAATACAGCAACAATTGCGGCATATATCGTATTATTTTCTAAATATACAACTATTAGTCTAAGTAATTCAAAATTTCTATCTATTACGTTTAAAAATATATCTTAAAGATAAATAATAACTACTAATCGGTACAATAATCATAGCAGTTGAAAACAAAAAAAACTTAATCAAAACATATCTATAAATTCTTAAAATAATTAAAAAATAAACAATAATAATAACTTCTTTGCTATTTTATCAATTTGTTCAGCATCTTGAGACGTCATTTTTTTATTCCCGCTAGAATTTATCGAGATTAATATAATAATATTTCTTGTATAGAAAGTAAAAATTATGTTAAACAGAAAAAAGTGAAGTGATTTATATTATTGTTATAAATCCAGACATATAGGAAATGAGTTGAAGGGTTATATTAGGAAAAGGGAAAATCAATAGAGGAATATAATAAAATGACAGTTTTTAAAAATAAAAAAAGATGTATTGATCTAACAGAAGAGGCCGAAGAGCCGTTAGATAGAGAAGAAAAAGAAGTAATTCAAGTTCTCTGTTCATCTCCAATATCTATTTCGTCTTTTTTAAATGAAAATCAGACAAGAAACAAAAATATAGATATTTTATCATCTAATATAGAAGAAAGCAAAGATTTAATACAAAAAACAAATCTTATACCTAAAAAGAATAAAAATGAATATGGGGTGGTTAATGTAGTGGAGCCATCATATTCATTATCGTTTGAAAATAATTTTAGTACAATTTATCAAGAAAAAGCGGAGGATACAACATTTATAGTTAAAGAATCACCTATTGGGAGGTTTAAGGAATACGCATCACAGTTTGCATATCAACCGAAAGGAAATACGAATATAGAAGCTAATGAGATGATACAAAGATCAGATGTAGATGGGTATGCTAATTCTTTATCAAATAAATATTTAATACAAAAAACGGCACAAACAAGAGATGACACAGAAAAAAAATTAGATAATGACATGTTCCTAAAAAAGAAAGATTTTTTGAGAAGAATTTATCCACATCTTCCGGAATATGTTCTTGAAAACATGATATTAAAACCATCACCAGATTTTAATAATATGACGGAGCTTGTAAATTTAGAAAATGTAGATATTACGAATCTGAGATCATCACCAATAGGTATACAAGAAAAGATAACATCTAAAAGAACTTTACAACATTCTCGTTATACTATTCGAGAAAAACATATCAATTCTACCCAAAATCAAAATTACATCACGCATGTCCATGGTACGGACAAATTTGTTCAGAAAAAAAGACTTGTAAGGGGAATATCTCGTACGAAAAATCAAAAAGACTCTTTTTCTGAGTCAGATGATTCTTCAATATCTAATGAAGGCATAAATGATAATAACCAATTAGAGGAAGAAACATTAAAATTTTTAAATCAAAAATCGGCTAAAGAAATAGCCGATTTAGCTAACTGTACTCTAGAAATAGCAGAAGAAATCATACAGTCCAGACCTTTTAAAGACATTGACTCAATAAAAGAAATTCGAAGCAAATGTAAAACAGATGAAAAAGATAGACGAAAAGAGAAAAAAACTTTGGGTATGAAAGTCTTAGAATCATGCATGGAGGTAAAATAAGTTGATTGTTTATTACTAAATATTCAAATCTTTATAGATGTTGGAAGGTTATAAGGCTATAGATTCTCTTATTTCTAAATGCGATGAGTTAGGGAAATCTATTTCTAAATCAATATCGAATTGGGGAATAAAAATTGCCCCAGAAACAGGAGAACTTAGCATTGGTAGCGACGATATTGATAAAATTCAAATAAATGATCGTACGTTTTAGATCAATTCTATATTTTATTAATTTTTTTTCAGAAGAATATATAAATCAACAACCAAATCTTATCCCTGATACGGTTAAATTAAAACGTTATCAACTTTTTGGTGTAAATTGGTTAAATCTTTTGTATAGAAAAAAATTATCTGGAATATTAGCGGATGAAATGGGTATTATATTTTGTTCTTTATATATGTATATATATTAATATATATTAGGGCTTGGGAAAACATGTCAAATAATAGCATTTTTTGCACATTTGCTAGAATTGGGAAAATCCGGGCCCCATCTTATTGTTGTTCCTGCTTCTACATTAGGCATGGTCTTTTATATATATATTGTTAAAAAATAACAATTTATTAGAAAACTGGCTTCGTGAATTAGCAAAATTCTGTCCAGCTCTTAAAGTTGAACCTTATTATGGTGATATTTTATAAAATTCTTTTAACTACAATTAATTAAAATAGGAACCCAAAACGAACGTCTAGATATAAGATACCATTTGGAAGAAAATCCTGACTATAATATAATAATTACAACGTATAAAATAAAATTATTATTATTTTCTATTAATAGTAAATTAGATACCAATTAGCTACTGGAAGCAAGGAAGACAGGACATTTCTTAGACGCCAAAGATTTGATGTAATTTTTTTCTGCTTTTTTTTTAATTATTCAAAATTATAGGTTTGCGTGTATGATGAAGGGCATTTTCTCAAGAATAGTTTATCTGAAAGATACAAACATTTAATGAATATTAATGCTAATTTTCGTCTTCTTCTTACGGGCACAGTAATTATTATATCCAGTTTTTGCATTTAATACTAAGTTAAATATAGCCTCTACAAAATAATTTAAAAGAATTAATTGTAAAACATAATATTATATATTATATACTAAAATTCATTTAGTCTCTTTTATTTTTTATTCTACCAACATTGTTTTCAGAAAATATTGAAAAACTAATTACTGTTTTTAAAATAAAAACAATTAATGATGGTAATTCAGGATCAGCTTTACTTTCAGAACAACGTATTATGCGAGCAAAGTCAATGATGACACCATTTGTTTTGAGAAGAAAAAAAATACATGTAATTATTATTTTTAAACTTTTCTTTTCTTAAACTGATACAGGTATTAAATGATCTTCCAAAAAAAATTCAACATATAGAATTTTGTGAAATGAATAAAGAACAACAAAATATTTATGATGAATGCATTTTTACTCAAAAAAAGTCAATAGAAGCGAAGACCTCAGGAGTTGAGTCCAAAAATGATAAAAAACGGACATTTAATATTCTTATGCAACTTAGAAAAGCAACAAACCATCCTTTACTTTTTCGTCGAATTTATAATAATGTTATACTCAAAAAAATTGCAAAAAATATAATGAAAGAACCGGATTACCAAAATGCTAACCAAAACTATATTTATGAGGATATGGAAGTAATGACTGATTTTGAAATACATCAATTATGTAAAAAATTTCCATCTATACAGTCATTTGCATTAAAAGGAACACCATGGATGAATGCTGGAAAAGTAGAAAAGCTTAAATATCTTCTTATAGAAGCAAAAGAAAGAGGAAATAAAGTTTTACTATTCTCACAGTTTGTGGAAACATTAAATATTTTAGAAGAAGTTTTAGAAACTTTAAATATTGCTTTTACTCGTCTAGATGGAAGAACTTCAGTAGATACACGTCAAGATATCATCGATCAGTTTACTGATGAATCAGATATTACTGTTTTTCTTCTTTCTACAAAAGCTGGTAACATTTTTTTTTTCTATATTTATCTATTTTTACATTTTTTTCAGGAGGATTTGGTATAAACCTTTCTTGTGCTAACGTTGTTATTCTTTATGATGGGTCATTTAACCCTCATGATGATAAACAAGCTGAAGATCGAGCACATCGTGTCGGTCAAACAAAAGAAGTCCATGTCATCCGTTTGGTCACTAAAAATACCATAGAAGAATACATACAATCATTAGCAAACACAAAACTCGCTTTAGACTCAAGTATTAGCGGTTTAGATGATGAACAGCTCGAATTAAAAGCTGAAATATATGTTAAAAATTTAATTGAAAACCCTTCTTACCAAAATTTTACTTTAGAAACTTAAAAAGTATTTTAATACTTTTAAATAATAAACAATATAACCTTTTTAGATGCTTTTTATGTATAATATTTGTCAATAAAAATATCATTATCAAATCTTTAACTTCACGACATCAGCACGTTAAATCTCCAAAATCTGAGATTTAGATTTTTAGCCCTTTAATAGACTTTAAAGAAATAGAATAGAAGAGATATAATGAACATAAACTCCTATTATACATATGATCCAGAATATATTGAATTAAAGCGACTGGAATCGCGTACGCGTTATGAATCAACATTAGAAGGAATATTTGAACGGTATGGAAGAGATATGACAGAAGAATCAGATGAAGTGGATTTAAGAACAGGAGAAGTTATTGTCAATCGAGGTCATTTGAATAACCTTCAAGTTTCGTGGTTTTTAGAAGAAGAAACATTAAGTTTTAGTGATGATAATCTTGAAAATGATTTTTTTGAAAATATCTTATCATTGGTCTCTATAAATCAAAGAGAAACAATTAAACGAAAAAAACATAAGGAAAATATGTTTCCTCAAAGATTTCCTTCAAAAGAGAAGATTTTCAAGCAATTTGGAAGCCTTGGACCATCAATTATTAAATTAATTGAAAGTCAGAAAAGAAAACGAAAACATTTTAAAAAGATCAAACGTGTAAAATATCCAGAAAGGAATTCAAAAGAACTAAATGACTTAAAAATACGGAAAATAAGTACATTTATTCCATATACAAATTCAGATTCAGATTCGCATTCAAATTCTTGTGATACAGCTTTTAAATTTCAAAGAATTCCTGTCAACATATCTAATAATCAAAAAAAAAGCATGACTATGCATCTAAACGATTTTTTTATTCACAATAACAAAAACACGATATTTAATTCAGTACATGCTGTCAGACGATTTGATATTATTATCGATTGCCCTAAATCAAATCATACATTCATCCAAAACCCAAAAATCGGTACTTTAATACCAAAAAACACTCTTGAAACTCGAAAAGCATCTATTTATTCATCGCATGCTCATCTTTTTGATCAATATTATAATTTTTTGACAAATTCACAAACAAAACCAAATCGTCTACTTAATCATTTATCGCTTTATAATAATTTATATCCAATTGAATCATTATCTTCCGAATCAGCTTCTCAGGCAGAAACAAAATCTTATTCTACTAATACATCTATTGAAGAAACAAATTTGGAAGTGGAAAATGCACATAAAAAAAAAATACACTGTAACAAACTATTTTGTTTTACTTGTTCATGTTTATGATCTCTGTGTAATTTTAATCTGCAAAAAAATCAAGGCAGATTTTACAATACAAGGTATTTTTCGAAAATATTGACATGCATTGTTTTAAAATTTAAGAAAAAAATAAACATGGCTTTGGATCAACAATTTGTTTAGAATAAACATGTCTATATCAACTTTCTATAGAAATCGGCCATTCTCTTACAACTTAAGTCGTCTCTACTGTCAGACAATTTATTATCCGAAACGTTATAATACTTCATGGCAAATATGGAAAAATACAGAGATTCAGACACCGACTTATCCTTATCGTGCAGGAAATGTATCATATAACTTTTCTTCTGAAGATTTACCTCAAAAATGTCAAACTGTAAATGCAATGTTATTGTTGACAGAAAAAACACCTCCCCGACAAGTTCAAATGTTGGTTCGTGATTTCATTGAAGATTCTATTTATAATCCGTTTTATGGATATTACAATAAGCATTCTTGTATTTTGTCAATACCAACGTCATTTGAATTTTCGAAAATAAAAGACAACAATAGTTTTCAAAAAGAATTAGGAAAAATTTATGAAAATTATGATAAAATGGCCGTACAAAAAGGTGCAAAACTTCCCATTCAGCTATGGCATACACCAACTGAGCTATTTAAAGTATATAAATATTTTTTATTTTTATAACTTATTTGATAGCCATATTATGGAGAGGCAATAGCACGCTATATACTAACACATTATAAACTATCTTATTATCCATATGACGATTTAATAATATACGAAGTGGGATCAGGCAATGGAACGTTAATGTTAAATGTTATGGACTACATTGATCGCATGGATCCGGATGTGTACGCACGAACAAAATACTATGCAATTGAAATTAGTCATCCATTAGCAACACAACAAATAGAAATGTTAAAAAACACCAAACACTATTGTGAACATCAAGAAAAAGTTGAAATAATTAATAAAAGCATATTTGATTGGAATACATTAAATTCTAATCCTTGTTTTTTCATATTATTAGAAGTATTAGTAAGAATTTCCTTTTTATTATAATATATAATAAGGATGAAAGGACAATTTTCCACATGATTTGATACGATATAATCCAATAACGCAACAGGCATATCAGGCATTAGCTGTTATTGACGAAATAGGAGATATTCATGAATTTTATTCACCCATTTTAGATCCATTAATTATAAGATATCTCTCATTGAAAAAGAAAATCACACAGACATATAAAAGTAAATACAATGACATTTCTTATCTTATAAAACGATTAAAAACATATCTCCCTTTTTCGGAAAACTTAATTGATCCAGAATTTATACCTACGAAACAACTTCTTTTATTTGATATTCTCCGAAACTATTTTCCAGAACATAAATTAATTATATCTGATTTCTTTTCTCTTCCAGACACTATTCAAGGTCTTAATGCTCCAATAGTCCAGACACGATTTTCTGGTATGACAATTCCATGCTCAACATATTTAGTAAAACAAGGGTAATAACCAGCACAATCGTAGAAACATATTAAGTTAATTAGATATTTCGATATCATGTTTCCAACAAATTTCGAAGTTCTAAAAAATGTATATAAAGCAACATGTTTACAACCAGGAGAAAATAGACATATAGAAATCTATACTCATAGAAGGTTTCTTGAACAATGGGCAGATATTGAAACAACCAAAACAATTAGCGGTGAAAATCCAATGTTAGATTGGTTTGAAAATGTAAAAATTCTTATCACACAATAATAAAGTACCATAAACATCATTACTTATATCTATTTGTAATATATTATCTAGCACTTCATATCAACTCTTATTATTAAATATCTGTGAATTAATGAGATGCTCATGAACTATAATATTTATTGCAGATTTTGTCATTTTTACAATGTATTGTATTATATATACAATAATTATGTTTTCCATCGATTATCACCTTCAATATATTAAAAAAATATTTATTTCTTTAGAAACTTACAAACTTGGCATTCATAAAAAGTAGTCATCTACAAATCTTATTAGAAAAAAAGTTATATAATATGCATAAATAATACAGGCTCATCTGCTCTTCGGGTTTGCATCTATAAAATATATAAGCCAAATATTATTAACTTGGACTTGTATAAATACTTGGTAATACGAAACTTTCCTCTGTTTACACTATAAGTAAATATTAGATTTTGTTATACAATATAATTTAGTATTACTTTTCCGCACTGAAATAAATCAGTTACAGCTTTTATTGGCTTAGGCCCTCGTGCTTTAAAGAGATTTATCTCTTCTAATTTTTTATCTTCCTCTTTTCGTTCCTTTGATGCCATTTCTTGGGATGTCATTGTGCAAAGTCGTGGTATACTCAATTCACCATTAATAACATTTTCTCGTAAACTAGGGTTCTTTTTATCTTTTAAATTTAATAACAAAGATCTCATTTTTTGTCTATAAGAATCATCTGTTTTATGTGAATAAAAATTGAAAACAAATTCATCAATAGCTTTTGCTTTTGAAAGAATTTCCGCATTCAGATCGTCAGAATCACAAACCAATGCATTATAAATCAAAGAAATACAATTGTCTCTAACTTTATCACCCGTAATATCAGTTTTAATACAATTTGAAACTGTATTTCTTGTTTTTTCTAAAGTATTCGATGTAGATGACACAACTGACATTTTCTCCATTTCCGACGTATTCTTCACCAAAGAAGCCTTTTTTAAAGCACTTAAATCTCCCCTCCATTTCTTTGAGATCTCCTTAGCCAAATCTGCTACATATTTCTCTGAATAATTTCTTAATTTTCCAATTGTAACTCCTACTTTTGTATCCTGACAAATCCTTTAAAACTAAAAAAAAAAAATAGTTAAATATCCATACAACAAGAGCCTCTGACACAACAACTTTGTTCTTTAAAAGCCTTAATATATCAATAATTAACTATTAATAATATTAATTTTATACTAAAAGAATAAAAAATAAACCATTTGATTTCCTTCTTGAAATGCTTTTTGAAGAACCTTATGAGCCTTACGAACCTCTGAAATATCCATAACTACTTATCCTACTTAAATCCTTAATATATTCAAGCTTCTAAGCAATAACCCTCAGTCCTTTGAAAAATTAACGTCGTCTCCTCGTACGTAGAAAATCTGGATACAAAGTGGAACATAAGAGAAAAACATAAAAACAATTAATTATAAATAGATTATTTCCTATTTGAAAGTTTTTCTACCACTTCTCTTTGAAGCTGAACACCTTCTTTTTGTCGTGATAATTTAGAAATTGAACGTAAATCATTACATATATCTCTTGTCTTACCAAAATAAACTTCTTGTAATATATTTCGCATTTTTATTTCCATATCCTCAACAAGACGTCCAACATGAACAATGTGAGAATTTAAATCATTAACTAGTAATTCTTGTTCAACCTATATTTTTGTAAGAGAAAAAAATAAAGAAAAAAAATCACCTGTCGAGTAATATTACCACTTAAATTCATTTGTCCTAATAATTCACTTTGTGTTACCATATGTAATATAATTGTACTTGTCAATCTGTAACGCACTGTTCGAGAACCATATGGTACTTCAAAAACATGTATAGAATCCCAATATCCTTTTTTTGATGATTCTAAAAACCCATAAATATACAGCAAAAAATTATACATAGACAAAAAATTGCCTTTTTTAATTAATACAACACCAGCAAATCCATTATCAAGATCCCATAAATATACACTTGAAGTACCTCCTTCATAATACCTTTTATTAATCAATTCTCTGTCTTTTTTTCTTTAAAAAAAACATACAGAGTCCGGTATATATCAAATGCTTCATTAAAGGCAATTTCTAACTTGCGAGTCCTTTCACTGGGAACAATTCCATCCGGCAATACCGGAGTATATTCATTACTCCAAGGAGAACGATAAGAATCACCATCTCTATTATAATCACAAGACAAATAAAATTTAGATGTCTTTGGACATTTCTTTATTTGTAAGGGTTGATCTATTGAAGATAAAAGATCTTCTGTTAAATAAGGTACTTTTTCAAGAACAGCTACTATATTTCTTGCTATATCTTGAGATGGTAAACGCCTGAATAAATCTAATGCAGCATCCAATTGTTCTGTCTAAGAATATTAGAAATTACTTCTTAAGAATCTTAATATTATCTTAAGAAACTTACCATCTTTTTTTAACTTTTTAATGAAGTTTAACGAGGAAGTTAAATTGTAATGAATCTTTTAAATTAAAAGATATAATAATTTATTAAAGAATGAAAATATAAAGATTGATTTTTTTATAAAAATTTATTATGTAATTTCAAAGGAATAATTAAGGATTTACAAATAACCAAAAGAATAATCAATTTTTAAAAGATCATAAATAATAGTCGCAACAGGAGCACCAGATTTGCGGGCCATGTCTTGCTGTCTGTCAATTTGAAGATTATTATATTGATATAATAATTTTCCATCTAAAATTCCTCGAGCAGGATTAGATGTTTTATTAATATAAGTAGAAATTCTAAATTAAAATTAAAATAAGGAAAAAAATAAAAAGAAAAAACCTATATGTAATAGGATTTAGTCCAGCTATTTTATCTTCAGTATTAATAAGTTGACCTTGAATAAAATAAAGTCTTCTATATATTTTTTCTGGAAGTAAAATTAATAGGCCCATAGCTCCGTTGTCAGAAATACATAAACATAAAGAATCCTGATTCTTAGACGATAGAATTTCCTCTGAATCACTTATATTTTCTTGGAAAGATTGCTTAGGAAGCATCAATATAGATCTTATTTGAGAACCAGCATGAAAATCCCCTCGTTTAAGCAATTTTTGACCAAAAAGTGATTGTGAATCTATTATACTATTAAAATTGATTTAAAAATAAAAAATCAATACTTTCAGGATCATAATTAAAGACATGAATATTTCCATCATCATCACCAACTACAAAATATAAATGTTCATTGTCTACCAAAAATTCTGCAGATGAAACAGATATAGAACTATGATCTTTCCCAAAAAGAACCATTTTATAGGGTTCTTCCTTATCTATTTTTAGTATAGCTAGCAAAAATATTTTATATACTGACAGAAAATCCCACAAAACATATACTTTTCATTATATCTCCAAACAAAAGTAGATCTCGAATACTTTTTGCAACGGAAACATACATATTCAAATCAATAAAAGCGGTACCAACTAATCTCTCATCATTTTCTAAACTTCGAACAATAACCTAATTATTGTTAAAAAAAATATATAAAAAATAATATAGAATATAAAACCTTTTGTCTTTGTGCACTTAAAAGATATCCATTTATATCACATATTGCAGAAACAACCCCTTTAACCTCTTCTCGACAAATTAATTTCATTTTTTTATTTGTCTCAGGTTTATTTGGCTCAGGTATTACGTCGACTATTTCAAAAAGATATGTTGAACCACGCATAGCTAAATCTTCTCCACGAAATATACCAGTACCAACTGCAATAAATTCCTTACGAACTTTAGTATGTTCAGAAACTTCAAGATTAACAGATTTAATTGTAACTGCTGCTTCATTTTTTGCAAATGAATATCTTTACAAAAATTAATTTAACTAATTTAAGTAATAATAAATAAATACCTATCAATTACTTCCCATGTTTTAGGAGATAACAACTCCAAAAAACCATGGGGAAGTTTAGGAAGAGCACTAGGATCATCTATTACATATAAACCACCAATATTAATATGATTTTTTAAAATTACTAACTTTCATGTTCAAACAATAATTCATTATCTTCATCTAAAACCTCGTATTCCTCCATTTCAGATGTACAAATAGCATAGACATGTTTAGAAAGATGATATGCAATAGATGTAACTGTTTTTCCAATCACCACATTTTTTATAGCCAATGACTCATTATAAATATAATCATCACTTAATTTCCCAATATTTATAATATTCTAATTAATTAAAACAAAAAACATTATAAATAAAACAATACCTCAGAATCACTATAAATAAACCCATTTTCGTAATTCAATGTATTAAATGAAGAGAATCTTACTATTTTATTCTTAATATTTACAGGAAACAAATGTGGTAATGAATGTGGTGTTTTGATAATAAAATATGATGACGTCCCTCCAACATAAACACATCTAATATCATTTTTACCACCAAAAGGTACCATAGATTTTTGATGTAATTCATTAAGATTATTTTTAAGATTATTAGAATTATTAACCTGTATATCACTACTTTGACAATTATGGACAGTAAATATATCTGTTGAAGATTTAAACAAGTCAATTTTTAAAAAACGTAAAGGAAATGATGCAGAATTATTTTCAGTATACAGAAAACCTTTGTAAATAATTACGTTTTCCCATTCAGTACGAACCTATAAAAGTAAGATAAAAATAGAATTCAAAATAAAAAAAACCAATATATATGGTTCGTCCATTCTATTATTCAAACTTGTAACCAATATTTCTCGAATCTTGTTTTCGTAAATTTCATATGTATTTTCATCATTTATGCTATTTTGAATAATTTTAGGTAATATAGAAAAATTACTAGACACAAAGACACAATCCATAGATGGAAGGGCATGGATCTATAAAAGTCAATCTATTGTTATATTTTTTAGTAGGCAATACCTTTAATACATTGTTTTGAAATAAAATAAAACAAAAAAACTTAAGCAGAGGATTTGAAGATTTTAATATATATATATCATTATCATTGAAACTATTCATATGAATTTCTTGAAATCTTATATCGTTATTTTCATTAGATTCTTTTTTTTTAAGAAATAAATATTTAATATCATTGGAAATATTATTGTTTGTAAAATAATTGTCAAAACTCTGATTCATAATTCCTTGAGGAGAAAAAAAGCACGCAGAAATAATCTTTTCATTCTAAGCATAATCAGATAACATAAAAATTTACATATGTATTACCTTTAAAGCTTTAGGAAAAAAAAGCTGAACAATTTCCTTAGAATCATGTTTTGCAAAAAGTATACAAAATTGATTGCTTTGGAGTTTTAACAAAATATAAGGATCCATTATAGATGCGAAAATAATTGTCTCATTTAAAGGATTTTCCTTATCAGACATTGAAACATATTGTGTTAAGGATATATCTAAATAAGAATAAATTTATTAAACATATTTAATTTATACTATACCGGAATCATAAATTCTAACACTATCACAAGATACTTGTACGATTCTTGTATGATCAAATACAGTGCCAACTTCGATTATATTACCACGAGTATCGAATTCCGTATTTTGTACTTCATCAAAACTTTCACCAACAGTAAATATCTAAAATAAACTTATGTCATACTTTTATTTTATTCTTTAAAACATACCAAACTTTCTTCTAACTTTGAAATAAAAAAATAATTATCAAAATTATCTCTTAAAGAAGATGAATCATCCATAAAATCCTCAATGCCAGAACTTCTGAGAGAAACGGTCCATAATCCATAACAATCAACAAAGTTAAAACTACCAATAACATCTGGCTGTATACTTTTCTATTATAATTAGACACATATACTACATCATAATGTTAACACTAACCTTAAATATATTAATAGAGCCTGTTTTATTTTTTCCTGTAGCAGTTACTAAATCAAAAACTGTATGCTGATCCTTTTAAAAATTAGTATGAATCAGACAACTCAAAATAAAATTCAATTACTCCATAGGGTAAAAAGGAATTTCCAATTGCGGCATCAACAATAGGACCAAAACTACATAAAGAATCAAATAAACAAAACTGTATATCCCCAAAGACTTCTTTCTCTGATAAAATCTGACTATTATCAATAATATCTAAGCTATCTCCATATAAATCATTTAGAATTTCCCTATCCTCATCAAATATTACTCGAGGTTCTGATAATATCCGTTCTACAATTTCACTTTGTCTTTTCCATCCTAATAATACACCATTGGAAAATTTGCTTCCAACAAATAATAATTCTTTATTTAATAAAGTCATACAGCTTGCTTTTGAGCTAAAGAAATCATTTTTGGGACCCTGATCTAACACTTTTACTATAAGAGAACTAATTGCTCTACCATCTAACCTAAATCCTACTTGAACAAACTGTCCATTCTCAATAACCAATAGTACAACTCCTGGTTGTTCAGGAGATGAAGCTAAATATGTTGCTACTGCTCCGCTAAGTTTTAAATCAAGATCATAATTCTCAACAAAATCCAAATGCGTGCATTTTTTTGCAAAAGAATTTACTGAAACAGCTTTTACACATGCTGCTTGATCTATGTGAATCAATTCGTTGTTTCCAATAAGAAGCGAGCCTCCAATAGGATTTGGAAGGGGTAAAATGCTAAATAAATCATAAGGAAGTCTATCGACTGTATAAATAGCTGTTGATGCCTTTTGTTGAAGATCTAGAGTAACTGCAGTAAAACTTACAGTATCTTGGCGATATGGAAGGAGACCCGTAGATGTTTGAAATGCAGAGTAAAGAATAGCAAGAGTTGGCTCTCGGTAATCATAAAGATAACCACAATCAATAATATGTGAAATACCTTCATGCATCTGCCTTGACGATATAACCGATGATGAATAATATGGCAATTGGGAAGCTGTCTCTGAATCCTGAGTTATATTCATGATATCATCATCCAATGAAAGAATATCTTTTTGCCGAAAAGGAATTATTGCAAACATATCTCCATAGAATCTAAGAGTTGCACATCTATAGGATGGATCCATAATCAATTGTGCATTAAATTCAGGAGATAATGATGATCTATATTCCTCCTTCTCATAAAAATGAATACTCACTGTCGAAATTCCAAAACTAGAAGCATCCCATTCAAGAAGAGATACTTTCGCATCTCTAAAAGCTACTAAAATACACTCTCTTTTAGTTTTATCATAATCTTTTGTCCTAACTTTAGTCATTGATGTAATTTCTCCATATAATTCCGTTTCATAAACAAGAAATAATGACCAAACAGTCTCTAATCGAGACGGTTCTAATTTTACATCCGTTCCAAGAAAATCCTACCCCTTATTAAACCATTTTACCTTTCTATTTTTTATACCTCTTGATTTTCTCTAACATGTAATGATGGCAATATTTCTGATTTATAATAAAATTGTCTTCCCTCCTTTTTCTCCTTCAAAAGACTATATATTTGTAATCTATTTGATCTCCCAACAATTAAATTTTCCTCATTTGAAATAAATTGAAGAGCTAAAACATGTTCTATAGCCATACTCTCCATAAATGGCACATAAATCATCGACATTTTTTTTGTTAAAAGATATCAATATTTTCTTTAACAAACATTCAAACGAGCCCAAAAACTCCTTATAAATAGAAGTAAAAAACCTCAATGTTTTATATTCTTTTTTTTTTTAATCATCGATTTTTTTAAGCGCCTATCTAAAAAACTAAGATTGCATAGTTTTTAAAGAATATTATTTTTAAATTGAAATGATGTTTTTAACCACTTAGAAATCCTTTTTTTTCCTTTAATAAAAAGAACTCTTAAGATGAAAAAGAATTGAATCTTTTAAATAAAAAAAAAACTAAACTTTATTTCATCTTTCAACTTAACCCTTTCAAAATAATAAGCCTTATTACTATTAAAATAAATATAATCCCTTACTAAAAACCTTTAATTGTTTTTTTTTTCATGCAAATTTTTTTCTAATCGACTTCTATTAATTAAACCCATTAAATGATCCGATACACCCAATATTTGAATGTTTTTTTCACAATATCCCGTCATTGCCACCCAAAATCTTGACTCCTCTCTATACTTAATTAAACTTATTCCTTAATTATTTCTTTAAAACATTTTTTTTCATACCTTGATGGCACGCGAATATAAACACACTTATCCTTTGTTAAATGTAAAATATCAATCATAATAGATTCTCCTTCCAGTCCAAATCCCTGAGAAAGTGCCTGTTTAATCATTATTTGCCATTTTTTCCTGTCTATTTCTTTATCATCATATGATTCATTCCTTATCAAAAATTAGCTTTATAAAAACCAATTTTTAGTCTTAAAAATAACAATTTCATATGAAAATAAACAAAGTCAGAGAAAATACGCATACGAATGGGTCTCATTTTCTAATATTTCTTAATTATCTAAAATTTTTTAAGATTTCTTAGACATACGATAAGCAACATAATTTTGACTTAAAACTATTAGAAAAACTTAAGTTATGGAGGGAAAAGATCAATCAGTAATATGGGCAATTTACATATCAATAATACTAGTAAATAAGAATAAGAGTAATCTTAAATATCTAAAGAATTTAGGTTTTCTTTTTTGGATTATTTAGATGGATTTATCAACGTCAAAATAAAGATAAAAAAAGTATGATAATGATAGGAATTATAGTAATTATTATGGTACATATGATAGGAACACTTAGTTTATATCCTATTGATATAGGAATTGTTTGGTTAAAGGAAAAAAATATAGAAAAAGATTATTTAAAAAAAATAGTTTTTTTAGAAAGGAAAAGATTTAAATTATGTAAGAAAAAGATATATTAAAGAAAAACTAAGATATATTAAAAATCTGTAGGTTATTATAGTATGAAATTGAGAACTAAAGAGAGAAATTAATAAAAAGTAGTATTTTATGGACTACATATAATTGAATTATTTATAATATTACCATTTGTGTATTATTTTTATGAAGAATGGAATGAAGAGTCAACAATTAAAACAAGGATATTTGGGGCATTAAGGCGTTCATTATTTTTTTTACTTTTATTTATAGCATTATTTTTTAGTGGAACTTTTATGAGTATTACAGAAAAAAAGAATTCTAAACTATATTTAAAACATTTTCAACAAACGTTTAAACCCGAATGTAAGGATTTTTTGAATTATTTTATGCTAATATTTAATTAATTTTTTTAGATATAAAGATGAGTACATTTTTTATTGTAGATGTTGTTTTATTATTTGGGATTATTCTTTTTTGTATATATACAGCATTTGGCTTTTCATTATTTCCTTTACAAATTATAAAAACAAATTCAATAAATGTTCCGGCATCTGTAACAGATATAAAACATGCTTTAATTCTTAACCGTGAAAAACAACGAGCCATTGAAGTTCGTTACACAGGATTTTATACTCAAATGAATCTAAAGGACCGTAGGGCATTAGAGTCTCTCCAGAGGGAAGAAAGAACACTTGTACGTTGTATTCGACTTGCAGAAGAAGGAAAGAGAAAATGGGAACAACCTATTTCAACCATCTTACATTTACTTCAATTGCTTCTCGGATTTTTTTTTTTAGTTATATCCATAGGAATAACTTTGTTAATGTCAATGACAATGTTTGTTCTACTTATATTTATAATATGATCGTTAATCTTTTACATAGAATTTCTAAATTGGAAAATACATACTTCAAAATTCTTTACAATTATATAAGCAAAAAATGGCCTTTCTATTGTATGAGTACATTATCTCAATATCTTTTTAAGGCATGTATCCAATATTTTATTTGTTTTTTATTCATAAATTCAAGACTTTTCCTATTAATCTTATTATGATTACTCTTTTTATACTCTATTTTTATGTGACTACAATTGTTGCAATTTTTAATACAAAGATGACAAAAAAATTCACGTACTTTTGATTTAAACATTGTTTTTTTTGAATTTTTAACATTTTTCAGGTTTTTCAAATATAATATACATAAAAAGATAAAAAATAACACTTTACATCATGATTTTCTAATTTCTTTGGCTATTTTAATGTTAATGGTGTTTTCATTCAATTATACACTTAGTGAGGTATTTAAAAAAAGTTTCTCTTATTTATTTATTTATTTCAGATCATTATTCCTAAATATTATACTCATCAAAATAATCAATCTCATTATAATTATGCTGTAAGATTACAGATAAAATTTTAGCAAATTTTATACTAAAGGATTTAGATTTTTAATTCTCAAAAAATTTATAATTATAGAAATCTTCTAAAATCCATTTTTTTATCTTTCAAAGCACAAGATCATCCTTCAGATAGATTATATACATTAACAGTCTTAAATACAATTATCAATGATATAACGAGCAATTACGAGTTTTTTAAAACATGGTATTCATATTCTTATTTATTATTTTTGGCAGTTTTTCTTCTTTCTTTTATTATTTTAAGTTTTTGTAGTAGGACTGAAAATATACAAAATAATACAGAAATAGAACCGGAAAGAGAAGTTTTTTTTTTATCTATTTAATCGTCATGAAAACTTTATAACATATCATTACAACAGATAGTACAATTAATCATTTAATAGCTATATTTCAATATGAATTTATCTAATCTATAAACGACTTATATTTTATATACAGTTTAGTTTTTTCTACCTAGATATTAAACGAATTTTACTTAATATTTATCATTTTATCAAATTCTAATCTCGAAAACTTATCAAAATTTTATAAAAACATCATTTATTAAAAATTAATTATTTTGAATGTCCTTTTTATTTTATAAACGGTATTTTCATATATTTAAATATTTTGCAAAATAATATTTTATAGATATCTTTTTTATTTTAAATCTTTTAAAAAATATATACATCAGAAATCTTTCTTATCATTTGAATTAAAATCAAAAAGAAATAAAGAAATATATGGGATTGAAAATATAAAAGAAATTATGGACACAAAAAAGCTAAATGAAAGTCTCAACGATGCAATTTTATATTTAAAAAAAGAGTCAGAATCTCTTAAAATGGGTCGATCTAATCTTTCTTTACTTGATAATTTGAAAATTCCTATTTCTAAAAAGAAAAGTGCTTTACTTAAAGATCTAGCACACGTATCTATGCAAAATAATAAATCCATATTACTGACAATTTATGATAATGATGTTTTTTTTATATATTTTATTTATTTTTCAATTAATATTCAACAGAATACCAAAATTTTGGTTTCTACGATACGATCTTCATCACTTGGACTTAATCCTGTTATTCATCCGTTAAATCCTCATCAATATATTATACCTTTACCTCCACTAACAAAAGAAAATCAAAAAAAAAAGTTAATAGAGATATCAAAACTTGGAGAAAACACAGAAATAATAATACGAAATATAAGAACAAAAAACATGAAACGTTTAAAAAAAGCCAAACAACAAGGTGAATTAACTGAAGATGAAATAAAACTTAAAGAAAAAGAAATTACAAAAATAATTAGTAATGCAAATAATGAAGTGAAAAAAATTATTGAATCTACAAAAAAAAGTATTTCAGAAAATCAATAATGTATCCGTATTTTTATTCAAGATAATTATTTATTATGCATAAGTCATAATAAGATCTATATATTATACATATGTACTATGACATATATTACGTAGATATTGTATCTAAACAGTCTTTTGTTTTATCATCTCATTTATGATATTAATCATTTCAATCTTCTGATTTGGCTTTATTGACGAGTTTTTGTATATACAATTATTAAAAAAAGTTGAATCATTCATATAAAATATATTTTTGCAATCCAGATTCCCTTCATTAGATTTAACATTCATTTTTTTTAATTCTTTATCCATTTCTCTAAACTGTTTTGGTACCGAGTCTTTAGATTTTAATATATTTATTTTTTTTGACGATATAACCCAATCTGGCATATATGGATCCAAATCTTCTTTAGAAACAAACTCAAGCCTCGATACAAACATATCTAATTTAGAATGCCCTTTTCTAATTATAGGACTACGATATATCCTTTGATTTTTTTCATAATCATCCATCTTCAAATTAAATTCATCTTTTAACATTTTATTCTCTTCTTTGATATTTTTTTTACTTTTAATACTTAATTCTCTATCTGAATCTTTTAATGAAACTGATAAATTATCATATTCTAAACATTTTTTAATAGTTTTCATATCTTTTTTTTCTGTAGATAAATCCTCATAAAATGCAAGATCTGAGTCTACATATTTTGCTTCATCTGGCCATGGAAACCCCATATAATCTTTTTTTAGAACACCATTTTTTAATCCACGGGATACTTTAGATTCATCATATGGTAAAATACCTGGCATTAATGGTTTTGCCAGTATATTAATTTTTTTCCCTTTTAATCTCTCCAGTAAGCTTTTTTTCACATTTTCCTTGTTCTTTACTGGTATTTCCTGTATTTTTAATAGATTTGTTTCTTCAGCTTTTCTTGTAAGAGCACCAATAGTTTGAATCTCAAAAGTTCGTGTTGAAATACAACGTATTCTTCTTTTAACCCATATAACATGAGTGACCCTTATAAATCTCATTTGTCAATCTAATTTTGTTAAGAAATCTTAACAATTTCTTAATTTCTTAAGAAAAGATAAACGTTAACGTACAGTTTTTATTAAAAACTATTAAAATCCTTTAAATATTTTAGATAAGAGCTTAAGAAGAAATAGTATGAGCGTTAACAGGTAGATACTGTATTTTAAAAAAAAATCATACTCAAATTGTTGCTTAGTACAAAATTAGAAGAACCTAAAAATGAAGCCTCAATAATGTTTATAAATTTCTAATTTTTATTAAGATAAATGTAATTAATTTCTAGAGAAATCAAAAAAACAAATAATATATTGGATGTACTTCCAAGGTTTGACGTAGATATAATGACGGCAGCTTATATGTCAACTATGGAAATTATTAATGAAGAAGAAGATTTATTATTTACAGAATATAAAGAACTTTGTCAGGAATTACAATCATGGATAAGAAGTAGAATTGTTTATGATCATCTTATGACACGGAAACGGTAAATTATTAGCTTTTGAAGAAGAATATTAAAAAAATAGAATACGTTTAACCGTTGATTGGGTCATTGCTAAAGAAGAAGAACTTGAAAAAACACGTAAAGAGATTTTAGGATGTATGGAAGCAGTTAAAAAGGCCCTTGGATTATTGTTTTCTACATAAAATATCAAATCTATACAACAAAAAATAAAAAAAAAAGCTAAAAATAAAATAAAAACTATTCAAGAGACATATGATGCATTAATTTCTTAAAATATACTACTAACTATTTCTAAAGCATTTAGCATTTGACATTTATAGCTCAGCTTTCAAGAAAAAAAGGCAAATTTATTTTCTTATAGAGATCTATTGCTATTTCCATTATTTTAAATTATTTATTTTCTAAGTTTAATAGGGTTTTTCACATTATTTATTCAACATTTAAATAAATAGAAAAATAAACTTATTCAACTTATTATATATTGAATATCCTCTTTTTTAAAAATTTTTTAGTTCGTTAACGTATATTTTGTTGCTTTTTTAACAAAACAATGTTTGTTTTAATATCCATAGAAATAAGATGTTCCTTGAGGTTTTTGACTAGGGATTATAGACTTCAGATAATATTTTATTAAGTTTAATTAAAAATATTAATTAATTTGGTTTAAAATTGAAAGAATATTAAGAAAATGGGAAATAGAACATCTATATTCAATAAAGATAAGATAATTGATGAAAAAAAAGGAATGTGTGATCTACAAGAAAAAACATATTATCAAAGAGTTGATTCAAATATATGGAAACCATTTAATAATGCTATTTCATTAAAAAATAATAAACGACCAACTCGTGATAGCTATATGGATAGAACAGCAGTTCAAACGATTATTCATTATATGTATAATTATAATAATGACGAATTTAGTAAGATTTCCATGTCTTATTTTTATTATTAATATTATATAAAGATTATAATTTCTATACACCAGCAAACATCGATGAAGAATTATTAGAGCTTTCAATATTAATAACTAATCAACCTAAAGAATTTTTGAATCTTCAGCCTCATCCTTTATTTGAACATATATCTAAGGATCTTTCTATGTATATTTCTTCTAAAAAAAACATACCAGTTAGGACACCAGTTGTTTTTAAAATATCACCAAGTTTTAAAGCTGAATTAAAGGTTTAATTATATTTGGGTGGAAAAGATTTTATTGATGTTGAATTAGATTAAATCAAATATTTCAGTAGATCCTTTATCAGACAATCTTTTTCATTTGAATCACAAACGTTTTGATAGACAAGAAAAACATATTCGAAATATTGAATATGAAAGATTTACATATGATCGACTTTATTTAGAGCAGAAAATTGATCAACTTAATGGGTCGAATTGGAAAAAAGTTGTAATGGCTATTTCTAAAATTACAGGTTGCAAAGATCCATTGGAAATTCAAAGACAATATATTATTGAAAGATTGGAACAAGTTCTGAAAAAATTTGATTCTTGGAGAAAGCTTCAATTAGAACATAAAAAAAGAACAAGGAGCCATATTAATTTAAATAAAAATTCTATTTCAAAAGCTAACAAAACATTTTTTTCAAAAAATCATTTAAAAAAGAAACTAAACAGTGAAATTTCAGAAATTGCTCCTCTTATAACTGAAAAAATAAATAATGATGAATTGAATACTGATAAACATATCCAAAAAAAGCGAAAAAAATCAAAGAGTTCATCAGATTCCCTAAATAATAATATAACCATGCCATTATTTTATACAGTACCTGAAGATGAGTCTAATAAGAGTAAAGATCTATCTATTAAGAATAAAGATACGTATATTGAAGATAAAAATATGCCAAATGAGAATACTCATGTTGAAAATAAGGATACACCTATTAAGAATGGACCTGTAAAAGTTCAGAAAAAAAAGACTAATAAAATTGTATATTCGACTAGAAATAAAAAAGGCTTAACATTTATTAAATCACCTCATATAAGAGAAGCCATTACAAATAACTGGCGAAGAAGCAACAGAATTATATTGGCATTTGGGCAGCCGCTTCCTAAAATAACTACAAAAGTTCAGGAATTTTCTTTACCATTCGAAATTTTGGAAGGGTCACAGAAATAAATGTTTTATATATCTATGTAATTTTTTTCTATAACTATGACTTCTGCCTACTTGCAATATTTATTTACAAAAAATAACTCTATTTATTTTTTCCTTTTATATATATATAAATAGTTTTAAAAATTCTAAACCAAGAGTTAATAATATATATAAGTACATCTTTAACATTATTATATTCGACACTAAATGATTTTATAATACGCTTGAAATTAAAAGAAGATTTATATAAGATTATTTTTTTAATTTTTGAAAAAAAATAAAATCCATGACAATTATTAAGCTTGTAAAAGTTTTTATTTTTATTAAAAGATATTATTGAAGATTCCTGTATAAAACGAATAGAAGAGGATATACGATCAAATGTATTAATAAGTGCAACAAGTTCTGTTCTTCGTAATAAAAATTTATTTTGATCTAAAAAATCATCAAATTCGAAAAGAATTTTTAAGGCAGTGCCAAATCCTGCAATTTGAATTTTTCCCCATAGACGACATTTATCACAACTAACGCAATCCATAAGTTTACTAACATTCCTAAACCTCATTCGAAATTCATCCTTTAAATGAATAGCAAAACTATTATGTGATGTATCAAACATAAGTTTCTCATCAAACAATTTAGGAATAAAAGATATCTTCGAAATCAGTTTGTTAAGTTTATACTACAATATATTAAATCAGTTTTAGAAAATATAAGATAACAACTTTCGTCATCATATTACTTTCGACATCTCCCTCGCAAAATGTATAATTTTGTAAATATTTATCCAATTTTGCCAATGCTCTCAAAATTAGAAGATAATTAAAGTATATATTTTCAATTCTATCAAAATAATTTCCAACCCGTTCCATAAAACACTGAAAATTTGGTTCCTATATCATAATTAAATAAAGTATTTTACATATCAAATCATAATACCCATAAACCCGTTGTTTTGTTAAGATATTCTTTACATAAGTGTGTTGATATACTTGCATGCATTCCCGATATGATTCGATAAAATACTCTTTTTTCAAGACAAATTGATTCTTGAACCATTGCATTTCGCCTCTTCTCATCATTGTCTTTAGACCCCCAATTATCTTTGTGCATCATAATTGCTTCTAATTTACTCGAAGATAATGAAATATTTTTCGTCATTGGATCAACAAAATTATGAGGAACATCAAAACAATTCTCTCTATAAATAGCTCTCCAAACTTGATAAGCACTTTCTCCGGAATATCCTGTATATCTTTCTGGATTATCGACCAAGGATACATATACAATATTTTCTTCTACTGATTCATCTTCAGGAATACAATAGTCCCGATCTGAATAATCAGATTCTTCATAAACACATCTTTCTGAAGTTTCACTACCAAGTGCCCCTTCAAATGGTAACTTTGTTGTTTTTTCTGGACGATAAGGTTGTTCTGCTGTAAGACCTCGGATTTTCCCTAATGTTGAGGGTTTCCATGCTTCAGGAAGTGACGAATCTTCTAATACATCTACCATACATGCCTTATTCCCACATAAACCATTATCTGTCCCCCAGAAAGGGCACCGGGCTGCAAAAAGATTAAGACGATAATATTTAAAATAATCTGTTTGAAATGTTAGGTTCTTTAGTAAAGGATCTAGTTCGGAAACAATTCTTTCAACAAGACTAAAAGGAACTGGATAAATTGCTACATCTAATAACTTAAAAATTAATTAATGATCATTAAATATAGATTATAAATATTTAATTACCCAACGTTTTTCTTTTTTATAATAATTTGAAGAAAAATCAATCAAAGACCATGAAAAAATAAAAACAATAATGGATATTAATAGCCACCATCTAGACATTATAACAGAATAATTTAAAATCAATTATCTAAAAAAAAATAAAAAATATCCTTAAAAAATCCCAGAAAAAAAAACCCAAATATTTTAAAGCTAATTAAGAACACTTAATAAGTTATTCTTAAATACTTTTTCTCAACAAAATATTTTCTTTTTTAGTATTTCTTACATGAAAAAAAATAACAAATTTCTGATCGACAATATATGTTATATAAAATATATATTTAAATATTTAAAGATAACAACTTTATATAAACACAACATGTCTCATTTTCTTAAAAAATTTTATTCTTAAGACATATTTTTTTAACTTGATATTTTTTAAGTATTGAAATATTAACAAGAATCCTATCTTTACTCTTATATTTTTCCTTAAATCAAATAATAATAAAATAAATATAGATTAATAGGAAATAATTATAGAATATTGAAATATAAAAAAGTTAATATTTGTATATTTATTTTTATATTTATAGTTTATTTTACTATTAAGCCTAAATTTTTTTAACCTCGAAAAAGTGTATAGTAATTGAGATAAAAAAAACTTAAAAATGTCTAAAGTTTCTACACCAGAATTAAAAAAGGTAGATCTGTTATTAAGAAATAATGGTTTATTAAAATAATATATATAGTATATGGATAAGAAACTTTATGTAATAATAAATGGACAACGTAATTTAATAGGTGTTCTTAGAGGTTATGATGTAAAAAAAAAACAAATTTATAAAAAATGATTAATTTTTAAGGTTTTTTTGAATATTGTTCTTGATGAAGCAGTTGAAGAATTAGGGGGGGGTGAAAAGAAGACGATTGGGACAGTCGTATGTTTTTTTGTTTTTGAAAGAGTTTTTTTTAACGATTTTTAAGGTTATTCGAGGAAATTCAGTTGTAATGATTGAAGCTTTAGAACGAATCTAAATATGAATATATAGGGGTCAATATTGATTTGACTGGATAATTTTAATGTTTTTTTGTATAATTTGGAGTTGATCGTTGTATCTATTTAAAATAAATTAATCATTTAATAATTTTTTTAAAATGGAAATATACAAATTTAAATAAATCATTTTTTCACAGTTAAGTGGCTTTTCTATATTTATAGTAAAAAAAGCGTTCTAAAGTGAATTATTATTAGTATATTAAATATCTATATTTAATAGAAAAAGTCATCGAATACTAATCGTTTAAAAAACTGAAAGATAAAAACCAGTATATGCTTTTTGAAGAAAAACTAGTTTTAATATTGAATTTTGTATAAGAAATATCTATATAGATTGAAAGATACATAAATAAATGTATTTTTAAATAAGAAAATTATCTTTTAATATGTCTGTTTGTGCTAATATCATCATCATTTCTTCATCACTATTTAAAATTAGAAAACTAGATAATAAAAATAAAGAACAAACAGATATTTAGAAATAACAACATCTTCTACAAGTCCTTTTCTTCTTCTTGTTTTTAACATAAAATCACGAGCCAAACTTTGTCCAGAAGCGGGCTCGAATAATTGAAGTACGCAAGTTTTATCAAGAGGATCACCTGGAACAACCTATATTTATTAGCTATATAGGGATATATTATAAAAGTATTTTATAACCTGCCAATGATCAAAAATCTGTTGACAAAATGCTTGGCCTTGGGTATGAGTACGAAGGTCTGTTTCAAATCCTGATGCATCAATAATAGGTATTAATGCCTTTATTGTGTATAAAGGAGAGCCTGCTTTCGGTATATCTTGAGTAACATGCCCTCTTCTTCTACCTAAAACTGTATAGACGGCAGATATACAATCTGCTGGTGCTTGTATTTCAACATAATAAATAGGCTCCATAAGACGTGGAGTAGCCATCAAAAACGATGAATAACAAGTTCTTCTAACAGTAGGAATAATTTGTCCTCCTCCTCTATAAATAGGCTCTGTAGCAAGTGTCACATCAAGTATTTTAAATTTAACATTTCTTATAGCTATAATCATATTTAACAAACGAATGATAATATTGTAACATACGCTCTTCACAAAGAGGTCCTTCACGAGTACCTAAACGAAATACTATCAGTTTCTTAAATTGCTTCTTAATTAAAAATTACCCCATTGAAATCCTGACATTATTTAGTTATTATTCTTAATAAAAAAAGCTTACCTTGGCGAATTGAATCTCTTACAGTATTTAACAATTTTTTATCGACCTATTATAAGACAATAAATAAGACTTACAAAATATAGTAATAATACTTCTGAAGGCAAAGTATCATCTAATAAAACATTTGGTCCCTGTTCATTAGGCCCAAATGCCCAAATTGAACGGGAAGCTAATATATCCCACTGGTATTTTTGAAAGAATTCCCCTACTTTCCGTATAGGCCACTTTATATTGACTTTTCCTGTTTCTATATCCTCTGCAATACCATCATCTAACGGTTCTGCAATCATTGTAATTTTATTCCTATAATTAAATAAATAAAAAATAAAAATAGTAAGCATATCCTACTTTTTGTTGGGAGTGCTTGCATAACATTTAACAGCTGACGTCTCTACAACAGTTTCACAAAATTTTACTATAGGATCCGAAACCTTTATTTCAATCTCTGAATAAAGTTTTCGAAGATCATGTAAAATACAGTCCATATAAAGTTCCCCTGTACCAAAAATAATATGTTCACCTGATTCTTCGACTTTGATTACTGAAAGAGGATAACTTTTATTAATCATACGTAACCCGGAAAGCATTTTTGGTAATTCAGAAGGATTAACTGGCTCCACTGCAACCTTAAATACAGACTCCGTAAAATGTTTAACAGGTCTAAAAATATAAATGTCATCTTGGATATCTCTAGAAACAATCGTAGCAGTTTTTAAAATAGAATTATCTACACCAGCAAGAAGAACAATAGAACCTGCTACTGCACTATTAACAGGAATACGATATCGTGCCCCTCCAACCCAAACGCCCGATACTGTAGCATAAACCATGTCTTCTTCATCATCGATTGAATAGTTTTCTCCTAAAACCTTTACTTGATCTCCAGAATGAATAGTTCCACTCATAACTCTACCAAGACTAAAAAATTCAGTAGCATCTATTGTATTCAATAATTTTGTAGTATGTATCACTAAATGTCCATTAGGATCACATTTCAGCATATTCTGAGCTATTTCAGAATCCAAAGGTCCTGTATATGTATGATGAATCTATAAAAAGATATAAAAGATTTATTTTCAATATAAATCAGGGCTTACTTTTGCTACTGATCCATCAATTGGAGAAGGAATGTGCTTAATAACCATATCAACAAATCCTGTAGCTGTTCCAAAAAATTCCCCGCATATAAGTTTTAATAAGGCTTTTGAATCCAATTTAAATTGAGCTGGCTTAAGAAAAATCCCTAAGCTTTTAAGTGTTTTATCAAGGACTTCAGGCGGTTCTCCAAGTGTTTGACCATAAAGTTTATATAAAGGTTCAAGAATAAAATGAACAAATGTTCGTTTTGCATCCTGTTCTACAGATTTTCTAGTAAAATTTCGACTTTGAGGATTATAATAAATGTCCCCCCATAACCTTTGAGAAAAATCATCAATATTTACGCCATCTTAAAAAAAGTAAGAAAAAATATCAAAAATAAATCACAGTTACCATATGTATCTGCATACATTTTTGCAAAAGAGAATAACGAAAAACACCAGTTCATATCAGTAGAAGCAAAACATACATTTCCTTTTTCTGGGGAAAGGCGATAATCATTTGTACTACATGATCTTGACATAATCAATTTTAATTAGATAGAAAAAGAAAAAATACTTTATAATGCTATTTATTTCCTCGATAGTATGTCTAAGTTTAAAGTAGGCATCTGCTGGAGGTAGTTTAAGCTCTAATATAAGTCTATCCACTTTATTTATTACTAAGACAAAAGGAATATTTTCTAGTACAGAGTATCTAACAATCTTATCCGTATTTACAAGAACCTATAAATAACCTTTTACTTTAAAAAAAAAAAATATAAATCTTACCCCTTCAATTGCATCAACAATAAGTATTGCTCCATCGACTAAACGAATAGAAGATGCTACCTCGTCCACAAAATTAACATGTCCAGGTGTATCAATTATATTAAAAAGAAACGATTTTCCTTTTGTATTTTGAAGCACAAGTGACATTGGTGTCGCTTTAATTGATAATCCACGATCTCTTTCTAATATATGAACATCACTATACTTTAACTATATAGAAAAAAAAATTAGTAAATCATTTTATCTAAAGAATTACTAACCATTTTTTTAGATTCTGTTTTTATATCATGTGTTTCATGAATCAACATATCCAAAAATGATGTTTTACCATGATGAAGATTACCAACCAAAGCAATATTTCGAACAAACTCTGGAAATGACATTAAATTAATCATAAATCTTAAAATACCACTAAGTTAATAATATATAAAAAACTAAATCTTTACTCTTTAGAGTAATGTGTAGCTGGAAAATCCATTTCCTCAAGTGAAAATTTTTTAACTTTAATTGGTTGAATAATTGCTTCACTTAATGGTTGTGTATCTTCCTCATGAACTAAGATCTCTACATCCGGTCCATAAACCTTCAAATTAATACTATTTTAACTCCTTTTCTTCTTTACCTCTGATGCTGATGGATAATATTGCTTATCTTCATGTAAAACAATCGCTTGTTTTGCTTGCGCTACTTAATTAACTTATGAAAAAACACTCCATAACTTATTACGTATTTCTTCTAACTCATCATCTGATAAATATGCCTCAACTAACCCAATTTCCTCATCATTTAAATATGCTCCATTTGCATTTTCAACTGTTTCCTGCTCTTCCTCTTCTGATTCCGCTTTTCCAATATAATTACCAAACCTTTATATTATTAGTAGGTTGTATGAACTTATATTAAGTGTTTTTACTCATCATAAAGCGTCTCATCCATTGTTTTACTTATCTCAGATTTTTTTGACGTTCAAAGGCTCTGAAAAATGCTAACTTTCAACATTCAAAAAAAATTAAAAACTATTAGCAGTAGTAATGACGCTTGAAATAGGAGAAACGTAAGAAGATTTTGTATTTATTGATAATATTTCTAAGTATTTATTATATTTTTAGGGATGTTTTTATTGTATCAGCAGGAAGAACAGCGCTAGGAAGTTTTCAAGGAAGTTTATCAAGATTATCAGCAGTAGAACTTGGGATTCATGTTGTTAAAAGTAAAAGATAGAGTGTTTAAATGTTAATAGTTGTTAAATTGTCTAAGATGTGGTTGAAAAATCTTGTATTAAAGCAGAAGAAGTAGAAGAAGTGGTAATTGGAAACGTAATTTCAGCTAATCTTGGACAAAATCCAGCACGCCAGTGTGCATTAGGTGCAGGACTTTCAGAAAAGACAGTATGTACAACAGTCAATAAGGTTTGTGCGTCAGGAATGAAGGCAGTAATTCTTGGAGCACAATCTATTCTCGTTAAAACAGCAGATGTAATAATAGGTCATTTCTATTATAAAAGAAAAAAATTTAATAGAGTGGAATAGATTGTTGTTTCAGGAGGGATTGAATCAATGTCAAATGTTCCATTTTATAATTCATCAGTAAGATCGGGATCTCGATATGGTCATATTACACTTACAGATGGCCTTATACGGGACGGATTATCAGATGCATATAGTGATGAACCTATGGGAATTGCAGCAGAGTGTTGTGCACTTGAATATGAAATTAGTCGAAAAGAACAGGACGATTATGCTATTTCTAGCTATAAAAGAGCCCAAAAGGCACATGAACTGAATCTTTTTAAAGAAATTATCCCAATAAAAGTTTCTTTAGGCTCTAAAGAGCCAAGTAAAATAATTGATAAAGATGAGGAGATATCGAATGTAAAAAAGCATTTTACGCTAAACATCATTAATGTTTCCTAGTTGAATGAAGAGAAACTTAGAATAATTAAACCAGCATTTAAAGCAAATGGAACTGTTACTGCTGGAAATGCATCTACTATAAGCGATGGGGCAGCTGCTTTAGTCTTAGTATCAGGAAAAAAGCTTAAAGAATTAGGATTAAAGCCTATTGCAAAAATTCTTGGTTGGGGAGAAGCTTCCCAGGTATATTATTTTTAATTTTTATCTGAAATTAATGGTAAAAAAAGTTACCTAAAAAATTTACTACATCTCCGTATTTAGCTATTTCTAAAGCTTTAAAATCTGCAAGACTTTCAACTTCTGATGTTGATTATTATGAAATAAATGAAGCATTTAGTGTAGTAGCACTTACTAATTCAAAAATTCTTAAATTGGATTTAAATAGAGTAAATGTTTTTGGAGGATCTGTAGCTATGGGGCATCCTTTAGGATGTTCAGGTGCACGAATTATTACAACTCTTCTTTCTGTTCTTCAGCATCATAAAGCTAAAATAGGAGTAGCAGCAATATGTAATGGGGGAGGAGGTGCATCTTCCATAGTTATAGAATTGCTTAATCCTTTTTATTGATTAATTATTTATTAAAGAGATTTTAAATTCATTTATTTATATGTTTTTTTTTTCAAAAAAATAAAAAAATTATGTTTATATATATATGATATTAAACGTTTTTATATATACTTATGTTAAATTATTAATTTGAATTTTTTAGATAATCTATTGATAAAATTATGTTATATATTTTACTCTTTGAATCGAATTTAAGTCATAATGATTAATCTATATTTTTATAATTATAATTAGGAATAAGATTTATCTTGCTATATTGAGTACTACTGTTTGAAATAATAGTTTTTTATACTGAAATAAATGATTTTTAAAGAATTTGAAAGAAAATATGATATAAGAAAAAAAGATAATAAAAATAAATACATTCAAATATTAAAGTAAAGATTGGAAATTCTAATACAAAATATTTTTAAATTAGATATTTTTTTGAAATTTTATCTAAAATTTAGGAAAAAATAATATCTTTTTTTTTCTTTTAGTTTTATAAAGAAATATAAAAAACAAACTAATAAGTTTTTTATTTTATTTTTTTCAAATTCTTTAAAAACTTCTAAATATTACTTTTATAATTTTAGACTCTTTTCCTATAAATATATATTCATTATCATTTAAAAATAAAAATTTAAAAATAAGATTAAAATTAAAACTAGTTTTAAGTTTTGAATTAAAATTTAAAGTTTAGTTAAAATTAAAAATTGCAATAAACAATGATCAATGCAGTAAAAAACATATATCGAATCTATAAATCAAAATTTAAATTGAAATAACGCTTAATAAAAAATTTAGGACATAATTTTTTTATAAGATCTAAGATATTATATTTTTTATTATTTTATATTAGCTTTAACTCTTTTTTTCATAATCCTTTTTAGTAACATAATTTTGGATTAATTACTTTTTAATTTTAATTTTAAACTGAAATTAGATTTAAAATTCAATCTCATAAAAATTCAAATTAAAACTTAAGTTACATAATAATTTAAAATAGTAACTAATAGAAATATAAAATTAATATTTAAATATTTGGAATTTGCTTTAAACTTTAATTTATCAGAAATTGTTCAACAATAGATATAAATATAAGAAATCTATATAAAAATGACATTTCTGTTAGTTATTAAATTTGTTATCTAAAATTCAGGTTTTTCATTATAAATTTTATTTTTTAAAATAACTTCAGAAAAGAAAAATAAACAAAACAAAAATCAATAAAATATTTAATTTATTACAATTCTAATTCTAACGAATCTATATAAATGAAAAAGAACTATGATTCCTTAAAATAATACCATTATATAATTTGATGTAAATATAAGTCTGATCATCATTTTTTTGTTTTAAAAGAACAATACTTAATTGCCTTAAAAATTCTTGATTGTTTAGAAAATCCTCTATAATTCATAACAAATATCGAAATATTTTTATCTAGCAAAGTTTCTAATTATATTACAATCTATAAAAAATCTACATATATAGTAAAAAATGGAATAATTAAGGTAAATTATATAATTACATAATTTAATCCATAAAAACATGTCAAATATTCCAATTTTAACTTGATTTTCAAAATTCATAATCAAAAAATATAATTACAAATACATATATCTGTAATATATACTCTAATAAAACATCTCAAAAATACTATTAAATAAGTTAAAAGACTAGAAAATTATACATAATATATAATTTTTTTTCTTAATTCATCCCAGAACTTTCATATACCATTCTTTCCAATTATCAAATGTCCAACTTGATGATATAGAATCATTCATAACTCCGTTATAAAAAACAGTAGGAGAAACATGAACACTTCTACTTCTTCCATTCTATAAAATATATAAAAAACGCAATATTTATATAAAGCTTATACCTTAATATGCAACTTAAGATCAGTTGTAACCTCAAAATATTTAGAGTTTTTTCACAAAAACTATCAACAATATACCTTATTGCCAACATTATATCCTTTTTCTCCTACTTTAACATTTTCAATATGCAATAGATCCAAAAATTTGTTTCGATCTATATTAATTGCATTCTCTGCTAAAAGAGAAAGACGTTTATATGTATTTAAGCGACTCTCTTCCACCAATGCCGTATCAAAATACTCTTCTTGATGTTCAAATAACTCAGCGATAAAATCAACTGTCCGATTTTCCGATAATTTAGACACTGCAAGAACTGCTTCATGAACCAATGTACTTGAGGGGTGCCATGGTTGAACTTGCAAAGATATAATAAATTTAATATCATTCTTGTTCTTTTTAACCCAAGGATAAAATTCCTAATTATTTTAATTTTAAACCTAAAATTCCCTTTTAAACCTCATAAACCGTCTTAAACAATTTCTTAGAAAAAGGACACTAACAATTACTTTCAAATACTTTTCATTATTTCTATTACCACAAAATCCAAAAAAAATTCTAAAGAATGATGTGATGTAAGATTACCAAAACAAAGAACTAATTCAATTAATCATTTTAGACAATAAAAAATCAAAAAAAATAAAATCAATATTTACAATTAGAAATAATATTTGATGTCATTTATTAACCCTTTTCCTATTTAACCTTAATATTTTTTTAATGGAATTAAACATTTCGACTAATAAATTTAAAATAAATAACCTTTAAGAAACTAAAATAACTACTATTTTCTTTAAAAATAAAGATATTTTCTTGTGAAAAGTAAACTTTTATATTAATTTTTTTAAATAAAATAATATTTTATTTAAAAAAACATTTTTTTTTTAGAGCTTTGAACCAGAATCAAGAAATCTAAAATTATTAAGTTTTAAAGTGTAGAAAGTAAAACAAAGAAAATATGGAAGTATACAACGGTGCAATAGGGTCAGTAAATAGGATTATTTATTTTTTTTTCTAATTTAATTAGGATTGATCTTGGGTAAAAAAATTTATATAAAAAAAATTTTATATATTTAATAAAAATGATTATAGAACAACATATTCATGTTGTGCAGTATGGACAGGTATTTCAAGAGTATGATATATGTATTTATTTATTTTATTTATAGACGATAGTCCTAATGTAGAGATAATTGCCAATGATCAAGGAAATAGAACAACACCATCATATGTAGCATTCGTAGAAAATGAGCGTCTTATAGGTGAATCAGCAAAGAATCAAGCAGCTATTGTGTGTTTTAAAGAATTTTTTTATGATAATCTAACAGTCTTTTTTAGAATCCCCAAAATACAATTTTTGATGTAAAGTAATAATCCATTTTATATTTATAAGAATGCTGAAAAGTTACAAGACGATTGATTGGAAGACGATATGATGATCCAGATGTTAGAAATGTAGGGATAAGTGGTAGAAATATTATGTTTTTAATATTACAGGACATAAAAACATGGCCTTTTAAAGTAATTGATATAGATGGATCACCTCAAATAGAAGTGGAATATTTAAATGAAAAAAGGATATTTTCTCCTCAGGAAATCTCTGCTATGGTATTGGGAAAGGTGATATTTAATCCGAAATAATAAAATATATTAAAATAATAGATGAAAGAAATAGCAGAAACTAAACTGAATAAAAAAGTCGAAAAAGCAGTTATAACGGTTCCTGCATATTTTTCAGATAGTCAACGTCTTTCAACAAAAGATGCAGGAGCTATTGCAGGCTTAAATGTTCTTCGTATTATTAATGAACCCACAGCAGCAGCAATTGCTTATGGTCTTGATTCGAAATCAGAGAAGGAAAAAAATGTCCTAATTTTTGATTTGGGAGGAGGTACATTTGATGTGTCTTTGTTAACAATTCAAGGAGGGGTCTTTTCTGTTAGGGTATGAAATAATATTTGATAACATTTTTTAATAATTAAAGGCAACTGCTGGCGATACACATTTAGGAGGAGAGGATTTTGATAATAATCTTTTAGGCATTTAGTATAAAAGACTATAATTACATATTCGTAACTATCTTTAGAATATTTTAAGGCGGAATTTAAACGTAAAACTAAATTAGATCTTGATGATGATCCCCGTGCTTTGCGACGCTTAAGAACAGCATGTGAGCGTGCTAAAAGAGCATTGTCTAGTGTTATGCAAACTACTATTGAGGTTGATTCATTAAAAGATGGTCATGATTTTATTTGTAATATTAATCGTGCTCGTTTTGAAGATATTAACTCGAAAATCTTTTATTCAACTCTTGAACCTGTTAAAAGGGTTCTTAAAGATTCAAAAATTGAAAAATCTGAGATCGATGATATTGTTTTAGTTGGAGGATCAACTCGTATTCCACGTATTCAAAAACTTGTTTCAGAATATTTTGATAATAAACCCCTCAATAAATCCATAAATCCTGATGAATGTGTTGCATATGGTGCTGCGGTTCAGGCTGCAAGTAGGTTATTTACTTTTCTTCACAAACTTTATAATATTTCTATTAGTCTTAACAAATAAAGCGAATTCAGAAAAAACATCTGATCTTCTTTTACTTGATGTCTGTCCTCTTTCTTTTGGAGTTGCTATGTAAGTATTTTTAATCCTTTTTTCTTTTTATCTAAATAATAATTAGGGAAGGCAATATTTTTGGTGTAGTTGTTCCAAGAAATACACCTATTCCAACAATTAAAAAAAGAACTTTTACTACTGTCAAAGATAGTCAAACAACTGTTGTATTTCCTGTATATCAAGGTGAGCGTGTCAATTGTTTAGAGAACGAATTTCTTGGGGAATTCGAGCTTCAAGACATTCCTCCTCTTCAAAAGTATAAACTATAACTTATAACTTTGTAAATCTAATTATAAAAAGAGGTCAAGCAGAACTTGAAGCAATCTTTGAATTAGATGCAAATGGGATTCTAAAGGTTACTGCAAAGGAAAAATCTACCGGAAAATCTGCCCATATCGAAATTTCAAATAGTGTTGGACGGTTATCTTCACAACAAATTCAAGATATGATTAATAACGCTAAAAAATTTTCTGAAAAAGACAAAGAGTTTTCTAAAAGAATAGAACTCAAGCAAACACTTGAAGCTTATATTTCTTCAATTGAATCAACTATCAATGATCCCAGCATTGCAATGAAACTTAAAAAAACACAGAAAAAAAATATAGAAAATGCACTTGCTGATGCTATAAGTGCTTTAGAAATTGAAGACTATGATACACTTAAACGTACTGAACTGGATCTTAAACGTATTACTACAAAAACTTTTTCTCTTCTAAGATAATATTATCATTCAACTCATTTTTTCTCATTTAAAATAATAAAAAATCACATCTCATTATTTTTAAGAATTTAATAAAATATTCATTTTTCTATATATTTTATCTTTGATCGTTAAAATCTATGATAAAGAGTTCAAAAAAATAAATTTTATACCTTTATTTTATAAATTCTTAACAATAATGATGAAAAAGAAGCAAATTGACTCAAGAATTCCTACACTAATTAAAAACGGTGTTCAAGTTTGTTTTTAAAGCATTTTTTTGTTATTTTTTGATAATTTTATTAAGGAAAAAAAACGCACACTTTTTGTTATTGTAGGTGATAGAGGAAGGGATCAAATTGTCAATTTGCATTGGCTTCTTTCTCAGACGAGAATTGCTAGTCGTCCATCGGTAATAAATTTTGAATGGATCAATAGTTTTATTTAATAAAATCAAATTAGGTATTATGGATGTATAAAAAAGATCTTTTGGGATTTACAAGGTAGGAAGAATGTAATTTGTATGAGAAGAGGAAAAGAAGGGTTCTAATAACTTAAAAGTCATCGAAAAAAAAGAGAAGCGAAAATCAAGAAAGAGATCAAAAAAGGTATACGAGATCCAAATGAAGCAACAACACCATTTGAACTATTTATTTCTGTAACTAATATTAGATATACATATTATAAAGGTATTTAATATAGAAGGGATATACTATTTTTCTGAATAAAATAAGAATCAGAAAAAATTTTGGGACAAACATTTGGAATGCTTGTTTTACAAGATTTTGAAGCCATTACACCTAATTTATTAGCAAGAACAATAGAAACAGTTGAAGGAGGTGGAATAATTGTAATTCTTTTTAAGACGATGGAAAATTTGAAACAGCTATATACAATGACAATGGTAATATTTATTTTGAAATTTATTTTATATTAATTTTACTAGGATATTCATTCACGTTATCGAACAGAAGCACATCAAGATGTTGTTGCAAGATTTAATGGAAGATTCATTCTTTCCCTTGGACATTGTAGTTCTTGTCTTTTTGTCGATGATGAATTAAATGTTTTACCAATTTCTGAAGCAAAAAAAGTAAAACCATTACCAAAGCCTCAATTAGAAGAGCCAAAGAAGGAACTTGAGGAATTAAAACAAAAATATGAGGATAAACAACTTTTGAGATCTCTTATCGATGTAGCAAAAACTGTAGACCAAGCTCGTGCACTTATAACTTTTGTTGAAGCAATTTCAGAAAAAACCTTAAGAAGCACTGTTGCTTTGACAGCTGCTAGAGGTAGAGGGAAATCTGCTGCTCTTGGATTGGCGATTTCGGCAGCTGTAGCATATGGATATTCTAACATTTTTATAACATCTCCGAATCCAGAAAACTTAAAAACACTGTTTGAATTTACTTTTAAAGGATTTAATTCACTTAAATACGAAGAACATATTGATTATGATATAATTCAGTCTCTTAATCCAAGTTTTAATAAATCCATAGTCAGAGTCAATATATTTAGAAACCATCGTCAAACAATTCAGTATATTCATCCATCTGATGCATATGTTCTTGGACAGGCAGAACTACTTGTTATAGATGAAGCAGCAGCTATACCAATGCCGTTAGTTAAAAAGCTTTTGGGTCCTTATTTAACTTTTATGGCATCAACAGTTAATGGATATGAGGGAACCGGAAGATCTCTTTCATTAAAATTAATACAGCAATTAAGAGAACAATCCAGAGGGTTTGCACATGAAAATACTAAATCAGGAAATTCAGAAAAATCTATGATAAATAGATCAGAAAAACTTAATAAGGAATCTGGAATAAACAGTATAGGTGGACGAAAACTTAGAGAAATAACTTTAGAAGAGCCCATTAGATATTCTTATGGAGATCCTGTAGAAGAATGGCTTAACAAATTATTATGTTTAGACATAAATATATCTTTAAAACAATTTTTAGAGCAAGGCTGTCCTCACCCTTCACAATGTGAACTATATTATGTCAATCGTGATACTCTTTTTTCATATCATCCTGTATCAGAATCATTTCTTCAGATGATGATGAGTCTTTATGTTGCAAGTCATTATAAAAATTCTCCAAATGATCTTCAACTTATGGCAGATGCACCTGCTCATCAACTATTCGTTCTTTTGCCTCCAGTAAAAGAAGATGATAATAAACTCCCAGAACCCTTATGCGTTATTCAAGTGGCACTGGAAGGCGAAATTTCTAGAGAATCTGTTGTAAATAATCTCACTAGAGGTTATAGAACTGGAGGTGATCTTATTCCATGGGTTATAACCGAACAAGTATAATAGCATTTTTTCAATTTCCACCTAATAAATAATTAGTTTCAAGATGATAAATTTGCTAGTTTATCTGGAGCAAGGATAGTGAGAATAGCAACTAATCCAGAATATATTAGGGTAATTTATAAAAATAAATTAGATTTAATGATTTATTTCTTTATATAGATGGGATATGGAAGTCACGCATTGAAACTTCTTGAAAACTTTTATGAAGGGAAGTATTTAAATCTCTCAGAAGAAACCATTTCAGAATCTAATGAAAATATTAAAATCATAAATAATAATTTAGAATCATCTCTCTTAACGGATGATATTAAAATTAAAGACCTTAAAATAATGCCTCCATTGCTATTAAAGCTTTCCGAAAAAAAGCCAGGGCTTATTCATTATCTTGGAGTATCATATGGATTAACACCTCAACTTTATAAATTTTGGAAAAGAGCAGAATTTATTCCTGTTTATCTCAGGCAAACACCAAATGATCTTACTGGAGAACATACATGTCTTATGCTAAAACTTTTGCAGGATAAAAGCGAAACTTGGCTTAATGAATTTTCTAACGGTAAATAAAAAATATCATTGTAAGCACAATTACCTAAATTTTTAGATTTTCGTAAGCGCTTTTTATCACTTTTATCATTTAGTTTTAGGAGTTTTCCTACTATTCTTTGTCTCAATATTATAGAATCAATAAATAATGATTTAATACAAAAAGATAATGTTCATGGTAAATATTGAATATTAAAACATATTTATTTATACTATTTAGTTATTACAAAATCAGAAATTGACATCAATCTATCTCCTTTTGATTTAAAACGACTCGAATCATATGCAAATAATATGCTAGATTATCATACTATTATAGATATGCTACCATATATCGCAGATTTATATTTTAAGGGAAGATTTGGAAAAGATTTAAAGATGACAGGAGTGCAAAGTGCTATTCTTTTAGCTTTAGGTTTACAAAAAAGACTTCTTGAAGACATAGAGAAGGAACTTAATCTTCCATCAAATCAAGTATTAGCTATGCTTGTCAAAATTCTTAGAAAATTATCATCGTTTTTTAAAGATATTTATTATAAAGCTATTGATAATACATTGCCTATAGAACGAAAAAATTTAAAAAACCAACTACAAACTCATGCAGATGAAAATGATAATTTTAGGGGTTTTATTCCTCTTAAAGCAACCCTAAAGGAAGAATTAGACCATCTTTCTAGCGAAATGGAGGACAGCATTAAAGAAAAACAAAGAGAACTAATTAATTCTTTAGACCTACAAAAGTATTTCAGCATTTTTAAAAAAATTAGGCTAATTTTATAGGTATATTATCAAAGGACAAGAGGAAGACTGGGACAAAGCAGAACAACATATTAAAAATGGGATCTATTCAGGAAAAAGCTCAGTTGTTAGTATTCAAAGTCATTCACTTAAGAGAGAACACGAATCTCTTACTGATATTCCACATATTAAAAAAAAACATCAGAAAAAACATAAAAGAAAAGTCTAAATTTAGCATATTTTACTATAATATTTGTATATATTTTATTTCTTGATTTTTTCAACACTTATCGTCGATTTAAAAAATTATTTATAAATCTTCATGATTTTGAAATAGAGTGTTATAATTACAATTATGTCAGATATTGATAATGATGAGACATGCATTGGAAGGGGGTTTACTATGTATGTTTATTTTTTTTTTGGTAGAACAGTTTAACTTTATAATAGAACACATCAAAAAGTAATGATTGATGTTGATTTTATAAATCGGAACTTGAGGGTAATTTTTTAAAGAATAAGAAGGAATTGCTCAATATTTTTAAAGGGATGTACAGAAATGACTATTGTTCCAACGGATCCACTTCTTCGAAAAATTAGGATCAATTCATATGATTGTGGTCAATAAAATCTTGAATTGAAGTAAAAACCAATTTTTTTAGATATTATTAGTATACACATAAACGAGATAGAAGCTAGTTTTGAATATTTATTTTCAAAAAATGAATTAAAGCTTTATAAACGTTCTAGTGTTCATCAACATCATTTATTAAGAAAAAAGTTCGAGGCATTTCATGCAACATTTGAATATGGAAATTTAAGTATAAATATTCCAAAATCTATAAAAATAGTGGCTCAGGCATATTTTTTGAGATATTTAAACCAAAACATCTAAAGAATGATAGGAATCTAAAAAAAATAATGAAACTTGTACACAAACAGAAGAAAAAGGTAATTCCAGATTAAAATTATAAATTTTATTTTACTGTTTTTTTTTAGAGAAAGATCCGAATAATTCAAATGATCAAATATCAACAAAGGGCAACATTTTTTCACTTTTTTTACCAATTGTTATAAAAATTAATTATTCAGTGAAAAATCCATCTACAGGATTGAATTTTGTAGGATGTGATATAGATGATAATGTTAGTATTCTTAATTTATTTTAAGAAGGTCTCATTTTCAAAAGAAATATCCTCATGTTTTTACAACTCACGTACCAATATCAGCAGCTACATCGAATTGGTTGCCTTGCATCGAAGGTATATGGGATAGGTGTACATGGGATTTCGAAATAACTGTCCCAAAAACATTACGCGATATGTGGATTCTTTCGGATTCATCTAAATCATTAAATGGTAATCATGTATATTATAATAATGACACTATAGATAATGGTAATTTATTAAATGAGCCTAATGACCATTTGGAATTTAAAGTTATATGTATTGGTGATCAACTCGATGAAGTTAAAAATAGCTTTAAAAAAAACATACTAATTTATTTTTAGTTTACTACTCCTGAAAATAATCATAAAAAAACTGTTTGTTTTAGTCTTGGTTCTCTTGTTAGTTCTCAATTTGTTTCATTTGCAGTAGGTCCTTTCGATGAAATCAATCTAACAAACTTTTGCAATACTGATAAAGATGATACAATGGGTTGTGATTCAGTAGAAGTTTTAGGGTATTGTCTACCAGGAAGGGTTCTGGAATTAAGAAATTCATGTATGTTTATATATAAGGTAAATTCTCATAAAATTATCTAAATTTACAAATATTTATATTTTTAGGCTATTGATTTTTTTGTTCGAGAATATGGCTCATATCCTTATAATGTTTTTAAGTTATGTTTTGTTGATGATCATCCTACATCAGCAGTACCATGCGCATCAATGGTTATTGCCAATAATAATCTTTTATTTCCTCCTGACATAGTTGATCCAATTTATTCTACAACAAGAATTCTTACATTTGCATTGGCAAATCAATGGATTGGAGTAAATATAGTACCAAAACATTGGTATATATAAAGTTTTTGTATTTTATAATATTCAATAGAATTTAGGAATGATATATGGTTAACAATTGGACTTGCATATTATATCACTGATTTATTCCTTTGCAAGTTAATGGGGAATAACGATTATAGATTTCGGTTGAAAAAAGTTAGTTTTATTATATTTATTTTTATCTAATGTTATAAAAGGCAGCTGAAAAAGTATGTGAAGAAGATATTGGAAGACCTGCATTAACTGACCCTAAACTATCACCTCCTATTGATCCTTTTTCTATTGAGTTTATATCTCTAAAGGCGCCTGTTGTATTATATATTTTGGAGAAACGTTTAACAAAATCGGGCCCATCATGGGGCTTGTCACGTATTATTCCAAAATTATTTCTTCAAGCCATGGGAGGAAATCTAATAAATAACACATTAAGCACATCCCATTTTTTAAAAGTTAGCGAAAAAGTAAGTCGAATATCTTTAGATATATTTGCACAACAATGGATTCATGGTCAAGGCTATCCAAGACTAAGGATTATACAACGATTTAACCGCAAGAAAATGTTGATTGAAATAGGCATTCGTCAAGTTCAAGATGTTGAAACACCTTCTAAACCTCTTACTGTTACAAGTTTTTTTGATGATGCAAAATATTATGTTGATAATATATCAAATCCATCTCCTCTTCCTGTTTTTACGGTTTTATCTATATAATCTAGAGAGCATTCATTTACCATATTTAGGGAACGATGACTATTAGGATTCATGAAGCAGATGGAACCCCATATGATCATGTCGTTGAAATAAAAGAAGCATTTACAAAACTAGATATACAATATAACATAAAAAATAAAAAACTTAGAAAAAATCAATCAAAAAAACAAAAAAAAGATATAATGGATATTGATGGACTAGGCGATATTGATAATGATAATGATTTTGGTGTTCAATACTTTGGTAATATTCTTCAGTCAGAACAGGAGATGAAAGATTGGAAATTAGAAGAATGGCCAAAAGAGGATGAAGAAAAAATGTCAGATGAAGCATTCGAATGGATTCGTTTCGATGCAGACTTTGAATGGATTTGTTTAATGTGGGTAAACCAACCAGATTATATGTATTTTTCACAGCTTCGACAAGATCGAGATGTTATAGCACAATATGAAGTAGCTCACGTAAATATTATAAAAACTTCTAATTAAACTAGGCTGTACAATATTTCTCTAATTGTAAAGCAAATTCTGCATATTCAACTATACTTTTAAGAACATTGATGGACTCTCGATATTATTATGGGATTAGATGTGAAGCAGCATTGGCATTAGTAAAGGTAATTTTGGATTTTTTTCATTAATATCTCTTTTAATTGTTAGTGTGCAACTGAAGAGTTGAATTGGGTTGGATGGTTCCATCTTTTTAAAGCATTCCAGACAAATTACTGTTTTCCAAATTCTTCAATATCCAAAAGTAATAATTTCAGCAATTTATCAGAATATTATATACAATGTATAATTCCTGTAGCCATGTCAAAAATTCGAGATAAAAATGGGAATTCATTAACGCAAGTGAAAAAATTTCTTGCTGATCTTTTACGGTACAATGATAACTCAACAAATAAGGTATTAATTATTATTAAATTATATTTCTTTAACATTATTTAGTTTTCTGACTCATATTATATTTGCACACTTATTAATTCGTTGGCATCAACATTGATTACTGAAAATAAAGAATCATTTGAATATAACTTTAATTTAAATAACCCGGAAAATAAAAGTATTATAGAAACTATATTATTCGAAATTGAACGCCTTCAGAAAATTGACCAGCTTTTACCTTCGTTTCAAAACATAATTTCTATTACATCTTTAAAAGTATTTATCTAAAAAAAAAAAAATTTCTAATATTTTTCTTAGATAAAATATAATTTATCAAAAGCAGGAATTATTCTTTTAGATTTTCAAGAAGTTTTACGATATACCCGATTAGCAAATTATAGTTTGGTTAGACTTACTGCATTTGATATTCTTTTAAAATTAGGAGGTCTCCGACAAGGTCCATTTACTCGTTATGTTTTTTCCACAATATTTAATGATAAATCACCAATAATTCGTCGTTATCTTTCTTATTCTGTTTCGGAAGCACTTGCTTTAATGGCATTGAATGATCAACAAAACCAAACACCCGTAACAACAGAACAAATGATCATAGAAGATGATATTGATAAAGCAATTGAACAAAAGAAAAAAATCCTTGTAAGAGCAAATATTAGTGGGGCAATTACAGCGCTCAGACAGGAAGTAATGGAAGAAGAAACTTTGAAAGAGGAATTATGGGCATGCGTAAAGTACGTTTTATTTTCCCTTTGATATATACCAATTATTTTTTTCTAGCTCAGACAAATTGGATTATGTTATTCGACTTAATTTCTTAAATATTATTAGTCTTCTATTTGATCCTAAGGAATCTAGAGTTATTACTTTAAAGATTCCTAATTCCAGACCTAGACTAACTGCACAAATCATTGGAGAGGTATTTTTTATGTTTTTGTGAACCTTTATATAACATTTAACAAGGGAAAACTAATTATTCGTAAAGAAATAGCAGAAAAAGAACCTACTGAAAACAAAAAATTACCAAAAATCAAGATAAAAATTAGCAATATAAAATAACATACAAGATAATCAGTACACTGAATATTTATATTACAACTACAATAAAGCAAAGAAGTATTATTTAATAGACTATTTTCTATGCATTTATGAAATCAATAATATGTGTAGTACGATTCTTTTCAAATAACATGATGTATATCACAGAGGTATTATTAGATATATTAAAGCCACTTAGAATATCATCTAGAGGGATTTTACATTATTAATGCATTTTTGAAGTGTCATTTATGGATTATTTAAAGAATAATTCAAATATTATTTAATTATATTCCGAACTACAACCGAGTTTCTTGTATCCGTGACATAGATAATCCGATTCTTTCATTTTTGGTAACATCTTTTCTACGATCTTGAAGTATAAAACCCTCTGTCATAATATGCATAGTATCCATATCTTTGTCTCTCAAAGCAATAGATTTTCCTGCATGTGAAGCTGCTTTTTCTTGTGCTCGAATATCATCATATTCAAAAATATCTTCCTGAACAAGACGAATAACAGTAGGCGGTCTACGCAACATTCTTTATATATTTATAAGATTTCAATTTTTAAAAAATATTTTTTTCAGCGAGTTTTCAACCTTTTTTCAAACGTTTTTTTTCTAAAAAATATCCAAAAGATCTCTAAAAATTACAGATAACTAGTGAAAAAGATAAAATCCTCTTTTCAATGTTTATTATCAAGTTATCAAGTAATTATCAAAATTCAGCTTTCGTTTGATGCTATCGAAGTTACGAAAAGCCGTTGCACTAAAATATATTAAATTATAAACAAATAATATTTTAAAAAATGAATCAACAGTTAAATATATCGGACAAGTAGTTTTTTGTTTTTCCATATATTTTTTTTTTCTAATTTTATTTAGAGAATTTGATAGTTTAACATTATATGAAAAACAAATATTACTTGAGCTTCAATATATTTTAAAAACATGCGAACAAATGTATAAATATTGATTTATATTTCTATCTTTTATTATGAAAATAAAGTTAACTCTTTTTTAGAAAAGAAAATTTAAAAAAAGCAATTAGTATAACAAATAAAGAAGGAGAACTTCATCATAAACAAATATTGGCAATCGAAAGTATGAAAGTATGGGAAAAAATAAGGGGAAATGTATCTTGAAAAGATTAAAAAAGAGAAATTGATTCAAATCTATAATTATGTTTTTTTTTTTTCAAGTTTGATATTTGAAAAGAATTATTTATATTTTATTTTTAAACAATAAATATTATCTCAAAGATATAAAATAGATTCAGTTTTATATAACTGTTATAGATTATTTAAAGATTTCTATGTTTTTTCTTTAAATAAGGGATTGATTTTACATATAAACATATGTTATTTTTTACCCAAAAAAAATATAAAACGAAGATCATGGTAGACAAAAAAGCTATTAACTATCCAAACCAACAAATCATTAAGCATGTTTCTTATATTCTAAAAAATAATTGAAAGTATATCAGAAAAAAAGTGACCATGTTTATTTTTATTTTAGCAACTTGATTTCTTAATAAAAAATAATAATAAGAATAATTAAATCAAACTAAAAATTATTATCATTTATTATGAAATAAAATTTATATTTAAATAAACTTAAGATACTTCAACCCATAATAATATGTAGAATATTTAATTGATAAATTACTAGCCTTATAACTGTACAAAAAACATAATAATGTAATATTGTATAAATGACTGAATATACATAAAAAAAATAATATTTATATTTTAAGGTTTTCAAAATCTAAAATAATTTTTTCAAGTGCTTTGATCTCTGATTCAAGAATACTACATTTATCTTTATTTGCCGATTTGACACTTTCAGGAACTTTTGTATGATAATCTTCAACTTTCATTTGTTTTTTTATTTGAGAAATAGATAACTCAAGTTTTGCAATCTAAAAATATTATTAATACAAAAACTTTTAGATGTTATAAAACCTTTTTTCTCGCCTTTTCTATTTCAATATCAAAATCAACATAGCCCTTAAAAAATTAACTTTTATAGAAAAAAATAGTATAAATACCTTTACTAGAAGAAAAACAGTACAATCAGCATTTATTACTATTGTGACACAACCCTCTGGAGGGAGCTCATTATTTTTTAAAATAATGATAGATCCACTGCCTTTAATTAATGATAAAATAGCATTTTTTTGGGACTCCAAAATATTAATTACATGATCATTTACTTGAAAATATACTATATAATAATTAGATAAACTTATATTTTTCTATAATTAAAACAATACGCTGAGAATTTATTCTAATATTATATTCAGCCATTAATGAACGACTTGTTTGTATAATAGAAAAAATAAGACTATAACTTATATCTGCATCAATATCATCAAATTCTGGATTATATGAAGGGAATGCTGATTTGACTATGGAGACAGTTACATCATTAGGCCTTCGAGGAAGCCTTTGCCATAATTCTTCTGTAATAAAGGGCATAAAAGGATGTATCATTCGAAGAGCGCCATCTAAACAGGTATAAAGTGTATTCATTGCTGATTTTTTTTCTTCTATATCCCCTTTATCAATAATAATTTTTGAATTTTCCTAATATTATTAGATTAATAATATTATAAAAAGACCAACAATATAAATATCACAAAACTCATACAACCAAAAATTGTATATAACATTAGTAGCATTATAAAAATTTCTTTCTTCTAAAGCTATATTCAAAGATTGAGCAGTTTTTGTATATTTATGTAAAATCCACCGCTCTACAAGTGATTCATGTCCAGATTTCTAGAATTATTAATTACATTATTTATAAAAATAGAAAACAAACATCTTCTTTAATACGTGGAACAAAATTATCACCTAGTTTCAATAAAGCATATTTTGTAGCATTATAAATTTTATTGCAAAATTTTCTGTATCCTTCCACACGTAAAATATCAAGATTTATGTCATGCCCTATTATAATTTATCCAATCGCTTCAAAACCCCAAAAAAATACCTCCAGTAGTATATGCACAAAGAGTAAACCTTAACGCATCTGTCCCACATTGAGGAATACCATTTGGAAAGTTCTTTTTTTGGTTTTTCTTTGCAATTTCTAATTCTTTTTTATCAAGATTACCGGTAGCTAATTTTTTATTCATATCTTCAAGAGAAATACCCTCAATAACATCTATTGGATCCACTATATTTCCTAAGCTTTTTGACATTTTCCTCCCTTGAGAATCCCGTACAAGAGAATGACAAAATACTTCTTTAAATGGAACTTTACCAGTCAATTTTATTCCTACCATTATCATACGAGCAACCCAAAAAAACAAAATATCCCAGCCGGTTTCTAAAAGAGACATTGGGTAAAAATTTTTTAAATCTTCTGTTTCCTTTGGCCATCCTAAAGTAGAAAATGGCCACAAACAAGAAGAAAACCATGTATCAAGAACATCCTCGTCTTGTTCAAGAATAAAGTTTTCTCCAGGAAATAATTTTTCAGCTTTTTTTTGAGCAATTTCTTTATTTTGCCCAGAAACCCACCATTTATTATCAGAAGAGTCTTGATCTCTTCCCTCAATTCTAACAAAATAAGCAGGAATTCTATGACCCCACCAGAGTTGACGTGAAATACACCAATCTTGAACATTTTCCATCCAACGATAAAAATCACGTTCTGATGTTTTAGGATTAATTTTTATTTCCCCATTTTTAACAGCCTAAAACAATTAAAACATTTAATATAGCCATCTTATATAATACATTCAATGCATCTATTGACATTGCTTTTTGATCTACCCACCATTGAGGTTTTATTACTGGTTCTATAACATCTTTTGATTTACTACAAATAGGAACAATCATAGGATTATCTTTAGTATCAACAAATAGTCCTTTTTCTTTAAGTTTTTCCACAATTGATACACGAACATCATATCTTTTCATCCCCTAATATAATTTAAATTATAAAATAAAAATACGATATACTACCTTCCAACAACCAGCATTTTCATTCATTGTCCCGTCAGGATTTAATATATTAATAAAATTCAAATTATGCCTTTTCCCAATTTCATAATCATTTATATCATGAGCAGGAGTGATTTTTACAGCACCTGTTCCAAACGTCATATCAACAGAAATACTATCTACAATTATAGGTAATAAACGGTCAATAAAAGGATGTTTAGCCATTTTTCCATGAAACCGTTTATAACGTTGATCATCCGGATGAACTGCAATGGCCGTATCACCCAATATTGTTTCAGGACGTGTAGTTGCTACAACAATTCTTTCACCTGATCTATTAAATATATGTATATTGTAATATTTAATTCTTTACTTGATCCATATATTTCATATGCAAAATAAGTCAATGTTCCAAATTCTATTGGTTTATCATAACCAGGAACATCCAATAATGTAGAACCAGAAAGTTCAATTTGATCAACCTACAAAAATTAAAAAATGACTTATAAAATATAATATACCTCTAAATTTGACAGTGTGGTATTTAAAAAGGTACACCAATTAACAATCTTGTTAGCCCTATAAATAATTCCATCTTCATGTAATCGTACAAAGTGTTCAAGAACGGCATTTGACAAATTCTATAAATCAAGTCAACTTGAAACAAAAAATATACCATAAATAACCTCATCAATCGTATAAGCTTCACGAGACCAATCATAAGACCCCCCTAAACGCATTAATTGATTTTTTATTTTGGAAGAATAACTAAATTTATTAATCATAAACAGATTAAGATAATATAACTACTCTTCTTTCCACTTAACAACAAGATTTACAAAATCCTCTCTAGAAAAATCATGTCTTGTCTTTTTTTCTTGAGCCCATAACTTTTTTTCTACAACACTTTGTGTACTTAATCCTGCATGATCAAATCCAGGTAAAAAAAGGACTGTTTTATTCTTCATACGTTGCCTATTAAATAATTAACTATTTTCCCTCCTTTTCTTTTAAAAATACCATCTAATAAGAGAATCTTGAATAGAAACTGTAAGTGCATGTCCAATATGAAGAATACCTGTAATATTTGGAGGCGGAATAGGTATAACAAAAACCCCTTCAGGTTTACAATTTCCATCTGGCCCAAATTCTGGTAAATGAAACCCCTCCTGCATCCACCATTCATACCAAGCTGATTCTACAGCAATAGGATTGTAATTTTTTAATGCTGGTAATTCTAAATCTTGAAGAACTAATGATAGTTATATAATATAATAACTATTAATATTTTACGTTTTTTTTGTCCTAATGGTGTAATCTCTTTATATTCTTCTCCAATTGTAAAATCATGTTTTTTTTTTTTTTTTTGCTTCTCATTTAAATTTTCCTTATGTTTATCAATAAAACTCCCCATACAAACAGTCATATACTATAAATTCTACTTTATCAATATTTTTTTCTGTATATTCTTCATCTTTTATTTTTTTTTTCTAACTCTTTTTCAACTATAATATAATTAAATCTGTTTAAAAATATTTATAATATACATTTCTCTAAATCTTTTTGATTCTTATCTAAAGAAGCTTCTAAAGTATAATTTTCTTCAAGACTCATGTATTTCTGAATTAAAAATTTAAAGAATATTGAATTTATAGAAGAAATATCAAAACAATTTTATTCTTTATAAAACAAAAATGAATTACTTTTATTTTAAAAACAAATCAGATATGAAAGATAAAGAAGAAATTGAGTCAAGCTTGTTAAATAAAAGTATAAATAACTATAATAATTTATTAAAGTTATATTTTATAAATAATAAAAATGGAAAATATGGCCTTAGCCATTTTGTTCCTTTCTTCGAACCGGTTCGAAGTATGGATGATTCATTGCTTCCTGAGGAGTCAAACGTTCCTATAAAATTAATTGATAAAAATTTTATAAATGGTCTACCTGATGATCGTAACGTAAAAGATTATCTAAAAAATCGATTGCTTCAGGGGAAATATACTTTTGATTTTCCTGTGTTATAAACTTCTGCCATGGTTTTCGGGGATATCTATTTTATATAAATATAAATGATTATTTTAAATATGAGATATACTTTCCAAGAATATCATCATATTGTGAATCTAATTCGATATCATATTTATCTAAATATGCATAGAGTTTATCAGTTCCTAAAACCTTTGCGATTTTAACTAATTGATCATAATTATCTGATCTATAAAAATTAAATACTTTTTTTTAAAAATATTTTTAAAACCCATGAAAAAATGGTTCTTTCCTAAATATCATAGATGCAAACATAGCACCTAAACTCCACATGTCTAGACTATAATCATATTCCTGAAAATCGACTAAAAGCTCTGGACCCTTAAAATATCTTGAAGCGACACGAACGTTATATTCAGTTCCTGGATGATAAAATTCAGCAAGACCCCAATCAATTAAACGAAGCTAAAAAAAATCAATTCAATTTACTTTTAAAAATTCATAAATAACTTGTCTTTTTTCATGATCAATCATTACATTATGTGGTTTTACATCTCTATGCATAATACCTTTCGAGTGACAAAAATCAAGAGCCTATAAATATATAAATATATATTATTATTCTATAATCCTTTTTTACTTTTAATAACTCAAATATATAATATCTAACATCATAATCTTGAAAACGAGGATAAAGATTTCGAAAATCCGTATTATTGACATATTCAAATATCAATGAAGGTGTTTTACTCTATTTTATATTAATGAAAAAAAAAATAAAATTACATTCTTTTTACCTGAGGATCACGTACAACATCTAATAAAGCAATAACATTTGATCCTCCTGCTAAATTTTGCAAAATTTTAATTTCCCTTTTAATTTTCTTTTTTTTAACAGGTTTAAGAACCTTAATAATGCATTTCTCATTGCTAGAAACATTATAACCCTCAAAAACTTCTGAATATTTTCCTCGTCCAACCTTTTTTACAACCTAAGATATGAAAAAATACTTGTTAAAAAAAATATATACAAACTTCATAATTATCTTGTACTCTAAAAACTTCAATAAAATTAACAAAACACATTTAAAAAATATCTACCCCCATTGAATCTGCAAATTATCATAATCCCAATACGATCTAAAAAAATTCCCATTAAACCTTTTTTAATTATTTCTTATTTTACCTTTGCATATTTTCATTAACATTGGCATATTGTCTTGCAATAGACATTCTTTAAATAACCTTTAAAAGAAAAAAAAAGCAATAATTTTTAATATTTAATAGCTTTTTTTTAATATAATTCTTTTTAGTAAATTCCAGTCATTTACAGACTATTTCTTAGTAGTTTTTCTTCTGAAATTAGGAAATAACAATATTTTCTTCTACTTTAAAGTGCTTCTTAATAAATGTTAGAAAAATATTAAAGTTAAGTTAGAAATTATGCTTTTTTAATAAAAGCTTTTTTAAAATTTTGACCGATCGTCAAAAAATTAATATACAAAGGTTAAAAGTTTATAGAGGTTTAAGAGGATTATATGGCAGTATAAGGTCTATTATGTATGATCTTAATGTTCTTTGGCATGGTTCAGGTGTTTCTGAAATAGAAATGAAAAAAATGATTGCTTTTTTAATAGAACGTTTTTATATTTTATTGGGTTTTTAATGGGGAAAACTGATTATTAAGTAGTTGGATATAGTACTATTGCCCTAAATTGTATGGTTTATGGAAAGATTGGGAAAAAAATAGTATAAAAGAAGAAAATAATGATGAAAAAGAGTTAAAAAATAAATAGGTTAATCCAATTCGATCAAATATTGTTGAATGTGAAAGATCTATTCGTATTTTGTCAAGAGTTACGATTGTTCTTGAAGAAGGATCTCAGAATTATAATTTAGTATAAATATTTTAAAGAATAAGGATTTTCTTAATTAAAGATAGTATTCAGCTACAGATACATTTGATATTTTAGCAGTAAGACCAATGAATGAAAAAATGTTTCAACATGCATGTACATCCATGGATGTAGATATAATATCTCTTGATATGTCTCAGCGACTTCCGTTTTATATTAAACATTCCACGGTTAGTATTGCTATTACGCGAGGTATTAGACTTGAAATTTGCTACGGTTCGAGCATATCTGATATTAATTGCCGAAAAAACTTAATTAGTAATGCATCAGCATTAATACGTGCGACTCGTGGAAAGGGAATTGTTATATCTAGTGAAGCATCAAATTTAATGTATTGCCGAAGTGGATACGATGTAATTAATCTTTCAACATTTTGGGGATTGAGTCAAGAAAAGGGAAGGGATGCCATAGGAAAAGAGGCGAAATATGTTATTATACATGGAGAAGCTAGAAAAAATACATCTAAAGGTGTTATTAAATTAGTTGATGATAAAATTTTACAGGAAAAACGTAATGTTAAGGAAGAATTAGTACATCAGATCAATAAAAAAAATAAGACGAGTCCATAAATTAATTTTTTTTAAAAAAACCACATTATAATAGTATATTCAAAAAAACTAGTATAGACGATCTTTAAATTATTTAATCATATAAGAACATCTAGACATTTGCTTAATCATATTATTAAAACATTAAGCAGACAAAATATTTATGGAGATTCATTAATATATAAAATGGATATTATATTTCTAAAGATTTCAGATACAAAAATAAAAAGATTTCATTTAAATGCATAGCTTCAACACTTTAAAAATCATCTTCAAAATAATCATAAGTTTAAAAATATATTTGTCTCGATATAAAATATTAAAAATATAAAATAAAATATAACTTTTCTATAGTTCAAGAATTTTCATTTATAAATTCTGTCTATCAATTAATATCCATTATTATTGAATTCAAAAAATATATCTATCATATAGAAGATACTGAATGAATAGTATTTCCTATTTTAATTTTCACCTGATTAACATGTAATTTATGTATAGATAATAACCCAGAGTATTCATTATTTAATCGATTTATAATAGTTTTATGAATTATAGTATGACTTAAACACCATGCAATAGATACATGAAACTTTGAATTCTAATGTAACAATTAGATTATATATTAAATTAATACACTTTATTTTCCTCATAAAACGTTTGGCAACCATATTTTTTTACAATTGAATCCACCGTCTGTAAAATAGTTCGTAACTTTTGAAAATTAACATAAACATTTATCTTATTAAAAATATACAATTTCTTTTCCTGTTTCAATTATAAGAACAAGAAATGTTCTACTAGTATCTTCATTTTTAAAAATTGCTATATTTGAAAATTTAATATTAAAACTGTTAAGAAAATATAAAGTTAAAACAATTTTAATAACACAAATTAAAATAAAAAAATTCATACCTTTCAAATATAACTTTTGTTTTAATTGTGTTTTTAAATTCATTGATTATATCCGATCCTAACATAAGCGATCTAGATAAACTAATATGTAACGGCAAAGGCATTCCCAGATCATTTTCAACTAATGATTTGAATTCTATCCCCTCTATTCTAAACGATTCTTGTATTTTTTTTAAAAGAATTTGTAACTTTTCATTAGGCATTACTTAAATATTTTAACATATAAAAATCATCTTTGAAAAAAAATATTACAATCAATATAAATATGACTTGGCCAGCCACCAGTGACATGTGGGTATGTCCTTGTTCTACCCTCATGAAATTCTGGTTCATTACCTTGCTTTGGTTTAACTAATTTATCTTAATATATATATATATACATATAGTTCTTAAAATACCTTTATATAAATCTAAAAAAAAATCTGGCAAGGGAGGCACTTTTTCGCGTGGATGTTCACATTTTTCTTCATCTTCTGAATAATAAGTAACAAGTTCTGTATTTTCATGATTTTTCATATTTTTTAGACAAGTTCTTCAATACTTGCGGGATGGTTACCTCAGCAACTATTGCCATGACACCAATCTCAGATAAGTAACCACAGTAACTAACCTCAGAAAATATGGCTTATCAGATTCGCCGATTAAAGGCAAGAATAACAAGAATTCATACTCAGGACGAGGATTCAGACGAGCTTGAAACACCTACTTCATCACCTTTTTCTAATATACAATATGACCGAGAAAAATCAAATTCACAAGATTTAAATTCTAAGTTTCTTGAAAAAAACCCAAGAAAAGAGTCTAAAAATTTCCGTCTAAGCTTTGGATTTGAGGAAAGAGATGAAATGAATATTTGTATAAAAGTTAACTAATTTTTATATAGGAAGATGAACAGGATAAAGAAGATTTTGTAAAAAAAAAAAATCATCTTAAACAGGATTTTCTAGAAGAACAAGGAATCAAAGGCTCTCCTCTTATGTATTTTATTTTCTTTATATTTATATTTTTTTTGACAAAATAGTCATAAAGTTTTAGAATCTCATGAAAAAACATCAAAGGTAACTCCAAAATACAATTCGGATTATTTATCTAAACTTCGACTATCTACACCATCTACACCTAAGGAATTTTGTAATATATATAAAGAAAATGTTGATATTGATAATTTGCATATAACGGAAAAAAATTCACAACTTTCTGTTAAGATTCCAAAGATCTTAGATGAAGGAATCGTCAAAGCTTTGAAAGAAAGGCGTCTAGAGAAAAGAGAGCAAAATAGATTAAACAATGTTTATATTCCCTTAGAAGATGATGATCAAATAATTTTATATTCAAAATCAAATGAATCACGATTACAGCGTGAAGATGACATATTTGATAATGATGGTATTGAAGGTAATTCATGAATTATGTCACAACACAAACTAAGAATTGCTAAAAGGGTTAAGAGAATATGTAGATGATAGAATTATACTTTCTAAAGACCTAAAAAAAACCCAAGATAAGCAAAAATATATTGAAATGAAAAATTCTATTAAAAATATGTAAGTGTTGTATTTATTTCTTTATCATGATATTTATAATTCAAAAAAGTCAAGATAGTGATATTGATGAAGATGCTTCAGAAGAAGAAGAATCTAAATGGGAGCAAACTCAAATACGCAAAGGTGTCTATGGTTCAAAGCTTATAAACATGAATTTATCACCTTCAAAAAAGAATCAGCCAATTCCTTTAGAAATACAAACATTTGAAAATTCAATAAATCGTTTGAAAACAATACTATCTTCTATGAAATCCGAAAAAGACCTCATGTTATCTCAAATTAAAACATTAACTTCAGAAAAAGAGGACATTTTCAAAAAAGAAGCAATTATAAAAGAATCTCTTCAGAAAGCATCACAAGAATATTCCAATATTCAACTAAAAATATCTGAAACTAATTCACCTTTTCGTGGTCTTGATTCAATGACATCCTATTCACTTAAACAATCCCCTCTTTCTCAAACTATTTCATAGTTTCTATATTATTCTTCAATTAAATATATATTTGAAACAATAATCTAATTATATTTTTATATAATTATTCAATTAATTTTTTTATGATATTCTTTTACTTAGATTTTGTGGCATAGAAAAAGGTCTTAAAAATGTGGATAAACATAATTTTTTTTATTATTTTTAGAGAGATAATCTTCTTTTCTACAAGTAATTAATATATATCCTTTTTTTTCTAGAAAAAATGGTTAATTTTAACATATAAGATGTTGTAGCAGATAAAAAAATTGGAATGGTTTATAAGATTTTGCCACATAAATATTCAGAAATTCATTCTTCACAATACCCAGACTCTCTTACACCTGAAGAGGTTCTTCTTTTGCTTTAAAAAGCCTTAAGAATAAATATTTTAGGCAAGACAAGTCTTAGCTCATATGTTAGGTGTTTCAAGGTTTCATAAACTTGGATTTCAAGGGCAATCAACGAAGATTTTAGACAAGAAAGAAATGTTAAATGAAGAAAATTTATGGAAAGAGACGGAAAATCATATGATAATTACGTTGGCAGGTGTTATAGATTATAAAATGTTTTATAAACAACATCCTCTTTTTACAATTGAAAATTCGCCTAGCTCTGAAGCTTACAATTATTTAATTAAACGGTTCTTGAACCAGCTTAATGAATTAACAGGTTTAACCATAGAACGTTTATATGCAAATATGTATGGAGGAGGATTATTTTTAATACCACCTATACTGGTAAATAAAAAAAGGATTTATATTTTATTTATATTTCTAGGGAATACATGATTATATTCAACATGCTCCATCTTTAGAGATGTTTGAAAATATATTTGATAAAAAATTTACTGGTATTTTTAATTTACAATATAAAGAAGATCGTTGTTTTTTGTCAGAAATTCTTTCCCTTAATAGTTTTATAAACGCATTGTCAAATAGCTCAGAATTATCTACAAACAGATTAATATCGGCTTATTTAGCTAATTTAGAGGTTTTATATCATCAATATGGCATTTATTCAAAGCAATATACAGCAGCAACTGAAGCTGCTAGCCTTATTCTTGGCCAGATTTCTAAAAAGATGCCAAATACTACATTTATTGTTCTTTTATTACCACCTAAACCTATTATTAAGAATACTTTATTACGTCGTGCAGAAATTCAAAATGTATTTGGGGATGATCATTCTGCTCCAGCTTTAAAAGGGTTCAGAAATATTTATCCACATTGTTTTAGTAGTAAAGCAGATTGTGAAAAGCTGACAAATTATTGTTCAAATCATGGAAACTGTGAAAAATATTTAGAGCAAGAAAAATGTTATACTTGTCGATGCTTTCCAACATTTACAAATGCTACAGGAAATGGGAAGAAGGTTTTTTACTGGTCTGGGAGTTTATGTCAGAAAAGAGATATTAGTTTTGAATTTCAAATGTTTTTTTGGGTACATTTCTTTATATAAAATTTTGAAATCAAATCTAATAAAAATATAGTCAACATTTTTTTTCATATTCGCAATTATATGGACAATCACACTTTTGTAAGTAAAAAAAGTACATTTTCAAAATTAAAACCATTTAGATATAACATTGGAAATGAAAAACTTAGCGTTATATTAACGAATATAGATACCGTTAAAAAAATATAATATTGTATTGGGAACGTTTAAATGAGTTTTAAATGATATAATTTCAGCATTTTTTTCTATTTAATGGGATATATATTGCAGATTTTATAAATTACATTTCTCCGCATTCTAATAAATTGAGTTTATAATACTATTTTATAAATATATTCATATATTACCTGTAATAACAATAGGAATTTTAGGTGTGTTACTTGTTCCTGTTGTTGCTACATTTTCCATTTTTGTTAAAATTGTATATCCATAAATAACTCGTCCAAAAACACAATGTTTTCCGTCAAGCCATGGCGCCGGCTTTGTAAGAATAAAAAATTGACATCCATTTGTATTAGGTCCTGAATTAGCCATTGATAGCAATCCAGGTGCATCATGTTTATGGACTAAAAAAAATTATAAACTTTATATATAAAAAGTAATAAAAAGGCTGATATTAACCAAATGACTCATCCGGAAACGTCTGTGACCCATAAATACATGTACTTCCTGTCCCGTTGCCCTAAAAATAAAAAAAACGTTACTTTATTATCATACTCATATAAAAAAACAAACATAAATAAAATCTCCCCCTTGAACCATAAAATCTTTTATCACTCTAATAATATTAATTAATAATATCCTTTTCCATTAAAAAAGCTGATTCTTACCGATGAAAAATCGAACCTTTATATCCCTGTGGACGACCATTTAATCCCTTTGTTTCTCCAGTACAAAACTGTCTAACTCTTTTGTTACAAAGAAAATATTAAGAAATACTTCTTTAAACCTAAAATTTTCTGCTGTTCTATTTATCCCAATATTAACTTTTTTTGAACAAAAAAAATCAAAAAAAAACATACTTTGGAAGAGTGTTTGAAAATAATTCAAATTTAATACGTCCTTGTGGTTGATTCCCAATAGAAATATCAAAAAATACTATAGGATTGCGCGGATCTATGTCTGTTGGTGCCTGCATTTTCTTTTATGTAGTTAAATTTCAAAGAATCACGATACCAAGATTGCTGCAGTAATTAATTTAAAAAATCTTTAACACCTTTTTAAGATTTTCATATAAGATTTAATCAGAAGAAATTTCATAATATCTATAAGTAGATCTTTTTTGAGAAGTTTTGTTCTATATGTGCTTTTTTTTTCGAAATTTTTAAGATAATTTAAGCCTTTTAGAGATAAAAAAAGGTTATCGTTCTATATCTTTTGACAAAGAGACGCGTTTAATGTATATTCCAGAGAAATAGAGACTTAATAGATAAATTAAGGAATCTCGAATTGTAGGTGTAAAGTTTTTTTTGTCAGAAAAAATGCTTTTTTTAAAAAAAAAGCAATTAGAGAAATCGCCATCTTTAAAATCTAAAGAGCCTTTGCTTGAAATAAAGCCATTACCAGATAAAAAAGATTTTTGGAAGCAATCGTATAGAAGTTATGAAGATAGTATGAAAATGTTGATGTTTGAGTCGGAAGAAGAACCTTGGCAGCTTTCCCAAAATTATTATTCAACATATGCTCCTATAGATACAAGAGGATACATAATTTCAGATCCAGATAGAAGTAACCCAACAAGAAGTAGAACAGAACGACCTCTTCAAACAATTATGGGGTTTGAAGAAGCCATTTATAAAAATAAATTTGGTATAGTTGTTTTCAAATTATAACATTTTTAATGTTTAAAAAAAGGTGACCAAAGAACTAACAGTATTACTAGTCAAAGCAGTTATATTTATCCAATGTAAATGATCCTTTTTATTTTCGAGTGATTTATGACTATATAGAATGAAATTTGAATATTCTGGAGCCAATGCATATTTACCTACTTGTACTTCTGGATCCTATGATGAATCATATGATAAAGAAACAGAATATGAGTATTCCACTCCTAATAATTCAAGTAATTTATCTAGACAATATAATAGTAATAAAATGTCAGTTTTTTCTATTATAGTTAAGCATTATTTAACTAATATCTATAGATCTTCTCAATATCCAGATAATTCTGACGAATTTTATTCAAGCACATCAAGCTCGAATCATACATACGGCTGTGACAATAACTCAGAAGGCAATTATCATCCGAGTATTAAATATAACCCATCACCATTAGAACGTTTGCCTGAATATCAATCAAGCAGATATAAAAGCCTGTACGAGGAATATGATCAAAATCAATATGGAGATTTTCGTTTGGCAATAACAGATAACCCAACGGATATCAAAACTTATAGGTCTCCTAGTAATGAAATCCAAAGATTCCGTTTATCAAAAGCTAATCCTAAGTCAAATAAATAATATTTAAAATATTTTTTAAATCAGCAGTTATAATGTACTATTTTTTTATGATAATATTAGTATTCATATAATTCTTATATAGTTATTATTTATTAAATATATCAATAGCTTTTTTGATATGGTTGAATTTGTTAATATAATTTGTTATTTTTTTACTATATTTCAATCAGTCCCGCAAAGAATACAAGTAAAATCCCTTCTTTTCTGAATATTATAAAGACAATTTTCATGATAATTATGACCACACATGAATACAATAATTTTCGGAAATACTTCATTTTCAATAAATAAATCTTTATATTCCAACAAATCAGCAGAGTTCTGTTTTGTATGCATCTTTTTTTTTCCTATTATTTTTTTTTCTTCAAAAGATGGAATAAAATTATCTCCTTTTTTAATTAAAGAGTAAGAATGTTCTTGTTTTACATCCAATACTTCCTCTTGTTGCTTTTTTTCTCCAAATGAGTGCAAAAAACTAATTATATCTTCAGGATTCCATATGTCTTTTTCACATACTCCACAACTATTAAATTGAACTTTACTTCCCTTTTTTTTAATTTGGTTGTCATATTTCATAAGCTTAAACAAATCTTTATGCAAAATGCTATTAATAATAATAAGTAATCTTTCGTCATATTTATAATTTTTAAAAATATTTATCAATAATTCCTTAAATTCCAGTATGGGTAAAGACAAAGAAGTTATAATTTCAAAAAATTGCTCTAAAACATGAAGAAATATAATTGAGTGAGAATTCGATAATGATGTTAAATTATATAAAGAGGTAAATATATTTTGTATTGAATTTTGCATAAATGTTCCAATTTTTTCTGAAATATTAGATATTTTCAATAAAGACTTATTTTCAGTTAGATTATATGATAAATTTTCTGACGACATTTTTAAAAACTGATTAGAAAGTTTCGTTAACATAATTTGTGATATTTTAATTATAACTTCTAAAAGTTTAATCCATTGAAATTTACTATTTAATAATGATAAATCAAATGGATTCAGAGAATCCTGAAAAATTTGATTCTTTTTAGAATTTATTTCAAGGAAATATTGTTCGCAAAGATATATTCCAGTAATAATATTTTTTTCAACATTTCCAAGCTGTTTTTTAATATGATTAAAATCCAACGCATTTATATCATTTACATATGTTTCAAGTTTTAAAGACATGTCTATTTCCAGCATAGATTCTGCAATATATTCTAAAATTTTTTCGAATGCTATAATATTTTTCCCTTCTAAAGATAATAAATAAACTATAGCATCAATTATCCTATAATTTTCTAGTATCAATAAAACATTATCAACATCTATATCATTAATATTTAAACTTTTTATATAATCTGTTACTTTTTCAATTTCAAAGCTGCAAAGAAAATTAATAAATAGTTCTAGTATATCTTTAGTTATCCATATTTTACTATTATTCTGATCATTTAAAGCAATGATATCATCTTCAGAAGAAACATTTTCCTTATTAATCAAAAGTTCTGAAGAATTTAATATGCATTTTAAATAATTATACTGTATGATTGGAATCTTCAGCTTTTTAAGAATTTTAGTATGCAATTCCGGTAAATACTTATCTACAATTAGAGAAAATCTAGTAGCATCTATAGAACATATTTCTTCACTATATTCAAGGATAATTTTATGAATTTTTAATATCTTTTTGTTTTTTGATTGATTTTGCAGCTGAAAAAGTTCTTTAATGCATCGAAATAACTCATTTGGCTCACTTTTATCTTCTATATGAATTTTGAGTAATTTTAAAAACATTTTTTCCTGTTTATAAATAAATTTTAATACTTTATAAAATCCAACTTTTTCATATAAATTAATTAAATAATCAATGTCATTGGGTCTATAAAATGATAAAATATAATTAATTGATAATTGACATTGATCTGAAATGTCTTGATTAGAATTTTTAGCAAGTCCGATAAGAATTTTTTCAAGAACAGAACCTGAGAGAAGTATAAATTGTCGATACTTTGAAATAGAACTAGCGATAAAAATATAAAGATAAATAATACTTTGAGAATATGTCTCTTCCTGCATTATTTCTAAAAGAATATTAATAATTAGTTGTCTGGTAATTTTTATTTCTGAAAAGCTTGAAGACTTGGAATTATTATCAATTTCATTTAAAAAATTGTCCCCAAAAACATCATCCAATAGTGATAAAAAAGCCTGTGCATTATAATTCAAAATAAGTCGTAAGTAAGGAAATGTAAGTTCTTGAGAGTCATCTGTATTTAATTTAATTAAGATCCCATTGTTTTTTGGCCATATAATATTTGTTCCGGAAAAAATAAACCAATAAATAGATGATTTAGCAAGGAATGAAATATTTTTGTTCATATCCAATCCGATAGGATAAATTCGCCCAGATAATGAATGTGACAAATATAAAAAAAGCTCATTAATCTGAGAAGCTAAAATATCTATATCCTCAGAAAATGAATTATTTTTTTGTTCTTGATTTATTTGAATATTTTTGTTTTTTAAAAAAAAAACAATTAAACCTAAAAAATGTATAATGGGCGTTATAAAATCATTAAAAGCCTGAGTCCAAATATATATTAAGATGTCATATAACTCTTCTTTGTGACAAATTTTCAAAGTCTCTTGAATATCAAGAGAAATAAAATCAATTTTAAATATAATGTCTTTAAGACGCAAATATAACTTTTTCTTTAATAAACCTACTATCATATCTTTCATAACATTAGGATGTATGATTTTAAGCCCCATTATCAAAATAAATGTTTCTAAAGACTCCAAAAATATTTCATCGTTTTTTGTTTTCTTAAATCTATCATATATATCATTAAAGAGGAAATCAGTTATCTTCATATTTATGCATGCTTCGATGCATACAAATGCTAATTTTTTTTTAATTTGCCTATTCGAAATTATATTATTTTTTAAACTAGAAGAATTTTCATCTAATATAATCTCTAAAGAAGTATCAATTGTTTTTAATAGTTTTTCCTGGAGTAATTCGTGACGTAAATCATCATCCAATGGAAGTCCAAGAATTATTTTCTCACAATTTCCTTTATAGTATAAATTCATTAAAGAAATAGCCTTTATAAACTCTTTTGAGCTAATAACTAAAGACAATTTATGTTCCCAATTCGGTAAAATACCTATAAAAACGTTATCCTTACACTGTAAAATACATTAGTTAAAGTATATTATAAAATTAAACTAATTAAACCAGTAAAAAAAATTTCTTTTTAAATATAAAAAAACTCTGACAAAACATAGTAGAAGTCATTAAATTTCTCTCAGAAGACTTATTAGTCATTTTATTTTGAATTAATTCATCGTTAAATGGATCCATAACTAACACACCTTTCGATGAAATATTACAGGAGAAAAAAGATTCCATAGTTTCTACATTTATTATAAAGATTTCTTGAGATTTTGATAAAATAACTAATATCTAGTCATATTGAGTATATATTGTATAACTAGTATATTCATTTACTGTCATGTTAAACCATTGTGATGCAAGAACAGGCTCTCTTTCTTTCCATTCAGATATTGTCTTAAATGATAAGGGTAAAATATCTTTAGAATTGCCGTGTTCAGAAGCTTTCTTTCTTATTTCAATAACAAACAAATGATTTTCTCGTGAACATAACAATCTGATCTTATTTTTGTTTATATCAGTATTTTCAATATCATTTTTCTTAAATTTTTCGCATGAAAACCAGCTTAATGTTCCCAATGTATATTCGCTTATTTTCAACGATTTAGGCTTTGTCATTATGAATTGAGTTTTAAGAACAGGAGTTGTAGAAATAATAGATAACTAACCCTTAATAAACATCTGTAAAAGAAAAAGAAATTATACTTTATATGATGTAAGTATTGCTATTAAAATTATTGAATCTGATGACTTTTTAGAATTTTTCATTGATAACGATGTAAGTGCTAATATAATATCTGATTTCTTAAAAGATGGAGAAGTTAAATAATGCCCAGCAAGACGAATAGAAAGTAGAGAATTTGAAATAATAGTCCTATTCAGAATATGATAAAAAGTCATTCCATGAATATCTGAAGATACAATAGAATAATAAGAGTTTACAAATGCAATATGACATATTTTTGAATTATCTAAGTGACCATTGTTATGAATATTTTGAAAAGCATCAGAAACTATAGGAGATATAGTTATCACAGGATTGGTTGGTATCCTGAGCTCCCAGACAAAAATATATCCTTTAGAATGACCTGAACAAAGAAACATGCAATCATCAGATATTGATATGGATGTTGTCGATCCAGAATCCATGGCTATAATATAATTATAATACTATAATAAAAGAAATCCTGCTTACCTTTCGTTCCCATTCCAATAATATGTCTAAGGACTTGACGATAATCAAATACTAGTATGAGCCCTTTAGAAGTTCCTATTGCAATAATATTTGATATCTAATACTATTAAACACAAAGCAAATATTAGTATATTATAAACACATACGGACATAGAGACAGGTGAGCCGAATTTTTCTTTTGAGAATTCTGTGAAAATTTGAGAATTAATTTCTTTTAGTTTACTCCAACATATAGCATCTTCAAAATTAAAGGATCTTTCTCCATCCTTAGAATCTTCAAAACTAGATGATATCAAAGAATCTAGTGAATAATTGAAACAAGCAGGATTAATTGAAGATAATGACATCAAAGATTGTGTTCTGGAATGTTTAAATGAATTTGTATCATCTTTTAATAAAAAAGAGGAATATGAGGCTGATTTTTGAAAAAATGTCTCAGATTTGTTTTCAAAATTACCAGAAAAAGATGGATGTATTTTTTCTACATTCTAAACAATGTTATTGATTATTTTTTTTAAAAAAAAACATTTATTTTCTCTACCAAAAAAGATAAATTTTCCACATTTTTATAATCATCATAATCTTCTTTGTTTTCCTTTTTATGTTTATTTCTAAAAGAGACCCCTTTCTCAAATATTGATGTTAATTGTTTATAATTATCTTTTTTTTTATTTCCATCAATAATTTCTGAAAAAAAAGATCTTTTTTCGCTAAAATCTAACTCATTTTCATATATTATATCCTTTAATTCTAATTTTGTGCTGTTATTTTCCTTGATTTCCTGCAATTTTAAATCCCTTTTCTTCTCCATCAAATTCATAAAAAAACATTGATATTTTCTAATTTTTCTATGATTTATCTCCAACTAAATTCCATATAACTACTTCTTTTAAAATTCTCTATTCTGTGTCTTCTATAGGCCTTTCTCCATAATATTTACTATTTATTAATCTGTTACTTTTTTTACAAGGTTTGGATAGTACCTTGAAGGTTGTCACGGGAGATAAGCCAGCCTCAAAAAAAATAAATTGAGCTATGATACTCTCTGATATATCCCTAACGTCTAAAAATAGCTCGGAAAAAGCTAATATAAACTGTACTCTAGATAAAAATGATGAATCAGATAATTTGACTAAGAAAGTTTTAAAAGAACAGTCGATAAAACCTTATCATATTATTGGACCTTTACTTCCAGAAGATATTCCAGGAGAAAAAGAATATGAAAATGAAGATAAGAATAAGGGGGATATAAGTTTTTTCGAAAAAACGGGAAAAATTAGCCAAATATTGAGCTCTGAAGAAGTAGAAAGCGATGAAGATGAAATTGGGCCACGTATTTCAGATTTTTTGAATTTTTCAGTAATTAAGGATGTTATATTATATTTTATAATAACTGTTTTTAAAGAATGTTAAGGAAGGAAGAGAACAAAGAGTTATAGAATTTAAAAAAATTGAAGAAAAAAGATCAGATGAAATTTCTGAGACATCTATTAAAACTAATGAAAAAAAGAGGGATGATTGGATGATTGTTCCTCCAGATGCATCTTATTTGAATAGTAGAACAAGCGTTAAAGCACGAACATTTAATACAGGAAAAAGTGCTCGATTAGGTGAATTTGGTGTCCAAGATATGAATTTATGGACCGAATCTTATGAAGAAAAACAAAAACGACTAAAGCAAGAAACAATTGGGACGAAGATACCCGCTTATCAAGTTAGTACGGAAAAAGAAACTTCCAATACAATATTTGATATAAAAAAACAAAAAACATCTGTAAGTTATAAAAATTATATTTTAGTTTTTTTTATTTTAAAACTCATATACTTTAGTTTGAAAATAAACGTCCTTCTTTGTATGATATGCATCTTAAGAAAAATAAAGAAATGATTGATGATCCTTCAAAACGAATGTTTGATCGTGAGAAGGATGTTCTTAATGAAAATTGTATGAATTTTGAAAAAAGACAAAAATTAATGGATTTTGCAAAAGATTTATCTCGTTTTTCATCGGGATCTTATCTTTAATTATTGTTTTTGTGATAATTTAAATTAATTTTAAATAAAAAATAACTCCAAAAGAATTTAATAATTTATTTTAATACATAAAACTAAAATCTTTATTATAAAATACTAAAATATAAATTATAGGGTATATCTGATATTTTAAATTAATGCTAAAAGATGAAAAAAACAAATATAAATGCTTTTTGATACAATCTTAAACTATTCTTTTAATTCTTGTTTTTCTTCATTATTCATAGATAATCCAAAATAGTTTCTTCTTTATATAGTTTGAGGTGCTCAACTAATAAAAAACATGATATAATCTTTTTCTCGTTAGATATCTTTTCTTTATACTAACTTTATCTCCTACAAAATTAATTTCTTTCAAAACTTTTAAAAAAACATCAATTTAAAATATATCCATATTCATAGATGTATCCTCTTCATCTGACATTTCTTGATACTTCATTTTATCTTCATATTTAACATCATTATTCGAATGTAAACATTTTTTTTCCCCAAAACTATATCCATAAATACAACATTGAGGACATTGATAAAGAATAAGATCTGTCACTCTTTCTTGAGGTTGAGATATAAAATTTTGAATATTTACAATTTTTTCACAAATACCCTTCAAAAACGAAATATTTGATTTTATTTCTCCTCCTTTTTCTTCTTTATCTACAAAATCTTCAATATTTTCTATAACTGTTGTATGAGCATCTTTTTCATAATAACATTCGTTTTTCATATCTACATCTTTAGAGAAATCTAAAAACAAATTACTATATAAACAGTATAAATTTAAATAAATATAATAGAATTATACCTTGTTTATGTATACCTTCATTCAAGGTTAATTCTGAGAAGGTCTCGAGCAACCTTTTTTTACGGTTCTCGATCAATCCATCTATAAGTTTATCATCTCTTTTGCGCTTGTTAAAGGCTGATGATTCAAAGGCCATTAACTATTATATATTTATTTTAATTATCTCTTAAATAGTATTTGATTCATTCTAGAGAATAGTTATTTTGTTTGAACGTAGGTTTTTAAAATTTTGTTTGGATCAACGGGGGTCTTTAGGAGATAGAGGGTTTAAAAAATATAGAAAAAGGATGGATAATAGGATAGAATGGCCAAGCAAAAAGGTATAGTTAACATAGTTATGCATAATATTTTTTCTTAAAGGAAAGATTCGAGAAACATTTATTTCATATTTTAAAAAAAGAGATCATACGTTTGTTCCAAGCTCATCAGTAGTGCCATATAATGATCCTACACTCCTTTTTACTAATGCAGGAATGAATCAATATAAATCTATTTTTCTTGGTACAGTAGACCCATATAGTCCTCTTGGAAAATTAAAAAGAGCGGTTAATTCTCAAAAGGTGATTTATAATTTTTTTCAAATAAATGAGGGTTTTTTAATTATTATAAAAGGTTATTAGAGCAGGTGGGAAACATAATGGTATTATTTTTTATATTTTTAAATATTTTTTTAAAAAATAATTTAGATCTTGAAGATGTTGGAAAAGATGTAAGTATATATTATTGTATAATTTTTTCTATTATTTTAATATTGTTTGAGAATTATCATCATACATTTTTTGAAATGTTGGGTAAATTGTTTTGGAATAATATTATAAATGTTAATTATACAAGGAAATTGGTCTTTCGGTGATTATTTTAAAAAAGAAGCAATTTCATATTCATGGGATTTATTAACAAGGGTTTATGGGTTGCCTATAGATCAACTATATGTTACATATTTTGAGGGAGATGAAGAAAATGGGATGCTTCCTGATATAGAAACAAGAGATCTTTGGATATCTATAGGTGTTGATGAACATCATATTATACCTGGCTCAAAGAAAGATAATTTTTGGGGTATGTAAAAGGCATTTATTTAATGTGGTTGTTCTCATGAAAATATAAAGAAATGGGAGATACAGGACCTTGTGGGCCCTGTACAGAAATTCATTATGATAGAATTGGGAAAAGAAATGCAGCTAGTTTTGTTAATAAAGATGATTTTAATGTAATAGAGATATGGAATAATGTTTTTATTCAGTATAATCGTGAAAAAGATGGAAAACTAAACCCATTACCTAGTAAACATGTAGATACAGGCATGGGCTTTGAACGGCTTGTATCAATTCTTCAAAATAAGTCATCGAATTATGATACTGATATCTTTACGCCTTTGCTTCAAAGAGTACATGAAATTACTGGAGTAAGACCTTATCAGGGGAAATTTGGAGTTGAAGATATTGATGGTATCGATACTGCATATCGTGTTATTGTAGATCATGTAAGGACTTTAACATTTTCTATATGCGATGGATGCATTCCAAGTAATGATGGGAGGGGCTATGTTTTAAGAAGAATTTTAAGGCGTGGTGCTAGATATGTTTGGAAAAAATTTAATTATCCTATTGGTGATTTTTTTTCTTCACTTGTCCCTACATTAATTACTCAAATGGTAAATAATATTTAATAAGACTATAAGATTTAATGGGTGCTCAGGTAGACGCATTTCCTGAGTTAGAAAAAGCCCCCGATACATTAAAAGATATTTTGGATGCGGAAGAAGCGTCTTTTTCAAAAACTCTTGAACGAGGAGAAAAAATACTGGATAAACATCTTCAGAATGCTATGGAAAAGGGTACGAAAGTTTTATCTGGGACGGATGTTTGGAGTTTATATGAAACATATGGTTTTCCTGTGGATTTAATAAATTTAATAGCAGAAGAAAAGGGCATGGAAATTGATCATAAAGGTTTTAAGGATGCCGAAACTAGGTCTAAAGAAATTAGTCGAAGATCTTATAATAATAATCTTCAAAAATTAAAAACTTTAGAGATGACTCCTGATAATTTTGCTAAACTTCGAAGTATGAACATTATGTATACTGACGATTCTTATAAATATAGTTCAATTTTCTCTTTATATTATTTATACTAATAAGATTTAGATTATGGAATTATTGATTCGAATATTAAAGCTATTTTTTATGATAAATTATTTAAGAATTCTACAGAAGATATTAAACAAGGAGAACGAATGATCATTATTTTAGATAAAACTAATTTTTATGGTGAAGAAGGAGGTCAAGAAGGTGATATTGGTAAATTAATTCTTGAAGGAAATGCAGAATTTTTTGTTGAAGATACCCAGTTAAATGCTGGATATGTTTTACATATAGGATATATGAATTATGGTAATTTTAAATTAGAAGATAAAATAATTTGTGAATATGAAGATCTCGAAAGAAGGAAATTTCTGAGAAACAATCATAGTGCAACTCATATACTTAATTTCTCTTTAAAAAAGATTCTAGGAGATACTGTTGATCAAAAAGGATCTTTAGTTGCAGCAGAAAAATTACGATTTGATTTTTCATATAATTCTAAAATTTCTATATTTGATTTAGAAAAAATTGAAAATATGTGTAATAGCTTTATATCAAGGGATTATTTACTTTATCATAAAGAAATTGATCTTAGTTTAGCTCAAAAAATACAAGGAATCCGTACTTTGTTTGGAGAAGTATATCCTGATCCTGTTCGTGTTGTATCTATTGGTGTTGATTTAAATGAAGTTATGAAATCTCCTACTTTGCTAAAATGGATAGATTATAGTATTGAATTTTGCGGTGGTACTCACGTAAATAAAACATCAGATATTAAGAATTTTGTTATTGTTGATGAAAGTGGTATTTCAAAAGGAACTAGAAGAATTGTTGCCTTAACAGGCCAACAGGCAGATTTAGTAAGATTCAGTTTTAATATTAATTATAAATTAATTATAATAGGCATTAAGACTCGCAGATGAATTCTCAGAAAGGTTAACTTTTTTAGAATCATTGCCTATTTGTTTTGAAAAAATACAACGTTCTAAGTCTATGGCAGCAGAATTAGATTCTATTGTAATATCTGTAATACAAAAGTCTAAATTTCGTGAAGCTTTATTCAAAATTCAAAAGGATATTTTAGAATCTGAAAAAAGCAAAAAGAAGGAAGATGAAAAAAAAGTAATTAATCTTATAAAAACGTATTTCTTAGAAAATCCTAATAAATCATATTTAATCATTAATATTCCTGATATATCTGCGAATATGAAAGTTTTATCGAATGCTATTAATTATGTTAGAACAAATGAAAAAGATAAAAGCGTTTATTTATTTGCAATAGATCAAAATCAAACAGGAAATGTTGCTCACATGTGTTATGTTTCAAAGGTATTTTCTTATGTTTTTGAAAAATACCATTTAACATTATAGTCTGCTCATGCAAACGCTAATGGCCAAGAATGGGCTAATATAGTTAGCACAATACTTGGTGGTAAAAGTGGTGGTAAAGCAGATAGTGCTCAAGGTAAAATAATTAACAATTGATGCATACTTATTAATTTATTAAGGAATAGGAACCAATATTGAAAAAATCGATGATGCCATAGCGGCAGCTGCTACCTATATTGATGAAAGGCTACATATTTAAAAATGTATCCCTTTTTTCTGACACGATCATATTATTTCCAGAACTTAGAGATACTTTAATTTCAATTAAAATTTATTATTTTATTGAATTTTAAACTACAGATATATATAAATCAATGCTACAACATATATAAAATCCAAAAAGCATGCAAATCATTTAAAATCAGAATAAGATAAACTATAATTTGATCAACAGGAATATATATTTAAATTGGAAAAAGGAAATACTATTTTTGGAGAGTTTTAAGTAAAGGTTTCGTTGATTTACTATAACATAAAGCATTATAAACTGTAAACCTTACATAGAAGCCTATGAAATAGTTTCAGATTCTAAAAATATAGAATAGAATTAATTTCCGGATGTAGTAGCGTAATTTATACTGTATATTTCAATATTTGACTAAATAAAAGAATTATTTCTTCTAAATAATAGAATTCTCGAGAGTCTCGTATATGGGGAACTCCTTCTATTTGCTCCTCTGCCATATGTACTATTTCTATAATCATTATTAGTTGAAGCTCTATATTGTTCAACTCGTTGAGGTTCGTAAGCGGAAAAAAACGCTAAAGATGAATGATGCATACGATGCTCATAAACCTGAACTTCGGGAAAAGGTGGCATGTTTCTACTAGTATTTTCCATATCTGTATTAACAGGTATTTTCGGGATATAAAAATCATGTTTACAAAGAGGACACATAGCACGTCTTGTAGTAAACCATGGTACTAAATTTCATAGTTAATAATTGAATAAATATATTAAAATGGTAGATACCAATACACGAAGAGTGGTAAATATGGTCACATGTAAGCACTCTTATCTCGTCATCATCTTGAAATATATCTAGACATATAGCACATGTATCACTAAAAGATGCATCTTCAGGGGAGCCACTTGATGAAGCTTTTTTCTGTTCACTTTCTTTTACATACTCATCTTCATGTTTACTTTGTTGTTCATTCGGAATAGATATACTAATATCATTATGCTGATTATTGAGATTGCTATAAGATCTATTGAATACATTCGAAGGGATATCTGTACAAGAATATAAATTCTGAGAGTTCAGGGCCTCTTCCATAGGATAATTATGTTGGGATGTGTTAAAATTATGTGTTTTTTCCTGATGAAAAGCGTTTTCTTCATTATATTTATTAGATTCAATGTTTACATTAGATTCTAAGTCTGAATCATTTGCTTGATTATTCTGCTTATCATTCGACAATGTTTTATAAAATTGTTGCTTTTGACGTTTATGTTGTGATAACCATACTTTATAAAGAATTGATGGAAACTGTTGATCCGCTTCACCTTGTGTCATAAGTTTCTTTTGGCAATTTTGATTTTGCGGAATAATTCTCTCAATTTCCATAGTTTCTGGATGATTTGTATTTGAATATCTGTAACAATATTTAATACCAATAATCACCCTAAATTAATTAGAATATTCAAAACTCTTAATTATTAATAGATCATGCCACAAATTACAAAATAAGATCCCAAATCCTAGTGCCACGAAAAAAAGCAGAATATTTCCATTCCAATTTGTATTCGATAATGTTGGTATTGTTGATACATTTGTAAGAGAAGGATTACTATACAAAGAAAATACTTTGTCCGAAGGAAACGTATCATTCATTCTTAATAGTATTCTTAGATAATTTATGATTTATTCTCTAATTAGGGGCTTTATTCATAGTATAAATATAAATCCCTTTAAAACTCATCAAATCGTCTATTTTTTTTCTTGAAAAAAAGCAGACAGGTCAATACTTATATAAAAAAAAGTTTTTTATATATCCTACCTTTTATTAATGTGTTCTTTAGTCTTTATTTCTACATAAACATCTATTTAATTAATGTTGACAACTTTTTTGTAGTCCCTATCATCCCCGAGCCACTTGACCGATGGGGCAGGAAAATAGTGAATGAGGAGGATTTATGTGCACAAAGAAATGGTTTAAAAAAATAAAAAAAACATAAGAGAAAAAAAAAGAAAAAAAACGAACAGATATTAATGGGATGAATTATGTAATTTTTGATATAAAAAATGTATTTTTAGGATAAGTGATGAGTAGTGTAAGCAATGATATATTTGAGATTAGTAAGAAGATATTTAAGTGAACGAGTCCATATTTCATCAGAGTTAAAGGAAATAGAGATGTTTGCATTCCCTATTTTATCTTTTTGAATTCTAGAATAAAATGAAAAAAAAAAAAAGGTTAATATATAATATACTTATAAGGAAATTTAAAAGAGGGATCTATTTGTTTAAGATAATCACCTATTTGTTTTAAACATTGTAAAAAACTAATCATAGCAATATCGAATTTTTTTTGCATGAAAAAACGTTTGATTAATAAATTATCGGAATTGTATAATTCAAAAGAAATTGTTTTGGAAGGATATGAAGAATCATTATGAAATTCAAGCTTATCTATTGTAGAAGTAGATCCTAAAGGATTTAATTTGTATCTATTTAAATGTGTTATTAAAAAAAAAAATGAAGATAATAATTACTCTGAAAATTTGAAATTTAATTTTTTTGCAATTGAATGAAGCAATAATACTATTAAGCCCCATGCAGCATTTATTTCGTCCCAATTTGCAGGATAAGAAGGCAAACGACCAAATTTTAAATCATTAATTGTGCCTGTTTAATATTAATAATTTTTAAATAAATTCATCAAACATACCAAATTGTCCATTATGACTAATACAAAATATATCCTTATATACATTTGCTTCTTTTAGTTCTTCAAGTTGTTTTATATTATAATCGTATTGTAAATTAAGAGTGTCTCTTTCATTTTGAAATTCTTGAAGTTTAAGTAAAAATGAATTTCTTTCTTTCCAAAATATTTCTTCTTCTTTATCTAGAATTAAGGATTCCTCGTCAAGTTTTTTAACTTCTTTTTCAATATCTTGCTGTTTTTTTTTAAGTTGAGCAATGGTTTTAAGTGCGACAGCTTCCTTTTTTAAATTCTAGAAAAAGTTGTTATTATTTGACTGATTATATAAAAATAAATACATCTTCTATCTCTAATTTTATCTTTTCGATTTCATCATCGTGAAGAAGAACATTATTTATATGATTTAAAATCCCAATATATGTATCTCTTTCATTTTTTAAATAATGATGATGCTTAGACATAGTATCAAGTAATTTTTCACAACATTCTGAACAAATAGGATGCCTAATATCTGAAAGAAAAGATATAATATGAAAAAGATGCTCAAATGTAGGTGGTTCGTGAAATGTTGTCTCTAGATCATTTATTTGATTATTTGAATTAAACATACCCGATACTGATGTATCAAATGATTTTAAATCCTCGCTTTCAAACAAAATATATGAAATATTTCTAGATGATGTTTTATTTGTTATTTGATCCTCTGTTAATGAGTTTATTAATGTATTTATTGCTTCATGGTAATAAATCTTTCTAGATTCTGGAAAAAGTAACGGGATCATGTCTTCTTCATAAAATTCTTGCTTCTTCTCCTTAAGACTTCCTTTTTAACCCTTAATTAAGTTGTTAACATACAATTCTTCTTTTTACCAATAAGTAAATTAAATGTAGCTGTATTAATTTCTTTCAAATTCTCAAAACGAAGAGGACTTTTACAATATTGGCAAATTAGAGACATAGAAAGCGTCATTATTTATTAGAAATCCTTGGAAACTCTATTAAATCTTTCAATTATTAACAACTATTGAGATGACATTTTTTTGACGTCTAACCCTCTAGACTTGTTAAAACGATCAAGCCTTGAACGTCAAAAAAAGGTTTTAGTTAAAAAATATCAGAATAAAATGATTATTAAGGAGGAATTAAGAAGTTTAAAGAGGTTTTATCTGGATATTATAAGTTCTATTGAAAAACTTGGTAAAACTTGCGATCGTTCTAAAGAAAATCCGGAACAATTAGGTTGGATGATTCGAGAGAAGTTAAAACGTGCTGAAGTGACACTTGAAGTATTTTATTTGAGTTAAATAGTGGCTGAATAATGGTTACATTGTTTTTAGAGTTTTTTTATTGAGTTGGATGATGTAGAAGATGAAGAAATGAAATCAAGATATTTGGAAATATGTAACAAGTTAAAAGAGGATCTAAAAATGTATAGAAGTATCAAAATTATTATTTTATTATCTAATTTTTTTTAGAGCTAGGATAGACTTTAGAAAAGCTCTGTTAAAATCAAATAAAAATATCAATTTAACATTTCAGAAGAATCAAGAACAATTATTGGGTGATACAAAAGAAAGAGTAACATTACTTCAAAGGAAAAGGGAAAATATGAAATCTTCGTATTATTTTTGTTTTTTTTTTATTTTCTAAATGTTTCTTAGAACTGGGGATAGAGTAATAAATACATCTACAAATGTTTTATCAGCACTTGTTGAACTTCATCAATTAATGGAATCTGAAATGTCACGATCTTCAGTAACTTTAGAAGAGCTTGAGTTATCTTCTAATGCTCTTCAATCTTTGCAAGAGAATTATTTGACATTTAATACGTTACTTACAAAATCACGAAAACTTATTTCAGAACTTGAATATTCAAATAAATTTGACCGAATTTCAATTATTTTTTCTTTAATACTTTTTCTTTCTGTAATTGCATGGATTATATATAGAAGACTTTTACATCATATTGTTCGTTTTACATTTTGGTTCTTTTTCGTTAAATTAAGGAATATTGGTAAGAAAATAATTAAAACGAGAAGCAATGAATACTTTTTGATCAATATATTTATATTGATTATAGTAGGTAAATTTTCTGTTTCAGATTCCTTGAAAGTTCCTGAAAACTCTATAATACAAAAGTCTAAGCCAATTTTTTCGTATTCGAAAAATTATACTGGAGATTTTTTAGAGTTTAATACAATTTATAAATCAGATATTGCAAATAGTAGGGTTTTTACATTTATCTTTAAATTACTAAAGATAATAGGTACATTTTTACATGATGAACTTTAATATTTCTCGTTTATTTTTTTATATAATATAATTTAATAGTGTTATGTATTGTTAGATGACTGTTTTATGAATAATTTTATTTAATTATAACTTTTAAATGTAAAATAACAAATATACTTAGAAGTTATTTAACTTTTAATACTATGTTTTTTCATCTTTGATTGTTAATGTTTTAATTTAAATAATTGGGATTTAAATTGAATTTGAAATACTTATTTGTTTTATTTAAAATATAATAAAATTTTTTCTAAAAAGATTAAAATTTAAAACTATCAAATTTATTCATTATTAATAGAAAATAAATCAATTTCAAAAAGAATATAAAAATTCTAAAAATTATTCATAAATACATATATTTATAAAATATAATAATTTGTAATACATAAATTATAAATATCATACGCACATATATTAATATAAAGTCACATATATTTAATACTTTCATAATTATTTAATAATATTTTATATATCTATACCAAGAATTTTAACCATTTCAAAAAATGATTTTGCATTTTGAAAAGGCTGAAATACTGTTTTTCGAGAAATTGATTTATCATCAAGAATTTGCAAAATACAAAATTTAGTATTTGAAAATGAATTACCAGTCTGTATTGCCTACTTATATTAAAAATAAAAAATAGCTAAATTAAAATCATACCATACGTAGCCATTCTTGCGCTACCTCAATTTGAGAAAGGAGTCCTTCCATTCTAAAACAGCTAGGATTCTTTTTTGCAGCACGGGCAATCATAGCGCCATCAATGTCCCATTCTTTTATTACTTCTAACCCATTTTTTCTATCTATGATATCGCCATTCGCAATACAAGCTACACCTTTTTCCCTACATATTTTAGATATCATTTTTAATTGATCTCTTATAGCTTTTTCTTTGTTTCTCATAGAAATTGTTCGACAATGAACAGTCAATCCTATAATTCCTGTTTCACATATTCTTCGAACTAAAGCTTCTGTTTCTTTTATATCTTCAAGTATCCTAATCTTAGCGCTAATCCCAATATTATAAGGAATACCGATATTTTTAACCAAAGCTATCAATATGCTCTCTAAACGATCAACATTTTTTAATAAAGCAGCGCCCATTCCACTATGAACAGAAAAGTGCTTGAAAATAAACAAGATAAATTAAAAATTACATCATAAAATACCTTTGGACAACCACAATTAAGATCTACTGCTGCAACATCTTGTGCTATTAATCGTGCCGCTTTAACTGCAAGTTCTGGATCTGCTGATCCAAGTTGAAAAATTAATTTTGATTTTTCCATAGGATGAATACTATACAAAATCTTATTTTCTTTCGGCTTTATAAAGTAAATACAATTATTTTTTTCTATTTTTCTTGTCTTTAGATTCTTCTTTTAGTTCTAATATATTAAATTTTACCATTAACAACTCGTTTACATATCTCTCCATGAATAAGTGCTTTATCAACAACCTCTGGTCCCCATACAAGATCTGCTCCATATTTTAAAGCTAACAATCGTGTAGGAAGCTCTCCAATTCTGACCTACATATTATTTTTCATTAATTTATTTAAATTATCTATTTACCATAGGTGCAAGCACTATTTTGCCATAATAATCTACTTTTTTCGAATGTATCATATTCAAAGCTTTAATAAAGTACAAGGAAACAGAATCTTTCTTTTTTTTTTAAAGAAAAATTTAATAATCTTTTAATTTTTTAATATATATATTAAAAACCACCTTTTTAAAATCAAGAAAAGCCTATATTTTATTAAAAAATACCTTTCCTATCTTTAGATCTTAATTAAAAATCTATTCATACTCTTTCATACCTTTTTTTAATAAAAACTTTCTAAGCCGTTTTAAATAAATCAACGTCAAAATTTTTTTATTGAGTTTTCCTATAAAATTGCACAACCAGGCCTTTATTCTTAAGAAAACAAAGCACTTGTCCTATTTTTTACGAAAAATGAGCAATCTTTATGGTAAATATACACAACGTTTGGTGGGTACACCAAATACTCCAAGTAAGATATTGTGAAAAAAGGTGAATTTAGAGCTTTAAATAACTAATTAAATACGTAGATTTCAGGGTATTTATAGAGGAAAATGGGGTACCTATTTCAGCATTTCATGATATCCCATTATACGCAAATCCAGAGAAAAGTATCTTGAATATGATTGTTGAAGTTCCTCGATGGACAAACGCTAAAATGGAGATATCTAAAGAGGAGTTATTAAATCCTATTAAGCAGGATGTTAAGAAGGGGAGATTGCGTTATGGTGACATTGTTGTTTTTGTATTAAAAATAGGATTAAATAAGTAGTAAGAAATTGTTTTCCTCATCACGGATATGTAAGAGTTTAAAATATTGATTATTGCTAATTAAGCTATTTTAGATATGGAATTATGGGTAATGATGAAATAAGTTATTTTTAAATTAATTTGTTAATTATTTATTTATAAAACAGAGCATTTCCTCAGGTTTTATTTTTTAGTAGGAATATTTTTAATATTAATAAATTATAAGACATGGGAAGATCCAAATCTTATGCATTCAGAAACAAAAGCAAAAGGAGATAACGATCCTCTTGATGTTTGTGAAATAGGCGAGGCTGTTGGATATGTTGGTCAGATAAAACAAGTTAAAGTTCTTGGTGCAATGGCACTTTTAGATGAAGGAGAGACGGATTGGAAAATTATTGTTATTGATGTAAATGATCCTTTAGAATCTAGACTAAATGGTAATAAAGTATGATAAAAATAAGGAAAATTTATTTAGTTTTAGATGTGGAAGATATTGAAAAACATCTTCCAGGTCTTATTCGTGCTACAAATGAATGGTTCCGTGTAAGGGAATGTTTTTAGATAATAATTTTTTTAAGTTTGCAACATAGATTTATAAAATCCCGGATGGAAAGCCGGAAAATACTTTTGCGTTTTCTGGAGAATGTAAAAACAAAAAATATGCATTAGAAATTATTCAAGAATGTTCAGAATCATGGGATCGTCTTATATCTGGGGAATCTGACTTAAGAGGAATCAATTGGTATATATATTAGTAATGCTTAGCATTTTAATTGTATTAGTACAAATACTATGGTTTCTCATTCTCCCTTTTATACAACTGAAAACATACATATTCCTCCTGGTGAAAATAATCCACCTGCACCTAAGGATCCTTCTATTGATAAGGTAGATTTTTAATAATAATGAATTTGAAATTGCAATTTATCTAATATTATAATTAGTGGTTCTATATTTCAGGAGGAATATAATTTTTAATAGATAAGTTAAATCTTATTATATATATATTATATTACTTATGCTATTATTTATATAAATATTTTTTTGATTTGATTATTCCTTTTCTAAAAAATATCTTTAAAATTAAAAATTAAAAACATTTATTTTAGATTAAAAATTTTATAGAAATATATTTATTATTTTTAAAAGATTATTTTATTTAAATTTTGATATCAATTTATATAGAAGAATCTTTTGAGAAAAAATACTTTAATTTATGTTTTAATAATATTTTATTATCATTAAACAAATGAAAAAATAAAATCCAATTACATCATAATAAAAATTTCTTACATGTATATGAAATAAAATACATATGCTTAATTTATATCCAATTAGCTATTTAAAAACCTTAAAGGATTTATTATAAAAATTATAAAGATATTTAATTTATAAAATTTAAAAAATATTTCATTTTTATATGACAATATGATTTTAAAAATTTACTTTTTATAGTAATAGAATCCTTATAATAATATAGCTTTTAAAATTACTTAAGATATATTGAAATCAAATTAAGACTGATTGACATAGAAGACATTTTACTTGATATTCCTTAGAAGTACTTTTACTTTTTGCTATTAAAGGTTTATTATCCATATTAATGAAATCAATATCATTTGGTGCACCACTTTTAATTAGATCTTTACGAAGACATTCATCATGTAACCAATTTTTGCAAGTATAACATGCATACAATATTTTATCCGGATTATGGTATTTTTTACATTTGCATATTGAAGTTAGACGCTAATAATAATTAAGAACATTTCAAATTATTCCTTATATTTACTGTAAGTTTAGGATTTGTAGAATTTCCCCCAAAACGCTGTCTCCAATAAAATTCAGGTATATCATCTGTATTATCTAAAGCTTGTTTATTATCACAACTATTGTCTTCCTCATCATCTTTTAATTCAAATTCCTTTTCTTCATCCCAAAATTTGACAATAACCTTACTTGAAATCGTATTTGCTGCTATAATTTCATAATAATCAGATTCTATCAATTCCATTTCTCCATGATAATATCTAGAATTAGAGTCAATAAGAACTTCTCAAGACTTAGATAAAATCTTTGACATACTTTCGTCCTTCAGGAAGTTCTTCAGGTTTATAATACCATTGACACATAACCCATACATTTTGACCATTTTCTGCACGAATTTCAAGCAATTTAGCAATCCAAAACCGATCAAAATCAAAATTATCTGTTAATTTTTCTTCAGAATTATTAATAAACACACAATCTCCAACATAAAACTTTTCATCTTGCACTTTAAAAAATATTAAAAATATGTAAACATATAAATAAATAAACATTTCAAACTCTTATATTTATTCATTTTAGACCATCCCACTGGCCCCCAGTTAGGCCCTATTGCAAAACTGGGTAAATGTTCTTTAATATTAGAAAATGATTTTTCCCCATTATGAGAACCTTTTTTTTTCTTGTTTTTTGTATTTTTTATATCTTTAACATTTGACTTACGTAAATTACCCTTATTTTTACTGACTCTCAATGCATTTTCATCATTAGATATAGTAAATGAACCAATTTTTCTTTTTTTATTTCCACTATTTTCAAAAATATTGTCTATTTTATCAGAATCAAACTTTTTATCCATATTTAAAAAGAATTCAAATGATTCGGAACCCATAACTCCCTAGAAAATCATTTAAAATATTAGAAACCTTTAATATTTTATACTTTTATCTGAATTAGAAATTTGTTGAAATCTTCCCCGAGCACGTTTATGGAGATTTCCATATAAATATATTTATATAGAAATATTTAAAAACAAAAATATATAGAATTTGTTAAATAATAGAATATTTTTTATTTATTTTCAAAATGATCTACCTTTTGTTCAAGTTCCTTAACCATATTTTCAATTTCTATCATATTAGATTGAATTGTCATTTTTGATTCTTTCATCGCAGACTCAACTTTTTGAAGAGTTTCCTTTAATTCTATCATCTCATCTTGAATAATATGCTGTCGTTGTGTACAATCCTTGAGTCCAGTTGTTACAGCAGCAGCATCAGCATGAATAATACGTAAAGCTTTTAATCTATCTAAAAGATTTGGAAGAATAGGGGAGATGCTTTCTATCATTTCCAAACTCTCATATAAAGCATTAATTTTTTTTTCTTGAGAAGTAGTATTTAATTCGGATGTTTCAGAATCCATTTTTGTTTTTTTTTCATGCAAAATTTCCATTTCTGCTACTAAATCCTTAACTTTTTTTGTTATTGAATCAATATAGCTTTTATTTGATGTCAATAAGGTAATTTTCTTATCTAAATAAGACAGTGTTGATAAGATTGGTGCCTGTAATTTATATGAATGTATATGATCAATTCCCAATGATTTTTCAAGCATTGTTAAACGGTTTTCAAATTCTGATAAATTTGGTTCAAAATGCTTTTCTTTGTAAGACGGATTATAATTTAACGTATATTTTAACGGCTAAATTATAAAGAATTAGACTTTTTTTACCTTTTCCTAAAAAAAAAACCTGATTTAATGATTCATTCGTTTCCATCACAACTTCTTTATTATCATTATTTATAGATTCTGGAAGAGACAATTCCTCCAATCTCCTAGAAAGCGTTGCAATTGCACTCTTTTTTGTCTGATTTTCAAGTTCGGCTATTTGATAATCTAATTCACTCAAATCTGCGAAACTTTTATTAATTGGTCCATTTTCGTTTTTATTTTCCTGAAATTTCCTGTGTTTCAGTTCTTCTCTAACTTCTTCCAATTCTCTTCGTAAACGTGCAAGTTTTTCATCAATTGTCTCTTCAATAACACCATAATCATGAAAGTTTCTTGTCACATATGACTTTCTACTTTTTCCTCTAATTCGTTCTGAAAAATCTTCCAAAAAGCATATCTTATCAAAAAAAAATATATCATCATTCATTCAAACATACCAACATCTTCTGCTTCCACTTGTTCCTTTAAAAATCGGTTTTTTGCTTGACCAAGATTCAATCGATCATTACTAATGTCTTCATTCTGCGTTTCTTCCCTTTCAAACTGAATAGACTATATATAATAATAAAAATAATTCATTCTAATTACTTTTTTCCCTACTGATTCTACCCATTGATCTTCTACAAAGTCAGGTGTTTCATAAACATCTTTCCCCGTATCCTGAAGCTTTTTTAACCAGAAAAAAAAAACAATATATATATTTACCAGACCAGGAAGTGTAGAATACTTGTCATTTAGTGCCATTTTCTCACAACTTTCTCTTATTTTTATCTTTTTTTTCGATTTTTTAACGTTACAAGTTCTTAGCTATACCCACGATAACCAAAGATCAACCTCACTTTTTTTAAATACTTTGAATGTCGTATGTTTGGGCTTGGAAAGCTATTTTATGGTATGCCTTAAAGACTTAAAACAATTTTCCTTATCTTAATTAATCTTAGTTTCTCTTCTTCTGGTTAACGCTATAGCAGTTCTTTCAGAAGATAGATTTCTTGCAAAAAGTAAAAGCTTTTTTATATATACTTTATATTAAAAATAGGAGTAGTTGGTTTTTCAGGAAAGATAGAATATGGATTTGAAAATCAATCAGTTTCTTCAGTTAAATTCAAAATTGTAAATTTGATTAGTGCAGTTCGAACGCTTATGAGAAGTAAATTTTTTTTATTTTTAGTAAAAAATTAATGAAAATAAGTACCATTGATTATTATTAATACATTGGTAATGACATATTTGCTTATGTTAGGGTGAATTTTTAAGAGAAAAGAATAAGTCAGTAAATAAAATAGTTATAAAGATTAATATAAATAATTCAGAAATATATAGAAATTAATAGTATATAAATATATATTTTTTTTATGATCTATTTCTATACATGACCAATGAAATTATTTAAAGAAAAATAGTTATAAAATGTATTTTCCTATATTTTTTTAAAATTTAAGACTTAATATCTATTATATAAAAAACAAATACGAAAATTTCCAAAAAAAATGCTCAATCTTAAATAATTGCTCTAAAAAGAAGGTAGATTTTGAATATTTTAGAGAGCTATGATTATTAAACACGTATAAAAGAAAAAGTGGGATTATTGATTTTATACATTAAAACCATTCGACTCTAATAATTGACGTGAATTCATTAAGGCAGGACTAATATTCAATTAATATTGTTGAGAATTAGAATACCTTGAAGATCAAAAGAGCAAAAACCATCTTATAAAGTGATATCAAGTGTTTGATAAAAAAGAACATAAGCAGTAGCTTCTCCAGGAAGATCTCCAAAAAACCTTCGAACAAATATTTCATTAACAGGCTAAGAATAAAATCAGAAAGATATAGAAATAAGAAGAAAAGTTCTAACTACTACACGTTCATCGTCAAATAATGTCCAGCCTAATTCCGTTTTGATTACAGAAACATAATGGCCATGATATGGCCCACTTCCAAGATGAACTACAACCGCATAAAGCTCATATAGACGGTCTGGATCATTTGCATCATCCGTGGTATTAGATAATCTCAGATAGTAGGGATAAACAACAGTGTGAAAAAGCTTAGAAAATGTATAATTTCCATTTTCCTCAATACATCTAAATCGTTTCAAATGCAAAGCCAATATCTTCGGAAGACGTTTTATTTTTATACGTTTCTCAGCTTCTTGTAAATCCCCGCAAAAATCACAATAAAATTTATTATTTCCAGCAAGTATTTCTGGAGAAAAAAAGGAGTTAAGACATGATGTAACTGATGTATTTTTATTGACGTCAATAGAAAGATCAAGAAAAGATTCATCATGAGAAGTAATCTATCAAATAATAAGTAACTATATATAAATAATAATATTATATACACTTTCACATGTAAGACATTGGATTTCACTAGTAAGTACACCTTCAAAAATTGAATGGAACCATTTTGCAGAGACGGAACAATTACTTTCACCATTAATCGAAATATTGCCATTCGTATGAGTATTTAATTTATCATGTTCTTCTATAGATTCAAGTATAACATTTAAAAGATAATTAAGAAATTCATGAGCATCTTGATGCAAATTACCTCGAAAAAATTCGTTTTCACGGCGTAAAACTTCAATTAATTTTGTTGGAGAACATATTCCATCCTTAACATGAGATTGAATAATACTAGCAAAAATATCTCTGACACATGTAAATAAAGATTCTCTCATCCCATATGTTGAACAATGAGATGAATCAATATTAACATTGAATTTTCCCATAAGACGTCTATTTTTATATGTTTCGTCATTATTTAATAACATAGTATTATCCATTAAATTATTTTTTTTATAAAATGATGCATCAAAAGATCTAGAATGAAGCCTTGTACCATTCATATGCGTATGAGAGTTATTAGATGATTTATGAGAAATCAAAGAAGATGAAGCGAAGGATAAGGATAAATCAAAAGATGACTCTTCTAAATGTGTTGCAGAATCATCTGAAAAAGATTCAGTATTTTGTATATTAGGTGATACAGAAATAGGTTTAGGATATCGCATCACACCATCACGAAAAGGTTTTGAATAATAAAGAGTTTGAAGTACTGAATTTGCATAGCTATTAAATCTAAGTTTATCAATAAAACCTTCTTTTAAAAAATACCATGTATTTCCAAACTATAAAAAAATAAAATTAGCATTACTCTATCAAAAAATCTATTCTTTCTCACATTTTCAAAACCAAAAAGCTTATCACCACCATCTGAACAAATAAAACCCGTCATAAGAGATTCTTCTTGAGATGATATTGTGCCTGAATTTGTTTCCCGATTGATTCCTATCCATTTCAATAGTATCATAATATATAATAGTTTTATTTTATATTTCAAAAAAAAATTATATTTTTAACAAATCTAATATTTCATTAATTATAAACATATATTATTAAAAATTATATAAAAATACCAAATAAGAAATTTATATTTACTTGTTCTAAAAATAAATAGAAAATCCTTCCAATAAAAATAATCATTAAAAACCAAGAGTTGAAAATAGCTAACCAAATTTTAAATGTATCGATGTCTAAAATCTATTGAAGACAGGTATATAAAGAATAAAAAGATATAATATTTTCAGAACAAAAATAAACCATATATAAAATTAAAAATATATTCTTCAAAGATTAAAATTGTTTAATTTCGTATTAATAGTCGAAAAAGGGTCAGATAATATTTCGCTAATTTTTGATTGAATACAGGATAAATAATAGAAATGATTGCTAAAATACCAGCAATAGTTGCAAAAAATAGAAAAAAAACAGTAGTTGATGATCCTTTTTTATACGAGACTTTAATTACTTGAAGTCGTGCATCGGCACTTGCAGTAAAAATATGAGTTCCTTTTGGATGAATAATTAATGAAGTAATTGAGAATTCATGTATTTTAGTTTTTCGTTTTAATATCTAGTAAATATAAATTAAAAATAAAAGAGACAATGTTTTTTTACAGTTAAAGTATAAATATCAATAATGATGATAGAAAGATCAGCACATGCAACTACTATACATCCATAGTTATGTGCTATTTCCATAGATGTAACTGCCCGTGATGTTTTATATAAAGAGCGAGCATTTGTTTGAGACCATAATGTTTTTTTAGAATTAATATCATTTTCAGTAGAGAAATCAGAGTCCCAACGTTGTAAAAGTGGGGATTTTCCATGTCTATGAATTATAGTAATCAATGAATTTTTATTAATCCACCTTATTGTTCGAAATGAACCTTCTTTTAATGATTGAACATGGATCAAGCGTTTTGTTGAAAGTATATGTGTATATAATTTTGACGAAGAAACATAAACTAACTATTTTAATAATTAAGAAAAATTCATTATGTGCATATTATTTTACTTTACTATCATCTAATGAAAAATCTAAATCCATAACCATAGGTTTTATAGAAGCAACTGTGCTCAATAGTTTTAATGATGGATATTTCAATAAAGCAAAATAACCATTTGCAGAAGCAATAGCTAAAAGAGTTCTGCGATAATTAAACCGTGTAATACGTTGATAATTATCCCAATCATTATTAGATGATTGAGGAAATATTGAAATACTTTTTAAAATAGTAATCCTAGTTTTTATCATTCATCTTTCAAAAATATAAATAAATAGTACATTTTCTTCTCTTGATTATATTGAAATAGATGCAAATGATGATTTTTTCCATTTGTTAATGTCGTGCTCAATTCATTAATACCTGCTAAAATTATTTTCTTTATTTAAACGTTAATCATTTTTAAAACAAATCAATTTAACCCATACTTACATTGGATAGGTCAATTGTAAGAGACATTGGTGCATCCTTCATTGGTAATTGATAAACCATTTCTAGCTTAAGAAAGCTATCTTTTGTAATTGAATATATACGCTTATTTTATATTAATATAACTTTGTTAAATGTGAACTTTTAATTACAAATTGATTGTCAATCCCGGAATTCACATTTCCACCACCACCTGCAACTAATATATGTGATTCTGATAAGAGTTCGAGTGCATACGCCGGAATTTCTACTGGAACAGTTTGAATTAATTTCATCCTCATAAAAATATTATCTTTAATCATAAATTACTTTATTTCTAAGATAGTTTTGACTAAATAACCTGCTATACTTAATAATCATGTCCTTTTTATAACTTAAAATTGTTGCTCTTCGTCCTTCAAAGGATTACAAGGCTTTTTTTTTAAAAAATAAAGTTCCTATATAAAAGGGACGTTTAAATTTTGCTTTTTAACAATTAAACATATATATTTCATATTTTTGGTATTTTTAAGTGTAAAAAAAAAGGAAAAATAGACAAAAACATAAAAATATTCAAGATTTCATCAAAAGAATGATAAAAACAGTATATTTGAGACAAAAAAATGAAAAATAAAAGACACGCTAATATTTGAAATTCGAAAACAGAAAACTATTCATGTAGCTAATTGTTTTTATGTTACTTGTTGTGCATGTTTTCCTTGTTGATCATATTTCCTCCTGAAATACAAATTAATTGTGCTTAATAAAATACTATAAATGTACTTAAATAACAAAATATGTGGTTCGGGAACGTGGATTTCATAATGTTGCCACCCAAGACTCTTTATACAATTAAATAATCTCAACCCTCAAGCCAAAAAAATACGCGTACCTGTGTAATACCAAGCCCTCTCCATTCTTCTTCATGCAAAATTTTCAATGTTCCTGTCTCCTGATTAAAATAATCTTTAGGAATTGCTTTCAACATGGGTTTTGGTAAAATAACATGTCTACATAATTTTTTTATCAGATTCCAGAAGAAAACCACTTATATAAACAAAATCCCACCTATATTCATGTGTGTCATCTGAATATCTATTTTCGTAATCAATATCATTCATTCTCAATTTATCTTTTTACCTTGTTGAATAATGAATATTTTCAATAAATTCCTCCAGACGACTCCGTTCTGCCTCCGTCAAATATCTTATTGGTCGTTTCTTCAATGATTCATGCATATTTAATCTCTATTTATCCCTTTATATTGTACCTTTTTATATATAAATCTTCTCCAGTCGCGACACGGTAGCATGCTTTTATATTAATAGAAAAAAATACACAAGTAAATATAAATTTAGAGACATATTGATTTTATAGTATAAATTAAATAGGTTTCTTTTATAATTATCTATTTAAACAAGAATTTTTGTTTTTTAAAAAATTGAGAAATTTAAGAGAATGATTGGTTTTAATATCGATTGGAGGAAGATACGAAAGATTTAAGTTTATTTTATAAGAACTTTAAGGTTTAGGAAGAGGTTTATCCTGTTATTAACTTAGAAAAGGATTTTAAATAGCACAAAAAAGTACTATATTGTTTTGGAAGCGTTTTTATTGGATTTTTATAGGTCTTTTTAGAGATATTTTTAATTAAATCAATAGATCAGGTGTAAATGGAAGATAAACGGAAAATAGATAGTTCTGGGGAAAATGAGCATGAATCGCGTCTAAGGAAACGAACCAGAACGGTTTTTTTTCTAAAAAAAAAAGATTAAAATTAAATATTTTTAGAATGTATATAACATAGAAGATATACTTGAAGAGGGTCAACGTCTTTTTAAAGCGGTTCAGGAAGCAAAGGATTCAACGTATGTGTATTTTTTGTCTGAAAAATACAGAATTAATGGTATGTTTTTAGAGGCCGGCTTATATCAGAGAATTTTATGAGATTACCTAGCAAGGTTAGCTAGTAAATATTTTTTTGTAACTGAAATAAAGGCTAATGATGAATGTTTTCGTTTAGAGATTATATCCTGATTATTATGAACTAATTGAAAAACCTATTGCTTTAGAAACTATTAAAGTAGGGATTTTTTTGAAAAATAGATAAAAACATTATTTTAATATTTTTTGAAGGAAAAACTTAGAAAGAAAGATTATGCTTCTACTGATGAAATACGGGATGATTTTTTACAAATATGTAATAATGCAAGACGATACAATGTAACAGAGAGTCAGATTTATCAGGATGCTCAGCAAATTGGAAAAATTATTAAAACATGGGGAGAAGAGATCAATGCTTTGAACAAAGCAGAAGAAACGAAAAAATTTAAAATAGTTCACAAAAATTCTCAAAAAAATGTTTTAGAATTAGCACAAGAGATATTATCCGAATTAAAAGCTATGAAAGATTCATCGTTTGTGCTTATTGTTAAAAAAAGTTAGCTGATTTTGTTAGAGGAAGAACATATTCTGATATTTTTCTTGAAGTTCCTAGCAAAAAAGAGTATCCTGAATATTATCAAATTATACAAAAGCCAATGTCTTTTAATATTATAGAAGTATGATTTATATATATGATATATTCATTATCTATAAATACTGATTTTTTTATAGAAAAAAATAAAAAAAAATCAGTATATAAAATTACTTGATTTTGAAAATGATATAAGACTTATTTTTGCGAATGCAATGGTTTTTAATGAAGATGGAAGTCAGATTTCAAATGATGCAAAAATATTACTTAAATTCTTTCAAAAAAGAATCTCCAGGAAAAAAGAATCTATAGATCAATCTGAAGAACCTGAATCTTCTCCAGTATTCTTTCATATTAGGAAAAGAATAATATTAATCTAGAATATAGATAAAAGTAAAATTGAATGTTTCCCAATCATTGACACCTAAAATACGTCTTTCAATTGGTTCTAAATCCTCAGTGACTACTGATAATTCGGAAACATCCAAATCTATCATTCGATTACCAATGTCTCCACAAGCAAAAAGTTCTAATTTCAAAACTGAAGAAGTGGATTCTATTACTGCAAAAAGCAAAACTTTGATACCAGCACCAATACCAGCATCAACTACAACATCAACAATATCGACACGTTCTATTCCTTTAGCACCAATTCCAAAATTAGTTGCTGCATCGATTCCTTCAACATCTCAAACTCCAATTCATCTTTCAAAGTATTCTCCTCATGATATTATACCTGTAACTCAATCTCCTTTACGTCCCCGACAAACATCTGAACCATGTTGGAAATGGTCTGAGATAAAAGGTATGCATTTCATAATTTAAACTATGCTTTTTAATTTATAAGATGGTTCACAACCTTTAATTTCACTCATTACGCTTCATACACCATCTTTTCTCGACATTCCTTCACCTTATCAGATTCATCTTCCATCATCTCCTTATGGTTCTAAAATCTCAACTATCATTCTTCCTGCTTCACATCATACACTTTTGGTTACACCTACATTATCTTCATCGCTTTTGTCAAAACCTTATCATTTTACTGTAGCAATTAATAGCTTAAAAATTGCTCCTAATATTTCACCGAATGTCTTTTTGTCTCGTCGATCTGATACACATTTTCCAAAGAATACTTACGAAGTTAAACTTAGCAAAGGTGTTAATGCAATTGAATGTGTTTTGACTATACCTTCTAAATCAGCTGCCAAAAATTCCTTATCAATTGAACCATCCGAAAAAGAAAGACTGGTTATATTTGTCTTTTTATATTGATTAATCTTGACTTGTTTTCTTATATTGATGTGTCCCTAAGATTACAAGTGATAAAATTTTATCATCGAAGAATTAAACATTCTAAAGAAAAAAAAACTAAAAAAAAAGGTTTGTATTAATTAAAAGACATGATTTTTACTTATTGAGTCCATTAGTGCATTTTATGATATAATTTTTTGTTTTCCTATGTTATATATGTTTTTTTTCTGAATGGTTTCAGCAATTACATTACTCTTTACAAAAAAACCAATAACAAACAAGTTTTTCCTCAGATAAATTATTTTTAGAGAAGTATAGAAAGCAGGATAAATATATGATATCTTTGAATGGATTTTCGAAAAAGTTATCTTTTTCTGAGGACTCCAATTTTTCAGAAGATATGATTCATAAATATATTATTAATGCATTGGAAACATGTGATAAAGGGGATAAAGAAGCATACGAGGATCTTCGGAAGAAACTTTCTATGGATTTTCAGTCATCGGAAGCATTATCTTCACTGCAATTGAAACAATTATTGTTTTCTTTGATTCAAGTTGCATCTAGATTGAATTCAAATTACCAATCTCTTATTAATGATATATTAAAAATTCATTGGGTTGAAAGGGATGATGAATTTGTTTCTGTCTATATTCGGTTTTTAGGGACGATTGCAAGTGCTCATTCAGGTTATATTCCATTAATAATTAAAATGTTGGTTCAAACCATGGCTTTAGGTAAGTTTTTATTATATTCGAGATATGTCTTATGTTATTCAACCATTTTTTCTTTATCTCTTTTCATTTCTTTCTTTATTATCCTTTTTTAATATAAACAACAGATACATGCTCAATAACATCATTACCTGGCGAAACGTCTATTTCCTATGATCTTATTTATGACCGTGTGCATTTTTCTTTAAAATATATTTTGGATTTAGTTCCAATATCATATACATTTCTTTTTTCTATACTGGCAATGGAATTTCCATATAAAAGTCATAAAACATTACTCCAGGTTGCCTATCTTAAAAATCTATTAAGAGTTCTCGAATATGCACCTGTTATATCTTCTCAGGTTTTTGGGCTTATTATAGATAAAATTATACAAATAGATGTAAGTATTACTATTTATACAGGACATTGTTTATTTTTTTCTAATCTATTTTAAGGTTGAAATACAGATAGAACTCGAGGATCTAGATGAGGAAGTTGATGAATTAACAGGTATTGTGATGAATGAAATGCATGATAATGCAGATAAATCATTGTCTTATAATGATTACAATAATATTGAAGAAAACGATCAAAATGAAGAATCTCTGGATATATCCGAAAACCATGTATATTTTCAAGCGATCACATGCATTAGAGAAATGGTTGATAAACTGGATTGCATGTTAGTTGTCTTATTTAATTATTTGGACGCCATATTTTCATCGTCTAAAGAAGTAAATCATAAATCAGAGTCCTTAGCGGATATTATCTTTGGAGATCTTCTTCGAGCATTTGATTCAATAATTCTTCATACATTTCGATCGCGTTATACACAATTTATATTATTTTGGGCATCTCAAATTAATGAAAAATATACTAATATGTTTTTGGGGTTAATTTTAGAAAGGGCATTAGATGATTCTCGTTCTCATGTTTCCAGATCAATATCATGTGTATATGTAGCCAGTTTTGTCGCTCGAGCAGCAAGTCTTAATAAAGATATGGTAAGAAATGCAATAAATATGCTTTGTGGATGGATAAACGTATTTTTGGATGGCTGGGAAAATGAAACTGGGTCTTCCGGTGACTTTGTTAAAAAATTTAGCATTTTTTATTTTATTGTACAATCCGTTCTTTATATTTTTTGCTTTCGATGGCGTGATTTGACTGACGATGATGCTCAAGAACATGGCACTGGTTGGTTTAAAAGCCTATTCATACTACAAAGGGCAATTGCTTCAGAATTAAATCCATTAAAGGTATTTTTTTTATTATTATCAATTATCATATTTATTTTTTTTAGTATTGTTCTTCAAATATTGTATCTCAATTTTCCGAAATTGCACATAAACTTAATTTTTTATATTGTCACCCTATTATTCAACAAAACAAACAATCAACTGATATTTCTTCCGTTTTTTATTTACAATCACCCGATCAATCTAAATCTACAATACATATCGATATTCATTCATATTTTCCTTTTGATCCATATCATTTAAAATTAAGTCGACGCTTTATCGATCATATTTATATAGAATGGAAATCTATTACTGAACTCGACCATTATCAAATAACTATCGACTCTGAAGATTCATGATTTTAAAAAATATTTTCTATTTTTTTTTTCATAAAAAGCTTTTATCCTGATAAAACAAAAAAAAAATGCATAGAAATAATTTTATTCATTTTGTTTTTTTTCTTTTTTTTTTTGTTCAAAATCTTTATGTTTCTTATCTTTTTTTTAAGTTCTCGTCCGTTTACTTTTATTCAACTTATTTTGACGTCAAAAAAAGGCTAAAAAGACAAGATATTTTAATACGATTAAATATCAATAAAAATCCTCAATATGGAGGATGAATCTAATATACGAGCTAATGCTTTTCAGCATATTCAACATCCCTCACATCAGAAGGGTTTTTATCAGCGTACAAATGAACAATCGTTAACTCAAGAAAGCGTACATTCGCAGTTAGGAAATTCACTTGCGGAGCAAGAAGCATTATGGACGCTTCTTCAGCAGCAACAAAGTCAGTCTTTACAAAATCATCAAGGATATTATTCAACTCCTAATCTTGGATGGTCAAATCAAGGATATTCTCAGTTTCGAGCGTACCCACAACAAATAGCACCATCATCGCAAGGATATTCCCAATACGCACAATACCCACACCAAAAGCAGCAGCCGTATGCTCCTTATGCACCTCAGCATCCATATTATTCACAAAGTTTGGATTATGGTTATACACATCATCATACGTTACAACATTCTTCGCCTCATTTACAACATTATTTAGGAGGGAGAATGAACGCTCATGCGCATTCATTATCATCAATACGAATGAATATTCCAAAAAATATTATTAATCCTAGTCCTGGATTTCAAAGTACAATACCTACAGTTGCTTCTTCAAGTAATACAATGGATATTATAAATGTTCCAGAAGAGAAAAATGAAGGACCGAACGAGGCTGTTAGTGAGGTTCGATATATTATATCTGAATCATTTGATAGAACTGTAGTTCCTTCTCTTAAAAGCTCAATTCCTCCTGGTATAAATCATCAAGAATATACAAGGGATTGTGTAAACGCAGCAATTGCATCTAGACTCTCTCCATATCATCTTTCTGAATCAGAACATTTATTGTTAAGAACACATCTTACTCATCTACAAATTACTTCATATTTAAATATTCGTAATGCTATTTTGCGGCTTTGGGTTAGAAATCCACTTCTTTATGTAGACCAATATGAAGCACTTGGGATTGCACATGAAGAACGTCATTTTAATCTTGTAAAAGTTTGTTGGGAACTTTTAGTACGAGAAGGATATATAAACTTTGGATGTATTAATATACCTAAATCGTTGGTTACTCCCTCCGTAGGGATAAAGACAATAGTAGTTATTGGTGCGGGTATATCGGGATTGGCATCTGCAAGACAACTTGAATCTCTTTTTCAGATATTTTCTAATAGATTTGATTATCAAATCCCAAAAGTCGTTCTTTTAGAGGCTAGAGGACGTTTAGGAGGGCGTGTTTATTCTCATAAATTAACATCTTTGCCTACAGAAGAGGATTTTCCAAAGGATAAATGTTCAACTGTAGATTTAGGGGCGCAGATAATAACAGGATTTGCTAAAGGTAATCCATTATCTACGCTTCTTGTAAAACAACTTGGTCTTCCAATGCATTTTCTTTCAGTACATAATATTACTTTATATGATTCTAATGGGGAAATGGTCCTCCCTGATACCGATTCTAGGGCAGAATTATTGTTTAATTATATTTTAGAAATAGCTAGTAAATTCAAATCTAAAGAAACTTCAATAAATACTAAAAGGGTGCTTGAAGGCGATAAAAATATGGTAGATGCTGGAGTTGAGCCCAAAAGTGAAGGAGGCCGTGTCATTGCAAAGATTGAAGATAATGAAGCAACAATACCAATGATGGAAGATTATTCTGAAATAAATTCAAAAGATTTAAATAAATTAGATCAAAGCTCATCAGAAGATAATAAGAAAAAAAGCGACTATGATTTAGTTTCTGTTTTACGAAAAATTGGATTCCAAATAAAAGAAAATGTATCAATACATGTAAATTTTGATGATATCGTTTCTGAGCAGAACCCTACCTTAGGTTATGCTATGTCTAAAATTTTATCTCAATATCAGTCATTAATAGATTTAACTGATCTTGATATGAGGCTTTTAAATTGGCATTATGCAAATCTTGAATACGCGAATGGAACTAATCTTTCTAACTTATCTCTGTACCATTGGGATCAAGATGATGGAAACGAATTTAAAGGCGCACATGCAATGGTTAAAGGAGGATATTCAACTCTGGCTTATGCATTAGCTTATATGCCTACGCCTTTGGAAATTCACTATAAAACTGTCGTTTCTGGTATTTCGTATAATGACAAAAAGGCTGTAGTATATTGTGAAGACGGTACAGTAATAGATGCAGATAAGGTTATAATAACTGTTCCCCTTGGGGTTTTAAAAGAATCATCAATTCAATTTAGTCCTCCACTACCTGTATGGAAAATGCAGTCCATAGAACGCCTTAGTTTTGGATTATTAAATAAAGTAAGAAATAAAAAACTGTTTATATGATTTCTCATAAGAATTAGATAATTTTAGTATATGAAAATTCTTTTTGGGATGTAAATATTGATGTTTTTGGTTCTTTAAGTGAACCAGATGATCAAGGAATATATGATAAAAATAGAGGTATTTTTATATTTTATTTTGTATCGTATTTTAACATCTAAATAGGTCGTTTTTATATATTTTGGAATTGTATTAAAACTTCAGGACAACCCGTATTACTTGCTCTTATGGCAGGAGATAGCGCCATTCAAATGGAAAATGAAACTGATAATGAACTTATACAAGAAGCTACAAGAATCCTTCAAAATATTTATCCAAATCAAATGATACCTTATCCTAAAGAGACTATTATTACACGATGGGGCAAAGATAAATTTTGTCATGGAAGTTATTCTTATGTTGGCCCTGAAGCATCTGGTAAAGATTATGATATTATGGCAATGCCTGTAGAAAATACCCTTTTTTTTGCAGGCGAGGCAACATGTAGAACGCATCCTGCTACTGTACATGGGGCGTATCTTAGTGGTCTCAAAGCTGCACAATTGGTTCTTGATTCTTTAATTGGTCCTCTTGAAATTCCAGCAAATGAACTTCTCATTCCATTGAAACAGAAGGGCGTAATAGATCCATCATCTAGAACTAAAAGAAAGGCACAAGACGATTATAAAGCACAACTAGCTGAATTTAAAGATGCTCAGTTAGAAAAACATAATAAAGAAGTTGAAAGGGTTATTTTAGAACGATTGGGGCCAAGACCATCTGCACCACAACGTTCAACTGGAAATCCTTTCCTTGTTTTTCAAAAATCTCAGTGGAATTATTGTAAAAACATTGCTGATAAAAATAAACAAAAAGAGACAGGCAATCCTGAAGCTAAAGCTACTAAAAACGAAATAAGGGCAACTCTTGGTAAAACGTGGAGAAATTTAACTGATGATGAGAAGAAGCCATTCTTTGATATCGTTGCTGAAAATAGACTAAATTTCTCTAATCTTATTGAAGAATATAACACTATTATTAACGAATATAATATTAAAACTGAAGAAATAAGGGCAGAAATGAAGGCCAGGTTAGATGCTATACCAATTTCTCAAGAAGAATTAGAATTAAAAAGACTTGCCAAAGAACAAGATATTCAAGAAAAAAAAATTAAAGCAGAAAGAAAAAGGGAGCAAGATTTATTTGAAGATGATGTAAGTTATTGCTTCATTAATTTATTATATTAACCTGTTAAAGTCAAGTGATTCATTTGATGACGATTATCAAGATAATTTACGGAATGACCCATCATATAGAGCAGCAACATATTTAAAGAAAACATAACGGATATTTTATTGTATAAGGAAATAATATTTTTATGGATTATAAACTTGACGGTTTAAATATGTATTATAATAAAAATAATAGAATTTAAAGCTCAATATTTTTTTAATATAATTAATGATATTTTATAATAAAAAAATATCTTTTAGAATCTAACCAAGAAATGTAATTACAAAAAAGTGAAGAATAAGACTACTAAAAACAAAATCCCCAAATGCTCTATCATATAAATATATATTAATATTTAACAAAAAATTTACCTTTCTGGAGAAATATTTTCATTATTTTCTTCATCTTTTATATTAAATTGACCTCTTAGACTCACTATATTCTATTTTTAGTCCAATAAATATAGAATAATAGAAAAAAAAACCTGTAAGTACAAATTGTCCAACTGTACTAATAAACCCTGACAAAAAGGAGTTAAACGGATAAGATCCAGAAAGAATACAATATAATAACTGAATACAAGCTGAAAAAACCAAGAAAATTATTAAGTAATCAATTTTTTTTAAAGATTTATCAGTATTATTTCTATCCACTTTAAATACTTTTAAAAAAACCAAAAAACATACTGATAATTATTAAAAAATTCATAGAACGACTCTAAAAGAGTATTACTGTCTTTTTCCTTGCTAATAGAAGGAATTTCCTTAGGAAATTTTATCTTATTGGGCTTCATTGGAAATTGAGATTTTATTAACGTTCTTAATAATAAATTAAAAAAAATTAATAATTTCTTAATGAAATATTTAAAAAATGTTAAGATCCCTCAATATTTTTCATTAAATGTTTATGATATTATCATTGTTGGTGGAGGAATATCAGGATTAACATTAGCATCAGTTTTAGGTGGGTATTTATAAGTTTATATAATATAAATGACTGAAAATGAGCCTAAAAGGGTCTAAATTGGAAGATTTTCCATTAAGAATAGCTTTAATTGAGAAATCAGATTTGAAAAGTCTGAAAAAATGGGTACCTTTTGAGTCAAAATACTCTAATAGAATAAGTTCTTTAAATTTATCAACAGTTTTGTTTTTAGAAGGTTTCTTTTTAATGATTATAAGATAAAAGTATTTTTAAATGGTTATTAGATGTTGGTATTTGGAAATATGTGAAAAAAGAACGAGTTCAATCATATTATGGGATGCAAGTAGGGTGATTATCAATATAAATAGATTTTTTAGAAAAAAAGTAGGTTTGGGATGGTATATCATCGTCAAGAATTGATTTTTGTATTGGAAATTATAAGGAAAACCAAGACGAATCAAAAGCATTAGCGTTTATGATAGAAAATGCTAATCTTCAATCAGCATTATTGAAAAAAATAAATGAATTTTCTAATTTTATTGATATTTTTGATTCAACAAAGATATCATGTATAAAATATGATAATTGTGGCAATGATGTTTATGATTTAAGTGATTGGCCTGTTGTAAAGTTATTAAATGGAAAAACAATGATATCGAGATTATTAGTAGGTTGAATTTTATAGGTGAATTTATCTTGATAGTTATTAAGATTGGAGCAGATGGAGTTCATTCATTAGTAGGAAAATTTTCTGGAATTGAGTCTTTTGGATGGGATTATAATGCACATGGTCTTGTAGCAATATTGAAATTAACTGATTTCTCATCAGTAAATGAAATTATTACTGCATGGCAAAGATTTTTGCCTTATGGACCTATTGCTATATTACCGGTTAAGAATATTTTTCTTAATTATTATTACTGAAAAATGATATAGCTTCCTAATAAATATGCAACATTAGTATGGTCATGCCCTCCAGAAATGGCAGCATTTCTAAAAAGCCTTCCAAAATCAACTTTTTTGTTTTTGGTAAATGCTGCATATAGATTGGACATAGCTGATCTGTCATATATTCTTTCGTTAAAATCTTATTTGGAGATTGAAAGTCAGATTAAATGGCGTTTAGGATTTTATCAAAAGAATGGTCCAGTTCCTCCCTTTGCAGTAGATTTGCAAAACGATACGAGAGAATCATTTCAACTAAGAACAAGACATTTAAAGAGTTATATAAAAGAAAGAATAGCATTATTAGGGTTGGTTTTATTTTTTATCAGAATTTTTGAATAGATATTTTAGTGATGCAGCACATACTATACATCCATTATCCGGTCAAGGACTTAATATGGGCCTCGGTGATGTTAGATCTTTATCAAGAGTTATTTTTAATGCTTTGTCTATTGGCCAGGATATTGGTACGATTACTGTTTTTATTAAATATTTTTAATTATATAGGAACATCTCAGGTACTTAAACAATATGAATCTGACAGATATTTAAAGAATTACATTATGCTTGGTGTAACTGATAAGCTATATAAATTATATTCTACAGAAAATCCATTTATTGTTGGATTAAGAAGTATTGGACTAAGCGGCATCAATAAATTTGACTGGATAAAAAAAACACTTATAAGGAAAGTATCATTGGAATTTTAGCATATTAATATTTATTAATCGATATTATTATTAACATTATTTGATTTTAAATAAATTCTAACATATTTTATAATATTGTTAATAAGAATCTTAATAAAAGGTATATATTATTTTATTTTTTATCCTTAAATCCTTTATTTTCAGCCCTAAGTTTAGCTAATACAACTTCTGAAAAAACATCAGCAAGAACTCGCTTAGATTTTTCAGAAGAATGGTGGCTAGCTTTATCCATTAATTCCGAGATATCAGGACTTGCTGGACTGTCTTCGCTTCCTGGTCTCTCGTCTGCTTCAAATTCATCTGAATCAGCCTCCATTTTTAAAGCCTTAATTCTATTTTCTAATCGTATACTTCCGATTGCAAGACGAAATTGTTTTCTAGCATCAATTTCGGATTTAACATTAGGTAAGATATTAATGTTTGTAGCACTATTCCCTGTAAGCCATCTATGCTTTAAAGCGTCCTAAAAAATGTTAATTAACGAAATATTATAAAAAATAAAAATTCTTTAGCAGTAGGTCTTTCTGATGGGTCAAATTTTAATAAAGCAACAATGAAATCTTTAGCTGTAGACAAATTAAAATTGTATATAAAGATATATACAATATTTACCATCTTGTGATATATTTTTCCAGTATTTCTGATGAAACACAATATTGGCAGAAAAAGTTTCTTGAATCAAGTCATCTTTATCTCTTGATCTAAATGGTGAATATCCACATAATAATGTATAAGCAATAACACTGTATTATTAAAATAAGGGAATTTTAATATAGATATTACCCTAATGACCAAATATCACATGATTTCCCATGTCCACGTCTTGATAATATTTCTGGTGCTGCATAACCATAAGATCCTGCAAGAGTTAAAAGTACTTGATTTTCCTCAACATTCCGAGCAATTCCAAAATCTGCGAGAACTAATGGGGAATCATGATCCGGTGTAAGATATAAAAGGTTTTCTGGTTTAAGGTCTCTGTGAACAATTTGATTATCGTGAATATAAGATAAAGCATCAAGAATTTCTGTAATAATAACTACTGCATCCTTTTCTGAAAACTTTCCATATTCACATATCCTATCAAATAATTCTCCCCCCGTAGCTCTTATAATTGTCACCCTTAAACTTGATTTTTATAAAATATACATACAATTCTGTAACAATATAAAATTTTGAATTTGATTCAAACCATTCTTTAAATGTTACAATATGTGGGTGGTCAAGACGCTTTAAAATCTCCATTTCTTCATAAACCATACTTTCATGCCCCTTAACTGACTGTTTATCAATAATTTTCACTGCAACTCGTCCATATTCATTATGAACTGCTTCCTTAACAACACCATATGTTCCTGCTCCTATACGATAATAATTTAAATATTTTATCATTTAAAAGCATCATAAAAGTTTTACCAAGTGTTTTTCCAAACTTATAATTCTTTTTTTTTAAATAACCTGATGATTGCTTAAAATTCTTAAGAAGTGATGACATATTGATAACTTAAAGGGTTTAAAGTCTTTAGAAAAAATAAGATATCTCCAGAAACTAGGAAATATACTGATATTTAAGATCCTTTATTATCTTCCTATATGAGTTGTCTCTACTGCGAAGGTTAAATATCGTGAGGTTAAAAAATATGTCTTTCAATAAATATAGATTTCTTAAGTAAAAATATCTAAAAAAACTAATTTAATGTTATTTTTATTTTTTTTTTGATGTTAAAGTCTTAAAAGTTGTAAAAAAATAAAGTTAAAATTAACTAAAATAATGTTTTTATTTAAGAAAACTTTAAGAAAATAGTTTTTTTGAATAGTATCCTGAAGAATATAGTCATATATTATTTATTTTAATCAAGAAAAATACCTGTTGTTAAAATACCTACAAGTCCTAATATAGTTGGTAGAGGCTTAATGCCAGATTTATAAAGACGAATAATAGAAGTTGTAGTTAATAAAGAAGATGTAACTAAATAGTTTTTAAATAAAAATAAAAAGATATTTTAAAGATTAGGTACAAAGTGCTAATTGATAACCAGGTGATAGACGATAATGAAGTAAAATGCCTATTTTTTATTTAAAAAAGAATAAATAAAAATGTAGAATTATACTGCTACAGCCATACATTGTTCCTATAGCAGTTCCAGCGACAAGACTTGGAATGCTTCGTTTACGAATATACCCAGTTAATCCTCCAATATATACTATATTTTTAAATTTTTTTTTTAATAAAAAAAGAATAACAAACAAGAAAGAGCAAGAATACTTGAAACAGGATCCATACTTTATGATTTATGTATGGATTGCACTTTTTTTATAAATTATTTGCTGTAGAAAATTGATGATTTAAAAGAACGAAAAAAATTGAGAAAAATGTATTTAATGTGTGAATAAACATCTTAAGGGCCATGAAATTGAGCTATTAAAAAAGATTATACATTTCATTTTGAAGAAAAAAATAAGTATTATGTAAAAGATAGAATACCTTCGTTAAACTAGTAGACTTAAGGTTAAAAGAAATATTAATGTATAAAAAAATATAAGACTTTTATTATAGCCTCTTAAGATTAAGAAAACTATCTATAAAAGTTTAAAATAGTTAATCTTGAAAATGATTTATTTATAAGAATTCTTAATAAATAACAAATGCTATATAATATAGTTAATGATGTATTTAAAATTAATAAATTAATAAGTGTACTATGCTTTTATTTATAAAACTTGGTTATTTTATGCAAGTGTGTAATTTTAAACACCTATTAAAATGTTATTTTTATTAATAAAAAAAGGTATTAACTATTTTTTTGAATAATTGAAAGTCCTTTGTCAAGAACTTCTAAATAGTTTTGAAACTCAAGAAGCACTTTTTCTAATTCATTAATAATAGAATTGTTAGTAGTATTTCCACCAGAATTTGCATAATCTGATAAAACCTCTAAATTTAATGGTATTAATGGCGGATTTTTCCATACACTAGACAATGTAGAATCTTTTAATGGTATATGAAAGTTCGGAGATATAGATGGTTGAGATGGTGATGGTGGAAGAAAAATTAGATCATCCATTCCTGAATATTTAGAGACTGGAGAAATATTTTGTGTTTGAGACTATTTTAATATCAATTTTGTAAAATAATAAATTATAGATAGATACTTTTGTATTTAATAAAGGAATCTTTTGATCTAAAGCATGAGACATACTGTTTGATGTATTTGATTGATCTTTTACTGAAATATGTTTATTTTTATTAGATGATTTAGAAGATTGACGAGAATTAAGTTGAGGTTCTGGAAAAATTTTTGATGAAAAAACAGAAGAGGTGCTCTTAGACGGCAAATTAAGTGATTGACTACATGAGTAAGACGGTTTTAATGGAGTAGAACCAGGAAATTGTAACGGAGACGTTGGTATCATACGTGGAAGATAATCTACTGAGACAACAGGATTTGATTGAGTAGATTTTGAATAATGATGATTAAACGATATTTGAGAAGACTCGGTTTGACTATGTATTTTAGGTTGTAATGAATTTGAATTTAACTGTTGAGATTTTAAATTGTCATTTTGTAAAGAGCATGCCAATGAAGGTGCAAGATCTATATTTGAAATATCAATAGATATCTGATTAAGTTCATCTTTGAAATCATCCGTTTTAGTGAAATTTTTAGACGAGTTTATAAGAGACGATGTTATATAAGTGTTAGGTTCAGTTTTTTCAGATTCCTGAACAAAAAGTTGAAGAAGGGGATGATTCATTTTAGTATTATTTAAAGCGTTATTGGAATTAGGAGATTTATTTTTTAAAGTTTCATTAAGATATATTTTATCTTTTAAAATTAATAATATTTATGCAAAAAAAATAATAAATATACCTTTCTCGTGTTTATTTAGAGAATTTTTATCCTCAATATCAAATGTTTTGGTATCAGGATACCCCTGAACAGTATCAAAAGTCCATTCTTCAGTAAATTGATTATCCATGTTATCAAATTCAAAATTTTCATCATTTATTTTATCATTTACATTAGCATTGAGGGATTTACGTATTCCTGCATGTTGACACCAAAGCTCATAACGTATTAGTAATTCTTTCAAAATAGATGTAGGAGTTTTCATCGTTTGCTTAATAAATTTTGTTTTTAATAATTCCATAGCACTGGGTCGCTCATTCACATCCTCATTTAAACATATAGCAACAAAGTCTTTTAATTGGGAAGAAAATTGTGTACCTTCCAGTCGAGTAGGAGGGGAACGTGGAATCAGAATAATTGCACGCATAGGCTCTTGATCTGCGAAAGGAGGATTCCCCGTGGCAATTTCATAAATCGTAATTCCAAGAGACCATATATCCGCCTTGAATTATTAATATAAAAAAAACTATTATCAATATATAACTTTAAAATTATAAGATGCACCTTCTGTAATAACCTCAGGTGCCATCCAGTACGGCGTTCCAACAAATGTATTTCTCTTAAAATTGTTTGCAGTTAATTGTGCAGCTACCCCAAAATCACATAATTGTACCCGACCGTCGTTGGTAATAAGAATATTTGCAGCTAAATTTATTTTTCAATAAAATATTCAATATTAAATACAAAACACCATACCCTTAATATCTCGATGAATAATACCCGAACGATGAATATAATTTAAAGCAATAAGTATTTCACGAATAATTACTGAAAGATATTTTTCTTCAATACGACAACTTTTCATCTATTATTTCATATGGCTAAATTCGATGGATAAAACTAGTTTATCTATTAAAAACATACCAGTGTCCGTATACTTCCTCCTTCGCAAAAATCCATAATTACCCAAAGCCGCGTATCATAAAGAAAACTACCATGATATCGGACCACGTTTTGCGCATCCACTTGCTTAAGTTGTGAAAGCATAGAAATCTCACGTTGAATATCTGCAACATCATCCTCTGTTGTATCTAAATTAAGTACTTTAATTGCTACAACTTGTTTCGTTTCATTATGAATTCTAAAAAAAATAAACTTTAATTTGTAATAAAATAATAATAATAATAAAGGGTTACCCCTTATATACAGCGCCATAAGAACCTCTCCCTATCAATTCTTGTAGTGTATAAAGTGGTTTTGCTATAGTCATTTTTTCAAAACTTTTTATATTAAAAGAACGCGTCCGACTCGATAAACCGCATTCTATTTTTTATATATTAAGTTTGTTAAAATTAAATCCCTTTGTTCTATAAAAAATATCTAAATAATATAATATGTGAAACATTGAATGTAAACATCTTTATGAATATGTGTAAAAAAGACTTTAACTGATTTTATTATAAATTGTTAAGACAACAGCTTTATTTACCTTAAATAAAATCTTTTAGATAAATTTATATATATGATTGTTTTATACAGCCTATTATTCAATATTATAATTCAATTAATTCATATAATTTTAAAGTTGTAAATTCTTAACCGTCTTTTTTAAAAAAGTATAATAATTTGTTACTGTATAATATTATTTGCCTTGCTTTTTATGTTGCTGTAAATCCGTTATTTCCATTTTGCTTCAATTTCAGTAGATATACATAGATACATATCATATTAATCAATTTGTAAATTTATAACTGTTAAATTTTTTAAAAGTTCGTCTCTAAAACTTTTAAAAGCTTTCTGCTAATGGTTTTTTGGATAATTATTTTCAACTAAGGATGTGTACATGGTTATAGAAAGTATTTATAGTCTTTCTTTTAGATAATTTTTCGGAACCCATCCTTCTAATCCATCTTTTCTTGCTAACCACCATCCTAATATATTTATAAAAGTTTTACTACTTAATATTGTTATTACCGTTAGTTTCTTTATGTATAATATAGAGAATTTCATCCTTTTTAAAAGACATTTCATTAGAAGTTTGACCTTGGAAGTCATATAAAGCAACATAGTAAGGCCCTAGATTATTTATAGGTGGAGTAGGTGATTTTCTAAATGGTGGAATAGAAATATATTTCTTATTCGAAGAATTTGTTTCAGAAGTTAAAGAATTTTTAAACGTAAATAAATTTGATGTGTTAATTTTTGGTGTTTCACATGTTATGGTTTTCTTCTTAAGAGTAGTTTTTGGTAAACTATTAGATGGTTCTCCAGGAAGAACATATACAATACCACTTTTATATATATTATTCGTAGGAATTTTTGAATTTATAACGAATTTAACAGTAGAGATCTTCCCTTGCCTTTTATTATATTCAATACTATCTTAATATTAGCATTATAAAATTCAAAACAAACATTACGTAGATCCTATTTGAAGATTTAAATTATATAATATGTGTTTTAAACGAGTTATAAGTTCTGTTTTAAAAACGCATGAAAAAAAAAGATCCGGCTCATTTTTATTATCAAGTTTAAGACAAACCCAGTCATCACTCAAGGATGAAAGTAAGACACAACGAACATTATTTAATTCAATAGATCTTTCAATAAAAATATTAAGTTGTTTGTTAAGAACAGTAGTTGCAAATATATAAATCATTTTATTTGTCTAAATATATAAATGGGAAATATATAATTGGGGTAATTCTTACCATGATAAAGTCTTTTGGTTTTGTTTTGCTAGACCGACCAAGTTTAGAATATAAAAGTTCAATAGTACATGAAAATTCTACTTTAAGGTCTATTATATTAGAAAAGTGTATAATTATGTAAATATATTTACCATTAATATTTATAGCCTTTTTATACATTTTTCCTAAGTCCCCGTTGGAATTGATGTCCAAATAATCTCCTATGAAATATCTACTATACAGTAAGCTAGCAATACGTCTTTCTTTTCTTCCTCCAAGAATTCGATGTCCTTCATTTCGAAGTCGAATATAATATATTATGTTCTTATTTTTTCTCCAAATTCTTTGAATTTTTATAGCACATTCATTACGATATTTTAAGTAATTGCGCCATGCACGTTGTATTCTAATGGCCATATTGTGCCAATATTTATCTCTCATAGATTCCATAGAGAAAAGAGTTTCTGGATGTTTAATAAATACTTTTGTTATTCCTATCTGAAATTCTGAATTAGGTACAGATATATCTTTAAAAATCTGCTCGCATGCTGAACGAGAACTATGTTTCCAAATATATTCCCCAGCATAGCTACATTTTCGCGATAATAGATAAAATCTTTCAACAAATTTATCGAATGTTTGTCTATATGCGAATCCAGCTCTTCTAATCCTTATATTTTCTTGTAGACCTAAATATTTTATTTGATGAAGGACTTCTTTTTCATTATATTCTGTTGGCGATCTGTTCGAATTTGGTTTAATGGTTCTAATATAAGAAGGCTGACATTTCATTAAATTATCCATTAAAGTATTTGCAGAAAGCTTAAGAATATTATTGATAATTAAAAAAAAAAAAGAATATACCTTTATTTTATCTGCAGATGTAGATGGTCTTTTCTTAGAATCATTATCTACTTTTTCTGGGAATAATTCATGCAGAAATGTATTTTCACTTTTAGCAATTAAATTAAGCAAATCTTTAAGTAAATTGTCTTTATTTTTCTCTGTCATTCCATGAACAGTGTATGTTACATCTCCTGCATAATGCTTAATAATAAATTGACTTTGTCGTTGTTCAAAATGAGGATTAGATGTTAAAAGGTTAAGTTTTTGAATAAATGAGCTATCAGCTGCAACAGAATCAGCATGCGCAGTAGCTACCGCATCATTTAAAGCTGCAAATATTCCAGGAGGATATTTTGCTTCAACAAGATCACATACAATTTTATTGTTAAAATAATTTATTGGTGTCCATTTAATTTTTTCACGGATATATTCTTCTTGTTCTGCTTTTAAAGTAAGTTCGACAAAAATTTGCTAAATATAATATTAGAAATATTTAATCAATCTTATAAAATTTCATACTTGTAATTTTTCATTGACATAATTAATGCAAATTTGTTCAAAGCTATTATTTTCAAAAATTTCAAACCCGTAGATATCCAGAATTCCAATTGTATAAGAAATATTTCCACGTGCTTTCATACTTAAATTTATTTTTTTTAATATCCATTCAAATAGGTTATTATAAATAGATTTTGCTAATGCATCTTTTGTAGAATTGGCCTGAAGGGGGTTTAATGGTACATCGTAAATAGATCTTCTACGTCCACTTTTTTGTGTCTCTAAAACGCGACTAGTTAATGCTTTGTTGATAGATTTTTCATCCACTTCCATAAGATACGCAATAAATTTTGTAACTGCATCATCATAAATAACTGCATTTCCTTCCTTATCTTCTTGAAATTGAATATTACCAAGCCAAAGAATTATAGAAAGCATTTTAAATATATTATCCTTATCACTCAAAGTAAGTCCTATGGTTTCCATTGCTTTGCATGTTTCTAAAAAGTCTGATGAATCATCCATTCCTTCAACATTAAGGCATTCAGAAGTGCCTGTATAAAAATACGATTCAGGTCCTTGAATGCCAAACATTTCTTTAAATATTAATAAAATGAAAAAAATAAATAAATTACCTCTATAATATTGGTTAGCGCTTTTTGTAAATTGATAAAATATATGAAAATTTCTTTCATTTTTTATTTGACTAATAACTCTGCCTTTTTCAAGTAAATAATTTGTAATATTTGCACCTACAGGCTCTGAATCTGAATTGAACTGGATCTCTAAATATTTCCCATGACGTGATGAATTATGATTTCTAAGAGTTTTTGCACATCCAAAAGATTCGAGTAACGGATTTGTTGCAAGAACAATATTTTTAATTTCTTGAATTTGAGATGAATTTCCCTTGGAAACAGAGGCTATATATTGCATAATACGCTTTGCTGCTTCTGTTTTTCCTGCTCCTGACTCCCCACTAATACAATTAACATTATTAACAATTTGTATATTGCGAAACCTAATAATAATACATTGATTTTCTTTATATGCAGCCATATTATAAAATGCATTTTCTGCAATAGCATATACATGAGGTTTTTCCTAAAAACATGTAAAAATCCTAAACAATTGCAAAAAAATAATTAATCATTATAAAAACATACTTCTAACCTATTTTTTCCTCGGTATGAATGTAAAATTTCCTCTGTATATATTCCGAGATCTTGAAAAGGATTAACACTAATAAGAACATGTCCAATATACGTCTTAAATTATTTAATTAAATTCTATCTTTTCAATACTCCAACATACATAAATTTCTTTATTTTCAAATCTTTTTTTCAAATTATCATTAATAGTTTCATCCCCAATTTTTGATAATAATGTAAGATCATCAACTCCAATACTTTTTTTTTTTATTTCCTTATAAAATGTCTTTTTTTTTACTTGATTATCTTTAGAGTTATTTATTGACTTATTTTTATCTAAATTTTTATGTAAAAAACCTTCCAAAGATCTATCTCGTCTAACAATTGCCTATATTATTGTAAATATTATTAAAATCTTATATTTTTATAAAGCTTAGTACCATAAGTTATTTTTTAATTTGTTCGATATCGAGATTTCGCTGATAAAACATATTGATTTTAGAGTTTTATTATTGTTTTATTAAAAAATCATTTAAATAAAAATAATAGAATATTATATTTTTCATTAAAAAAGGCGTAAATTATTTTCAGACATTTTTTTCAATATATCTAAAATTTTAGATATCATTTCTTTTCTTGGTACAAGTTCTCCAGTATTTTGTTCTCCTAGTCCTAAAACTTTAATACGAACTTGATTATTTGCAATTTCATCTTGACCAAAAATGACAGCAATTGGTATTTGATCTTTTTCAGCTGCTTCAAATTGTTGCCGAAATTTAGGTTTAACTTTATATAGAAATTGTGTATTTATTCCAGAATTCCATAATTCTTTACATATTTGTAATCTTTCTTTAATCATAATTTCAGATTTATTTCCTGTTCCAAATTCCATTACATAAACATCAGTATTGTTAGTTTTAATTGTTGAAGTAGAAAGACGAGATTTTAGAATTGAAAAGATACGTTCAACACCAATAGAAACACCGATACATGGAACTTTTTTTTTTTTTGGTGAAAACATTCTAACTAAATCATCATATCTTCCACCAGCTGCAATAGATCCGATTCCCATATAATCACTTTCGATTTTATTGAATTGAAGTTCTTTCATATTTGAACAAAGATTAGATATGGTATTCGGTTCAAAAACTGCTTCATAAATAAGCCCAGTATAGTAATCAATACCGCGTGCCAATGAAAGATCAAAAGAAACCTAAAAAAGTTAGTTACTTATAATAATGAAATATTTAATATCCTATATACTTTAGAATGTATATCTAGACATTCAAGGTAATTATATAAAATTTCCATATCATTTACTCCTTCAAGAGAAACCTCGTGATTACTTAATAATTTATCAAATCTTAACTCTTGTAAAAGATTGCTTCCTCCTATATTTTATTTAAATTAAGCATAAATGTTTTTTTATAAGAAAAACCTTTTTTTCTAATATAATTACCGACCTTATCAGCTACTGACTCATCAAGTCCCTTTTCATGTATCATTTCTTTCTTTATATCGTCCCATGGCAACTACAAATTAATTAAAATAATAAAAAATACTTTTTGATTAAATACTTTGTCTAGTTTATCAATTGAACTAGAAATAGCCCGAAATTTTTCCTTTGGAACACCACATATATCAAGAATTCCATCTAATATTTTACGGTGATTTAATTTAATAGTATAGTTTCCTATATTTAATTCATCAAGTATTTCAACAAGAATTTTAAGGATTTCTGCATCTGGTAGCATTGGATCATAAAGACCTGCAATATCAAAGTCACACTGATAAAATTCCCTCATACGACCTTTTGCTAGTGCTGGTTGATCTCTTCGATAAACTTTAGCAATATGATATCTTTTAATATATTGGATTGTAGGATTCATAGCAAGATATCGTGCAAAAGGGACTGTCAAATCATAACGTAAGGAACACAATTCTCCTCCCTGATCTTGAAGATCATAAATAAGTTTACTTTCTTCTCCATATTTTCCTGCTAATATTTCTTTCAATTCAAAAGTTGGTGTGTCGATTGTTATTCCTCCGTGACGTTTAAATACTTTTATAATTCTTGAAAATATTTCTTCCTTTATAACCATATCTCTATCATCCCAGTCTATATAATTTGGTTTATTATAGGTTTTTTTTCTAAAAAATTTCTACCTTTTGTTCCCTTATATTGTAAGCTTTTTTTTTAAATAATTCTTATACCTTTGGAGTTTTAAGAACAAACCCTCCCTTTTCCTCAGTAGATCTTTCTTTTCTATAGATTTCCTTAACATCTATTTTTATTTTTAATTTCATTATTATTTTTTTAATCAATTAAACCTTTTGATTTTTTTATCTAAATATATCAGCAATTTTAACTAATTTTGAATAAAAAAAAGACATGGTCATCTGTTCCACTACATAGAATATTTTCTTTTGTTTTTTCTTCTTTTTCTATCTTTTTTTCATCATTTTTCTCAGATTTTATTTCATCTTTTTCCATTTTCTTTAATTCTGCCATATATATGATTTTAAAATCCTGTTTTTTGCTGCTATAATATCTTGTGCAGGAGAAACCTATATGCTTATTTAAAGTACACTTGATAATATAGAAAGTCTCTATAATTTTAATTTTTTTTCTCATATAAGCATTTGAAGTGCTTGTAACGATAGAAACCTCTTAATAAAGACTTAAGAGTTTAAAAGATGTTAACTAGAAATATTGATATTGAACAGATTAAAAGTAACAATGTTAAGTCGTTTTTAGAAGTTCTTGACTCAGTTTGTGGCAAAAAAATATTAATTCTTGACCGTCATTTGAATGGATTGATTGGATCTCTTGTTAAGTTTTCAGTACTTCAAGTGACTAAATTTCTTTTTTTTTTTTTTAATTTTTTAACTTTTTATTAGGAACATGGTGTTGATAAGGTTTTTTGGCTTTCAGAAGATGTGCCATCTTCACCATTTCCAAAGCTCTATATATGTCGTCCAACAATAGTGAATATGCGTATGATTATAGGTAAATATAGACTTGATAGATGAAATTTAAAGTAAAATTATATGGGATTCTGAAAGAAATTAGGCCATGTTCGAGTTGAGCGACATTTAAAGACGTTTCATTCAACTTTGTATTTGGTATCAAGAAGAACAAATGTATGTGATAAAATTTTAGAAGAAGAAGGTGTTATGGGTGATCTTGTTATTGAATCGTTTCCTTTATTAATGATTCCTTTTGAATCGGATCTTATTTCTTTGGAATTAGATGACAGTTTTAAAGAAATTTATATGGTATTTAATTTTTCTGTTGAATCTTTATGAAAAATCTTTTATTTTTATTTTAGGATGGAAATATTTCATCTATTTATCATTCGGCGCATGTTTTGATGAAAATTCAGTCATTATATGGGTTGTTTCCTCGTATTCTGGGTAAAGGTGATAAAGCAAAACAATTGAAAGATCTTTTATTTCGTCTTCGACAAGAATATTCATTAGAATATCCTTCTGAATCACAACTTCATAATCTAAGTACATTTATTGATACTCTTATTATTGTTGATAGAGAATTGGATTTTATAACACCTTTAATGACTCAATTAACATATGAAGGACTAATTGATGAAATATATGGGATAAAAAATTGTTAAGTCTATATATAGCATTTTTTATTTTGAAATTAACATTTTTTAGCATATGCAGAAGTTTCAGCTAGGCTTTTTTCTGATTTAAATATACAAAATAGCAATAATGTTTCTGTCTCTTTTGATATAACAGATGACAACTTTAAACGGAAAAAGATTTTATTAAATTCTTCAGATAAAATATTTAACGCAATTCGTGATAATAATTTTGCTACTATTAGCACTCATTTAAATAAGATTGCTAAGCAATTATTTAACGATTATGAGGTTTTAAACTATGATTTTTGGATTATCTATTGACGATTTCAGGGACGCTATCAAGCCAAAACTGTTTCTCAAATACGAGATTTTGTTAGCAAATTAGGTGGTTTACAATCAGATCATAGATCATTAAAATTTCGTAACCAAATGTTTTTCTATAAAAAAATGCTATTAACTTTTATAGATATAGCTTTGACAGAAGATATTATGAATATAACATCATCTGATACGTTTTTAAAAGTACTTGAGGTTCAGCAAAGTTTAAAACTATTTTTTTTTTAAAAAATCTCTTATTTGTTTAGATTTTATTTCTGGCATTAGTAATTTACAGAATCCTATATTGGAAGAATTAATTTCTAAAAATGTTCCTATAACTACTGTTTTGCGTTTATTATGTCTTGAAAGTGTTATTTTTGGCGGTATTCAATCAAAAGAATTAGAAAATTTTAAAAGGGAATTAATACATGTATTTATTTATTATTTATATTTTTGTTTTTTTTTTTTTTAATATTTTAGGCATATGGGTATAAATGCATTTTGGCATTTTCAGTTCTTGAGAGAATTGGTCTGCTTCGTCCTCGAATATCCAATTCATATAAAATATATAATTCTATCAGTAAAGCTTTTCGACTAATTGTTAATAATGTTAACGAACATGATCCTGATGATATTTCATATGTTTATAGTGGATTTGCGCCTTTAAGCATTCGTATAATTCAATCTATAATTCAGAAACATTCATTAAAATTAAATTTTAAATCAAAAGGTTCATCATCTAATTGGAATGAATTTGAGGATTCTTTAAAGATGTTGAAAGGAGAACTTTTTGATGAAGTTCAGAAAGTTGATGATATTATAAGTTTTAGAAGTAAGTTTGTTTTCTTTATAGAAAAATACAATAATAATGTTTATTTTTCAGGATTGTCTAAAATCCAAGAAAAAAAGACAACGATTATTTTTTTTTTAGGAGGATGTACATTTACAGAAATAGCAGCTCTTAGGTTTATTGCTAAGCAAGAAAGTAATTTGATGTTTATATTTAAAAATGAAATATTATTAATAAATTGATAGACTCTAGAGAATTTATTATTATTACAACTTCAATAATTAATGGGAACATCATTATAAATTCTGCATTGCCAAATGTGTTTTCAGCTTTTTAAAATTGTTTTATATATTTATATAATCTTTATATTTTGAAAAATATATTACTGTTGAAATTTAGATATATTTTAATTTAAGATTGAGGTTAAATGGTATATTTGGGTCAGTTATTAAAATTTCTTCATCATTATGGATCAATTCTTCTAAAGATTTATTTAAGTTGGGTCTTGTAGCTTTTTCTAATTGTGGAGGTGTTTGTAAATAAAGATTTTTTGATCCTGTCCTTAATGAAGGTCTTTTCACATTTCTAAACTTAGGTTATATATTAGTATTATACTTTTTGGAAATAATTACGTATTTGGACTTTCAATAAGTTTTTCAATAAATTCATTTAAAGTTATCTTTGGATCAACTTCATATACTATAGCTAAATAGCCACATATTAGACAATCCGGCTTCTTTTGAAGTTGAAATGTATATATATAAACAGAGTCTGTTCCTGTATACATCATATAATTGTTAATATATGGGTTACATGTTGTTGCAATTTTAAATGCTTCATTACAACAAGACGCTTGTTTAAAAGAATTGGTTTAACTTAATGAATAAAAATAATGATTTACCTGCTATTATGGCATTTGAGCTTGCTACAGTTGGAATAATGTTTTTTACAACACTTTCAGTAAAAAAAGGTGTTATTCCTGTAATATTAAATTGGTTAGCTCTATTTTTGGCTGTTTCATAAATCCATTTGATATGGTCCGAATTGTCATTATCAATTGTTTTATCTAATTATCAGTTAAAAAAGAATTACAAAATATATTTTACCTGGAAACACTTTAGGCCATTCAATAATTAATGCCCATTCAATACAATGTTCAGGTAAACGTGGAGTATTAGTAATAGTACAGATAGGATATGTCTTATTTTTTATATGCATATCAAGCGAACATTCATAACAAGAACTAATTGTCGGTAGTATGACACGTACTTGTCCTCTAAGTCCTTTAATATTTTGTAAGCCGAGATAATAATTATAATTTTTTCAACCTTCAGTTCCTCCATCTATAAATGGTTTTAATGATTTAGGGCATTTTGGATCTACCAAATTAACAAGAGTAGAATTTATCCATCTTCGTGCTTCTATACTATCTAATCCAGAAATAATAATATCAAATTGCATGTAAAATGATTCATCTTTATCTTGAATTTTACAATGAAATCTATTTATAATAAATATTTTTATAATATTTATTATATTATTATATTCTTACGGAGTTATATCAACACCTTTGATACGTTTCATAATATACTTTGCTGCACATATTGCTTTTGGTTTTCCAATATCTGAATATCTGTTTTTGTTGCTTTAGTCTATATATTTATTACACATATATTTACTTAAATAGAAATTGTCTATTTAAATTAGATAATTCTATTGTATCCATATCAATTATTGTGATATTTTTAAAGCCGGAAAGAGCCAGATTCTTTAAAATTTCACAACCAAGTCCACCTGCTCCAATAACAAGTACTTTACATGTATTTAAAAAATTATGTACTTGTTTTCCTGGTATAAACTTTATATCTACAAAAGGACCAGATCGATTAAGAATGCGTGAAATATACAGCCATCTATTGCTTTTGCCGTAGTTTAATAATTTGGATTCATTTTTATGTATTTCTTTATTAATTGGCATTAAAAAGTTAAAAAATCAAAAATATTTTATTTTTATAATATATCTTTTTAATTGTTTATTGATAATATATTAAAAATTAATTATAAGATTAAGATTAAAAAATATGGTATGATTTCTGTGGATTTTAAAGATGGATTTATAATATTAAGATTTTATTTGAAAGTTTTAGATTTATAATAAAAATATGTAGAAAAGGTATATATGAATAACATAATAATAAATATATTACATAGGATAAAAATTATGATGTATCTTGCAAAACACTTTTGATTAATAAACATTTCTCTTTTAAAACATATATACTTTTTAAAAATAATTCATCAGATGTAATAATACCAGTACTTTCAATACTAAAAATAAAATGATCTCGTACTCGTCCAAGTTTTACTTTATCTTTGAACTCATTATAACGAAGACATTCTCTAGAAACAGTGTCTTTTCTTGTGTTTGCTACTTTGGCAATTTTTCTATTTTGTTCATCTAAAACGATATCTATAACACCTTCTGGAAAACAACATGCAAATTTCTCAGCATCATCATCATAAATTGGTTCTAAAATATGAATCGTTGGCAAAAGCCTATAAGATGATGTTGATACAGGACTATATTTTGCATGATCTTGACCAATTCCTAATACACAATGCATAGTAAGATCAATTTCCTTTATATACTTAATAAATATAAAAAAATATAAAACGCACCTGTCCAGGACGTAATTTTGCAATTAATATTTTATCATGTACAGCTCTTATTGGATCATCTTTAAAAATCTCAATTTGACGACCAGCTGGTTGCCATTGGATATCTCCACTATAAACTAAATATGTTAAAATAATTAATAATAATAAAATTAAATACCTTTAGAATTAATATACAACTTTTCAGGATCTGTTTCATTCTTAGATGCTTTAGGATTTCTAGTGCAAGATACTTTAAGTGATAAAACAACTGTATCATAATCTGTAGGTTTAGGTTCTTGATTTTCACCAGGTTCTTTAAAAAAATTAATATAAATACATAAATATAAATATCCCTACTAATAAACCATGTAAAGAAATCCGGATTTGCTTTAATAGGAATTAATCCTAATCTTTGTGCAAGAATTTCATCTTGAATAATACTTGTATTATTATTAATAAAAACATATTCAACTGCTATTGTAGGTATTTCTGCTATTAATATTCTACGAAATGAATTCACAATTGAACTATCAATCCCAATAAGGTCAAATTCTATATTATAAGCTGATAATTGAACTATATTTTCAATTCGAAATTTCTTTTGCAATATTAGTCATATTTTTTCCTTTTTTCCTAGAAAAAAAGACCTTTTTGAATTCTTCAATATCCCATGAATATTCTTCTCCATAAAAATGACCTGGAAAATCTACATTTGTGACCTAATTTTAATTAAATATTTTTTACACATTTCTATCAATTATACATCTGTTATCTTATCAATTTTGATGCCTATTTCTCTTCTCTATATATTTTTAGTGCTTTCTATTGAAAATATTGTTAAAAATATTAATTTACCTCTTTTTTAAAGGTTTTATTGCTCATTTTCTTAAGTCTTTTAAAACATTTGAAATATACGATCAACCGGAGTTTTTAAAAAAATAAGAAAAGGTGAATTTTGCGGGAAATAAAGGGAAAATAAGGATGAATATAAAAAGAATAGTGTTTTCAAGGTATATATCTTGTCGTTCTTTTTTGTTTCATTTAAATTCATTGAAATTTCGAGTAAATTATCAATCTCTATCATCTATTACTTTTCCTAAATTTTCAGAAAAAAATGACCAAAATTTATGGAAAACAACACTTACAGAGGTAAAAGAAGATGGATCAATTATTGATGGTCAGTAATGTCTTTTTTTTTTTAGAAAAAAGAGTTAAAATTGGGCTAGAAAAAGATTCAAAATTTGAATCAAAAATTCGGCATTTTACAGTCAATTTTGGCCCGCAACATCCAGCAGCACACGGTGTTCTTCGTCTTATTCTTGAGTTAAATGGAGAGGAAATTTTACGTGCAGATCCACATGTAATTATATCTTTATCTATTAAAAATAAAGATCAACTATTTTAGATTGGACTTTTACACCGAGGTACAGAGAAATTAATTGAACATAAGACATATCTTCAGGCTTTACCATATTTTGATCGACTTGATTATGTCAGCATGATGACAAATGAACAATGTTTTTCTCTTGCAGTTGAGAAGTTGCTTAATATTGAAGTACCAGAACGTGGCAAATTTATAAGAACAATGTTTGGAGAAATTACAAGGATCTTGAATCATTTGATGGCAGTTTTGTCCCATGCTATGGATGTTGGTGCTCTTACTCCATTTCTTTGGGGATTTGAAGAGCGTGAAAAATTAGTATTGGATTTTATATACATAAATGTATGGTAATTTGCTATAGATGGAATTTTATGAGCGTGTATCAGGTGCAAGACTTCATTCGGCATATATACGTCCTGGTGGAGTCTCTCAAGATTTGCCTCTTGGATTATTAGATGATATTTATGCTTGGGCAACACAATTTGGAGATCGTATTGATGAAACAGAGGAGCTATTGACGGATAATAGAATATGGAAAGCTAGAACTGTTGGAATTGGACGTGTTACTGCAATGGATGCTCTGAATTACTCTTTTTCTGGGCCAATGTTAAGAGGAAGTGGTATTCCATGGGACATACGAAAGGTTGCACCTTATGATGCCTACGATAAAGTAGAATTTGGTGTTCCAGTTGGACAGAATGGGGATTGTTATGATAGATATTTAATACGAATGCAAGAACTTAGAGAATCTTTAAATATTATTCATCAATGTTTAAATAAAATGCCAGAAGGACCAGTTAAGGTTGATGATTGGAAAATTTCACCTCCACCAAGAGAAGTAATGAAGGAAAATATGGAAGCACTTATCCATCATTTTTTACTTTTTACTAAAGGTTTATACACTTTATATTTACAAATCTATATTAATTTGATATTAGGATATTGTGTTCCTCCAGGAGAAACATATACTGCTATTGAAGCTCCAAAAGGTGAAATGGGTGTTTATATAGTATCAGATGGAAGTGAAAGACCATATAGATGTAAAATTAGAGCGCCTGGATTTGCGTATATTTTCTATTTTAGTTTTTTTTATACTAATCATTTAAGACATCTTGCTGGTGCAGATATGATTTCTAGAAATCATTATCTCCCTGATATGGTTGCCATTATCGGTAACATTTATTTTTTTATAATTTTCTTTAATAGTTTTAGGTACAATGGATCTTGTTTTTGGAGAAGTGGACAGATAAATTTCCTTTTCTAATATTCAAGATATTTTTTATTAGAACTATTCAAATAATTTACAATATATCTCTTTGCATTTTTATTTTTCAACCTGCAATATTTACTTTTTCATTTTTAGTATTCAATATGTACAAATATTTAATATATCTTTTTAATGAAAACATAAACATATTTCTCATTTTTTATATTTTATTATTTATATATGATATTTATTAGTTTTACTTTTTATATTAAAAAATATTTAATAAACACTAGATTGACTATATATTCTTTCATTATTTCTTCTTTCTAAACTTATTTCTATATTATAAACCTAGATTATTCATCTATAAATATTTAATGCCAAAATCGAAAATAAATATCGTATATTGTTGCTGATCTTAAAAATCAAAATAAATAGAAAATTAAAAAAATGGCACTTACATGTACTGATATCATCAAGGTATATTCTTTATATTATTTGATATATTCTAAGATAATTTAGTTTCTTTTTGGTAAAATAGGTGTTTTAAAGATAAAAAAATAATACTATTTAGCTATAATATTTCCACCATTAGGTGTTTTTCTTGAAAAAGGATGTTGTATAGGTATGTTATTAGCTTTATAATCTTTTTGTTGTTTTAAGTTTACAATTTAGATCTTTTAATAAATATCCTATTAACTCTTCTTGGATATATACCGTAAGTTTTTAAGAGATAAATGCCATGTTAATATATTAAGAGGAATTATTCATGCCCTATATATTATCCTCAGATACTAGGAAAACGTTATGAATTTTTCAATAAAATAAAACCTATAGCTTTATACATTTTTGTTTTATCGAATGTTCTATTTTTTTTGTCTTTTTGAAAAAATTATAGTGAACAGAGTTTTTTAATGTATTCTTTTTCATAATTATTTATCTAATTGTCTGAATAATGACACCTTTAAATTTTTGTAGAGTTAAAAAGTTTTTGTAGAAAGATTATAAAATTATTTAAAAATAATAATGTTAAATATTTAAAAATATTCGCCCGAGTTTCTTATAAATAACCTGGATATTTGATTTTTTTTATAATTTTAACAAAAATATATTATATATATAAGTATAATAATATTATTTTTATATGTTATACGATTCATCTATTTATTGTAAATAATGGAGGTGTATAATAAAACTGAAATTATTACTTTTAATGTTCATTATTTTTTAAAATTAATATTTTGTTCTCCATTTTTACACGTGGATACCACAATTTCGCTAAAATACCTATAGAATTATTAAAATATACCTTTTCAAGCCCGCAATATCCTGATATAACATCCTTTATAGTCCAATTTCCTTTTAATTTGAAATTAGATGCGTCGCTAATAGCCCAATTAATGGTTTTTAAAAAATCATAACTATTTAATTTTGTTATATCTTCTGTTTTATCGTATATAATTTTTTCATTATCATGTAAAAAAAGAGATACACCTGTCATACAAGTATATACATCTAAATGAACTTTTTCTGCTACTTTTAAATTTATCTCTGTGAAAATATTTTTGCAAACCTTTCTCGGATAAATCAAGATTATGAAAAGCTTTTAAGGACCACGCTCCAGGATAATTTAAACTGGATATCAAAGACATTACTAAACTTGCAGAAAAAGTCATTAAAACTGCTATAATTAATATTAAAAACGCTATCGTGAAAACCAATGATTTGTATTTTCTATTGTAACTAAACATATTATTAAGAAACTTAACTTAATTCACTTATAATCTTACATCCACGTTGCTCCGATAGCAGCTACAAGTGTCAAAGATGGAATAATGTATACAATAAATCTCCATTCTTTATGTGGTTGTAGTGAATAAATAATAACATATGAGATATTTGGAACCAAAAGATTAATTGTATCTTTAGGGCGTTTAAAAAGAGCAATTCCCCATAGAATAAGAAAAAGAGGATTTAATAATAATTTCGGTATATATTTAGAAAAATATGTATGCCATGCCGAAACCTTTTAGTATACAGTTATATTTTTTTATAATAAAATATTGAAATTACCCCCCATTTTGAACTTTTTTTTTCTATAATATTAAAATAAAATGCCATTCCTTCTGGCCATAAAAAATACTTTTTCCAAAACCATGAATCAACAATAATACTAAAAAACAATCCCAAAATGCCACCAAAAGAGAACACCTTAATCATCTCCTTTATTGTAGTCTTATTACTAAACCAAAAATATATTGCATGTGTGATAACCAATATTATAATTTCAAATCTAAAAACTACTGCCGTAAATGTCAAAATAAATAATCCTTTTAATATGTCCTTTTTTTTATATTCAATAAAATATTTAATCGCTATTGTATCTAAATTCCTGTTACATAGTTATTCAAAAATAAATTTCTCAATATATACATATTCCAAAAGCAAACATGTTTGGTAACGTTCTTGATGCATAATACATTATATGAAATTGTGATGCTTGAAAAATCCCATACCATAACCCTGTATTTATACCATAGTGTCTAATAATTTTATGACGAAATATAATAATAGCTAATGAGTTGTATATACCCAAAGTACCTCGCACTAAAAATACCATTAAATTAAAAGATTTTAATTATAAATAAATTCACCCAGATATTGAATTTTAGATTTAGATACTTTTTTAAAAAAAAGTTTTTTGATAAAAACTAATGGTGAAACAATACTTGCTGTTAAAACTGCTCCTATAAATGTTCGAGGTACTGGACCTGGAAATTTAAAACAATCATACTTTTAAAATTATTATAAAAAATTCAAATAATAAATTTCTTATACATTTTTTAATCCTTCTCTTGTTATTCCAAAAAAAAGAATATCATGAATTGCTTGAAGATTCATTGATTCTTCAACTTTTGTATATGGTGAAATAAAAAGATGTGTTAATACTAATAAGATAATTATAATATCTATGAAAATATATTGTCTTTTCATCAATGTATATGAATTTTTAAGACTATTTAATAACATTTGTAACCTTGTTAGTATTCGAGATTAAAAAATTAGCTCTAGAGTATTTAAATTTTTTATATAAAAAAGTATATCTTAACAAATTAGGCTTAATATCTTTTAAATGTGAGATAATATTTAAATATATTTTCGATGAATTAAAGTGGTTGATAAAAATGATTTTAATCAAGAAAATAAAAGTATTTATTAAGTTTAAAAGAAGAAAATTTAATATCTATATAGGCCTATTTTTCTTATCTAAATAATCTATCAAGAAGACTTTTATCTCAGAAAAGACGCATTATTATATTATTAATTATTGATATTATACTTTTTATTATAGAGCTTGTTATAGGTAAGATAAATGAAAAAATATAAAATTTTATTTATAATGAAATAGGACTTATAGCAAATTCTCTTGCGCTTTTTGCAGATTCGTTTCATTTAGTAAGGGTTAAATAACAGATATTATTTAAATATTAATAAAAAATAGTTAAATGATGTGGTTTCTCTTATTATATCTTTATGGTCGATTAAACTTGCTTTAAGAAAAAATTCATCTGCAAAATATACATATGGTTGGCAGCGTGCAGAAGTACTTGGCGCATTGATTAACGGTATTTTTTTAATGGCACTTTGTTTAACAATTTTTTTGCAAGCAATTCAAAGATTTTTTGAAAAAGATGGTTATTTTTTTCTTTATAGAAATGTTTTAGAAATGTTTAACAATAAAATAGAGATTCATAATCCTCGTGCAATATTTGTAGTAGGAATTATAGGTATTCTTACTAATATATTGGGTCTTTTTTTATTTCATGATTTTAAACACCAAAAAAATAAATATTCCAAAGATGAAGAAGGGATTTATAAATATAATTCTGATAAAAATATAGTGAATTCGTTTAAAAGTGATATTTTCATTGAAAATTATAATTCAAATGAATATCTTAAACCTCATATTGTTGATTGGCTAGGTGAAAATTCTAAGAATGATTCACTTATTCAAAGATTACTTGATGAACATACTAATCATAATCATGCAAAACAAGAAAATAATATTGGATATGTTTATTCGAATTTAAATATGAAAGGTGTTTTTTTGCATGTTTTTGGTGATATATTAGGCAATATTAGTGTTGTAATAACTGCCTTGTTTATCTGGTTAACTGATTTCTCATGGAAATACTATGTTGATCCTGCTATTAGCATTTTTATTTCTATCATTATTTTTATTAACGCGCTACCTTTGGTAAAATCTTCAAGTTTAATTTTACTTCAGGTAGCACCAAAAAATATACGTGTTATGGAAATAAAAGAGGATATTTCTAATGAATGATATTTATTATTTTTTAACTTTATTTAATTTCTTTTAGATTATCGGAGTTCTTTCTGTTCATGAGCTTCATATATGGCAATTATCCGATACAAAATTGATTGCTTCTGCACATATTCTTACTGATATTTCATTTGATAATGCCGAAAAATATACGAATATTGTTGCATCTGTTCGCCATTGTCTTCATGCATATGGTATCCATTCAAGTACAATTCAGGTATTCTTTTTTTTTCTTTTATAAACCAACATTATTCTAATTTATAAGCTTGAATTTCAAGGTGTTTATCCACATAAAGCTTTTTTTTCTGAAGATAACGAAAAATCATCTTGTCTTCTACGATGTGTTGGTGGAGAAGAATGTCTCAATAGTCGTTGTTGCGTTTCTAGTAATTAAGATTATGTTTTTTAAAATATAATTTATATTTTACATAAATTTATTATTTATATATTTATGATATAAATTTTTTATTTTTAAAGTTATTTTTTCTTTTTATATCATTTTTTTATTTAAAATATTTTTATTTTCTATTCTATATTTTTCAATATTTAAATTTTATGCTCATATTTTGGAGCGTTTCCTATTTTAATTCTTTTGCTTAAACTAATTAAGTAAAAGAAAGAAAAAGTTAATATGAATCACGCTATTTTTATGCACTCTTAATTAATTTATAAAGCATGTACGCGTTTTTAAAAAACCTAATAAAGGTTGAAAACGCGGTTATTTAACGTAAATTTTGCAAGCATTCACTATTTGAATCAAATTTTATTTTTTTGACTTGATAAACTTTGAAATTTTTTTGAAAGAGCATACGTTTGATATATTCTATATATAAGATTAAGATATACATAAAAAAGAATATAAGTGTTTTTTATTTTTTAGACTTTTTGGAAAGATCAAGGGAATTAATTTAATATAATTTGCATAAAATAATTGGAAGATTGTTTGTAAAGATGAAGTGGATTGAATATTCTTTTATATGTCTTATAATTTTTTCAAATTGTATTTTTTCTATGGGTAGGAAAGCAAGAAGGTGGATTATTCGTATTAATAGTATAAGATTTGGAAAGACATATTTTTTATAGAGGGTCAGAATTTCGTCCAAGAAATCATTTGATTTATAAAAGTTTGAAAAAGGATTTTTATAATGAAATATCAGAAGAATATCTATTAGAATCATCATCATCGGAATGGAATTCTTTAAAAGGTTGTCAAGATATGATTGTATGTAAAGTACATGTGGAAGGAACAGAGGTAGTGGTTCTTAGAGTTATTGGAAAAGGTTTTATTAGATTTTTTTTGTAAGAATTGATGAATTATAGAATCTTTAGATGATACACATATAGAAAATACATCTGAAAATTCTGGTGAAAAGGAATTTACCGAATTTCCGACAATGGAAGATTTTAATTCTGATGAAACTCAAGAAGGGAATTTGATTGATCATTTTATAGATAATTGTGAAGAATGCGAAGAATGTCAAGAATGTGGTGAATGTGAAGGATATGAAGGATGCGATGACAATGAGTTCTATATTGAGGAGTCTAATTCATTATCAAATAACATTTAAATTTAAGTTGAAACGGCCGATAACGAACAATAAGAATCGATATAATTCGAAAACAAAAAATATAAATGGTTCTAATTACTGTGGCAATTTTATAGAGGAATAAGGTTTAGAATCTCTTAACTCATCGTAATATGTAAAAGGTGGTTTATATAAATTGACTGTTGATCATGATTGAAAATTGATTTAAAAAAAAATTTTGATTATTTTATTGTTTTTATAGTACGGATTGTAATGTCTTGAGTATCGTTAGGGTTTTGTAATTGTTTATATAATATGAAATTAATTTTTGGAATTTATATTCATTAAGGCGGCATTAATATAAGGAATAATGACAACATTTAACCATTATTTAAAGGTAATAGAATTATTTTAGGATAATTGTTTGAAATGAGCATTTTTTGATTATAAATCGAAGAATCTAATATCAGACATTGAATGCAACAAAAAACATTAACTTTTTAAAACCTAATTTTTTTATTTCAATAGTTAAAACCTTCGAGACTGTCAAAAATATTCTCAACTTTATTATTGTTTCATATATTTAAAGTAAATATATGTTCTTTTTTAACACTATATAACCGAAAACTTTTTTGGAAATTTTATCTAAAAAAGAAAAATTGCAAAGATCTGTTCAGAATTAAATATAGTTTATATCAAGTAAATAATATTGGATATTTTGATGGCTTGTATCAACGGATTTAAATTATTTCAACTATTTAATATTAATACTTCTTATTTTTTCCATTAACGCCGGAATTATCTAACAATTAATATTCTTAATTTAATTATAACTTTATTTTTTATTTTTTTTTACATATTTTAATTTAAAGTTAAAATCTTTTCTCATGTTTTTTTTAATTTTCTTATTTTTTTTTATTTTATTTTTTGTATATTATTATAACTTTAATAAATATATATATATTAGTATTTTTCTTTTTAAATTATTCAATATTCTTTATTCATTTTGTTTTTTTCCATATTCATTTTCTCTTTAATTTACTTTATCGGCTTTTATTTCTCCGCTTATATAACATATAATATTAAAAAATCGATAAGTATTAAGAAAATTAGGAAATTGAGTTCAAATAATTAAAAATAATTCTTATTTCTTAGTTATTTTACAAGAAAAAGATTGATCTTATAAGGAATAATTAACAAATGACAGATGAGTCGTTTAAATGGGGAGCGCCATGTGGAGGGAATGGAGGGTTATTTCAGTCTTTGCCACAATCATTTAGGTGCGTTTTTATTAAGAATAAATAATATTTTTAATATGAATGTTTTTTAGGTCGAATGAACAACATGGGTCAATGCTTCCTATGTTAAATATAAATCAAGGACCTTCTCCAAGTAAGAATGCCTTTTGAAATTGTTTAAAGATAGAAATACAATTTTTAATTTTTTTTCAATAAGTTAATTATTATTTTTGTAGATACATCAAATAGCGGACAATTTTATGGCCCACAACAATCACATCCTCTTTCATCATTAATGACATCTAATTTATCGAATAATAATTCAATTTCTCTTGGGCATCCACCTCTTCCTCCATCTACGCGATATTCACTTCCATCGTTACATCAATTATCTGGACAAGCACCTGTCCATGATTCTCATTCACCACATCCTTCGAATGTAATTTCTAGTTCTCAGGAACGCCCAAATTCTCCATTAGCAGGACAAGCATCAAATACAAATATCCAAAATTCTGTTTATAGACCTTTAAATGTTAAAGATGCTCTTTCATATCTTGATCAAGTAAAAATACAATTTTCTGAACAGCCAGATGTGTATAATAGGTTTCTTGATATTATGAAAGATTTTAAGTCGCAGAGGTTAGTTATATTCTTGATTTTTATTTTTTTTAGAAATTTTACAAATGAAGTATTGATACACTTGGCGTTATTGAGCGAGTTTCTGCTCTTTTTCGTGGTCATCCAAATTTAGTTCAAGGATTTAATACATTTCTTCCTCCCGGATATAGGATTGAATGTTCATTGGATTCTTCTGATCCTACTGCTATTCGCGTTATTACTCCGTTGGGTACTATGATGACTCATTCAGGATTACATGGCTCATTGTCTAATACTCAAGGAGGAATACGTGATTCTTGGTCTGGAATACAAGATAATAATATGTATAAGTGAATTTTTTATTGTTTTAACAATTATATGGCTAATTTTTTCATAAGTCAATCTGATAATGGTATTTCTATATCAGGAAAAAAAGCACCTGTTGAGTTTAATCATGCAATTAATTATGTTAATAAGATAAAGGTATATTTAGAATTATGCATATTTTTTGTTATTAATTGATTAGAATCGCTTCTCTAATGAGCCTGATACTTATAAACGATTTCTTGAAATTTTACAAACCTATCAAAAAGAACAAAGACCTATTCAAGATGTATATGCTGAAGTAACTGTTTTATTTAAAACAGCGCCAGATCTTCTTGATGATTTTAAACAATTTCTTCCAGAAAATAATACTTCCAATACTAGTTTATTTTCAGTGGGACCTAGATTGCCCCCTCTAGGAAATTTTGCTCCTCCAACAGTTGTTTCAAATATATCTAAAGATAAGAAAAAGCGTTCTCAGAATCTTGAACAAAATCTCCAGGCTGGACAAAGTCAACCAAAGGTTTGAATATGTTTAATATTTATAAAAAATTGTTAATATTTTAGCGCTCTAAACATCATCATAAGACTGATATAGATCTTTCAAATATTAGCCCATCTCTTATGCCTTCAGCTTCTGAAGTTATTAAACCGCCAACACATGCTTCTGCGTCTGCTGAAGAATTGTCTTTTTTTGATAAAGTTAAAAAATTCATTGGAAACAAACAAACTTATAATGAATTTCTCAAAGTTTTAAATCTGTTTAGCCAGGATATTTTGGATAAAAATTTGTTAGTTGAAAGAGTTTACAATTTTATTGGTGTAAATGAAGAGCTAATGGATTGGTTTAAACGCTTTGTTGGCTACGACGGAAAAGATGATGTTATTGAAAATATTCCTGCTCCACGACCTAAAGTTGATCTTATGTTATGCAAAGCTTATGGGCCTAGTTATAGATTATTGCCAAAATCGGTATTTATTTCTATTATAATTCCATTATTTTTAATTGTTATAAGGAGACTTTATTACCATGTTCCGGGCGTGATGAAATGTGCTGGGAGGTTTTAAATGATGGATGGGTAAGTCATCCAACATGGGCATCAGAAGATTTTAGGTTTGTTGCTCATAAAAAAAATCAATATGAGGAAACTCTTCATAAGGTCGAAGAAGAGCGCTATGATTACGATTTAAATATTGAAGCTAATTTGCGTACTATACAACTTCTTGAACCTATTGCACAACAAATTTCGAATATGACTCCTGAAGAAAAAAATTCCTTTCGTCTTCCACCTGGTTTAGGAGGTCAATCTATAAGCATATATCAAAGGGTTTTAAAGAAGGTATATGATAAGGAACAAGGTTTAGAAGTCATTGATGCATTGCATGAAAATCCTGCTGTTGCTGTTCCTATCATTTTAAAAAGATTGAAGCAAAAAGACGAAGAGTGGAAACGAGCTCAGGTAACAATTTTCAATTTTTTTATAAAAAACTTCTTAATTCGATATAGAGGGAATGGAATAAAGTTTGGAGAGAGACTGAATATAAAAATTTTTATAAAAGTCTTGATCATCAAGGAATAACATTTAAATCAACTGATAAAAAGGCTATTACATCCAGAATTTTGTTGGCAGAAATAGATACTTTAAGAAAGCAACAACGCGAAGCATCTATAAATCATTCTAAGTCTAAATTAAAATCTCAGTTTAAATATGAATTTCAAGATCAAGATATATTAATTGATGTATTATGTTTACTTTCGAAACAACTTGAACATGCACCTGGTATATCTGTAAATGATAAAGAAAAATTAGAGAAATTTTTGAAATATTTCTTCCCTTTATTTTTTGAATTAGATCAGAAAACTGTTGTCAAGCGTATTGACGCGTTTATTAATGAAAATGTAGAAGAAATTTCAGTTAATCTTAATGAGGAAGCATTGTCTCAAACAGAAAATGTTTCTGGAAAAAAACGACTATCAAAGGATTCTGATTTATTAAAAGATGTTTTAAAAAAAAATCGGAGAGGACAAGGAAAAGATAGAAATGATATTTGTGTTAATGGACAAAATAAAGATTCTAATTTCTATAATACATCTAAGGATGCTTTTGATGAAAAAAATAATTTAATAAGAAATGATATAAATAGCTCTAATATATTAGAATCTGCAGAAAAAGCTGCCGAAGTATGGATACAACATAAAAAGTTGGATTCTGTTGTAGAAGTTTCTATGGATTTTAATGCCTCTAATCAAATGATTGGCACGAAGAAAAAAAGACATGTTTACAATTTTTTTACGAATTCTTCATTTTATTGTTTTTATAGGATATTTTATGTATGTTTTTATTAGAAAAGTTAAATTTACTTATCTTTTTAGATGCTTTATTCAAGATTATTAAAAATGAAATCTATGGAAGAGAGCATTGTTGCGGAAAACCGTGATAAAAAACCAAATCCAATAACGGTAGAGTTGGGACTTCATGTTAATCGCTTGTTAGAACTTGAATTGCCTGTTTTATCAGATGTTCCTTATTATCAACAACTTCTTGGATTTTGTGGAAAACTTATTGAAAATGACATTGAACAGAATGGTTTTGAAGATATTTTACGATACATGTATGGAATTAATGGATATCCTTTTTATACTGTCGATAAAGTTGTTTCTGCAATGATAAAACATGTAAGCATATTTATCCTTTAATTAAATAGATTTGACTATGTAGTTACATTCAATTATAACAGATGCTAAAAGTGCTGAGATTGTTTTCCTATTTGAAAAGGACCGTCAACTAACTAAAACTACTCCTCGACAACAAATTATTTATCGTGTACAAGTAGAATCAATTCTTGGTCCAGAAGAATCACTTTACCGTATTGAATGGGTACGGATAATTTATTTTCTTAAATATGACTATCAACTAATTATAAAAGAATAATCAGGAAAAGACTTTAAGTATTCAATTAATTGGGAAAGATGATTTGACATTAGATCAGGCTGTATCAGCAGAAGAAAAATGGTCCTATTATATTGATGCATTTGTTATGTCAAGTCCTACAGAAGGTGTTGCTTCTGAACTCATTAAAGCAACATTCTTAAAGAGAAATTTGCCTCTTGAAGAAGAAGAAGAAGATGATGATAGTAAAAAAGTACAGCGTGCAGCGGATTTAATTGATGAAAATTATGTTTCATCTGGTTTAGAAATTAAAATATGCGTTAATACATACAAAATTTTTTTCGTTCAGGGGACAGAAGACTCATTTGCCCGAAGTATTAGCAAAAGAAGAATAGATAAGGAGAAATATCAAAAACTTAAGAACAAGAGGCAAGAAATATGGAGAGAAAGGCTTAATGGTAAAAATGGTTGGAAAATGGGCCTAAAAAATAATGATGAGGCACTTAAATTAGAAAATAGAATAAATAATTGGATTAAAAATGGGATTATAGAGCCAAAAAACGAAAATACAAAGGAAAATATTAAAGAAAAGAATAAAAATAATTCTAAAAATTCGCATGGAAATAATGAAAATAGTTCTCAGACATAAATCATAATAAATTTGATAATTTGGAATGTTGTATTTTACCATATGTTTTGTTTGTTAATTGTTATATTGTAAAAAACAAATGATATATATTGCAAAAGTATTAACTTTTCCATTTTTTTATTTTTTAATATTCGCTGATTCATCAGCTTTATATTTTATGTATTATAATACTGCAACTATTAAGAATTGTTATTAAGCTTTCTTTAATCATGAATTAATTCTATAAATTTATTTTTAAAATTTAAGTTTTTTGATACCAATATAACTTAATATTTAATTTTGAAAGTATTGATTCACTAATACATAAATTCTGTAAATGTATTAAAAATCTGATTAAAAATGATTTTTATAATTTAAAGTTATATTTACATTTACATTTAAAGTATTATATTATTTTGCATTCTATTTGGTATTAATAGTATTATATGATGATTAAAAAAATAATATAATAAGTTAGCAACTAAATTTTTAAATAAGAATGTCAAAGTATGAAAGATTGCATAGTAATTAAAAAAAGATTAAAAATATATAATATCATTTTTTAAAGATGTTTTAGATTATTTTAAATCTATTTCAAACATCTATTAAATAATAAAAGTTCAATTTCAATAGATTTAAATCAAAAACAAATATTTTATATCACTTATATAATTAAAAACGCAATAACAGGCTATCAAAATTAATATAGTGAAATCAATATAAATAACATAATTAACAATAACATTATTAAATGAGTTAAATAATTGATCATTTGAAACAAACTTTTTACGCTTAAAAATGCGATTTTTATCAAATAAAAAATATCTAAAATGCATTTATACATATTAATCATAAGATTCCATTTTATCTGCCCAACTCAATAATACTTCCTTAGCAAATTTAAATTTTTCAGAAACATTATCATCACAAAGACCAGGTTCCAAAGCATTACCCAATGACCATGTATGAAACTCTCTTTTACTATCAATAAATCTAACTATTCTTCCATTATCAGACAAAATCAATTTACAGTGATCAACAAAATTAAACTTAAATTTTAGATTAAATTAAATAAGAGTCTAAAAACCAACCTGTACTGACTGATTACTTAGCCGAAATATAATCGCATGTTTAGTACGAAAGTAATTTGTCATAAAAGACATACTTTTAACGCCTATTGACTGGAAATCATCTACATTACATGACCATGCTTCAGCTTTAAAAAGATTCTGAATCATATATTTTTTAAAATATTTGAGCAAATAGACCTTTTTATCTAACTCATTTGAAGGAAATTTTTCAATAGTAAATGATCTCCTTTTAAAACCATTTTTACCTGACTGTGTAATATAATCAAAATGATATTCATTATTTGAAAGAATCAAAGTTGTCGAATCATTAAAGTAGACACCAATAGATCCATTTGATAGCTGATAACCAAGTCCATATTTATTAGAATAGTCGACCCATTTATTAATAAATAATGGAGATGTTGTAGTAGAAGCATCATCTATTTTATTAAATATTTTAGAAAAATGAGAAAGTACTAACAAAATTCAGGAGGCATTCTTTTAGAACGCAATCTTAATGCACAGTCCAAATTTAATGCGATATTGCGAAGACTCTGCCAAACATTACTTGACAATTCCATATCCTTAACTTCATTAGACACATATGACTCTTTAATAGCCATTTTTGACGTCATATCTATCACAGGTTTCATAAAATCCTGTGGATTTAAATTCTCTTTTCGATCAATAAATGAACATTTAGGACGTTTAAATAAATCTGATTTAGAATTCACTGGTTTAGCCACTTTCATTACAGCACGAGAATGAGTATCACATGACAAAGAAGTAGGTAAAATATTTTCATTTTCTAATACTTCCATAACCATACTAACTGTCTGTCCTTCTTTTCCTCCAATATTACGACCCTTTCCAATACCACACCATGAAGCAATGGTATTCCATGAACCCTGGCTCCTCTTTATTGATAAACTATCTTCAGGCCATACTGGTTCCTGTAATAATGCTTGGACAGGAATTTCTGTAGGAAGATATCCAATATGAAAAAAAGGATGTTCTGCAATTTCGTCAATACAAGGTCGATTTACTAAACTATTTAGCTAAAATAACTAACTACTAATTAAATTTTTCATACATGGATCAGTATCTAATAATGATCCAATAAGATCTTTTGCCTCTAAAGAAATAGGAATATTTTCAGGGAAGACATATCTATTTTCTCGAATATTCCTATTAGAATTAATATACTATCAATTTCTCAAAAAACTCTTACTTATATATAGCTTTAACTTCTTTAGACTGAAAAGGTGGCTTACCAATAAGCATAGCATACATAATAATTCCCACTGCCCATAAATCAACTTCAAAACTGTGGCCATCCTGTTTTCCAAACAACACTTCTGGAGCAATATAATTAGGCGTCCCACATATTGTTTTCTTTCTTTCATCATCACTAATTAAAAGTGCTGCAAGTCCAAAATCTCCAATTTTTATATTCATATTTTCATCCAAAAAAAGATTTCCAAGCTTTAAATCACGATGAATTACTTTCCTAGAATGCATGTATTTCACTGCACCAAGAACCTGTAACAAAAAAAAGCGACATTCCGGCTCTGTAAAACGCTTTCGTTTACGTAACATATCCATAAGTGTCTAATAATATTATCAAATTTAAAAAATATTTAATATTCACCTTGTTTTCACATAATTCAAGAATAAGATAAACATTTGTTGCATCTTCAAAACAATCAATAAACTTAACAATGCTTGGATGATCCATGCTTTGATGTATTTTAATTTCACCAAAAAGCTACTATAATAAAAAAAATAAAAATAAATATATACACACAAACCTTTGTCCTATTCTTCATTGATCGAAGAGTCGTCTTTGCAATCACTTTTGCTGCAAATCGACTTCCCCGTCCATTTGTCACCAAAAAACATCGTGCAAACCCTCCCTTATAAGAATTACACATAAAACCCTTTTAAAACTTTATTTCACTATACCTCTCCTAAAAGAATCGATCTAGTATATTCTCTCCCCTTCTTTTTATCTGTAATCTGTACCGGCGGCGTAAAACATAAATTAGATGGTTTTGTATTATTATTAACTTGTTTTAATGGCTGAGAAATAGAATTATTGCCCTTATTAACAACTTCCTTCGATCCTGACATATCCTGATCATTTGAATCCAATAATTTATATTTATCATATGGTGAAACCCTTAGATTTCCCACTTCTCCATTTGCCGATATTGTTTGTATTGGCATTTTACCAATAATCAACCTTTTTTTCTACAAAATTCACATCATAGATAACAATTACAAAAAGAATTCTAAATATTATCCAAAAAAACCTTAAATACAAGTTAAATATCTTTATATAATTTCTAAATTACCTTAAAACTAGTTATTTTTCACAAAATGTCACAACAAAGCCCGTCGATAGGTTGCTTTGACAACGTTCTGAGAAGACGTCAACGACTCAGGGTTTTATGTAAAAGGAGGGAAATAGATAGAAATAAAGAAATATAATTATTAAACAAATAGAAATTAGAACAATTTCTATTTTTTTTAAGTACGTCAAAAAAATTGGAGAAAAAAAGGCTAAAAATAGAAGGAAAAAAGTATTTTGAAAAACAGTAAATTTAAGATGAATTAAAGAATTGGTAAAAAAGATCATGGATGGAAAATAAGCATATAATAAGAGAGAATGGATGAAAAAGTAGTAAATTCGAGACATTTTGAGGGAAAATTGGCTGAAAATAAAGATAAATATACAAAAAATAAAGAAGATAGAGTATATGCATCATCTTTAAAAATAAAAAACAAACCAGAGAAAAAAAAATCTAAAAAACGTACGAAAGGAGTAATAGAATCGGATAAGGAATCAAATAGTGGCAAAGAAATGGTATTTTTTTCTTTTATATTATATATATTAATTATTGTTAGGAAAAATGTTTAAAAAAAAAAAAAGAGATAAATAAGGTTAATTGATATGAAATTTTGTTAGATGGATATTACTTACATTGGAAGGAGAATATAAAGACTATTAATTATGATTTGGAGCATTTTAAAACAGAAAATGAGGACTTATGTCTAGAAAAACCGACATTTACTTTATATAAAAAGATATTAAATAATGAAAATGATTTAAATTTAAGTAATCTAGAAGAAAAGAATGGGTTAAGAAAAGACGGTCTAGTTGATTCAATTAAAGAAAAAAAAACAAGAAAAAGAATGCTAAAATCAAAACAATCAGATAATTTGAAAGATAAAGCATCGGAAAATATAGAGATTAAGAAAGAAATAGATGAATCTTATGTAGAAACAGAAAAAAAATTAAAGAAAAAGCATAAAACTTCAGAAAAAGAATTAAACTCTGAAAAATCAAAGAATGAAGAGTTGTCGCAATCAAAAGAAGAGGAAGAAGATTACAAATGGTGGGAACAGCAGCAAGGGGATGGAACAATTAAATGGAAAACATTAGAACATAACGGTGTTTTATTCCCTCCTCCATATGAACCACTTCCTTCCTATGTTAAAATGAAATATAAAGGAGAGCCAATTAGTCTTCCACCAGAAGCAGAAGAAATTGCTGGCTTTTTTGGGGCAATGTTATCTTCAGAACAATATGTCAAAAATCCTACTTTTCAAAAAAACTTTTTCCATGATTTTCAAGAAACATGTAAAAAAACAAATGCGGTTAGTAATATATATATATATATATATATATATATATATAGGATATATTTAATATTCTGTAGCCAGTAATTCCTGAAAAATTTGAATATTGTGATTTTACACCAATGTTTGAATATTTTGAAAAGAAAAAAGAAGAAAAAAAAAACAAATCTAAAGAGGAGAAGAAGAAATTGAAAGAAGAAAAAGATGCATTAGAAGAAAAATACAAATATTGTTTTCTTGATGGTCGGAAAGAAAAAGTAGGTAATTTTAGAATTGAACCTCCTGGATTATTTCGTGGCCGAGGCGATCATCCTAAAACAGGAAAATTGAAGGTAATTTATAGAACTTTATTGTCATTCAATATTAAATATTCAAGACAAGAGTTGTTCCAGAACAGGTTATTATTAATATAGGGAAAGACTCGGTTATTCCTTCTCCACCACCTGGACATAATTGGAAAGAAGTACGTCATGATAATACAGTAACCTGGCTTGCTACATGGAATGAAAACGTAAACAATAATGTGAAATATGTATTTTTAAGTGCGGGAAGCTCTTTAAAAGGCCAAAGCGACTTAAAAAAATATGAAAAGGCTAGAGAACTCAAGGTATATATAACCTAGTAATATTTTAATTATACTTTTAATTCAGAATTAGCTATATATTGATAATATTAGAAAACAATATCGAGAAGAACTCGAAGATAAACTTATGGAAGTTCGCCAAAGAGCAACTGCCATGTATTTGATTGATGTATTTGCTCTTAGAGCAGGAAATGAAAAAGGCGAAGATGAAGCAGATACCGTGGGATGTTGCTCACTAAGATATGAACATATATCTCTGAGACCACCAAATACTGTAGTCTTTGATTTTCTCGGGAAAGATTCTATAAGATATTATAATGAAGTACAAGTTGATCCACAAGTTTTTAAAAATTTAAAAATTTTTAAGCGATCTCCTAAAACAGAAGGAGATATGCTTTTTGATCGCCTTAATGTAGGTCTTTTTTCGATAATTTATGCATATATTTACTTATTTTAGACCTCTAAGTTAAACAATCATTTGACAAGTTTGATGCCTGGTTTATCTGCTAAAGTATTTCGTACTCATAATGCGTCATATACAATGTCAGAACAACTAAAAAATACACCTAAAGATGCTTCTGTATCAGATAAGGTATTAGCATATAATAGAGCAAATCGTATGGTGGCTATTCTTTGTAATCATCAGCGCACGATTAGTAAAGCGCATGGCGCACAGATGGAAAGAATAGAAGATAAGGTGATTTTGCGGTTGTTTATTATTATTACTATTTATAATTTAATTTAGATTTTGGCATTAAAATATCAAAAAATAAGACTGCGCAAAGCTATTTTGACTTTAGACTCTCAATTGGGAAAGAATAGACCGGATTTATCTGAAGCAATTTCAGATATTGATGAGGATTGGATCAAAGAACATCAAAAAGTTTTAATAGAAAAAGAATATGATAAAATTAAAAGAAAATTCCAAAAAGATAATGAAAAACTTTTAAGTCAAAATGAAAAACCAATGCCGGAAAGTCATTTAGAAAAATTTCTTAAAAAAATAAATGAAATGAAAGAAGATTTCAGAATAGAAAATGAAAAAGGTATAGTTGAATCAAAAAAGAGAGGTATAACAATAGAGAAATTGGATTTACAAATTAAAAAGATTAATGAACGGATCCGTCAAATGAAGGCATTAATGATTGATAAAGATCAAAACAAAACTACAGCATTGGGAACATCGAAAATAAATTATATGTTTGTTTTTGATTATTTATTATTTTTATTAACTTTAATATAGTGATCCTCGATTAACATATGCATGGTGTGCAAAATATGGTGTTAATATTGAACGTGTATTTACAAAGGTTTGTTAAACTAATGTTTTTTTTTTATTTAACTATTTTTATAGACTTTACGTGAAAAGTTTGCATGGGCCGCTTCAACAACTGCTGATTGGGAATTTTAAATAAAAAAATACTACTATTTCCATTACTATTTTATGATAAATAATTTTAATTATTTTTTAACTTATATAGAACAATTTTTTATTTTATTATTTTAACCCATTCAATTTATATTCATAATTTCTTTAGGTAATTCAATAGTAAAAATATTATTAAAATAGAGCTTATTTAAAATGTAGATATACTTTTTTTTTTAAAAAAAATATCAACTCTTAAAAAAAAGCTACTTTTTTTAATAACGAAATTTGTAAAAAGAAAAATCAATTATGGAAGAAATAATAGAAAATGAAGATAGTGAAATAAGTTATCAGAATTTATTGCCAGTTGCGAGTATTTTACGTATTATGAAAACAAGTATTTTATAAATTTTTTTTTAAAAAAAGTATTCATTTAAATAATTTAGCACTTCCAAAAAATACTAAGATTGCACATAAAGCCAGAGAATGTATGCAAGAGTGTGTTTCTGAGTTTATTAGTTTTATTACGTCAGAAGGTAGATTTTATTTAATAATATATTCACTCCTTATTTTAAATAGCATCAGAGAAATGCCTTCAAGAAAAACGTAAAACATTAAATGGAGAAGATATTTTGTCTGCAATGATAACATTAGGCTTTGAAAACTATGCTGAACCCTTAAAAATATATCTTTCCAAATACCGTCAAGTATTTTTCTTTTTTTATATATACTTATTTTTTAATAAATATTTTTTAGATGTTAAAAGCAAATCGTGAAGGAACTATTCCTTACTATTCGAGTCGGTGAGATCCAAGTTTTACTTTTATAGTAATATCTATAACTGATAATCTTTACTTTATTGCGACATCATTTATTATTTATATATTCTATAAAAGAAATATGCATTTCGGTTTTTTAAAGAAATAAAACTACTTGTTATAAAATACTTTTCTTCTTTTAGAAAAAAGAGTAATCAAAAATATAGAATTCTCGAAAACATGAATTGTAAGAACAAATTTAACAATTTCATAAACATAACTATAAAAAATGCAAGATTAACAAAGAAAACGAATAATCTTATAAATCCTCAACATGAAGTCCTTTCTAATATCATATCAAATCAATCATTAGACCTACTAACTTATTGAAATATATAAAAACATATTAATATTACAATACTATTTGAATGGCTATATCTAGAGTTTCCTAATCAGTTTGTACATAACTATTATATATTATTGTAGCTTTATAAATATTCCCTAAAAAAACTCTATGTTTTACTCAAAACTGTTTCTTCAATATATTTTTTTAAAGATGCAAGTTGTTTTTGCAATTCTTCAATATCGTCTGCCACTTTGTCTCTACGTGTTTGTTCTTTCTTCCTAGTTTTCCAGCTTTCATAGAAAATTAAGGATCCTGCCGTAAGACTTAAATTTTAGTTTTTATAATAATATTTAAATTTACATACAATAAAAAAGACTCTGATAAAAAATCTGCGCCTCGTTCAATTGCATTCTCTTCATTTAAACATTGTGTATGTTTTGTTTTTTTTCGTTTGCCAAGTAAATTTGCTTTCATATGTGATTCTGTTCTATGCATAACTTGTGCAAGATCAACACATATTTTCCGAAAATAGGGATATTGTTTTGCCTGACGTTTAAGATTGGTTGCAATGGGTTTAGACAAGGTCTTGATTACTAAAAATCCTATTTTTAAAGCCAACGACATACTCTTTATAGACTTTTAATCGTTTTTTAATTAGAACAGCTAAATTTGCTGTTTTAAAACGAAAAAAGATAAAAAAAGGAATAAAAGAAACACTATATTCTTATATGTCCTTAAAGCATCATAAAAACCGTCTTCCAAGCTCCAATTCCAAGAAAAAAAATAAATAAAACAAGATTATTCTCAATCAAAATTTAATAAGAAAAAATAAAAAAAAAATACTCTATATTTATCAGTAATATATATATATAAGATAACAAATCTTAATAAATACATAAGATTTAGGTCTTTTCTTAACAAAATTAAATATTTATTTTTTTGACGTTAAGAAAACCTACGTAAAGTCTAACGTCGCATAATTTAATAAAAAATTATTTATATTTTAAAGCAGAAAAAGAAGCCAAAATATGTCAAATTCGATGGTTAATCGATCTTTATTAAAAAGCCTATGTATTTTTTATGGGGGGTACCTTTTTGAACGGTTTTAATATGATTGAAATTAATGAAAATTATATAGTTTTAAAAATATATTTCAGATACGCCATATGGCAACACTACGAGAGATTAAAGGCCGATTAAAGTCAGAAAATATGCCTATTTTAATGGGATTTATTTGTCTTATTATGAATTTAGGTCTATTGAAAATATTGAGAAAATTACAAAAACAATGAAGACAGTTGCATCGTAAAAGAATATTTTATATGTTGAAATAAGATTGAAGGATGTAGGACAAAGTTATCGCATTCTCAAAAGGCAATGGAGAAGGCTAAAGTCTATCCTATTTTTCAAGAAGAAATTTTTTTTAACTCGGAAATAAAAGCGCCAAAACAGTCTAAAACTCTTTATATTGTTTGTTCTTCAGATAAGGGTCTTTGTGGCGGGATACATTCTCAATTAACTCGGATGACACGAGAATTAGTTGAAAAAAATCCAGAGGGCCATGTAGTCATACTTGGTGATAAAGCTAAAATGCAGCTTACTAGATATATTTCAAGAAATATCATAATGTCATTTACTCAAATTGGTAAAGATATTCCTACATTTTATGATGCACAAGTGATTTCAAATGCAATCATTCAATCTAACAGAGATTTTGACAAGGCTGATATTATATATAACAGTTTTAAAAGCACAATTTCATATCTACCAGCTATAAAAACTATTTATTCTGAGAATTTTTTGAAAGATTCTGGTAGGTTTTTTATATATTATTTTATTTTAATTTAATTATTCAAGAAAATTATCATATTTATGAAGTCGAAGACGATGTTTTAGCAAATTTTAAAGAATTTTTACTTTCAGCTGGAATCTTTTCTGCACTTGTTGAGGGTCATGCTTGTGAAGTATCTTTTATCCTTTTTTTATAATAATTAAAAAATATTTAGATTTCTGCTCGACGAAACGCTATGGACAACGCTTCAAAAAATGCATTAGAAATGATTAAAAAGTTCAAAATTATTTTTAATCGGTATGTTTTAAATTATTTATTTATTTATTGATCTTTTTTTAGTCAACGACAGATAAGTTTTTTCTTTTTTCTTCTTCCAATTCCTAACTTCTTTTACGCAGTTATTACTACAGAATTAATAGATATCATTACTGGTAATTTTTCTCTAATTTCTTTTTTTTACTTAATTTTTAGGTGCTAGCGCTTTATAAACTGATCTTTTTATCTAAAAAAAAAAAACAAAAATCTTCACCTTTATATCTACTTTCTTATTTGTTTTCTTCAATAATACATTTTCTTTGACCCTATTTTACCTTATATTTCCTTAATCTTTCTCGTCTTTATATTATCTTTATTTCATTTAATATAAAATATTAACCGGTCTTTTAAACTTATTTTTGGCCCTTTCAATTAACATAAAATATTAAAAAAACATGGAAAAGTCTACATTTCCTTTAAATCCTTCTATTTGTTTTGATATTTCATACATTAAAAGTAACTTATATTTTTTAAACTGCTAAAATACTTAAGAAAATATAGATTTTTTAAGATTTAGTCGAGCACAATTAGATGGTAATTGTTAATCTATTCTAACGAATTGCATACTTATTTCCTGAGATACTATTACATTTCATTTAAATTCTCTTTCTATAGAAAAGCCATTTATTTCAGAATCATTAAAAACAAAACCTCTTCAATTAGATGTTAATTTGCAACCAGATACAAAAACATGTTTATCATTTATTCATCAAGTTTTTAATGTATGGGAGACACGCTCTTCTCTTATTTCATATTGTCAATCGGTAGCAGTTAAAATGGAAGATTCATCTACATCTAATACATCATTTATATCATCATCAGTAGATACTCGTAAAGATCCATATTCAGGAAGAACATGTATTCATGAAACGAAACAAAGAATGCTTCAAAATATCTTAAATATGGAAGAACGGGTTGAACACGTAGTTAGGAATCATTCATGGGAACGTATTGTTCGTCGTTGTGGATTTCTTCAATTACCAGAAACATATCAAACAGCAATGGATAATTGGCATGAAAAATACATAAAAGATAAGCCACTTGATACATCTCATCTTACATAATAAATATATGTGACAAATTATTTTTTTTAAAACTTATAAGGTTTTACATAGAAAAAAATATATCACATATGGGGAAAACAATTAAAAAAAAGGCATAGAAGATCATTTTTAATAGGTCTTTTTTACATTATAATCTTTTCCGGTCACCCGCCTTCTCGACTAGATGCTTTTTTAAATTATCCTTAAAAAAAATTTATGAAAGAAATGTCTTATTATGACCATTCAAGAGATCCTTGGTATGTATTTTTTTATATGAATTTTAATAAAAAAAGATAAAAGTATTTTTTTCTAACAAAAGATAGTCCATATGTGGTGAGAATTAAAATGATATAAAAAAGATTAAAGATTGATATTAAAATAGATTCTATCAGATTTTGGAGGAGCATTTGCAATGGTATCTATATGATAATATCATTCATAAAGTATTAATATATCTAGGGAGCTATTGGTGGTGGACTATGGCATTCGGTAAAAGGTTTTAGAAATTCACCATCAGGCGAAAAGTTGATTGGAGCAATCTCAGCAGTAAAAGCTCGTGCCCCAGTTTTAGGAGGAAATTTTGGTGTTTGGGGAGGTGTATTTTCATCATTTGATTGTGCAGTAAAAAGTATAAGAAAAAAAGAAGATTCATGGTAAAAAAATAAAAAATTTTAAAATAAATTAAAAAAATAGGAATGCAATTATTGCAGGATTTCTTACGGGAGGGTCATTAGCATTACGTGGGGATATTCGATCAATTAGGAATTCGGCTATTGGATGTGCTTGTTTGTTAGCAATTTTTGAAGGGATTGGAATTGCGTTTAATCGGATTATGGCTGAGCAAAATCGTCCTATTCAGCCTCAAATTCCTGAAACTATTCGTGCTACATAGAATGGATTGTATATAAGTGAAATAAAATCTGATATATAATTTTTTTTGTACAGTTTAATCTATTTTTACCTTAAAAGTGTCTAAAATTTTTTAAAATGAATCATTTGTATTAAGACCATAAACTATTGAAACACTTTAAATATTCAGAAATATAAAATTAATAAATATTTATATATTAAATTTTTTAAAATATTTATGATTAAAATTTAAAACAATTGATAAATTAAGCAATGAATTTATAAAAGAGTGAAAATAAAACTCACGCCTCTACTCAAAATTTCATCAAATGAGGTAAATCACCTTTATTGAGAGAAAAAGATGATGAAAGATATTTTGTCAAATACGGAACCTTAGAAATCGAGTTAATAATAGGTTCATCAACGGCTTTCTGATCCAAAATGCGTGAACTATCAAGCTGCTTTTTTCTTTTTTGGTCAAAAAAATTTTCTTCTGTAACTGCTTTTTTAAGACGTTTTTTTGATTTAGAATCTCGAGAAAAATATTCCTTTGTATACTTCGAGAGATCCAATGAAGAAACATCAACTGTTATTCCAGAACATGCAATTACATATGATGGATTTACTCTACGAACTAAAAAAAATAAGTTTTTTTCTAATAACGGATAAAAACATACGAGGAACACCATTGATTCTAAAAGGGCCTGTAACAACAATAGTATCCTCCAGTTGCTTTAAAAGTACTACCCGTTTTCCACTATACCGACCTGCAAGAATTATACAAATAACTCCAGGCTTTAACTATACAAATTTAAATATCTTTTTCTAAAAAAAAGAAAATACATACACTTGAACGAAGCCTAGGAATTCCGCATACTTTCTTTTTCTTTTTAATAACTTTTCCATCGTCTAATGAATGATGTAAAAAACGATCACTTATTTTTGTATTTTTCATATTTTTTGCCTATTTTTTACCAAAAAAAAACTAATTATGTTAGTATTCATAAAATAAAATAAATAAATTATATATATTTTTCTAAATTCCTTATCAATATTTCAAATTTTTAGGATTTTTTTAAAAACAAAAAATTGCTTTATAAAGTCAATAAATAGGAATTTCCACATAAAAAAAAAGAAGAATAATAATATTGTATGAATTCTAAGTAATTTAATCTCTAGATAGTAATAAATACCTTTTCTTAACAGACAAATGGATATTTCAATTTTTAACAATTTCTTGAGTCTCGGCAAAATTTTAAAAACTGATTATTTTAAAAAAACCTTATATATGAATTATTAAAGTTAATAAAGAAAAAGAATAAAGTATTTCTATATAATTCTAAGAAACAAATATAAAAACTACTTTAGTAATCGTATAATAAGAAATAAAAATATTTTAAAGATAAATATGTTAAGTTTAAATTTAAGTCAATATATCATGTTTTTTCCCCAAATTATTAACAGATTTTGAATATTTCTTTTAAAAAATATATCCATAAATGTTTTGCAAGTTAAAAAATGCATTGATGTTAAGTTTAGATAGAAATAGTTTTTGATAAAAAATATTTTGATAATGAAAATGTTAAGTTCGATAAGAAATGGATTTTACCACAAAACTGTAGAATAATGATTTTAAATAAAAGCTTGGTAGCTTTTATATTTTTTTAATTTTTATAACTTTTAATAATTTTATAATAAATATAAATAAATTTTAAAAAAAAGTTCTAAAATATTAGATATCCCTAATTCCTTCCAATTCCTTTAAAAGATATTTCTCAATAGATTCAGCCTTCATATGCATAAAACCTAATTTAGAACTTTCGTTACCTACTAAACATAATAATATAGGTTCTGATAAAACAGAAACATGTAAAGATTTTTCAAGTTGTGGGAAACGAATGCATAAAATCAATAAATTTCCCGTCTATAAAAAATTATGTTAAATTTTATTTTTTCTTTAAAAATAATTCTTACTAGGCATTCAATACCAAGCCAATTACAACCGAATATTTTTCTATTTTCGCCAGTTAAAGACCCTATTTTACCATCTAATCCTATTTTTTCATAGCAAGACCATATATGTGCTGCAAAAGCTGCATAAATACGCGCCTTTTTTTGCGATTCTGACGCTTGAGACAACAATTGACCAGAAGAAGTTAATAAACTAATCTTAATTAAAAAAAATAATTAGAAATACAAAGCCTACATTGAAGACGTAATAGAAGAATCAAGAGATTGAGAAAGAAGTGACATTAGTGCCTTTGTTTTTATCATTTTTTTTAATTATTTTTTTTTAAAATAACTTATTTTCAAACATAAAATTTTAAATATATCAAGTATGTTTTTACTAGCAAATAAATGATGTTTAAAATGAAAAAAAAACAGGTCTATCTTGGTCATTTAATAAATCTTTAGATTTTTGAAAAATTTATGTTGTCTAGGCAACCAGGAACGACATTAAAGAGTTTTAATGAAAATTTGTAATAAAAAAGAATTATGTACATATTTAATCTCTTAATTCTTATTCGAAGTATTATTTCATTTAATAAATAAGAGAATAAGAATATTTTATAACTTTTTTCTCAAAAAAGTAATATTTTTTATTTTTTTTTTAATGGACAATTAACATAATAAAAACTTTTTTAAAAATTTATTAAGATATATATCTTTATAATTAATTTCTGGTATAAAATGAGTTTAATAAAACTATTAAGGAGTCGGAATTGCTGTTTGTTTGATTCATCATTCTCAAGAAATTGGTATAAAAATAGAATTTCAAAGAGAAATAATATTTTTTTTGGTATTTTATCCAAAAAACAACTAAGTTTATCAAAAATAAGATATTTTTCATACAAAAATATAGAAAATAATCTTTTTATATCTAAAGAAAATAATATTCAGTTAAATAAATCTTATATAGGATATTGGCTTTTGGGATGTTCAAGTCTTGTTTTTGGAATTGTTATTCTTGGAGGATTAACACGTTTGACAGAATCAGGGTTTATGAATTTTTTATATAAAACATTGTTAATACTTTTTAGATTAAGTATTACAGAGTGGAAACCTATTACAGGTATTTTTCCACCATTATCTCATGAGGAATGGGTTTCAGAGTTTGAAAAATACAAAGCTACACCGGAATTTAAATTTATAAATCAGGATATTTCATTGTCTCATTATAAATTTATTTACAATATGGAATGGGGACATAGGCTTCTTGGTAGAATAATTGGTGTTGTTTTTGTTCTTCCAGCAGCTTATTTTATTATACGTAGAAAAGTAACGCCGAATATGGCCAAAAAATTGATTTCTATGGGGTGTTTATTAGGATTACAAGGATTTATTGGTTGGTGGATGGTTAAATCAGGATTAAAATATGAAAATTTTAAGGAAAATAAATCGATTCCACGAGTTAGTCAATATAGATTAGCTATACATCTTGGAACTGCACTTTTTCTATATATTGGAATGCTATGGGCAGGATTAGATATATTAAAAGAAAATAAATGGGCAAGTAAAACAAATGAAGCTAGAAGTTTTATTTTTCAAGAATTAAACAATCCTCATCTTCGAATACTTAAAAGAATGATTTTTACACTTAGCGGCTTAGTATTTATAACTGCGTTATCGGGTAATATATATCACAATAATTAACTTATCTAATTGATTTAGGAGCGCTTGTCGCGGGTCTAGATGCTGGTCTTATTTACAATACTTTTCCATATATGGGAAGATCTTTAATCCCACCGAAATCTGAACTCTTTCCTGAAGCATATTCTCGCAATAATTCTAAGTTAGATTTATGGCGGAAAAATATATTTGAAAACCCAGTAATGGCTCAGCTTAATCATAGAATTTTTGGTATAAGTACATTTATTTTGACAAGTGCAATATTTTTTTATTCGCGAAGAATGGTATTTTTGAAAACGACTTCTATAAACATAAGAAACACTATTTCAACTCTTATGGCTACTATGTGCATTCAAGTTATTCTTGGTATATCAACTCTTGTACATCTAGTTCCTATATCATTAGCCACAATGCATCAAGCAAATAGCCTTATTATTTTAACGTTTATTATAATTCTTGGAAATCGATTAAGTATACCAAATTATTTTTTGAAAAACCATCATGTCTTTTTTTTATCAAATCATTTTAAATCCAAGTAGAATTTAAAATATTATTAAACCTTAGTCCTATAATCATAGAAAAATATTTTTAAAATGTATTTTATAAAATATTTTTATTTCGTTATAACATTAATATTTTTAAGAATAAATATCATCATATTCATCTTGAGATACTATAGGTCTTTCCTTTAATACTAGTTTTCGACAAACTGGGCATGTTGCACTTATTTTTAACCATACGCCAATGCATTCATCAAATTTATGACCACACGGTAGTTTAACAACAAACGGATATTTGTCTTCAAGAAAACTGGTTTTGCAAATTGAACACATATCATCTTTCTTAAGTACTTTTTTAGGGACACGATCTAATGTATCCATGAAGTTATCTGGAAGACCACTTTCTGTATTTTTTAAATCATTTATAGATTGAAACATTAACAAGTCTAATGCCGATGATGATGCATTTGAATAGCCTTGAAAAATACTACAAAAGATTATGATATATTAACAATTAATATTAAAATAAAGACTTATTCATCTCTGAAAAAAATGTGTCTCTTTTTTGTTGTTTTGTTTCCTGCAAAAAAGAAGCTATATTTTTTCTATGTTTTATGATTTCTGAAAGACTATTTTGTTTTTTTTGTTCATTTTCAACATAATGCTCATCTGAAATAATAAGTATGTTGTATTTTAAATATTTCTTTACCTTGGTATGTGGACATTTTATTTTCAATCGGTATAACTTGAGAAAACAAGACCATAAATATAAATGATTTGTAATGATATGTTCTAATAATAAATAAAAATATAATGAAATTTATAATTATATTATATCCTAGAAAATATTAGTTTTAAATAAATATTTTACCTTTAAACCAGTAATTTTTCAGATAAATTACATGTATATCTCAACTAATATAAAAAAATTTTATCAATATTTATAAAAATGATACGAATAATTGTCGCAATAAATGATAATCCTTATTCAATATATACATATTCAGCTATTTTTAATTTTACTTTAAATAATCTTGAAGAAATCTAATTCTATTATGAAGTTTACCGCCATGCTTTTTATTAAGTTGTTTAAGCTCTTTTGAATTACCACAATATACGATTATATCATCTTCTTCTGTCCAAATACCTTTAATATTAGGTAAAGGCAAATTTTTACTCATAGCATCCATAACTATAATAGCCAATTTTTTAATACCAGAAGTTCTATATAATGCAAGGGTAACATCTTGTTGAGTTATGTTATATTTTTTCATATTCCTTAAATACCAATCAACTGTTTTTCTTAATACGTAGGTCGTTTCTATTGATATTGGATTATGGTCATTTAAATTTCTACCATAAAAATTAACATTTTGATTATTCGAGTCTAAATCCTTTTGAAATTCTGTTTGATTGATATTATTACTTAAAATAGGTGAATTAGGCAAAGATTCTTGACTATTAAATTTTGAAATTTGAGATATTTTTTGATTATGAATAGACAAATTACCATCAGAGATGACATTAGAAGATACTGATGTTTTTGCATCATTTTCTTTATTTAAATTTAAAACAGACTTTTTTAAAGATAAAAGAGGAACCGGCATTTGTAAATAATTATTAATTTGGCTTTGAGAATATGCATTAGAAGTTATCATAGTAGTAGATGCATTTTGAATTTTATCCGTATTTACAGGGACTAAATATCCTTGTTTATCTAAAATATTTTTAATGTTCTTTTTAAAAAAAAGCAGGAAAATTTTACTTATTTCTTTTAAATCTTTTGACTGCCGAATGTTTAAATCCTTTTGTTTAATTTCATGTAAGGTTATATTTCTATTTAGTATTAAGTCATCGTTTTTAGAATTGTTGCATGTAAATCCTATTATTTGATTAGTTTTTTTAAGATTAAATAAACGATTACCTCTTAATAATTTTCGTCTCTTTGAAGATACATAAATTTCTGGAGAATTAGTCCTTTTATTAACTAATGTATCAGGAAAAAACAATGAATTGTCTAAAGAATCATAACATTTAATTTTTGAAATATTTTTTAAAATATAATGAATATCAGTATCAGAAGAATTATTTTTTTTTAGGTCGTCTCTACTGAAATCATATTTTGGAACCGATTCATTGTTATTTAAGATTACTTCATTAGCTTTATAAATTTGTATTTGAAGTATTTCATAAGATTTTTTTATTCTATCTCCAAAGTTATAGATAGTGTTATAACCATCAGATTTTTGAATTAAAGGATTAGACATAAAAAATGACTTTAAAAAAGTTAATAAATTAATGATAAAAAAGAAATTGAAACCAATTTATTGATAGATTTAAAAGATTCTTTGCTGATATCATAAATATAGTTTTTTGATTTTCTAAAAGATATATTATTTAAAATATTTTCATTTTTTAAATTATAATTAAAGTTATAACCAGTGTCAAATAACGATAATAGAATATTTGCATGTGGATTTCTCAATGAGATATAATTTTGATGTAAATACTATTTAACAAATAAATTGTTAAAGAAAAAAAGGACTAATATACCAAATTATCTAATTTTTTGTAAACTAGTTCATCTTTATAAAGCAAATTTAAATTTTTCGGAAAATCTATTAAAATGCAATCATTTTTTAAAAAACTAAAAGAATTAATATCTTAATAGAATATATTATATTATTACCTTTGTTCTATATATTTAGATAATGTAAAATTATTATTAAAATCTAATTTAGCCTTAAAAAATTAGTAAATTATTCTTAAATAATTACTTTTATTAACTAATAAAATAGGCTCAAATTTCGGCTCAAATACGAATTGATAATCATCTAAAGTATAAAACAAATGTTTTTCATACTATTTTTCAAAATCAATATTATACAATACTTTATTGAAAATTAAACCTTTTTCGATATTTCGTCATGTATTTCTATACCATTCTTAAAAATTTGTAAATAACGCATAATATCAATTAAAATATCTTCATTTTTAGAGAAATTTTTGTATCTTCTGTATACTTCATTTAAAACCAATATAAAAATCAACCATATATTACTTTTTTTTTAGATTATTCATTCTCATTTCACTTGATAAATTAACATAATATTCTTTGATATTAAGAAGTTTCCCGAGATTAATGGAATCTAATATAAAATAATATGAAACAATATCTGGAGTTTTATAATCTTTCAAAGGATCTCCGAGAATAATAAGATCTTTATTCTTATTATCATTTATTATACTTGTTTTTCCCCCATATTCCTAGACATTCAATATTAGGAATTGTATCTTTATTTCTTAAAATCTTACTTCAATGCTATTCCTTAATGACACTCTTTCTGCGATTGTATGCGTCAAAAAAAACTCCATATTTGTCCCATCAGTGTTTTTAAAGATATTGGGCATTATTTATTTATTTTATAGCCCTTTAAATACTATTTTTTTGATAAAATATATTTGTTATAAAATTTAAATGTTAAATGATAATGATAACGTATCGGATTTTAAATATAGTTAGTTTTAGATTTTTATAAATTGCCTTGAGATTTCTATAAACGTTGTAAATATATATAATCTTTATGATTAATTCAATTGAAACTATTGTCTCAATTGAATGGAATATTAGAATAAATATTCAAATATTTATCATAATTATATATAAAATTTATCTTGAAATGTATAAAAAAAAGTATAATAAAAAAGAATTCTTTGAATATTCATCTTTTAATTTACCAGTATTCACTGAAATAGTAGTAAAAACGTAATAAAAATAAGAAGGAAATCAAAAATTATTTATGATGAAATGAATATAAAAATATTTTATCAAAATCAATTATTTCTTAAAAAAAAGATAAAATTAAATAAAAATCAAGATAAATTAAATGAAATATAACATACTTTTTTTAAAATACTTATTTTAATATTAAATCTTAGACATATATTTTTAGAATACTTCAAATCTATACTAAAATAGAAATATAATGTATTTTGCAAATTAAATTATAAATAAATAATACTTATAAAAAAATTAGTTTTAAAATCACATTTTTAAAGATTTAACCAAAAACATAAATAAATTAACTCTATTTCATTCAAAATTTAATTATAGTGTTTTATAATCAAATCCTTTAACTATACAAAAAGAAATTAAATATCATATAGTTATTAAAATCTATAAATCATAAATTATCAAAAAATAAATTTCTATATAAAATAATATTAATATTTTATCTTATTTATATTAATATCATAATTAATATCAAATCCTTAAACTCTTAAAAATTATCAAATTTAAAAAAGTAAATAATTTTTACTAAAAAAACATCAAATCATATATAAATAAGCTTAAATCAAAATATTTTAAATATTAAAAAAAGTTTTATGATCGACTTTGGCTTAAGATATATTAATATACTCTTAAAAAATAGCTTTACAAAATTTTTTTTAAAAGATTAGTAACTGAAGTATAATAAATAAATAAGAAAAACAATAAGATAATGACTGATCTAAACATATATATTCCAGTAACTAATAAGAATTTTGAAGAAAAAGTAAATTTAAAAAAAAAAAAAGAGTCAGATACTTTATTAAAAATACCAGAAACTTGGAATTTTAATAGAGATTTATCTAATGTATCATCTATTTTTAAAGAAAAAATCAAGTGGGATTCTTTATCTCTTAAAAAAATTGAATTTCATTGGAAAAATTATCCATATTATTTAAAGTAATATTTTTTTTAAAATTATATTATTTTAAAATTGAAATGTAATAATAGGTATGATGCTTATAAATCTAAACAAGAGAAAAATCAAGAGAAATATCAGAAAATAGAATATATAAAAAGTTTTCCAGAATATATAAGTGATAATTCTAAAACAAATATTACTATTCTTAACGAAGATAATCAAATAATTAAAAATAATGAATTAACTGATAACAATTTGACTAAAAAACCAAATTTTCATTCTAAAGCTTTAGATAATTCACAGAAGATAACATATAAAAATCATTCAACAATTTCTATTCAAAAAAATAATGAAAAATCATTACTTTTTAAAACAAATTGCAACATCTCAACACATGAATTTGTTTCAAAAAAAGAATCATTTAATTATCCAATATCTCCAATTGCTCGCAACCCATTTCCACTAACGATACTTGGTAAAAGCGTTATTTCTGGTCTTTCATCAAATGATACACTTCTTAGAACTTGCTTTCGTGTAGGAGAGGCTCTTAAAGTATCTAATCTTCAAAAAAACTCTATGATTATTTATCTTATAGAATTTTTCGGTAAGATTTTTCTTATTGTTTTTTTTAATAACATAATAGGCATTATAAAGGAATTTAATAAGGAAAAGAGCCTTTTCACATACGTTATTGCAGACTTATTTCATCCTTTAAGAGGACCATATATTTATGCATCATATCATGACTATCATATTACAATTACTTTTCAAAATAACGATATAGTAAGAATTTTAGGAGTATTCAAAAAAAATAGAACAAGAAACGAAATAAACGTTATAAAAATGTACCCATGTACATGGGAAAAGATACAGCATATCAAGGAAACAATGAAATGAATAATAAATAATATATTATTTAAATATTATAAATTCTTAATTTAAGCACATAGAAGAGCTTTTACTAAATATTAATAAACTATATTTTATCTGATCATCTATAAATAATCTTAAATACAAAATATATTATATTAAATAAAAAAGAGTATTAATGTTTTTATCTTAAAAATCTCATTACAATTACTCATCAATATTTTTGGAATCCAAATCGTTATCCTATAATAGTTAAAATTATCCAAATATACATATTATATAATTTACAATTAATTCATTTTTAGTTATATCAATTTTTCTGTTCATATCATCCGAAAGTATTGAAATTGTTGTAGACTATTTAAGGTTAAAAACTAATAAGCCAAAATTCATACATTTACATGCGAAATATTATCAATTAAACCCGAATCTTGGGAATCATTAGAATCTTTCTTATAATCAAAATCTAAAACTTTATTAATATTAATTTTTAGAATATAAGTCAACTTACTATTAATTGAGTCATAATTATTAAAGTTATTTCTTTCTAAATTAATTCTTCTGAACTCTTTTTCTAAGTCTAAGGTTTTTTCTAAATCTGGAAAAAAACTAATATCCTCCGTAGATGTTACAAGTAGATCTACAAGTTTATGCCTCTCTTTTTGTTCTAGATATTCTTTCCATTGCTTTAAAACTCTTTCTATTTGACTACATAAAGAATTAGTTATAGAAATATATATAATAATTATAAAAAATATAACCTTGGTGCATATGTTCGTGCAAAAAGACAAGCTTCAGGGAATCTTTTTGTATTCAAAAAGATATCAGTACAGCCATCAACATCCTGAATTTGCAATAAGCAGGTAAATGCAATATTATTTTTTCCAGAATCCAAAGCGTTTTTAGCAAGCATTTTCATTTTTTCAATATTTCCAGTAGAAGAATATAACAAAAGTAAATTTTCAAGATCATTTGCTTTTATATAACATTCTTCAGAAAGGCATAAATCCCAGTTTAATAAGGAAACATCTCCTAATATTTTCCATTTAGACTCTAAATTCATCTTTTGGGCAACTTCAACAGCGATATTAAGCCTGCGTAATTGAATAGCTAAATCAAAACGCTGTTCTAAATCTGTTGTGATATTCATAGCCAAATCCTTATATCCTAAAATAAAATCAATAAAATATCTTTTTTAAAGCATCAATTAAAACCTTGTCCATCCAAGAATCTTGCTATTTTAGTCATTTGATTTTGAGGAATATTTTTCAAAAGCTCTGAAGCACCATCAATATCACCACGCAATACCAACGTTTGATATTCTACAACAGATAAAGATAATTCATATGGAATAATATGAATATCTTTATCAACAAAATAAAGTTTTCCATCACGAGGAATATAACCTAAAACATAGACACAAGTATCAAAATGACTAATAGTATATACTTGATTTCCAACTAAATAATTTACTCGATTCATTGAATTAGAATAAATAAAACAATCACCGGCCCACTTTCCACTTTTAATACTAGAACATCGTTACGTAACTTTTATTAATGAAAATACAAACTACCATTCAGAAACATTAGTAATTACTTCAAAAGCATCTTCAACACCGTCATCAGGATGAACACTTCCATTCTCAATCGCAGTGATATAAATGTCATGATTAAATTTTAAGAGATAAAAAATATCGTCACATGCAATGGTAAGCAATGTGCCTGACTCAGACCAGTATACCTAATAAAGTTGAAATTTTATTTTTTTATAAAAAAATTCTACCTCATTTGGTGAAACATCAATCTTTCTAATAAAAGTATAGGTTTCCCAGTCATAAAAAGCAAGAAATCCATGCCCTTTAATTCCAAGAAGTTGTCCTCCAAAAATGCCATCAGCTATAAATTCGCAAGAGAAAGGAGTTGTTCTTTCTTTAAAATTTTTGTATATACGAATGCTTGTCGATGATTCTCTTATAGCATATCCATTAGAATCAAATGCCCACGCAAAATCAAGCGCAGATCCAAATGCTTTATTTCTCCATGCAAGAGCCGTATAAATTATATATTCACCATCTCCACAAACAACTACAAAACGTCCGTTGGGAGAATGCTGTAAAGACTGTGGATAAATTTCACAAGAACCCATATCACGTACAGAAAGAGCAAGATTTACACCATCTTTAACATCTTCATTATCTAAGAATATTATCTTTCTATTAATATTACTTTTATATCTACCATTTGCAGGCTTAATAACAGATGAATGAATATCATTATATTTTGCCCAAATGATCTTCCCCGTACTATCCATACTTACAGCTGGCTGTTCCCTTCCTATTTTTAAAACAAGTATACCCTCATCATATCCAATAGCTACTGTATTGTTTCCCTTAAGATAGCCAATACACCATGCCCTTTCAAGTCCATAATTAAACGTTTGTTCAAGTTTATATGTATTAGAATTCCATACTTTAATAGATCCATCTTCTGAACCACTAATAATAATAGGAAGCTCTGGATAAAAGCAAGCAAAAGAGACATTTTCGGAATGTCCTTCTAAAGTTTGAACACATGATTTCGTTTGATAATCCCATATTTTAATCAAACTATCATCACTAGCAGTAATAAGAAATGGTTTATCACCTGCGTGATAATATTCCACATAATTAATACCCCTTTCACCTGCACAAAGAGTATAATTTGATGACGATGATCCCAAAGACCATACTTTAACCGTTCGATCCAAATTGCATGAAACAAACGTATTTGTATCTCTAGGATTAATTGCTAACGCCATTACATAGTGTCCATGACCTTCAAAAACCTAAAACATTACTTTTAAACCTATTGTTTTAAATTTATCTTTAACTAATACCCTTAAACATTTCCACGAATTTTCCCAATCCCACAATCGAATCAACATATCATCCCCTCCCGTAAGCAAAAAAGATTGCGTAGGGTGAACTGCAATGCATCGTATATAATCATTATGTGCTTCAATCTGATTAATTTTCTCCAACGTATTGTAATTATAAACCCGAAGTAAAAAATCATCTGCTCCACAAACAAACCAATTCTTTCGAGAAATAAATTTAACCGCCCTTATAGGAACTGATGAAACCTCAAATGTTCTGATACTCACCTATTCAAAACCCATCAATACTCAAAAAAATAACATATCTAAATATTTACCGATGTTTCATAATTCCAAATAACCACTTTTCCATTATATAAAGAAGCAATAATCCAAGTCTCTGACGGATGAAAATCAATTGATTTCACCCGTTCACAATGTTCCAGCATAACTTTTTCTAACAAAAGCATCATTTTGACTTTTTAACCACTTTTCTTTAAATCTTATAAATTTATTATAATTTGTAAGAAAAAAAACAAGAATTATTATTTTTTTAAATAAAATCTATCTTTTTTATCCAAATTTAAGACCTCAATTAACTTAATTTTATATCTTTTCTTGACAAGTTAATTTTAAAAATTAACTGACGTTAAAAAAAATAACTTTTAAATATAAGAAAAGTCTGAAAAATACTAAATATATTAGATAAAATCAATATTTATAAATATTTTAATAATTAATGACAATCCGTTTCCTTTTAAAAGATATATTTTAATATATTTTATTAAAGATTTACTTTATTATATTTTTAAGTGAGTAAAAAAGTATTTTTTTAGATATTATTAAGATTTTTGTTATTTTAAATAGAGATTGTCTGTATATTAAAGTATTTGAAGTGATATTTTATTATAATTTCTTAAAAAAGGTTTAAGTTATCTGAAATAAATATCATCTTGATATTATCATTAATTTAGTAAAACAGTATTTTTTAAAAAAAAAAAGTAAATTTCTTTTTAAATTAGTTAAATATTAAGCTTTTCTAAATATTTAAGTTTTAGAGATTTAAGAAATTTTAAAAGTGGATAGCAAAAAGAAGTATTTTATACATATGGGTTAATTTTTTATGGCTAATCCAAATTATTCATTAAATTGTTCAGATAGCTTTTATGATGAAACAAAAGATGACTCTTATTTAACGTCTAATGAAACAGATTCACTTCTTAATGCAATTTTAAATATATCTTTAAAAGATACACAAGCAAAAAATTTATCGGATACAGTTGATGAACAAGAAATATTAGGAAACTATTCTACACCAGAAACAACACATTTTGGATTCTTATCATCTAATATTCTATCACCTATTGAAAAAGAAGAATCAAAAGTCTCTAATACACTTGTAATTTTACATGAAGGCTGCGTAAAACATGAATTTGAAAGAAATAAGCATGATTTAAAATATATAGTTGAGCGACCCAAAAGATATAGAGCAGCGATTATTGGTTTTTATATAAATTTTGTGGACATATAAAAATTTACTGATTAATATAGGAGCATTATCTGCAAAAGCACATCTTGATCTTCTTGACAAATCTAATTCATTTGATATCTATCAATCAACAAGATATATATCGATTATTGATAATCCTATTATTGAGTTTATACATGGAGAAAAATGGCCTCTAGAACTCTATGAACTTTGTAAAAACGTACAAAAAACTATTATGGAAGGAAAAAGTGAAATTCCGGAAGATAAATATCATTCCGGTGACCTTTATCTTGGACATTCCTCCCTTGAAGCATTTGAAGGATGTGTTGGTGCTATATATGACGGTATTGATCGATGTCTAGCTGAAAATTCTCATATTAAAAATGTACATGTTCTTCTTCGACCACCAGGTATTTTAAATATTTTTATATATTACTATTTTTTAAAGAAATAGGTCATCACTGTTCCAGAGAAATCCCTTCTGGGTTTTGTCTTCTAAACAATGCATTAATTGCTATATCATATGCACATAAAACATACGGAATTACTCATTTCGCTATTCTGGATTTTGATCTTCATCATGGGGATGGCTCTCAAGAAATTTCATGGAGAATAAATCAAGAAACAAACATTAATCTTAATATAGGATATTTTTCTATACATGATATCTATTCTTTTCCATGTGAAGGTACAGGTCCTAGTGTACAATCTAAAATAAAAGATGCAAGTATATGTATTATGAATCACAACCAAGCCATTTGGAATATCCATATAGAAAAATACAATACATATGAAGAGTTCGAGGAATTATATAATAATTCTTACATAAAGTTATTAAAAAAAGCTGATTTTTTTTTCGAAAGTGCTAAGGCTTTACCTGAACAATCTCTTTTGGTTATTAGTGCGGGGTTCGATAGCTCGGAATTCGAAAGTGAACATATGCAACGACACGGATATCATTTACCTGCTTTATTCTATTGGAAATTTTCTAGAGACACATTACTCTTATCACAAAAAAGATGCTGTTCTCGTATTTTTAGTATTATGGAAGGGGGCTATTCAGATAGAGCTATTGCATCTGGGACTTTTACTTTATTATGCGGATTGACCAATCTTACTGAAAAAGAAATGGATGAATGTAAATCATTATGGAATATGGAACATTTTTCTTGGATAGATAAATCAATTTCTAAGGGTACAATATCTCGATTACCAAAAAACTCTTTACATCATAAACAAATTCATTGGATAAAAAATATTATAAAAATTGCACAGCAATATACCACTGTTTTAGACCCAAAAACTGATCTTATAATATCTGAAGACAGAATGACTCTTCGTGAACGTAAAAAACCTTTAGATTCTACACTTATTACTCTTATCGATCAAATTCAAAAAATCAAGATAAAACCTATAAAATCTCCACAAACAAAAAACACTGGCAAAGATCTTAAAAACTAAATTAATATAAGATTATAATCTTTCTATTATCATTTTTCATGTGAAAAAACTTTTTAAGAAACATAAACAATATTAATCAACATTTTTTTTTTATATTACTAATATTATTTGTTTTATATATTTTCATATAGCATTGTATAACTCATTGTTTCTTATACATTTTATTAAAAATTCAATTGAATAGATTTATTTTTTAACCGCGAAGTAATCCATTGATTTTAAAAACTGGCCTCGATCTTTAAGGATATTCGCGTATAAACTATCAGGTAAAATAAGGCAAGAAGCCTAATAAAATAGAAAAATTAAGGACGTAATCTGATATCTAAAACTTACAATAAAGTTTTTGCTGATTTAATTTTAAATCTTTGTTTTTTTTCCATTTAAATTAGCTAATAAATGATGGAAATAAATACTATTTAAGATATAAAATGGTTGAACATAAAACGAATGAACGACAACCATTAATTGCACGTTCTATGAACCTTCAGTTTCCTTCTATATATCAACAACATCATCAGAATTCAGAGCATGAAATTTCACCTATTTTAAAGAGAGTTCTTATTGAATCGCCTGTACAAAAAGTAGTGGATATTGAAACAGTAAATAGAAAAGCAATAAAACGTACAAAGCATGAATCACCTACGAAATCGAAAACATTGGCTCAAACGCACTTGATATCAACAGAATCATGGAAACGAACATTTTCAATTGAAGAAACAAACGCAAAAGTTCGAGAATGGCAACGGCAATACCGCAAAGCATTTCCAAGCTTCAGATTTTATTTTGATTCAGTTGATCAAAATGTAAAGCATAAAATTACTAAGCAAATCAATAAATTAGGCGGAGTAAGATATAAGCAACATAAAAATACATTTATTAACAGTTTAGACTGTTGAAGCATTTTTCTCAAGAAACATTACGCATGTTATAACAACTAGGCCAATTCCAGACTTTACAAATATTTCTCTTCAGCTAGGTTAGACTTAAATATTAAACAAAATACATTTATTAAAATTTAACCAGCTCAAAAATCATCTTTAAATTCCAATAACACTTTTTCTATGTTTTCTGCATCTCAAAATAGATCTCGGAAGCTTTTTGGACTTTCTGATCTTTTAAAAGATTCATGTATAACAAGGTGCCACATAAAAAAGGTGTTATTCTTTTTTCTTAATTAATTAGCAAACTTAATCAAGAAGAATTGTTGAAAAATGATGTTTTAATCAAGGCGCATGAATATGATATAAAAATATGGTCATTTGATAGTAAATATTGTTGGTTTATAATACAGTAATTCTAATTATTTCATAGAATTTGTAAACAGAATTTTACGTTCACTTCTTGATCCATCTTTAACACCTAACCAACCTAAACTTTCTCATCTTCTTTATGACGAAAAGGTTAATGGGACCAGGGAAAGAGATCGAGCAACACCTCGTGAAGATTATGTTTATTTTAAGGGACCTTATCTTTTTGTTCGTGATATATCAAATATTTATCGTCCTATCATAGTAAAAGAGTGGCCTAAACCACCTAATGGTAAAATTTCGGAAGGAGAATGGCCACAATTTCGGATTACTGAATTGGGTCATTGCCCATTTATCCGAGACAATGCTCGAAAGTCTCATCCTCCTTCATCTTTACAAAAACATAAAGTATTAAAAGAATTACAAAATATTCCTGAGCCATCAAAAGACCTTAAGGAAGTTCTTTATCGCTTAAAAGATGATTCTAGTAAAATTTATAACCAGGTTCAATCCAAACGTTATCAAACTGATACAAATGCATCTGGGATTATACAATCAAATCTTACATCAGCTACACGTTCTCAAACATCTACTAATGCTAGAAGTGGAGGAATGGCAGGATCTATTACAATACCACTAAGTAAATCAGTGGATGATCTTAAAAGAAAAATTTTTATTCAAGTACAACGACGTTCTATTCATGAAAATATGAATGTATTTCAGCAATCTCAAATTGATCCTACAGATAAAAAAAAAATAAAAATAGAAAGTAGACCAGGCTATTGTGAGAATTGCAGGGAAAAATTCGAAAATTTTGATCAGGTATATAACTTATATACTATTATGGCATTACTTATTTTTTAAGCATATAAATTCTCGTCGTCATACTAAATATGCTGCTAACGACCAAAACTTTATTGAATTAGATGAATTGCTTTCTACCTTAAAAAGAAAACAACTACCATGGAATATTCAAACATAATCATAAATTTAATCCTTCCTAAGTACATACTCTTTATTTTCAATTAATAGTTTTGTTACAGCGATTTTTTTAAAATACTTTATTATAAAATTTAATCAATACGTTTATTTCTTGATAATTCAAAAACATTATAACATTCAATTTAAATAACTTTGAATGTATATAACCTAATTTTAAAGATATATTCATTACTATCAACATGCTAATATAATAAAAATTAAAAGGTTTTCTTAATAACTCTTATTTAAACAGTATCAAGAAATCCCTAACATATATATTCATTTTTCTTTATTAGATCTATATTGTATACTCATTTATTATCAATTATTGAACAATCTTACTCATTTTACCCTAACCTAATACCAACAACTGAATTTTACTGACTTAAAAAATTAAATATTTTAAGCAAGAATCAATAGATTTTCAAGACTTTCAAAAGATTTTAGGGAAAAGAAGAATTAACACTTTTTATGTTAGATCTCTTTTATATAAAAATACACTGAAAATTAAGTTTTAAAAAAGCGATTTAAATTAAAGAAAATGTCTATGAATTTATCATTAGAAAAGAGTATATGAACTGGAAAACCACTACAATGTCAAGAAGAGTCTAATATTTATTTTTAGATAAGTTATTTTTACACGATTTACAATCAAACCAAACAAATTCATCATTTGTTCATACACAGAAAAACTACCTGAATGGTAATCAGGATATTTCACTATTATTTACTAATATCTTTAGACAGGAATTTTGATAATTCATCAGAAAAATATATAGATTATGATATGAGTTCAAATTATTCTATTATTGGCTTTAATTCAGAAGAATCCTTTCCAACTCTTAAATCATCTATTGCTTCTGCTACAAAAAAATCTAAGACAGAAAATATAAATATTTCAAAAAGCAATTCAGATGAGAACAAAAAAAAACATATGGCGGTTCCTTTAATTAAAACGACTATTGAAACTATACGACTTGAAGCTAGTCAAAGAATGCCTTTAAAAGAATTTGGTAGCAAATCTAGTGTAGGAGAAATTGCTCGTCAAATTATGGAAGAGACACATACCCATATTGATATCTCAACCGCAAGAAAAACAGGAATAACAACATTTTTAGTCCGTGGAAAGCCAGAAGATGTTCATCATGCTCGTAGAATGTTAATGAAAGAATTAAGTCAAAAGGTAGGAAGGGGTGATATTTCTTTTATTGTTTCTTAGGTTTAAAGGTTACTATAAAATTATTAGTTCCTTTAAATACACTTGGCTTTATAATTGGTAGCAAAGGAAAGGTTTTAAATAATATTATTGAGAAATCTGGAGCTAAAATACAATTTCCAAAACGCAACATTTCAAGAGATCTTCCTTGTAATAATGCAAATGATGAGTATAATGATGAGACAGTAGAAATTATTATTAGTGGGGATGTTGAAGCAGCGGAATCTGCAAAAAAAGAAATAGAAGCGATAGTAGAAGAAAGGGTAACTAATCAGCTTTTCTTATTTTTTTAGTAATTATAATATTTTAGACATCTCATATAACTGTAAAAATTACTTCAATAAATCCAAAATTTTATGGTTTAATATCAAGTACAAACAATTCAAGAATTCAAGAATGGATTCAAGATAAGGATCTAAAAATAGATATACCCTCACCTTATTTGGAATCTGACTCAGAAAAGTTAAAGCCTATTATAATTTCCGGTGAAAAAAATCTAGTTAATAATGTAAAAACTGAGATTGAGGCTATATATTCTGAGCTTGAATCTACAACTGTATCAGCTTCTATTGTTATTTCAAAGCGATTACATAAGTATCTTGATGAAAAATTATTACAAGATATTTTATCTCGACTAAAATGTTCTGTAATAATTCCTCCATATTCCTCACCGTCCGAAAATTTATTGATTTCTGGTATCCCATCATTTATTGGAGAAACCATTCAATGTCTTATGGAAAAAGCTAATTCTATATGTTTGGATATGTTGGATATTACTAAAGCACATCCTTCAGCTTCTGATCATATTGCTCATGCTAGAGATATTACTAGATATTTTTTAAAAAAAAAAGAGATTGTAAGAATAGAAAAAGAATATCAAATACAGATTACATTACCTTCTATGGATACATTATTAAAACAAAATCTGACTTCTATTGTATATGAATTCGCCGGAGAAAATGCAGGAAATGTTAAAAATGCTAAAAAAGAGATTATAATGTTAATTAATTCATATCCTCCATACCGTATTTTAAGACTAAATCTTGATCCATTGCTACATTGTCATATAATTGGTCAGAAAGGAAGAAATCTGCAAAAAATAAGAGAACAATATTTTATAGATATACTTTTTTCAAATGAAGATTCTTTCAATTCCGAAATTGTTCTTATATATGAAGGGAGACCAGGAGAAAAATTACCATCTGCACCTACTATTCAACTGACACTTGAGAAAGTTGCAGAATTACTTAAAAAAACTGCAACAGAAATGGCTGATATTATTTCTCGTGATATTTATATTCCTGATAAATATCACAAATATATATTGGGTCCTAAGGGCTCAACATTAAATTCTATTATAAAAGATTCAAATTCAATAGTTAAAGTTAAATTTTCAACTGCTAAACCTAGAAAGTTTGATAACACTGTTGTTGAAGAAAATATGGTTAATGTAAGAGGTGTATCATTTGGAGTAGAATATGTTATTAAAGAAATTGAAAAAATTGTAGAGAATTTAAAGTTTCAAGATCAGAATTCATATTCACTAACTTTTGATTTTCCACAAAAGTTTTTAAAAGATTTATTTGATAAAGGACATAACAATATTTCAAAGATAAGAGAACTCAATGTTAAAATGACAACTGAAGAGGGGAAAATTACAATCCAAGGAGCTAAAAATAATGTTGAAGAAGCAAAATCACATATTCAGGAATTTATAAAAAAATTAGATGAACAAACAGTACTTCATTTATCAATTCCGGTAAAACATCATGGTAGTCTTATCGGTCAAGGTGGGAAGTTTGTGAAAAGACTTGAAGAAAAATATCAAGTTAAAATAAACTTCCCTCGTGAAAATTTAGAAAATAAAGATGCTGATAATAAGAAATCAGAAGCAAAAGATGAGGTTACAATTCGTGGAGATAAAAATGGTGTAACCTTAGCAAAATTAGAATTATTGGATCTTTTAGATTATGAAAAGGAGCATGGAAATACAGTTACTTTTACAGTTCCCATGTTTACTATTGCTCAAATATTAGGTAAAGCAGGAAATAATATCAATGAATTAAAAAATGAGACTGAAACTCGTATTGAAATTGAAAAATCTACATCCGATGATCCATCTGCTTTGGCAACTATTTTTATTCAAGGCACTAAAGATGGAATCAAAAGAGCTAAAAATTCTATTCTTGATACCGTTAAGACTATCCAAGATCAGGTTACTCGTACTATTTTTGTTAATAGAAAATATCATCGTACTCTTATAGGGCCTGGTGGAAGTACTTTACGTAATATTATAACTGAATGTGGTGCAGTTGGTGATCGTTCTCAACTCGCAAAAATAATTCAGTTTCCAAAGCCAGAAAAAAAGTCAGATGAAATTGTAATTGCTGGTAATAAAGAACTAGTGGATAAAATTATAGAAAAAATTAATTCTATGGTAAAAGAAATTGAAGAAAAAATAACTCTTATTATACCTGTACCATTATCAAAAATGAAAACAATAGTTGGTAAAGAAGGAAACGTACGGAAAGAGCTTGAAAGCAAATATTCTGTAGTGATCAAAATTCCCAAAAAACCAAAAGATAGCACAGAAAAAAATGCGCAAATTAAAGTTATAGGAAAAAAAGAACAAGTAGACAAAGCAGCAAAAGAAATAAATACCTTTATAAAAATAGAAAACAGCTCTGAAATTAATATACCTTTAAAATGCCATCCATATATTTCTGAAAATGGAATATTTGCTCGTCGCATGAAAACTTTATATGGAGTAATATTAGAATATCATGATGACTCGATACCAAAAGAAAAAATTGAAGAAATAGACATTGATGAAAAAGTTTTGGATGAAAATCAAAAATATCCGTGGAGTGTTGTAATGGATTTGGAGGAAGATAAAGAAATTTCATGGACATTAAAGGGGAAAATGGGGAACATAGAACAAGTAAAAGAAATTATAAATGCAGCACTTGAACAAATGAAACATCATACAGCAACTGGCTATCTTAAAGTGCCTCCAAACTATTATGGAATAATAATAGGACAAGGAGGATCAAGAATATCCCAGATAAAAAGTGAATCAGATTGTTGTATTAATATTCCTCGTACAAATAACGGAAACCTTATTACTTTAAGAGGCACTTTAGATGGCCTCGAAAAAGCACGATCAATGATTATTAATACTCTTGATTATATAAATAATAAAGATCTTTAAATGTAAATGACTTGTAAAATAATAGATATTTTAATTGATATTTTTTAATCGATTTCTTTAACATTTTAAATGATAGATTCAAAATCTTCTTACCAAATTTATGAAAACAATAGCCAGGAAATTGCATTTCTTCAGAGGATGAGAACTCTAAAATTTTATAAATTCGTTTCAAGATCTTATAAACCTGTAACTTTTTATCTTTGGAACAAGTAATCTTTAAAATAAAAATATAGAATTAAAATAATATATTTTATAGAGCACACTTAAAAGCATCCTCTTTTTTAGGGACAGATGCACTTGAAACAAAATTTTTGGTTGAAAATTTACAAACAGATTGGGGGATACATAAACAAGCAGTTATTCGCTCTGGTGACATAATTTGGATTAAGTTTCCATTGGAATTATTAGAAGAAGGGGAGATTTAGCTAAACATATATTTCACTTTTTTCGACTAAAAATCATAATTTATACATTTTTAAAACTACTATATAACAAATGATTCTTACAAAATATTAACAACACACTCAATCTTTATAGAAAATGACATAGAAATATCATTTATTCATTAACTAATGAACTCAATTGTTTTTTTTTTGAAAAAGATAAACTCAAATTGAAATTTCTTCCATCATAAAAAAAATATAAAGAAAATATGTCAGATTAATATATATGAATATTATCAAAAACAACAATCATTCAGTATTACAAGCTTCAAGTGAATTGGTATTTATTTAGAAAAAAATATCTATAAAATATGTTTTTTAATATTTTTTTTTTAAAAAAAAGAATTTAATATAAAAAAACTCTATTCAAACTTTCTAATCCTTAATATTCTTGTAAAGTATAGATAAACTATTTACACAATGCTAATTTTATTAGATTCTTTTTCTTTAAATAAAAAGTTAAACTAACTCTTTCATCTGTAGGTACATTAAAACCTTCACCTTTTCTAATTAAAAAAAATTATAGAAATAGTTAAAATAACCTTTAAACACATGACCTCAACAATATCAACTAAAAAAACAATAAAAGATATTTTAAAAATATTTACCTAAATGTCCACCACATTGACTACAAACAATTTCTGTTCGGATTCTTCCACCAGATAAATCAGGTATCCTTTTAACAGAATTCTCTATTGATTGATAAAATGATGGCTATATCCATTATTAATCTAAACCTTTCTCAAAAATTAAAAACTACCCAACCACATCCTGATTTAAATTTCGTTTCTGCTTTATACAAAGGAAATTTACATCCTGCACAGATATAAAACCCATATAAAGGATAATGAGAATCATATTCTCCTGATCCAGGTGGTTCTGTATTTTTTTTACGAAGAATTTTATACTAATATATATGGTTATATTTCTAAATATTTTAAAAATAAAAAAAACCCGATCAGGACAAAGGATTCTTTTCCATTCTTCAGGCGACTTTTTAATAGGAAATGCCATTTTCCTTAACAAAATTCGATTTTTTAATAACTTTTTATAAAAAATAAACTTATCAATCTTTTAAAAATTTCAAATTTAAAAAAATATAAAACATATAAAAAAATCCTATTTTCTTTATCAACTTAAATATATCTTTAAAATAAAAATCCTCTTATTTTTATATTTTAAGTCTTATCTTTTCATCTTATCGAAATAATCAAGAATTTTTTTAAAAAACTTATTATAAAAAATATATGATAAAAGTCAATAAATTAAGGTTAAATAAGATAGTTTGAGAGAGTATTTTACTAATAAAAAACAGTATTTATTATTAATATTAATTAATAAAATAAGAAATGTGATTTTTTTTAATAATAATAATGACATATTCATTTACACGACCATTTGGAGTTGTTAAAGAAGATATGTATTATAAAAAGAGCGCAGCTCACTTTCATTCTAAGAGAAAAAAGAAGTGGAGGAAACTTTTATGGGTTAAACAAGATTATCCGGATAATTGGGTTGATGAATCATTTTTAAAAGAACTGGAGCGTAATGGTTTCATTTATTAGAATAATGAGGTTAAAAAGAAAGCTAAATTAATTAGTAAATGTCAAAGTTTATGATTTTTGGCCTCTTGTTGCAGATAGTATTGTTCTTATGCAGCATCTTTGTAGTATAGCTATATTTATTTGTGCATTTATTTCAATTTATTATCAACGGGTTTCTCCAGGGGTGTTAATAGGAATATCTACAGGCTTTACTATTTGTTGTTATATTCTTTGGGATTTGGGTATAACTAAATTTGATTATAATAGAAATATCCATGATAGTTAAGATTATTGTTTTATTATATTTTTAATAATATTTTTTAGGAAAAGAAATAGCAAAATTCTCTATATTGATTATTCTTATGATTTTTTGTGTTTCTCCTATTTTAGAATCTCTTACAAAATCAACAACATCTGATTCAATATGGGCATTAGCATTTTGTTTATTTTTGGCTAATATTTTTTTCCATGATTATTCTACAGCTGAATGGGCTAATAAGAAGTATAGAGATTAGATATTGTTTTCTTTATATTTTTAATTTTTAGATTTCCTGGATCTTTATCAACTAATGCTGGTGTTATGGCTTCAGTTGTGCTTGCATCACAGTTAACATCATATATTCATGCGTTCTCATTAATAGTTTTTGCAGTAGAATTGTTTGCTTTATTTCCTATGTTTAGACGTTATCTTCGGGTGAACATTATAAAATTATCATAATCTTTTTTAATTATTATTTAAGCAAAACTTTTCTTTTACAATTCAACTTATTTTAACAGCATTTCTCCTTATCATAGCTTCAATATTGATTACTTTAGAAATATGTTTTGCTCTTGCATTATTATTTATTTTCAGTTTTTTCTTTATTTCTTTTGTATGTCCATTATGGTTAATAAGTCTTCAAAAATATAAAAGGTATATATTCATAATTCTATATATCTCTTATTTATATTTTAAGCGAAATACATGGTCCTTGGGATATTGCAAAGCCGAAATTTGGGAATAGCTCTAGATAATGTTCATAAATATTAAAATAAATTTATATAAGATTACAATATTTCTCGTATTAGTAAATTTTCAGATAAATTCCATAAAAATCTAGAACAATATATCTATAAAAATCCTAAATTATATTGAAGATATCTAAAAATCAAAATTATTGAAAAATATTTGGGATATTTTTATATTTTTTATTATAACTCTTGGAGCAATTCTTCTTAAAAAAAGGTAATAACATATTTTCATAAGCATCTTAATAATAAAAATATTGTATAATTAAAATATAATAATAATTTTTTAGTTTTAAAAAATTAGAAATAAAATATATAAAAATAATTTCTATCAATATATACGTTTAGTCACCATAGAATATCTTTCAAGAGTATATAAAGTATGTTTTTGAGTCCCATCTTTAAATTTGTTTTGGACATTATTTAGATATAATCTCGTTTTTTCATCAATTTCCTAGAAATATAATGAACAATATAATAAATATAATTTAATTATACCTGTTGACCAATAGAACTCGATTTTGTTATTTTGAATTCTTTTCCCTCCTCTTTATCTTGTACAACTTTATTGTAATATTTATATGAAAGTTTCATAAGTATTGTGCTTAAAATCAATTTCATAACTATCAAGCTTCTATTTTTAAAAATATGCAAAATTAAATATGATAAACATACCAAAAAAAAAGAATAATCATAATAAAAGTTCCATAAAAAATAGGAATAATTTTATCCTTAATATTGTTAAATATAAAAATAAGTTTAAAAATCAAATTAACCTTAGATAAAAAGAGCTTAATTTTTTCTAATGATGGATCATTTGATAATATTTTTATATCAGTAAAAAGCTTAGAAGAGTAAAAAATCCTGCAAATCTTAAAAGATGCTCGAATCATTAAACATGCTAAAGGCAAGATAGGGAGACCAATTTTCCGAGATATGAAATATGGCTGTCTAATACGTGTCTATATATTTATTAAGTAAAAGTTCAAAATTTAGAAATTCTCACATCTTTTTTTTTATTCATGCAACTAATATAATAATCAGAAAGTACATCTGCAAAACGTGAGTATATTGATGATTGTATATGATTAAATTTTATAATAAACATGTGTTTAAGCCAATCCACAAATATTTCTGAACCCATAACTAATATTACTGGAGTTGTGATCATAAAAAAGACAGAATAAGATGAAAAATGAAAAAATGAACTTGGAAATAATGAAAAAGGAAACCTTGATTCATATATTTCTATCAAATTTCTAAACAATATTATGCTAAGCATCAATGTTAATTGAAATCGTTCTACAATATCTAAAAGAAATAAAATTAGATAAAAAATAAAATATAAAATACCAGCTAATGTCATTTGAAGCATATTCTCATTCTCAAATTTTTTAAATATTGTTCCTTTAATTTCTACAAACTGATTTGATATAAGAAGAGTTAATAAAGCATTTGAATAAGAATTAACAGTAACATTTAAAGTCATAACTTGATAAAATAACATAGTGGTATGCAAAACTAAATAATTAGAATAACACTCCAAAATAATATCGAGACTATACCATTAGCTATCAAAGCAAGGATAAAATATAAACTAAGATTTAAATAATAATGTTTAGTTGAACCTTCTCTATTAGAAACTTTTGAAAAAAAAGATTCTATAACATCTTGTCCAAATGCAGATAAAAGACGATCACCAATCTATATTATGTTATAGACAATAATATATGATATAATTTCATACTTCTAAAACGTTATATATAACATAAAGCTTAATAGTAGCTTGTCCTCGAATATTATGATAAATACGACTAGCATCTAATCTCTGAAGAATAACACATGTTCCTAAGATCAAAAACCCCTCAAGAAAGTCAATTTTTTCACTAGATTTTATATTACTGTATAATTAGATAACAATAAAGTAAAAACAATTATACCTTTCTCTGCAGATCTTATCTCTGTAGATCTTATTTTCCCATACTAAAAGAAAATTATTTTTAAAAATCTTATATAAAACTTTAATAAATCTGAGTGGTGATATTGTAAAAAAATACATAAGAGTATCAAGACAAATGAACCATCCAAATAATAAAACCTTTTCCAATTCCTTAGGAACAAGTAAATAATTAATCATTAATTTTTCTCTTTCTTCTTTTATTTCATCAATTTCACTAATATCAAGTTCCATTAATAAATGATCCCACAAAAAGTTCAGCTGAAAATTCTTCACTAATTTCAAAAAATCTTCATTAAGATAACTGTTGTTCTTTTGAAGATCATCTGATATATTTTTTTTAGAAAAACGTTCATTAAATTTGATTAAATGTCGCGATTTTGGAGATACTGAAGAATTACAAGCGTAACAATTCTGACTATACCCTCTTTCTCTTTGATATCTTTCAAAAGAACCAGAAACACTCTTTTTTTCTGAATCATTATTTATTTGTTTTTCAAATGATTCGTTATCATCCAATATTTCTTCATAACTTTTACATTTCCTGCATTTTAAAGACATATTGGAATATTTAGAGCCGGATACTCCTGTTAAATTCCTTATATTCATCTTTTTTTCTAAAATATTTGACATTTCTAAGTAACAATTATGTTACTATATATTTTTTTTAAATTTAAATATTAAATATTAAATTGACTTTATAATTTAATGTAATCCTTTTCCTTAAATTTTTCTAAAAATAAAGCTGTTAAATAGTTTATCAAAAAATTATATGTTTTATAAGCAGTTTGTTTATATTCGGAAAATATTAAGTTATAAAAAGGTTTAAAGAAATGTTTAATTTAATAAATATTACATGAATTTAAATTATGAATAAATTGAATGAATTTTATAGCCAATATAGTTATACAGTATTTGCGAAAATCATTTTACAAAGATATCTACTTATCTACTGTTTATAATAAATAATTTTTAAAGCCAAAGATTTATTAGGTTAAAAAGAAAAATTTTAGTTTATATAAATACCCATAAATTATATAATAACCAATTATAAAAACTATAGCACCACATTAGATCTATCGAGGTTAATGAAATCATCAAAATATGGATGATCGAGAGCTTTTTTTGCACTAATACGTTCAGCAGGATAATATCTAAGACATTTCTAAATAATAATTATTTTTTTAAATAATTTATATTGTAAATTAAAAACCTGTAATAAATCTATTCCATCACCATCAAGTTCTGTAATTAATTCTCCAAGATTTTTCGGCGACCATTTAGGAAAAGTTGCTTTAAAATCCGGATAGGATGTAATACCAGGCCAAGAATTTTCATCAGGTGTTCCTAATATTCTAAAAAATAAATAAATTATAAACTTAATAGCAAGAAACTTTACCTAAATATTCTAAATATTTCATCAATTTCAGAATCACCCGGAAATAATGGTTTTTTTGTAGCCATTTCAGCAAAAATACATCCAATACTCCAAATATCAAGAGCTGTTGCATATTGTCGACCACCTAAAAGAACTTCCGGAGCACGATACCAAAGTGTAACAACTTCATGAGTATAGCCACGTAAAGGAACACCAAATGCTCGAGCAAGTCCAAAGTCAGCAAGTTTAAGATTTCCTTCTCGATCAATAAGAAGATTTTGTGGCTTTAAGTCACGATGAAGAATGCGATGAGAATGACAATATTTAACCCCTGATACAAGTTGAGACATAAATTTTTTAATCATTTCTGCTCCAAGCATCATATCTTTTGGAATACTATTCATATATTTTTTTAAATCTAAAAAAATATATGAATATATATATATATTATTCTAAAGATTACCAAGATCAAGAAACTAATACAACAAATCAGCAATGTTACTCAAAAAAATAAGAAACTTACTTCAAAAACAAGATATAAACGTGATTCCTGATGAATAATATTCAAAAGCCTAATTAATCCATAAAAACAAATTAAAAAAAATACAAAAAAATTATACCTTACAACATTATCATTGTGCATTTCTTTTAAAAGTGATATTTCACGAATTGCTGTACTAGGGACTCCTTCATCTTCTGCTTCTAATCGGATTTTTTTAAGAGCTACAATTGTACCACTTTCAAGATCTTTTGCCTTATAAACAACACCATAAGTTCCTTAAATATAAATAAACTTATAATTCTCTAAAATATAGGATTTTATACCTTCTCCAATCTTTTCTAACCTCTGATATTGCTCCATAGTTTACGCCATTATTTTCAAAATATGTTGTTATTATGCGAATGTCACGTGATATTTCAAGGTAAGAGAATAAGGTATTAAATAGAAAAGATATATTTTTATTTAGAAATCATATATTTTATCTAAGATAATAAGAATACAAGGATTTTTATAAAAAAACAAATATTTTTTATAATAAAAAGTGTAGAGTTATTTATAATTTTATAGATATTTAAAAATTTTTTATAAAATGGCAAATATGGAGATAGAACTAGCAGATAATCTGGAACCAGATTCAGGTCCTAAATATCCTTATCCTATTTATTTAAAAGGAAAAGTTAGTAAATTTTATTAATATTTTTTTAGTATGAATAAAAATATAGGTGATTAAAGGATATGGTAGAGGAAGAAGTGAATTACAACTACCAACAGGTAATTAATTAAAAATATAGATGAAATTAAGATATTTTAGCAAATATTTCAGAAGAAGATATTCCAAAATTTTTATATTCAAAAACGGGAATTTATTATGGTTGGGGTCGAGTAATGAAAGAGGAAAGAAATAATGTATATTTAATGGTTATGAGTGTAGGATGGAATCCATACTACAATAATAAAAAATTATCAGCAGTATGTTGAATATATAAGGGATTTTTTTTTTAAAAAAAGATTTAGGAAGTACATTTTATTCATGAATTTGAATGTGATTTTTATGATGAAGAAATAAGATTAGTAATAATGGGTTTTATCAGGCCAGAACGTAATTATATATCTAAAGGTAATATAATTTTAAATTAGATGTTTCTTCTAAATAAAGTAGAATTATTAATAGAAGATATCCAGAAAGATATTATTATAGCAAAGAAATCGTTGGAAAGAGAAGCATATTCATCATATAAAAAAGACAAATTCCTAATCTTATAAAAATAAGTATGATGTGAATATCAATTTGAATTCTTAATAATATGTTGAAAATATTATATTTATTAATTATCTTTACATAATAACCTGTTTAATGATTAAACTAATAATTACGATAATATGAACCATTATACCTCGCCAACAACACCGTTTTTTATTTCCTAATATTTGTTATTAATTAAATAAAAAAGTATATAATAGAATTATACCTTATGAGGAAGAACGATACAATTTTGAACCCTTACTTCATCATCAATAGTAACGTCATTAGCAAGGACAGTAATAGACTGTACTTTTAGACCATTTCGAAGAATTGTGGTATTATGTTGTGTAGGAAGAGTTGGTGTGCCTTCAACACGAGCCCATTGCCCAACTCGACATCTTCGACCAATAATAGAATGTAAAACAGACGCATTAGGCTTCAAAATAAGAAAAATAATAATTATAAAATAATAATAACCTTAATCTCTGCGCCATCTAGAATAATAGCATTACTAATACGGACTCCAGAATGAATTTTGACTTTCAAACCAATTGAAACATTAGGACCAAGCTTGGATGAGTGATCTACAGATGCAGATGGATGAATATACACTTTTGAAATTTATTAATTAAATATATCATAATTATAATAAATTACCCGGAGGAACAATTTCCGGACCAGAATCTTTAAAAAATTTCTTATCATTTTCCTCTTGTGAATAAAGTAGATATAAAGCATTTGCAGGAACAGAGGATCTAAATGTTTAATAGAGGGAATTTAATGAATAATAATAAAATATACCCAGCAGTTTTTATTTGACGCCAAAAATCTTTAGTTTCATAAATGAAAAGTTTCTTCGTTTGAGTAAGAGGAACCAAAACATCTTGTTCAAGACGTAAGCGTTCATCAGGATCAAATGAAGAACTAGGCATTTCTTTATTTCGTTCATTTCTCAACCGTATTGACTCTTTAATTTGATCAAAAATAGAACCATCAAAAATATATACACCACAATTAATTGTAGAACTAATATATGTTTCAGGCTTTTCAACATAATGAATAACTTCTGAGGTAGCTGTATCCCAAACAATACAGCCAAAATTGTTAGCATCGTCAGGAGAAACCTAATTGATAAACAATTAAGAAACTTATGACGTAAAAAAAAACTATATTACTTTAGTTCCCAAAAGAGTTCCAATTGCATCTTTTTCTAAATGCATTTTAAGCATATTTTTAAGAGGAAATGAACAACATAAATCAGAATGTAAAACAAAAATTGTTTTAGGAGAATCCCGAAGAATTACATCACGAAAAAAGTATAATCCTCCTGCTGTTCCAAGAGATTGATATTCACGTAAATATCTTAAAGAAACATAAGAAAATACCAAAAATAAAAATTAAAATACTTAATAGAAAAATTTAAGAATACTTCTTTAGCATCCTTTATAAAACCAGAAAAAACAGATTCTTCATAAAATCCAATCAAAAGAACTTCACGAACTGTTTCAACTTTTGATAATGCAACAAGATGATGCCATATCATAGGTTTACCTCCAATAGGAAAAAGAGGCTAGAAACTTCAATTAAAAACCAATAAAAAAAAACATAAATCCAGTTAAAAAAGACCTTTGGAATGTCTAAAGATAAAGGCCGAAATCGAGTACCACTTGAAGGCCCTCCAACGAGAATAATTGCAACAGCAGACATTTTCGATATTAAGATTAATACCGACGACACATAAAATATTTATAAAAAATAAATATTTTTAAGAATCTTTCTTAAGCCGTATAAAATAGCTTTCTACTTTTAATACACATTAGAAAACAATAGAAATCTCACATATGTTTTTTGAAAAATTTGTAAACAAAGAAATAATTTTAGAGTTTTTGATAAAATTCAAAAGATAAAAAATCAAGAGATTATTCCGAACTACTTTCTATAAAAATACGACGTCCCTTTGCTTTATTATTTTTTTTTTTAGAATTTGTATTAGATAAGATAGAGATTCCTTTATTATTTTGAAAATCACTACTATTCGAATTACTAGAAAAATAATCATCAATGAACAGTTTGTCATTATTTGTAGAGATTCCTTTTTCTAAATCAGTTAAATTATCAATTTCAGAAGAGTGGTCTCTTTCTAAAAGATTTAGTTCATTATTATTTATTTCATTCTCAAAATCCAAACTTTTAAGAACTTTTTTGATATTTCTACTTTTTTCATGAGAATTAGATGCCATTAGTTTTGATTTTTTTCTTAAAATTTCTTCTGAAGCAAAAAAAGCAGCATCATTATCAGTATTATCAGAATCTATAACATATTTCAAACTTTTTATAATTTTCATACGTTCCAATTTTTTTCTTTCGGCAAGAATCTTTAATTCTACATCATTTGATAATTTCCTGTGCCTCTTTTTAGATATTTTAGCTGAAGACATAGATCTAATTGAATCGAAATCATCTGTATCAATTATTTCATCTTCTTGACTAAATGTATCATAATGATTTCTAGGCTTATATTTTCGACGAATAAAGTCAATAGCAGTTTTTCCATCATCAAATATAACCGGATTATCAGTGTATTTTTTAACGAGCTCTAAATTATAACTTAATATACTAGATGAAACTTCAGAAGGAATAATTAATGAAGGCATTATATCATCAACTTCTTTTTCTTCCAAAAAACCACATAAAGAAATCAGTAAACGAAATTTTCCGTTTTTAAAACATTTTTTTCTCTGCTGTTCAGTTTCAAAGATAACGACTAAAAATGCATCAATATTTAATATTCTAAAACATTTTTATACCATAGCGAGGCGGTAATGATAATAGATCCATCTGAGAACTATCCTCTAATGATTTTCTTGATTTTTTTTCTAATTCCCATGCTTTTCTTTGACTAATAGCATCAGATAATTTAATTTTTAACCAATCTAATTCATCGCTTTTATTTTCATCAAGTAATACAGCAACAACAACAGAAATTTGTTGTTCAAAATCCATTCCTGGTTTAACTTCAAATTCTGCAGAAAGCCTATAAAAATTTCAATAATATATTAAAATAAAAAAAATTAATCAACTTTATTGGTTTTGCTATTGCCACTTCATCACACCCATGCTGGAGATAATATACTGTATCATGCATCTTATGAAATAAAAGTTCTACATATAAAGATGGAGATTTAGAGGTAACAGATATAAGACGCTTCATATAAAATTTTATAAATTTCTCCATTTCAACCCTAGTTGGGTGACTTCTAGAAAAATAGATATCATCATTTAACATTCTGTTAAAAAGTTCACATATGTCAAGACGAAACATGTATATTTCAGCCTTTTGTTTAACAAATATTCTATAAAAAAAAGATATTACGCGTTTAATCTGTTCTGGAGTCAATTCTCTATAATATTCAAGAAATGTTCGAAATGTATCAATACAATGGTCATTAACAAATTTCTAAATTATCAATAAACAAAATTATTATATAACTAGATACCTTTTCAAATCTTGAAAATTCAAAGGACCTTTCTTTATATCCCGATTTAGATTCTGAATGAGAATTATCATTATCAGAACCTAAAGTCTCTGCTTGATTAAATATATGTGCACTTTTTTTTTTATTTTGACGTTGACGTACTCGAATATACATATAATCTTTTGTCTTAGAATATTTTTCTAACATTTTTAACAAATTATGAACAAGTTCTGTAGATATATTTAAAAATCTATCCATTTTAAGATCCAAAAAAGAAGAAAAGAACTCTCTCTTACCCAAATGATTGTGTTTTATATAGTTTAATAACACTAATAATCAAATCTAAATTATGTTCTTCATAATATATATTATTCTGCATGTTATCGGCTATTTCCTGATATTCTTGAGATGATGTTGTCATACAATTAATAATTAAAAGCTATATAAAAGTTATTTTTTTTAAAAAAAATAATATATCCAATTTATACTATTTGTTTAAAACATTCCATTGCAGAATGCAATTCTTTCCAAATCTTCTTTAATTAGCAGACTTATTAGTTACTTAAACTTACTTTAAGATCAAATGATTCTCTCATTAATTTATAGATCATAATTAGAGCCCTTTGTTGCAACATACTAGCAATCAATCCATAATCCTCATATTTTGAAGAATCATTAAGATTCTTAGAATAAAGACGTAACCTAAGGGCATGTATAAAATATCCTATACAATAAAGAAAATGAATATGATTTTCTTGAGAAATTCTAGTCTCTTCTCTTTCTAAACATCGCAAAATAGATGAAAAAAGAGCTAATTTATTAAAATTATATATTTAAAAAAGAAATCACATACGATTAAAAGACAAACCCAAAAATTCATTTATAAAAGCTGAAATGATAATAGTTGCATCATGCATAATAAATACAGGTTTGTCGACATCATCCTATATATTTGATTAGTATAAAAAATAATTTAGAAGAAAAACCATTGTAGATATTTTAGATTTACGCATTTTCCATTTCTTTGCAGAATCTATTTTTCCAAAACTATTTTCTGCACCTTTAAGTATAGCTCCCTGACTACCAACAGTGATCCTTCTATTGTTCTAAAAATATTAGATTATAAAAATCTAGCAATTAAATTTATACAGGTGTTATTAGTGAAATCAATGTACCAAATCGGTTATGGCGAGTTGTTTTTAAGCCTTTCTTTTTATTATCTGTTTCTACCTTAAGAAGGTTGCTTAAATCATCCAATGGTCTAAGTGATTGCACCTTATCTGATAAAAACAATTTTTCGGGACTTATTCCTCTAACAAGATAAAAAATAATTTCAAGAATAATAACGTCTTGAGAAATAAATTCGTCTCCTATACCCCCTGCAACAGAAATAATAAGATCGAAAATATTTTCCCTTTTAAATGCAAGAATTGTTTCATTTCGAGTAGTTTCCTCATCAATCATGGCAATATTTCGAATAAAATATAAAACTAAACGAATAATTCCTTCATCTCTTTCTGATCTTTCTGACCTTGGAATAGACATAGAAGCAAATGATACAGAAATTGCATTAAATAAAAGGTTCGCTTTAGAATAATTTAGAAGAGATTTTTTATAAAATGATTGTGCTAAACGAAGATGTGGAAGTTGTTCAAAAGATTTTTTATTTGCATTCAATTCATTCATCTCCAAAGGCCATGTTAATTCAACAAGTAATTCCACTAGAATTATAATTAAAAAAAACGTTAAATTATCTAAAAAAAAGCAATTCTAAACCGCAAGCAAGAGATATACGCCATTTTATTTTGTCTTCTCCATCTAAAGGATTCCACATAGCCAAAATAGGACAAAGATCTCCTTCTACAAAATTCGTATCTGCTAAAATCCGTTTAACATCCCAACTATTATATTTATGATCATAATGTTGAAGCCATCGTTTTAAATCCTTCAAACATGCTAAACCATCATCTCCTAAAATATATGGTTTATCTTCCAAAGAAATATCAATTCCCCCCAAAGAAGATACTAAATTGTGAATCACTGATTCTAAAGACATGAAATCTCTATAAGATATATATTTTTTATTTTATTTTTCTATATTTTTCATTCTCAGTAAAAATCCATTTAAGACTCAATTTAAATCAATTATTACGAAAATAATTAAAACCTTAATACTTTTTATCTTTTATTAGAATATTTTTTACTTTTTATTAAGAAAGTTAAGATTTTATTACTTAAAAGTTAGGAAATTCTTAATCGATTTTATAATTTTATTAAAAACCTGTTAAAAATTTAAATCTTAACTTTCTTAATAAAAAGTAAAAAAACATAAAAAAACCTATGAAGAGCCCTATGTTTACATGTATTCTTTGCAAAGTTACGTTTCAATCATCAGATGTTCAGCGTGTACATTACCGGTAAGATTTTTTTTATATTTTTTTAAAATTAATATTTTACAGATCAGAATGGCATCTTTACAATTTAAAGCGGAAAATGGCAGGGTTCTCATCAGTTTCAGCACACTGTTTTTCTCAAAAAATGGTTTCAGAGGTATGGAATGAAAAAAAAGAGGAAAAAGAAAGATTTAATGGGAAAAAAAAAAAGTAAAAAAAAATATATAAAGATTGATTTTTAACATTAGATATAGAAAAGAGAAGAAAAATGGTTTTAATGTAGAAAATGAGTCTTATCTTTTAAATAAATCAGAAGAAGCAATTGAATTGAATAAAAAACAATATATAAATGAACCAGATTTAAAAAAATCGGAAGAAATTATGGCAAATCTATGTAATCCTATTTATTTAAATTCAACATCATATGAAAAAATGGAATTGAACGAATCGGAAGAAAAATTAATTAAAGAACATATAGCGAAAGCAACTAAATTAAAAATAACAGATTGTCTTTTTTGTACTTTTAAGTTTTCTACATTAAATGAGAATTTAGAACATATGAAGAAATCTCATTCTTTATTTATACCTGAACAAGAATATCTTATTGATTTAAAGGGGTTAATAGAATATCTTGGAGAAAAAATTTCTATTGGAAATGTTTGTTTGTCATGCAAAAAGGTTGGAAAGAGTTTAGAAAGTATTCGTCAACATATGGTTTATATATTTAATTTTATTTATTATTTTTTTAATTAATATTAGTTTTCAAAAGGGCATTATTCTATTGCATATGATACAGAGGAAGAAAGGCTTGAATTATCAGATTATTACGATTATGGTTCATATTCTGCAAAAGACAATGATTCAGATTGGGAAGATATATCATCTAATCAAGATAAAGATGATATTTTGTCTATTTATTCAGATAATGATGACGATGTCATAATAGAAAACGATTATGAGCTTATTCTTCCCTCGAAAATAAGACTAGGGCATCGTTCTTTAATTAGATATTATCAACAAAACCTTCGCTCTCGAAATTTTCAACGACAGTCAGGAGATAGAAATCCAAGCGGTTTAGTACGACAAGAATATGTTCAAAGATCACTCAAAGGTATTGATCAATCAAAAAGAAAATTTTCTGAAAAACATATACGAACTTATCAAGATGTTTTTCAAAAAGAAAATTATAAAACTGCAATTGGTTTAAAAAGTAATCATCAAAAATATTTTCGGAATGAATTACTTCAATAAACTATACTTTATTCTTTACAATTAAAATATTCAATATTCTACACCTTTTTATTTTCATACATAAGGTTTATATCTTAACATCCGGGAAAGGGCTAAACCCTTATCAAAAGATAGTGGGTTAGGGTTTATTGAAGTCTGCTAACGGCAAACCTCAATCTGATGCAAGCAGAAGAGTTTTTGAAGATATCAGAGGAAAAAACACTGCCTCCATTAGAACAAGAAACAAAAAAACAAACAAAGAAGATAAGGAGGTGTGGAATATGCAAAAAAGTTGGGCATTCTAGGAACGTTTGTCCAAATAATAAGGATTTAAATATACCATTTGAATGGAATAGAAGCACAGAGACATTTTGCGGGATGATTACACCGACTCATGGAAAAGCTAGCGTAGAGTTATCTAGAGGAATAATTTGTGGTTAATTTGTGAAATTAGAACATTCCATTGACTAAAAATAATAAAAAACGTAAATCGGAGTCTAATCCATCTAATGGAGCTAAAACACCGACAAACTGTGAATTAGGATATACAAATGTATATTCTTAAGAAAATAAGATGCATATAATTGGTTAATATGGAGTTAGATTACCCAAAAAACACCATGTAGTATGGGAAAAAGTAAATCTCGAAAAAAAACCAATAATATAAATTCATATTCAGAGGCAATTATTATGAAGAAAAGATAGACTTTTTATTAATAGTTATTATCAGGATAATAAGGAAAATGGATTATTTTCTCATGTTCATCCATTCAAAGTATATAATAATCTTGAGGAAATTATTCCATCTATGGATTTTTTATTTCCATATGAGAATATGAAGTGGTATGAAAGTATGGAATACTCAGTTGATTTTGAAAATATACAACCTGGTTCTCGAAAAGATATGCTTGCTTTTTGTAAATTCAATTCGTATAAAAAGATTAATTATGAAGATATTCTGGATGATTCTCCATTATTTAAACCTCTTTCAAACAGTATTTTCGATTTTATTGAAGACGAAATGGGAAGTAAAAGCCCAATCCTAAATTTTTAATGATATCCAATTTAATTACAAGCGGAGTATATTTAAAAAGTTTATTTATAAAATAATTATACTATACTTAAAATTCGGGCTTCTAAAACTTAGCATCATATTTATTTATCAAATGGAACTTCACTAAAATATACTTTTTTTATAAAAGCGACAAAATATTTACTGGCTCAACACATATTATCAGATATTTTTCTATTAAAAAATATTTTATTGCACGAAAATCATATAAATTTACTCTTTACATACTTTCAATGAGAATATTATATTTATTTTTCTAATAAAAAAATACTTTATTTTTTCTCATTAAAAAACACATTTTTTCTAATTTGTCCATTTCATTTATTTAAAATACTCATATAATCAATATTATTCATATAATTATAATAGAATTTCTATCTATTCTTTAATAATACTATCTTTATAAAATATAATAACCTTTATAACCTTAATTACGGTTTTTTATAATTTAAAAAATGGCTATAGAAAATGAAGCAGTAGAAAATAACTTAGAATATTATGATACATCAGCAGATATTATTGAAGGGATATTAAATGAAGAAGAATATGATGATCAAAATATATTTTATAGTACTCGTCCAGAAATATCTTTGGCATAAAAGAAAAATTAAAATTAAAAGAAGAAAACTAATTGATATTAGGGATCGGTTATCCCAGACTCAGTAAGAGGATTTATTACATATTTCCACAATGCAATGCTTCAAAATAATGTTTATGAACTACATGGATGCTATGAAAATCTGTTTACTAAATTAACAGATAAATATTATAAAAATACATCATGGCCAGATGCAGAAACAATATCTCCCTTGGTTAATGATGATGCGAACTTTATAATATTGTATAGAGAATTATACTTTCGCCACATTTACGCAAAACTTCAGCCAACAATTGAACAGCGGTTTCAATCATATGATGTATAAGTTAAATTTATTATATTTTATAATAATTTATTGAATTTAGAATTATTGTGATCTTTTTAATCTTATTCTTAATTCAGAAAATCCAGTTAATCTTGAACTTCCTAATCATTGGGCTTGGGATATTGTTGATGAGTTTATTTATCAGTTTCAAACATTTTGTAATTATAAAAATCGATTATCTAAAAGATCAGAAGATGAAATTCATGAACTTCGAGAAAATCCTCAAATATGGAGTACATACAGTGTTTTAAATGTACTATATTCTTTAATTCAAAAGAGTAAAATAAATGAACAATTTATTGAAATAAAAAATGGAAGAAATCCTAAGTAAGATTTTAAACTAAATAAAAAATGATTTTAAAAATATTAGTGAAGTAGCAGGAGAGTTTGGATCTCAAAATCTTTATCGAATGTTAGGATATTTTAGTATAATTGGTCTTCTTCGAGTTCATTGTCTTCTTGGTGATTTTACGTTAGCACTCAAAACAATGGATAACATTGAACTTAACAAGAAGGTACCTTTTTCTAGATACATTTAACTTTATAAAATATTTTTAGAGCTTTTTTGGATGGGGCGGAAATTTAACACTAACATTTACTGCTTATTATTATGTTGGGTTTTCATATATGATGCTTCATCGATATATAGATGCTATTAAAGCATTTTCTCATGTTCTTTTTATTTCACGAACAAAACTTTATCAAAATAGATCAATACAATATGATCATGTAAATAATTTCATTCTATAAGCATTATTACTCATCTTTTTATAGATTTCAAAAAAGAGTGATCAAATGTACGCGCTTTTAGCAATATGCATTGCATTATGCCCTGTTAGGATTGATGATAATCTTTTTATCTTATTAAAAGAAAAATATGGAGAACAACTTTTAAAAATGCAACGAGGTGGACCAGAATCTATACCTGTTTTTTCAGAGCTTTTTTCATTTTCATCACCAAAATTTATATCACCACTTTCTCCAGATTTTGATAATAGCTCTGGCACTATTATAGAGCATCAACAACATCATTTAAAAATATTTATTTCCAGTATTGAAAATCAAATGATGTTGCCTGCTCTCAAAAGCTATCTTAAATTATATACAACAATGCATTTGGATAAAATTACATCATATCTTGAAATTAGTCCTGAAAATTTAAGAACATTGCTTCTAGTATATAAACAAAAGACTAAACAAGTATATAATGAATACTTGATACTTTAAATTATAACTTTAATATTTTTAGGTTCGATGGTCTCAAGGATCTTTATTAAATGGCGAAATTATAAATACATCTGATATTGAATTTACTCTTCAGGGAGTATGTTATTTCTATACATATTTTCATTTTAACTTTTTTTTTACAGCATATAATTCATATCACAGAAGTAAAAACCACTCGACAATACGCCGATTATTTTATAAAAACTATTAAGCAATTAAAAAGATTATCTCTTAATTTAATCAATTAATATATATATATCATTTATAAAATATATAATTTTTTGATATTTTATTAAAAATATTTTTAAATATAACTACCTCAAAATTCAATTTTTAAAAAGTCATTTTATAAATAAATGATATCTCTAAATACATTAAAACTTATTTCATATCTTTATTAATTTATTAAAATATTTTTTTAAAATTTTTAAAGACAATCTTTAGAACATATTTTTTCATTAAAAAAATACAACAAATATAAAGATAAAACATTTTTATATATCCTTTATATTTAAAATTTTTCAAAGATCAAATTCTTAAAATTATTAATCTTTTTTAATGAAAAATATCTTCAAAAAAATTAAAATATTCAAATTTTTTTATGTTAAAATGTTTAACTTTCTTTAATCAACATATTTATTTTATCTTTATTAATCCAACATTGACGAAAACGATTAAGGATCTCTGCGCAAAGTCTCCAATCACGTTTATCAAAATAACATTGCTGTAGTTCTTCTGCTTCTTCAGCTATTTTTATTTATTATTAGTTATTTTTTATTTGAAAGAAATTAGTTTTTTTTATCAAAAAAACATACCACATTTTCCAGATTGCACGATTTTTAACCAGGGATCGTCATCATATTCATTTATATTGTTGGATTTAAATGGAAGTTGCATTATTATTATTTTCTTATTGTTTTTGAATATTTTATCATAATTTATCAAAAGACGGATTAGAAATGGAGGTTTTAATATATACGGGTATCTTAAATATAGAAAGAAAGAACATAAAGATGGTTTTAATTAATTTTATATTTATTTTAGATATAGAAACATCAAAATTATCAGTACGACAAACATTTTCAGTTTTTCATTTTTTATTAGGTTCTTATTATGTTATAAAAAAAGCAGATAAATCATATCTTGAACAACGGAGTACATGGGATAACGTTGCACTTTTTATTATGCCAAATAGTGAAGATATTATTTATAACAATGGATTAGGAGAAATAGTAAGCGAAAAAATATTAAAATATCTTAAAAATGGAGGTAAATATATAGGAATAGCTGCAGGTGGATATTATGCATCAGCCTATACAGAAATTGAATCTAATAATACTCAAAAAAAACAAAATAAGTTAAGTAAATTTGTAATTTTTCCGGGTATTGCACGAAGCATTGATTTTTCCAAATATATTTGTTCTAATGATAGTAATAAACACTTAGCACTTATACATATTGAAGATGAATCATATAAATATGAAAATGACTTGTATTATTATCATAGTGGCGTATCATTTGTAAACGCAGATCAATTTCTAAATACACGGATTTTAGCAACTTATAAAGAAATAAACCCTAATAATAAGACACCACCCAATGCTGCAATTATTCATTGTAAGATTGGGAAAGGAGAGGCTGTTTTATTTGGTGTTCATCCGGAGTATTTTGTTTTATTTTGTTTTATTTTGATGTGTACTTATTTTAGATATTCTGGATTTAACACAGATTTAAAAGACAATACTAGAAACTATCTCGAGGATTTCGATAGACTATTATTATTTGAAAACAATAGAACTATATTTTTAAGACATATACTTCAATCACTTGGTTTACGAACTACATCTAAGCCTATTATATCCTCAGAGATTACAAATCTTCATCTTTTTTCAAAGTTTTCAAATCTTATTAAGGAAATAACTAATATTCTTTATAATATTTCTGAAATAATAAATGGAGAGCGTGTTATTAGATGTGAAAATGATTCATTTTATTTACAAAAATCATCAACGTATACTTTTAGTCAAAATCCTTTAAACAATTTTCATGATTATGACTACGAAATAATTCCAAAATATATCAAAATTCATAAACATCTTCCAACTATATTAGAAATTCCGTTTTTTAATCATGAAATCTATTTTAAAAACCTTTTAGCATCAAGAACTTTAAAAAAAGAGAAAAAATATATGGGAAATATAATTTTATATGGAGAAACAGTATCTAGCTCACAAACGTTACTTAATAAAAACTTAAAACTTTTAAGAGTTTTGCCCACAGGATTTGTTTTTGTAGCTACACAACAAATAGCAGGTAAAGGTCGAAAGAACAATGTTTGGATATCTCCACAAGGTGTTCTAGCATATTCTTTGATTATAAGGCAACCAGAATATTTAATATTTTCATCAATTGTATTTATACAATATTTAGTCTCACTTGCAATAGTTGAGGCCATTAAAACTTATGACAATCATTATAACGAGCTTGATATTCATATTAAATGGCCAAATGATATATGTGTAAAGCAGTCTGAGGAGAATACTATTGAACCATCTTTTATACTAAACAATATTGGCTATATTAAAATTGCAGGAATATTAATAGATTGCAAACATATAGATAATGAGTTTCTTATGATTATTGGTATATTTAATATTACATAGTTTTGAAATTTACTATTCATAGGATGCGGTATTAATGTTAGTAATTTTCTTCCAACAACATCTCTTGAAATAATTATTAAAACTTTAAATGCTAGAAAAATACTAGAGAAACAGCCTTTATTATCAGAAATCACACAAGAAAAATTATTGGCACGTATAATGACAACATTAGAAAGTATGTATTATGAATTTTGTTTGAATAATGGATTCAAATTATTTGAGCACCAATATTATAAATATTGGCTTCATACGTATTTAAATATTTTCAAGTATTTCATGCTAAATCTTATAGTGGTCAAATTGTTACTTTAGAAGATAATAGTAACGCTGTTATAACCGGAATAAATCCAATACATGGAGGATTAAACGCAGAAGGCATTGAAAATGGAAAAAAAAATGGAAAAATATGGGAGTTATATCCGGATTCAAATAGTTTTGATATGATAAAAGGGTTAATTAAAAAAAAAGTATAAAATATCATAAGTCTAAAAATACAAACAAAACTTTATTAATAATCCCAAATATGCAAACTAATATGATATATTTTTCACTTTTCAGAAAATTTTATGCAAATTTTTCCTTTAAAACCCAAAATTTATTTTCCAATTTAGCTATTTTCTTCAATAATTTTCTAAACTCTACAACTTGTTGAGTTCCATTAACAGATGTACCAAACCTTTCAATAATATCCGTAGATGACACTTTCCCGCCTTTTACATTAATAAAATCATAAATGCTTTTTATCAATTTTACTGATTTATCATTCAAAATTCCAACTATTATTATTAAAAGAAATAAAACCGTTAATTTTTAATACTAACATAAGTTTTGTATATTATTATTTTCAAGACAATTTCTATTTTTCAAATTTAATAATAAAGAAGAAGATATAGGAGCATTTGAGTTTCTTCTAAAATTAACTTGAGAAGATTCTTTAAACCTTCCAGTCCATGTTAATGTTCCAATTTCAGATTTCTGAATATTTTTTCTGGATGCTTTCAAAATTCTTATAGCTTCTTCCGATATTCTAGTTGCTTTTTTCAATTGTTAGTATAAATATTTATGATAGTCAATTAATACCTTCTTTTTCAACCAATAAAGCTTCTTGTTGAACTGAATTCATAATTACATCATGCTGCAGTGTACTACAAACTCCCGATTTTGAAAATATATCCTCCAAAATTTCAAACTCATGATCTTTCTTTTTAGATTTAGTATCTCCAGTTGTACTTCGGAATAATTAAAACCAAAATTCAAAAAAGAGGAATCTTACAAATTTTCTAATCCAGCAACACCAGGGATAGATTTTAATTTCTCTTTATCCTCTTCACTCTTATGCATGGTATTAGTTAAAGATGATTTAGATTGACAATATATTTTTTCGGTACCAATAAACATTTCGCCTGTCTCACTACCACCAATATCATCTGATTTTAAAGAAAACAAATCATATAAATCACTTATCTTATTAATATTAGTAAATTCTCAGATAATAGGAATTTTATACTTTAAAAAACCTCTTTTGTTTGGGATCTTTAAGAATTTTATTTGTAAGAAACTGCTTAAATATTTGACGATGATATATTTTTTCTTCTATTGTACCAGATGTCATTAAACGATATATTATCACCTCTTTTTTCTGACCAACACGCCATACTCTTTCTCGTGCTTGTACATCAGTTGAAGGATTCTAGTTTATATAAGATAATTACTCTTAATAATAGTAATATTACCCAATCAGGATCAAATATTATAACCCTATTAGCTCCAATTAAATTAACACCCAGTCCTCCAACTCTAGTAGTAAGAAGAAAAATATGAATATCATCTGAATTATTAAATTTATCAACAAGATATTGTCTAGAACTTATTGATGTTCCACCGTCCATTCTATAATAATTGAATTGATCCATTTTCTTAATAAACTTTTCTAAAATATCAAGCATTTGTCTAGTTTGTGTAAAAAGTAAGGTTCTATGACCTTGACTTTTCCAAAGTTTAAGAATATCTTCAATAACTTGCATTTTTCCAGATTTTCTAGGATCCCCATATTCTATATTATTAATCTATAATATTATTTTAAAAACATTAAAATATTAGCCAATATTACCTTTAAAAGAGAAATTTTATCAACTAAATCCGGATGATTACAAATTTTTCGAAGAATATCTATTCCATATAATACGTTTCTTTCACCATTTAAAATCAAATCCATATCTTTAGAATTTAGAAAAGATTGATACGCTTCTTTTTGAAATTTTGTTAATTTGCAGAATAAGACCTGTTTTCAATTAATTATGTTAGAAAAGAAATTCTATATTTACCTGTTCAGTCTTATTAGGTAGATCAGAAGCTACATCGGCCTTCATCCTTCTTAATAAGTATGGACTTATAAGATCGCGGAGTACACATGCACATTTATAGGCTGTTTGAACTTGAATATTACTAGCATTTGCATATCCACCAATATTTATGGGTATTGCAAATTGATTTTGAAATATAGGTAATGTCTATTTAAATCAGAATACAGAAAAATATTTCACAAATTTTACTCCTAAACGACCAGGAAATATAAAATCAAATAAACTCCATAATTCATCCAGATTGTTTTGTATAGGAGTGCCTGATAAAATTATTCTATGAGGAGTTTTAATTTGTTTACAAATAAGCGATATAGTGGAATCAGGGTTTCTAATTTTATGTCCTTCATCAAGAATACAATATGCCCATTTATTAGGTAAAAGATATTCTTTATATATACGTAATCCAGAATATGTTATAATAAGGACATGACCTAAAATCATTATTTGAAAAATCAACTTTAAAAATATACCTAAAGTAATAATTTTTTTTATAATTTTTTCTACATTTTTTTTAAGAAAATTTGAATTCATAGTTTCTGAAGATTTATAATTTTTATTTAATTCATGTTTTATATTTACCAAACCACTCCCTGATGTATGTAGAATAATCACCCTAAAAGGAGGCCACCACTGATGAAATTCATTAACCCATTGTCTCATTATTGTTGCAGGACAGACAATTAAAATAGGACCTGAAAGTTTTTGAGAATAATGTAATCCTGCAAGAAACCCAGCTATTTGAATGGTTTTTCCAAGACCCTAATATTCTATTAATTCATGAGTATAAAGATAAAATAATAAAAACCATTTCATCAGCAATAATTCCCCCAGCTTCTTGACAATGTAGCTCCCATAACCATTGTATACCTTTTATCATTATTTTTATAATAAAAAACAAAGAATTTTACATGTTTTTTGATAATTAAACAAACTTGGATGAATATCCCCAGGTAAAGAATAATAACCTTCAAACTTATAATCTTTAATAGTTGGATGTGGCTGAAACCATTCTTCTAATTCATCATATATTTCAGGTTCTTGCTTTACTATATTATACTTTATTCTATCATTCTTTCTACGAGTAACCCATTCATTAAGGCGCTTCTATAAAATATTAGATATAAAATCTTAAATGTAAATATAAATTTCTTGATAATATTTTTCATTTCCATCATCAATAGATAAAAAATCTTGAAATAAATCAACATCTTGAACATTTTCTATAGATAAATTAACTTTATATATAAAATTTCTATCAATCATCTTACCAATAAATGAATTCTCATCGACTACTAAAGTATCAAATGTTTCAGAAAAATTTTGAAAGTTTTCTATTTGATTATTGCTATTTTCTAAACGAGGTTTCTTTTGTTGTATCTCAAGAGGAATATTAATATTATCATTATCTAAAATCTCAGATTCAGATAAGGCTCTTCTAAGAGGTATTGGTTTCAAAATATCATTTGAATCATCTAAATCTTCGTCAATTTGACGTTCCAAACCAGATATATTAGAAAATGGTGTAATTTTTCCAGTTCGAATTAAATATTCTCTATCTAAAAATATAAATTTAAAAAGAAAAATAAAATATTCTAGTTACCTGTTTCTTTAAAAGATTTTTCATCTGTTAAACCTAAAAATATAAATATTATAATTAAATTTTCTTTTTATAAATAAAAACCTTGATCATATTTTCTCTTTTCAGAAATAAGATTTTCTATTCTCTTGGATATTTCCCTAATATTTTTCTCAACATGAAACAATTGATTATTCTAATAACTTATAAGCTTTTTTTTTAATTATAAAATACTTTAATTAAACAAATTGGCAAATTTTTTCTTTTTCTAAAATAGACGATACAAACAATCCATTTTTAGCCATTTTTTCCTCTATTTTCTGTATTTTTTTCAACAATTTTCTTCAAAAAAACTATCAATACTCGATCTCTATACCTTAGATCTAACTTACTCCTTTTCTTTAGTACAACGCTCTAATCGTTGATACTCATTCTTAAGATCATTCTCAATAAATTCATGATTAACCTAATATATTAGTATATTATTTATTTAAACATCAGTTTTCCTCATTATACCTTTAAAGAAACACCTCTTTCAAGAACATCTTGATCCATAACACCCAAAACACCAAAAAATCCTTCAATACGATTTTCTTCATCTTTTTTAGATTTTAATGACTCATTATTCTCATTAAATATAACTTTTTCTTGATTTCTTCTAAATTTATTGTCCTTTTCTTCAGAAAATCTCTCAATTTGTGCCTCATTATTAATATTTATATCATTTTCTAACTCATTTGATGGGTTCTTTTCTAAAAAAACATTAATTTTGTTATTTTTACATTTTTTATAACTTACCTTTCATTATCTTTTTTAATATTCGGCCAACCCTCTTCATAAATTAAAAATAGGGATTAAAAGTTCTTAAGCTAGGAAAATTTTGATAAAAAAATCCAAGAAAAAACGGAAATAAGGAAGACAATACAAGGCTATACAGAGTTTTCTGTTAGAAAAAAGCCAAGTTATTCTTTATTAAAATCCTAAAAAAAATTAAATAAAAATTTAAAGATTTTTAAATTTAAAAGACAAAAAGAATATTTTAAAAACGAATAGTTAATAGCGAGCATTAATAAGAGAATTTTCTATTTTGGATTTTTTTTTAAAAATTATTTAATTAATCTGTTTTTATAATGAACAAAAACGTATCTCAACCATATTCATTTTATTCAGCGACTAATGATGATTTTTTTTTAAAAAATTATAACCTAAATGAAAGGAAATCAAATGAAATATTGAATGATAAAAAGAAAAAGATTAATTTAACGAATTATACAAATTCTCCTATAAAACAAAATTCTTACTTAAGCTTACAAAGAAACAAATTAAATAAATCTAAGATTTTTAATAAAAAAATTGAAAATTCAATAATTTTCTCAAAAAAATTATCTATCAATAACGAACAATATACACCTTATTATAATCTTTCATCACAACAATGTTCGACACATATAAAAACATCATCAATACTAAATAATAGAAGATCACTTCATTTATATCATACATCCGGGATTTGGATGGATTGGAAGCAGCCTTTTTATTCATTGAATCAATCAAACATTGAAAAATCTAGTTTTTTTCATAATTCTAGTCCATTTGATTCTTGTACATCCAAAAATTTATCATTAAATATGCAATATTCTTCAATAGATAACAATCTGGATTTAAAGTCATCATTAAGATCTTTTAGTGATTCTATAGCCATTTCGAATAATTTTAAATTACCTGAAAAATCACCAAAAAAATCTTTTAAATGTGAAAATGTTTCAGAATTTGAACCATTATCAAAAAGAAGTTCTTTTTCAAACTTATTATCGGATTTTTGTTCTATAAAATTAGAACCGAATCTTTCAAAAGAAAAGAAATACCCTTTACTTAGAAAAATGGATCATCAAGGAAAACCTATTAGCGTAAATGCAATTTTTATATACTTTTTATATTTACAATCATATAGCTTTTACATGCTTCAACGATATATTTAACTGAAATTTTTAAAATGTGTAATCCAAAATTTGACTATGAATCATATAAAAATCCTAAAAGAGTTCTTACGAAACCTAGCAAAGGTATAAAAAATGACGGATATGATAATGAAGATAATGACTATATTTTATATGTTAATGATATATTGGGCTCCGATAAAGGCCATAGGTTAATATTTGTTCCTAAATATTTCAATTTATTCATAAAATTAGATATTTAATACTCGATATTTTGGGACAAGGCACATTTGGGCAAGTTGTTAAATGTAAAAATATGCAAACTCAAGAAATTGTAGCGGTAAAAGTTATAAAAAATAAACCTGCTTATTTTAATCAAAGTATGATGGAGATAACTATATTAGATCTAGTAAGAAAAACAATACATAGAACGATCATAAATAATGTTTGTAGTTAAACAAAAAAATTGATAAATCAAGAAAACATAATATTTTACAATTAAAAGACACGTTTATTCATAAAAAGCATCTTTGCATTGTTTCTGAACTTCTCAGTCTAAATTTATATGAACTTATAAAACAGAATCAATTTAAGGGACTAAGCACAAATTTAGTTAGGATTTTTGCAATTCAAATACTAGATGCAATGATTGTTTTAAATGAGGCAAAAATAATTCACTGTGATTTGAAACCTGAAAATATTCTTTTAAACAAGTATAAAAGATTACACAAGAAGTTTTCTAATTATTTTATTTAGTTTAGAAACTCCTGTAATTAAGATTATTGATTTTGGCTCAGCGTGTTATGAAAGACAGACTATATATACATATATTCAATCAAGATTTTATAGAAGTCCAGAAATTTTGCTTGGTTTACCGTAGAATCTATGTATATTTTCATATTAGTATTATTAATATTATTTATAGATATTCATCGTCAATTGATATATGGTCTTTTGGATGTATCGTGGCTGAATTATTTCTTGGTCTTCCTCTTTTTCCTGGTACTTCTGAATATAACCAAATATTTAGAATTATAGAAATGCTAGGGCAATTTGAATCTATTCCATTAAACTATCTAATTTTAACATAGAATGCCTCCCCCCTGGATGATAGAAATGGGAAAACAATCAAGTGATTTTTTTGAGAAAATTGTAGACGATACAGGTCTTAAAGTATATTGTTTGAAAACTATGGAACAATATGCAAAAGAACACAATACAACAGAAGTACCAAATAAAAAATATTTTTCTGCTTCTACATTACCGGAAATAATAAAAACATACCCTATGCAAAAGAAATTTTCAAAATCAGACATAGATGAAGGTAGAAAAATTTAAATTTCAAAATACTTTTTTTATAATTTATAGAATTAGCTTTGCGTATAATTTTAATCGATTTTTTAACAGGTTTATTAAATATCAATCCTTTAGAACGCTGGTCGCCTCAACAAGCTAAAATGCATCCATTTATATTAGGAAAGGAGTTTTCTAGAAATTATACCCCTTCTGTTAATTTAAAATCTCCTACAAAAAATTCTCAACAACAAAACTATTTAAACCTTTTTTAAAATCATACAAATTCTTTTTCTCTAAATCGACATATCCTCTCAGTAACAAAAATTCAAAAAATATTTTATTTATTGTTTCATTTTCTTTAAAGATATTTTGATAATGTCTATATATATTTTAAATCTTTTTTATCAAATCAAAACCAAAAACTTTTTTATAAGATTTATATAACTCAATTAATAATAACTTTGAATTCTTTCTTTTAAAGAATTTTAGCCATATTTTTTAACTGGAAATATATACAAGTTTTTTATATTTATAATTTTTAAAACATTTTTCATAAGACAATTTTCTCTTTAAACTAAATCTTGAGATAAAACGAACGACCATCAACTTAAAAAAAAAGATTAGACATGTCAAGATTTTATAAAGGAGGATCAAGTAATTCAGATTCAAGCAGTTCGTCAGACAATGAAAATATTTATTCATCAGGTTCTGGATTGGATTCAGATGATCAAGGCGGAAGAGATGACCGTTCATCATCAGACAAAGAAATTCAAAAAAAGAGAAGAACAGGATTCCAGTTTTTAAAAGGAGAAGATGCAGAAGATAGTGAAGAAGAGGATTCAAAGCGTGTTGTTAAAAGTGCGAAAGATAAACGTACAGAAGAGTTTAAAACATCTTTGAGAAATATTGAAAATGCGCAAAAAATCAATGACTGGGTAACAATTTCATCAGGTAAAAGGAATTTTTAAATAAGAATAAGTCTTTATGTTTTTTTTAGAGTTTGAGAAAATCAACAAGTTGATTGAGCGGTTAAAAGTCTTAGGAAAACCTCCTCGACTTTATATACGTGCAATTGTGAACTTAGATAGTTTTTTGAATGAAACAATTAAAAAAGAAAAAGAGGTTAAAAAAAAGATGAATTCCACAAATGCACGTGCTCTTAATTCAGTAAAGCAACGTATTAGAAAAAGTAATAAATTGTATGAGGGAGAAATCAAACAATTTCTTCAAAATCCAAAAGATAATTTGGACGAGTTTGTAGAACAAGAAACTTTGCTTATTGATGAGGAATTTGTGAAGGATGATGTTGTTAAAAATAAGGACATTCAGGAATCTAAAGATGGGTTTTCAACGATTGGGAAAAGTAATCGTTCTTTACAGTTTACAACAGAAAGTATTCTTAAACATTTAAGAACAGTTTCGGATTCCAGAGGAAAAAAAAATACGGATCATGCAGAGCAGATTAGAATTCTTGAGAAATTGCTCGAAATTTCCGTTACACCATATCATAAGATTCGTGTACTTTTAGCAATGATTTCTTCAAAATTCGATTATAGTTTTGGAACAGCATCTTATATGTCTATTGATCATTGGAAATCAGCAGAAGGAGATCTTAGGAGTTTGCTTGAGCTTTTAGAAAATGATTTTTCCTATGTAGTTTTAGAAGATGCAGAAGAATATGATGATGATGTCGTTCCAATTGCCAAAAGTGGTGAAGTTATTAAGATTCGTGGTAGTATTGTTTCTTTTGTTGATAAGCTTGATGACGAACTTATTCGATCATTACAAAATATAGATCCGCATACTACAGATTATATTGATAGATTGAAAGATGAAACAGAACTATATTCTATTATTTATAGGACACAGTTATATCTTGAACGAATCAATGCAGGTGATAGTATTAGTCGAATTATTATGAGGAGATTAGAACATATTTATTATAAACCAGAGCAAGTCATAAATATTCTTGAAGAAACAACATGGAAAACGATTCAAAAATCTATTAGTTCAAAAATTACACCGTATTCTGAAAAGCCAGATGCGGCAGCTCTTATACATAATCTTTGTCTTTATCTTTACAAAAACGGTACTAGTTTACCTAGAACTAGAGCCATGTTGCATCATATTTATCATCATGCATTGCATGATAAATTTTATAAAGCTCGGGATATGTTATTTATGTCACATCTCCAAGATAATATCTTTACAGCAGATATTGTCACTCAAATTTTATATAATAGAACTATGGTTCAGATTGGTCTATCAGCTTTTAGAATAGGTATGATTTCAGAAGCACATTCTGCTCTTCATGAAATATGTGGTACTGGAAGAATGAAAGAACTGCTTGCACAAGGACTACAAATACAAAGATATAATCAGGTTTCACCAGAACAAGAACGTCTTGAACGTCAACGCCAATTTCCCTTTCATATGCACATTAATTTGGAATTATTGGAATGCGTATATCTAACTTGCTCTATGTTATTGGAAATTCCTTCAATTGCTTCTTCAGGATTTTCTTTGGACACAAAAAAAGTCATCAGTAGATCTTTCCGACGTATGCTTGATTACAATGAAAGACAATTATTTACAGGACCACCTGAAAATTCTCGTGATTGTATTATGCAAGCATCTCGTGCACTTGCTACAGGAGATTGGAAAAAATGTTGCGAACTTATCAAATCTATTAAAATTTGGGATCTTATGCCTGAATCTCAAAAAATTAAAGATATTTTAACAACTAAAATTCAAGAAGAAGCAGTGCGAACATATTTATTTACATATTCTCCATTTTATGAAACCATTTCAATTCCAAGATTATCAGAAATGTTTGATCTTCCTAAAAGCAATATTACAGCACTTGTTTCAAAGATGATTTCACATGAAGAAATTTCAGCAGCTTTAGATCAAATTCATAATGCAATTATTATCCGAAAAGTAGAATTATCTCGTCTTCAGGGTTTAGCTTTAGTTTTAATTGATAAAATTCAAACTTTTATAGATCAAAATGAAAAATTATTAGAACAAAAGTCAATGACAATAGGAAATGAAGTTTCAAAAAAACAAAACTTAAAAGGAAACATTCAAACTCAAACAAATAAGGATAAATCCACTGGACATGTTAAAACTAATCGCAACCTTCGAAATGATTTTAAAAATGGACTCGGTCGAGTCATTAAATCTACAACATAAAATTCTTTTCATAATATTTCTATCTATTTAAACATCACGTTTTTGATCCTTCTGAACAAGTTGCCCAATTATATTTCCAGATCTCTACTGGTGGTGTTTCTGTCGGTATACGCATTTCTACTGGAAAATAATATTTCTTTTTTTTCATGGCTGCCTTAAATAATCTCTTATCTGTTCTTTCTAGTTCGATACATGCTCTTTTCATCTTGTTATATTGCTTTTCAAGTTGTTTATCAAGTTCCTCTCTCTTTATTCGTTTATGAATTTGCCAAGCTCGATGAATTACTTCATGTCTTTCAAGTTCTTCCTCAGAAAATTCAATAGGCGGACAAACTGGAGACTCATAAAGAATTCTAAGAAGAAGATCTAGAGAAATTTAATAAAATGTTATTAATTTTATAAAACAACCTGTTTTTGAATCAATTGTCTTCTGTATGGACGAATTATGTCGTAAAAAAGCCGTTTTTTTCAAAGAAAAACAATAGAAAGGTCTAAAAACTCGTCTAAAGCATAACATAATTTCAGTTTCTTAAATTCTCTACTAAAAAATCTTCAAATTTTTATTTTTTCATTTTTTTTATCATTAAACTTGAGAAAAAATCTTCGAGACAACAAAAAAAAATGCCACCAAAGTTAGGCAAGAAATCTCTCTATATCCTCATTATTCTACGAAAAGCTAACTACTTATATAGACATTAATAAATCTGGCTGGGAAAGTGCAGAATTTCCAGCAATTTGTGAATCATGTCTTGGTATTTTTTTAAAATTTTAAAAAAGATAAATTTTACATATTTTAAGGGCCAAATCCATATGTTCGGATGACTAAGAGGGAATATGGAAAAGAATGCAAGATATGTACACGCCCTTTTACAGTATTTTCATGGCATCCTGGAAAAGAATCAAGATATAAAAAAACAGAGGTAATTTTTCATTTTTTTGAAATATTTGGATAATAATTGAAAAAGATATGTTTAACATGTTCTCGTATAAAGAATTGTTGTCAGGTATTATTATTTTATAAACGAAATTTAGAATAATATTCTTAGAATTGTCTATTAGACCTTCAATTTGGTTTGTAAGTTATACTTTTATATATAAGGCAATTTCAAGTCTTATTTTCTATAGACCTATCCAGGTTCGTGATGCTGCTCTCAAGCTTGTTAATCAAGGTCCTCAAAGTGATATAAATCGGGAATACTATGGTGCATTTTAATTTTTATATAATACTTGTTTTCTTATTAGATATAGCACAAAATAATGAAGGAAAGTGGAAAGATGGAAATACCCCATGTGAATTTGGGAAAGTAGATTCAGCAGCTCGTGAGCTTCTTAAAAAACTAGCCCGAAGTGAGCCATATTATAAAAAACAGATTCACATGGCAAAAAATCCAGAGCTTTCCAACATATCTAATCATTCAACGGATTCTTCTGCGCCTGTATTTGGAAGAAGCATTTCTCATATTACGAGTAATCAATTAGTTCCCCCTCAAGACAAAAAAATTGTAAGTTTATTTATTTGCATAAACTATTCTAATCTTTAAAAGACATCACTTTTTATTATAGGAATAGAAGATGACCTTCCAGAACATGCAATACGTGTCTATTTTGAAAAGTATGGTCCTATAAAGTCTCTTGTTTGCAGTCATCGTTCTAGATGTGCTTTTGTTAATTTTACTACTCGTGTAGCAGCAGAAACAGCAGCAAAAGCATGTCGTAATGGAGATATTCTTATTAATGGTTGTCCCTTAAAAGTTCAATGGGGCAGGCCTCGTCCACTTGGAGGGTATAATCAGGAACAACAAAATGCAAAAATGTCACGATTTGTTATGAGTCAATCACAGTTTGCAACTCAAAATCCTGGAGAAGAAAGTCATGCAACATCCGAAATCAAAAAACCAGAAGATACTGTTTTAGAGCTTCCTCCTGGACAAGATGGGGATATAGCTTATCAATCAATGCACCCATATTATCAAACATAATAAACTTAATTATAGAAAATTAGGTTTCGTTTACTATATAGATCAAATTTATTATGCAAAACAGTTCATTTTTTACTTAAAAATATCATGACTATTCAACTTAAAAAAATACAAATTCTTCAAAAAATATCAAACTAAAAGGAACCATGTATTCGAAAACTATTAGATCTAATGCTTATTTTTGTTTTTCTTTTATTTTGGAACTGGAACGTTCTGTATCATCATGAATTCTTAAAGCTACAATAATTCAAAAAAAAAAAAAAAAGACAAGTGATTATACAATAATGACCAGAGGAATTCAGGCGTCCTTGAACAATGTTCTTCCTAAGGATAGATGCAATATCATTTGCATGCTTCACTTTTTTTTGAATTTCTTCTTCATTTAAATTTTTCTCTTTATCATGGTAAAATGTATTGCGAATTTGCTTTTTAGAAGCCTCTAAAAGTTGCAAGTCATCTTAAGTAATTTAATTCAATATGAAGATGTCATTTTTTATATATTAAAACCTTTAAAAGTAACATTTATTGCTCGTAAAAGATTTCTATAGGAAGACAAAACTTGTAAATAAGTCATTGTCGATCGGATGGCTTCGGATGAGAAAAAATATATGAAATAGATGATAAAAAGGCTTTTTTTTGCAAGAATATTTTATATTTATTAATAAAGATAGAATAATTTCATAGATATAAAAAAATAGTAAAAATAAAAATTAATAAAATCATCGTTAAATATATTTATAGCCCTAATATTAACGTTTATTTTAACGATAAAGTGTCTTTTTAGCAGCACTGACTACGACATCTGCATTAGGAATTGAAAGGGCTTCTAAAGGTGGTGTATAAGGCATAGGTACATCAGCACCTGTTACTCTTTCCACAGGCTAATAAAATGTTACAAATAACAAAAAATATAATCAAATATTAGTTCTTACTGCGTCTAAATAATCAAAAGCATCACTTTCCATAATTCTTGCTACAATTTCGCTTGAAACGCCAAAATCAGGAAACGTACCATCAACTGTTACACATCTATTTGTCTTTTTAATGCTTTCTACAATACAAGGAATGTCTAAAGGACGAATACTATGTATTATAAATAATTTATATTGCTAGTAATGAAAAATAGAAAAATACCTTCTTAAATTAATGACTTCAGCTTGAATACCTTCTTTTTCTAATTTTTCAGCAGCTTCTAAACAAACCCTAACGTAAATTGAATAGGAAACCAATGTGACATCTTTTCCAACTCTTTCAATCTTGGCTTTTCCTATAGGAATCAAAAAATCTTTATTTTGTGCTTCTGGTGAAAGTAAAAATGTAGCTCCATACATAATTTCATTTTCAAGAACAACAACAGGATTTGGATCCCTAATTGCTGCCTATTTAATGTGAGTAGCCTTTAAAATAATTATAAATGTGTACTTTCAATAACCCTTTCGCATCTTCTGAAGAATATGGACTAAGAACTTTTAACCCCGGTATTGATCCATACCACGGTGAAAAATCTTGAGAATGCTGTGCAGCAACAGCAGATGCAGCACCTAATGTACATTATAATAAGAAAATTAAATAAATTATTAACCATTAGGCCCTCTAAATGTAATATTGCATGGTTGAACACCACCCGACATATAATATGTTTTAGCAGCAGAGTTTACAACATGATCAATAGCCTTAAATTAGAAAAAACTTTAATTTAATAAAAAAATTACTTGCAAAGAAAAATTAAATGTCTTGATACTATTAAATTTATATAAAAAAAAAATATACAAACCATAAATTCACATATAGGAATTAAACCTACAAGAGCAGAACCCACACAAAGCCCTGCAAATCCTGACTCAGAAATAGGTGCATCAATCACTCTTTTAGGTCCAAATTTACTAAGTAATCCTTTAGAAACCTAATATTAAAAAAATAATTAATTATTCAATTATATAAATAAAAAAACCTTATAAGCACCATCATATTGCGCAACTTCTTCACCAAGAAGAAATACTCTTTCATCTCTTTCCATTTCTTCAGCCATTGCTTGATTTAACGCATCCCGTACAGTTATCTTATTAAAGTCAATAATCTCACTTTTTTAAAGAAAAAAGAACCTCTAACGGTTTAGTAGACGTAGAGTAATATCCAAATGATAGTTTTTTAAATGTTTCTAGTTTGAATCCTTTGTAGATAACTGGATTTCTTAAATTAAAAAATGTTGAAAGAAATCTTATATTTCTCTTTAAATAAAGCATTTTTTCCTTAATAAATTATTGAAGAATTTCCTTGTATATCTTAAAATAAAAAGAATATATATAGTTATTAATCCCTTTATCCTGAATATTTTAATTTCAATAAGATTTTTAAAAATGCCGAAAATCAAATAAAAAATTGATAACCTATAAAAAATATATATAATAAAGATAAATCATAGATAAACCCTATTTATAAATAAAATTCTATATAATTGAATAATTTTTGCTTGAAAATATTTTATGGTTTATCTTAATTTTGAATTAAGTGAAAAGGAACATTTCGACCACTAAGAATATTTATAAGATCTTTAATATTAAACCACCAAGAAGTCTTAGGACAACGTTTTTCCATATCTGTTTCATGTTGGAGAACCTCTATAGGGGTTGTAACTACTTTAGAAGATCGAATACCTATGACGGCAGCAGAAGAAGGATCATTATGCATATTAGTATAACACATTTTTTCTATGAATTGAACACATTTAATTGCTAAACGAGTAGAACGAACACGATCCATAGGTGATGGTACATTTCCTTGCTGAACATGACCAGGAATAGCAGTGCGTACGTCAAATCGATGATCTGCTTCGGCCACAATAATTGAAGATATCATATCTGTTGTATAGATATTTGAAGATTTTTCATTTCTTAATGTAAAGTTAGTAATGATTAAAAATTATATAAAAACAATAAAGAAACCTTAATATTAATTTACCCCTTCTATTACCACCTTTTTGAAGTTCAAAATATTTCCTTAAATATTTAACATCTTCTGTTAAAATTTTCAAATTAATTCCATCTTCAGGGCTATATACAACAAGTGAACCAACTGTAAGACCTGCAAGCACAGTAATATATCCACAACAACCACCCTATTATTGATTAAAAATAATAAGCAATAAAATGAAATATATACTTGAGTTTCAACGACAAAAACTCTATTATGACTAGCATTTGCACTTTGTTTAACAGCATCACAATAATCTATAAGAGTATTAAGACATGTATCAGTTCCTAAAGAAAAGTCAGTTCCTGGAACATTATTACTAATTGTTGCAGGAAGACAAATCATAGGAATTCGAAATGCAGGATAACTAACTCTTGCCTTATATAATTGTAAAAGTGATAAAAAGGCTTCGAATCCACCAACAATCATTAATGCATTAAAATTGTATTTTTGAAACATTAAGGCTGTCATGCCTATATCAGTATTTGGAAGATCTCTATTAGTACCAATTTCACTTCCTCCACGAGTAATCCAATCTTCAACTTCCATCCAAGATAATTCTTTCACTATGTCATTTGAGACTAAACCTTGAAAACCGTTATAAATTGCAAGAGGTACATGACCTCTATTTAAACAATATCTTACAAAAGATCGTGTAGCTATGTTCATTCCTCCAGCAGGTGCACCTACATGAATTATAGCAATTCTTAAATTCTATAGCAATATGAATAATAATAATAATAATATAAATTCATTAATACCTCTCTCGAAAATAATATTAATGAATCATTGTCAAGTTTTGGTGGTTTTTGAAAAACAGTCATATATAAATAAGTCTGATAATAATCTGAAAAATCTATATTTCTTAGTTGCATTGCTTTTTTAAAATCTTTTTTCTGAATTGCTTCTGCAGAACTATGTGTCTAACACTATTAAGAACAAAACTAATAAATATAGGATTATTACAAGTTCTACAGATTCGGAAAGACACTTCCTAGTAATCTTATTTTCATTAATAGCAATTATCTGACTTGGTGAATCAGAAGTTGATTCTAGAATTGCATGTACAGCTTCTACGCCTTGAAGAGTACCCAAAAGACGATCATAGAAACACGGAACTCCTCCTCGTTGAATATGACCCAAAGTTGTTACTCTAGTATCTAAATTGAGCTTTTCAACTAATAGTTCTTTTAAATAAGTAGCAGTAATAGGATTCAAATCTTTATCTATAGCACCTTCTGCCACAATTATTACCGTCTTCCTTTTTCCCATTTCTCTTTGCTAATAAAATAAGAAAAAAATATATGATTATTTGTAACATTACTTTTTTTATTGTTTTGCAGATTTCAGACTGCCAATCATCTTCAAGAGGAGGACTTTCTGGAATAAATACCAAATCTGCACCAGTACTTATGCCTGCCATTAAGGCAAGCCAACCACAATTACGGCCCATTACCTCAATTACAAATGCACGAGAATGCGATAAAGCTGTTGCACCAATGGAATCTACAGAATCGCAGATTCTATGTAATGAAGAATAAGCACCAATAGTCACATCAGTTGAAGCCATATCGTTATCTATAGATCCAACTAACCCAATAATATGAAGATTCATATGATTTTCCACTTGTTTACGAGTAAGAACATTAGTAGATATTAACTCTTCAATAAGTAATGGCCATTCAGAACGAAAAATATTAGCACCAGTTAATGAGCCATCCCCTCCACATATAATCAAAGAACTGATTTCATTAAGAATTAAATTCTTTACAGCAGAAAGTCTTCCTTCTTTTTCTTTAAATGAGATACATCTAGAAGTTCCTATAAGAGTTCCACCTTCTGATAACCAGCCTCGAACATCAGACCAAAAAGCTCTTTTAATCATATTTCCTCCTTCTACCAAACCTAATTTTTTTTATTAAGGAAAATTAAATTAAAAAACTCAATAATGCCTTTATATCCTTCATAAATAAAATATGCTTCACAATTCATTGCTATTATCATTCTAACAATTGAACGAACAGCAGCATTCATTCCAGGAGCATCTCCACCGCTTGTCATGACAGCTATTTTCCTTCTTTTAGAAACATTTTCTTTCTTATCTAAATTATTCAATGAAATTTCTCTTTGAGGATCTAAAAAAGCTGATTTCTCCTGACTATGTGAAAAAGATGAAATTTTTTCTGTAAAACTGATAAAATTTCCTAAAGGATCTTTTACTGTAACCTGTAATGGGAATGTTTGATTAGGATACAAATCATATGGAACATTGATTTCATCCAATCTGGAAATAATCGTCTAAATAATAATAAATACGAATTATATGATAATTTTATCTCAGTCATACTGTTAAACTTGCCACAATAAGTGTATAAGACAGATCCGAATTTTCTTTTTGACAACTGTCTGTTAATTTTGTAGATTTCTTACTAATATCATTATGATAAAAGTGGATTTTAATTGTTAATTCTTTTTCTTTTCCTCCCAAAATATACAACCATATTTCTCTATCACTTTTAAACGAAAAATCTATCAAAGATCTGCTTATATGTTCTTCTTTACGATCATAATGGAATATTTCTTTAAATCCAATTTTACAATAAAATTCAATTGCTTTATAATAAGATTCTAATGAATATGTAATAAAAGAAATAGATGATAACCCATCTATAAGAGAAAATTCCTCATCATTAGACATATATAGAAGTAGAAGAGCTAAAAATATATTATTTTATATCAATAGAGACCTTTAATAATACATATATAAACTTTTTTATGATTTTATATCAAAAAATAAGGTGATCTTGTTTCGATCTAAAGAAAAAGAATAAAAATATATACATAAGAGATAAAGAATATTTATGATTTACAAATTCCTACTTTATATATCGGAAGTTATTTTAAATGACTATTATTTGATGAATTAGTATTATAAAAATAAGCTATAAATTGAAAAACATTAATTAAAGATCTAGAAAAAGAGACTAAAATAAATAATAATTTGTTATAGATTGAAATAAAGAGATTTTTAAAAATGTAAATTGTAAATATAAGAGTATGTTCTAAAATAATGATTTTTTTGATTGAAAAAATATCATATATTGATTTGATATTAAATGATTATAAAGTTCGAGATGAATAACGTTTGAGATCTAATAAAGGTATATCATATTTCATTTTCCGATTTTTTTTAGATTTTGGTTTAGGTGCTAAAGATAAGATGAAATAAAACTCAAAAATAAAATTCACCTTTTTTATTTTCTTGTAAATAAAATCTTCTTAGAAGTAATATTGCATCTTCTCTATAATACCCTAGAAAAACTGGATAAATAGGATCTATTCCCTCACTGATTCAATTATTATTTATTTATTATATTTTTATTCTTTTACTCATCATGTAATCTAAAAATACTACCAGTACCTCCAAATCTTTCATTTGCACACCCAAAATGAACTGATTTAATATGTAATTGCCTCAATGCTGATGCACACATAATGCACGGTTCTACTGTAACATAAAGATTCACTTCTTCAAAAATTTTACTTGGATAATTTTCTAAAATTTTATTAATAGCAACCATTTCACAATGAAAAGTCCCCTTTAAAGCATTAAAAAGAATAAACTCGAACGCATTTTCTAATACATTTAAACTTTCATTTGTATTATTCATTTCTTTAGCAATGATCTTATTTTTATAAACAAAAACACAGCCAATTGGAGTTTCATTATTCTTTAAAGCCAATTCAGCCTTTTAAGATAATGTTAAATGTATTTAATGGGTATTTAAGAGATTTCAAACCATATTTAAGGCTTCTTTCATGAATTCCTTATGATTCATTTCATTTAATTTTTTTTAAGGTTGACGAGACCTTCAAAAAAAGTTAATAGAAAAAAAGGATTTTAATAGATAAAAAAAGGAAAAAAAAAGAGGCTAACTGTAGATTTATTAAATAAATGTCAATATAGGATTTATTTTCCTTTTTTTCCGGTTCAAAAATACCTATTTTTGATGAATTTTCTTAAAGAAGCAAAGTTTCAACTTTCTCAAATTAATAAATTGAATGGACATTTAAATGCCTTTATTAATTTGAATAAAAAAAGTTACATTTTTGAAAAACTTAATGAGTCTTATAAGCGTTATTCAGAAGGTTTTTTTTTCTGTCTTTTTATATTATATTCAACATATTTTATAAAGGACGACTTCTTTCTCCTTTAGATGGTAGATTAGTTGCTATTAAAGACAATATTTGTACTAGAGATTTATATACTACATGTTCTTCATATATATTGAAGGGTGATTTTACTGTTTTTTATTTTTAATGATTTACTTTAAGAAGACTATATTTCCCCATATGAAGCGACAGTTATAACAAAATTAAAAGAAGCAGGGGCAATTATTGCAGGCAAAACAAATATGGATGAATTCGGGATAGGGTTTTTTGATAATATACATCTATATTTATATAATTCTTAAAAATTTAGATTTTCTACTACTAATCTACTTTTTGGTTCAACATTAAATCCAATAGATTTAAAAGTTCCACGGTCTTCTGGTGGCAGTTCTGGAGGAAGTGCAGCAGCTGTTTCTGCTGATATGTGTTATATGTAAATAAATTTCTTTATTATAAAAACTTATTTTTAGTTCTTTAGGGACAGACACTGGTGGTTCTGTTAGGCATCCAGCATCATATTGCAATTGTATTGGATTTAAACCATCATATGGTCTTATATCAAGGTGGGGTGTGGTGGCCTATTCAAATTCATTAGATACAGTAGGCATTTTTGGTAAAACTATTGAAAGAATAAGAGAAACATTTAGTAATTCTATTCAAATTTCAAGAAATATGTTCTAAGATTTTAAGATATTTTGAATGTTTACGATCCAAAAGATCCTACAAGTTTGCCTATTAATGAAAGGTTAAAGATAAAACAGTTTAATAAAAATAAACGAATAACTATTGGAATACCATTGGTTTATACTCTTTATTTTAATCTATATATTTATACTAATATTATAGGACTTTAATATTTCAGAAATTTCTCAAAATTTAAGGGATATATGGAAAAAAGCTATTAAATATTTAGAATTTAAAGGATTCAATACGACAACTGTAAGATTGCCAAATATAAAATATTCGCCTATGGTTTATAATATTATTACATCTGTAGAGGCATCATCAAATCTTGCAAAGTATAATGGACTGGTTTATGGACATTCAGCCAATACAGATATAAATGAAAATATATTTCAAAAAACAAGGGATGAGGGATTTGGAGACAAAGTTAAACAAAAAATTTTAATAGGAACATATTTTTCGTTCGTATATATTTTTCTTTTCTTATATTAATTATAAAAGAATACATAACAATTACTTCGAAAGAGCTCAAAAAATTCGTCGGCTCATACAAAATGATTTTAACAATGTTTTCAATTCTTTTAAAAAATATTCAAAAACTACACAAGAAAATAAGGTGGATATATTAATAACTCCATCAACAATTGGTTCGGCGCCACTCATTGAAAATGTAGTTGAAGAAATATCTTTATTACATTTATATCTGTCTGATTTCTTTACTATTTCAGCAAATTTATCAGGTAAGATATATATTTATAGGTAATAATATATTTATTTAAACAGGTATACCTGCAATAAGTATACCATTTTCCTATGATCAAGACGGATTACCTATAGGCATACAATTAATGGCCCAATATGGCTGCGATAATTTATTACTTGATGTAGCAGAAATATTGGAACAGAAATCTTTATAATGGATTAAAATTATTAAATAGGCTTAATTAAAAACCAAAACTTGTTTTCTTTCTTTATTTTCTAATGCATTTTTAAATGTTTTCATGTATATTAAATCTTGCAATGATTTATCAAGATATACTTTATCACATAATAAATCTTTAAAAGACTTATTTTTTATATATGTAAGGATGTTGTTTAGAATTTTTAATCTTTTCTCTGGATAAGTTCTATTATATTTTGTTATCCAAAATCCATGTAAATGAACATTTTTAAAAATTAATATACCAGAAGACATAAGAAGCGGTTGTCGTGACATTGCTCCATATGTAACTATATGCCCATTTGGCCTTAAAAATTAAATAATAATCTATAACGTTTTGAAAGAATTCTTACTTTATATATCGTGCTAAATCCAAAATTGATTTTCCTCCAACACAATTCAATCCTAAAGGTATTCCAGATTCTCCACAACATTTTTTAACCAATTCCTCCATAAATTCTTTATTTGCTAATTCTATATCTGTTATAACATGTGTAGCACCAAGATCATATAAAAATGATTTTAATTTATCAATATTAGATCTATTTCTTATAATATTAATACTATTTAATCCCCAAATACGACCAAATTGAATAGCTGCTTGACCAACATGACTATTTGCTCCATTTTGAATAAAATAATCCCCTGGTTTAAGCTTATAGAAATTTTTCAGCAAACAATACGCTGTACATGGATTAACAGATAATGTAGCCGCCTGTATAGCAGTAACGTCATCAATATCCAAAAATAATAAATCATTTGGATCTGCAATTGCATGTGTTCGCCATGTCCCTATATAATTAACCTTAATTCTACTTATCAGATAAAATAAGAACCAAATCCTGGGTTTTTCATAATAGCTCGTTTTCCAGGCTTAAATTCCGACTTTTTATCCATATTTTCAATAATTTCTACGACACCTTCATTTCCTGCAACTGAACAGGGAAAATCTGTCCCAAGATCTTTTGTAAAACTTGGTTTTTCTGGATAAACTCCTTCTATTTGGTTAATATCTGAAGGATTGATTGGAGACGCCAAAAATTTTACAAGGATTGGCTTTAAAGGGTTTGTTTCAATATTATAGTTATGTAATCTAAATTTTTCAATAAAAATGACTTATAGATTCTATTTTTTACTGCAAAACTTCTGATGGATTTCCATAATTTGAAAATACTATTGCTTTCCCTGAAATATTCCTACTTTGAAAATTCAAGAAATATTTTGTAAGTGGCCTTAAAAGCATTTCCTTATTGATATTCATATTAAAAAGAATTCTTTTTAATTGAAAGACTTTTAAAAACATTTTATTCAAAAAATTGAGATTATGAGATAACTGCCGTTGCTATAATACAAAATTTCCAGTTTTATAAAGCTTAAAATTCAACTTTTTAAGACTTTTAAATCTATGAATAAAATAAAAAGATTTAATATAAACTGTTTTAAAAAATAATTTTAAATATTCAATTTTTAAAGTTAAATTCATTAATAGGACTATTCTCTATTAATGAGAGTCATTAATCCCTTTATAGTTGTAAGAATTCTGATTTTGTCCAATTTCTTGTAATAAACATACCATTCCTCCAATAATACAGTATTTAAGCTTTGGAAAATCATTCAATGCCAATGTAATCCAACCTAAATAAGGAACAAAACCTTTAACAACACCAATAATATCTTCTCTATCAATATACATCTGATTATGCGAATATAGTTGAATATCATCATATCTATTATTATCGCCTTTTGTTAAAACTTTTTGAAACATTTCTCCATGTCGTTCTTGAATAACTCTATGAACAATTGGAATATCCCTCTTATTTATTCTGTAAACAACAATATCACCAATATTTACCCGTTTCTGACGGTTGTCAAGAAGAAGAATATCTCCTCTCTGAAAAGCAGGTTCCATGGATCCAGATAAAACAACCACAATGGGACTTTCACAATTTGTAATATTATTTAATCAGTAATCAGCATATTTACTTATTCTATACATACAACTGAAAGGCCTTTCCATAACATATAAGCTGTAGAACTAGCAAAAGTTAAAATTTTTTATAAAATTCTTCAAAAAAACTAATATGACCAACCCTATAAGACACAAATTCAAAATCTGAGACAATATTTGACGCAAACCAGTATTCCTAAGTCTAGATAACATTCTTAAAATAATTTAATTGTTATTAAAGGCCTTTAAAGTAGTATAAATAAAATTTTAAGCCGTAAAAATAATATGTAAAATATTAAAACTATATATGTATCTACATTTTTTTATAATATATATTAATGATTAAAAATGATTAGAAGAAAGTTATGATTTAGAAATATAAGAAAAATACTAAGGGCTTGTTGGTACATGAGGATTATATAGTTCACCTAAATCTTTTTCTATAAATAATTAATAAATAAAGAAATTAAATAGATACCATCATCTATTAAATCTAAAGGATTTGAAGATAATTTTGTTATATTAGAATCATAAGAATCAGGTGACTGAAATGTTTTTTTGGAATCCATAGAATCGGTTAAATTATTATTAAAATGATGAAAAGCTTTTTTAAAACCAACTTTTTTAAAAGTAGAATCTTTATTAGATGGAAGTTTTAGTGGTTGTATATTAAGATCCATATTTTTATGCCATTGATTTTCAATAAATGGCTTTATTTCTGTATCTTTTTTTTTATGGCCTTGTTTACGAAGTTTTTCAAAATTAGATGATACTTTTTGCATTTCCTTCATCTCTCTAAACCTCTATAACCAAACATATTACGGAAAATCATAGTAATATTCTTCTATCATGCCTTTTTGTGATTGTGTTCATAACTACTTAAATGATTTTCATATTCAGAAATTCGTTGATAACCCTTATCACAAAGCTCACAAAAAAATGATTGCAGGGCTTCTCTTGCTGATGCTGTCTAATTAAAATAAATCATATCTTAACTATTAATAGTTAAAAAATATACTTTAGCTGTCGGATTAGGAAGAGAACGACTAGGTCTCTCCTAAAAAAATATATAAGCAAATCTTATTACGTATAATCATCCAAAATCTATAAATACTTCTCTAAATTGTGTCATAAGAAAAAGATATTTTTTTCTAAGTTTTTTCGAATATATTTGTTTTTCAACTTAGCGTTTTTAAAAAAGATGAAAATTCCTATTAAAAAAAATAAAAAAATATCAATATTTTATGCAGTCTTTATTGTAATATAAGCTATGTTTTTTCCAGAAGAATAATTGTATTGAAAAATATAATTTATTTATTTTATCCACAAATTTTTGACAATCTTTCATATAATGTATCATTCATTTCTTGTTCAGAAATTCTATTAGAAGGCGTTGCATTAAGCAAATCTTGTGATAATTCAAGCCCAGCTTCGTCTGCAACTTTCTGTAATAATAAATCAACTTCATCTTGAGGTGCAGATGTAGCAGTTGAAGTTGCAATTGCCTTAAATAAATTAGAAAAAAATAAAAGAGATGTATCCTACGTTTTCCATATAACTTGATTGTACATCAAGATCTTCAAATTGGGATTCAAATTTATCCATTACTATAGCAATCTAAAAAATATTTATTGTTTAAAAATAAACAAATGCTAATCATACTTGCTCAAGATTCATTGAATTTATCGCTTTATCCATTCCCTTGACAATATTTGTTAGATTCCCTGTTATCTAAATATTTTATTAGAAAAAATATAAAAACAAATAATAAAACATTTTTCATAGTAATAGCTGTATGTACTCTTCTTGAAACTGAATCAATCTTTGTGGATAAATTAAGCAAATTAAGTGCTTCTGCTCGTTTTTTTATGGCACTTGATGCATAAATTTTTGCAACATCATAGTTTCCTGCTTGTATAGCCTAGAATGTCATTAGAAACAGAACCTTAATATTTAAACTGTGTGAAATAAAAGAAAAAATCCGAGAAAATAAAAAAAGGCTTCCATACTTTTTTTATATTAAGTTTTTCAGCTTGTTCATCACGAGAAGCTTTTTGTGATTGACGTTTAAGACTTTTTGCCATAAACTAACTCATTAATATTAATTATTTTGACTTAAAAGAATATATACTTTTAGTTGAAATAGAGATTCTATAATTCATAAGAAAAATCAAAAAAAAGGCTTCTTACGTTCTAAATTCATTATTAACTTTAAAAATTGACTAAAATAAGATCAAATAATAATTTAAATGCGAGCTTTTAATAAAATATCTTATTAAATATTAAATGGCTTTTAAAAAATTCTTAAGTGTTTTTATTATTTTAAAGATAAGTAATCTTTTTTTTTTAAAAAAGTAATAATATTAAAAATAATATTTAAATATTAAAAAATAAAATTATAAATTTTCGATATAATATTGTATAATTAATTAAAGAAAACTATTGATTTATTTTTGTTCTTTTTTCAGAATGAAAGTTATTTTTTGTATCATCTTCAATTGTACGTTTGTTATTTGTGTTCAGTTGTGATTTTTGTGGACTTTCTTTTGTATTTTTAGGAGAATTATCAGAAATATCAATATTTTTATCAGATTCATCCTTAAAAAACTGATCTACTTGTGATATAGCTTCTATAGTTCGATCTGATAATTTATTAAATAAATGAAGTTTTGAATGCGATAAAATCCTTAATGCTTTCCATGATTTAATTGTATTTTTTTCAGAAATAATTGAATTTCTCTCATTTATAGGTATATTTTCAGTTTCAGAATCCTGTTGAGCTGGTTCTAATAAAGTTTTAATGTCAGGAAGCATATAACTAATATAAGTAAGAAAATGTAATGTTAATTTATGGATAATATATGCCGTTCTTGCTTTGCCATGTCTTCCATTGTATGTGTCCCTCCTTTTTCCCAAAGCCGAGAAAGAGCTAAATTTCCAAGAGGATATTTATAAGCTTTAAGAGTTTCAGACTCTTTTTCATATTTTACTTTAATATCATTGATATAAGTTTCAGAAACTGGAAATTCTTCAAACGCGTTACACCCTTGAAGTTTCCAATTAACCCAATTTTTTTCAAAAAATAGAATTGAACGAATGTTTTGTGAGAAACGTTGTCCATCTGGAATGGTCGAGTCTAATATAGTATAAACTTTAGAAAGAGTTTCGGTAATCCAGATTTCCTAGATTGAATATTAATTTTTTTTGAATATAAAGACTTAATTAATATACATCTTCTTGAGAAAGCAGATATGTTGTTTGTAATAAACGATTTGTAGTTATTTTTTCTTGTTTACTTTTTTCTGAATCTTTAAGAGTAAGTAAATAATCAAAAATAATTAAAAATTGTATAAGAATATGTTTTCTGAACTTAGAATCTGTCAGCTAGTTTTTTGTTAATTCATATATTCTCAATTAAAGTATATAAAACCTGTAATTTGAAAAGTTTATAACTAGTTAAGAATTTAGGAAAGAAATGCATTTCAAAATAATCATGAGTTTGTTGATATTTTAAAGATTCTGATTTTTTCTTTCGATCACCTTTTCGATTTTCAAATTTTATTTCATTAGTTTTGCGTTGTTCATCTTCTAATGATTTTATTTTATCCAAAACAATTGAACTGTTTAATTTGAATTCTTGCATCTCTTTAGGGTTATATAATAGTGAAGGATCAGAAAAAAATTTTTGCATAGACCAGAATATCGTATAAAATGTATCTATTCATAAATCATTAATATTTTTTTTAAAAGATAATATATAATAAGTTATATTTATACCTAATGGAATTTTTTCCTTCCTTTCATTATCAGAAGTATCTCTTTTTTTTTCCTTTTCGCTTAATTTATCATCTTTTTTTATTTCACTTTGCTGTTTTTGATTATCATGAAAAATATGATTTAAGTCATCCCAAACTGTAACATTTTCAACATGAAAATCCCCTCTGAGATTAAGACCACTTCTTTCTCTAAGAGGAAAAATATATGATAAAAACATTGATATATTTCCCGAGAATAAAGAATTTTTTGTCTTTGATAATCGTCTCAAAAGTTCATTACAAAGTCTCAATAATACAAGTCCTTTCCCTTTTGTTCCATTAATACCATTCTATATTAATTAAAACTTATATAAACTAGATATAAAACCCTTTATTCACCTCAATTAAAGAGGAAATTCGAGAATTCAGAAAATCGAAAAGCTTGTTACATTCAGCAACCGTTTGCATATCCATCAAGTCTTCAATAAGAACAAAAGGCAACATATCATCAAGAATATCTTATATTATTCATAATAATCCAAAAACAATTGAAAAACAAACCATTTTGTTGTCCAATAATTGATATATCAAGTATTGAATAAAATTTTTCAAATTTTTCTTCTTGAAGCAAAGAAAAATCTCCCTAGTATTATTTAAAACACTATAAACCCCAAAAATATTCCTTTTTTTACCGCTATTTCATATAAAATCTCTTTTGCTGAGCATTCAAAAAACGATTTAAAATCTTCAGATCCATAAACATCCTGAGTTTCTTTCAAAATTCTTTTAATTATATCTTCTTTCAATTCTGAGCTATTCTCATCCAATTCCTTCTGTATTTTGTCAAATAATGGCTGTAAATCAGCCATTATCAAGAATTTCTAAAGGCTGATATTATAAATATACGTTGATCGAGCATTTTTCAACGTCCTTAATTTTTAATATTCAGAAAAAAAATAGATTTAAGGCTGATCTTTAGGTATCAAGGTCCTTAAACTCATAAAATATGACTAATTTTTCTAGAAAAAGGGAATATAGCTTTTTTTCCGGATTTAAAAACATGAATTCTATGATAAATGAAGGAAAATTATCAGAATGGTCAGTTAAGGAAGAATTTGATAGAGAAAAAGTCGAAGAAATCTACATTTATCTTGAGAAAATGCGTTTTAATGAAAAGATTTTGTTATATTTGGAAGAAAGTTGCTATTTGGAAAGGTTTTTTATAATGATATTAATGATTTAATATTAATATTTTTTAAAAAAGATATTTATGGAAATATATGAATGATGAATCAACAGACAATCATATTTATTCAATATGTATTCTTTCTGTTTATAAAAAGTCATCAGGAAAACCATGGGGTTTGAAATTTCATGAACAAAATGATAAATATTAATATTTTTAGATTTTATATCGGATAAACCAAGTTTTTTCTCTTTTTTTTTCAAACGTGTATTGGAACATGCTTTTTTAGATTCAAAAAAAGCGATATTGCGTACCTATTTATTATCATTTATTATAATATCGTTTCAACTTTTTGATAATGATGTTATACGAAAAGAATGTACATCTTTGATATCTATTGATATTTGGGCAAATTTATCATCGAAGGAGACAATAAAATCAAGGATTTCTATGCATCCTCATCTTCAAAAACAATGGAAAGCAAGTGTCAAGAAATTTAATAGTTCATGTGCTTTTTTTCTTCAATAGGTTATAAGATTAATATGAGTATAGATAATGAAACTCTCTTAAAAAAAAAGTTTTATAGGGATTGGTTATTTAATATTATTATTGATTTTATAAATCTTTTATATAATGTAAAAAATAATGGTAATATTTTTATTTTTTTTCTTTAATTTACACACTTTAGAACATCTTATCTATTGTGAAAAGGTTTTGGAGCTTTTAATTGATTTATTGAGCCAGCCTCTTAGTAGAAGATATCTTAATTTTCTTCTTAAAGATTTTCACTTTACAGCGCTAGTAAAAAAATCGCCTATGTACATGATCTCTGAAAAGTAATAAGAATTTGGTAATTCTACTTTTTGTTTAATTCATTTAGTTATGTTTTTAAAAGTCTTTTTTCAATTTTGGATGAATATATTTACATTGGATATGATGATCATAACAGCGTAGAACTTTCTTCAGAAAAAATAACAGAAATTCATTACAATAAAATAGCCAAATTACAAAGGATAGCTATGAAAGAATATAAAGAAAAATTGATTATTTTGGCTACATCAAATTATGCTACAATAGACACTGGAGATACTCTTATTGAACATCTTGAAGGTTTAGATGACAATGAATTTTATGAGTTATTTCAACATATTGGTTTGCGTTCGCAATATCCTAAAGAACTCCTTGTTCCAATTGACCGTGAATTTCTGACATTAGCGCTTATTGAATATTATAAAAGACGTAAATCCTTACAAGAAATTTTTGAAGATTTTCTAGTTATTCCTGACGAGGTAAAAAATATTTTATTTTTCTCTCTTGCTTATATAAAAGAAATCACTCTTTTCTTTAAAATTTCATTTTTATAAAAAATATAATGGAATTAGGTCTTTACCTTTATTAAAATTTAATTTGCAATATCTTAGTATAAATGATTTTATATATCGTTCTTTGCAATTTTACAGAGATAAAGTTTATGACGAAATACATAAAGATATTGAACAAGTTATAAGTAGATTGAAACCTAAAGTTCAATATCCAAGTTTTACTATTCGATTCCAGGGAAATTCTAATATGGCATTAATTATTAAACATCTTGCGTAATATTGGATTGTTATTCTTATTTTTTTATTAATTATCTTAGTATATTAGAAGTTTCTCCTCCAAAAGTCGGGGAAGAGAAACCAGGGTTTGTAAGGGCTGAGGTTAAATTAGAACTAGATAATATTACAGAAGAATTACGTCGCCAATGGGAATCTCTTCATCCGGGAGATATTGTTTATTTACTTTCAATAAAACCAATAGATGATCTGAAAGAAACACCTGAAATGAATGTAAGTTTTTCACTAAAGTCAGGATTGAGATATCTCCGTATTGCTCAGGTTGACCAAATTTTAAATTATGATGGTCGTCCTTTAAAAGTGGTTGAACAATTAGCACAAGAAGATGAATTTGAAATGGTTAAAACGGGTAGAAAGCGTATTCTACGGCTTTTCTTAGATACTCATAATTATAAAGTAATAAATTAGTTTTATATTATACTTCTAATTACAAAAGATTGATAATGATGGAGTTCTATATCATAATAAAGATGATGTCTATGCTAGTATTAATGTTATAGTTAGAAGGTCTCCAAAGGTTTTGTTTTTCTATTTTTATCATTAAAAATTGATTTTTTCAATAGGAAACTAATTTCAAACTTATATTGGAATCTTTAAAAAGTCTCACTCGAACATCTATTTCATTACCATCATGGTTTGAAGATATTTTTCTTGGTATGGCATTATTATTACTTAATTGATATTTAATCATATAAGGATTTGGTGATCCTTCTAGTGCCTTGTATTATAATCTAAATGCTCCTCTTAATCTTTTTTTTCCGGATACATTTTTCGATTGGAATCATCTTCTTGAATGTTTTCCAAATAAGGTTTAACTTTGTTTTATAAATATAAATATTTACTAAATAATTTAGAATATAAAACTTATTCCATCAGAGAAGTATAACTCAGCACCAAATCCTCCATACAGAATATATTCTGGAAGTATTCCCTCTTTAGAGAATTCTTGTGAATTAAACAATGGTTTGGAAAATAAAAGTGATAATGTATTATATGTAGAAACTTATAATTTTTTAAATCCTGGACCATATTTACAAAATAAAAAAAAGAATAATAAAATAAGATTTACGCCAAAACAAGGTTGTTATTTAATTCTAGCATTAAATCTAATTAACATTAATTTATTTTAGTTGAAGCTATATATTCTGGAACCAATCCTGGTTTAACTCTTATAAACGGCGCTCCTGGAACTGGTAAAGCAGATATTATTGCTCAAATTATTTGCAATATATATTACAATTTTCCAGATCAAAGAACACTATTAATTGCACATAATAGTCAAGCTTTAATTAAAGTTTTTGAAAAATTATCATTATTAGGTATAATAAATTGTTAATCTTCAATAATAATAATAATAAAGATATTCCGCAAAGACATTTACTTCGTCTTGGTCATGAAGATGAATTAGAAGATGAATTTATTTCCCGAAGACCGGGAAGAATTAACTTATTTTTAGTAATTATTGTTTCAAAAATATCGGCATTATTTAACATTAAATAGGAAAGAAGAGCTTCATTATTATTAGAAGTCGATCGTCTTGCTTTAACATTGCAGATACCTGGTGCTCATGGGAATTCTTGTGAAACAGCTGGATATTTCTTTGACTTTTATGTAAAGCCATTATGGACAAATTTTATTTCAAATTCTAAAAATGAATCTTCGGTTAAAGAAATAATTTCATCATTTCCTTTTCGTAATTTTTATTTTTCTTTTTTCTTTATTAACAAATTATTTAGATCAATATTTTTCTACTGCTCCTCAACCATTGTTTCCAGAAGATTTAAATAAACACGAAACACTTGATATAGCAAAGGGTTGCTATAATCATATTAAAGAGTTGTTTTCAGAACTATCTGATATCCGTCCTTTTGAGTTTCTTCATTCAAATGAGGCTAGATCTAATTACTTATTAAATAAGGCTAAAATTATAGCTATGACTTCAAGCTATCTGTTAACTAAGGTTTTTATTGCTTTGTTTTTTAGAATTAATTTAATAATACTTTTATAGCGTGAAAAGATATTTGATTTAAAATTTAAATATAACACTATTATTTATAAAAATTCTAATCAACTTCTTGAAATAGAGACTTTTGTTCCAATGACTTTAATGACTAATTTTGAATCTTTGCAAAGAATAGTTCTTTTAGGAGATTATAAACAGGTATGTATATATATTATGTATTTTAATATTTTATATTTTAATTTCATAGATGGGTCCTATATTAAAAAATAAGGCATTTAGATACTTTTGCAATGCAAAACAAAGCTTTTATGATCGTTTAATACGCCTTGGTGTTCCAATAATTCATCTTGATGCTCAAGGTCGTGCGAAAAATACTATAGCAGAGCTTTTTTCATGGGCTTATGGTGGATTAGCTAATTTACCAAATATAGAAAAACAAAGTGAATTCTTATATTCTAATTCAGGGTATATATTATGACATTAAAATTGTTATTAAATATTCTAGATTTCTTTTTGATTATCAGTTTATTAATGTAGGAGATTATAAAGGGCAAGGCGAAACTGAGCCTACTCCTTATTTTTATCAGAATCTTGGTGAAGCAGAATATGCTGTTGCAATATATCAATATATGAGACTTTTAGGCTACCCATCTGAAAAAATTACGATTCTTGCTAGCTATACTGGCCAAAAGGCTCTTATAAATGATGTAATAAATAGAAGATGTGCAAATAACCCGCTTTTTGGTTTACCTAATAAAATAACTACAATTGATCAATACCAAGAATCTTATAACGATTGTAATTTTTATTTTTTCTGGAATAGTATACTAAGAATCTTAGATATTATACTTTCTTTAACAAGAACAAAAAGCCTAGGATATCTTAAAGAATTGGAGCGTTTAATTGTTGCAGTTTCTAGAGCAAGATTAGGTTTATATATTTTAGGACGTCGTTCGATTTTTGAATCTTGTTTTGAGCTCAAACCTATTATCAGTAGAGTTCTTAAAAATCCAGATAAATTACATTTAGTTTCTCAAGAAATGTGGCCTTCGAATAGAAAAATAGGTGATAAGGTTGAAAATACATTTGTGATGGAAGGTGTAGAGCATCTTGGTATCTACGTTTATAAGATGTCGGAAAAAGCATTGGAAAAACTAAAAGAAAATAAAGATATTTTGTGAATTACGAATATTTTGGAAAAAAATAGATATGCATATTTGATTACATAAAAATAATTTTGTACATATGATTTATTTTGAAAGTTTTCTTTTAATATAATCTACTATCATGTTTGAACTCTGAATATTCACAAAAAAAATTCCTTTTAAAGGAGCTTCCCATACAACGACATTTAATTCATTAGCATATTTTAATACTAATTCAAAATCCGTATTAGAATTGAAATCACGAAAAAGATATCCTTCTGTAGCTTTCAGTCTATTTCTTTCCATTTCCCAAAGTTGAATCTGATCAGTAATAGTAGATGGAATGATAGGAGTCTAATAGTATAAGTATAAAATAAAAGAGATAATATATACATTTTTCTTCATTTGAGGATGTGCATACGATGTAAGATATGATATTATCTGTTCTGCTGTTATACCATTCATAAATGCTTGTCTAACACTATTACGAGTCACTATTCCTACAACAAGATTTGAAAATCGTAATTGAAGATGAACAAATAGATTTAAAACAGCAATTTGTATGGGTGAATCTTGAATATTGTATTAGTTTTAAAAACAATCTATAAAAAATGGATTTACTAGTATAAGCATAAAGACGATAATTTGTTTCAAGAATAATGAAGCCTTTATCAGCACTTTTTGAATTATGATTAGGATGTAAAAGATTTTTGATATCTGAATTGGATGAAAAAACTTCTGTATTTGAAGTTAATATGGTTGCAAGTCTTGTTGGATAAAAACGCCGAGATGACTAGTAAATTTAGATAAAATTAGATATAATTAATTTATATACTTTACGCCTATAAACGATTCCATAATCTTTAAGATTTTCAAGTGTATTAATTTGAATAGGTGTTAATGAGCTAACAAGATAACTTTTTCCCAATTCTAAGTTTCCTAACATAAACAAAAATTGCAAAACATCAACAGGATCTATTTTCGAATCCTATAATATTACGTATTGAAAAAAAAAGGAAATATTGTACTTCTGTCATATTTAAATATTGTAATAAAAGTGTCCAAATTTGTGAATTAATATCTTGTAATAAAAATTGGAACCCAGAATTAGTTATTTTCATATTATCATGCTTACTAAACAAATTTAATAATATGAATACTATAAGAGAATTCTTTAATTTTACGATCCAGACATAAGTTGACTATAATGCAAAAGACTTAAAATATGATCTCCAGGTAATTTTTCTATCCCGGTTCCAAGCATAAAATGAAGTATTGTTTCCCATTTCTTCCTAGCGTAATTATCAAGAAAAGCTATATCAATATTTCTTTTGTCAGGAATTAGACATAATATCCCAAATGTATCATAACTCTTTCTATTTTAAAAATCAAGCAGATATAATAGAAAGTGTTAATAAATACCCTCCTATTAATAAAATTTGAAATTGTTTTTTGAAATTATCTGTAAAATACAAATGATCTTCTTTTTTTTGAAAAATATGAAGCTTATATAATTTATCCAATGCTTCTGCTTGTTTTCTATTCAAATTACTTGATAGAAAAATCAAAAAAAATATATCTACGATTTACTATCCTCATTAACCAGTTGATCAAACTTTTCTAGAGACAAAGGTTCTGGATAATATAACAATGATAAAATAAATTGTTTGGCAAGATTAGGTAAAAGACTAAAATATTAAAAAATGCAAAAAACATTCTTTTTTTTTAACCGAAATATAGAAAGACATGCTGAAGGATTTTTATAAAGTCTCAATAATGTTGTTTTAGGAAGCTCATTATATATATAATTAATCTTATATATACAGATCAACTTTACCTGATAAAGATAATCATTCTATAAAAATCAGCCCAAAAATCTCATAAATCATTTGAAAACATACAATATTATCTTTAAATGTCATTAATAATTATATGAAAAAAATAACAAAGAAATATTTAATATTTTATCAATTATCATTATCTTAGATATAGAATTTCTATAAATAATCGATAAAAAATCTTCAAATTATCAAAAAATCTCTTAAATACACTTCTATTTTAAAAAAATATTAACTATTTATAAAACTGTTATATTGTTTCTAACAACTTTATTTTTTTTGACCAATTATTAATATTATTTCTTAATATAAACTTTTTACTTTAATCATTAAAAAACTAGTAATCTAATACAATTATATATAAACAAAATAATTATATTCAACTTTAGATGTAAAATAGTTTTTTATTAATAAAAATTAGATTATTTTAAACTTTTATTATAAAGTATTTAAAAATATATTTTAAAAAAATATATTAATATAAAAATATATTAATATAAAAACCCATGATATATATATGTATTTAAGATGGAAAATACTCATCAACATTAAAAAAAAATATTTAAATGTTTAAAGTGTTAGACAAAATTTTTTTAAGGTTAACGTTTAAAGACGTCTTAGCTTGTTAAAAAAAATATATTTTTCAAAAATATATAAATAAATAATAAAATATTAGATTCTTGATAAAAGATAGGACATTACGAAGATATTATTAATTTATTTTACTTTATTAAAGATTTTTTTTAATAGAAAAAAAAAGATCTTTATCTTTCATCAAATTAACAAAGGATAATCAAAAATTCAGACCAAATAGATGGTTAAAATCCAAAAATGCCTTCTTATTCATCAAAATTAGATAGTTTGTTTTCAGATTTGAAGAACAGGTGAATTTTGGTGGGAAAAAAGAATAATTTTATAGTTAATATGAATAGAAATGAAGAAATTCGAAATAAGGCAGCAAATGATTTAAAGGAATATGTGAGAAGATTATGAATATAAATTGGTTATTTATTTTATAAGGTTGTATCAACATCTCGTGAAATGCAAAGGGATGCGTTTATTTCATTTAATAATGATATTAATCGGAGAATTTATGAATTGGTTCATAGTAATGATAATTATGAAAGACTTAGTGGAGTAATTGTTATTGGTATATGAGACATATATATAGATGGATGTCTTATTTGATAAGATAAATTAATTGATTATGATGGAGAAGAAAATACTGTGAAAATAACTCGATTTGCGAATTATTTAAGAATTGTGTTACCTGGGAATGATACACAAATAATGATATTAGCATCGAAAGCATTAGGGCGTTTAGCTGTCCCTGGTGGAACTCTAACGTCTGAATTTGTTGAATTTGAGGTTAAAAGAGCTATGGAATGGCTTCAAGGTGATCGAAATGAAAATCGAAGATTGGCAGCAGTACTTGTTCTTAAAGAATTAGCATTGAATTCTCCTACACTAATATATTCTTATGTATCTCAAATTTTTGATTTGATATGGGTTGCTCTACGAGAATCAAAAGTGACAACACGGAATTTTGCCGCAGATGCACTCAGTGCATCTCTAGAAATTATATATCAAAGAGAAAGTCAATTATGTATTCAATGGTATGTAAAGATTTTGGAGGAAGCTCAATATGGGCTTAAAGTTAATAATTATGACTATATTCATGGAAGTTTGTTGGCTTATAAAGAATTATTGCTTAAATCAGGAACGGTTATTACCTTTGTTTTATCAATTTTTCTTTAATATTCTAATAGTTTATGGATGAGAAATATGTTGATGTATGCGAAGTTGTATTAAGCTATAAAGATCATAAAGAAGCTCTTATAAGACGTACCGTTGTTTCATTAATTCCTATATTGGCCGGCTATAATCCTGAGAAATTTGTTTCATCTTATTTACATAAGTGTATGCTTCATCTTTTAGGACAATTAAAAAAAAATAAAGATAGAACATGTCCTTTTAGTGCAATTGGTCATGTTGCTGTTGCTGTTGGAAGTAGCATAGAACCGTACCTTGATTCTATTTTAGAAATTATTAAGGAAGGTCTTACAGCAAAAGGGCGTAATAGAGAAGCTCAAGAAGCTCCAATTTTTCAGTGTATTAGTATGCTTGCCATAGCAGTTGGAAATTCTTTAAAAAAATATTTACATGAATTACTTGACATGATGTTTTGTAATGCTTATTATCTCTAATAAAATTTCTAATATTATTAGGTTGTGGGTTAAGTGAGCCTTTAAGACAAGCATTAGTAGATCTTACATGTCATATTCCATCTTTTTTTCCTATAATTCAAGAAAGATTATTAAATCTTCTTTCTATGATTTTAAGTGGCAAACCTTTTAAAATTTTAGGATCTCCTGCTACATTACATTCAACTCAGTCTAATTCTTTGGCAATTTATGATCCAAAAATTTATGATAATAAGGATAGTGAGTTTATTATTTTGGCATTAAATACTTTAGGGACATTTGATTTTTCTGGTAAACACATTATTTATCTAGCTCGGGTTATTTTAAAATTTTTGCAGGTTATGCTTTGAATGAATTTATTAGAGATTGTGCTATATCTTATTTAGAGAGTGATAATCTGGAAGTAAGAAAGGTGGCAGCTTTGACATGTTGTCAGCTATTTATTAGAGATCCAATATGTTACCAAACAAGTAATCATGCTATACAGATGGTTGGAGAAATTCTTGAAAAATTATTGATTGTTGGAATCACTGACTCTGGTAAATATATTAGCACTTTATATTCCCTATATATTCTTATTTTTAATAAAGACCCTATGATTCGACAAATTGTATTATCATCTTTAGATGAGAGATTTGATAGACACCTCGCTCAGGCTGAAAATGTTCGCTCGTTGTTTATTGCTCTAAACGATGAGGTTTTTGCTATTAGAGAAATTACGATTACTATTATTGGTCGTTTAACTTTTCATAATCCTGCTTATGTTATGCCATCATTAAGAAAGACTTTGATTCAATTAATGACTGAGTTAGAATATTCTTATATAAGGTATTTTTATGGATTATTTTTACTTTTATTAACTTATTTCATAAGTCGTAATAAGGAAGAAAATGCATGTTTGTTAGGATTGTTATTTTCTACAGCAAAAAGACTTATAAAACCTTATGTTAAACCAATGCTGAAAATTATGATTCAAAAAGCTCGCGACCCTAGTCCTAGTGTAGTCTCAAGTATTTTAAATGCTCTTGGCGAATTAGCTGTTGTCGGAGGGGAAGATATAATACCACATATTCCTGATCTTATGCCACTAATTATAGAAATATTGCAAGATCAGAGTTCAACTGCGAAACGTGATGCTGCACTTCGGACTTTAGGTCGATTAGCAATTAGTTCAGGGTATATTATTGATCCATATATTGAATATCCATCATTACTTAATATATTAATCAATATTCTTAAGACTGAACAGAGTTCCACTGTTAGAAAAGAAGCGGTTAAAGTTATTGGTATTCTAGGCGCATTAGATCCATATAAATATCAGGTATTTTTCTTTTTTTTTTTTTATTTTTTTTGATCTAGTTAGATGCTTGAAGAAACTTCAGAAGATCATATACATGAACAAAAAGCGGCTACTTCTGACGTCTCCCTTTTAATAGATGGAATGAGTCCATCATCTGAGGAATATTATCCAACTGTTGTAATTAATATTCTGATGACTATCCTTAAAGATTCATCATTAAGCACTTATCATTATTCTGCTATTCAAGCAATTATGTATATTTTTAAAACATTAGGATTAAAATGCGTTCCATTTTTGCCTCAGGTATATTTCAAATATTAATTTTAAACCATATTAAGTATATAGATAATTCCTGGATTTCTTTCTGTAATGCAAACATGTTTATCGAGTCTTTTAGAGTTTTATTTTCAGCAATTAAGCATTCTTGTTACTATTGTTAAGCAACATATAAGAAATTATTTAAGCGATATTTTTAAATTAATTTATGATTATTGGAATTCTAATTCTACACTTCAAATTACTATTCTTTCTCTTGTTGAATCAATTGTTATGGCTCTTGAAGGAGAATTTAAGGCTTATTTGCCAACTCTTCTTTCATTGATGCTTCAGGTACTTGAAACAGATACTACAGCTAATAGACAGTCTACTCAGGAAATTCTTCGTTCATTTGTTGTATTTGGATCTAATATTGAGGAATATATACATCTTATACTTCCAGTTGTGGTTAAAATGTTTGAAAGACATGATCTTCCTATATCATTACGTAAAATTGCTATTCAAACAGTGGCTCAGTTATCTCGCAAAATTAATTTTGTTAATCATGCTTCTAGAATTATTCATCCTCTTGCACGTGTTCTTTCAACCGGAACAAATGAATTGAAAGTAGCCTCCATGGATACTTTATGTGCATTGGTATTTCAACTTGGCCTTGATTATACTATTTTTATTCCTATGATTAATAAGGTATATTTTTTGTTTTTTAAAATTTTCGTTTAATTTATTTTAGTGCTTAATAAATAATCATATTCAACACCAAAATTATGAGCTTTTAGTATCAAGACTTTTAAAGGGGGAATCACTTCCTCAAGATTTAAATTCTGATGAAAAGTAATATATATTTATAATGTAATTGATTAATGAATAAATAGATTTAGCGATAGAAGAATGGAAGATGCATCTTCCGCTGATATTAATGCAAAGAAATTATCAGTTAATCAACAACATTTAAAAAATGCATGGGAAACATCTCAAAAATCTACAAAAGATGATTGGCAGGAATGGATTCGTAGATTAAGTGTTGAATTATTAAAAGAGTCTCCATCTCATGCTTTGAGGGCTTGTGCTAGCTTAGCTGCTGTTTATTACCCTTTATCAAGAGAATTATTTAATGTTGCATTTCTTTCATGTTGGAATGAATTATGTGATCAATATCAAGAAGAACTTGTTAAATCTATTGAAATAGCTTTAACATCACCCAATATACCTGCTGAAACTTTACAAAGTCTTTTAAATTTAGCAGAGTTTATGGAACATGATGATAAAACATTACCAATAGATATTAGAACTTTAGGTGCGTATGCAGCAAAATGCCATGCATTTGCAAAAGCGTTGCACTATAAAGAACTTGAATTTATTTCAGAACCATCTACTGATACTATTGAAGCTTTAATAAGTATTAATAATCATTTACAACAACCAGATGCAGCTATTGGTATATTAAGCTATGCACAACAACATAATCTTGAATTAAAAGAAACATGGTATGAAAAGCTTGAACGATGGGAAGATGCGTTAGCAACCTACGAAAAACGTTCTATTGAAGATAACTCATTTGAAGTAACTATGGGTAAAATGAGATGTCTTCATGCATTAGGAGAATGGGAATTACTTTCTCAACTTGCAAGAGAAAAATGGGAAACTGCTACTAATGATATGCGAAGATCTATTTCTCCCTTAGCGGCTGCTGCATCTTGGGGATTGGGCCAGTGGGAACTAATGGATGATTATATTTCATCAATGAAACATGAATCTTTGGACAAATCTTTCTTTAAAGCAATAATTTCTTTACATCGTAACCAGTTTAGTGAGACTGTTTTTCATATTGCTAAGGCTAGGGAATTACTTGATACAGAGTTTACAGCTCTTATAGGAGAGAGTTATAATAGAGCATATTAGTAAATTATTCATCTGTTTTTTTTGTATTTGTTAAAGTTTCTAGTGTTGCTGTTCGTGTGCAAATGTTAGCAGAATTGGAAGAAATTATAATATACAAGCAAAACAATGATCATCCTGAAATTCAGTCTACAATGCGTAAAACTTGGATGAAACGGTTATTTATTGATAAAAAAATTTAATAGCTAACATACTTTTAGACTTAACGGTTGTCAACGTAATGTTGAAGTCTGGCAACGTATGTTAAAAATGAAGGCTCTCGTTATTTCACCAAAAGAAAATATGGAAATGTGGATAAAATTTTCCAATCTTTGCAGAAAATCAGGACGTTTAGGTTTAGCAGAAAAATCATTGAATTCTTTGCTAGATACTAATGGATCTATTGAGAATTTCCCGGTACTCTTTTTGATATAATCTAAATATTTAATTAATTTATGTTAGTCATCTACTAATGTCCCTCCAAAAGTTGTATATACTCATTTAAAATACATGTGGGAAACAGATGATAAACGTGATGCTCTCGAGCGTCTTAAAGAATTTAGCAATTCTTTATCAAAAGATTTAAAGATTGCATCAATAAATGAAACATTTCGATCCTTAACTCTTGACCAAGAAAAAAAAAATACTTACAATGATTATTCCAAGCTCTTATCTCGATGTTATCATAAGCAAGGTGAATGGCAAAGTGTTCTTCAAGGAAATTTGTCAAAAACAAATATTTCTGAAATCCTTCATTCCTATAAACTCGCAACAGAATATGATCCTGAATACTATAAAGCCTGGCATTCATGGGCTTTAGCTAATTTTGAAGTAGTAGCTTTTTATGAAAAAGAAAATAAAAATCTATCACCTGAAATTTATGATGAACATATTTTGCCTGCTATTAAAGGTTATTATTATTATTATTATTGTGTCATATACTTATTTATTATTAGGATTTTTTCGTTCTATAGCGTTAAGTACTGGGAATTCTCTTCAAGACACTTTGAGATTATTAAATTTATGGTTTAAATTTGGAAATCATTTACAAGTTGGTTCTTCTATATTAGAAGGGATTGCGTCTGTAAGCATTGATACATGGTTAGATGTTATTCCTCAGGTTTCTCAATTTTTTTTTTATTTTTGAAATAACATTTATTATATAGCTTATTGCTCGTATCCATTTTCCAAATAGTAATATTCAAAAATCTATTCATCAACTTTTAGCCGATGTTGGGAAATCCCATCCGCAAGCTCTTGTATATCCTCTTACTGTAGCATCAAAATCTCAAAATATTTCTCGTCAAAAGTCTGCTTTAGAAATTATGGATAAAATTCGAAATCATAGCGCATTATTAGTTGAACAGGCTTTGCTTGTAAGTCATGAATTAATTCGTGTGGCTATATTATGGCATGAACAATGGCATGAGGGCTTAGAAGAGGCTTCTAGATTATATTTTGGAGATCATAATATTGAAGCGATGTTTAACATTTTAGAGCCCTTGCATGAAATGTTAGAAAGGGTATTACATTTTATAATAATATTATTAGAGTAACTTTTTAGGGTCCAGAAACACTTCGAGAAATTTCATTTCATCAAGCATTCGGTCGAGATCTACAAGAAGCAAGAGAATGGTGTATAAAATACCGTAAAACAGGTGAAATTGGTGACTTAAATCAGGCATGGGATCTTTATTATCAAGTATGATTCTATGCTATATTTTTATATAAATAAATTAATATTATTTAGGTATTTCGAAAAATTACAAAGCAGCTTCCACAGTTGACTACACTAGAATTACAATATGTTTCTCCTAAAATTTTATCTGCAGTAGATCTTCAATTAGCTGTTCCTGGAACTTATTTAAGTAAAAAGCCAATAATTAGAATAATTAGTTTTTCTTCTACATTTACTGTGATTACTTCTAAACAAAGACCAAGACGTTTGACTATTAGAGGCAGTGACGGAAAGGATTATCAGTATGCATTAAAAGGACATGAAGACATTAGACAAGATGAAAGAGTAATGCAATTGTTTGGATTAGTAAATACTCTTTTGTCTGTCGATTCCGAATCATTTAAAAGACATCTTAATATTCAAAGATATCCAGTAATTCCCTTATCACCTAATTCCGGTTTGTTAGGATGGGTTCCAGATAGCGATACATTACATGTTTTAATCAAAGATTATCGGGAAAGTCGTAAAATTTTGCTTAATATTGAACATAGATTAATGCTTCAAATGGCGCCAGATTATGATAATCTTACGTTGCTTCAAAAAGTTGAGGTCTTCGAATATGCATTAGATAATACCACTGGACAAGATTTGTATAGAGTTTTGTGGCTAAAAAGTAAGAATAGTGAGGTTTGGCTAGATCGTAGAACAAATTATACGAGATCTTTGGCTGTAATGTCGATGGTAGGTTATATCTTAGGATTGGGGGATCGTCATCCATCAAATATTATGTTAGATCGTCATACAGGAAAAGCTATTCATATAGATTTTGGTGACTGTTTTGAAGTTGCAATGAATAGAGAAAAATTTCCAGAGAAGATTCCTTTTCGCCTTACACGAATGCTTACAAATGCAATGGAAGTTAGTGGTATAGAAGGAAGTTTTAGAATAACATGTGAACATGTAATGCGAGTATTACGTGATAATAAAGAGTCATTAATGGCATTGTTGGAAGCTTTCGTCTACGATCCATTGGTCAATTGGAAATTAATAAATACAAATCCTAATTCTACTACACATCGAAATGAACAGAATGAATCTTCAAGAATATCTGTTAAACAAAATCAAGAAAATGAGTCAACATGGAAAATGCAATATCGCCATGAAATTTTGAATCAGAGTGCTGTTAATGTGCTTAATCGTGTCTCGAATAAATTAACTGGTCGAGATTTTAAATTAAATCAAGAATTAGATATTCCAAGTCAAGTTAATAGGTTAATTCAGCAAGCAACATCTTTGGAAAATTTAAGTCAATGTTATATTGGGTGGTGTAGTTTTTGGTAAATTAATCTATATATATAATAATTAATCAAAAATAAATAATATATTTTGACAAAAAATTAAAGTAATGATAATAATAATTTATTAAATACAAATCAGCATTTTAATACTAATCTTTTCGATCATCTATTTAAGGTATTAATTTTTTGCAATGCATCTGAGCGAATTTTTGATTTAGATTGATAATCTTTAATAGCTGATTTAATTGCATCTGGAGTATATCAGTTAAATTATATTTGTAAATCACTATAAACCTTCTGCAAGCATGGAACAATGTAGTTTAACTGGGGGAAGACAAAGTTCTTTTGCAATCTCTATATTCCTTACTTTTGACGCTTCCTCAAGCTTCATTCCTTTGATTAGTTCTGTCATGTATGATGAAGAGGCTATTGCTGATCCACATCCAAATGTTTTAAATTTTGCTTCCGAAATACGTCCTTCTGAATCCACTCTAATTGATAAACGCATAACATCTCCGCAGGCTGGTGCACCTACAAGTCCAATACCAACATTTGGATCTTCTTTTTTCATTGATCCTACATTTCTTGGGTTGTTATAATGATCTAAAAGTTTTCAAAAATCAGCTTTAAAATCCGGAAAAAAAGGGTTATTATCTTTTTCATGGTATTTTCTTATGTTTTTATATGCAAAAACTGGGTTTGAGTTTACTTTCAAAGGGTTTAAGACGTTTGATAATCTAATCTGTTTCATTTGAGGTTCTCTTCCGTACTTATCGAAATCAGGCGTAAAGTACCTGTGTCCTTAATATTGCATAAAAAATAAAAAAGAAAAGCTCTAAAAGATGGAAATTCAATATAAAAGAGATTTAATATGAAAAAAAAAATGGAAAAATCATTATACAAGTAGTTTATCTTTTTTTTTACAAAAAAAAAGGTAAAATAGGCGTAAAATAGGCATAAAATAAAATTTAAAGGTTTTATTTAAAAAATAAATGTTTAACAAATTAACTAAATTTATAGGAAATAATAAGGAAATTTCTTAGTTAATAGTAGAAATTAAGACTTTATTTTTTTTTTTAAAAAAAAGTGGTATTTTTAGCATAAAAGAATTCATAAAAAAATATATAATAAATGTTCTTATTAAGAATATTCTCAAAATAATATGAATTATTTTAGATATTATATTATTTATAAGAAAAAAATACATATTTTATAAAATAATATAAAATATCAAAAAAAAATATAAATTGAAAATATAAAAATTAGAACCTTAATAATAGATATATTTGAATTAGAAACTAAGTGAATATTCCTTATTTTTTATATTAAAATTTTCACTGTAAATTAAAGGGTTAATTAAGAAAAACGTAGAGTTTTGAGAGGATATAAAGTTTGTTTAAAATATTAGGAAAGTTTAATAAGAAATATGAGTAAATCTTATCAAAAAAATCATTCTTTTGGTAGATTTTTTCCTATTAATTTTAGTTTTATTAATTGATTTTTAGGACAAAAAATGAAATCTAAAATAAAGAATCCAAATTCAAAAAAAAAACATAATAATTATCAAACTTTTGAAGATGATAGGGAAAATTTAATAGAAGAATTTCCTTCAGATAAAACCTTAAAAAATAATCAGATTTTTGCTCAGGAAATATCACTAAATAAGCTATCTACATTACAAAGATCTATTCTGGTATATTTTATTTTTATTAAGTTTTTTTCCTTATAAGATTAAGGAAACTTCAAATATTTCTGAGATTAATGAATATTATGATAAAAAGGAGCTATTGGATAATTATATTGATAATAATGTGGAACAAATTAGTGATAAAACTAAAACTTGTAATATATCAAATAAGATGAATGAGTTAAAAAAGGATTATGATGGAGAGAATGAAAATGATGTTTCTGTTGATATTTCTCTAGTTAAAACTGTTGATTTGAAAGAAACATGGTCACAAGAACGAAAATTTTTTTTATTAGAGATTTCAAAATTACAAGAGTCATTGAAAACTCAAGAGAACCGGTTTAATAGTGTTATTGAAGAGAATGAAAAGAAATTGGAGACTGTTCTAGATGAAAAGCAACAGCTTGAATTACAATATCGTAGTTTGTTAGGAAAATTATCCTCAATAAAACAAGGTCTTGAAGAGAAATTAAAGGCAGATTCTGTATATATTACTTGAAATTTTTTATATTAGGTCTTATGATTTTAGGAAGATTTGGCTTCTACAAAAAGAACGATAGAAGAACTTAAAAAGAAAAATTCTACTCTTTTAGAGGAAATTTCTTGCTTGAAAAAAGAACTTATTGATACGAATAATGATTGCTATAGAAAATCAAAAGAAATTACTGATTTGCATGATAAAATTGATCGATCAGAGAGGAATTGGATTAATGAAAAAGATATGTTATATAAACAACAGTGTAATTCTATTGAGAATCTTGAAAAATATAAAAAAATATCTAAAGATTGGAAAGAAGTAGCATTAGAGGAGAGAAACTATAAAGACGATTTTAAAAGGAAAGTGGATTATCTTGAAGAAAGAATTAAAGAATTTGAAATTTCATTAAAACAGAGTCAAAATTTAAATAATAAGCTTAGAAAAGAAAATGAAGAAAATAATCAACTAATTGATGAATACAAAATAAAAATTAATAAGATTAATGAGGGTAATTGTATAATTTCTATTATTTTCTTGTTAATGTTACCAGATTATAAAAGTGATCTTAATGAGGCTACAAATGAATTACATGTGAAAATATCTGCTCTTAACGACAAAAATACTCAATTAGAAGCTCAAATAAATGGTTTAGTTCTTGAAGATGAAAAAAATAAAAAGGAAATTGAAAGACTTAAAGTATTTGAAAAAGAGATTAAAGAGAAAAATTTACTTATTGGTAAATTAAGACATGAAGGTATGAATTTTATATGATTGTATTCTTTTTTATTTTAATAGCTGTTATTTTAAATGAACATCTTGTGAAAGCTTTAAAATTATTAAAAAAAAATGATTCAGAAGACAATATTGATAAGTATTATTTAAATTGGCTTTCTATATCATTTTTTATTTATTTTTCTTTAGAAAACTTGTTACTAATCTTATTTTGTCTTTTATTACTCTTCCAAGGGATGATACAAAACGTTATGAAGTTTTGCAATTAATGTCTGCATTTCTTCAATGGACAGATGAGCAAAAGGAGCTTGCGGGATTAATACGATCAAAAAATTTGTCATTTAAAGATATTTTATTCGGTTCTAATATTTCTTTAACACCATTATCGTATAATTCTTCAAATTTTAATTATAAATTTCATATGGACCAGGCTTTATTTGATAAAAAAGTAAATATATAATTTTTTAGATAATATTTACATGACATAGTCAATTTCTGATCTTTGGATTAATTTCCTCCAAAATGAAACATCTAAAAATCCTGATTTAAACTAATAATTTAAATATTACGAATGTGCCTTATATCTAAAATACATATTTATTCTTAGGGTTGAAGATGCTAAATTTACTATAATTCTAGTTTTATTAGAAAGTGTTTTTATAAAATTTATGATATTTGTTACAATGAGTGATAGTATATTAATGTTTCTAAGATTACATTTTTCTATTTTAACTAATTTAAAATAGTCATAAATTAGGATTAAAATGAATTTCATAACATATATAAACAAATGATATTAAATATGATAAAAGTATTATTTTGATTTTAAATTATGCATAAATAACTCGTAGTAAATAGTTAAATTATAGATATATTTATGATGTTGTAATAAAAATTATTTATAATTAGTCAATATTTTTTATAGCAAATACTAAAGCTTGCCAGACCTCATTAGATATAGAATATTTTCCAAGAGCACATAGTTTTGCATCTTTAAGTTTATGAACAGCAATATTATGATAAAAATTTGTTGTACAGCTTTTAAGAAAGACGCTTGCTTCAATAGTTATTGAAGCAAGATCAATAACGTTAGTTTTTTGACTTTTTGTTAAGTATGAAGCATTTAACGCATCCCACATACTTGATCTAGGATTTGAAGAATCATTTTCATTAATTGTCCCGGAAAGTGATGATTTTATACTTTTATAAAAGGTTAATCTTATATTAATGTCAATTTTTGTTGAAAATGGGCATGTCAATTTTGATAAAAGTAGGTTATCTGCTTCTGATTCCAATTTAATAGCATTTTTAGAGTTTTTTTCATCTAATGTAGGAGAATCATCTAGATTTTTTCTTTTTTTTCCGAATAACCATTCTCTTTGTTCGTTTTCTTTTCTTTCATAGAAAGTTTCATCAACGATATTCGGCTTTTTAAATTGTAAGGATGCTCTATCAGCAATTGGAATTTCTTCATCACTTTCTAAGCTAGTGTTAGTAGTTCTACTATTTTTTTTATAGTCATTTAAAATGTTTGATGTATTATCTTCAAAATACTTCTCTGGAGTTGAAGGGGGATAGGATTGACTTAAATGAGATTCCTCTGTCAATTGAGAAATTTTGTTGATTTTTACTTTTTCCTAGAAATATTAATATGAATTAAATATGCATATTCTAGGAGTACTGGATTTTTACTATAATAATAGTTAGTATGCTTTGATATAAAAACAGATATACCATATATCACATGACTTAATACAATTTTGATTATTTGAATTTTCAGAAATTATTTCACCAAAATATTCAATTAAAAATAAATGTCTGCATTTTGTTACATTTTCACAATAATTTACTAACTAAAAACCTATATTATTTATTTATTAGATTTAGAAATATTACCATTTCAAAACTATTTATATTAGAAGCATCCTTTTCTTCTAATTTTCTTTTTCTTTTTTTCTGTTCTATTTCTTGATGTAAGATATATCGAGTTCTATCACGATCTTCTCTTGAATAATATAATATACAACGACTAGTTTTATTATCTCTCCCTGCACGACCAGCTTCTTGATAATATGCTAGTAATTTTAAGAAGATATATTTAGTATTATTTGCAAACCTTCCATGCTTTTTGACATGTCCCAATGTACTACAAATCTTACCTTTGAATTATAAGTCATTTATATATACTAAATTCTCATATTTACATCTTCCTTATCAACGCCCATCCCAAATGCAATTGTTGCAACAATTATATCTATTTTTCCTTCACACCATAGCTTCATAATCTTGTCGCGTGTTGCTGGAGATAATCCTGCATGATATGACTGTGCATTAATTCCATCATTTTTAAGTCTTTTTGCTACTTCTTCACAGGTATCTCTTTTTTTTGCATATATTATTCCACATATAGAAACAAATAGATTTTTATTTGAATTCATATCATTTTGAAAATTCAAATTCATAAGAGATAGTCTTTTTTTCTTTCTTGCATATACTGAAAGTATAAATTTTTGAAAATCTTCATAATGATCATGTTTTTCAGATCTATAACGTACTTCAAAATGTAAATTCTTCCTAGAAAAAGTTTCTATAAATACTTTAAGAATTGGAGGCGGAGGAAGTCCTAATATTTCAGCAACATCTAATCTAACTCTATAAAAGTTAAAAATTATTAAATATATTAACATAATGGCAACTTTTCAGTAGCTAAAGATAGTAAGGCAAAAAATATTAGTGTAGGGCTTTACCTGTTGCTGTTAAAGCCATTATTGGTATTTTTGGATATTTCTAAAATAATCAAAATAATAACTTAGCAAAGAAAAAATACCTTTCTTAAAAATGACAAGAGTTTATAATCTTTTCTAAAATCGTGCCCCCATTCAGAAACACAATGGGCCTCGTCAATAACAAATCTGTGCCTTTAATCATTATTATATGTATTTTATTTCATTTCAGGTTTACAATTCTCCATGTTGATAAACATTTAAAAGATCTTTTCGAAAACTTTCAGTTGAAAGAAGCTCAGGTGTTACTTTAACAACAAATTAAATTATTTTATTCCAAGTATATTTAATTTACCATAAAGAAGCCTCACTTGAGGATGTCCACATGCTAAATCTTCCAAAATCTGTTATTTAAAATCAAAATAACGAGATAAAATATTTAAGAAAGTACACGTTTCCTGTTTTCCGTTGATGTAGTAGAATTAAGTGTTGCTGCTGGTAATTTTTTTGCACGTAAAATGTCAACTTGATTATTCTTTTAAATAATCAATATTTTTAATAGAAATCTTAAAAAAAACAATAAACCATCAATGCAAGAAGCGGTGAAACAACAATAGTAACCCCATGATCAATAACAATTGCTGGAAGTTGATAACATAAACTTTTGCCCATTCCTGTTGGTGCAATAATAAAAACATCTTCTCCTAAAACCATTTTTTTGCCAGCAAAATAAATTGCAGATAAATACCTTTTAATGCTGACTCTATGGCTTCTTTTTGACACCCTCTAAATTCTGTTTTTCCAAAAACTAAGAAAAATATTAAAAATTAATTAAGAAATTAGCTTTTTTGACCCTTTCTAAGAGTAAAATTAATATCAATTGTTGATACAACACGGTTTATTTTTGACATTCTTAATATTTTTAAAGCAATTCTTGAGGCTTTTAAGAAAAACTATTAAATTTCAATTAAGCTAGGTTTTCATTTAATAATTCTGATTTTTATATATAAAAATGAAATATTTAAAAAAAGGGAAAAGGCATTTTATAAATAAAAATATAAGGATAAATTGAATTGAGTTGTGTATCTAAAAGTAAAATATTTTTTGAAAAAAAAAAGATGAAATTTGAATTTAGAAAAAATATGTAAAAAAAATAAATTAGTACTAAAACCCTTGAAAGAGATCAAAAACATTGCATTGAACATTTGAATGAAAAAAATAATAAAATTAAAACTTTAAAAATCAAGAGAATAACTATGAAAATATAACAAGATGCTCTTATCGTAAATACGACAACATGCAGGTATCCAACTGTTAAGTTCTAGACTTGAATATTCATCAGAAACCTAATAATTTCAAAATCCTATATCCAAAAATTAAATAAAATTAAATATAAAAAAATTAATACCATGAACTTTAACAGATTTCTTTTGAATAGGTAATTGGGATGTTAAAAATTCCATCACCTTAGCACGTTGATCTCCTTGAAGCTGAATTACTTCTCCCATTTCATCATCTTTAACTATTGTGCCATTACACGCAAAATCCTATTCGACAATTTAAAACATTATAATATTATAAAATAAAAATATTAACCTTCTTTAACGCCCTAAGAATACGTTTTTGATCATATTCCAATGGTAATCCTTGAATTGTTGTAAGCGTTTTACGTCCATTACGTTGTTGAATTCTAATATCTAAAAAAAATTAATTTTGTCCAAAAAACCTCTCGTTTGTCTTTTTCGCTTGAAAAAGAACAGAAACGTACGAATGTAACTTCTAAGATGTGTATCATCATCGCCTGTATCAAAAAAAGGATCTATTTTTTCTATTATTTGATATCTTTTTTTCTTTAAAGACTTACTGATTGTTTGAAAATTGGTAATTGTAGACATAAACCGTCAGTTCCTTGTTCTAGTCCTATTTATATAATAAATACTAACTTTCTAATCCTTTCTTCTTTAAAACTCTGCTTTTTTATTTCTGTTTTTTTGTAGATTTTTTTTGAAAAGTGTTAAGACGGATATTTTGATCGTTTTTAAACGCGAAAAAAAATAACTTAAAGATTATCTTTATTTTTTTCACCAAAACATAAATCAATTATATTGAAGCTCTTTTATTTTAGAATTTTGTTAAAGATTTATTTTTTGGTTATTTTTTAGAGTCTTTTTATAATTGAAGAATTTTTTCTTGAAGACTATAAAAAAAAAATTACTAAGATTTGTTTTGTATTTGATGTTTTTTAAAAAATTGGTCCTTTTTAAAGGGTTTTTTTGTAAAATATTAAGATTGTAAGGTTATGTAAATTAAATTTTTATTTTAAAGAATTTATTTAAAATAGTTAAATATGATAACTAGTTGTACCTTTTCATTAGATAAGAATATGGATTAATCTAGTTTAAATTAAAGAATTTAATATAATAATATAAAATATAAAAGAAATGGATAGGTTGTTTTAATTTTTAAGATCATAAGTAGAAGAATTAGAAATAATAAAAGGATTAGATTAAGTATGTAAAAAAAGAATTTTAGATAAGATTATAGATAATTAGGTTGCCATGACATTTTAGACGTTATGATAAACAAAAGATAAAAAAATGAGCTTTTTGATTTTGATTTTGGTTATAAGTAGGCTTTGTATTAAGGTTTTCGGATTATTTGAATGTTATTTTAATTTGGATGGATTTGTATTTAATTTGACAGGATTGGATTATACATATTATGTAACGAATTTTTATAGATTAGAAACAGAGCAAGTAAATATGACATGGACTATTAGTCTATGTAAAGGAATCAATTCAGAGATTTTTGGAGGAGGTGGTTATTGTAAAAAAGATTCTCGAAGTATGAGGGAAAAAAGGTTGAAAATGTATTTTTAATGATAAAACTAGTATGTAGTGTTAAAAAAGTTATTTCTGGGGAAGAGGAAAGGGTAGAAGAAGTGAAAGGACTTTATTTTGACTTTGATAATAAATATTTGACGGATAGTTTGTTTTTGTGTAAAAAATTAATTACTAATGAAGTTTAAGGTGGATTTGAAGTGATATTTCATAATAATCGAGTTAGAAAAAGTAATTTATCAGCAATTATTCATTTTATTTGTGATGAAGAAGTATATCTATTTTCTTTTGTATAAATTTTTATTCTAAATTATTTTTAGGAACATAATCCAAGATTGATTTTTTATAAATATTCTATGCTTTGGTTGGAATGGAAGACAAATTTTGCATGCAAAAACATAGAAACTGAGAAAAAAAGGAATGATGGATCTATTTTTTCTTTTTTTATATGGCTAATGATTATTTTCTTTTTAATTATTTTATCTCTTGTTCTTTTTCACCTATATTTCAATTACAGATAGTATTTTTCCAAAAAAAAAGAAAATTAAACTGATTTATTGATTTATAGTTATGGTTCCTTAGAAATCGATTTATTTTCATACATAGAAATGATCAAAAATATGAAATATTTTCTTAAAGATTTTACATCAAAGGCAATTGTTTATATTAAGAGTTTAGGAAATTCATTTCAAGGAGGTTATACTCCTATTTAAAGAAATTGTTTTTCTTTACTTCTTCTTTTATTATAGTAGTTATTTTTTTTAAAAAAATATACTGCTTTCATCTATACGGATTATAAATTCATCAATTATACATTAAAATATTAACTTCTTATTCTTTGAAGGTCTTCTGGTTTGAATTTCTTTGTCTTGAATTGATATTCTTTTTATAATTACTCGGTTATCGAAGGCTCTTCTACTTTAGATTAAGTAAAAATTTTTAAATTCTTGCTAGAAATATATAAAAGGATGTCAAAGGTGACTCTTATGTCTTCTGATAATGAAAGTTTTATTGTTGGTAATCTTAATTTAAAAAAAAAATGATAAAAATTTATTCTTTTTAGATAAAATTGTTGCAGAAAGATCTATTCTAATAAAAAATATGCTTGAGGGTATGAATGTGAAATAAAGTAGATTTATAGAAATTCAATTATTATTGAATTTGTAGATGTTGGAGAATCGGATTTACCTATTCCATTACCAAACGTAACATCAAACGTTTTAAGAAAAGTAATAAATGTATTATTTTTGAGATTTTTTTCTAAAAAAAACATCTGAAAAAAGGTCCTTGAATGGTGTGAACATCATCGTGGAGATCCTCTTTCATCAACAGACGATGATTTGGATTTATCTATGCATCGTTTGAAAAAATCTACAGAGATTGATGAATGGGATCAAAAGTTTATGCAAGTCGACCAAGAAATGCTTTTTGAGATTATTTTAGCCAGTAATTATCTTGATATTAAGCCTCTTCTTGATATTGGATGCAAAACTGTTGCAAACATGATTAAAAACAAGACTCCAGAAGAAATTCGTAAAACGTAAGTAATAAATAACCCATTATTTAGATAAAACATTTTAAATTTTAAAAATCTTTTTAAATATGTTAATAAAATTTTTTAGGTTCAATATTGTAAATGATTTTACTCCAGAAGAAGAAGAAATTATAAGAAAAGAGGTTATTATATTTTTTTATGAACTCAAATCATTAACTTTTATAATTTAAAGAATGAATGGGCTGAGGATCGTTAATACAAAAATACTAAACATTATAATTTAAAAAAAAGATTGGCAATTTATATTATTATAAAAATTATACATTTGCGATTACTTTGTTTTTTTTTTAAATTTTCTTTTTAACAGGGAAAAGGTAATTGAATTCAATTCTATATTTTTTTGGCTTAATGGTTTTAAAATCTATCGTTTTTTTTAATAAATATATCTTGTATATTTTAGAATTAAAGATTAATAATTAAAATATATGATTTTTTAATAAATTAAGACATAAAAATCCTCTTAAGAGTTAAATTATGTTTTGTTTTTTTATTTTAAAGGGGTTAAAGCATTTCATTTCAGAATATTCTGCTTTTACTTTTTTTTGGAATAGAAAAAATAGATTTTATAGGAGATTAATACATAATATAACTACTAAACTTAATTATAAGGATTCTTCGGAGAGTTTTGATTTGAAAAAACTCTTGGGTTTACTTTTTTTTCAGAATAGTATTTTTTTTTGATAATTCTAGATGGATATCAAATTTTACTAAATAATAATCCATTTAAGACACCTTCAGGCAAGATTTTTGAATTTCCGTTGAGGAAACATAATTTGGCATATTCTGTTTTATTAGAATGTCGATCTTTTTCACCTAATTTTTTTGAATATAACTTTTTACCATTAACATCTTTATCTATCAGAGCAATTGATATGTTTTCAGAGAAAAAAGACAGAGAACAAGCTTCTAGTGGACTTCTGAAATATTTAGATACAGATACAATACTATCATTTGCATCAAAAAATGAATCAGGAGGTGATTTACTTGTTTTACAAAAAAAAATGTGGGAACCTCTTCATGAATGGGCACAAAAATATTGGAATGTAGAAATATTAAAGACAAATAATGATTTTGGTATTATAATGAATCCTCAACCAAAAAAAACGAAGAGTTTGATTAAAGAATGGATCTGTAATCTTGATCAATGGCAATTTGCAGCTCTTGAACGTGCAATTTGTCTTAGTAAAAGTTTCATTATTGGAGCAAAAATGGTAGCAACTTCAAACAGTCCACCAATAGAACGTCTAGATGTTGAAAAAGCTTTTAATTTAGCACAATTAGAGATTCTTTTTCAAATAGAACGTTGGGGTAAAATAGATGATTGTAAGAATATTATTAATATTTTATTTACTATTAAAGTCTTGTAGCACATGATATAGAGGAGAAAGATATAAAGCGTCTTTTAGAAACTGTATGTACTATGCTAAATGATTATGAATAAAACTTTTTATTGTATTTTTGTTTATTCATATTCTTACGTATTAAAAATGTAAATACTTGTCTTATTTAAATTTGATAATATGTTGAGCGGTAGAATTGTTTTTTGTTTATTCCTTAATTGCGTCTGCTCTTCAGAATCTAGCCCTTTGGACTGAACATAGGCGTATAAAAATATCTTAGAAAAAGGATAAATTATTTATAGTTTAATACTAAAAAAAACAAAAATATATTTTAATAGAAAATGAGGTCTATTCCTCAGTTATTAATAACCATATATATATTATATATACTAAAATAGATTAGCTGTGTTTTATATAAATTAGATAAGTTAGTACCATCCTATCTACATCTGGTGGGAGAAATTCATCATTATCAGGTTCACCAATATTTCTATATTTGCGTGAAGGGTTCCCTAAATTTCCTAGCCCTAAACCAAGTCCGTCATTGGGAGATATTGGATCATATCTGACGCCTGGAGGTAATCTATATAATTAATATTATAGATATATATCAATTTAAAAGATCATACTGAAAATTTTTCTTTGCTTTAGTTCCGCTAAAGATAGGATGCGTTTTACTAGGATACATTCCACTATTACAATCCTTAATTTCATCTAGTATAGGTTCTCTTATTATACATGGAGTTAGCAAAGGATGTTGTCCTATTCCTGGAGGATATAAATCATCACTTCCAATAGAAATATTACAAGTGTTGGAAGTTTGATTGTCTCTTTCTTGTACATTAAATTTATATGATATAGAATTCTCCATACATCGAGAAGAAAAATTATCTTTTGGTATTTGAAAAAAATGTCCTTCACAAAGACTATAATATTATAAATTAATATGTGAAAAATAAACATATTTATAACTCACTTATTTTTTCTAGAATTTAACTCCTCCTTCAAATCAGGAGTTAATTTTTCAAGAAAATTAGAATGATATATCTTTAATAGCTCTATTATTTTTTCATTTGAAACATAAACTTCTTCCAAAGACCTATCTTTTTGCTTGCTTGAATAAGGAAATACGCCTTTTTGTGTATAATCATCAACAGATATATCATGTGTAATTGTATTCCCTTTTCCCATTATTGTCCCAAGAATAACTATCTTTTTATCCATTTTTAGCAATTTAATAAGATATATTTCTTCTTTAGAATTAAAAGAATAGCGAAATGCATAAAATGGATCACTTGATTCATTGAAAATATTTGATAAAGGTTTCATTTCTGATTCTGTAATTGGGGTATCTAAATATATTAGATTTTTTTCGAAAAAAACTTTTCAGATATTAATAAATACGACCTAAACAATGATTTTCTCCAAATCCGAGAAGCTTATATCCTGTTTTAAGCATATAAGCATTGATAAGACATGCAATAGCATCATATGAATTTTTAAGGTTTATGTCTGTTTTTTCTTCGTTTTTTTCTGAAAAATTATTTAGAGAAGCTTCAATAAGATTAAAAATGGTATCTATTTGGCTGTTTAATGTCATTTTTTTAAAAAAAGTTAATATTTTCTTAAGATATTTAATTATAATTTTAATCGAGGTTTATTTATAATCGGTTTATATTAAAAAATCCATATTTTTTAATAAAAATTCTTAAGTTCTTGACTATTTTATCTAAAATTACCTATTTTTTTTAAGATCTTTTTAAAATAAATATGAATTTATTGTTTTTGTTAAAAAGTTTTTAAGATTAGAAGTTAAAAAAAGTTAAATAGAAATTCTCTTAGACAGACTTTAGTGTTTTTGAAATTAAATTTGTAGTTTGGTTTTTAAAATTATAATATTAAAGTGGTTATTTGATTAAATAGGTTAAGATTTTCTAAAAATTATTATATTATGGTTTTAAAAGGTTCTTTTTTAAAATTTATTTTTAATTTTTTATTAAATTAACAGGCTTAAACTATAAAATATTTATTTGGATATCAAAATTCCTTTGAAACGGTTACAAATACGGGATTCTATGGATTTAAAGTTGTATTTAAGAAATTGGTTGATTAAACAATTAAAATTGTGAATGTTGATAATTTTAAAATGTCAGATGAGTTATATTATGATTTTAAGGATAAAAAGAATTTAAAAATTAAAAAAAAAATGGATGAAATGTTTTTCTCTCATAAAAATATGGATGTTTTTCAGAAGTCTTCGGACATATTTAAGAATCCTTTAATATCTATTAATAGACAAAAGAATTTTACTAGTTATCCTGTTCGTCTTCCTAAAACTACAATGACTGGACGCAAACTTCTTGAAAATGCACTTAAACGATATAATAATATTATTTATCCTAAAACCCCAAGTTCTTTAATGTCTTCATGTTCTCAGAAAACATCTTTATTTCAAGATATTTATAATTTTCAGACACCTTTTACAAAAAGAAAATATTATTCATTAAAATTAAATGATTCAAATAATAAATCAGATTCTCAAGATGATAATTATGAGTTTCATGATAAAAGGACCTTTGAAGATTATTATACACAGAATATACGAAAGACTAACAATCTGTTTTCACCATCATTTTCTTTTATGAATCCATCTCTATCAAAGAATAATGATTCTTTAAGTTCTTGTTCTTTAAAGACACATAAAAAACAATTACAAGATCAAACTAAATATATAAATGATTTTCAAGTAATAATATAGTTTGTTTTTTAAATGAAATAGTTAAACGGCTTTAGAAACATCGGTTTATGAATGATAATGAATCTTTTGACGATTTAATAAGGCAATTAAAAGAATATTATAAAGATGAATCCCTTTATAATTGGAAAAATCTTCAAAAAGAAAAGCAAAAAAGAGATTATGAAATTCAAAAATTAAAAGATCTTTCTGTAAGAAATATTCTTTGGAAAAGAAAAATTTATAATTTATATTATAGATAAAATCTTTGGACAAACCTCCTCCACTATCTAAAGAAATTTTAAAAAAAGTAGAAGAAGCACTTTTTTCCAATGCATTAAAAAATCCTTTGATTGTAAAATTTAATATATCAATTACTCTACGTGATATTAGAACTTTAAGAGATAAAGAATGGCTTAATGATGAGATTATTAATTTTTATATTGCTCTTATATCTGAAAGAGCTAAAGCTACACCTAAAGGCCCAAAAGTTTATGCTTTTAATACTTTTTTTTATACAACATTGGAAAAAAATGGATATCAAGGAGTACGACGTTGGACGAAAAGAGCAAAAGTTAATATTTTGGAACAAGATTATGTCCTTATTCCGATTCATCTTGGAATTCATTGGTGTATGTCAATTATTAATTTCAAAAAGAAAAGATTTGAATATTGGGATTCTCTTAATGGAAAATCTGGAAAAGTATTTCTTCTTTTAAGAGATTATTTATTTCAAGAATCCGGCAATACTATTAATCTTGATGATTGGATTGATTATATTCCAGAGGTTTTTTTTTCTTATATATAATATTTATTAATATAACATAGTCTGGCCCAATACAAACAAATGGTTATGATTGTGGTGTCTTTGCATGCAAAACTGCTGAATGTATTGCTCGGGAGGGATCAATTGATTATACACAAGATGATATTAAAGAACTAAGGAAACGAATGGTTGCAAATATTATTGAAGGAAGGCTTTTTTGAAATATGACTTATTTTTTTATTATTTATTCTTAATTCTTACTATTTAATAAACCATTCAAAAATATATCGCTTAACGATTAACCTATAAGAAATTATGTCAAGTGATTTTGATATTGAAGACGAGATCCAGGATTTTTCTCTTTTATCTGATTATAAGAGGTCTTCTTTTGTATATATATATCATCTTTTTATTAATTTAGTTTAGAAATATCTCTAATACAGTTTTTTTAAAACGTGGCGAAAAAGATTTTGAACCAGATGGCACGTTTAAACAGCAGGAAGTATTAAGAAATAGAATAAATTCTATGTTTAATGTTATTTCTGGAGAACGCTGTATTTCGAAGTATTTTTTTCTATCTTTTTATAGGTTTCTCTTAAAAAATGGTATAGGAAAATATATTCAAAGGCAATTTGGGTATCGGATTTAAAACTTGCAAGAGTCGAGAGAATGCGTGGTACGCAATTCAAATCTCTTGGGAAGTGTGTTAATGATGTTGTGTGGTTGTTGCCTGAAGAAGTTATTTATTTGGTTGAAAGAGGTTCTTTAGAATGTTGGTGGGAAAATGGAATCCCAATGAGTCTTCAAGCCGTTTATTCTGCTTGTCTAGAAGAATCTGGGGGGATTGAACGATACCAAGTATTTTTTATTTTTTTTTGTTTAAGGATCTTATAAATCTGAAGGTTTATTCATATTTAAAACGTTTAGGTTATTATGTTTTTAGACCAGTAAAATGCGAAAATGGTAGATTTTTTTACAGAAAACTGGATTATTAATGTTTCAAGGGGTTTCAAGGTTTTCTTTTCTAGTATCATATGGCTCTGAAAAAATTTCGCCTTTTTTTTTATGGATGAAAGCGCTCATAAGATTTGTTTATAGTATTTTTGAAAAATATACCGCAAATAATTGGAATACATTAGTTGGTGGAAGATGTTATCACTCATATAGTAAAGTAAATCTATTTATTTATATATCTCATATTAATTAGATCAAATTTACAAATCTCTCGAGATTATTCCTTATCATTGTCCTCCTAGTTCTGAAGAAAATTATATTTACGATGAAAATAAAGCAAAAGATCCTTTTAGCATAGCTTATTATGTTTGGAAACCAATTCCAAATTTTAGAAAATCCAAACTCGAAAATCCTGATTTTCGTATTATTGTTGTAAAGTAAAAAAATAACTGAAAATTATCTTTGAATCTGATAATATAAAAGCTCTAGGACAACATCATTGCCATCATTAAAGGAATTTTCGGATATTTTTGATTCAGTCCCATTAATAAATTATGAAAAAAATACAACTGCTTTTCAAAGGTTAAAAAATGGAGCTCGACATATTATATTTGCATTGATTGACTCAGGGGCTATAAGTTTTATTAAGTTTATGGATATTGGATTTGGGAATGAGAAAATGTATATAAAAGATGATACTCATAAAAAAATAAAGTTATAAAAATTTATTAATTATATTAAAAAAATATACATAAATTTCTTTTTCATACTAAAAAAATATCATTTTTTTATAAAACTCTAATTTTGTTTATTACCATCTAAAAAATCGGATATCATTAGAAGCTCAATCGCTATATCTGGTTCAATTGGGAATTCTGGTATAGACTCGGTATTTTTATATTTTTCATGAAAATAAAAATATTGGCACACAATATATAATAATTTAGCACTATGTTTTTATTATATTTCTAAGATTCATAACAAGTTTTACCTGATAGTTTTAAATTTTATTTCATTATTCTTGCACTCTAAAAACTGATCTATAGGATTATCGATTATGAGATTTTAGTAAAAAAAAAATTCTTACTGGATTCATCAAGCATTTCTCTTATTATTCCGGAGACGCATGCTTGAGACCTTTTAACAACAAATATAAAATCATCAGAAGAAATAAGTTTTATATATTCTGGCTTTAATGACATTTATATATTAAAATATTTTTTAGCTCGCTAAAAAAGTTTTAATAAAAATATTGTTATTTCATTATATTAGAATATTATTTTTCTTTAGATATTAAAAGATATACATAATGAAATCCTAAAGAAATGTGGAAATATTTATAAAATTATATAAATATATGTAGTATTAAATAACTAGTCAGTAAAATATTATATATTAAGTTGCTCAATATCTAGTCCTAGTGCATGTAAGAATAGATTAACGTTTCCTAGTTTAATTGCAGCAATGTCTGGAGGAAGATGTTTACTTGATATAACATTATCCATAACTTTTTCTCTAAAATAAATAAATTATCTTATACAAATTAAATTAATAAAATACCGAACTTCAGTGACTAGAATGTGTTGTTGTTCAAGTGTAGATGAAATAGCGCATGCAGCCATAAACTGCCATGGATATATTTCATCAGAAAAGGATAAAGATGGTGGAAAAATATAAATAAATCGACCTATTAATTTTGAAAACATCAAATCATAAATTTTTCTCCTTTAAAAATAAATATATGTCAATATGGCTATAAAAACTAACCATTGTTTTAAATCAGATTCGTCAGCTTGTCCAGATTGTTTTATAATTTCTGCACGACTAATAAACATTGTAAGAAATGAAAGACCAATTTTAGTTATTGCTATCATTTGTAAATTCATTCTTTCTAACATGATGCTTAATAGTTCAATTATAATTTGCAAGGAAGCTTCGGATACATATGCAAGTAATGATGGTAATGCTACTTGCGTAAATGTATCAATATTTTCTTTTATATATTCTGGACGTGATTCATTTGAAAAATTATACAAATCGTATACAACAACATCAAGATGATCCAAATATATGGTGATCATAGTCAAAATAGTTAGCTTTTGTTCGCTGTTGATATATTCGAATATTCGTGGTATTAGTTTTTTTCCTTTATTATATGATATAATCGATATAAATGGGTGAACAATATTAGGGCTATATAGCATTAGAAATAAATATATCGTTGGCAAACATAAATACTTTCTAGGAATTGGTTCCGTTATATGAAGACTTTCTAAAATTTGTTCTTTTAATAACATAATTTTTTTGTTCTGTTCATTATCATCTATAGCCCGGCAATTTTCTTGTTTAGTCTGCTTCTGTTTTCGCAATATCTCATCAATTTCTAACAAACAATCATAAACTTTTTCGATTGAATAAAGATAAAATTTATGATTTCTTTGAATATTTATATGACATGTCTATAAAAGTGTAAGAAAAAGACAGAAATATATAAGAAGAAAACCTTAATATTATTTTTTTCAGTACTATCTGAAGGTTTTTTAACGCTAAGAATTTGTCGTGGAGTTCTAACAGTGCTAAAAGATATTTTCCCCAATGCACCTTCCAAACTAAGTTGAGTTGCTTTTGGTCTTACTTTTCCTGCAGCTACAATATTTTGTATTTGTTGCTGTATTTTTAATATAGGATTTTCATTATTTTTATTCTTAAAATTAAGGGATTGTTTATCTTGTAATGAATATAATGAGTTAGGTTTATCCGGTAATTTCTGTTGATTATTCTTGTTTTTTAAAGAATTGTACGAATAATAATAAAAATCATCTGAATATGGATCATCTGAAACAAGTTGAGAAAGTTGTATACGATTAATAAAATTTTTATCTGACTCATTCATAAGTCCATCATATTGAGACTAATAATATAAGAAGAATTATAAAGATGTTTATCTTACCATATCATTTGTGTCTTGATTATGATGAAATAGTTTTGTTTCATTTATTTTTTTATATTTTTTGTCTTTAAATAGATCGGAATATTGTAACTCTGAATTAGTATTAAAGTCATATCTAGATGATTCTCTTCCAGAATTTGCATGTTCTAAAAATCCTATATTTTTTTTTGTTTCTGTATTAAGAATTGTATTTAAAAATTCCTTACTAAGCATATTATCTTGAGCTGATTCATTAGAATTCCTTTTATTATCTTCAAAAAATTGTGCTTCCACTTCTTCTAAACTAATATATCCTTTAAAATGCTTTTTTCTGGATTCATTGGTATATGTAGATGTTTCAGAAAGAGAGGGCGTTTGTAACTTTAAAGAATATTCCAAATTTCTCTAAAAACAAAAAAAATAAGAAATAATGTTTTCCCAAAATATCCCTCAATTACCATATTGGAATATGGTTCTCTCCAATGAGTTGTTTCCTTTGAAACATATGGAACATACTGAATATCTGAAATTTTCTCATTTTCTTTTCCAACAGGCAGAGATTCTGTATCTGATGTTTTTTCTATTATCTTATCCTTTTTCTTATAAAAAGCTTGTTCTTTATTTATTATATCTGCCATTTTTTGCGTGTTTGTTGAAAAATCAAAATCTCTTCCTAAATATAATAAATTTCAACCTAAAAAAAAAGTCCCAAACACACCAACATCTTCCACATTTACTCCAAACGTATCTTCATTCATATCATCTTTTGTTTCTTCTAATATTTCCCCTAATCCATCATACATATTTTCAAATTCGAAACTATACAATTCAATCTTATTAAATCTCCATATTAAATATTATACCTCTCTCCTAACTCTTCATTTATATGTCCCATTGAAAGAGCTTCAGATTCTGTATTTTTTGAATATGTCTCCCAATCAAAAAATGCCATTTTTTACACTTTTATTATAGAATTATCTGTACCGGATTTTTATCTGCTTGTGAAAAGGTTAAACGATACCATATAAACCCTGATAAAAATTATTTCTTATCGTTTCAGTCTTTTAAAAGTCTATTTATATAAGGAAAAATAGTTATTTTGACTTAAATATCTATCTAAAGTTAAATATATATCGCATATATACTATTGTTTTTTAAATCTTTATTTTGATTTTAGAAAAATATACAATTAAATAGTTTTTAATAAATGTATAGATTTAATAACGTTGAAATATGAATTAAAGATAAAGAAATGTATCAAATGCTTAAATATATTATCTATATATACGTAATATATCCGCATATATAACAAAATATACTGATCTATATAATTCGAGATATGTTTAATATTAAAATAAAATTTACTTGAAATAAAAGATTTATAAATTTAAATATTCATTTTATCTTTGATGGATTTGTTTTATTTCCTTTGTTTTACTTTTTTTAACTATTAAATTTATATTTTCAAAGTTTTTTACTGTAAAACTACATATACAGTATATATAATATGCATATATCTTATAGAAATTTTAATATATCAATAGATATATAGCTTGAATAACCTTTATAAGTCTAATTGTTTAATTCTTTTATATAAAGCAAAGCTATTTCGATTTTTAAATCTATATCGAGTCTGACCGTTTTATAATTACAATTAAAAAAAAATTGTTTAATCTTACTTTTAATTAAAATCATATGTCTAAATCATCATCAAAGTTAAAGAGGGAGGTAGTATTTATTTATATTTTTTGATATTTTATTTAATATTTTATTTAATGTTTTTTAGGCAGAAAAATTAAAACGTGCAGCTAAATCTCAACTGGAAACAGCAAAAAATGAATTAAAGAGCTCGAGTAGTGCTGATTTATCATTAAATAAGCTTTCTTTAGGGGATAGGAATGCAACAGGTGTTTTAACAAGTCGATTAATGAGTCGAGATATTAAGATAGAACAATATACATTAAGTTTTCATGGAAGAGTATTAATAGAGGTATATATGTGTTGATGTATTAGTTTTAGATTGGTTTATGATGAGCGTTTTATAGAATGGTATGCTTTTTTTCAAGAAAAAGAGTTGAAAAGGGCTAATATTTGATTAAGCAACTATTGAATTGAATTATGGACAAAGATATGGACTTTTGGGAGCAAATGGGTCAGGAAAAAGCACATTTTTGAAATCTTTAGCTTCTAGAGATGTTGAAATTCCTTATCATATCGATATTTATCTTTTAAATCAAGAGGCAGAGCCTTCAGAAATTAATGCGATTGATTTTATTATTGCATCGGCTAGAGAAAAGGTTTTAAAGATTGAAGAAGAAATTGAAAAACTTTCTACTTCAGAAGATATTGATGAGCTCTTACTTCAAGATAAATATAATGAGTTAGAAGAGTTGGATCCTAGTACATTTGAAGCAAAAGCAAGTATAATATTATATGGACTTGGTTTTAGTGTTTCAATGATGAAAAAGCCTACAAAGGATATGAGCGGAGGTTGGAGAATGCGTGTAGCACTTGGTTGTGCATTATTTTTGAGACCAACATTGCTTCTTTTGGATGAGCCAACAAATCATTTGGATCTTGAAGCGTATGTTTGTATTGTTTTTTTTTTTATCTTTAAATGACTCTAGGGTAGTGTGGTTAGAAACGTATTTGTCAAAGTACGACAGAATTTTGATTATTAATTCTCATTCTCAAGATTTTTTGAATAATGTTTGTACAAATATTATAGATCTTACAATGAATCGTCAATTATTATATTATGGGGGGAACTATGATACGTATGTGCGAACAAAGCATGATCTTGAAGTAAATCAGATGAAAGCATATGCTAAACAGCAAGGTATATTTAATTGTTTCGATGAATTGTTTTTTTACATTCTAATTTAGATGAAATTGCACATATTAAAAAATTTGTCTCTAGTGCGGGTACCTATGCAAATCTTGTAATTATTTTTATATTTAAGTCAAGTTATTATTAACTGCGTTCTAGGTTCGTCAGGCAAAATCCAAACAAAAAATTATAGACAAAATGGAAGCTGCGGGTCTTGTTGAAAAAGTCGAGCAACCTAAAGTAATTTCTTTCAAATTTGAGAATGTTCAGAAACTATTGCCACCTATTATTGCTGTATGTTTTTAAAATAGTTTAAGTTATTTTTAAATGATCCCTAGTTTAATGATGTTTGTTTTTCATATGATGGAGATGTTAAAAATTCATTATATCTGAACTTATCATTTGGTATAGATATGGATTCAAGAATAGCTTTAGTAGGAAAAAATGGTACAGGGAAATCTACTTTATTAAATTTAATTATGGGTTTATATAATTCACTTTGATTTATTTCATTTTTAATATTAAAAGGAACTTTGATACCAACGGCTGGTAATATATCAAAAAAATCTGGACTTAAGCTTGCAAAATATAGTCAACATTCTGCAGATCAATTACCATATGATAAATCGCCTTTATATTATATTCAAAATAAGTTTAAATCGCAGTATCCCGAAAAAGAAATTCAACAATGGAGAAGCCATCTTGGTCGATTTGGTTTATCAGGATCTCATCAAACAAGTGAAATCAGGGCATTAAGCGATGGATTAAAAAGTCGTGTTGTATTTGCTGAGCTTGCATTAGAAAATCCTCATATTATTCTTCTTGATGAACCTACTGTAAAAATATGATTTTTTAGGAGAAAATTAATCAAGTATAGAATCATTTGGATATTAGATCTATTGATGCTTTAGCAAAAGCATGTAATTCTTGGACAGGAGGAATTGTACTTGTTAGCCATGATTTTCGGTTGATTGAACAAATATGTACTCAAGATATAGGTGAATTATGGGAGGTCTTATTTTTTTTGTATTTTAAAATATTTTTTGATATAAAAATAGATTAAGGATAAGAAAATTGTTAAACTTAACACAACAATTCAAGAATACAAAGAATCATTGAAAATGGAAAGTGCTTTTGTTCTCCAAAGGGCAAAAAACGCTCTTAGAAAAACATCTTAAGTAATTTGTTAAATTATATATTAGAATTATGTATAATGGTTTATAGATATTAAATTTATTTATTAAAGATTTTTTTTTTTTGCAAAAAAGTGCCCCACGGCAGACTCGAACTGCCGACCCCCGCGTCTCGAGGAGATATGTGTTTCCATCGCGGAAATTCATATAAGCACGATGCAATAACCAACTATGCTAGTGGGGCGTATTTCTTTCGTAAGATAGATAAATGAATGATAAATTAGAAGTTTATAGAATGATTTTATATTTGGTTATTAGAATTAAAGGTTTTTAAATTCCTTATAAGACACATATAAAATTTAGACGATATGTATATAATATAATACATATAAGGTATTTTTTAATCAATATGATTTTTAATCTATATATATAAAAAAGATTTTTTTCGTATTTAATGACTTTTGAACATAGAAGTATATAATTCCTAGTATATATCAGATATAAATAATAGTTTATAAAGTTATTCAGCTTCAATACAGCTTAAAACTTTTAATATATTTTTAAAAATATTGATAAATATTTAAAAAATGTTAATATTAAAAACATTAACTCATTGGTCTCTTAACTTTTTAAAAGATACTTCAACTTTTTCAAGAAGTACGGCAACTCTTAATCAAGTAATTCGCGGTGCTAGGCAGCCTAGAAAATCTCCTAGACCAAAAGCACCTCGTTTAAATGGTGCACCATTTAGACAAGGTGTTTGTAACAAAATATATACGGTAAATGAAAATATTTTTTATTAAATAATAAATATATTAACATCTTTTATAGATGAAACCTAAAGTATTTCTCTGAAAATCATCCATTTTGAAAGTTTAATAGATATACAGAAACCTAATTCTGCACAAAGAAAAGTTGCTCGTGTTAAATTGACATGTGGTAGAATGGTCATTGCTTATATTCCTGGTGAAGGTCATAATATCCAGGAACATTCTGTAGTTTTATTACGTGGTGGTAGAGTACAAGATTTACCAGGTGTCAGGTATCATTTGGTGCGAGGTGCACGTGACTTACTAGGTGTTGTTAATAGAGGTATGTTTATTTTATTTAGAAATGAGATTTCTTTGTATAATTTTTATCTTTTATAGTGACATCTCGCTCAAAGTATGGAACAAAGAAATTTAAATCTGCTTAAAAATATGAATATATAGAGAATATATATTTAAGTGTTTGATGGATCTTTTTTTACATGCCATTTAACTTCTTATTTACAAGAATTAAATACCATGAATAATAATTTATCAGCATGTGCTAGACTCAATTTCCTCTGGATTATCTTCAAATATGAATTTTAATATTTAAAAATTTTTTGATGACGTTTTTACATATACAAGGGAAAAAATAATGCATACTTTTTTATGTATTTATTAAAGTTAATAAAAGGTTATATTAATAAACTAATTTAAAGAAAATAAATAAATTCTTGTAATTTTAATTATGGTACTTGACAAGTAATCAATTCAAATATTTTTTCCTTATTAGTCTATTAGATTATGTATTTTTGGTCAGTACTTTTGATGTTTTTTTTTGATGGAATATCTTTAAATGCAATTGTCTTTGGAATTGTATCTTTTTATATTAATTATCTTTAACTTTTTTTTATAAAATATTATTTTACCTGATAAAAATTCTAAATTATCTATTCTAGATACTGCATTTGCTAGTTCACTTATAAATATTAATTTAAAAGAAAAATATAAATTATACCAAGATGTCTATATTGTATTGTCTTTTTATTTTCATTTAGACACATTAATAATCCTTGTTGGACCATATATTGAATAAACATTTCCTTTTATATGTTAATTATAAACTAATTTTTTTAAAAAAAAACCGTAGCAATTGCAATTAAGAACGCCGAATTACTTGAACATTGTACAATATCATCATCAATACGAATAATCTTCTTGACCTTTGAGATTGGAAGGACTGATGTCCCAGTAATGTCTTGATCAATAATCGCTGATGTCATAATATCTTTTTTATACGGCAGCCGGAGTTTTTTTAAGGTTGGTGAGGTTGCCTAGCAACCACTTTAAAATTCTTCAAAACAAAAGATAAAGATAAAAAGGAGTTTAAAATATAAGTTTTAGTGATTATTTTTTATTAAAACATGTTTAAGAAGTCCTTTTATTCCTGATTGCTTTTTTTCTGATTTTAAAATGGGGTTTTATACGAATAGGGGAGTGAATGAAGATTTGGATGAAATCCAGAGTTATGAAGACTTTAGAACAATTGGTATTTGTTAAGAATAATATTAGAAGATTTATTTATTGTTTTTTATGTAGATTGGGTTCAAGATTCGGTTCAAAACTACTCAAGAACAAATCGTAGATATTATTTGCATCATAGGCGTTTAAAGGAAAAAAAATGGATATATAATGTATTTCATATATGTAGACAAGTATTTGATGATATTCAAGTGTGGGTTATTATTACGGTTGTTGGTAAACAGATTTTCAATGTGTTTGTTTAAGATGAGATATCAATATTTATAGGTATTCTTATTGGTTTAAACGCAACCTTTATTGGTATAACGACAAAATGGCTTTCAGATATAAAGCTTGGATATTGTTCTTCTGCGTGGTATTTGAGTCAGGAATTTTGTTGTTGGGAATCAGGAAAAAGTGTGTTTATTTTTTTTAAGGAAAAAATATTAATAAGTTTAGCATGTGATGATTGGCATTCATGGTCAAGCTTTTCGCCTTTTAATTTTTTTTATTATATTGTTTTTGCTGTATGTGTTGTTCATGAAAAGTATGAAAATTAATATTTATATAAAAGGCTCTTTTTTCTTTTTTAAGTGCATTTTTAGTGCAATCATATGCACCTCATGCTGCAGGATCAGGGATATCTGAAATAAAATGTATTGTTGGTGGATTTGTTATGAAAGGGTTTTTGGGATTTTGGACATTATTAATAAAATCTGTTGGACTTATATTGGTTATTGCATCTGGACTTAGTATAGGTAAAGAAGGGCCTTTTGTTCATGTCGCACTTTGCATTGGACATCTTATTAGCAAATTTTTTGAAAAATATAAAATTCATTCAAGTAAAAATATTTTTGTTTTGTTATTAAAAAAAACTAAATATTTAAAAGCAAAATTAAGAGAAATTTATTCTGCATGTTCAGCAGCAGGTGTTGCTGTTGCTTTTGGTAGTCCTATTGGTGGTGTTATATTTTCTTTGGAAGTTGTATTTTAATGTTTGTTTTTATTTAATTTACTTGATTTTAGGAAATATCATCTCATTTTCCAACGAAAACAATGTGGAGAAGTTTTTTTTGTGCTTTGGTTGCAACAGCTGTGTTATCTGTGGGTTTTTGTTTCCTTTTTTTTCTTTTTTAATCATCTTAAGACTATGAATCCTTTTCGAACAGGACAATTGGTCATGTTTCAAGTTCATTATAATAGAAGTTGGCATTTTTTTGAAATTATATTTTTTGCAATTCTTGGAGTATTTGGAGGACTATATGGCGCATTTGTAATTAAATGGAATCTTCGTGTTCAAGCTTTTCGTCGGCATTACCTTTCTAATTTTGCTGTATCTGAAGCAACTATTTTTGCAATAATAACTGCTATTCTGAGTTATGGTAATGCGTTTTTGAAAATAGATATGACGGAAAGTATGAAGATTTTATTTAGGGAATGCTCTAATGATTTGGATTATGATGGTATATGCAAGTTGGTATTATTTATTGTTATTTAAAAAATTTACAATATTAAGGAATTCTTCACAAGCAAGAATAATAATTTCGTTAATTATTGCTACTATTATAAGAATATGCTTGATAATAGTATCATATGGTTTAAAAATACCAGCAGGAATTTTCGTACCATCAATGGCAGTTGGTGCAACATTTGGTCGCTTCTTAGGTATATTTGTTTCAGCTTTTCAGAAGAAATTTCCTAATTTTATACTTTTTTCTGCATGTGACCAAGGTGTTCATGTAAGTTACAAAATTTACCATTAATCTTGACATAATATTTTAATAGTGTATAACTCCGGGAACATATGCTTTTCTTGGTGCTGCTGCCACGTTAAGTGGAATAATGCATATTACAGTATCTGTTGTTTTAATTATGTTTGAACTTACTGGTGCTTTGACGTTTATACTTCCAACAATGGTATGATTTTGATTTATATTATTAATTTTGCTTAATATATATAGATTGTAGTTGGGATTACAAAAACTGTATCTGATCATTTTAGGACGGGAGGAATTGCTAATAGAATGATATGGATTAATGGTTTTCCTTATTTAGATTCTAAAGAACATTATTTTGGTATTCCAGTCGAAGATATTATGACACAAAATTTAATTGTTATTCCATCTAATGGATTAAGTTTACAAGAACTTGGTAATTTTTTATTAATTTTATTAGTAATCTATTTAACTAATATATTTTAGAAACTATTTTGAATTCTAATGTTAAAGGGTTTCCAGTAGTAACTGATCGAGAATCTATGTTATTATTAGGATTCGTTAAATCTAATTATTTACAATGGGTATTAGGTTGTTATTAATTAATTAGTATATTTAATATTGATATTTTCATAGATAAAATTAAATCCACAAATGAAGTATTGCCGACGACCCGTTGTTTTTTTTCAATGCCTGAAAATAAATCTGAATCTAATAATTTTTCAAAATCTTTTGATATTTTAGAAAATTATTCTAGACCTATGACTTCTTTGAATCTTTCTTATTGTGTTAATGCTGCTCCATTAACAGTTCATCCTCAACTTCCACTAGAAATAGTTATGGAATTGTTTCAGAAATTAGGGCCAAGAATAATACTTATTGAGAAATATGGTCAACTTTGTGGTCTTTTGACACTAAAGGATATGCTTAAATATAAATATAAGGTCGAGTATGCTGAAAATCCTGGGGATTTATCTTCCATTAAACAAGATGAGGAACAAATTTTGGAAATTTTACTTAAAATTGCCACCTGGATGAAAAATACTATTTTAAAATGTTCAAGAAAATATTCGAGATCATCCGAAATTGAATTGGTTTTACATAATCGTAATTAAACTTAGTATTTATAAATGTGGATTTTATGTGAAAGGAACACTTGATGTATATTAATAACGACATAAAATGATATAATTCATGTTATATAGTTTACATTAAACATTATTAACAGAAAGTTTTTAAATATAGTTAATTTTAAATTTAGGTAAAACAAAATACTAACAATTTTGTTAAAATACACTTAAAAATGTAATTGAAAAAAAAAAAACAAAATAGATGTTTTTGAAGATATTTTTACATGTGATAATTATTCGGAATATTAATATCATGTTTTAATGCATAAATTATCATAGAAAATAGTCTAATCAATTTAATGAAAATATAAACATATTAATGGATTATACCTGGTGTTCGACGACTTACTTGAGGCTCCCTAATTGCGTTAGAATATTTTATTGACGACTTGTAAATCAATAAACTTACCCTGCTCTTGGTGCTGGATCAAATTGAAGGCTAATTTGTTAAATAGTGGCAACAATAATAACATTACTTACAACGTATATCTCATCTGTTCGTCAATTTCCATAATAGCAGCTTGGTTTCCACACCTATAACAATAATTTGGAGCAGAAAAAATCGTAACTACATTTCTTTCTTGTGACCAGCTATAACCCTTTAAAAAAGTTAGCTTGAATCTTAAAAAATATTTATAAGAACTATACTTCCATAACTAACTGATGAGCCCTAGCGACAAGAGTTAATCCATTATTATGGTTAAATGCCTGAGAAATATCCTGTCCAAAAGTATATCCTGCACCCCGAGGAGAAATTCCCCAACCACAGCGATCATCCGGATCTGACCAAAGAAGATCACACATAGGACCTTCATGAGGCACTTCTTGGATTCTATCTAATGCACGAATATGATCTAATGTATCAATTCCAGGCGAAAGTCCTCCATGCAAACAAAAAATTTGATCATTAATTAATGCTGTCAAAGGAAGATAATCAAAAAGATCTGTAAAACTCTTCCATACATTTGCATTACCATATTTTCGTAAACATTCATCATAAAACCCGTAAACTTGTGTAATTTGTCTTGATTCATGATTTCCTCTCAAAATAGTAATTCGTTCCCTATATCTCACCTTAAGTGCAACTAGTAGCGTCACTGTTTCAACGCTATGGTATCCTCGATCAACATAATCTCCTTTATTAATTTAGGATATGCCTTTTTTGAAAAATAAATTAAGTTTCTAACCCATAAATAAAAAATTTGTATCTGGACAATTTCCTCCAATACGAAAAAGTTCAATCAGATCATGAAATTGACCATGAATATCACCACAAACTACATATCTTTCAATATTTATGTCTTCTTGAGGATATTAAAGGCATTATTCTACCTGTAACTGGACAATTGACAGGCTGAACATTTGATTCTTCCTGTAAAATTTCTCGAGCCTAATAAATAGCTTATATTAACTTACTGTCCCTTCAATTATCCATTTAAAATACATGCCTTATCACATAAACGTCTAACATCTACCTCTGAAAGCTGTTTACATTGCATCAAATGTTTAATCCATCCATCAACTTCGTTAATACTTTCTAATGATTCATTAATGTTTCCAAGAGCCAATGGTAATTTAATATCCGAATCAATCATTCGGATATCTTCCATATTTCTTATATCAACTAAAATAAACTTTTTTAAACTCTTAAATAAGCGATTTTAAGCCTTTTTTTTTCAATTTTATTAAATCAATTCAGTTTCTCAATAGTTTTCCCTTAATTTCCAATTTTTTTAATAAAAATTATTAGTATTTTTTAGAAAAAATTAATAATTTTATTAATTTTTTCCTTAATATTTTAATCACTTGTTAAGAATTTACTAAGATTTAACTTTTTTAAAGTGTGAATATTTAGTTCGATTAATGTTTAAAATACAATGGTCTTAAGCTGGAATATAATTTTTAAAAGAAAAAATTAATATATGATGTAGATATGTTTCTTATTGGATATGTCTTTTAAGTAAATATATCTATATAATTATGTAAAGTTGTTTTAGTTAAGAAAAAATAGTTGTTTGATAAAGATATAGAAAAAAAAGACAAAAAAAGTTTTAATATATTTTATAAACAGATTTATGATTTATTTTTTTTATTAGTAATCAAATATATTTTTTTTTATAAATTTATTAGTTGAAATATTTTTGAATTGATTGATTATAATATGAATTTATATATTTAAGATTTAGTAGATGTTAAATTTTTGTATTTTTTATTAAAATATTGATATTGAAAGGATTGTTTTTTTAAATATCTATTTAAAAAAAACTAAAATATATTTATAAATAAATGTTTTTTGTATTATTTAAAAATGTTTGTGGTATCTATAATGAAATTAAAGGAATTATAATATTTAATTTTATTATATAAAAAATAGTAAATTTTTATATGCAAATTTTAAAAAATGAAATTAAAAATTTTGATATATAAAAATATATGTTTTAATATATATATATTGTAATATTTGTAGTGTTATGTTGTAAGAATATTGTTGTGACTTTGTTATTTTATTAATATATATTGTTTTTGAAATTAATTAATTTATTAGCTTTTTATTTTTTCTTGTAGAATTAAATATATTTTTAATAAAAGTTATTTAAATTAATAACTTCATAATAAAAAAATTCATATTTAAGCATATTAAGTTCAAAGAAAAAATAATTTAATAAAAATTAGAAGTTTTATTCAGTAGAAATAACAAAAATGATATTATGAACAAAAATTCTTGACAGTATAGATAGTTTTAATAAAAAAATTATAAAAAACTAAATATCTTTATATTAATAAATTGAAAGTTGCATTAATTTTTTAAAGATTTGATTGATAATATCAAAGAAAAAAATAGGATATTAATATTTAATTATATTTATTTTAATTAATCTAAAACATTTGTATGTATTTTAAATAAATAAATGTAGTATTTTTATAAAATATCATAGAAATTATTTTTTAGGAATTACCTTTTAATAAATCAAATGGAATAAATAACCCAAAATACAAATAATTTGAATATAGATAATAAAATATTCAGAAATATAGATCAAAAATGAAAAAGATAATAGTTAATTATGAGTAGTATATGCATTGACTAATATTTTATCCTAAAAGATATTCTCTAACATTTATATATCTTTTTAATAACACATCCAAAACTTAGAATACTTCTATTCTTTATAAAAACTGTTGAATTATATAGCATAATGTAGCTCCAAGAAAAGCGGTTGATATACATAATATAGAAACCGTTTTTGGTTCAATTGGTTCTCCATAAAACATCTTTTTAACATCATGAAAATATTGTAAAGCTATTTTTTTCTGAAATCTGTCTGATTCTACAGAAAGAAGACTATATGTATTTTCTAAATTTTTAGAGTCTTGAATTGCTATTTCTTTCATATCAGATTTAACTTGATTTTTCTCTGAAAGTAATTCAAAGTGCTGTTTTAAATCGTTCATTAATTTATTACGTTTTCTTGGCTCTAATCCAAGTTGAATAATTAAAAATAACATAATATTAAATCCAATTAAACTCCATGTTCCCCAAGTACTCATCCGTCGAATTTTGTCACTCCATATTTGTTCTTCATGATATCTTCTAAGCATAAAATGTAATAATTGAACTTGCAATTCATCCAATCTACTTTCACATTCAATTAAATCTGCATAGGCCTTTTGTTCTTCCTGTTCGTTAACATGATCATAACGATATAAAGAAGTAAATCGTTCAAGATCAGATGGTGTCCATAAATGTTTACGTTGCAAAAGTTCATTTACTTCTCGTTGTAACTTTAATCGTTCTTGGATTGCTAATGTATGTTTATATTTAGCTTCCTTAGTTTCTATACGAGCTTTTTTCAAATTAGTTTCTAATAAGACATATTAATCTAAGAAATTATAATAAGCTGAAATATGAACCTTGTTCAGAAATTAAACATTTCAATTGTTCAATCTTTGCATATCCTGTTAACTGATTTATTTTCTCTTCTACTGAAGTAAAATATGTTTTAATCCAGGAAACATAGTTTTGAATATGTTTTGAAACATTTTTCTTAATAATAATATCTTTTAATGATATAGAACCTGAAATAAATGGTTTGAAAAATGTTATATTACGATTTTTTGGAAAAAAAAACAATTTGGAATCCCTTGAAATGAAAAATAAAGAATACCTCATGGAAACAAAGAAAAATAATGATTTATTGTATTTTTTTTTTAAAAAAAAATATTTTTTATGAGATTTATAAAATGGTATAAATGAAGTATTTTTTAGAAAAAAATAAAATGAAAAAACTAAATGAATAAGAAATTATTAGAGACATTAGAAGAATTAAAGAAGAAATTAACCAATGACAAGCTTGTCCTCATCGACAAAATTGTATTCAGGAATCTCAAGATTCTAAAGATTAATATATATAAAATAAATTAAAAAAGCTTACAAGAGGTGCTGGCCCTTTTCGTATACGACCTGAAATATCATAATGAGATCCATGACATGGACAAAACCACCCATGATAATCTCCTGCTTCACCAATAGGAACACACCCTAAATGTGTACAAACACCTGTAATAATTAATAAAAAAATTAATAAAAATGTTAATAAAAAATATACCAATCATAACAAGCCATTCAGGTTTTTTAGTACGTTCATCATCTGTTTGAGGATCTCTAAGAGATGAAATATTAACAGAACGTGCCTCTTCAATTTCTTCTAAAGTACGATGTCGAATAAAAACCTGATTTTTATTAATAACATATAAAATATTTTTATAAGATACAGGTTTTCCCCTCCATCTAACGCAAATTAACAAAATATCTACTTATTTAAAATATATACTTAATAATCATGTTTTTTCCCTCTGGAAGAACTGACAAATCCACTTCAATTTTTGCCATCGCAAGAACATCTGCTGAAGCTGACATATTTGATAAAAAATCTGTAACCGTTGCTTGAGCGCCAGCTGCTGCTACCATTCCAAACGTTCCAACCATAAAATATGAAAATGTACGATTTAATTGTGTTGATGATCCAGACCTAGTTTAAACAATTCTTTAAAATCTTTATTTATTCTTCAGAAAAATACTTATACTGAGAAAAATCCGGGATTCTCGTTGTAGATGAATATTTCCTAGAAGCAATAACCCTGGGGACATTCCTATATAAAATATGACCTGAATCTATAGAAAATACAGAAATTTTTAGCCGGTGTAACATTTTTCTGACGTTTCATCACATCTCATCGCTCAAGATATTAAGATGTCACGTGACCATGGAACTCATTAAAAAAAAAAACAAAGTTTTTACTGTTATTTTCTGTGTTTAAGGATTATAAATATGTAGAAAATATAACAAGTTTTATATATTTTTTATTTTTATACTTATATGCTTAAGGTTTATCAGTTTTAAAGCTACGATAAATAAAAGGAATATAAAATAAGCCAAGTTAAAATGAAGATTTACTGATATTTATAAAAAAAACAAATGAGAAATCTTCCTGAGAAAAACAAATTTATTGGAAAAATTAAAAGTGGGTTTTTTTGTATAAAAAAATGAGATTAAATGATAATTTTAGAGTCTATTATTGTTAAACAATGTAAAGTTTATAGAACTCGATTTGAAGATAATACATGTATGGATTTTGTTCTTCTTCCAGTTTTTATTAGTGAAAAAAATAATTCTAATTTTATTGTGCTTATGAAACATGATAAAGATTATATCAACGCAACATCAATGTATGAATGTTTTTTAAGAGAAACAATCGTTATGAGTGTTAATTTTTGTTTAATTTATAAATTTTTAGGTTTCGTTTTGCTTTTCCTTCAGCAACAAAAGCGCAAGAACGGTTAGAACTTGATAATTATGTGAAACATTTACATAGTGCAACATCTAATTTATATGTTTCGGGAATATGGGTTACATTTGATGATGGTGTGATTTGAATATTTATTATTATTATTACTAAATATGTTTGTGTATTAGCGCTTTTACTTGCAGATGATTATGGAATTCGATCATGGATAAAGGCTTTAATCAATGCTTCTGAAAATTCTAATGATATTGCTTCTCCTATTAAAAATCTGTCACCCGAAACAATTAGAAAATATATACAATCTAGTGTGGGACCTGTTTCTAATCTTGATTCTTCTATTTCTAGTGATATTAATTCACCTTTTTCTTGTGAAATTCCATTTCAAAAATCTCGTGTTAAATCAGCTTCTCCAGAAAAAAAAATACTTCGATCCCCTAGAAAAGGGAATTCCGAAATACCTTTAAAGTCTACTAAAAGCACACTTTCTCCGACTCTTTCTACTTCTAATTTAAATATACCTCGAATTTCTAAAAAACGGCCTTTGGAACTCAGTGGTCCTGATGATTTTGTACCAATTAAACGATCTAAAATTGAGCAACTTGAGAAAGAAGTCGTTATTGAGAGAAAACGAGTAAAGACACTTATTGCTCTTGCTTTTAGTCTTGGTATAAGGTTTCATAACTTTTTTTTTTGAAAAATTTTAATTCATTTTAGTGCCACTCTTCCTTATATTTTATAATTTTTTGTGTCAAAAGATATCATTACCTGTATTTATTTTTAATCATATTTTGCTTTATTTTTTTATGGCCTTGATTTCATAATCTTACCGATCAACTGATCTTGCAAAACTTTTAACATTTCTAATTAATAAGACTTAGATAAACATGTTTTAACTATCGATAAAGTATTTTGTAAAGGTTATTACATTGATTTTGTCTTTATATTGATTTGTTAGAAAATTATTTAAATTTTTTAAGGTAGACTTTAAATCTAGAAAAACGGGATTTTAATGATTAAAAAAACATTAACCAGTCTGTCAATCCTCTGAATAATATAGAAGACATTTCATATTGTTTTGATAGGAAATAATAATTTTATGAATGAATGATTATTCTGTTTTATTTTTTCTAAAAAGATATGATTTTGATGGCTAATAATATTTTTATAGTAAAATAAATGTCAAACTCAATATTTGAAATAAAAAAGGATCGCGTTATTATTTATTTTGTTGCATCAAACTATTTTATTTATGATTATAAGAGTAATTGTTTTAATAAGATTTCTATTTTTTTCTAATATATTTTTAAGCAGTAATGCAATTAAGACTTAAATATCATATATGTGGGTTTTTTGTTGGTACATTACCTCAAGCACCTCAACAAAATGTTTTTCTTGGACTTCCATTGGAATTAATTCCAGAAGAAGTTGCATGGCTTGTTGATCAGGGTTAACATTTTCAGCCTACATGTTTTATTTTTGATTTGATTCAGGACATGCGTATATTGTTGATGACAAGTTACGTCATCAACTTTATATTGAAAATGTTACTTTGGAAGATGTGCTTTCTATTAAAGAAAAGAGAATAGCGGATATTAAACGTCAAAATGTGGAATATAAAAGAAATTTACGGGAAAAGTCCGCTATAAACCTTTTAAAGGATACTTCTTCTTCTAATTTAGATTCTATCATTTCTTCTCTTGATAATTATGATGCTGAAGATGATATACCACGAAATATTGTTGTTCCAACAAAATCTAAGAAATCACTCTACGCAATGTCTATTGAATTATCTCCCAAAGTAAAGGTAGATCTGTCTCGATATTCTGTATGGAAATATCTTCATGATAAAGGCTATTACATGACACCTGGTCTCAAATTTGGTGCTCATTATCTCGCTTATCCAGGTGATCCCTTAAAATATCATTCTCATTTCTTAGTGAATGTAATGGAATGGGAACAGGAATTTTCTATAATAAATATAGTAGGTGGTGGAAGACTTGGGACAAACGTTAAAAAAGCCTGGGTTATTGGAGCAAATAATCCTAACACTAATATTGCTCATATCTTTACTGTTGAATGGACAGGATTTGGATAATTATAAAGAAAAGTTGCCTTTTAATATTCTTTTTCTCCATCTTGAATTCCTTATTTCGAAAAAAATACAATCGTGTTTATAGATTTAAAGATTACGCCTTAAAATATAATTCAGTGAACAATTTAATGGCTATTTTATAATCATAATTAGTTTTTAAAGAAATTTATTTAAAAATAAACTTATAAAAACAAATCAATATAAATAGATAAGCATGTTTATTTATTTATTAAATAAACTAATGCCTTCCCGGATACATTCCATTTTTCTTGAAAAATGAATTTCAGTAATGTTTTATCAAAATATAATTATGAATAAACATTTTTAGAAAATGCATATTAACAAATTTTTATTTTTTTTAAAAATTAATAATTTACGAAAATATTAAAATTAAATAACAGATAGGAAACATGGCATAAAATATTTGTTTTTATTATATCCTTATAATTTTTATTCATTTTTATTTTATAAAATCTTAAAATTTAAATATCGATTACGCTAAGGGCACCACTTTCTATTTGAAAAAAATCCAAGTGATTAGGGATATTAATGATTTATTATAAAAAAATAGGAAATTATTCAGACTTTTATTTAAAATATTTTCTAAATTAAGGATACTTTTTTTTATTAGAAAAAAAAACGTTTAAATTTGAAGCAAGAACAAAGTTAACAGTTATCACTATTTTAATAATTACTAAATTGCTTTATTAGTCAGTTTGTATTGCTATAAGATTGCAATTCTATAATTAAAGGAATATTTATAGTAAATTGATTTTATTTTAAAAAATCTTTTTTTTATTGTTTCTTCAAGAAAATGTTCACTCAGGTCAGTATAGATGTAAATTTCCACAGAAAATCATCTTATTTTCTTTAAAGACCCCAGTTGGGGGAAGAAGAGTTCGTAATCAACGTCAATGGTCTAAGGTTATTACTGGAGATCGTCCCGCTGCACCATTGCCCTCATCAGGAGCTTCCCCATCATTTTCATATGGTTCTCCATCAATTAATCCTCCAGATATTCCATCACTTCATGATACAACTGTTGGCCTTGCGTCTGCACTTAGAGCTGCACAAAAAAATACTCAAAGGAAGGATTATATAAATGAAAATATTACACCTTTAAAACAACCTAAATTTTTAAAACAAGAACTTTCAAATACTAGTCCCCTATATTCTCCAAATCCAAGAAATATAGAACGTAAAAAAGGGTATCTAAGATTTTAATAAATTGCTTCCTAATCTATTATAGATCTCAACGAGTTTTGAAAAAAATGGATGAGAATTTAGATTCTTCAGATAATCACTTTCAAAATGATCAGTTGAATATGAAAACTTCCGGAAATAATTTTAAGAGTTGTTGTTTTCTTGATTATAATATACAACTAAATTTTACATAGAAAATACTGATCAAGATCAAAATATCAAACAAAATGAAAAAGTATCTCGTTATTATTTAAGAGAACATGATAGTGTAGATGGTGGTTCACGATTGTCATTAAATTATGATGCAACAAATAATTCAGAAAATCTAGAAAACTTTGAATCTCGATCATATGAAGAAGAAGAACTTTTATACAGCCAATTAAATGAAACGGATTTTAAAGACTTTTTTGATAATTATGATTCTAGTATTCCAGAGGATTATATAAATACAGATAGTCAAGAATACCTTGATGATGATTATGAAAAGCAAGCAAACAAAATATTAAATTTTATTCACTTTTGCTGGTTTATGATTACATCTCTTTCTAGGCAATTCATCTTCTATTGTTTTAATTTACTTATGTGGCCAATTACTACTCTTATTTCTTTATTTTCTCATATAATCAAATCAATTTTAAAGATTACTATTCGAAAAGTATATACCATATTTATTATTCTTTCTATAATATTCGCTATCACTATTCCAAGTTTGTTGGAGAAAAATTATATAAAATTGAAATGGATTTATAGACCTTATTCACTATCAATATATAATCATTCAAATCCTCAAAATATGGATGAATTGATACAGCGCTTAGTAAATTTAGAGAAAACTTTAAAGAGTTATGAGATAACAATTCAAAATATAATCCAGGATAAAAAAAATATATTAAAAGCGATAAAAGAAATAGATATTAAAGGACATGAAAATTCAGAAACAACAAAGTTATTAAAGAAAGAGTTTAATGTATTTAAAAATTCGTTTGAAAAAACTAAGAAAGAAATATTAAACCTAAATCTACAAGATGATAGAAAAAAGTCGCAAATTACTGACCTTTTTCATTCTTTTTCTTTTTTACAGAAAAATACTTCGAAATGTCAAAGTCAATTTAATGATTGTAAAAATTCATTAGCATCTTTTAATTTAGAAGTTTCTGCTATTAAGAAATCAGTTGATTGTCTTTATAAGGAGTTTAATAATTTTCAAATGACTTTTAAAAATGATTCAGATGATAAATATATTACGGACAAAATTATTAAAGTAATTGATTCTTATCTTCCGCCACAACTTGTTGTAAAAATAAATCCCAAAACCAAAAAAATAGATATTAGTCCTGAATTTTGGATTCTTCTTCGAGAAATTTTTCCTGATCGTTTAGAAATAGATGGTGTTTTGAAAGCATCATTTGGAAAGGAGCTAAATAGAGATGAAAATGCTTCGTATTTAATTTCATGGACAAATTTCCTTAAAAATAATGAAGAAAATATGAAAACCTTTATTAAAACTCAAACTAAAGAAGATTTAAAAAAGAGTGAAGAAAACGGATTAATTGTATCTAAAACATACTTCATGACTACGCTTAAAGAGAACCTAAAAAAAATTCAAAATGATTTAGAAAATGATTTCACGAAAATGAAAGAACAAATTAATGATCGCTTCAAAAAAATAGATTATATGTTTAAAAATAAGACAGAAACTGATCATTTGAAATATTCGAAGAATGAAAATGCTTTCAACAAAGCAATTGAAACTTTGGTCAAGGCTGCTCTTCATAAATATTCTTCTGACGTATTAGCTCGGCCTGATTTTGCTCTTTACTCTTCCGGTGCAAGAATTAATCCTTTTCTTACATCACCGACATATCTACAAAGACCTACTAGGTTTATTCCAAGACTTTTATCTAAAATATTTTGGAATATTGGCTGTACTTGGGGTTATCCACCTGCAATGGCTATTAATCATGAAAACACTGTAGGAATGTGCTGGGCATTTCCTGGTTCTTCTGGACAAATTTCTATTCGTTTAAGTGAAACTATTTTTTTAACTGACATAACAATTGAACATGTTCATTCTGATATTGCTCACGATATTTCTACTGCTCCTCGTGATATTCAATTTTGGGCTCATATTGATCATCCTGATTTACAAGAACTAGTAATTCAACATACTTCACCTCAGTCACTGAATTCTATTCCACCATCAAAATCATATTTTTTGATTGCAACTATGACTTATAATATTTTTTCTACCTATTCTATCCAAACTTTTCCTATCCCTACTGTTATTCAACAATTAAATATTCCTGTGAAAAATGTCCTCTTTCGAATTCTTAGTAATTGGGGAAATGATAAGTTTACTTGGTATATTTTCTTTTTTTTTTCCTTTATTTTTCTAACTTTAAGTCTTTATCGTATTCGTGTTCATGGAACAAAACTTACACTTAATCAAACAACCACATCTAATCAAAACAAATAATTACTCATTTTTTTGATATTTTTGTCTTTTTTCTATTGATTTTTGAATTCAATCATTCTCAGCTTTATATTCTACTCTTTATAGATGTCACGTGAGGCCAGTCTTTTCACGTGACATCTATAAAAAAATCTTATACTTAAATTTTATTTTCAAATTTTTCCATGAATGGCCTCATCTTTTATTCCTTATGTTCACCAGGTTTTTATCTTTATATTGTATGATATTATCAGATCGGTTTTGCTGATAAAATATAGACTGCAGGTCATGAAGGAGTTTTGTCTGATAAATCTGGGATTATTATATGTAAACCCTGTATACCAGCAGAAGTTGCATTTTATACAATGGCGCAAGCTTTTCCAGCGTTCCAACGTTGGATGCCTACATATATGGGAAATTTGACGCTTCAATCATCATCAGAATCGGCAAATAAGTCATCACTAGGATCGGATGCAATTGTTCTTGAAAATTTATGTTATCCATTTGTTCGACCATGTACGATTGATGTAAAGCTTGGTTCAAGGCTTTGGGATGATGATGTATCACCTGAAAAGCGAAAACGACTTGAAGAAGTATCTAAACATACAACAAGTGGCTGTCTTGGATTTCGTGTGTCAGCAATGAGGATATGGAATGTAAATGAAGCAACGTATCAGTCATATTCGAAGGAATGGGGTAAATCGTTGACAGCATCGACAATATCAGAGGGTTTAAATAAATTTTTATCGGCTGTAGAGGCGAAAGAACAACGGTTAAGAATAGTTTCTGAATGGATTAATAGTTTAACACAAATTCAAGAAGTTTTGAGTAAAGTTGAGGTTCGAATGTATTCTTCGAGTTTATTGTTTATATATGAAGGGGATCCGGAAGTATTAATGCAAAGAATTAAACAATTGGACGTTGCAAAACAAAATATTGAGGAATTGGATATTGAAACTCAATCTAGTAATAACAGTACTGATAGTATAAATAGTGAAAAAAATTGCAATATTCCCCATATTTCGGTTTGTCGATTAATTGATTTTGCACATGCACATTGGGTTGTTGGTCAAGGTTCAGATGAAAATGTTTTACATGGTATTGCCTCTCTTAAAACAATTTTAATGAAGATTTCAAGTGAATATTCTTGATAATGGTTCATGGTATTAATTTCTTGATTCATTTACTTGTTTTTACATTTAAACATTTTTCAGATTTCAAAATTTATTAATATTCTATTTTGAAAGTTCATATATTAGACATTTCTATAAGTTCTGCTGCTAATCTTTGTAAATAAAATCCTCTCTCATCTCCTGTTAGTCCTCGAAAACCTTCAAATATCTTTTTAATTAAGATACGGCCATTTTCATAGGCTTTTAAATCTTTGTTGCCATATACATCATTAGTTAAAGTCGAATAGTATTGATAATCTAGATGTCTCCAAAAAACATTCACACTTATTGAAGGCTCAAGTGATTGAACCGCATGAAGCCAAAATGCTGGTATATAAAGAATATCTCCCGGATATAAGATGACTTGATGTGAATGTGTATTTCTCAAATTTTCCGGGTTTTCTGTAAAAATATTAGGAATTTTAGATGACGATGACCCAGGAAGAAATTGAAGATGTAAAACATCTGATGGAGGGTATAATTGAACTTTTTTCGACCCTCGGATCTGAATAAGGATATTAGACATAACCTAATTGTTTTAATATGTTTATTTTGAATATATATGTTTAAACATACATCATAATGGAGCCACATTCCAATGTTTTTGCTAGAAATACGGAGAGGAGATGAAAATTTATTTGGGCATATAGTTTGTGACAGTTCTTTAGGAATATTTAAGTCATCTGAAATTTCTGGAAAGTCTTCTTCTAAGAGACTTGGTTTAGTTCTTGGATTTTTTGTTGAAATTGATCTCATATATAATTTGCTTCCATCCTTATAAATAGAATTTATAAATTCTTCAAATTCCATTGTTTCATAACTGAAATTTTTTTCATGAAAGTTCATAAAATTAGTTTTTGCATTATGAACAATAACCTATATATTAATTTTATAAAATAGATTTGTGCACAATATTTACCTTGCGAGTACTTCCTATACGTGAAATAAGATATTCTGGTGTCCATTTTTCCACGCAAGTTCCTATATCTAATTCTTTTAAAACAATAGGCATGTTTTTTTCTAATATTTCTTCCCATTCATCTTTACTATTAATTTTAATACTAGAAATTAGTCGAATTATAGGGTTTGTATGTTCTAGAATCACTGAATTGGGCATATTGATATTGTTATTATTAAATGTATTAATAAAAGTTGGAACACATGATTTTGTATTTTCATATTCGGAAATCAGCCATTCTTCATCTGAATTGGATTCAGATAGTATTAAAATATCATCATTCCAGCAAATACCAAAAGAAAAGCATAGACAGCCGCCACCTAAAATAAATATATCATTATTTCTTCTTATTATATCAAAACCAATAAGAATTGGATCATTTTCAAGACTTTGCACATTTAATGGAATTATTTTTTGATTTTCTAGATCAAGAAGTATAAATTGGTCATTCCAAGAGATACAATGAAACATGGATACTCCTCCAACGATTAATACATCTCCATTTAAAATTCCTATAACATTTACAGCTTTTGCTCCTAATCGAGATATACATTGAATATCTAAGATGGATATATTACGCCATGGTAAGAATTCTAAAAACCATTCTTTATTTAAAATAGTTATCTTAAATGTCCATATATCTTCATATATAAGGCCGTCTTCATTCATTCCTCCACAAATAATACCCTCCTCTCTTTCCGGTAGCCAAATTATACACATTCCCCATCGCGGTTGTGGTTTATCCTTTGAATTAATTCTTAATATTTCCCAGCCATTTTTATCACTCCACATTACCCATTCTTTATCAACAATTTTAGATGTTTTTTTATTACCTCCAAATATTATGAATCTAGTTTCGTTCTGAAGAGTAACTTTAATCATTCCATGTCTATAGCGTCCACCATCAGGAATGGGTTTTATTATATTTTGTGTTAAATGGCTATGTTTCCATCCAGAATTTGATAATTTGCATGGAGATTCTCTTCCTCCAATACAAATTAAAATGTCTTCCTTAGGACAGTAATCTAATGTATGGCATACACGAGAATCTACTAATTTTATATTTAATTCAGGTATTTTATTTTCTTTATGTGTTATTAAGAATGTTTTTTTATCACGGCCTGATTCAGAAATACCACCATGATAAATAATAGTATTTTGACCAAATAATGATGCAGCGCCAAATCTTCTATGAAAAGTAATATTCCCCTTTACTTTATAAAATTTTTTTGAAAGAAAATTACTGTTAGAATTATTAGACATACATTTATTAAAAACCTGCGGCTGTTTATTTGAATTTAAGTATTGATGGCCTTCAGGAGGAGAACTTAAAAGAATATTTTTTTTTGAAGGGAGATTCTTTGCAATTAAAACATAATAATGTTGAAGAAATAATATTATTTCTTCCCATTCATCAAAATCTTCTACTAGATTTACTTTGTTTCTTGTTTTTTTGTCAATACCATAATTCCAAAACGTCCATAAATCAAATGCTTCTATATAATTCCATCCTCTGTCTGAAAATCGTTTATATTCTAAAATAAGTGTAGGATACTGATCTAATGAATATAATGGTGTTTTTAATTTATTAAAATGAGATATCATGGTTCGACCAAAAGGATGGTTTTTAGAACATGGCAAAATCTGTTCTAAAATAACGAAACTTGCTGAAATAATTATGAAATTATTATCTATAATGAGACTTACCATAAGGAAAGGAAGATGCCCATTCAATTAGTTTATCGGAAAATTCTGTTTGTATATATACCATTGCAACTTCTGATATAAACAATACGTCCATAGATTCAATATTATGGCATTTTTCATTAATAATTGTTTTTAGTAGATCTAAATTTCGAATATCACAGCCAATTAATTGATATTGCAATTCTAACTTGTTTTTATTTGATAATACATATTTTTGAGACATTTCTTTTAACTCCTTATCTTTTTGAATAATAAGAGCTTTTCTTTCTATGAGATCTTGGAAATCAACATCAAAAAATCGAACATAATTAAACTCTGGTTTTGATATATATCGAAACGGCATTGGATCACTATATCTTTAGATTCATTGATAAAATACAATCTACATACTATCCACAACCAAGATTTATGATGATCTTGTAACGATTATTTTTTTCAGAAACAAACTAAATATTATATTTAATTTTCTTGGAAAAAGAAAAAATAAAATACATTTTGTATAACTGTCTCTATTGCCTGACAACGAATATAATATCCACGATTAATCACTATAATATGTAAGTAGAAATAGAGTAAATAGTATTAATCATTAGTACCAGGGGATCTTCTCTGTGGTTTTTTAACAAATGCTCGTAGATATTGATTTTCTGAAAATGGATAACCACAATATTCTGCTGATCGTTTAGAAACAATAGATGTATCATTTGTACCTCGTTCTCTTATTATAATGTATTTAATCTGATAAAACCGTTATACCTTGTATAATTTTGTCTTTTTTATTTGAAATTTGCATCTTCAATTATTTTCTAATGCTTTTTTTTTGGTTTAAAAGCTTTTATAATATCCTCATAGATTTAAGTTCGCTTCTTTGAGCTCTTACTGATCTAATTCTTTATAAAAATCCTCTTGTGCCTTTTCTAATAACTTTCAAAGATCCTCAGTAAATCTATCTTTTTGGATAGGAGTTTTTAAATAATTCTTTAAAGAATGAATTAAAAAATAATAAAAATTAGGATATTTTTATTAGATTTTAAGAAAATGTTTTATTAATTTTCCTAAAAGTCCTTAAATCCTTTATAATTAAGCTATAACTTATAAAATACGGTTCGAAGCTTAAGCTTTTAATTTGTTAAACTGATATAATAAATAAATTAGTAGAAATATATAAAAAAAGAATTGATGATTTGAACAAAGGATTTCAAAGTTTTATTGTTTTATGTTTTTTGTTTTATTATTTAATATAAATGACTATTCAAATATATTTTTTATGATTATAAATTATTAGTATTAAATTTGATTAATATTGTTTTAAATTTATTTTATAAAGAAAAAAAAAGATTTAAGATAAAGGCTGTATTTAAAGTTTTTTTATTTTTTTGCTTTTAAACACTATTATATTATTTATTATTCAGTTAATAATTTTATATATAGAAAATGATAATTGATAAATATAAATATACAATTTTTTTTAATATCTACGTCATTTAATAATAATGTTTAGTTGATAATATAATTAAATAAAATAAATTTTTTTGTTTTAGGCATAAGATTTTATTGATTTAAAAACTAATTTTTTTAGTAAAAAGTTTATCATAAAGCGTAATTCATAATTCTTTGTTTTATCATTAATCTAACTATAATTCAAATTTTATTTTAATAAAATAAAAAGAAAATGAGATCAATATAAATTATTTTTAGAAAAACTAAGTTGAATATATAAATATATTTATAGAAATATTCTTGACAAAATTAAATTATAAGCATTTTTTTAAAGATTAGATTTTGTTAAATGAAGCTTCAAAGACTATAGAAATCATTTATTATATTAATTGATATAAGATTAAAAGGTTATAATATAAAAATATTTTCTTAAAAATGTAGTAATATTTAATAAATATTTAGAAATAATTAATATAGATTATTAGTGTTATTTTCAGTACAGTTTTCATTATAGTATTAATTTGAAAAAATAGAAATATGTTTTTTAAAAGTAATATTTATAGATCTTTTAATATTTTATTTATTATTAAATCTAATACTAATGGGTTTCTTTAATTAGAGTTGAATTTCAAAAAAAAAGTTAATTAAATAATAAAACTAGAAAACACCTCAATTCCTAATTTATTGATCTACATGATCATTACATTTAATAATTGTAGCTATTTTTATTATATTTAGATATAAAATGATCATTTTTTTTAATTTAATATTTTTTAATCAAATATTATTTTTAGAATATATTGTTGATATCATATTTTCAAATGTTTAACTAAAATTAGAAGCTTTTCCACTTATCTTTGAAGAAAATTAAACTAATTCCTAATTAATTACATAAAACCTACCAATAATCCTACAATTAAGCCGAAAAGACCAATTATTGAACCAAAAATCTCGATAACAAGAATCTTTACAAACAAGTTTGGATCTTGTGCATCTGCAAGAGCCACACTACTTCCTGTAACTCCCACTGCAAGCCCACATGCCAAATTACAGACTCCTACTGTTAATCCTCCCCAAAAAAGTGAATATCCTGTATTTTTTTATTAATAAACTATTATAAATTCTTCCTCTTTTTACCCGTATTATAATTTTGTATTGTATAAAGATTCGGCCCTACTACTTCTTGTAATTTTGTACTAAATACAATTGACATAATAATCCCATAAATTGCAACTACTTCACAAAAAATAATACTATTTCCCTTTTATTAGCTTTAAAAATACTAAAATCTTCCGTATTAGATCTTTTCTGATTATACCTAATCAAATTTTTCGTCTGAATATGAGGCGTTTTAACTCCTCCTCCAATAATACTTGTACCTGTAATAAAAATACCCCTACTCTTTTTTAACCATTAAATAAAAAAATGCAATAAAAATCAATATATACCAAGCAGCTGCTGTAACACTTAATCCAATACAAAGACCAATTCCAACAAGACCCCAAAGATAAGGACTAACTTTTGCAAAAAAATCATCTATAAAGAATCAATTAAAGCCCAGAAAAATACAAATATGATAAAAATATCAGTATTTTTAACGAAAAACTATAAATATACCTATATATGATGGCTCTGTGGATGGATTGGCGAGAACAAGAGGAAACATGAGGCAAAAGGTTATGACAAAAATTTAAGAAATATATCTCTATATAAATTAAAACCCTGAGTCTATAAGAAATAAAGGCGTCTAGTAATATATATATAACAATATATATTGTAGAGAGAAGGTTATTTAAAAGAATAATATATATTAAAAGGGCCTAATTAAATCGAGGTTAAATCCGACGACATAAAATTTTGGAATAAAAAAAAACAAAAAGCTGAATAGAATGTCAAATACTCGATATTATGAATTATATAGAAGAAGTTCTATTGGTATGTAGTTTTTTTGGCGCTTTTTTCTGTTTTTTTTTGGGAAAAAAACATTGACTTTAAGAAAATAGGTATTTCTTTGACGGATGCTTTAGATGATTTGATTCGTGAAGGACAAATTCCACCTCAATTAGCAATGAAAATTCTTTTAAATGTATGTAGAATGACTGAGTACTCCTTTTTTTTAAAATTGTTTTTCTTAAAAAGATAGTTTGATAAAAGTATTACCGATAATCTGACAGAAAAAGTCAAGTCTCGTATGACATTTCGTGTAAGTCTTTTAGATATCTATTGATTGTGATTGGACAATCAAAATTTTCTTATTGTTTTTATGGATAGAAGTAACAGGATGTGTTTAGGGACATCTTGATACCTACAGGTTTTGTGATGAAGTATGGACCTTTATTATTAAAAATCCAAGTTTTCGTTTGGAAAATGATACAATGATATCAGATAAGATAAAAATAGTTGCATGTAATTCTAAGGTATGTTTAAATATTATGAATTTATTAGGAGTTTGGTTTTAATAAAGATTTATTATACAATTACTCCAAATTGTTTTTGATTAAAAATATTTTTTCAAATTTGATTTAATCTAATATAATTTTTAGAAACCCGGTGATGTTTAATTCATACTTTGGACTTCATATATTTTTTAATATATAAATGCATTCTTATTTTTAAACTGTTCTTTGGATATTCAATTTACATTAAGGTTGATCTCGATTTAATTTAATAGAAAAAAAAATTATGAAAAATAATGAATAAATAAATAAATATTTAGCATAGGTTTTTATATTTTTAGACCTTTAAAATTCTATTTTGTTTATAAAATGTCTATCATTAGTCATTTTTGCTTAGATATCTTCGTTGTCATAGTGATAGGTACCTGAGGATGGACCTCACTAAAAAAGAATATTTAAAAAAAGGCATTTTTAGAGCCTTTTTTTCGAGAAATATGTTTCATAAGAAGAATATTTATAAGCCTTTGAATATATATATTGGATCTTTATGTTTTTTTTCCGGAAAAACCTGCTTAATTTCAGGTGGTTCAAGAGGAATTGGTCTTGGGATTGCACAAAGGTTTTCAAAAGAAGGGAATCGTTGTATTTTAGTTTCTCGTAATGAAAATAATTTAAAAAATGCCATCTGTTCTCTTTCTTCTAGAAAGGATCATGAATATTATTGTTTGGATGTCAGAAATCCTTATCAGTGGGAACAACTTGCTAAGAAAATTGATAAGCTACACGTACTTGTAAATGCCGCTGGTAAGGCATTTCTACCATCAAGGAACTTTTCTAAGTATTAAGGTGTATCGCAATATGCTTTTCTTCCCAAAATTTCTGTAGAAGAGATTGAAAATATCATTTCAACAAATCTTTTAGGATCTATTTATTCATGTCGTGTATTTTTACGACATTTTCTCAAAAATAAGGGTGGTATGATATTTTTTCTTATGTTATTCTATATAAAATATTAATAGGCTCAATTATTAATATTTCTTCTTCTATAACATTAAGTGGAGGTTCAGGTGCTACAATCTATGCTGCTTCGAAGGCAGGAATATCAGGTAGATAAATACCCATCTATTAGATATTTCTAAAAATAAAGGGTTTACAAAGGCATTGTCTGCAGAATGGGCATCTAAAGGAATTAAGGTGAATGCAATTTCACCAGGCTATGTTGATACACACATGTTAAGTCGTAAGATTCATTCAAGAAAAATCTAAAATTAATATACCATAGAAATGAAGAAAGAAATGCGAGATTTCGCTTTATTGAGTAATCATATGAGAAGATTTGGAAATATAGAAGAAATTGCATCTGCTGCCTTTTTTCTTGTATCTAATGATTTTATAACAGGAACTACACTACACATAGATGGTGGTATTTAAAAATGTGTTTCTTATATGCAATCTAATACAATAACATCACTGTCATCATCATCAATAACAATAGGATCCATTTTAGTTTTTTTAGCAATCAAATTAGATTCGGAATTTAAGTAATCTGATTTTCTTTTTTTTAAAACTTGAAAATCATTATCATTATTGTTTTCATTAGTTATATCATTTCTTTCAGCTTCATGATTATATGAATGTCTGGGTATTGTAATATTTAACATGGAATATGGTTTTTCTGTGTTTTTGAATGTTCTAAATATATTAAAAATATAAATAATGCAAAAAAACGATACTTTTCTTTTATTACTAATATTAGGTTTTTTCTGTTTAGCTTTTCATTATCATTTTCATCAATAATAGTTAAAAATGTACCGTTTTGAACTCCAATGTCTTTAAGTAATTTGTCAAGATTATCTTCGAATTCAATGTCATACAACAGTCTATCACTTATAATGCTTATTTCTTCACCATATCCCAGTCCTTCCTGTAGAACATTTATAACTAAATTTTTAAGTGTTGCAGAGTTAATATCAACTGAAAATATAGATGTTTCTATTCCACAAAGTTCACATTGTGGATTTGGAAAACTTGCAGGTGCGCTATTAAATACTCTTTCTGGACGTCGTGAATAGAATACCTTATAAATTTAGCATGAAAATATTAAGGAAATCTTTAATACTGTTCTTAAAGAATTAAAGTTATTAGATAATACATGAAATGCTTGTAGAACACAGATACCAGAAATTATGGAATTTGTAGTGGCAATAGAAGGTATGATGTTTCCTGCCATTTCTTCTCTAATTACAAATCAATTAATTGGCAATTGAATATCTTACGTTTAATTTCAAATTTTGACTTTTGTTCAATACCAAAAACATAAGATCGAAGATTAGCTGATGAGGATACAAAATTTAGAATATCTTCATCATCTTTATCGAATGGAATAGCAGATTTATTATCTGAAAATGAATCCAAAAGTGAAATAAATCTTCTACGTAGATTTTCCAAACTTTTAAATTAATATAATTTTATACTTGAAGAATAATATAATAGCTATTCTTACCTTAATAGAAAAATATAAAAATTTTCCTCAATAGTCCATACCAATTGGCTATTTTTTAATCTTTCTTTATCAATTGTATCAGATTTCGATTTTAAATCTTCATAAGAAAGAGGATTTATTGTTTTTAATATTCTGGATATTTCTTCCATAGACTTCAGTTGTATAATGTCGTCAAAGTAAAGTTTCTTGAACAATTTTTCAGCAAAATTCTCGTCCTTTATAGAATCTTTGATATTCTTAAAAATATTCTTTGTAATATATAAATCATGCATATCTTTTTTCTAAGAAATTGAAAAGACTTATAATTTAATTATAAATACCTTCTTTCTCATGCTTTTCTGTATCAAATGTTTTTTTAGTATCAAAAATATGTCTATTATTTTAGAACAAATTATTTTTTACCATTAATACTTACGAAAATAAGTAACTTTTTGCCCAAACAGTGCAATGAATGGGTAGAGTAGGCGTCATTCTTATAGTACAAATAGGATATGTCTTGGGCGTTTCCTTCGGATTACAATCATAACATTCTGTTTTTCCCTTAAATATTAAGTATTAAAAAATATAGGTATAATAAATAAATACTTTAATTATAACCTGAACCTGACCACGAAATCCCATTGTTCCACTTTCAATAAGAGGAACACCTGCTATTAAACACATTTTATTAACATGACGACGAGCATCTGTTAATATAAAAAAATATAGATAAAAACTCTTTTCAAAAATACCTAAGTTATCCAATGCATTAAATACTAACGTAAACTTCTGAAACCAAAAGATATTAAACCTTGGATCTTTAATATCTGAATGGTATGCTTTAAGTTTGGCTTTAGGATTAAATTTTTGAGCATTTTCTTTTGCAACCTCATAAAAATAAGATATTTAATATAGAAAAAAAACAACAATACTAATGATTTTGGCTTTTTAATATGTTTTTTTTCAAATAGAAACTGACGGTTAAGATTTGACAGATCAATCGTATCTAAATCGATCTAAATATATAAACAAGAATCTCATCAATTAATGCGAAGATTTACAATATGTATTTCACAAAAACCAGACAATAAAAGGTTTTTAAGTAACTCGCATCCAATACCACCTGCTCCAACTAAAAGTACCTTTGAATAGTTAAAAGGTTTTTTAATAAAAATTTAATATACCTTTGATGAAGAGGTCTTACTTATAAGATCTTCGCATTGTTTCTCAATCTTTTGCTGAATCATCTTATTCTTTCTAATTAATAAAAAAAATAAGGTCTGCTCGAGCAACGACAAAAAATAGATAAAGATATTTAAGTTTAAGCTAAGGTAATAAGGCTCAAACAAATGTATATTTCTTATAATATATTATCTAGAATACTATATTTTAGTGTCTGGTACCTTTTTTCCGCTATAATTGATTGTATTTCTAGAGGGAGATAGAAATGTCTACTGAAATGGTTTTGATTGATGAAATTTTTCATATAAATACAGTAGATTCTGAGAAATTTGATAGAGGTTATATAATATGTATTGTTATATATGTCTTTTATCTGTTTTAGTTTCAAGAATTACGGCTATTTCTTCTTCACAGGACATGGAATTAACATTAGACATTAACTCAGAACTTTATCCATTAAAGCCAAATGAATCAATTTCTGTTCAGGTTGCAAGTACATTACATGATTCTTTTAAAGACAGTGCGGATTATATTATGTATGGGAAGGTTTATCGGTTTGATGAAGGTGAAAAAGATTTAGTGTTAGAATTTTAGAGTGATTAATAAAAGAAATTAAAATATTCTAGATCTGTATATATAAGTTTTGGGGGTCTTTTAATGTGCCTTGAAGGTCCATATAAAAAGCTTAATAGACTTTCATATGATCATGTATATCTTTTTATTCGACGATAAAAACTTAATATTTTATATATGAAAGAAGAGCATCAGTAAAATTTAATGTAATTTAGTATTTTCAAATATTTTCTATTTTTATGGATTGTTTAAATTTAAAGTTTTATGAAATATAAAATATTAAAATTATAATTTATTAATATGTAGAAAAATGTAAAAAAGAATCTTTTTGGGGCCACTACATTGTATATAAGTTTATTAATATTTTATTTAATATTTTATCTTACTAATTCATAAAAAGCGATGTCTTTTAAATTATGTAATAAATATTTTTTTAAAATTTATGATATTTTATTATTTAATACAATAATGAAATATTTGTTTTTAATTTTTTACAATACTTCATATTATAAAATTTCGTTCTTAATAAACAAAAGTAACAATTCCACAATTATTTATGATTAATACATTCATGCACAGTAAAATTAAAAACTTAGTCAATAACATGATTAAAAAAAAAGCTTTAGTTATGTCTAAATCGAAACTCATTAATTTAATCAAAAATCGACATCTTCCGTCATCTTTACGTTGGCCATTTGTTTTGTTAAATTTGAAATTTCATTGGTACCTCCAAAATAAGACCATTCTATTGTCTCATCTCTAGATGCAACCATTGTCAATGCAATAGCAATGGCAGACCATAAATCTTGTGTAACATTACAGTAATCTATAACAAGTAATGTTCGAATAGGGTTCTATTAAAAAGTTAAAAGATAAAAAAAGTATAAATAAACAATACTTTCAAATCACTTGAATTCAATGAGACTATTGCAACTTGGGACCTGCATATGGCAAAACCGTAAATTGTAGGAAATTTATCAATCGTTACTACTTGGGTATTTTCATATTCTTCGTGAGGAGGAGTTGGTGGATTATAAATGGAATATCGGTCCGCATATTTTGATAGAATTCGTTGTCTATGGTATTGAGCTGCTTCGCGTAATTTGTTTTCCATTTTTTCTGCAACAATCATATAATCATTATTAATATTCATATTTACATTTTTCGAAAAGTCAGAATAGCATGATGATACATATATAAGATATGGAATCTTTGTCTTTTCAAGATTAAAAACTATAAAGATGTTAAAACAAAGATAATGAACATAATAAATCATGATAAATACGTCCTACGCTATCTTTTTCCATCCATTGTTGAAAACGTTTAAGCTCACTCAAAATATATGGCTCAATAGCAAGAGAATCATGAGGTAAACGATATTCCTTATTCAACTGGATTCTATCTCGAATATCTCGCCCAAGAAATACTAGTCTTTTAAAAGCTAATTTCCCTAATAAAAAATAACTATAAAAAAGAAAATAATATTATAAACCTACCTCTGAATTCACCACTATCCGTATTATTCATAGAACATATTGGTGGCCTAAAATTAGAATTACTTTGGACAAAAAGAGTAGATGGAAGTCCAAGAAAATCTATCTGTATTTTATTAGAATTTGACCAATAAACCTCATTTCTTGCCTTCCAAGATGCTGGAAATAGTGGTTGCGTCCCTCTGTATTGTATTCTTGTGAATAATAGAGCTAAACGAGGAGAGATATCCGCTGGAAAGTTTTCTTGAGCAAAATAATCATTCTCTTTATCTTCACTCGAGTAATCCATAAAAGTCTTAAATCTTATATCTATGTCTTTTTCTTTTAATATATATTAAATTATCTCTAGTTTTAAAAAAGGCGTTTTTAAAGAATATCTGCTGCTTGTTGATTTGATTGTTTCCCCTCAAAAAATGTTAAAAACTTTTTAAAAATAGCAAAATAATAAAAAAATATTTAGAAACATGCATAGATTTCCTAGAAAGCACTCCAAAATGTCCTAATATTTATATTTTTTTGGTCAAAATTGGAGGCTTTGTTAAAAGTAATGAGCGCACGATTGATGGGTTAAGCACTGTGCCTTAAATATTTATTTTCTTATAATAAATAAAAATATACAAAAATAGATTAATGTTCATGACCATCCTGTGGTAGTTCTTGTTTTTCAGGATCAAGTTTAATTGAGGTGTCAATACGAAGAATAGCAATAGATGCTTCAACAGCACTTTTAAGACTTCGAATCTTAGAAACAGAAGGTTCAAGTATTCCTTCTTTAACATTATCACGTATTTTTCCTTCTGGTAAACTTAATCCATATGTTAGATAATTTTTTTTTGTATCATTTTGACTAGCAGCATGATAAGCACGTAACTTAGCAATAAGCTCAGATGCATCTTTGGCTGCATTAACAGCGAGAGTCTTTGGAATGACTAACAAGGCGGAGGAAAATTCAGCAATGGCCAGTTGTTCTCGAGAACCCTGTAAAATAAATTAATAATATTTTAAAAGAATAGAACAAAGGAACTAATGTAGTTGCAAAATTCTCAAGATAAATACTAAGAGAAGTCTCGACAGCGCCTCCACCTGGAACGACATAACCACTTTCTAATGTTCGTTTGACGGATGATAAAGAATCATGAAGAGAACGCTCCATTTCGTCTAATTGAAAATCTAACTTTATAAGAAAAAAGGATAAAATATTCAATTTTAATACCATTTGGGCCTCTCAGAATAATAGATGACGATGATAATGATCGAGTTCCTTTAATAAAAATGCATTCATTGTCAGAAATACGTTCTTGCGAAACTTCATCTGAATATCCAAGGTAACTTGTTTCAAAAACTTCTTCTCCTTCCAAATTTGATAATGTATTAATAAGGGTTGCACCTGTTGCTTTTGCAATTCTTTTTAAATCTTCTTTTTTGCATCTTCTTACTGCCATGGCACCTGCTTCTACAAAAAGTTTCAAACAAAGATCATCAATGCCTTTAGTTGTAAATATAACATTTGCACCCGATGCAAGAATCTTTTGAATTCTCTCTACAATTATATCACTTTCTCGTTTTCTAATTTGTTCTAGTTGATTTGGATTATCAATCACAATATTCACACCCAATGCCATACGCGCTTTCTGCAAATTCATATCTAAACATGCAATTTTTGCATTCGTAATTTTAGTCTTCATTGCTAAATAGATTTTTAATTTTTAGCTTATTTCTTTAAGAACAAACCTTGACTTGCAACAGTACAGTTTATAGCATACCCTTTAATTAAGACTGATTCTCGTGAACTTTTCCCATGTGCTTTTAAAATATTGACTGCCTTTACTGGATATTTTGTTTCACCACGGGCATTTACTGTTTTAACTGAGAGAATAGCATCTACCGTCATATTCGCAAAAAAATCAGAATCACTAATATATAAGGAAAAAAAAAAAAAAATTAGATTTCAGTACCTTCCAATCACTTTCGATGACATGCTTGTTTTAGCAACATTTAACAAACATTCTCTTCCAAGATGTTCCGTTTTAATTTGAAGCATTTCTGTAAGATATTTTATAGCTTCTTTTAACGCCAATCGATAACCCGTAATAATGGTTGTTGGATGAATCTTATTTTTTACCAGTTCATTTGCACGACGTAGTAATTCCGCTAAATAAATCCCATATTAATACAACATTATTTTTATTTATATAAATAATTAGGATCTCAACCCGCAATAATAACTACCGATGTAGTACCATCTCCTACTTCTTTATCTTGTTGTTGCGCTAATTCAACAAGCATTTTCCCTGTGGGATGTTCAACATGTAATAATGAAAGAATTGTAGATCCATCATTTGTAACTGTTACATCTCCAATATCATCAACTAACATTTTATCTAATCCCACTGGACCAAGTGATGATTTAAGTATATTTGAAAGTGTTTGCGCCGCAAGAACTAAAAATATAATATTAGAATATTATTTCAATCCATTTATATCGCTTTTAGCGCTCTTTTCATTGCTTCTTTTACCATGTTGATCTCTAACATCCGATCCACTGATTTTTTCGCCACTCAAGACTAACTAAGTCAAAATTTTCCCTTCAAAAACTTATAATTAAACTTACAAACATTAGAATCTAATGTTTGTTGAAATAATTGCGCCATTTCCCTCTAAAAGGGCCTTTATTATCCTTCTTAATCCTGTTTTTTTTTAACTTTTTTCCTTACGGTCAAAAACCCGAAGTCAACCTTAGACTTTTTTTAAGGGACTTTAATAACCTAATAAAAATTTATAGGAAAAATAAGATATTAAAAATGAATGAAAAAGGAATATTACATGGATTGTCTTGTCTTTCAATTAATGATAGATATATTATTAATCATGAAGAAGCCCCATCAGAAGTTTTGTGGAAAAAAAATCTTAAAAAACAAACTATTTTTGATAAATATCTTTTAACAAGGATAAGATTGTCGAAAACAGGAATAGATGAGGATAAAGAATTTAAATTGGTGTTTATTGTTGGGTTAGAAGATTCAAAAATTGAATTTTCATCTATTGCATCAGTTTTGAAGTGTAAATCATTACATATGGTGCCATCAGAATTAGTATTTGATTTTTTTGGAGTAAAAAGTGAACAAGGTGGTTATTTATTTATTAGGATAATAAGTTTTATTGATTGGATGTGAAAAAGTATCTCTTTTTTGTCTTAGAAAGGAAAATATATCAAAAATACATCTTGTTTTAGATTCTCGGATACTTGTAAAGGAAGAATTGCTTGCATTTCGTTTGTCAAGCAATAAAACTGTTTTTATAACAAGCGATCAATTATTAAAGTACCTTGTAGATTTAGATGTAAAAAGAACAGATATAGATTTATCGTTAAAGTGATTAAATATAGTTTGTATAAAAATAATTAATTATGATTTAGACAAAAAGCTAATTTTCAATCGAAAGTTTCACTTTCTAATAAAGATGGTTAGCTTCGATTGATATTTTTTATTATTATTTAGTTTTAGGTTTACAAGAAGGTACATTGATTGGTATTACTGTTAAAAAAAAAGATAATTTTTCTGAATGGTATCGTCAAGTGCTAATTAAGGGTGGTATGGTGTGTTCTATGAATTCTTTTCTTTTATTTATTCTGATTCATATTGGATTGATTATTATGATATTTCGGGATGTTATATATTAAAACCTCCGTCTTTTTATATATGGGAGGAAATACAGAGTAATAATTCCTTTTTTTAATATTAAGTCTTATTATATATTAGAATGGTTTGATTCTGAGATTAAAAAAATGGGAGTTGAGGGTTGTTATTTTCCTATGTTTGTATCTTCAAAAGTTCTTGAGAAAGAAAAAGATCATATAGAAGGATTTGCTCCAGAAGGTAATAGATATAATCTTGAAACGGAATTTTCTGATTTCTAAAAGTTGCGTGGATAACGAAAGCGTAATATATATTTATTATAGTTATTATTGATTTTTAATGTTGTTAGTGGGAATTCCAATCTTGAAGAACCGATTGCTATTCGCCCAACTTCAGAAACGATTATGTATTCGTATTATTCTAAATGGATAAGAAGTCATCGTGATTTGCCATTAAAACTTAATCAATGGAATTCTGTTGTTAGATGGGAATTTAAACATCCTCGTGAGTTTTATAATATCTATAGATCTGCATTTTGTTAACTATGTAGAGCCTTTTTTGAGGACACGAGAGTTTCTCTGGCAAGAAGGTCATACAGTGTATTTAAATAGAAAAGAGTCTGAGAAAGAAGTTTTTGAAATTTTAGATTTGTATGAAAAAGTCTATATTGATCTGCTTGCAGTTCCGGTAATTAAAGGAATAAAATCAGAAAAAGAGAAATTTGCTGGTGCAGCTTTTACAGCGACAATTGAAGGATATATTCCTGCCTCTGGAAGAGCTATTCAGGCTGCAACAAGTCATTCATTGGGACAAAATTTTAGCAAGATGTTTGATATTTGTGTTGAAAATCCGGATACAAAAGTTACTGGTGAAAAATCAAAGATTTATGTTTGGCAAAATTCATGGGGTCTTTCGACAAGAGCAATTGGAATTATGATAATGACTCATGGTGATGATAAAGGATTGGTCATACCTCCTAAAGTTTCAAAAATTCAGGTAATTGTTATTCCCTGTGGAATTACTGTTAAAACAACAAATGATGAGCAAAAATTAATTCAAGATGGAGTTGAAAATATTGTTCAAGAGCTTAAAAAAGCAGGGATTCGTGTTAATTCGGATTCCCGGACTTTATATTCTCCAGGTTGGAAATTTTCTCATTGGGAAATGATGGTATTATTTAATTTTATTGATTTTTTTGAAGGCATTTACTTTTTAGGGAGTTCCATTACGATTGGAATATGGATTGAAAGATCATAAAGCATCTCAAGTTATTGCTGTGCGTCGAGATACTGGTATTAAATTTGCAGTTCCACTTTCTACACTTTTACAAACTGTTTCTGAATTGTTGACAACAATTCAGTCTGATTTATATAAGAAAGCAAAAAAAATGTATGATGAAAATATTCAAATTGTTTATAAATGGGATGACTTTGTCCCTTCGCTTAATAAAAAGAAAGTTTTACTTGTTCCATGGTGTAAAATATCATCATGTGAAGAGAAAATACGACAAAGAAGTTCAAATGAATCAAATATAGAATTAGATGAAGAAGAAACTTTATTAAGTATGGGTGCAAAAAGTCTTTGTATACCTTTAGAACAACCATCTGGCGAATATCTTTTGAAAGGTATAACTCGCTGTGTTGCCTGCGAGAACTTTGCTACAACTTTTGCACTTTTTGGTCGTAGTTATTAGATATTTTTTATTTTTTAATATTTAATCTAACGAGTTTTAAAAAAATGATAAAATCATATTTGTTTTTTTTCATAAAGACATATCATAAAGCAAGATCTATTCTCCATGGATCTTCTTATGCTTATTATGTATCCTTATCTCTTTTATTCTTAGATGCTTTTTTTTGCCTGGTTATTTTACTAAAAATTCCCTGTAAGAATATATAAATTTTAATATTTTTTAACTTAGTATTTAGACACTGAAATTGATTGGAATACCTATATGAGCCAGGTTTCTATTTATTTATCAGGTGAAAGAAATTATGTGAATATTAAAGGTGATACTGGTCCAGTTGTGTAGGTTATAATTTTATATTTTAAGAATTTTTATAATTTTGAAGATATCCATCTGGGTTTCTTTATTTATATTCTGTTCTTTATAAACTGACAGATGGGGGGATAAATATTGCAAGAGCTCAGTATATTTTTATGTTGGTTTATCTTTTAACACTTTTTTTTATATTTAAGATTTATTATACAATAAAAGTAAAAAGTCAATTGTTTAATATGTTTGTTTTTATATGATTAGGCGCCTTTATATACATATTTTATGCTAATTTTTTCAAAACGTCTTCATAGTATATATTTATTACGTTTATTTAATGATTGCTGGGCGATGCTTTTTTCATATATAGGGATTTATGCTTATGTTCGGAATTCTTGGACATTGGGTACTTTTTTTTTTGGGATTGCATTAGGAATTAAAATGAATGTTTTACTTTTTTTTCCTGCTATAGTTATGATATTATTTCAGATTTTGGGTTTAAGGCGTATGCTATATCATTTTTTTCTTATTTTCTGTATTCAGGTTATTTTTGGATTGTTTTATGAGAAAAACATTTATTTTATTTAGACATTATTGTTTATACCTTTTATTTCTTATAAAAAAGAATATATTTCCAGAGCTTTTGATTTTTCTCGTGTGTTTCTTTACGAATGGACTGTTAATTGGAAGTTTTTATCAGAAGATATCTTCTTTTCTAAGGAATTTTCTCTTCTATTGCTTTTTATTCATGTATTAATACTTTTTGTTTTTTCAAATACCTTGTGGAATCGGTTTTTTTATATATATATTACGTTCATATAAATTAATAGATATTTAGGATATCTGGACGTTCTTTAAAAGAACTTGCATTATCTTTGTTAAATACAAAAACATTATTTATTAATAATGTATATAAAGCATCTTTTCAGACCCAACGTCTTATTGTTATTATACTTTTTACATCTAACTTAATCGGAGTTTTGTGTGCACGTTCTTTACATTATCAATTTTATTCTTGGTTTGCATGGACTATACCTTATATTCTTAGTCAGACACGTATACATCCATTTTTGCAATTTTTCATTTGGGCACTACAAGAATATGCATGGAATATATATCCTAGTACAACTTATAGTTCTATAATTGTAATCATGGTTCTTGTTTCAGTTTTATTTCTTCTTTTAATTCGGTGTTAATTTTATATATTTATTATTATACTTCCTTAAAATTTGTCGACTTTTTATTCCATAGTATCTTCATCAGATTAATGCACTGATTTCATGATGTATTTAGGCTTTTTATATATATGTTTATTTTATTAGCAAATATCAGATTTTTACTATTTAAAAAAGTTATGCATTATTAATCATTATAAAAACAAAACAACAAGGAAAAAAGATGAAACAATTTTGTTAAAAAAGGACATCTTGTTAATTTTAAAGTCATTTATGATTTTTCTGAATTTTATTTCTTTTAAATAACTAAATAATTTTTAATATAGACTTTTTTGGATTTATTTTTTATTTATTAAAATAATCATTTCTTTTAGATAAGAGAAATAAACTTATCTAAATATATAGGTATTTCCTTTAGATTTCTTATGTTAAATTTTAGTATTCAAATATATTATACTTTTCGTTGTGTTTAAAAATGTTATTAAAATTATTTTTTGAAAAAATAAAAATTAATATTTTAAGATGCCTTCTTTAAAAACAGGCAAAAAACTTAAGCCATTACAGAGGAAGCTAGTAGATTCATTTCCATCTTTAAAGGTTTCAAAAGTTAGTTCAAAACAATTAAAAAAAACTGATGATAATATCGTTCAAAAAAAAAATATACTAAAAAGTGAAATACAAACTAATGAAAAAGTTATTAACCTTTATCGATCTGAAGAGGATTTTTTTCCTTCAGTAGTAGAGAAATCAAATTATGTAAATATAGGTATATATACAAATCGATATGAAATAATATGAAATTTAAGCATTTATTTGTCTAGACGAACAAACACATATTGATGAGGCGTTGAACATGTTTGATTTAACATATAAATATGGACCTTTTGTAGGATTATCTCGTTTAGATCGCTGGAATAGAGCTGAAAAATTAGGTCTTTGCCCTCCTATTGAAATAAAGAAGTTACTATTAACTCTTTGAACTCAATAATATTAAATATTACAATAATATTTGTGACACTTAAGAGATCAGATTTTCTGTATTGAAAGATATATTAATTATTACATCAAAGTATTATTTATAATGACCTATCTATCAAATCTTTTTTAATATAATTGGATAACACTTGTAAGAATTAGTTTCAATTTATTTAATATACTTGGAACTAAGTTAAAAAGGATAAATCTAATACGACATTTTTTTTAATATATCTCTATTGATAAATTTTATTTATTAGAAATAGAAGTTTAGGATGTAGAAATTGTTCCCATAATAAATGATACGAACCTTGTATATGGATGTTATACAAAATGTTTGTTAATTTAAGAGATTAAATTATTTAGGGCGATTAGCTATTAAATATGATTTTTTTGTTTAATTATTTTAATGTGCTTAGTAAAAGCTATAAATCCTTAAGAGTTATTATTAGTCTTTACATTCCAAATCATTTTTATTAATATCCATGAAAATATAAAGAAATATTTTTATTATTTAAAATTCTAAATTGTTTGAAGAAATAATGATTTTTTAAAAAATATAAAAGATTTAGAACATATATTTTTGAAAATGAATACAAATAAACAACATTTATGTGTTGAAATTAAATTATAAACGTTACTGCATAATTTTTGAATTTTTTCAAATTTCAAGACAAATTCTCAATAAAATTAAAAAATATTTTCCGTAATTTCTGCCCTTTTTCCTCAAAAGTAATAAAATTTTCTTATTTCAGATTATTTCTTACTCTATAATTGTATTTCTATGAAATTTTTAATAATAAAATGAATAAATGATGAATTGTAATTTAAAATTAAAAAAAACGCATAATTGATAAAAATATATAAATAAAAAGAGTCACTCAATTTTTTTAAAAAAAACATTGTAATATTTTTTAATTTAATTTTGTTATATTTTATATATACATTGTCTTACTTATTAAATCTTTCCTTTTGTTTATAAATCATATTTAAGATATATTCTCTCATTCTTTAAATAATATTCAAAAAAATTCAAAATCTACAAGTTCTACTACATATTAATCTTATAATTTAATTAAAACAATAAGATTTTTCCCTTTAATATTCAACTTACGAATAAGCACGTGTCTTGATATGATTTAGTTTAGTTTAACGGTTGTCATGGAAACGAAATTGATGAGAAAAAACTGATTTCTAATTGGCCAGTTTCTTACGAAGATTAAATTATTTTTAACTCATTAAAAGATGTTATTAAAAATATAAAAAAATACAAAAATTTTAAGTGTTAAAAAAGAAATATTTTATGAAAATAAAGAGATCAGGAATAATTAATAAGGGGTTAATAATGGAGTTATCGGAACCTTTAATAAATAAAGAAAGAATGGAAATGTCTTCAGAGTCTTCTCGTATTGTTAGTGATATTATTCTTGTTAGTGAAAAAGCGAATTGAAAAAAAAGAATAAATAATTATTTATAATAGGGTCTTTCGGATGGATTGACAGTTCCATTTTCATTAGCAGCTGGTCTTTCGTCTTTTTATAATAGTAAAATTGTTCTCACAGCAGGAATGGCAGAATTGATATCGGGTGCAGTTTCAATGGGATTAGGTGGATATTTAGCTGTAAAATCTGAAGTAGAACATTTTGAACATATTCGAAGAACACAAATGGATCTTTTGATACACACGCCGGAGAATAGATCACAGCAAATTCTTGATCAATTAGAATCTTATGGAATTGTTGATGAAGTTTGCAAGCCCTTAATCTTTTGCTTGAAGCAAAATCCTATTAATTTCGTAAACTTCGTTATGCGTTTTGATTTATGTTTGCAAAAACCATCGCTTAGAACAGCGTGGTTTAGTGCTATCACTATTGCTATGTCATATTTCCTTGGAGGATTGTATAGTTTTTTTTTTTCAAAAAAAAATATTAATTTAATTATTAGAATTCCTCTCGTTCCCTATATTATTTTTTATAAGGATACCTTTCTTGGTTTTAAAATAAGCGTTATTCTTGTCGCCATTGTTTTATTTATTTTTGGTTATTTAAAATCAATTTATCTTATTGGATCTATAAAGAAATCAATTTATTCTGCTTTTCAAACCTTATTAGTCGGTATTATTGCGGCTATTTCTGCTTTTACAATTGTATATCTTTTGGGAACACATTAATCTTTAATGCATTTTTTTAATAACTTTTTATCTTGTTTAATATAATATTTTATATTAATATATCTATTTTTATTTTAATTTATTTTTTCAAAGAACTACATCTTATCTATTACATAATCTCCTCTATTTTTCTGAACAAAATTATGATTTCTTTGGGAAATTTTATCCACTTTTTTATTTCTAATTCAGCTATACATTTATTCTTTTATTTTATATATAAATTATCGAGTAACTGACCTTAGGATAACTTTCAATATTTATAAAAATCTATTCACATAAAATAAATATATGTTTAATAAACATAAAATAGTGCTTTTAAATTATTTTTTTAAACAAATATTATATTATATAAAATAAATTTAGTTATTTTTTGAAGTTTTAACATTTTTTTTATTTCGAAGAATTTTTATCCCAACCAAGCATAAAAAGGTTAATGAAATATGAATATTTAAGATTTTTAGATAAGAGATAGGATTTAAGAGATAGAGTCTTTGACAATAAGAAATAAATAAAATACAACTAAATATAAGAGATTATTATTAATATTTTAATATATATTTATTTTGAAAAAAATTAAGTTAAATAATATGGAGGTAAGATTTTATAGAAAAAGTAATAAGGGATAGAATTAAAATATTTTTAGGATATTTTGGAAGCTATCAATGATATTCATAGTAGGATTGAACGGGAAAAGGTTTTAATTCAGGGTGCACAGGCGATGCGCGGTCAAACAGTCAATGAAAATGTACAGCAAAGTCTTGAAAATAATATCCGAGAATCTCAGAGAAATATAACATATTTGGAGGAAAGGATGCGTGAACTTCAATTAAGAAGAGAAGAATATTTAGATGGTGAATATAATGAACGAGATGATGATAACCCTCCTACTCCACCTCCAAAAAATATACCTTTCTTAGAAAATTCTAAAATGATGAATAATTTTTTTTTGAGTAATACTGAGAATAATGAAAAGTCAGAAGTTACCTTAAAATTTGCGATGCCGTTAAAATTAAAACCACAATATACAAAACTAGGTTTTTTTTTTTTTTTTTAAATATTTTTTAACTATTTAAAAGATTTATATAAATATTATACACCGTACACGAGTTGGAAAATTCAAACAATGATGCAGCAATTGGAATCCAAATTGATGGTTGAGAAACAAGTAAAAAATGGATTTGATAAATTAATTAAATTATATGAAAATGAAAACGATAAAAAAAACAAAAATGAGGCAGAAGTGAGAAAAGTTGAGAGTGAACAGAAAATACAACTTTTAAAGCGTGCTTTAAAACGTTACAAAAATCTTAATGTCGATATTGATAAAGAAATTCAAGAAAATAGTATTGCACTTTTATATTGTAATTATTTCCTTTTAATATCATTAGATGAAAGTAGGAATGTTTCCAGTATGAGGGGATCTCTTTCTGGTGTTCTTAAAGGAAAGATTTATGCGATTCAAGATATTGAGCATGTTTCTCGAACATTTCGAACTCCCGAAATCTATGTAGTAATTAAAGTTGATAAAACAGAGTTTTCAACACGAGTATCCAAAACAGATCGTTGGTTACAGGAATCTTTTGAAATTGAAGCTAATAAAGCAAATGAAATTGAATTTACTGTTTATGATAAATATGGGAATTCATCTATTCCTGTTGCTGTTCTTTATATACAAATATCAGATATCAATGAGGAATTGCGTCAGAATCGCCTTAAAGAGGCTTCGGGGCCTGACTGGGTTAGTGCTGAAAATATGCAAAATGATTTTGGTGAAATTAAATCTAGAGAAAATATATTTGATATAGCAAATTCTAATTCTTTCTTACTAACGTCTGAGAAACAACCCTATACTATGAAGAAAGATGGAACAGAAAATAAAAGTATTGACGCATGGTTTGCACTTGAGCCTGCAGGGAAAATACATCTAAGCCTCAATTTTGGTTTGTTTCTTATTTTATTTAGTTTTATTTTAATTATTTTAGTAAAGAATCTTAAAAAAATACGCACTATTGATAGGGTAGGTCTTGGAAGACAAGGTGCTATTCGTGAAAAAAAGAAAGAACTTTATGAAATGAATGGCCATAAATTTTCTCAACATCAGTTTTATCGAATTATAAAGTGTGCACTTTGTAGTGAATTTTTAAAAGATGCTGCAGGATTTCGATGTATAGAATGTAGATATACTTGCCATAAAAAATGTTATCTTAAAGTTGTTTCGAAATGTATTTCGAAACCTAGTTATGTTGATGTAAGTTTAATTATGGTGTTTTTTTAAATTAAAAAATTATAGGACTCCGATGAAAAAAAACTTAATCATCATATTCCTCATAGATTTGAATCAATTGTAAATATAGGTGCAAACTGGTGTTGCCATTGTGGTTATATTCTTCCTCTTGGGAAAAGGAATGCACAGAAATGTACAGAATGTAACATATTATGTCATTTTCAATGCCGACATCTTATTCCTAACTTATGTGGCATGTCAATGGAAGTAGCTAATAAAATTTTGAATGAAATTAAAATTACAAAAATGAAACAAGCGAATACTTTTGTTGCCATTGATAAGAAGGATGATAATTTTCGTAAATTTCATGCAGAAACTACTGATAATTTATTATCTATAAATGAATCTTACCTGAATGATAATCAATCTAAAACTCAATTATTATCGCAAAATCTATCTCAATTCTTAGTTAAATCTTTTCAAAATGATGAAGAATTTAAATTTGAAAATGAACAAATTTCTCTTGATAAAATATCTTCACAGAAGAATCTTCTCGATATAATCGATACCCGTGAAACACATAAGTCTCAACTATCCCTTTCTTCGTCTATAGATTTTCAAAAGGGTATGTTTAGGAATCATTCCTTAAATGTTGAATTTATTTATGGCATTAGGGATTCTATCATCTGATTTAGATTTAAGTTTTGACTCATTGTACCAAAAGAATCATCAACATAAGGATCAAATATATAAACAAGAGGTCAAGAAGATTCATTTTCTCTTTTTTTGTTTTTTATGTTAATTTTTTTATAGAATTATGGAAAGTTGGATAAATCTACTGCATCTGAACAAGAAAGACATACGGATATAGTACATAAGACTAGTGATAAATATTCGAGTGATTATGATAGATATTCGAATGATTATGATCAATATTCTGAAGGTATTTATGGAAAACAGAATAAATATAATTATTCACCGGATTCATCTATTAAAAATTATCAATTTTTTAATGATACTCATATTGACAAGTCAACTTCTTGTCAGGCTTCTAGAACAAGGATTTCTTCGTTTAGTAAGAAAAAGGTTGGATTGGATGATTTCAATTTTTTGTCAGTGTTAGGTAAAGGGAATTTTGGTAAGGTTATGCTTGCAGAAGCTAAATCTACAAAACAATTGTATGCAATCAAGATTTTAAAAAAAGAATCTATTATAGAAAATGAAGAAATAGGAAGTACGATATCAGAAAAAAGGATTTTCCTTACTGCCAATAAAGGAAGGCATCCTTTCCTTATTAATTTGCATTCATGCTTCCAAACGGAAACAAGGATTTATTTTGTAATGGAATATGTAAGTGGTGGAGATTTGTTGTTGCATATTCAACGAGAACAATTTGGTCAGACTAGGGCTTTGTAAGTTTTTTCTTAAAGAATTTATATGTGATTTATTTAGTTAGATTCTATGCTGCTGAAGTTTTATTGGTTTTAAAGCATCTCCATGAAAATGGTATCATTTATCGAGATTTAAAATTAGATAACATTTTATTATGTCTTGATGGACATATTAAAGTAACGGATTATGGCCTTTGTAAAGAAGATATGTGGTATGGTTCTACTACAACTACTTTTTGTGGTACTCCTGAGTTTATGGCACCTGAAGTAATATTTTATATTTTTTTTTTTTTTTACTTATATTAGATTTTGTTTGAGCAACGTTATGGGCGTGCTGTTGATTGGTGGGCATTTGGAGTTTTAATTTATCAGATGCTTTTAGGACAATCTCCTTTCCGTGGTGAAGATGAGGATGAAATTTTTGATTCTATTCAATCTGATGAACCTCTTTATCCTATTCATATGCCTCGGGATTCTGTTTCTATTCTACAAAGAGTATTTGTTTCATTCTTTTGCTTGATTAATTAATTTCCCTTAGCTTCTTATTAAAGAACCAGAACAACGTCTTGGATCTGGTCCAGGCGATGCTTTAGAAGTCATGGCCCATCCTTTTTTTCGGAATATCAATTGGGATGATATTTATCATAAACGAGTTCATCCTCCTTATTTTCCTAAAATTGTATGTTTTGTTTTTGCTATATTATTTTTCTTTAATTTTTTTTTTAGACTAACCCAATGGATACGAGCAATTTTGATACCGAATTTACACGTAAAAAATCTTTAATTTTCCTTAAACTTTAATCCTCATCATTTCTAGATGAACCACCTGTATTAACTCCAACTCAATCTAAGTTAACTCAAGCTATGCAAGAACAGTTTCGAGGTTTTTCTATTTATTGTGGTGATCCATAACTCAACATTCTATTTATTTATTTTAATTACAATAACTCTATAAGCTTGTAAAAATCCATTTTTTTGTACTTTTATTGTATTATTTTAAATTTATTTTACTGTATATTTTTTACTTATAAAAATCTTCGGTTCTTGACCGTCATCTTTTATTTCTATTTAGCTATGCTTAAAATTATGGATGAAACGTAAATAAAAGCTTAATTTTTGAGAGAAATGTATCTCTCAAAGGTCTCTGGATTAAATACAGTAAGATTCTCTTTTTTTCTGTTTTTTTTTTTTGATAATGGCGGAGATTTCTGAAGAAGTTATGACATGGAGCATTCAACCAGGTCAGGAATTTAGATTTGAAGTAGAATTTGACTCAAGAATAGAGATAGAGGTTTTTCTATATGTTTTTTATTATTATAGGAAATGTTTAATTGATATTTCTTAGATAAAATCTGGTACAGCAGAAATTTTTGGAACAGAATTGACAATTGGGCCTGTATACACCTTTAGCGGAGTTAAATTGGCATTGTTTACATGGAGAGGATGTGTTATTGATGTAAAAGGTACTCCATCTGTTCATTATATTGCAGATGAAACTCCTATGTTGGCATATATGAATTTACATTTTGCTATTGAAAATTTAAGAACAGAAGCAATGAAAAAGGATGAAGAGGGACCACGTGTATTACTTGTGGGTCCAGAAGATTCTGGAAAGACAAGCCTTGTGCGAATTCTTTCTGGTTATGCATTAAAACAAAAAAGAAGTCCAATTCTTGTAAATTTGGATACACAAGAAGTGCGAGACTTAAGATACTTTGGAATAGATGTTCTTATATCTTCTAGGACATTGGAAGCATTCCCGGCTCTGTTTCTATAACGTTGATTTCTGGGATATTGGATATTGAAAATACTTTTGGTTCTAGTTTAACAACGGGTCCATCTCAGTATCCATCATTGGTGACGTTGTCTTATTATTATGGTTATGATTTTCCTACACACAATCTTAAGTTTTATAAATCTTTAATTTCTCGCCTGGGAATTGTTTGTGCATCAAAAATGAGTGAAATAAAAGATGGTATATTGGTTATTTTGATTTTTCTTATAAATTAAAAAATCCAGTGAAATATTCTGGATGTATTATAGATACATCTGGAATTATTGATCAATCTAAAGGTTATGATATAATACATAATATAATTTCCGATTTTTCTGTCAATGTGTTAATTGTTTTGGGATCTGAACGTTTATATAGTGATATGGCACGGAAATATGATAATAAAAAAGGAATGCATGTTGTAAAACTCCCAAAATCTGGAGGATGCGTGAATAGGGAAAAGTCATTTATAGAAAAAGCTCAGCACTCTGCAGTAAGGAAGTATTTTTATGGCGACTTTAGGACTATACTGAGTCCATATTCTATTATATATGATTTTGATAGTTTAATTGTTTATAGAGTAGAAGAAGGTTCAAAAACCATTTATGTGTCTGTTTAAATAATTTTGTTTAGAAACATTTACACATTCGTCTGCGTTACCGATAGGCCATGATATTTCATCGCAAAAACTGCAAATGATAAAAATAAATGTATTTTCAATATTACAGAATTCTGTTTTGGCTGTTTCTCATGCCAATATAAACGATTCCATTGATACTATTTTAGAATCACCAGTAGCTGGATATATATATGTGTAAAGTATTAGCTTAAGATGTATTTTGATTAATGTATTATAGTTCTGATGTAGATGATAATAAAAAAAAACTTACAATATTATCGCCTCTTCCTGGAAAGCTTCCTAGTTCTGTATTAATTATGGGATCATTTAAATGGCAGGATCTTTAAAAATATATTTAAAATTATTATATAAATATGCAAAAATAATTTATAAAATTTAAATATGCCAATGCGAAATGATAAAACTGAATGTTATATGTTACATAGATTCCAATTATAGGAAATATTCAACTGATAGCTTTTATACTGTTAATATTTGAGAAACAGTCTAATTATTTACCTTAGTTTGGTTGTTTTGAGTAGATGGATTATCATGTTCGTTTTCTGGTGCTGCATCGAAAACATTAAATTTTTTTTGACCATTATCATATATTTCTAATATAGATGCAAGATTTGCACAACGGTAGCAATAATTTGGCGCAGACCATACTGTAGATAATTTCCCGTCATATAAAATCTATAATTATTCACTTTAATTTATTGCTACTAAAGCTTTATACTTGATATCCCTCATGACATAATTGATGTGCACGTAAAATATGTTCTATATCATTAATTTCAAGAAACTTTTCTACAATATCGATGCCAAATGTATAACCTGCTCCTCTAAAGAAATCAACTAAAACTATTATTTTATTTGAAATACCTTGGAGAAATAGAAAAATCATTCTTGTCCTGATCCGGATCTGACCATACTAAATCTGCCATAGGCCCTTCATGTGGTATTTCTAACAAAAAATTAAAAACTCAGTATAATATTTGTTAATATACCTTGGAAACGATCGATAATCTTTATTTGATCAATAGAATGAATAGATGGTGATAAACCTAAAAAATTATGTTTTCATTGACAATATTAATATATACCCCCATGAACACAAAATATTTTGTTATCAATGATAACAGATAACGTTAAAAAATCAAACATATTAGTAAAATGATGCCATACATTAACATTCCCATATTTACGAATGCATTCTGTATAAAATCCATATGTTTGTGTTACGCTACGTGATTCATGATTTCCACGAATAAGATGAACTCGCTCTGGATATCTTAATTTTAAACATACAAGTAAAGAAATGGTTTCCACGCTAAAAAGCCCTCTATCAACATAATCCCCTAAAACATTTTTATTCTTATTAACCAAAAAAAAAATCAATAAACCTAAAAAAAGATAATTAGTGTCTGGACAAAATCCTCCAATTTTAAAAATTTCAATTAAATCATAAAATTGTCTATTCTTCATAAAAAAAATCTCAAAAAAATATATATTAAACCCATGAATATCTCCAACAACTGTAACCGGTGAACAAATATGAACAACATTGCTTTCTTTTATAAGAAGTCTTTTTACACTTTCACAAATAGCTTCAATAATCGGCTCACTCAGAAGCTCCTTTCTATATAACTTCTCAATATATACATCTATATCCATTTTTTAATTTTCTATAAATTTTATTAAAATAAATCAATTCTTTATTATTTCTTATTAAAAAATATTTATTTCCTAAGAAAAAATACCTTAAATTTCTTCATTCCTTATAAAAATTAAGAAAAAATATTAATATTTTTAATATTTCTTAAAATAATGATATTTTTTTTTTATAATTCTTAATATTTTTAAATGGAGGTTAACTATCGTTAAAAAAAATTTTATAAAAGTATAAAAAAGGTATAAAAGAAATATTTTTAAAGGAATCAGGTCTTAGATTTCTTATAGGGGTTTTTTGTTTTATTTAGTTTGTTTTATTATTTTTTTAATATTTTTGCTTTTAAAAATAGTAAGGAATCAGGTTTTTTTAAGTTAATATTTAATAATAAAATAGATATTTTTTTGTATTTTTTTTGGAGGAGTTATTAAGGGATTTTTGAATATTTATGGCTTCTGCATCATCAGAAGCTCAGCGAACAATACCTAATAATCATCAGAGTTTGCCAGGTGTAGTTTCAAGACCGCTTACAGAAGATGGACGTCCGTTGAAATGTTATATTGGAAATTTAAGTAATCAATGTCGTATGTATCATCTCCGTGAGAAATTTTCACCTTTTGGGACGATTATTAATGTCGAATTAAAGCCTAATATTGGATGTGGTTTTGTGGTAACGATCATGGATATTTTTTAGATTTTTTGAAATACTAAAGGGATATCTAGGAATTTGTGGATCCAGAATCATGTATTAAAGCGTGTGATGCACTCGATGGAACAGAACTTTTTGGACAAACGTTGCGTGTTGAAACTCAGAAACAAGTTTATGGAATAAGAAAGATAGTTACGGAGAAACTTGAAGGATGTTTTAATTGTGGGGCTAAGAATCATTGGGCTAAACATTGTCCTAAGATGCCACCTCCTGGGTATGATATTTTTTTTAAAATAAATATTCTTAGAATTTTAGAACGCCACAAAATGTCTCTCCTCCAAGATCATCTATGTTATCTTCAGAAGCTTATGGTTACTTAAAGCCTTATAGTATGTTTTTTCTTTTTTTTTTATTGCTAATTTCTTGTTTTTAGGCCATAGTGTTAATAATTATGATTATCCGCGATATTATTCTGAAAATTTACCTCACTATCGGCAGCCATGTTTAAATGGGTATAGAGATCCTTATTATTATGCACCAAGGGATTATATTTTTCGAGATCGTGATACTCGAGATTTAAGGAATTTTCAAAAATATAGAAATCGAGGTCAATGGAATCTGCCTTCTGCTGAAAAGATTCCTGAAAATGCAACTGTCAGTCATAAGAGATATGCTAATAGCGAGCCTTGGTTTAATGAGTCTCATCAACTAACAGCTCTTCCCAGAACTTCTCAAATTTCTACAGAGTCTAAATTTAAAGCAGAAAAATCATTAGATGAAGACAAAGATGCGAAGACTCAGTTAAGGAATTCTACTCATGCTGAGACTATGTTGAAAACATCTGAAAAAGATTTCATATCTGAAAAAAAATTATCTAATGATCAAAATCTTGCAACTTGCGATTCCCCAACTCTAGCTAAGGAAACGCAAATTAACGACTCTTTAGAAAATAAGAAAGTGATACCTTATCGCTTAGAACGAAAAGAACGTGTTTCATCTTCATACTCCGAACCTCGATATAATAATTGCTATAATTGTCAGGATCATATCCATTCTGAATCTTATGATCGGCCATATTTATCATCTAAATATCCAAATAATAACCCTCATTATGATCATCATGTAAATTATACTAATCGTCATGCACTTTTTCGTATGAGATCTAAATATCCTGATGGTTATAGGTATAATAAGTAAAAATATCCTCTTGTTAATCAATATTTTTAGATATTGTTCATATTCAGAGCCTTATCTGCCTTATACGCCTTATGATTCTAATTATAGAAGTCGTAAATCTTTGCAACATTTAGATTATTCTTCTAATTCAAGAATGGATTGTGCCCCGCTTAATTATTCTCAAGGTTATCTGCGTAGATGTTCACCGTTGCCAAATTTATATTCACCAAATCTATACTCTCCAACTTATAATTATGGTTATTCTGAATATCGTTAAAATATGTCGTCATTTATTTAGTTAATGAAGGATAATAATTAGTTATATATTTTTCAGTTTATTATTTATTTCTAGCTTTTCATCTTAAGTTTTAGATTATAATGTCTTAATTATTTTTTTACATTTTATACTTATTATTTTATGTATAGTTTTCATTGAGATCTTATACATATTTATTAGTTAGTATTTTATTTAATTTTTTGATTATTAGATATTTTTTGTAATAATTTTTGATATTTTAATAGAACTTTTTTTATTATTTTTAATTAAATTAAGTGTTGAAATCTATTATTCAATAAAAGCATAGAATTAAAATATATATTAAAAAAAACCCATTAAATGTATTGATTATAAATTTATAATTCATGTTTTTCTAAAAGATCCTTTAATAAATATTTTTGTATAACAGAAAATTATAAATATATTTATTTTAAATATCTTAATTTCTTATATTATAATAACATTATATATATATAAAGATATTACTAAATTTACTAAATTATTGAATAATATTAAGGTGGTAACAGTATATATATAATTCGTAATTTTCAGAATTTATAGGAGTGGTATAATTTGTTTGTTATCCGCCTCTTCATTTTCAAAACTTGTTTCTTTTTTAGTAGATTCACTATTTGTATTTTCTTCATAATTAGAATTAAATTTGGACTCTATCTCTGTTTCTGAATCTTCATCTTCGGTATCGGTATTTGATCTATAAAAATCATCTAAATCTAGTATTTCTACTGAGTTTATGTTTAGTAAAATTGAATTATCTTTTTTATCCTTTTTTGATGTAGAAGTTTTCAAAAAGTTATCGTTCGTATCTTCAAAAATGTTATTATGTTTTTCTTCTCTTAAATTTGGATGTGGTAATTGAGTAATATCATCTGACCAATTAGGCAGATTTTCGTATCCTTTTATTTGTTTAAAAAGCATAAGAGATAAAGTTCCTAATGTAAACGTTTCTCGACCTATAGAGTCTGTAGTCATTTTTATGTTTGGACTGAATGAAAAAACGACTTTCTGTGTAAATAAACTAGTAGAATTAAGTGCTAAAAATTTATATAAACGTGCCCTGTCACGAAGATCATACGAAAGATCATATCGAGCTAACAACATAATATAATCGTAAAGCTTTGTAACAATTAACTTGTTTGAAGGATTATTATATATAACTTCATTTTCTGGCATTTTATTTTTTTCTAATATTAAACTTGATGGAATATTATTTTCGTCTGAAATATTTGATATTTTTGAGTTTTTTAAAAAAATATCTAGAGGAGAATCTTCTAATTTCTCTTCAAAACAATTAGAACTATATATGATATATAACTTTACTGCAAAAATAAGAATTTGGCTTTTTACAATTTCTTCCTGTTATATATAAGAAATCTTAAATAGAAATAAATTATTATACTTGTTGCGAAAATGATTTTGCAAGAATCCTTAGCATATCTAATGATAATTTCGGAAGATTGAAAATATTTTTTGACATAAGGTAAATTATACAAGCTTTGGCAGACGCTACTTTAATGGAATCATAATATAATACAAGTTGTTCTATATAATGCAGGTTGTCTTTTGGATTAAGTTGTATCAATTGAGATATTATAAATATGGATTCTACTATCAACGTGTCTAGAATAATTAATATCATAATATTTACTTAATTGATAAATACCATTTGCGCTATTGATATTTCCTATTAGATTTTGAAGACACAATTCAGAAATAGAACAATGATTAACTGCACAATACCCTATAGATTTTATTGCTTTAAATATTATATTTGGATTTGAACTTTTCGTATGCCACTAGAAAAGTAAGCTTATTGAAAAAGAAACATTTAAATTAATACTTTAAGTTCTTCTAAAATATCTTTAATATTTTCCTTCCTTGCAATTAAAGAAAGAATTTCGAATTTTAGTTCCCAAATACTTTGAGAATCAGATGGATAAATAAAAAAATGCTTATAAAATGGTGAAAAAAAAGTCTAAAATATTAGCTTAAATATATAACTTCTTAATATATTACAGGATGTTTAATAGCTATTGCTATAATATTGGTCAGGACGATATATTGAATATCTGAACTTTCTTTTAATAGATAAATTAATGGTTTTGCAAGTTCACTTTGTTTTGTTAAAGGTCCGACATGATATAGTATTTTACAAGCTGCCATTATAACCTATACACAATAAATAATTGAAATAAAAAATATATTATAATATATTACCGAGCTATTTCTGCTTCTAAGCAATGGAATAATAGATGTTAAAAGCAGATTGAGATCTTTATTTAAAATATTATTTATTGACTCTTCTGCTTTTTCATTAGATTCCTCATTAAAATAAGATTCCTCATTGAAAAAAGATTCTTTTTTATTTAAATCTTCAGAATTATAAGACGTTTTATCATCAGGTTTTAAAAAACATTTTCGAGCATAAACTAAAAGAATATTTAATGCTGTTACTTGATCCCATTCGCTTAATTTATGAAGAACTTTACAAATTTTACGGTAGTATGGATGGATTAAATCTAATTTTTCTGGACATAATTCTTGAAAAACAAAAAGAGCTGATCCGAATACTATATGAGATTGATCATTGAAAAGAATTAAAAGATATTCTATTAATATAGGAAGAGACGATGAATCAAGTCTATAAAATTTGTGACGGAATTTAAATATAAAACTTAAATTTACCTGTAACATTTTACCATAGAAATAGCAGCTGCTTTCCTTACATAAAATGACATATCCATAATACAACGCTTTATTTCAGATAGAATTATTTTAGAAATAGCAGGGACACGAATTCCTGATAACATTCTTATTGCTGTTCCTCTAAAAATCTGGTTTTTATCATTTAATTTTCTTTGAATTGTATTAATAGAAAGAAGAGATAAATTAGGATCGTATTCTGAATATCGTATAATATACATATAAACAAGTTTTTGTATTTCAAAGTTAGATGAAGAAATATTTTTTACAACTGACATAAAATATTCCGACATATCCATTCCATAAGACATTGACTATTCTTCATATAAGAAAATCTTTTTCCTAAAAACAAAACAAGAATACATAAATAACTTTTTTTAATCCATATAATTTATCCTTTTCAGATCCTGAGTTTAAAAGTCTGTTAATTTCAGTAGATATTGATTGATCTTTATCTGAATAAGTATTCTGCTTTTAAAAATAAATCTTGAAAATTACTTCTAAAATTGATTTCTTGAGACATTGCATGATAATCAATAAAAACATATGAAAATGTTAATAAGACTTGGATAATAATTTTATTAAATATCGTTTTTTTTTATTTTTTAGGAAAAATGATTCATTTTAGATGTCTTTAAACGACATTGTTCACTCGATAATTAAGTTATAATTTTTATAAGATATAGTTTAATTTCTTAAACCAGATCTTAATATTGATTTTAATGAAAAATATAAAATAGCTGGTAAATATTTATAAGTTATGATATTATAATTTTTAGTATTGTAAATATATTAAAAATCAACAGGAACAGAAGTATTGATTGTTTTTTCCCCTGTATAAGATTCTTTTTCATTTGCTGGAGGAAGTACCCATGGTTCGATTGAAAATTGCTTACGAGTAACTTTGAATGCTAAGTCATTATTATAATTGATTGAATTTTGGGAAAATGGAAGCTTGTGTAATTTCAAAAGACCTTGGAATCCATTTGTAGAATCAAAATTTGAAAAAGGTATTAATTCAAGAACGCCATCTGACAATAATTCCAAATAACGAACTATACCTGTTTCTCGAGAATACAACTGTGTTGGTATACTTATAATAGCTACAAGACGATTAGAATATATTCGTAGAAGAGCTCTTAATGTATGAAAAAATTCTAGTATATTTTTTTGTTTTAGTGCCTCAGAAGGATAAAATGCAGGTGAAAGAATGTTAGGGATTATTAATCGTATTATTTCTGGAGATTTTGAAGATAAAAGTTTAAGAATATCCGAGATAAATTCACTATAAGGCTTAGAAGATGTAGCGATACATTTTGAGCATATAATTGTTGTATTCTCTGGTATCTCTAGCTGTTTTGCAAGGTCAAACGTATGACAGTAGGGAACATTTTCAAATTTGTAGATACCAGGCCCTAGTTTATTTATATTAATGATTTTTTTTGAAAAAAAAAACCTCTGCTAAGACCAATATTTCCCTCAAATCCTCCTAGATGACAGTATCTCCATGCTATTTTCATAGCATCGTTGGATTGTCTATTTTTTTCAAAATGCATTGTTGATTCTCCGGGCAAATTTTGAAGCCATGTTCTTGGAACACCTCCAACCCAGATTCCATGTCCATGAAGGATACCTTCTGCTACAAAGTAGCGCAATAGAGAGCTTGAAAAATCTGTTGTTCCTGTTTCTTCAATCAGAAAACTTGTTCCTAATGGAAGACCGCCAAGGCCTGTAATTGAGTCAAAAGATGAACAACCTGAACTCGTAATATGAATTCCATTGAGCGGAGATGGACAGACTCCATTTTTGAGGGATTTTTCTGTATATAAAGAAAATGTTTTACATGTTTTTTCTGTATTTTGTGATTTTGGTGTAATTCTTTTTTTAAAAGACATTTTCCAAAAATAAAATTGTTAAAACAAAGATGCAGATAGTATTTGTTATTTTAAGTAGCTTATTTTTCAAATATTTATAAAATTATCATTCAAAAATGTTTAATACATATTATTTTTAAATGATTGATTATTAATTAAATTTATTTCCAAGATTTATATTTTAAAATGTAAAAATTGTTAAGGTTAATAGTCCTTAAAAAAGTTATAGTAATAAAAATTACATATGAATATGATTGTTTTATTAAATTAGTTTTATATTCTGATTTTAGAGTTTATTAAAATTTTTATAATTTCTAAATATAGAAAATTAGGTTTTAAATGTTTTAATAGAAAAGTATTTTTATACTTAGATTATTAAAGAAAATCTTCAAACTTTTATTCAAATGTTTTTTATGTTTAAGTTATTAAATTTTTAAAAAGATACGTATATATTTAAAAAAAGTTTAAAATAGATATTTTAAATAAATTAAATTATATTCATCTAATGTAAATACGTTTTTCATAAAAAACAGTATTTATTATCGACATAGGATATTTATATTAACATATATATGTATTATATATTCGACTATTTTTTAAAAATGTTTCTTATGCAAATATTTCTAAGTATTCAATTGTTTTATTATTTGATAAATTAATTATTACTTTGTAAAAAGACTTGATATAAAGATGTTTTATTTATCATAAAGATATTTACTATTTTTCTTTCAATCACTGGAAAATCTTAAGATTATTTTGAATAATTTTAAAACATAATTTGTTAAACTGTTTGATCTTTTTATTGTTTTTAATTATAATTAATAGTAAAATTGTTTTTTAAAAAAAAAAATACAGAAAAATAGAGATTTATTTTGAATTTACATTAATTAAAAACAAGAATTTATACTTTTATCGTAGGTTTGTTATTAATTTATTAAAAAGTATAAATATATGGAAGTAGTATTATAAAGTATATGAAGTTTGATTTGATTTCAATTGGTTTGCTTTATTTAAATACCGACAAAAAACTGATCATATAAGATGTATATTTCAGGCAATGTTAAATAAGCCTGTGTTTATTGATTTTTCTATTAAAAATGATAAAAATTTGAAGAAAAATTTCGAACTTTTAAATAATGTTAATTCTAAGTTGCCAAATTGTTATAATGAAGATGAATTGTCGTCAGATTATATTTCTTTGCAATGTACTTCATCATGTCAAGCATTACCTTCGTCACCTTCATGTGATATAAAAATTCGTTTGGCTGAGCTGACAACATATATACCATCAAGAAAATATAAACTCTTTCGAAAAACTTTTAGATTAATAAGGCAAAATATTATTTCTACATGCAAAAATTATATTTCGCATTTTTATTATTATGTACTAGAGTTTATTCAACAAACATTAAGTTTTTGTTTTGTTTTTAAAAGAAATCAAGATTTAGAAGAGTCTGAAAGCTATAAAAGATTTAAAGAAGAGGAATGCTATCGTAGAGCTTTTTTGCAAGAAATTTTAATCCTAACATTTTTTAAGCAATTTACTGTTAAACAAGAGCAAATAAAAAATGATGAATTTAATCTTTCTAATATTATTAAAAATGATGGTAGTTTTGTTATTAAACCGAGTACATCAACATGTCCTATAACGCCACAATTACAGTCACCATCTTCAACTGCAGCTTCTGTTTCTCAAACATCTACAGATTATACGTTGCTTGCTTCTGAATTATTTCCTCCGTTTTATGATATTAATCAGTTGTCACCCGGTGATTTTCAATCTAGTCCTGATAAAAGTTCAATTATGTATACTGGTGATGAAAAACTAACTCCTAATATTTCATTATCGCCAGGTAATTGTAAATTATATCTCCATGATGCTTATGTGGGTGATAGTTTTTTATCAAAGAGAACAAAGAATGGGAATTGGAATGTTATGATGTTATAGATGTTATTATAACACATACATATGGGATATATTTAATTTTTGTTTTGTTTTGATATTTTATAGCATTTTTATTAAAATTAAGGATATTATAAAGGTAAAAAATAAGTTGTTTTTTGTGCTTTTTTGGAATTTTTATTTAATTTTGTTATTATTAATGATATAATAAACTGTTGTATAGTTAGATTTTGAAGCTCAGTTTTATTAGAATAAAATATTTAAACATTTAATTTTTATATATAAAATCTTAAAATAGGAAAATACTAAGCGTATTCTGGTATATATAAATTATCCGTATCTAATATATATATTATTTTACATTACATTATATTCTTTAAAGTCTAATAATTTCCGGTAAAATCTACATCAAACATTATAATTATCCTATAATTATTATTAAAAATATAAGCACTATAAAAATCATAATAATCCAAAAAATTCCACCTGTTATATTAAATTTTAATTATGTAATTTAATTAATACTCACTATTATTCTTAATGCCTTTAGTAAACCCCTCAAGCCTTTTTTCTGATTTGTCGAGTTTTATTTGTGACCTATCTATAAGTACTTCCATTTCTTCAAGTAAATCATCATGTAATTCTAATTCCGATTCCATTTGAATTGTTAGTTCCTTTTGAAGAGATATAGAATTATACAAATTATTTAATGATGCTTCTTGCTCTATTTATAAATAATTATAGATATATTGATACTCCATTCAAAAAATACCTTTTATAATTTGGTGTTGTGTTTTCAGTATTTGTGTATTTTCTATTTTAGGTTTTTCTATAGATTTTTCAAATTCCAAAGAATTGAAGGATGAGGTTTCAACTAATTCATCCTTTCTATCTTTGTTATAAAGTTAAATTTATTTATTTGTTTTGCTTACTGCTTATATTCCCTTTGTTCTTTTATTAATTCTATGATAAGTTCATATCCATTTGGATCTCCTGACTCTAATAACTCTTCTAGCTTCTTATAATAATCTTGTAATTTAATTAAAAAGACTTCTCGATATTTTAATATCTCTGTAGACCTGTTTTTTTTTTTTAAAATGTATTATTTTAGATATTTTTATAACAAACATATTTCTATTTTCTTCCAAATCCTTTTGCTTTATCTCTAACTCATGAATTTCATCTTTAATTAGCTTCATTGTTTCATAAATTATCTTGTCATCTTCAAATGATGGTTCAAGATTTAATGACTTAAGTTTATTTTTTTCTTAACAAACTTTCAATCTACATATTAAAACAAAAACTAAAAATACATACCTAAGATAGAATAAAGACATGATTCTATTAAAAAAAATAACTTAGAATTTGATATAGAGGTCATTTTTTATTTTTTTGAATTATCCCGAACGTTTTTAAAGAGCTTAAAATTTAGAAAATCAATGTTTTAAAGTTTTAAATACTTATAAAGCCATCAAAATACTCAAGAAAAAAGGATCCTCTCATATAATATATCTTTAAGAATTTTGATGAATAAACACTAATAATGGAACAAAAGATTGAACAATTACTTTCATTTTGTCAATCAACAGATGCTTTTATCAGAAAACAAGCAGAAGATGAATTAAAAATACTGGAAAACTCAGGAGGCATTCATCTTTGAAAGATATTTAAAGTTATCTAATAAAAATTAACAGAATATCCTATTTCTTTAATTAATATTTCAGCTTCATCGAGTACTGAAACTTATTTACGGCAGGTATAATTATTAAGAAATTAAAGATACGATATGACTTACTATCAAAAGGCATCACTATTGATACTTAAGAAATATGTGCTGAATCATTGGTCTCCTGTTTTTCAAGAATTTTATGGTTTTATTGTAAATCAAGATATAAAGAATAGGATTAGAAATCTATTATTGGAATTGCTTTCATCAGAATTGAAAGTAATTAGAAATACATCTGTTTATATCTTTGTTTGTTATTTTGTGAATTTTAAAGATAAATAGGCCCATGTTATTTCAAAAATAGCTATCGTTGATTGGCCAGACGAATGGCCAGATTTACTTGATAATATTCTCTTTAAACTTTCGAAAGATCCTCAGATTGAGACATATGGTGGATTGAAAGTTTTGAAAGGTTTCTTAATTTATGTTATACTGATTAAATTTATATAATTAGAATTGATTGATAATGCTCTTACAAGTGAACATTTTTTTTCTATTTCTCTCTGTTTAACAAGATTTTTATATGAAATTTCTATAAACGAATTGGTATTGTTGATATCAATTTTTTGTTTTTATTAAAATACATTAGTATTCATTTAGGACTAGAGCCCAGTCTTTATCTGTTTTTAAATCTTGTCTAGATTCACTAGAAATGATAAAAGATATACATCCGGAAATTATTAATTCATTTGCTATCGAGACTTTGGATTCATGGATGAATTTATTTATTACAATTATTTCTAAAAATATTATGAAAACATTAAATTATGATTTTATACTTTTTAAATTAAATGTTATAAAGGTTATTTAAAGATGATATTCTATAAATTTCTAATAGTATTTAAGATTTTATATAAACTCCATCAAACATTTTCATATCTACTAACAAGGTATTTACCAAGCATTTTTGAGGCTCTATGGATAGAAATCGAACAAGTAAAAGAAATATATTCTGAACATTATATTCTAAATCTATATGAGTCTAATGAAGAAAATGACTCTGATGGTGAATTGATAAATTTGCCTACATTATTAACAGAAGAACTTTCATTTATTCAAATTTCATTAAAAGATAAAACATTACAAAAAAAAATGAATTTGGAAGACTATTCAAATGATTCTATTTTAAATAAGATTATTGATATTTCTCTCTTTTATTCGCAATTGTCATTATCGCAAGTTGTATTTTAATAAAAAAATTGATTTATTTAATTGTTTTTTAGGAAAGAGAATTTATAGATAATTCTAACAGCTTTATTGAGGATGAACTGAATGAAAACGTAAGGTATACTCTTCGTCAGATCTCTGCAGATGTTGTTGAGGTTTTATAAATTTTAATTTTGATTTATTTAAAAATTAATTATAGGAACTTGGAAATTGTAATTTAGTATCAACTAGTAAAATATTAATAAAAAAGCTAGAATCAATGATCTCTGGCTTAGATTTGGGGTAAGATGATATTTTGATTTTTTTTTTAAATTTAAATTTTTTTTAGATGGAGATATAATGAGGCAATATTGTTTTTAGTTAGTAGAATAGTAGAAAATTTTGATATTTCTATAAAACGCAATATTGTTATTTTTTCTTTATCTTTCTATAATATAGAAAAGCCTCCAGGTATTTTTTAGACACATGACCATAATTCTAATTGGAGAAGAACTTTTAAGAGCTCGTGCTATTCTTATACTTGGGCAATTGAGCATTGCCTTAAATAATAATGAGCTATCAAGTGTATTTTCGAACTGCATTTCTATGATATTTTCTGAATCTATTGGAGTAATTAAACTTTCTGCATTTAAAACAATACAAAGGTAAATTGGCTGCATCAAAGTTATACATTAATTATTTTAAGATTATCTGTTTCTCTTTCTTTAGAATATTTAGTTCCTTTTCAACTTCGAATAATAGATGCTATAGAATTTTATATTTCTCAGGTTCATAACGAATCTTTAATATTGTTATTAGAAGTTTTACTTTTGTCTGTTAAAATCGATCGTGACGCTATATTATATTCAAAACCTGCGATAATTTCTATTCTGTTCAAGATTATTTTGCACAATTTGGGGGACCCATATCTAATTGGAATTATTCAAGATATATTTGAAGATTTAGCAAAAAATGTCTCTAATTTTTCTGCATTCTGTGATACCATCCTTTTACCATTAAAAGAGCTTTTTTCTACCAAGATATCTGATGCTTCAGAGACACAATTAACTGAGGCAATTATTCAGACATTTAAACATTGGTATTTACATTATATATAGGTTGCTTTTGACTTATTATGCCCTGTAATAAAAGGAGGATCATCATCTTTGTCTATAGAATTTCTTGAAGAAATTGTTCCTGGACTTATATATATTATGAAAAATTGTGACAGTAATGAAGTTTTACAGGTTTATATTTTTACTATTTTTATTTCAAAAAAGTTAATTTAAGAAGTCTGCTGAGGAGATTTTAAGACAAATTATTCTTAAGGATTATGATAAACTTATTAGTTTGTTAGTTTTATTTTTATTGTTTTATTTTTATTGTTTTATTTTTATTTACAAAATGTAGAAAAAGTGAAACAGGAATATCTATTTTTGATGAAATAGTAAACATTTTGAGGATTTTGTTGGAAAAATCTGTTTCAGAATCAGTAAACTTTTTTTTTGGACCACTTGTAATAGCTATAATTTATAGGGTATACTTTTACTAAATATAATTTTTATTCATTTTGCAGGCTGGTGAAAGATTTAGAGATTATTTGCCGGATTTTTTGGAAGCAATTGTTATTCGACTTACTTATCCTTCTTCACCTCGTTTTTGTCAGGTTTAAAATGAATATAAAATCTAACATAGTTTTGTTTTTAATGTATTATATAGGAGTTATTATTAATATTTGCACATTTAATTATTAATCAAACAAAACTTATTGTGGATTTTCTTTATAATATAAAAATAAATGGGGTTACAGGTTTAGAGATTTTATTAAAATCATGGTGTGAAAATATTGATATTATACATGGTTATAAAAATATTCGTACAAGGTGTTAACTTAATGACAAATGTCTCTATAATTAACCCTCAATAGTTCTGTTGCATTAATAAATTTGTTCATGTTACAAGATCAACGTTTTTCAGATATTGTTGTAAAAGGAGATTTAATTATTAATGAATCTGATGAAATAATAACACGGTCAAAAGCTAAATTGAGTATTTCTTTTTTTCAGAAAGAAAAGCTATTTAAACTTTTGTAGATTCTGAAAAGTATTTTTTTATTTCTTTTCTAGTAAAAGTAATAAAAATATTATTAAAAGAACTATCGACTTTTATAGAAATTGATGATAAAAAATCAATTGGAACTTCTAAAGCCGATTTTTCTAATGATGATGATGATGAATGGGAAGATGATCTGGATTCTAATACATATAATACTTATGGTAAGAAAGTATTTTGTTTTTAAATACTAATTTTTAATTTTTATATTAGAAGCATATACTTTATCTAATGATGATGATTCTATAGATGATCCTTTAAATGAATTGGATTTACAGGTTTGTATTTAATATTTATATGTTTTATTTTAATTTTCAAAGAAATTTCTTGTTGATTTTTTTAAAAATATTGTATCTAATAATATCAATGATATTAAATCTATGGCATCTTATTTGACACAAGAAGAATGCTCTATTTTAGCTTCAGTTACAATTTAATAAAATAGTATTTATATTTATATTTTTATATTTTAAGTGTTACGGTTGAACGTAGTTTTAAATCAATGTTTTTATAAGTTTGGGTTTTTAAAAAATATATATATAAGAGTAGAAATATAGGCATTTTTTCAATTAATAACGTGGCTTTTGGAATATACATATATAATGTTGCCATTGTTTTTTTTCTCGCGTTTTTCTAAGAATTATAAACATTATAAGAAAAAATTATCACAAGATAAATATTCAGAGAATTCGTCATCAAATTATAAAAAAAATATCTTTGAGTCTGATCAATGGCTTAGATCTTTACGTTCTTTAAGTGTTTATAGTAAAAATTGGCGGTCGAGTATATTAAAATTTAAAAAGAGGTCATTTAGTTTTTCTTCAAGATCATATTTATATTCTCCCGAACCTTCTGAACAAAATAACAAAGATTTTTTCGTAGACGATATCTTTAGGACTAATACAGCGACGTCTTTTATTTCAGGATTATCTACAAATACATATTGTTCATCTCGCACATATAAGATAGATGGTTTTAAAATATTTAAATCGAGACCCTCTGTATATTTAAAGGGTAGTATTATCTCTACTGAAAGGCCTTTTCCAATTGAAGCGGAATTGAGGCGAAATTCCCAAGATAGTTATATCTCTAGTTTGGCAGATGAAATGAATACTGCTGAAATTCGAATACTTCTTGAACGTGATCAAAGACGAAGGAAAAGAAATAAAACCAGTAGAAAAAGCCAGTCAATGGGTTTTGAAAGGGTGCCTGATTTAACTGCAAATACTTTGTTGAATAGAAAAATCTCTGATGATGTTGTGTTGAATCAATTACCGATGGAGCATCAGCACTTTAATTTAATTTCTGAATCTCGGAGAAATCCTATTGAATTGTCGTCTAAATTTAATAATAACATGCCTTCTGTACAAAATTCTAATCATTCTCAAAATTATCATCATAAAAATATAAACCGCAATTCTACATTTAATTTTATCTCTAATAATTATAACAATGAGCAGAAAAATAAGGAAACTGCTTTATTTTCTGGGAAAAACACTAGTTTGGAAACGATTAATGAATTGGATGAGCAAAAGGATCATTCTCTCGTTGTAAATCAAGATATGATAGTTTATTTGGATAATAATAATAATCAAGAGACTCAATTCGATTCTACGCATCAGGATTTATCTTTATTTAATGATTCTATCCAAAATAAATTTCAAAATAAAAAGGATCATGTGTTTCATCCTTTGTTTTCATCTCAATCACATGTATCTCAGCAAACAGCACATCCCGTAGAATTGAGTCGACATTCACAAATACTAGAAAAGAATTCTATACGTGAGGGTTTTGCTCAAACAACTGATATTAATTTAAAAACAGATAATATGGGAAATTGTAGCCTTCCTACAGTTTTTGATTCTCCATTTACTACAATTTCTTCTCAAGAATCTGATGAGTCTAGTTTGCAAACATTAACGTCAAAAAATCTATCGCATATCCTGAATAATTACGAATCATCTAAGAATGTATATTCATATATTACCGATAATTTTTCTGAACTTTTTGCACTTTATAATGAAGTTGATTTTACGCCTGCTAATACATTTTTAGATTAAAAAATTATGGAATAGGTTATATAAATTTTGGATAAATAATTCATTAATTATATTAAAAAGATTATATAAAGTCTTTGGTTATAATATGATTTAATTGTTTTATTAAGAATTAGTATTTTTAAATTTTTTGAAGAAAATGATATTAAACATTTGTATATTGTTAGTAATTATGGTAGTTTAAGAGTTAAGTTTTAAAAAATAATTTTACATTTTGAATTTTAAATAATATTATTATTTTTAGAAGTGTTTAATTTTTCATAAGCAATGAATTATAAAATTTCTACACAGTTATATAGATAAATTGTTTTTATAAATGATTTCAATAAAAAAATAAGTATTATTTATAAAAACAATCTATTGATTAAAATTTTAAAGCATATGATGCATTTATTATATATATGTATTGTTTTTTTAATACTTGAAAAATAAAGTATATTTAGATATGCTAATATTTAGAATTTATTGTTTTTACCTTTTTTTAAAGTATTTATATTATAAATATATTTTTTTTATAAATTATATAATCTATTTAATAAATAGTTTGATACTAGATACATTCAAAAATCATAAAAAAGAGTAATACAGCTATTAAAATATCATTATGAAGCTTCCTGATTTAAAGTATTCTAAATTTTATAAAAAATTATAAAAGTTACTCATTTTAAAATTGGCTTAAATAAAATTAATTTGACGTATAATATAATAATAAATTTTATATTAATATACAATTTACAAAATCAAACTAATATTAAAAAAATAAGATGAATGATATTTATTTTTTGTTTGCCATAATTATGAAATATATAATAGCTTTTAATATTATGATACTATCTTTTTTCGTCTAATTTGCAAAACTTTTCCAAACTAAAATTATAAATGCATGGCAGTCCATATTGTTTTCTTTTACATAATAAAAATATTTTTATAATATAATTTTACAGAATATAAAATTTAAAACAATTCTTAAAAAAATATATAAAATATGGCTTAATCTTTTATAAAATCAAAATAACTAAAGAACCAGATGAATATTTTTATTTCATTTTACAATAAAATGAAAAATATGATTTTTAAACTTTTTAAAAAATATTGAAAATATCAATATTTCATAAATAAGCTTTAATAGTTTCTTCTACTTTGCTGGACGATGCACCTACAACTTCCGCAATTTTTATTCCTCCTTTAAAAAAAAGAAATGTAGGCATTGCAGTAATATTGTATTCAGAAGCAAGATCCTATATATATAAATTAATATAATAATGTATCGAAACATATGTTAAATCATACATTATGTTGATCCACATCTACTTTTAAAAAAAGACTGCAAAAAATTAGCAAATAAGGTTATTATATTAAAAGAATACTACATTCCAGTATATTTTTCTGATAATTCTTCAATTTTAGGAGCGATTGCTAGAATATTTAGATAAAAAAATCATCTTTATACACACAAAAAAACCTCTGCAAGGACCACTATGTACTATCAAATAAAGAAAAAAATAAATATCATTTTTTACCACCAAGTTGCAAAAAAATCGACAACTGTTAAAGAATTAACACTAATTTTCGCTTTAAATTCAGCACTAGACGAAATACTATGAACCATTTTAATGTATTGACGAAGACGCGAGTATAGATTTGGTCTTTTTAAAACACTTGTATAGTGTAAAATATTTGTAGAAAACAATCCCGCCAGTTTTATCGAAAAAAAATGTTAAAAAAAAGTTTTTTTTTTTTATTTTAGAAAGATAAATGAAATATAGATTTATTTAATATGTGAAAGCATTGCCTTTTCAATTTATTATTTCTCAATGTTTTTTGTTTTTATAAAAATAAATTGGATAGTATTTGATGAAATGTGTCTAAATATATATAAATAAATCTACTCCAAAAATATATTATATAAAAGTATATCATAGAAATCTAATATAATTATTATATATACTACAAAAAAAACATTTAACAAAAAAGATCCTGTTATATAATGAAAATTAGATAAAAAATTAGATGAATATAAATTTATAGATAAGAAATTAGGAATTAGGACTTTCTGTTTTTTTTTTGAAATTATCTTCAAAATTTTTAAATAAAAAACTCATATCAATTCCCAAATTATTTAGTATTTTACACTGTTCTTTAATTATCTTCATGCTATTAGAATAAATATCTGAATTGAAACTAATAAAGCATATTTGTTTTGAAAAGAGTTCTAAAAAGTCTTAATAGTCATTAGTTTAAAGCGGAATTAAAATAAATTCATTTACTTTCAATTTGAGATTTTATCCATGTTATAAGACCTAAAAATATTAGATATATGAAAAAAAGCTGTCAATGATTTAACTAGATGTCAATGAGGGTTTTTGGAAAGCGGATATATACATCTCTGCTGTATTGTGTATTAAAACAAAGTGAATTAGTGCTAAATCAGATATATATGAAACAATATTTTCTTTAAAATATAATTGCCTATTGTCTTAATAAAATATCACAATACTTATATTTTTACCTTGTTCTTCGTTTAATTAAATTTGATCTGGATGCTAAAAATGATTTTTTTGCACGATTTTCATATCCAAGTCTTAATAAATAATGTACATTTTTTTTTACAATATTTTTATATGATGACATCTTATCTAATTCATCACATATTATATCTGCTAATTTTGAGGAACGATTTTCAAGTTTTAAAATAATTAATTCTGTTGTAATAGATTCTTTAAGATTTTCGACAGTTATTCTGCTTATAAATATATCAATTTAAATATTTAAAAACATGTTAAAAACATATCTTTTTCAATACTTTTTGTTGCATCTTCAAGTAATCTATGCGCAATCATTATATCTAATTCTTCTATTTTATCCTGAACCCATTGAAAATCTTTAATTTCGCCATTATTAGGTGAAATAGTTTCTGAATTATTAAGGTATAATCGATTAAGTAGAGTTTGAGCCGTTATAGATGAATCTTTAGTGTTTAAAAAATATATAGACTCTAAATATATTTAACATTTATTTAATTATTAAGGATCTAACCTCTAGCTTTTCTCATAGCCTCTATCTCTCCCCTCTGTATTTTTGTTAATGTATGATACTCTTTTTCAAATGCCTGAAGCAGTTTATTTTTTTCTTCAATTTTATCAGTTTTGAAAATAAAGTTTTGTTTTTCCTTCTGAATAATTATAGTTCCAGTGATATTACGTTCTTTTAAATATGCTTCATTAGGTTCTAAGTCGATTATTTGAATTTCAGTTAAAGGAAAGCAATTTTCTGCGATATATTTTACTTTTCCAGTTTTTTGAGCAGAATTTTGAGAAATTTGATATTTAGGAGAAATTCTGACAATTAACAAATTATCATTAAGTAAAATCAAGCGAGTCTTAGATTTTGGTTTCCATGATGTACATTTTAACTCTTTCCAATCACTACTTTCATAAACTATATGTCTTCCATAAGCCGTGGGCAAAAATTTTTGTGCACCCTCAACATTTTCAAGAAGATCCTTAATTTGATCTTCCCATATATTCCTTAGATCTGAAATAGAATTTTTATAACTTTTCCATTTATTTTTTTCCAAAGATAATGAATCTTGAGATAAAGAATTTATGTCATCTTTTAATAATTCAATAGCATCACATAAAGAGTTAAGATGATCTCTAATAGTAGACATATCACTGCTCATGTTTGATATTTCTTTCGAAATTGAAACGAACTTCAAATAATTATCAAAAATATTCTGTTGAAGATCCGATGAAATAGTTTCATAAGATTGAACCAATTGATTATAAAATTTTGAAATTTCATCTTCTGTTGCATTTTGAAAGTTATTGTTTACATCTATTATTCAATCATCAATATTTTTAGTCCTCATTAAAAAAAGACATACATTCTTCCGCACTAAAGTTTTGCGATGTAAAATTAGAAAGAGAAAATTCATGAGATGGCTGTTGATAATCATTTCCATACTTCCCAGTACCCCGTAAACTACCTGAAAAGCCATCCACATTATCTCCGTCACGATTTAAAATTGTTGGCCCAACACGACCTGAATATCTTCGTTTAATAAGTGATCCGACCTTTAAAAAAACACATTAATTTTTTTTCTTTTATATCTATATCCACTCCGTACCCTTATTTTGTCTTTTTCTCTTACTTTTGGGAGAGGAGGAAATGTATCTTCTAGTAATTCGTCCATTTTTTCTTTTTTTAAAGCTTGTCTATAAAACCCAATTAAAAGGACTATCTAATAAAATAATCCTTTACCCCTTAATTTGCAATCTGTCTTCCATTTGTTTTTACATAAATCTTTATAAAATAAACACTTAAATCACTTCTGCTTTGCTTATTTTTAGCGTTCTAACGATATCCCGTATACGTAACCTATAAACTATATTATAGTAATGAAGACGTCCTGGATTATTGGGATTGCTTTATCAAGCGCCCTAGCGTTTGGAATAGGCATGTTGTCATTCGTTATACGTATTTTGAAGGTTTACTTTCTATGTTTATAGGTTATGCAATTCATTTTGATTATAAACGTCGGAATGATGCAGCTTTCCGGAGAAAGTTAAGTAAGAAAGTTGAGTTTAATAGAATTAATTGATAAATTTCTGAAGGACGTGATAAGAAAAAACTTTCACGGGCACAAAAAGCTGAATCACAACATCAGGAGGAAGTTTTGGCCCAAGCGATTCGTAAGGCATATCATGAAGTGCAAAAATGTACACTTCCTCATTTAGTTGAAGAGCGTGAGCAATTTTTCATGCAAGAAGTAGCAAAAGGTGAAGGGCTTTATTCTCAAGGCAGGTTTAAGTAATGGGAATTAATGTATATTTTGAATGATGTGTGTAGGATCTCATAAATTTATTGAAGCCGCAAGTTGTTTTTTTCGTGCTCTTAAGGTGTACCCAAATCAAATGGAATTGATGGTTATTTACGAAAAAACAATACCTAAGGTTTATCATGTTTTTTTAAAAAAAATAATCTTAATTTGTAATTATAGGAAGTGAATGCTATTATTGTAAAATTGCTTCAACTAGATGAAAGTACTAATGCTTCTAAAAATATAGAAGAGACTCTTGAATGAATATAGCTTTTGCTGAGTATAATTGTTTAAGTATTATTCTGCATTTTTCTCAGCATGATCTTGTATGTTTAGATTCTGTTAAAATAGATCTCACTTTTTTTCACTATCATAAATAAGCTCACTAAAAGACTATTTAATATGAAAGATCTTGGTATATTAGACTGGATTATATTTTTTTATTAAAAGATAAATATTTTGTTATTGTTAAGAATCATGATTTAAAAAACTGAGTAACTACATTTTTGAAATGTTTTCTTATTTGATCCATATATAAAATTCTATATTAATAGCCTTTTCTGAAACTATATTAAAGTATATTGTATATTATTTTATTTTCGTAATCTCAAGTCTTAATGTTATGTATTTTTAAAATAATTGCAGCAATTTTCAAAATATTAAAATAATTTTCAATAAATGATTTATTGATAACTTTATAATATAATCTTAATACTTATTTACTTAAATTTTCTAAATGATTTAAGAAATACAAGATTATATAAAAAATGTTTTTAATTTATAAAAAGAAACGTTTTTTTTTAAAAATATGTTATTTACATTAGATAAATTTATAAATATTACCTATATCAAAATTAACAAAAAATTGTAAATGTAAAAAAATAAAATAAATAATTTTGATGATTTTCAAAAACGAAAAGTAAAATACTTAAAAACCAGATTTAACGCCAGAATATGCAGTTAAATTCATATCTTAGATGCTTAATAAAAAAATTTTTGTCTAACCACAATTAAAGAATTCAATATTTAATAATTTTAATATAAATTTTGAACAAATTCATTGCTTTTTGTAATTTAATAATATTCATCAATATTATACACATCTTAGTCTTTATATTTTTTAAGAACCATTTAAAATAAGTGTAGAAATCATCCTGTATTATCCATAAATATTATAATGGATAAAATGAACTAGTTACTTACGAATAAAGATAAAAAAAGAAAAATAACAAATATATAGCAAGTTTAATAAAACTTTCTTTTTTATGCCGGCTAAGAGTTCTAAAAATTTCTGTAGCATCTAAAGTATATTGATTTGTCATGATTCTAATATAATTAATAAAATAATAGAATTAATAAAATTTCACGTACTTATTAATGTTATATGCAAGTAAAGGAAAATTTAATAGAAAGGGCAGCCAATGCCTAGAAAAAAGAAATAATAATGTCGAAAAAGCATGAATAATTGCTTCTGGTAAAATGTACTATAATAAATCTTAGATATAAAAATATAAAATAAAATGAGTAAACCATATTAAGCTTATTACACACTATAACAATCTTATTAGTAATAATCAAAAATATTGAGTTTACAAACGATCAATTGGATTAATATAGTCACACTCAAGGTCTGAATACCTTTGATTTGGTTATTTTTTATAATCAAATCAAAGAAAACTTACATAATAGTAAAAAAAACTTGTATAAACAAATTTATAGAGTTAGTTATTATCGTTAATAAGTATAGCCATGCCGATGCAGACATTTTTTAAAAGTAATAAATCTTTTTTTGATTTTAAAAATTTTAGTTAACGAAAAAATATTTAGATATTAATATTTAATTTTATTATTAATATTTATATATTATTATAAGTTACTTTTTGAATATAATCTTTAATTTTTTAAATTTATTTTTATTTCTTTATTATCTAGAAATGAATAAGTTTTTTAAATATTTTTAGATTTTGTAATAATTTTTATAAAAGTTCCGTATATATCATAGGCGTTTATTTTAAATTAAATAATATTTTTATAGAAATTTAAGAAAATTGTTTTACAAATATTTTAATTTATTTATTTTAGATGGTTTTTGTTTTTTGTTAAAATGTTTTTTAAATTGACATTTAAATACTAGTTTTTAAACTATAAAATTCTAAAAAATGACAGTTTTCTAATTTAAAATATCTAAAAGCTGTTAAATTATATATTAAAATTTTAAGAATTAATACATGAATCATGTAATTTATTTTTATTAATGATTTTTAACAATCCTAGATAAATTAATATATAATGTAAAACTGATTTTTTAAAATAATATGAACTTAAATCTTTTTAAAAATTATCAAACAAATATTTAATTATTTTATAACCTCAGAAGTGAAGAAATTTAGTCAGCAAAAGAAAGTATGTAAGATTATAAAGTTGTGTCTAATATTATTCATCATCGGTTATATTAAATATAAATTTCAATAAAATTAAATGTTCAATTTTTAAAACAGTTCAAATTGTATTTTAGTAAATATTTCTAACCTTTAAATAATAAAAACAAATTAAAATCCATAAATATTTTTTGAAATCCTTACATTTTATATAAGAATATTAAGTAGGTATTTTAATATTAAAAAATATATTTAATATATGCAAATTGGTCCATTATCATAGTCTATTACCAAATAAAATAGGATAAATATTTTTAAGAAAATATAACCATGAACAAATTTAATTTTCACTTACCATGCTTCTCGGATTTCTAAAAATGAGTTTCTAGATACTTCATAATTATTATTTACTAGTAACGCATATTTATTGGATGAATCATTAATGTTTTGAGAGTTATTTTCTGTTACTTTATCTCTAAAAAACGACTTATTCAATAATTGTGATTTCGAAATAATAGATTTGGATATAAAGCTAGAATCAGTAAAAGAATGGTTATAATCAGATATATTTGCCGTCTTTTGACGAATAAAATTGAATAAGCTATTTTTAGGTACTGATGAAAGTTCAAATGTTGTATTAGAACGTTTACTATGTTGTTTAGAACGTATGAATGATTCATTTATAATAGAAAGATTTTTCATAGAACTCTGATTTTTTTTTTTATAATTTTGAAAATCCTTATTTGAAAAAGTTTTTTTTGAATCTTTAGAAAAATATTTTTTACTATAATTTTCAACATTATTGCAATTAAATGACGATTGGAAAGACGATAAAGGCTTATCAGTTATACTTATAGAATCCATAGATTCAGAAGATTCACTTTTTGAAAGCATATCTTTTTTATCTGCCTGTGTATATTTATCAATTAATGTAATGTTTGGTTTATATTCATTATTAGCCATATCATTTGATGTTAAAAGCTTAGAATTTCTTGAAGATGATTCAAATAAATGGCATTTTTCTGAAGTAACTAGACTATCATCATAACAATTAGTTTCATTGACATAAATCTCGTAATTTTTCGATTTAAAAAAGCTCAGCTTTTTCTTATTAAGAGATCTAAATAGGTCTGTATCAGTATTAAATGATTCACAAATGTCAATTTTTTTATAATCAGAATATAAATCTATAGAATTAATGGAATTATCATATTTTTTAATAGTATCTAGCTTTTTTATCTTTTTAGTATTACTCAAGAACAATTCTTTTTTCATATCAGAAATGTCTAAATATATTTAATAATAATAAAATAATTTTTTAAATGCTTACCATCTATATAATTATTAGATACTGGGCATGATTTAGCAAACATACTAGAATAGAAATGTTCTTCTGTATTTCCTACCATTATATCATTAATATTATAAGCTTTATCAGGAACTAAGCTATTTTTATCAAATGCACTGTGTTTTAATAAATATCTGTTTAAAGATGAATTTTTCAGATTTTTTGCTGCTTTTAAAAGATTTTTAGAATCAGAATTACCCAGAGGGATGTTCAGAGAACTAAATAATCCTCTGCAGTCATTATTAGATAAGATATTTTTATTAACTATAATATTAAAATTAGATATAAAAATGAAGTTTTTACAAATTTCATTATAACCTTCTTGATGATTCAAAATGAAAGTGTCCATTTTTAACATTAATTCTGAATGATTGAATGGATAATAATTATAGTTTTGTAAATGAAAAGAATTTTCGAAATTATATAAATCCAATTTTTTAGGTATAAAATGTGATAATTTCTGTTTTTCAGACTCCTCATGAACATGAATGATTTCTGAATCATACGATTCTTGCATTCCATTACAATTTGCTTTCTTTATATCATAAGAAATTTCGTCAGATGATTTCTTTATCAAGTTAGTAAAGTTAGTTAAATACCCAAAAAATTACAAATAAAAGTTTTCCATATGTCTGAAAACTATTAAAGCTATTATCATTATCTTCAAATCCGTCAAAAACAGAATTATCATCAGGAATTTTTAACATTTTTTTCTTCTTTCTAGTTTTTAAAATCTGCCCCAAAGAATATTCTTCTGGCATAATAATCCTTTTTGCATGTGCGCTAATTGGCAAATAAGTTCGTTTATCAACTTCAGATTTCGTAAATGATGGAGAAGCGATAATTGGATCCGGCTGCATCTCAATAGATTCATCATTTGACTCCTCAGACTATTTAAAAATATTAACTTAAAAAAATGCTAAAAATTAACAATGGTACGAATAATGATAGTTCTTTAAGATGATTGGAAGAATGATGTTCTTTTTTTTTGGATGACTTTTTTTTTTTTTTTTGTAAATTTATTTTCTGTTTATTTGAAATAATTTTTTTCCTATTTTTCCCAGAAACTTCATTAAGTTTTAAAGAAGATATGCTATCCTTTTTTTCTTTTATAAAAACACGTTTATCCTGTAATCCTTTTTTTGATGCAATTTTCTTAATGAAATCATCTACTGTAAAATATCGATTTTTAGATTGAATACTTCGTATATTATGATATTTTTTGCATTTATTATCCTTAGATGTCTCTAGGGCTTCTGAAGAATGAAATCCTAAATGTATTCCAAGGTATGTTAAAGATACCATTTCTCAAAAATATAAAAAATCTTGCATTTTGACGATATTCGAGCCTCGATTTAAAAATATTAAAATATTAATAATATTTATTCAGAAAAACTCTTGAAATGTTTGGAGTTATTTGCGCAGGTTTTTTTTTCATTATTTAGGCATTTTTTTCTAATAAGTAGGTCGGCCAAGTAAGAAATGATATATGAATTTATACATAAATTAATATGAATTATCTATAGTTCAAACGAATATTCAGCAGGTTTTTTGTCTCTTTTATTATTACTTTTTTACGTTTTAGATTGAGAATAACAAATTTATATTTGTATTAGAAAATGCAGCATCCATTAATCATATAATTATATTTTTATTGCCAGATAGTAAGTTATTATTTTAATGGTAATTTTTTAAATTTTTCAGACTTTTTTCAGGAAGATTTTGGAGCAACAGTGTATCTTCAATATCCTGGAAAACAATTTCAACTTTTAGGAGGGTATAATGGGATTTAATTTATTTATAAATTAAATTTTAAAGGCTTTCAAATAAAAAACCCTCTGCTATTTTCAGGCTTAGGAACATATCAAATTCCAGCAATACAAACTCTGAAATGGAAGTAATGCAGGATGTTTCAGAATCCGCTCAGTCTGTAGCTGCAGTTCTTGGTATTAGTATTGAGCCATTATTATCAGTGGAACAGCAACTTTCATCTTTGTCGATGGCTCAGCAAGACCAAAAGAAATTACAAAAATCTGTTGAAGTTTCTCGTCCAGCTCCGCCTATACAGGTTATCGTGCAGCGAATTGTAACAAATTTATATAATTTTATTGTTGGATTTACTACTTCTCAACTTCCTCATGGTTCTCAGTTGCTTGGTAATGCACAAATAGATAATACATTTATTCCATTAAAGGTATATATATTGATAAGCGCGTTTATCTTGGAATTCTAATTTTAAAAGGCTTTTCAAGATTGGCATTCTAAATTTTCTTCAAAACTATCGATGGATCCACATTTTCTTGAAAAAGATTAATAATATATCTGTTATAAGAACATTCATGACTTGTTGTTTAAAAGGAAAATATATACTTAGTTTATTTATTATTACAAATTTTGTTTTTTTTAGAGAAAAACTTAGTTAAAAGTATTTTAATTAAACAATTAGAATCTTAGACGAAAATGATTAATTGTCGATCATTTTAATGAAAAATTACTATTAAGTTTTTAGTGATTGCTAGACATTTTTCTAAATTGGATCTTGAACTTCTATTCATGTGTTTTTTATAAAAAATCAATTTAATATATTTACAAAATTATATTAGTGAAAAAAATATTTAATAAAAATTACTAATATTCCTCTAGAAAGCAAAGGTATTGAATAATATATCGTTATCATAATCATTATATATTAATAATAGTACAAAATTAAAAAGTATTATAATAATATATTGATTGTAATTAATATTTTTAAGGTTAGATGTTAACTAGGTCTATTGAAAAATAGAATTATTAGAAAAGTTTTTAGCCTTATTAATGTCTATTATTTAAAATTTATATTTTATTGAAACAATTATTTTAATATTTTTTTTAATTTTGTTAAAATTTTTATTGTGAAATATATTCTTTAAAAATATAAAACAATGTGTTTTGTTTAATTTATACGATTCATATTCTAACTAAAATATAAATATTTCTAACAAAGTATTATTTATATTGAAATTGATAAATAATAAATTACATTTAATAAATGAAATTTCAAATTTTAATTTTTTAAAATATTCAAGATTATTATTTAAAAATAAGTAAATACTAATTATAAAAATTAATACTTTTTAGATATAATAAACAATAATAGAAATAATTTTAATATAAATATATTTTAATAATTTTACATTTTTCGACATATTACTGGTTTAATAACAAATTGTGTATATCTGTATATAAAATATATTAAACCTTTAATTTAAATCACGTCCTTTTTAAGAAGTTGGGCTCATTTTAATGTAATTTCATATTTTTTTTTATAATTATATTTATTATGATATTGATTTTTTTAAAAAATATTTATACAATTCTGCCAACTTTATTAAAATTTAAGAATTTTCATTTAAATTTATTATTTTTATATTATATGTTTTCTATTTTAACTATATCTGATCGTTTTTAAAATGTTTATTTCAAAATCAGTTTATATAATTTAAGCGTAAAAAAAGATATTTATTTAAGAAAATCAAGTTTCTTTTAATATTAGACTATACAATTGATGTAAGGAAAGTTATATACCCAACCATTCTAAATTAGGAATTATTATGGAAGGAAGTCAGATACATGATCACTTATGGTCAACATTAGATTTGGATCAAATACCCGTTTATAACCTCGTTCATTCAGTAAGAGAAGACGTTTTTACTTCAGTTGATTCTAAAACGGATCATTTTCAATTGCGAGGGCCTCAAATTAATTCGTATAATAATATGATAATAAGATAAATTAGCTAATGTTGATAAAAAGACTTCTTGTTCGTCCTATCCTTGAAAAATGCAAAAAAAAAAAATCTCATGCAATTGTATATGCGCTCCTTGTAAACCAGGTACAATTTATTAAAGAAGCTTCGGAAAATGCACTTATGACTTCTATAAATACTACATGTGCGGTTGTATGCGAGTTGGTGGCAATTAAAATATTAAAGTATTTCAAATCAGAAGAACTTGTACATATTTCTGTTTTTTGACTATTTTCTGATCTTTTTAGATTGATGTTTTAACTTATGATTTTTGGCCTTTACAAGGCGCATCTTTAGATTATACAGATATGGCGTTTATAGGAGCGAACAAAATATCTGCTATCGAAGTGGCTATACGTGCTGAAGCTAAAAGATTTCTCTCTGTCCCTGTCGTTGTGCAGATTCTTGAAAATATATGGAAAGGAAATATTGTTTTTTATTCTAGTTCTGACAAGAATGATTTTATACCAGAGTCTTATCGAAGAGTTTCAACAATCTATGATAGTAGAGAATGTAGTATTTTGAAGCTAAGTAGACTGCGTGTACCAAAATATCGGCATTATATGGCTACTGTAAGCTTTGCTATAATGTTAGCTTTAGTTACTGCAACCTTAATACAAAATATTCCTCAAATAACTACTTTGGAATTGGTTATGGATTTTTGGGCTATAGGATTTATATTGGATGAGGTAAATTGGTTGAAATTATTTATTTTAATGTTAATATCTTAAGATTATGGGTATAGCCAATTCAGGCACTAGGTTATATTTATTAAATTTATGGAATATATTTGACGTAAAGAGTACATTTATCCTAAAAAACACTGATATTATTCAAGGTTATTCTTTTCTGCATATTTATTGGTTTTCTCGCATTAAGATTATACGGACTTTTTATTGATGACCCAGAGCACAAAATTTCACGTATAGCTTATGATATTTTAGCAACAAATGCAATATTTCTCTTCCCAAGACTATTTTCTACAATGGGTGAAGCAATATTATGTTTATTAAGAAATATATGTTTAATTATTATTAGATTATTATCGTTATTTTTCTCAAATGCTTATCGGGTTTCGGAAAATGGCAATAGATTTTTTTACAACTTTAATTCTAATTATTATTATATTTTCCGGGTTTTGGGTAGCATTAAGTCTTGCCTTTGCAAGAGATAGTTACTCTCCAAAATCCTTGGCTTTTAGATTAATGGTATTTTAAATAATACATATTATTAAATTGATATAATGTTTTTATAGCAATTGTTTTTTGGATTTTCTCCTGCAGCATGGGATATGATGGATAATTTGAATATTTTAGGACAAACATTATTAATTCTTTTTATGGCGAATTCAAATTATTTTGTAGTAACTGCTTTAGTATCTGTTCTTTCAAATTCATTCGCTTCCGTTAGAGCAAATGCACATGAAGGTATAAACTATTATTTCTTAATATTTTAATAATTGTAATATTTAGAACATCAGTTTCTTTTTGCAGTTAATACCATTTCAAGTGTTAAATCAGATGCATATTTTTTCTATCAAACTCCATTTAATATTCTTCAATGGATTATTTATCCATTGGTTTATATTCTTTCAAAACAGAGTTATATGAAATTAAATTGGTATGTTATAAAGATTACGCATTTTCCTATACTTTTTACTATATTTCTATATGAAAGATTTTGTCTTCGACAAAAAACATTTAGTACAACTGAATTAGGTTTGTCAAGAGCAAAGTCTATAGATACTATCGATAATGACTATTTCGGGACTTTCGTTAAAGAAAACAGAGCAGCAAGTGCTGTGTTAAAAAGAAAATCTCGTTGTGATTCTCTTGCAGTTCAAATGAGAGATCAGCTATTAGATCATGTATTTAAAATTCCTTATAATACATTTAAAAACAATGGGAAAAATTATTCAAAAAATAGCATTGGAGATTATACTATTGATAAATGGTTGATATCACCATCCCGCACTTTTTTTACTATGGATAAATTAGATGAAAACGATTCTTTTAATCAAAATGAAAATATAAAACAAATTCCATCAGAATTGAAAAAAAAAAAATCAATAAATTCTCATGAATATGAAAAAAAATATTCATCGGATTTTTCACAAATAGGTACAAATTTTAATTTTGATGAATTTGAAAAAAATTCTATACAAACAAAAATAAATTTACTGAATTCATATTCATTGCAGAAAGAAAAAAGACCTGGTATATTAAAGGAGCATTGTAATAATATTAATGACAATGATTATGGAGAGGCAACTATTTTTATGGATAATGAATGTTATGATGAATTTGAACAATGTTCTACTAATATCAATAAAAATATTGGAAAGTATAGCCTTTTTGATGATAATTTAAGACAAATGCACTATTTTCAAAAAAATTCAGAAAATATATTACCTAAATTTAAAACATTAGAGTCTATTAAGACTTCCAATCTTAGCAAACAAAATCCTACTTTAACTATGAGTCAAAATATACAAAATCATTCATATAAAGAACAATTTATGCCTACTTATTCTCCTTTTAAATTCGAGAATGAACCATATAGTATAAATGAAACAGATAAGCTTATGAATATGTCAAAACTTTTTTCTCGACTTTATCAAAATAAACCATTCGATAATGAAGCAATTAAAGAGTCTAATAATATTGAGTCAAAAACAAAAGTTCAAATATATAATAATGGGGTTTTAGAATCCATGCTATTAGAAAAACTTGACGCTATTGAAAATTTTGTGAAGATTAGGGTTGATCACTTAGAAGCTATTTGTATAGAAATTATTGCGGAAATCAAGAAGCTAAAACAGTAAAATAAACTATCTATAAATATTCTTTTATGATATAAACAATATATATTTTATATTAAATATTTAATAGATATTCAAAATTACATTTAGACCAAATTATTATTTCGAACCTGAAAAAAATTTAAATTTTAATTTATTAATATAATGAATAAGCACAACCAGTGGGAAATTACTCCTTCTCCACTGGATGGTGTCTCTTCTCTTCTTTTTTCACCTTATACATCAATGCATTTGGCTATGACTTCATGGGATAAAACTTTAAAACTACTTGATATTGAATCTATATTATCTAATGATGATAATAAGGACAGTCAAAATATTATATTGTTTAGTTTTGAGCATAAAGCGCCCGTATTAGATTGTTGTTTTAGTAATGAAATACATATATATACTGGAGGATTAGATCGAAGAGTTCGGATGTATATTGACAATTGATATAATTATCATTATTAATTTATTCAGGTTTGATCTTTATGCATCCAATGTCTTAGTACTGGGTACTCATGATGATGCAATAAAGTCTACATTGTTTAATAGAAATATTAGTTATATGTTTATGCTTTTATAAATGAAGGCTTATATAAATATAGATTTATTAATAACAGGATCATGGGATAAAACGATTAGACAATGGGACTCAAGGTCAAATAATAAATCTCTAAATATCTATTCATTGCCACAAAAAGTTTTTAGCATGGATTCTGTTGATTATAAATTAGTTGTTGCTATGGCTAATAGAATTGTCTATATTTATGACCTAAGAAATATGAGTGAACCTCTACAGCAGAGGGAAAGTAGTTTAAAATTTATGACAAGAGTTGTTAAATGTATGCCTGATGGACAAGGTATTAAATTATAGAATTTGTCATTTAATTAATATTTAAGGATATGTAACATCATCTATTGAAGGGCGTGTTTCTGTAGAATTTTTTGATCCTTCACCTGAATCGCAAATCAGAAAATATGCATTTAAATGCCATAGACAAGTTCATGATGGAATTGATAATGTCTATCCTGTTAATGCATTAGCTTTTCATCCAATGTTCCTATTTTAAAGTTTATATTCCTCTAATTAATAAGTTTTAGATACGGGACTTTTGTTTCAGGAGGAGGAGATGGAATTGTTGCCTTATGGGATGGTGTGGTTAAAAAAAGGTTAAGACAATATCCAAAATATCCTGCTAGTATTTCATCATTAACATTTAGTAATGACGGGAAATACATGGCTATAGGAACGAGTGATGACTATAAAGACATAGATAAAGAAACTAATGCAAATAATAAATTGTTTGTTAGAGAACTTTTTGAGGAAGAATGTAAAGGAAAAGCAATATAATGATATATATTAAATGTATAATAAAATTTAAAAATATTTTCTTGTAATTTTGAGTTATATCAGCTTTCTGCACTAAAATTATTAATATCAAATTGATTATAATAGTCTTACACTATTCTAATTAGTATTTAACAATATTAATGTTTTATTATAAATAGTATTTTATACAAATGCGATTCTTTATAAATGTTTAGTATTGAAATTGAAATATAATGATGTAATCACAATAATATTTATTGATTCTATTTATTAAATTTAAACTATTTATATTAGATACCTTTCAAATAAATGTTAGGAAATTTAATATATCTAGAATTATAATTTAAGCAGAACAGTGAACTGAAAAATTGTAATCAACAAATTTTAAGTTAAATTTAAGCAATAAAAAAATAAATAGAATAAAACTTTATTTTCTAAAATAAAAAATTAAAAAAATATATTAGTAATCTGAAATAGAAGTATCTATATAAAATGCGTCTATCCATTGTTTAAATATGTGTTCCATCTTCTAAACTAAAATCCCTCATATTATTTGGAGGGGTAACTCTGAACATATTAATAATATATTTAGCATTAAAAGAAATTACCTAGGAATAAACTCTAAAACTGAATATATTATTCCTATTATAATAACAATTGCTCCCGAAACCATCCGAAGAATTGAATTATCTAGGAGAAGGCCGCCTACACTATAAAACATACAATTAATATATATATAATATTTTAAGAAATTCCAAACAAAACATAAACTACAAATATATATCAATAATAATAACAATAATTTTCTAATTTTTACATATTCCTCGCCCCAAAAATGAAAAAACTAAATTGTGATTAATATTCGACAATTGTACGTATAAGTCATACAAAAAGAACAATACTTAGCAGCTTGCGGGGGAATGAAGAACTCCAAAATACCAGTAACAGTGCCGAACATAATTACATATATTCCAATTATAATATTTTTAAACCCAAGTGGAAAAAATTGTGATATACCACCTAAAATCTAAATTTACTAAGTATAAATTTTAAATAACCTATAAAGTCAATGTTTACCATGATAATTGCTGTTGAAACATTGATAATTTTGAAGACATTTGTTGACTCAACCATTATTAATAGCTTATAAAAACGTTTTAAAAATTGTTTTAATTGACGTATGATTTTATCGTTTTTAAATTTGATAATTTAAAAGAAAATCTTTTAAATATTTAATTAATAGCCTTTTTACATTTTTCTCAATTATTGTATTTTAAGTTTAATTTCTTATTTTTCTAGGTTATAAATTCATATCAAAATCTAAACATTATGATTTTTTATTACTCAAAATTACCAATTTATATAAATATAATTATTAAAAATATATCTTAAAAATAATACAAATCTTAAAATCAAATTAGATAATCTTATATTTTGTTAATATCTATTATATAAGATGAATATTTTTTTTCTAGATTCATATAGATTATAGAAAGATTTAATTAGATTTCAAAAATTAAGATAAATTATATTTTGATTTTTTCTACAATATATACAAATAGAAATAAAATGAAAAACATATTTTTTGGGTTGTTAGACGAAAAGTATATTTTCTTATTAATCTTTGATTATAAATAATATTCAAAAATCTAGAATTTATATATCTGAATACCTAGATCGCATTAAAAGTAAAATTTTACATGCTAGGTTATATAAATTACATTCTTGAATTTATAACACTTAGATATAGAAAATCCTAATAAACGGTAAAGTTTTCATAAAATATATGTTTTGAAAAATCTATTATAAGTTTAAATCTTACTATATCACTGAATATATTTTTTCATAGATATATTTATCAATTGGAAATCTACCAAAAATATTGTGGCAAATGTATCATCTTATATATATCATAAGTCTTATTTACATTACTACACAATTACAACAAACTAAACTTTTATGTGTTCTATCAGTACCTATCTGGTAGCGACGCCCTAAGTTTGAAGAAGCTTTTCTACCTGAATGTTCTTTATTATATCTTCTAATTTCTCGTACCAATGAAAAAAATGCTTCTTCTACATTTATGCGTTGTTTTGCTGATGTTTCAATAAAACGGCAACCAAATGATTTTGCTAATTCTCGACCTTCTTTAAAATCAAATAAATATAGAAAAACTAAGCAAAAATGATACTAACCATAATGACTTACGTATCTCTCATCTTCCAAATCACATTTATTTGCTACAATAATCATAGGAAAATGATCTTTATCTTTAACTCTTAAAATTTGTTGCTGAAATGTTATGATTTCTTCAAAAGAACCTCTATTATTAATACTATAGACCAAAAGAAAACCCTCCCCTATTCTCATATACTGTTCTCTCATAGCAGAATATTCCTCTTGTCCTGCTGTATCAAGAATATCTAGAAGTGCCATTTCATCATCAATCATGCATTGTTTTCTGTATGAATCTAAAAAAAAGTCAGCATTAACAACAATGATTCGGAAAATGCCTTCTATTGTTGGGTCATATTCATCAAGAAAATGACTTTGAATTAATTGAATAGTAAGCGCTGATTTTCCAACTCCACCGCCTCCAACTACTACTAGTTTATATTCTCTCATAAGCCCTGACTAATAATTGTTAGATATATATCCAAATAAAAATAATTATATTAATATTAGTAGTTTACTCTTGACATATTATAAGAATATCTTTAAAATTTTGTTCTTTTAAGCTTAAAAAGATTTTCACTTATAAAAGTTTAGATATATTTTATATTTTCACCACCCCCCTTCAGAAGTGGTGTATATGATTGAAATATTGCTTCTGAAATTTGTTTTCTTAAAACAATTCTCTTTTATTAAATTTATAAATTTTATAAACGATGTTTACAATTATAACGATCTCAAAAATTTCATCATTAAAAATTCTTAAATATCATATCGTACCTATTATTTGACTCAATAATGGGAAAATTTTTACTCCTTGAGATATTCCTTTATTTTCTAAGAATTATTACATGAAATATTAAGAGAGATGCAAATGTTTATAAATTCATTATATTTTAAATTATGTGATAAATAGATAATAAATGTATTTCTATACAATTTATTATTTTTATAAATTCTATCAATTATATATTTCTATATTTTTTAAAAAAAATTGTTTTTTATATAAAACCTGGGTCTATATTTCATAATTTTATCAAGTCTAAATTAAATATTTTAGACATTTTTAGAGTTACTGCTTAAAATTAATTATAATATAATTTTAATGTTTTATAAAGAATTTTAGTTTTTTTTTTTTTAGAAAATGGATAATGTAATAAAATATTGTTTATAAACTTTAATTTTTTTTTTGAAAAATATTTAATGTTTTATACTTTTTGAAAAATATAAGGAATATATAATCTCTATTTTTAAGAAATAATACTAGTATTAAAAAGGAATTTTATGAATTATACTGAACCAGATATTTTTGACAATTATTCAAATGATACTAAAGAGACTCTTAAAGAATTATCTGAAGATAAGTTTGATATCGTAGAACGATATGAAGCTATTTTAGAGGAAGATCCGGTATGTTAAAATAAAATTGGAATATGCTTATAATTATAGAACATTACAATGCCTATCGCTGCTATTGAAGCATTGGTTGATTTAGTTCGTCATACAAAGGGCATGGATTAAAATTTATTTAATAAATATATAATAATTAATTAGTTAATACACTTTCTGAATTTACTAAAATTATACAAGAAGGATCCTTAATTTTAAAATCTTCAGTTGTTAATTATATTTCTGTTTCTGCTGGATGCGATTTATTTCTCAGATTTGTAACTAGATCCCTTAATGATGCTGTTATAATAAATTTGAATTTTTGTCATTAAAATTTATGTATTATAGGATGTTGAGTCATGTAAACATCATCTCGTATCAAATGGAAAGTTATTTGTAGAAAGAGCTAGGAAATGTCGTGATAAAATTGCGTCTATTGGAGCGAAGTTTATTAGAGATGGTATAGTAAGTTTATTTCTTTTTTTGTACATATTTTATTTTAATATAGGTAATATTGGTTCATTCATACTCAAGAAATGTAAATGCGTTACTTCTGGAAGCAGCTTCGAAAAATATAAGATTTAGTGTATATATTACAGAATCTCGTCCTACAGGTTCAGGAATCATAACTTCTCGTATTCTATCTGAAGCAGGGATTCCTACTGCAATAGTACTTGATTCCGCTGTTGGTTTTCTTATTCAAAAAATAGATCTTGTTTTGGTTGGCGCAGAAGGTATAGTAGAAAATGGGGGTCTTATTAACCATGTAAGCTTATTTTTATATGTGCTTATATTAACTTTAAAGATTGGAACATCACAAATTGCAACTTTAGCAAAAGTGGCACATAAACCTTTTTATGCTGTTGCTGAAAGTCACAAATTTGTTCGAATGTTTATCCTTTCTCAGTTTGATTTGCCTACATCTGGCCCTATTTTACAATTCTTAGATCAAAAATATCCTTCAGTTCCAAAATTAAATTCGCGACAGTCGTCTCTTAATATTCATCGTGTTAATGAGCTGAAAATGACGGAAGAAGAAATTTCTAATAATCCTATCCTTGATTTTACTGCACCAGAATATATTGATGCTCTTATTACTGACTTAGGAATTCTAGATCCTAATAGAGTAAGCGAAGAATTAATCAAGCTTTATCATTGAAAATAGAAAATATACGAATTACATATAAAAAAATCGATATTGGATATATGTTAAAAAGCTTATATTGAGTATTTCTTTCAGTATAAGGTTAAACTTAATACTATGATATAATAGTATCATATACTTATATAAAAAAAGGTTACAAAATCACACAAAAATATCTGGATTAAATGGTGGTACATATTTCTAAGTCTATTAAATTATAAATTATTTTACATTTTTTTCCAATTTCAGCTTAATTTTAGATAAATCATCTATTTTTTAGTTTAAATTCCATAATAGATTAATGAATGAAAATATAGTTCTTTTATTAATTTCAATGAAGTTTAATAAAATCTTTTATAATTTTATTTACTTCTCTAATAGTCAATGATAACGGGATACCACCATTATCACCATTAATTATTTTTTGTTTAATATCATCATCTAAGTCAATAAAACATTCAATAAAATCTCCATCTATAAAACACTTAGGTTCATTTGCTTTTTTTCTTTTGTTACAAAATGCACGCCAACTAATAAATATAAAAATCAGTAAATAAATAAATGAATCTTTACTTCGAATGATTTAAATGGCCTATTCCATTTATAACTTTCCCCATATTAGACTGTAGATTTATAAGAAATTCTAAATACTCGTTTTCGATTGTAAAAAGAAATGCAATTGACCCATCCACTGTTACAAAAGTGGCTTTGGGTATTATTATTGGATTTTCTGAAGATAAAATCGTGCCTAATATCATTCAATATTGATTTTATTATATTCTATAGAAATTATTAACCTGGTTTAATCTGATTTATTAGTTCTCCCCATTTAATTTCAGAGATTATTTGCAATTTATCTATTTTTTCCTTAATACTAGTATTGGAATCTTTTAAGAATAAAGATAAATTTCCTTCTGCTTCTGCACCTATATAAAGATTGTCATCTAATGCAGCAACACATGTCATCCATAGTGGATTATAATCTTTAGCTATCTCCTTTAATTTAATTTTATTTTCCATATCCACTAAGGCAAGTAGAGACACGGATTTCATAAGATCGCCAATTATAATATGTATTCCATGAATTGCTAATGACAAACAAAGAACAGACGATCTGTATGTTGTAATAATATTAAAATTTCTTGAAAAATCATCATATGCATATAAACAGACCTGGATAGTAATTAGATCATTATAATATAATGAAATTATTATTTCTAAACCGTTGCATTTATTCCTGCTATAATTTTATTATCAATTACGCCTATACAATATACAGCATCATTAACTTGAATTTCTGAAAATATCCAAATTTTTTTGCTACTGGTAATTCCAAATAAAATAATTCTTCCTTTAGAATTTTCATTCTCTTCCGGTAATAGAAATCCTGTTCCGACAACAAACATATCTTCATTATTTATGCTAATAGTTGTTATACATTGTACACATTCGTTTGTTTCTAGTTGAAAGGAATCTAAAACTATAATATTTTTTCAGAAAAGTTTAACTAAATATATATACATATACTACCGTCAAAGCTTGTAGGATCTAAAATCCTTAAATAACTGGATTGAATTTCATTTCCACTCGAATCTTCCAGAAATAATTTTATAGTTAAAACTCCAAATATTTTTTGTTTATCATGATAGCAAACTCGTCTTGGGAGCTCTCCTAGAGGAATTGTCTGTATCTGTAGCTGCTGAAAAGAATCTATTGATCCAATTTTAATATTATCTTCAGAAACAACGACGATAGTTGACGAAAATGTGGTAGATATAAAAGAACTCATACAAGTGGTTTCCTGAAACATTATTTAAAACTTAAACATAATTCTATCATACCTTTAAATTTACTGATGAAAAAGACAATTTTCCGTTATTGCCATATATAATTGTAGGCTCATCGCTAATTGCAAATACATTGATATTATTTGGTGTTATAAATCTTGATAAATTTACCGGTAATGTCCCTATAATAACGTTTTTTTGATTTATTAAAACACCTTTATTTAAGTCTTTTAAACTATAGGAAAGAAGAGTTCCGTCTCCCATACCAACAAGAACAATAGGTTCGTTAATACTAGTTAATGAAATTATACAAATTGATCTAGGAACAACACTTCCTAGGAGATTATGAGACAAAAGTAATTCCATTGTGGGAATTGAAAGAATATGTATTGATGGAAATGTCCAAAGACCAACAGAAATCAACTCATTATTTGATATATCAATACAAGAAACTTCGTAATCAAAATTATATTTTCTTTAAAAAACAGTATTAGAATCAAAAAAATTCAGAAAGTTCAATTTACCCTACTTGTATGATAGTCATATTCTTTAAACTAAATACAATTACTTTTCCTTTAGTTAAACTTACAGAAGCAAAGTCAGTATCTAGACAGGCACATGTAATTAAATCGTTCATTTCCGGTATCCATTCTTTTAATATTAAATCATTCTCCCAATCAATTAAACGTATCGATTTGTTTGAAATAAAACAAAATAAATAATTATTGACGTTACCTGCAACCAATGTTGGTAAAGATGTATCGAAGCTAGAAAAATTTTCCCATTCTTCTAATTCTGGTCCATTTATAATATTTTCAAAAACTTTTAGTATTCGTGTTTCATTGACAAAAGATATAACTAATATTGTATATTCGCTTTTTTCCTTTAATATTAATATAATACATATAAATAACCTACAGTTTGTCTCGAGAATAAAGCCCCCATATTCCATGTATACCATTTACGTTAGAAATTTCCGCTGTTTTATTCATTCCAACACCATAACGAATAATTCTTAAACTTCCATCTTTATAAGCTCCACTACATGTTACAATAGATTTACTTCTTCCCTCTTTATTTACAAAACAAAAGTCAGATATAGGAGAAATATTAGAAAATGATTGTAGAACAGAACAATCCGAAATATTTACTAATTGAGAATCCCCATAATGTGATCCAACAAACAAATAAGAATTATGAAGATATACAAGAACAGAGGCAATATTTGTTATACCTATCTGAGAAATATTCATATAATCGGAATCTTTGGGTGAATTTGAAAGTGTTAACATAAATATACGCCCATAATCATCTGCAAGAAGATGTTTATTATTATTAACAGTTGTATAAGAAGAGAATACAGTAGGAATTGGAAGTATAGATTTTGATTTAATTCCAGAATTTGGATGGAAATACATCAATGTTTGCTCGCCAACAACAATTATACCACCTATAACAAATTAAATTGAAACGAAAATACTTTAACTTACTATCTAGTAATGGTATAAGTAATGAAGAACCTATGTCTAAATTTCTTCCCTTGAGAGGTCCTTCTTTTATATGCTTTTCTCTTGATTGTATTATTATTTCATATGAACTTAGATGTTTTACATATTTACTATCTTGATAAAGAACTGCAATAGTAGGCCTTGAGCAATTAAAAAGAAAAGCTATTGTTATAACATTTAACTCCATTAATCTTAGGTTAAATGTTTCACTCATGGATTTATTATTCATTATATAATCGTTTTTTTGATGTCTTCCTGTTTTGATTCCAATAATAGTAATAAGTCCTTGATATAAATATAATCCAATTACCCGAGAATCTGGATCAATAATAGATAAATGTCCACAACTACTTGCTTTTAATGATGGGTCAAAAACATCTCTGGATAATATTTCATTGCGTAGTTTATGTTTGACTCTATCCCAGCTTAAAGTAAAATACATGCATTCTTCGGTAACAATAAAAAGATGATCAGTATCAAAACTAGTAGCAGGTCTATAAGATAAGATTGCGGAGATTTTTCCATTTATTGTAAATTCATGAGCTTGTTTTAAACCTTGAGAGGAAAGTGTATAAATTTCAATTCTATTGCTTTTACTATAATGACTATTAAATTATATCAAAATAATTTTTGAAACTTACGCTACTACTAAAGACGGGTTTTCTGGATTTAAAAAATATGATTTTACGGCATATTTTATTGAAGATGCTTTATGTGCACTTACAACATATGCCATATTTAAATTTTAAACAAGGAATAAAAAATTATATTTATATTTATAAATATTATAATATTTAAAATTACATTAATATTTTCATTAATTTTTAAGTCTATAATTTTAATACGTTTTACGTTAGAGCTGTTTTTGAAAGAATTGCTTATGAATAATGTTCCACGACCGGTATATATTTTTAGAGGACATGAAGCACAAATTAGTTACGTTTATTTTTTTAAAAAGAATGAAAATCTTGCAACTTGGTAGATTATTTTTAATTTTAAAACATTTTTAATGATAAAGTGATGCTGATGGCTGGGTCATAATTTGGAATATTTTTACTTTTAGATCAACTATAGTTTGGAAAGCACACTTGGAATCGATACTTACCTGTTATGATTGGACTGATACATATTTTATTACGTAATTTTTTATTTTCAATATTAACTTTTTTAAAGATAATTATAGTCATGGAAGAGATAATAAGATATATGTATGGCAACTTGAATTCGAAACTAAAAAAGACTTAGAGGTGTACCTTCCGGTTGATCAAAAAAAGGAATGTCAGAAGAAACCATGGATGCTTTATAGTCTTAATGTTCAAACTTTAAATTACTGCTCTTTTGCAGTTTGTAATAAAGGTATTTTTATATAAGATTATAAAATAATATTAAAAAAAACTGGAAGATAAATTAGAGAATGATATTTTTTTGGCTGTTCCTAGTTCAATAAAAGCTGAATTGGTTAAAATATTTAATTATTCTAAAATTATTTTAAATAATTATTTAGATTGATATTTATGATTTGCCAAATTGTCAGTTACTATATTCAGGAATAGGTTCTACTAAGGAAGTCACAGGTTATTTTTTTATGTTTTGTCTTTATTTTTAAAATAAAAAAGGAATAGTAATGAGTCTTTGTATGTATTATCGACAGGAATTATTATATAGGTGTCTAGAAATTTCTGCTGGTTTTGAGAGTGGGCATGTGGGTGTTTTTGCACTTTCTCAAGATTCTCAATTATGGGAAATTAAGCATTTCTTCAAAATACATACGCAACCTGGTAAAAAGACAATTTTGAATTATTTTTCTAATTTATTAGTCATGTCGATTCATTCTGATCCATTACATGAATTTCTTATTTCATCAGGTGCAGATTCACTTGTTGTAAAATATTCTCTTAGTTCAAATTCGGATAACAATGTATTAAAATTTAAAACAAGGCATAATGGACAACAATCTCTTAGAATTCGTTCCGATGCTAAAATATTTGCAACAGCTGGATGGGATGGAAAAGTTCGAATTTATTCCTGTAAAACTTTTTCTCAGTTAGCTGTCTGCAAATGGCATGAGATTGGATGTTGCGCGATAGCCTTTGGAGAAGTGATATCAGAATATCATAATAATCTGGAATTATTTGGAAAAAGCAGATATTCAGAACGATTAAAAAAACATTGGTTAGCAGCTGGCGGGAAAGACGGAAAAGTATCATTATGGGAAATATATTAATGTTAAAATTCTGCGCTTTATATTGTACAATACGTATGGGTGGATATTTTTATATTTATCTATATATATATTATATGTAGAGACATTTTTATTAAGAAAATTAAGTTTTTTTTTTAAAAAAAATTCTTTTAGGATCATTTTCTGTATGATTTGATTGAAAAACCGATATATCTGAAAGGTAGTCTTTTTTAGAGTAATATCTTTGTATAAAGTTATCTGTATTATTGCAATAAAGATGTTGAAAGATTTTTTTGGCCATTATTGATGACGAATCTATCCAGATGAGATTTATCCATGGCTCACTTTCAATAGAACGAAGAATATGAGTTGTAGAAAGTGCTAATGTTTCTGAAGATTCTGAAGACTTTGCGGAAGTTTGTATTGCTCTAGTAGACATATTAGAAGCTGGATGAAATTCGGTCATAGAAGTCTCTTTAATAGTAGAGAAATTATTTAGATGTTTAAAACTCGGTCTAAGCTGAAGAGTATAATTTACAGGTGAAAGATGAAGTTCATCTATTATAGATATTTAGTTATCATTTATAACTGTAAAAAAAATAAAAACCTCCACGAATAATTCCAACCATATAATAATTACGACAAGGACTTATTTTCGAACTAAGAGTTTGAAAATTAAGTATGGAATATTTGTCTTCGGAAAAATTATTTTCTAGGTTTTTAGAAAATTTAATACCACGTTCTTCATTATAATATTGTTTTGTATGAATTGGTACATCAATTTCGACAATACCTGATTTAGGTTTAATTCGTAATTCTAAGGGTTTGCTTAATGATTCTTCTATATAAGGTTGTGATGAAGGACGTATAGGATATTGAAATAGATATAGATTATCATTAAGATAAGAAGATATATAAATATTATATGTTTTTATAATAGGATCCTCATCTAATAATGTCAATGAAGGATTTTTTATTGATTCTCTTAGTTTCATTTTTTTAAACTGTCTTTAAGCTATTAAATAATGATTCCTAAAAGATATTAAGTTTAATGATTAATTCGAACAATTTTAAGATCGATATATATTTGAAAAAATATATTAGAAATCTTTGAACTTTAAATTGAAAATTTTAAATCGAGCTTTATACACAAGATATACACTTTAGTATTTTAAAAATTTGAAAAAAATCTATTTTTTTCAAATTATTTTAATATCTAAATATTTTTATTCTATTTTTAATTGCACATTAACGTTTGCACGTATTAAAAAATTAACAATATAATGATTTTAAAATTCATCATATTTTTACTTTCTTAATATTTTTTGAGCATTGGTATCAACAAAATGGATTTCTTAAAAAAATTAAAAATTATATTCTAAATATATATTAATATGTGTTTATATTGTAAAATATTTTGATAATATTTTTATGATTTTATTTAAAAATAGTAATATTTATTTTTGGAATTTGAAAATTATATTTAATATTTGCAATTTATTTTAATATGAAAAATGGATCAAATTATCCTGCAGATCCAATTTAAAGATTTTATACTTTATATTTGTTATTATATTTTTTTTTATAAAGTTATGAATAGGAGTTACAAAACATAAGCTTACGACTATTAGCATAGATTTAATTTATTAGTATATATATTATATAATTTTAAACAATCAAATTATAATAAACTTAATAATTAAAGAAATATGACTTTTAGTGTTTTATTTAATATGATAAAATTAATAAATCTTTGGTATATATTAAATTTTTAAATGATGAATAGATTAAAAATATATATTTTTTTCTTAAAAATCAATAAGTTAGTTTCAAATTACTTTAAATAAGAAATATTATTATATTCATAATATTCTTTTAATATATTATTGTTATTTCTATACCAGTTAAATATAATCATTAGATAGAAAATTACATAAATTAAAATCTAGTTAATTTTTAGAAATATCAATATATTAAAAATATTTATAATATTATAGCTATGTTTTAAAAAATCAAATGTCTTATCTATAGTATTAAAAAATTCTAATTAAATTTTTTAAAAAAAAATATTTATAATTATTTCATTGATATTGATTCAAATATATTCAACATATATTACGATTCAATAAATATTATGTATTTAATAACAGGCTTATCAATTTTTTTTATTTAAACACTTACAATTCGAATTAGCTATTATATTGCATGTTTTTATTTAGTTTCGAAGATATAAATTATTTTTAACACTTCTTTGGACGTTCGTTTATATTTAAGTTGACTAATTGTATTTACACAATCTTTATGGAAGAAATTTATAAAATAAATAAACATATATTAACTTTAATATTAAATATATTAGTAATATCATATTTATAAAACAGATTTATATAAAATTCTCCGTAATTTAAATATTTAATTAAATTAAAACCAAAATAAAATAAAACTTAAATTTTTATTATATATTTTAAAGATTTTTTTATTTAAAAAATTTTAAAATTAAGATATTTATAAAATTAATATTTATATTTATAAGATTGATTTTAAACAATATTGTATTTGCAGAATAGATCATGAAAAAAATATTAAATTTTCATTGCTCGAATTAATATTTTTATTAAATAAATGTTATGAATTAAGTAAAAAAATAATCATATTTATATGTAAACATGAGATCGTTAATTCTATATAATAACTATGATTATTTTTGCGAAAAAATTGAATTTCAAATATTTACATTTTAGAAATTAGTTATCTAGGGCTTAATTATAGAATTTAAAATAAAATAACTTACAAATCTCATGTTTTTTAGATTTAACGCATAAAATTCCTATATATCCTTCATTAAAAGATATAATTTTTATATATGTATTTTAATTAAACATGGAAATATTAAATTTCTAAGATATAGATGACTGATAGTAACTTCTCAAACTAGAATTATATTAAAAATCTGTATTATAAATTTTATTTAAATATACATTAAATACTTTTTTCTATAAAATTGTTCTATAAAAATTTTTAGTAAAATATTAAATAAATTATAAAAATTAGAAAAATCTTTAAATGATTTTTTTATATAATTAATTTTTAAAAAATTTACCAAAATTATTTTAAAAATAAATTTTATTCTTTATTATAATCCAAGGCTTTATTTTTGTTTTTAATACTAGATATATTTTTATAAATAAAAGCCTACTCTAATATAAAATATTAACTTTATAATATTTCATCTAAAAATAAACTATGAGTGTTAATGAAAATAAAAATATAAATGTAGGTGTTCTTGCTCTTCAAGGGGCTTTTTATGAGCACTATAAATTACTTAAAAGCTTTTGTTTTGTAAATGCTAGCTTAGTTAGAAACGTAGCAGATCTTTCTTCTCTCCACGGACTTATTATTCCAGGAGGAGAAAGTACAACTATAGGGTATTTACTTTCTATAGATGGACTTGGCGAAGAAATAAAGGCGAGAGTGAAAAATAAGTCTTTAAGTATCTGGGGAACATGTGCAGGAATGATTTTATTAGCAAAAAAAGTTGAAGGAATGAAAAAAGGAGGTCAATATATTCTTGGATGTTTAGATATAGTTATTAAAAGGAACTATTTTGGGCGCCAAATCAATAGTTTTTCTTCTATTTTATCTTCTAAAGTTATTAAAAAAGAATTTTTAGCAGTTTTTATTCGTGCGCCGGTAGTATTAAGTATCATTTCTCCTAATGTTTCCGTGTTAGCAACTATTAATAAAGCTGGAGAAGACAACAAAATCCTAGAAAGCGGTGCTATTGTTGCTGTGCAACAAGACAATATTCTTGCCACGTCTTTTCATCCAGAACTTTCTAATGATAATCAATGGCATGAATGGTGGCTAAATAATCTTAAAGAACGATATAAAATATATTAGTTACTACTTTTATAAATATGAATCTTAATGTTAATATTTTAAAACATTTTTTTTAAACATCTAAATAATAGTTTATCATAAATCATATATTCATTAAATCAATTTGATATAGATATTTCTAGATATCATATTTATTAAAAATTATCATTTTAATAACTTTAAGTTATCTAGATTACAATTTTTAATATATATTTAACATTGTCGTCAAAATAATAGGAAGCGTCGATGGTCTAGTGGTTATGATTTGTGCCTTCCAAGCACAAGAGCGGGGTTCGATTCCCCGTCGACGCATATCTTTTCAAGAAACAAGTATATGGTTCCTAAATATTTACTTTCTATTCATTATTCTTGCTTTTTTTTCTTAAATAATTTAACTCTAAAATTTTTTTCTAAAAATTTGAAAATATAAAAAAACCTCATTAATTTCTTTAAAAACAAATTTTTAAATAATTTTAAAAAGATTACTGTGCGTTTTATATAGTTTATCAGTTTTTATATTTAAAAAAAGTATTTTAATAAAATATTTCAGAAAATCAAAAGACTTAAGAAAATATTAACTTTAAAACCATGACCAGTAAATTTGAAGAAACAGGGCTTAAGGAAGAGTTTTCATGTGCTTCTTTTGGTGTAAAAGTTGGATTAGCTCAAATGCTCAAAGGCGGTGTTATTATGGTATAAATAATTTACTATTTTCAATACAAAATATATCTTATTTATTTAATTACTAGGATGTTGTTAATGTAGAACAAGCTCGTATTGCAGAAGAAGCAGGGTAACATTTATATACATTATTCTAAGTATTTACTTAATTTTTAGAGCATGTGCTGTTATGGCTTTAGAAAGAGTACCATCTGATATGAGAAATTATAGAGTATCGCGTATGTCAGATCCTGAGATGATCAAGAAAATTATGGCAGCTGTCACTATTCCAGTAATGGCAAAATCAAGAATTGGCCATTTTGTTGAAGCTCAAATTCTCGAAGCTATTGGAGTTGACTTTATTGATGAATCTGAAGTTCTTACACCTGCTGATGATTATCATATTAATAAACATGAATTTTCAGTACCTTTTGTTTGTGGTTCTAGGAATCTTGGCGAAGCTCTTCGTCGAATTTCAGAAGGCGCAGCTATGATTCGTACCAAGGGAGAAGCCGGAACAGGAGATATAATTGAAGCAGTTCGTCATGCTCGCTGTACTAATTCTTCTATTAAAAAAGCGTCTACCTTATCTGATCAAGAGCTTTTCGTTATGGCAAAAGAAATTCAGGCACCTTATGAACTGTTAAAAAAAACAGCTATACTTGGACGACTTCCTGTTGTTAACTTTGCAGCAGGAGGTATTGCAACTGTAAATATTTACATATTATAATTAAATATACTTTTAATACAGTGTTAGCCTGCAGATGCAGCTTTGATGATGCAACTTGGTTGTGATGGTGTTTTTGTGGGTTCTGGTATGTTTTTTCATTTTTCTCAAAAGGGTTAAATTAATTGTAGGAATATTCAAATCAGAAAATCCTTTAAAACGTGCATGCGCTATCGTTCAAGCAGTAACACATTACAAAGTATTTTTTGAAACTTTAAAAAATACAAACTAACTTTATTAGGATACTAAAAAATTAGGTGAAATTAGCATGGGTTTAGGTGAAGCGATGATTGGGATAAGTTGTATGAGTATTACCGATGATCAAAAATTTTCTAAAAGAGGTTTATAAATTTTGGATTTGAACTATATAATATTTATTTTGTTTATTAAATAAAGATATTATGATTAATAACGAAGAATTTGTTATTTAAATTATTTTGTAAATAATTATTTTTAATAATAAAGTTTTTCTTTTAGATATTAAGCTTTTTATACTTTCAAATCATTTTTTGCTTTACAAAAAAGTGGATTCACGGGGAATCGAACCCCGGACCTCACGCAATATTACGATTGCAAAGCGTGCGTGATAACCAACTACACCATGAACCCGATTTATCCTAACAGGAAGATGAGATATATATTCAAATAATCGGGTCATAGTCTATCATTATCAAGATATCAGAGGTTCTAATTAGATCAAGCTTAACATAGGGTTAGGGTTAGGGTTAGGGTTAGGGTTAGGGTTAGGG